TCTAGAAGACATCTCGAACAAAAGGACCTCGGGAGTTATACTACCTATACATTCCAGGGTTAGGGACACGCACTTTCTCTCTGTGTACACAGTACAACTCAGTATGTGCCGCTCCAAGCGTGCACGCGGGTTCCACCGCTTTCGATCCAAAAAAAAAATCGCTCTTTTCCTCCAATGCGGTTTCGGTGCCGGTGAACCGTAATCCACTTCTTTAATACTATATGATAATAGGATTAAATAAACTATCTAGATCCAGTAGGTATTGCCCCGACTGGAGTCCCACTGGGGAATCGCAGCTTCTCCCGATCATAAGTGAACACGCGACAGTCCGACTCGGGGCTCCATCGTACTCAGGTACACTGTGTACCCCCTTCACACCGTTTCTTTGTGCCCAGGTGGCGAGCCCCAGTTGTAGTAGTCTTAGTACATCCATAGCCCTTTCAGGGTTTTCTTTTCCTTTTCGTGGCGAATAGGGCACCCGAGATGCCGTATGCCAGTGTCCATGAGGCATTTTGTTGCATGGGTCCCCGTGCTTTTTCTTCCCCAGACCGAACCCGCCCGACATCAGCGGCGTATTCAAGGCTCAAGGCTGAAAGGGTAAATTGAGGCAAAAGCAAGTATGCATAGTTCACCGCAACTAGTATGGAGTACATATGGAGCAGAGACATGGACGTATAGAGTGGTACTACATACTACTAGTAGGAACTTGAATATGTCATTGGAGCAGTGGTAGTATATTCTGCACATCTATTCCAAGGTTTGAATATAGTACATCCATACTAGTAGTTGGTACACATGAGCACTACTGCTAGTGACACAAATCAAACTTGAACTCAGCATATGAGGCCTGAACAAGACATCTGTATAGCGACGATCGCGAGTCATTCTACGATGTCTCATTCGGCTAGTACTGGTGCTTGGGGCTAGACCATGTTCTTCTTTGCAGGAGTGTAGATCGTATGCACGGTCGCATCCTGCCACTTCGATCAGGATTTAATATATTCTCATTTCAGATGAAACAGCCAAACCATTCAAATGTTAAGATTAAACTATTCAACTTTCTTGAATCAACGTTGAATATCCCATTCAAATGGAATTTATTACTAAGATCTGTCATATAATCTAACCCCTATGTCTGCGACAGTGGATCAAGTTGTCCCACGGGTCAGCGTGGGGGGGGATCAAAAGTTCGGGATTTCTCGACGTTTCGACCTCGTCTTTCGCGCTTTAACGCGCTGAGAGCTCTCCACTTATGCTGTCGGGAGTAATGTATCAGGCTTAGGGGATCCGCTTCGAATATTCCAAGCTTGCTACGTACTCGTACCTGCACGTGCGCATCAACTTCAAGTTAGAAATTTCAACTATGATTGTTCAACATGAATAAAATGTAACTAAATTGTAATAAGAATCTCTAGGATCGAAGATGTCTTGGCTGACGTGTAGACCAGATAATAAAAATATAATACATGTTATAATATACATTTAATAGGGGAAATAACGGGCGAGAATCCCCCGGAATCGAACTGAACTCAATTGGCAGGGAAATTAAGAAGATCCTTGAACATCGCACGGGGCTACAGGAGGACGAAGCGCTATGTCGCGTCGGGGACGTGCCGTCTTGGATTTTTGCCCACGCAAGTCATCCTAGACCTAAGAATTCTCCACACATACCGGCAAGCTCAAGCGGTCGGGTTCCCGAATGGATTTGGCCCCAAGCCTCAGTCATGTCCGTACGAAGGAGTTAGCTTGAAGTAGGCTACAATACTGAGGAAAATACCCCGGGATAATCAGGGATCATCTCGTTTACTATCGGGGATTATTTCATTACTTTTTCGCCCCTCGTTCTCACCGAGCTTGATTCCTTCAGATCGTCTGAATTGGCACCCCCCGTCTAGTGTGATTGTTTGTGTCAACCGCGGAAAGCGCTGGGGATGTCCATCTTTAGTAGCCCGAGAATGCATCCATTAGTTACCACTACTAATACTACCTAAGCAGTGAATAGGACTATTTACGTTCATAAGCTTGAATTTTATTGGACCATACGAAGATTTCAAAGTTCTGAACTTGACACTACTACTTACATATACGAATCAGCCTTAAATGTGCTCTGTATTTACACAACTTGTAATTCAGTATACCGGAGTACATGGTCTATATTTCTCCGCAGAACGTGAACATATTTACATCATAGTTCTTCAACTTGAAGTAATATTTAATATAGACAGAATGTACTACCAATAGTACTATACTTGAATCCTCTTGAAGCCTTATGACACAATGTCATGGGTTGGGTCAATTTGTATGGGGATAAACCCGGGGTGCATCCTCGAGGATTACGTCGAACTGGTCAATGCAGAAATCAATATCCAGATTTGAACCCCAACTCACTCAGGCTGCAGCCCCAAAGCCGATCGAACCACATCTGAGCCAGTACTTCCAACCAAACGAATTCGAGATCCCGCTCTCCCCGGAAAGCTTACATGGATTCAAAAACCGGGATTATTCCCTGTTGGCTGACTTGGTCTGGGCCGGATATGTACAATGTCAGACGATCAGTGATTCGCATCATGTACGGGCCGTCTACTCCGAGAGTAAGTAGAAAAAAGAAGTACGTATGTGGATGTGTATAACTTCACGGACACTCCGTAGAATATACCTTCCAGTGAGTGCTCCGTACTAGTAGTAGTAGTAAAAAAAAAGCCTCGGTCAAGTTCCAGATCAGAGTAAACCCAACTTGGGATGGTCTCTTCGGAGTCAGAACGGAGTACATCGGGATGCTTTTGAGAGGAATTAGTGGGCATCCACAAAGGCGGCAACATCATATCACATCGCCTATGTCGCAGGATGGCCGATAAAGTAAGTCCAAACTTGAGGAAATTCAAATTTCTCCTCAGAACCCTACCAATCCTATCATGGGCCCGAAAAAGGAGCGATTTGGGAAGCGTCGCCGGGCTGCCGATCAACACTACGCCATGAGATCATCGTTGTAGTTTTTGGGGGTCCGTGATTCGTCCTGATGCTGAGTTGTAGGGCCACTAAACTGTAGATGGGGGTTTTACCCAGTGGATACCTTGAGCCGGTCGGGTTAACCAGTAAGGATCGCCGAATTAAATGACGCTTTGAGAAGGGAAATTTCAATCGAATTTTTTTTTTTTAAATTCAGCACTAGTCCTCTCCGTATCTCCACGAGGACTTGTTGCCCCATGGGTGCGTGGTTTTGGAACAGGGCAGCTTGAGCGAGGGCGGTGTGGCGACAATTTAAGAGGGACGTGCCGATTAGAACACTAGAAGGGATAAAACGGCAAGATAGGGCCCTAAAAGTGCTAAAGGTTATGACATAATAGTAATTTTGATGGGCTCATCTTAATTTACCCGATTGAAATCGTACTATTGACTGTTATTTTATTTTTATTTTTATTTTTATTATTTTTCTGGTATGCTAGACCTGGGGGATCTTAGCATTGGCATACATCAATACATATCTGAATGGTCTTGGCTGCTTGCGGTACCCCTTGCTACCTCATTAAGCTGGGGTTGAATCGGAATTGGAAGATTGAATCGTCATGAATACATAGTATATTGATGGTTCTATACTACCTCAGAGATTTTTTTGAGGGTAGAAGGTGCCAGTGACCCGCAGGAATTGAATTTGTTCCAGATTTTGGGAAGTAATATAATATACAAGATGGTACCAGGTCCGTGATGCACCATCTCCTCGGGCCATCTCACTCTATAGAGGAATATGTTCCTGCAAGGGAGACGATTTTGATATCCCCTAGAACGTGCTATCCCATCTAGATGTTTAGACATGATCTCGATACACATATTTTGATTCAGGGTTTATTTTGATGTAATTCTCCGTTTCTCTTTTTTTCTCCCGAAACCCGTCTTTCAATAACTATTTTCTTTTTTTTCTTAGTATAGAGAAGTAGTAATGAATCGGGGCAAGAAATTACAACAAAAATCGCGCATAGTGAAGTTGTCCGCAACCGCTCTCGGCAAGGCTAGGGAAGAAAAGAGATGTAATTGATGTGACCGATTCATACTGTGTGGAGTCTATCCCGGCACTGTTCTGCCGGTCGTAAAAGTTGCAAATGGTTGGAGTGGTATTCAATGATTACAATACATGACGTAAAGAAAAATTCTGACTCTGATTCGGTTGGAGAGAGCTCTCCACCTTGATATGCAGCTTCGTGGACTCCGAACCCCGGTATCTACAGTAGCTTGAGGTACTTAGAGTACTTAGAGTTGTAGCTACAAATTTTAGTGAGTATTGAATCTAAGTATCAAATTATAGAAGAAAATATTGGGAAATCAATAGATAATTGACACTATCAAAGGAATGGAATTTCATCTCAATTGGGAGACCAGAACCAAGGAAAGGAACATGATAAAAAATAGAATAAAATTGAAATAAAATTGAAAATGGAATAATAAAAATTTTAAAAAATAAAAAAAATGGGTAAAAAAAATCAAATTAAAATCCATAATTTCCCCCAAAAATACCTATTATGGGTCCTGATACATACTCCCCCAGCAACCAGGTACATCATGGACAAACACGGGATTGTCTCTCACTACTAACTACCACCTACTCTCTCTCGTACTCATAAAATTTTTTTTTTATGGTTTTTGGGTTTTTTACTCAATTTTTTTTTATTTTAATTTTTTTCTGATTTTATTTTATTGAATTTTTTTTTTTGCCAATTCAATTTCCCTTTCATTAATCCAGATTCGTATTTTTTCAAAGTATTTTTTCTTTTCCCTATTTCCCTCAACACCGGCATTATCCACACAACCCACTGTTCTCTCACTTGTTCCTCCACTCATTGCCCGCCCTCCCCAGTATTATAAAGTAGTCCTTCCCTCCCACCCTCCTCTCTTCTTCTTCCCTTCTCCATAGGAACATTCCGTCTCGCGTCATCCCCTGCCTTTGTCGTTTCCTGCATCTGCTCATATTCTGGGTTCCGAAGGCTACGTGAGCCGAAGCAGCAACAACAATGGCGTCTACCGTCCAGACGTCCGAGCGGAGGATCTCCTATGCTGTTGACGTGGAGAATGGTGAGCGCCATGAGCGCACTACTACTACTGAGGTGAACGATGGGGGTTTGGATGAGTACTCGGCTCTCAACCGTTACATCTCGACTGCCCGCGATGGTCGTCGTGGTTCGACTTCTTCTGCCGCTGCTCTTTCCGAGAAGGCTGCTAAGAAGTCTTCTTGGAAGTTCTGGTCCAAGACCGACGACACCGTTGAGGAGGGCTGGCAGGCCCCCGAGGAGTGGGTCAACACTGACTTGCGCTCCGGTCTGAGCTCCGCCGACATTGATCCTCGCCGCAAGAAGTGTGGCTGGAACGAGCTGGTTACTGAGAAGACCAACATCTTCGTCCAGTTCATTGGTTACTTCCGTGGTCCTATTCTCTATGGTAAGTGATCAATTCATCAATTTGACGCGTCCATTTACAGCATTGAGCGCGTCAAATATCCACTATACGAACTTTTGTTTTTCTTCACAATGAGATTTCAATTTCTAACGGGTCTTTTTCTCTCTAGTTATGGAACTTGCTGTCCTTCTCGCCGCTGGTCTGCGTGACTGGATCGATTTGGGTGTCATTATTGGTATTCTTGCTCTTAACGCTCTCGTCGGTTGGTACCAGGAGAAGCAGGCTGCCGATGTCGTTGCTTCTCTCAAGGGTGATATTGCTATGCGTGCTATTGTTGTCCGTAACGGTCAGGAGGAGGAGATCCTCGCCCGTGAGCTTGTTACTGGTGATATCGTCATTGTCGAGGAGGGCCATGTCATCCCCGCCGATGTCCGCCTTATCTGTGACTACACCAAGCCCGAGATGTTCGAGAACTACAAGGAGTACCTCGCCAACTACAACGACGACACCCTCAAGGAGAAGAACGATGATGAGGATGAGGATGATGAGTACGCTCGTGAGGCCCGCGCTGGTGTCTCCCTGATTGCTTGTGATCAGTCCGCCATCACTGGTGAATCTCTCGCTGTCGACAAGTACATGGCTGATGTCTGTTACTACACCACTGGTTGCAAGCGTGGAAAGGCCTACGGTATCGTTACTGCTACTGCTCGCCAGTCTTTCGTCGGTAAGACCGCTGCTCTGGTCCAGGGTGCCAAGGACTCTGGTCACTTCAAGGCTGTCATGGACAACATCGGTACCTCTCTGCTCGTTCTCGTCATGTTCTGGATTCTCGCTGCCTGGATCGGTGGTTTCTACCGTCACCTGAAGATCGCTACCCCTGAGAACTCTGACAACAACTTGCTCCACTGGACTCTTATTCTCCTGATCATTGGTGTCCCCGTCGGTCTTCCCGTCGTTACCACCACCACCCTCGCTGTCGGTGCCGCCTACCTCGCTGAGCAGAAGGCTATTGTCCAGAAGCTCACTGCCATTGAGTCCCTCGCTGGTGTCGACATTCTGTGCTCTGACAAGACCGGTACTCTCACTGCCAACCAGCTCTCCATCCGTGAGCCCTACGTCGCTGAGGGTGTTGATGTCAACTGGATGATGGCCGTTGCCGCTATTGCCTCCTCCCACAACGTCAAGAACCTCGACCCCATTGACAAGGTTACCGTCCTTACCCTCCGCCGCTACCCCAAGGCCCGTGAGATTCTCTCCCGCAACTGGGTTACCGAGAAGTACACTCCCTTCGACCCTGTCTCCAAGCGTATCACCACTGTCTGCACCTGTGATGGTGTCCGTTACGTCTGTGCTAAGGGTGCTCCCAAGGCTATCCTCAACATGTCTGAGTGCTCCGAGGAGGAGGCCCAGATGTACCGTGACAAGGCTTCCGAGTTCGCTCGCCGTGGTTTCCGTTCTCTCGGTGTCGCCGTCCAGAAGGAGGGTGAGCCCTGGCAACTTCTGGGCATGTACCCCATGTTCGACCCCCCTCGTGAGGATACTGCCCACACCATCGCTGAGGCCCAGGTTCTCGGTCTGTCCGTTAAGATGTTGACTGGTGACGCTATCGCTATCGCTAAGGAGACTTGCAAGATGCTTGCTCTCGGTACCAAGGTTTACGACTCTGAGCGCCTCATCCACGGTGGTCTTGCCGGCTCTGCCCAGCACGATCTCGTTGAGAAGGCTGATGGTTTCGCTGAGGTTTTCCCCGAGCACAAGTACCAGGTCGTTGAGATGCTCCAGCAGCGTGGTCACTTGACTGCCATGACTGGTGACGGTGTTAACGATGCTCCTTCCCTCAAGAAGGCTGACTGTGGTATTGCTGTCGAGGGTTCCACCGAGGCTGCCCAGGCTGCCGCCGATATTGTTTTCCTTGCTCCCGGTCTTTCCACCATTGTCGATGCTATCAAGCTTGCCCGCCAAATTTTCCAGCGTATGAAGGCTTACATTCAGTACCGTATTGCTCTGTGTCTCCACCTTGAGATCTACCTTGTTACCTCCATGATCATCATTGAGGAGACCGTCCGCTCTGAGCTGATTGTCTTCATTGCCCTGTTCGCCGATCTTGCCACCATTGCCGTTGCTTACGATAACGCTCACTTCGAGGCCCGCCCCGTCGAGTGGCAGTTGCCTAAGATCTGGGTTATCTCCGTCGTTCTCGGTGTTCTTCTCGCTGCCGCTACCTGGATTATCCGTGCCTCCATGTTCCTTGACAACGGTGGTATCATCCAGAACTGGGGTTCTCCTCAGCCCATTCTCTTCCTTGAGATTGCTCTGACTGAGAACTGGCTCATCTTCGTCACCCGTGGTGGTAAGACCTGGCCTTCTTGGCAGCTGGTTATTGCTATCTTCGTTGTCGATGTTCTGGCTACCCTCTTCTGTGTCTTCGGATGGCTCGCCGACTACACCCAGACCTCTCCTGCTGACCACGCCTACTTCACTGCCAACCACCACGTTGACATTGTTACCGTCGTTGTCATCTGGGGTTACTCCATTGGTGTCACTGTCATAATTGCTGTTGTCTACTACCTGCTGTCCAGCGTCCCTGCTCTGGACAACCTTGGTCGTAAGACCCGCTCCAAGGCTGACACTCAGATCGAGAACATGATCGCTCACCTGTCCAAGCTTGCCATTGAGCACAGCACTGACCGTGAGGGCAACTCTCGCTACACCCTGGGTGCACGCACTGAGGATGTTGAGGAGGACGAGTAAATCACTCGCCCCCAGCATCTTTATTTCTGAACTCGATACTGGTCCGAGATTCAATTAATTTTCCTTTTATTTCCTACTTTTACCATCCCCTTGCTACATACTACCACGCACATGTTGCTGCCACCAACCTTGGACATGCATACCCGTGGGAAGAAAAAGAAAGGCTTTGTCCTCTTTTGCTTTCCGTTTTCTCCAGTATTATAGACTTTTGTGTGTTCCATTTACCCTCTTGAGATCTCTGTGCCTGTTTCATAGAGCTTGAGTTTTGCTTTCTCTACGTGTATGTATGTCGTTAATAGTGGTACTTAGTCAATCAAGGGATCTAATAAAAAACAAACTCCATTGTAAAAACTTTAGTAGTTTCTAGTTCTTCCTTAATGGTCTATTCCTTGAATCTTTCCTACTAACTTACTACTTTTCATTGTCCACTAAAGTTGTGACTTGTCTATCCGTTGAATCTTAGTCCTGCGGATGTGGTGGTCTATCCCGCATCCTTGTCCGCAATCTACTCTCCTACAGGTGGAAGCCCAATTCTCCGTCCACACACATCAGTATCAGATTTCCCCGGCCCTATGTCACCATTCTGTGGAGAACAAGCTTCTGCACCCCCAGGCTCGTGGGGTAAAATGCGGAGATCATGATGATCCTTGTCAATTTCCCCAGTTGCATGCAATCTCGCGCGGAGATAGTCTCCCTTCTTGGTGATAGTTCAACTTTGCATCCAATCTACTTAGCATGAGACAAAGTCAAAGATTTTCCGTCTATAGTCAATGGCATGGTTTGATGCTTTAATCTCACAGGAAGTTTGACTAGTATAAGAACTGCATGATCCTCTTGCATTTGATCTCAATTCCAAGGATTCATCTCTACTCATTCTCATCGAGTCCAGAGTAAAGAGATGATAACCACATCCAATCTCTAACTTCCTACAACTATAAATCCAATTGATTGAGAAATACAACCTTCATCATGCATTTCAAACCAATGGTCAAAGCTCTATCCCTCCTATCCCTCTTCACACCAATCCACTCCGCCGCCATAAAATCAACCACTCTCTCCCATTCCGAACGAACAAAATGCCAAACAACCCTAACCTGTCCCAAAGACACAATCTTCGTCTCAGCAACAGACTCGCGCGCAGATTACAAAACCATTCAATCCGCCATTGACGCTTTACCCAACGACTCCTCCTCACAAACCATCCTCATCATGGAAGGAAGTTACACGGAACAACTTAACGTCACTCGCGCTGGACCCGTAACCCTACTGGGAGAAACAAACTCGAACTCTTTAACCGATGCGTCAAAGAATAAAGTCACTATCTCCTACGCTGCTGCAAACCAGGACTCTACTGGTACCATCGATAACATCTGGTTTAGTGTCTTGGTTGTTGCACCAACCCTTGATGCTAGTCTCGTTGGTAGTGGAACAACAGGCTTCGCTGTCCCGGCTGATACGCCGTTTGGGAATCGTGATTTCAGGGTTTACAATATCGATTTCGTTAATGATTTCGCACCTTATACCGATGGTCCTGCGGCTGCTTTGATGTTTAGTCGTGCGAATGGTGGATTCTATTATTGTGGATTTTATTCTTATCAGGATACTGTGAGTTTTTCCTTCCCTTATATCATATGGCCATATGATACCAAGCAACCCATTCCGTTTCATTAAAAAAATACTAATAATGATACAGATCTACATTGGAAAACTCGGAAACGCATACTTCTACAAAAGCATCATCGCCGGTGAAACAGACTTCCTGTACGGATTCGGCACAGCATGGCTCCAAAGCAGTGACATCCAACTTCGCAGCTGTGGTGGTGGAATCACAGCATGGAAAGGAACCAACACGACCTTCGAGAACAAGTACGGAGTCTACATCGTGGATAGCAATGTTGCTGCTGCGAATACCTCTGTTGCGAGTAGTATCAAGGGAAGTTGTGCGCTTGGAAGACCGTGGAACTCGCTTCATCGGTCTATTTTCGTGAATACCTATGAAGATGGAAGTATTCTTCCGGCTGGGTATATTAACTGGGTATCCGATGGAGTTGATAGATTTGAAGAGGGTATTACGGTTATGGCGGAGTATGAGGCTTATGGTCCGGGTTTCAATAAGACTGGGAGAATTGATGGTGGCATTGATACCTTGTTGACGAAGAAGACTTATGCGACTTATTCGAGTCCTGAACTTGTTTTCCAGGATCAGGAGGGGACTTTTGGGGATGTTAGTTGGATTGATTGGGAGACTGTTGATGCGAATTAACTTGGGTGAGATGGAGAATGAGAATGTTATCAATTGGAAATTTTGAATTCTGAAGTTAAGAATACATGTAGATCATACTGTTGAAGATGATCATGGTATCTTGTAACAAACATTTGAAGATATGCTCAGCTTAGTTCAATCTATCCAATCTATTCAACTGCCCCAATCGAGCTAGATACGCTGCGCCTGTATCTGCCCAAATCCGATACTCAGAAACCAGAATCCGTCCCGACTTCAGCCGATCATCACTTCTATCCGTTGCAAGTGCAATTCGGTAGATAAATGTCTCGCCCCATGAGTTCTTCGTATCTTTCCATTCAAAAATTGCTGCTCCCCGGAGAGTGACACACATGTTTGTAATGTCAACTAACCACTCGGGATTAGGCTCGAATACCATTGAATTGATATTCAGGATTCGTGAAAGAATTTCAAAGTATTCGGATATGCCTTCCACACCAGAGAAGGTACGCCCGAGGAAGGGGGCTAACTGGGGGAGCCCATGTTCGTGGATAAGTGGTTTGGGATCCGTGGTGAAGGTCGAGATTATGCTTGATGGAGGGCTGCTTGAAGTGAAAGCAGCGAGGAGGGCGTTGACAGGCTCAACTAGACTCCCTCGGTCCATATTTTCGGTAAGGATAACAAGGATGATGGCTTGATAAAGTGACAAGATGATGAAGAGTATTGAAGTGAGGTTTGAATTGAGTTTCTTGATTCTCAGGTTCTTATAGTTCGGTTCGGGAGACAAACATCTTCCATGGATGAAGTGCATTTGAATTTACATAACAATGACGTGCCTTAGATTGTTTTAATGTGATACTCTGCATTGAGTTCTTTGAATTGAGGAATATCGTAGTGCCCTTGTTTTATGCTCCAACAAAGACTTTTCAGTGGTTTGTGAGCTTGCGAGAGCCCAAGTAGACTGTAGTGCTTTGTAGATACAACATCTCTCTCCACCATAAACTGACGGTAGCAAAATAACGCCTAGATTTGACCAAGTAATCTGGCCGTGGCCCTCACTAAGAAATGAGAAATGAGAAACTTATTTAGGGGAAAAAAGGAATAAAGGAATAGAAAAGAAGAAATCGCATCAGGAAACACCGGGCCCCCGTAAAATAGTACACCTTCACCTTCTCATCAACGCTGAAATCATTGGAAATCCATCGAAATCACTGTCGCCAGGACTTGCCGCAGTTCAGACATGTGCAGAATAGTGTCATCGGTTCATCAGCACTGCGAGTCTGGGCCTCAGTGTAAGTCACCTTGCGCTGACCACACTTGCCGCACTGCAAGCTGGTACTGATACTACGCTCCGCCTGAGCGACCATAGCATCGTTCATGTTCTTCTTCTTGATAGCCTCGTCGGTTGCGCGCTGCTGCTCAGATCGTAGCTCGTCACTGGTCATCCGCACAAATTTCTCCGGGGTGATATCTCCACTGAGCACTTGCACTCGTAATGTAGGATTGGACTTGTTCTTCAGGTTCTGGAAAAGACTACGCATCTTTTCCTTGTATTCGGGCTTGATCTCTGGCCCGAGGTGACTGTGCGCAGCCTTTTCAACAGCACATGCCATCGATAACACCGTCTTGGGGGGATTCAGTCGATCCCACGCACAGTCCATCGTACATAAGTCCGATACAGCTGTCCCGGACCCTGCTTGATGTAACATTGGTGTCCACTCCATCGGCCTTCCATGTTCGCTTGTCGGGTGGCACAGACAGCTTCGACGCCTTATCAGATGGGGTCGCGCTCGCGGGTGTAGAGGCTCCAGTGCCATTTTGGGGTGGACGTGGTGAGTTTGAGGCCCGGCTGGCCGCGGTTCCACCACCCTGCTTCTGCTTGTTCACTTCGTTGCGCCATTTTGAAACGATCTCGCTCGCTAGTCGTGCCACTTCCGGAGCCTGGCTGGTCTTGAATTTATTCACAACCACACCGATCTTGGTCCGTCGAAGCAGATCCTCGCTCGCCCGCACACCTGTTTGTAACTCCTTGAGCAAACCAACGATCACCGTCGCAGGCTCCTTCTGCGCGGAGGCCTTGCCCAAGGCCTTGGCCTTACCCTCGATTTCTTTGGCATCCATGGACGCGGATAGTGAGTTCAAAGCGAGTGCGGGTGGAGTCGAATCGAAGGAGAAATATGAGCGAAAGCGTCTCTTTAAGCCTGTTTGGGAACAAGTCAGTTATTTATGCTATGAGTGTAAATGCAAAATTGTAGAAGCAGCTGCGGAGATGCGGAAGTTGGCGCAATGGGAAATATTCAAAGCGCATGCAAATTTTATGGTAGAAACTCATGCTTCAAGCAAGTGGCATCCTCAGTACCAGTCTTTTCGTCGTTGAGCAGTCTCAAAAACTGCGCGAAACGACACTGGCTCTCAGGCACGTGTCCAATATCCACTTTGAGAGCTTCTATTCTTAGAATCTGGTTTTCTGACTATGAGAGAGTCTTGCCATGTGCAAAGATGCGGATGCGCCGCTTGACGTTCAATTTGCGATCGTCGAGATCTTTTTGTGTATGCGTACGGGACAACAGGGCAGGAGGGGCAAGCTGCACAAACACTTACTCTAAGCTCAAGGATCAGAATAGAGATTCAGTATATCACACACAGAAGAGAGTGTGTGAAAAGACGACAATATCTCAAGTGGTGTCGTGAGATATCAAGAGGAAAATGATCCAGTGATGAGGGAAGCTGCGAAGTTCAGTGCCAAGACATGAATACCCGATTAGGAAATTTCGCACTGGATTCACATAGCCCTGGTCCCTAGAACTACTCCATACATATACTTGAACTAATATAGTTATATGAAGAACTAGGTCACAAGGAAATAATTCTTAAATTAAAGAAGATCAATTAAAGCTCAATGATTACCCAGGAGATACCCCGGGGCCGTATCCATTTCTATGTCGTTTTCTTTCTGTATCCTTCGCAGACCAGTCTCATGACAGCAGCTATGCATATGGTATTGGGGAAAAATCGAAGGAAATTATGTTCAGTCATCATCGTCAACATGGGGTATATGAGGTAAAGGGAATTTTTGGGAGTTTGGCGTCAATGTCGTCAGTCGGGACCTGAGCTGGACAATTAGTGCAGACTACCGCTTCATCCAGAACTCAAAGCGGTGCAGGTGATTGAAACCGCTAGAGAGTAGGTAACTCCAGTAGAAAAAACGGTAGTCGACCAAGGCACTATATCCAAAGCGATTCGGTGCAGTCCAGCAGAAAGACTAGCGATCTAAAGGCCAGTCTTGCCCAAAGCATCGGCCAAAGCATCGACTTCCTTGTCCGACTCCTGAGCAACCTTCTCCTCCTCGACAAGATCGGCAGCCTTCACGTCCTTCTCAGCCTTGCGCTCCTCTTCCTCCTCTTCCTCCTCCTCTTCGTCTTCCTCCTCCTCCTCGTCCTCAGATTCAAGCTCATCCAGCTCATCAACGCCCCAGGTGTCCTCGGGGTCCTCGTCAGTGCCGTGCTCCTCCTGGCGAGCCTCCAGGAGCTCCTTCAGGGCAGTGATGTTGACATCCTCATCGGAGAAGATGTTACCATTGAGCTCGACACGACGCAGGTTGGGAAGGGCGGTCTTGGCAGCGTGAGCAAGGGCTTTGACAGTGTCAGCCTTGACCTCGTTGTACTGCATACGCAGGGTCTGCAGCTTCTGGTTCTTGTTGGCAGCCAGGGCCTCAGCAACCTTCACACCACCACGGGCGGAGAGAAGACAGTCACCGACACCAAGTTCAATGAGAGATGGCCAGCCCTCAAGCACAGACGCCAAAGCTGTAGAACCCATAACAGTGAATGTATTGTCCTGCAAATCCATAACCTCCAAAGAGTGGCAGTGACGGAGACCGTTCTTGAGCAGGTGCGAGATACCCTCTTGGCGGATACCATTCTGGGTCATCTTAATGGACTTCATGCCTGCAGAGTGCTTCTCGTAGGCACGAGCCCACGCCTCCATACTGCCATTCTCCAGACGGTTACGACCGCAAACAATGCTCTCCAAAGCAACAACCTCCTTGCCATCCTTGCGGGCCTCCTCCTTGCGCTCAGCCAGCTTGCTCAGGGCATCGGCGATCAATGTTCCAGCAGCAGGGCCAAGGCCGTTGTTGTTCAGGATCAGGTGGCGGAGCGGGGTGTGCTTGGACAGGAAATCGACAAGGGGAGCCTGAGTGTTCAGACCGAAAGCGTTATCGGAGAGATTGACAGTGTGGGCAGTAGGGATCTTGAGAATGGCATCCAGGAGGGCCTTGAGGGCGGGAGGAATCTCAGAAAGGAGACGGGAGGTGAAGATATCAGCCAGGTCGGCAACTTCGAGGCTCTTCTGGGTCGCGAGGACAACAGCAAGACGCTCGGAGGCCCCAATTCCAAAAGTGTTTCCACCAAGGTGAATCTCAGTGAAATCGGTGTTCTCAACAAGAGGCTTAATGTGAGATTCGATGTCCTCGGCAGTGGTAAGCTTGAGGCCTTGGCCATCGAGCGAGAAGACCTTAGGAGGGGCCATGGCGGGGTAGTGGAGTATGAAAGGTGAAAGAATTGGGAGGATTAAAGAGGATATAAAAAGAAAAAAAAGCGGAGAGAACCTGAGAGAAATCTAGCAAAAAGAAAAGACCAGATCAGGAAGGAAATTGAAGTCAGTCTGCGTGACAAAGGGGGGAGGCAAAAACAACCTCTGCCCGCGGGCGTTTGTTTTTCGATAACAAAAAAAAGCTTCGGTGAACGATAGTGACCAACAACGCATGAATTAATAATGGAGCGATGGTGACATCCAGTCTTTTTAAACCTCAAATTCAAACTGTCCAAAGACTTCAACTTGTTCATTCAATCTTCATTCTTTTGCCTATACACATAATTCACTCTCTCAATATGTCGTGGCTCTTCGGTTCCTCTAGCGGTAAGTCCCAATGGACTCAAAATATCGACCTGCGCATCTATCTATCACTACATGCGCCATTGCGCAAGGGCTCAGAACTGGGCAGCTAAGGCATCGAATAAGCGCTAACATCTGGTCCTCTTACAGAAAAGAGCACTCCTGCCCCGGCCGAGACTCAGGCCCAGAAGCCCGCTGATTCCGAGAAGCCTAAGGTACGCCGAGGATATCCTCACAAGCAGTAATGCATTACGGATCCACTAACGATACTCTCGCTCCGAAACAGCCCTGCTGCGTTTGCAAGACCGAAAAGACCGCCCGTGATGACTGCATGCTATTCTCCAAGTCTGATGATCCCGCAAAGGAGTGCCAGTCCACGATCGACCAGTACAAGAGCTGCATGGCTGGCTTCGGGTTCAAGGTCTAGGCTTAGATCTACATCAATGGGATCTTCTCATTACTACTGCCACATGGCTTTGTACAACACTATTTCTGTATTATAGCATTCACTGGATGGAGTTTCTTTTCTTGTTTCGGTTGACATATACACCATTGCTGTATTATTGGACTCCAAGGATTCGATTGTGAGAATTCTCTGTTATTTCTTTCCATACACAATAATATCTCCTACCCACTGGCATCAATCAGTAAAAGGTAATGGGGATATCTGAAGTAAACATTGAAACAATTGCGCATTTAATTGAGTACTCTAGCAACACTTTTTTCCTGTGGAAATTATAATGGGGTATCATTTAACAACCTTATCCACCAACACATCGCATCACTGCTGCTTCTTCTTATTCTCCTCTTCGGAGGCTCGGCGATTAGTCTGGCTGCATTGTGTAACCAACTTCCACATGCACCAGAGGTATGCGATGCCAAATCCGCCGGCTCCAATGAGAGCATTCAGTACTACCCACAGATCAGGCTTACCAGGAGGGGGGAGGGACAAGTGCCTCGCCCACGTGCCAACCAATCATGAGGATATAGAAAATGATGTGGAGGAGCTTTGTGAAAATGTTGAGCTCAAACTGGGAGTTAGGGTCCTCAGGGGATGAACGACTTCGGTAAGTCTCCAGGGACAGTGGAGGCAGACCCATGAGATAAGCCCAGAGAAGAGTCATAACAATGTAAGGCACTCGAAGCTCCTCACGCTTCAGCAATGGGTACATAGTCCATGAACCAAGAACGTTAGCCCAGCCTACCCAGGCGCGGTTCTCTTTGTTCAATCCGCCATCGCCGGCAAGGGAAAGAGTCATGGGAAGTAGCGGAAGGAGGACGCTCTTTTCGTGAACCTGGAAGGAGAACAAGAAGAATCCCCAGGAAACGCAAGACAAGGCTGGAAGGAGAAGCGAAGCGCGGGGGTGACGGAAGATAATGCCACAGGGCACAATAATCGAAGCCAATGTAGCACCTAGAGATGCACGCTGGAGTAGAGAAGCATCGAAGCGATGCAGTTTATAGAATGTATGGATTGCACACCAAGCGTTGGCAACTTTATCCTCAAATAGACCACGCGCAAAGGGGAAGATGCGATGGATGGTTTGAGTCAACTGGAAGAGCACTGCATAGGCCACAGAGTTCTTGTCGAGAGTAATTGGGAGCGACTGCAGTAGAGGGGGCTGCGGAAGAGACGCAAATTCCTTTCGGGCTTCGAGGCTCATTGCACCAAATACCAGTGGTGCAAACAGGAGAGCAAACGCGGCAAGTGTGACCAGGGCAATGTTGACCAGTCGCAGGAAGCGAATCCGCGGGAAGACGCAGACACCCAGTAAGTAGGCGAACATTACGGGGGCATAGTAAAGAGCCATCTGCTTGAAACCCAAGGCGCCAACAAAGAATATGCAGGCCCAAAGCATGCGCCCAGCCAGAATAGCATCCAGACTCGCGACCATCAAACCCAGCATCACTGTGTTATATTGGAAGTGGCCATGGTCGATGAGTATGGTAGCTGGCTGGAGCAGAATGGCGACAAGAGCAATGGAAGCGGACCACGCATGCACGCCATGCATACGAGTATACCGGCGGAGGAAGGTGACAACTGCTGGAACATAGATGAAGTATTCGGAGACCACGACGGTGGCGCGCATATAGATCTTCAAATCGGGGTGTTCGAAGCCGCGAGACTCGTCAAGTGCAAACCATGCAGGATCAACAGCGGAGCCACTGCATTAAGTTAGCCATGATCCAAGCAATATATGGGAAAAAACAACATACATCTTTCCGAGTAACCAGCTGTGGTAGGCAGTCAAGGGAGGATAGTCAAGACCCCAGTACTGTAAATCGTACAGATACCACTTAAAGATGGGCAGGTGGGTAGTTATCTCCATCCAATGTCGTTGTGCTTCGAAATCGCCATGCATCGGAGGTACCTCAAAGCCTGCAATTTGTTAGCCCTCTGCTACTATGCGCTCGAATCAGACCACTACATACCTGAGTAACCCCATAAACTAACAGCCCATCGGAAAAGACCAACGGCCATGAGAGTGAGCGGCAGAATCAGCCATTGAGAGACACCAGCCCGCGCAGCCCACAGAAATGATACCAAAGGAAACGCAGGCGACTGTTTCCCATTTCCAGTATCGAGGATAAGATTGTTATTCGAGCCGGGAGCCGCGGGGGTCTTTCCCTTCTTGCGCGGGCGACGGGAGGAAGTGGGAGGTCCCATCTTGGAACAGGCGAGATGCAGCGTTAAACGTAGCCCATAAATTGAGTAGTCCGATATTAATTGGCGTATGATCTGGCGTGGAGAATGCGTTCAAGTTGCGGACAAGTAACTATATCGATCTGGAGTTGATTACAGCTATCGGCCACGACCGCATAATCCATGCCAAGACTGATTATGTGAGATTACAGGTACAGTCACGTGGGTTTTGATTATGTAAAAGGGGCGTTCTCCACTGTGGGCGTGTCGGTGGGTCACATGCACTTGAAGAGAGTGAAAATTCTGGCGGTCAGTGCCTGGATCTAACTACATACGGCAGGCGGCCAAGTGTTCTGCCAGCCTCCGAAATTTTTTTTCAGAGATTTTTCCTTATCAGAGAGCTCCCCGGCAACATTGATTCTTTTTTTTTTTCTTCTTCATCCATCCTCCTTTCACTTCTCCCCTTACTATTACATCAATTTGTGTTAGTATTTCTCTTTTTTTCATCGAAGCTATCTTAGAACAAGCTTCTTACGTACGTACTTCCCCTTCCCTTCCTCCTCCCAACTGACACAACTGCGTGGGTGGTACTTTGTACTTTCAACCAAAGTACTTCAACAGACATCTCAGTGGGCTTTTACACATCGAGGGCTGTGGGCTTGTTATACTGCATATCTATCTCGTGGGCTCTGTGGGACTTCTATTTCCTCGTGGGTTGCGTATCATAGTTGCATGTCGCCGGTCGGTCTCTGTGGGCTTGAACTTTCTGTCGGTTGTGGGTTACTTGAGGGCATCTACCAGCTGTGATCAGCTCACTCCTGGACAAAACACATTCTTTCCATTTCCCCGAGGGTTATCACTTTTACACACATCCAAACACGGGTGCTTATTGAGGGATTAGTTGGCTCCGCCGCACAAAAACCGAAAAAGCATTTTATCTGTTTTCCTGACCACTGTATGTGGAAGATGTGAAGAACCCAATCGTTTGAGCAAGCGTGCTAACATCTCCCCTCTTACAGTTTCAAAATGTCCAAGACCTCCAAGGTTACCAAGGCTGAGAAGCCCTCCAAGACCCTTAACAAGGTCAAGGACGCCGGTGTCGCCAAGGCCGCCAAGACCTCTTCCAAGAAGGTCGTCGCCGAGAAGGTCGCTAAGAAGGAGAAGGACTCCAAGAAGAGCAAGAAGAAGGAGCCTACCCCCAGCTCTTCTGAGTCTGAGTCCAGCGACGAGGAGATGGCCTCCGACAGCTCCAGCTCTTCCGAGTCCGAGGATGAGAAGCCCGCCCCCAAGAAGGAGGTGAAGAAGGATACCAAGAAGGCTGCCAAGAAGGAGGAGTCTTCCTCCGAGTCCGACAGCGATGAGGAGATGGAGGATGCTTCTTCCTCTTCCAGCGAGAGCGAGTCTGAGGATGAGAAGCCCGCCCCCAAGAAGGCTGAGGCCAAGAAGGTCGAGAAGAAGGCCGAGTCTTCTTCCGAGTCTGAGTCTTCTGACTCTGAGTCCGAGGATGAGAAGCCCGCCAAGAAGGTCGCTAAGAAGGAGGAGTCCGACTCTTCCGACTCTGAGTCTGAGTCCGAGGCCAAGAAGGTACGATGAACTACTATTCCTGTCTTTCACTATTCACATTGACTAACATTACCCTTAGGAGTCTTCTGACTCTGACAGCTCCGACAGCTCCGACAGCTCTGACTCTGAGTCTGAGTCTGAGGACAGCGAGGATACCGCCAAGGCCTCCAAGAAGCGCAAGGCTGATGATGAGCCCGAGGCTGTTGCTAAGAAGACCAAGACTGAGGACGCCCCTGAGGGTGCTTCCGCCAACCTGTTCATCGGTAACCTGTCATGGCACGTCGATGAGGACTGGCTCCAGCGCGAGTTCTCTGAGTTCGGCGAGTGCTCGTGCCGTGTCGTCACTGACCGTGAGTCCGGCCGCTCCCGCGGATTCGGTTACGTTGAGTTCTCCAGCGCTGCCGATGCTGCCAAGGCCTTCGAGGCCAAGAAGGGTTGCGAGATTGACAACCGTCCCATTAACCTGGACTACGCTACTGCCCGTCAGAACAACGCTGAGCGCCCTGAGCGCACCCAGCAGCGCGCCCGTGACTTCGGTGACTCTACCAGCCCCGAGTCCGACACTCTTTTCGTTGGCAACCTGCCTTTCTCTGCCTCCGAGGATGCTCTCCGTGATGTCTTCGCTGAGCAGGGTACCATCCTGGGCATCCGTCTCCCCACTGACCAGGAGTCCGGTCGCCCCAAGGGTTTCGGTTACATTCAGTTCTCTTCCGTCGATGAGGCCCGCGCTGCTCACAGCCAGCTGAACGGTACCGACCTTGAGGGTCGCTCTCTCCGTCTGGACTTCAGCACTCCCCGCCCTGCTGGTGGTGACCGTGGTGGCTTCGGTGGCCGTGGTGGTGGCCGTGGTGGCTTCGGTGGCCGTGGTGGTGGCCGCGGTGGTCCCCGTGGTGGTGGTGGTCGTGGCCGCGGTGGCTTCGGTGACCGTGGTGGCCGTGGTGGCTTCAACAAGGCCAAGGGCAGCATCCCTGAGTTCAAGGGTACCAAGGTCACTTTCTAAGTATTTTCCTGACTTGCATTGTGTCATTTCTGGGTGTAATTTTGCCTCTGGGAGGCATCGGATCATTTTTTCTAAAAGTTCTCACGTTATTTCTTAGTTCGACATGAATCAACTGTAATTTTGTATCTCTATCAAATTTTGTGCTATCCTGTAAATGTACTCAATGTAGACTAATATTCCAAGATTATAGAGCTACAAAGAGATAGTTCTTTTTATAGCATTTGAAGGTAATGGAGTGGTTATAATGTAGTAGGAAAATAAGAATGTTGAGAGTGGCGGATATCTGGATAATTAGAACATTTGCAGTTTTGATAGGTGCCTAGAAATTCTGGCCGAAATCTTTTCACACTTATGGGGGATAATTTTGGAGTCCCAGTAACCATCCGCATCGTAGTAGCTCAGCGGGCTATCGTGTCTGTCCCAATGCGATTTGACACTATGATACCATAAGACTAGAATGCTGGGACTGAGGGTTGTTAAGTAGCATCAGCGAGCGTGAGACTTGCCTAAGTGGAACACCACCGTGAGAAAGCATGCAGCGGACTATGTGAAAGACTTCTGCGGAGCCTTTTTCTTTTTGCTCTTTCTGTCGATATTACTTTTATACTTTTATCTATTTTATTGGATTTGTTATGATTTTTTGAAAGTTGAGGCTGTCATCGTCTTGCTCATTTGAAGCCTCACTTGACGCATTCATCGCGAAATCTAGAAGTCCGTGGATCGACCCCCCCTCCTCCCCCCAACTCTCTCCATTTCTTTTTTATTTCTTTTCCGCAGTATCACCCACATCAACCACTGCTAACTATAAAAGTAAAAACTAGGACCATGAACCATAGTAACAACTTGAATTCGACTACTTATTATAGCAAGCTTATCTACTAACCATATACATTATTGCCACTTGTCACCGCCATTCCCCCCGCATCTCTTTGTTTTGGCACTGCATCGCCAGGTAGTTCTCTTTGAAATATCTTAATGCTTTTCTCTATTTTAATACTTAAATCCCCGAAAATCAGAATCTTTCTTCTTTCTGAAAGATTTCCTCAAGTGAACTCGGAGTTCTGGTCTTTTTACAGCCCCTCGCAGTCTCATATCTTTTGTCACGGGTTGCAGATCACCTGCTCCATCGGCTGATCACCTCATCATTTACTTCTCAGCCTAGGGATATCTCTCTCTTCCTCCCAGGCTTCCTTGGTTTTGATTTGAAGTCTGTGGTTAAGATATCACGGTATTTTTACTGTTTCCTTGGAGAGCTTTGATTCTCTGAGGATTCGAGGAAGAAATCAAATCAAAATCCAAGTTGGGCACCAGTGATGGGGCGGATCGACCATCTCCACATTGATAAGATCCTCATTGATTTCCCCACGCTTGACCGCTCCTAGTTCCCCAAGTTCTAACACCGAGTGGCCTGATTTATTTAAGAAGTCTTCCCATACCCCTTCAAATATCATTCACTCCCCTCTACCCCCACTTTGTTTTTTTTTCTCTTGACATATCTGTGGCCATGCAACCAAATCACTGCGACCTCCTAGGTCAGGTGCGCGAGCCCAGAGCTCCCAGTCAAGTGATACGCGATGGCCAGTCGCGAGAACATGGTCACTCTCGCCCGTCTGGTGCGGCACCCATGAGATCGGAAGGTATGCTTCAACTCGTTTTTATACCCCGGGGACCTGCAGCGCCGCCCGTCCCCTGTCGATCTAGTTGAAACCATGTTGAATCCTTTGTTTTCCTACCGTTCGTTCAACATGTACTCACTACAGTATTATATAGATTCATGGATCGAAGTATCATCTCAGCCTTCATCATCATCCTTCTCCTCAGCCGCTACCAGTGACGATATCATCACGACCGGTCTTCGAGTAGAACGTCGCGAGGGAGGCACATACCAGCATCGCAGTCGACGACGGCGCATGCAGCATTTGGCGGCTATAACAACGGCGCAGGTCGACTACTCTTCGCGCGAAGCAAGTCTTGCAAGCAGTAGTCAAGAGGAATACGAGGAGAGCGAAAGCGACCCTGATCCAAATATGTCCAGCTCTAATGAGGATATTAATCGTCCAACTCTACCCGCGCCACGATCTGTTCCCACCGCTCAGCCCGACGAACTCTCTAGTGATGATGAAGATGATACATCTACTGCCTTGGGAATGGGAATCAGTCCATCACCATTTATTCCGCAACCAAATGTCTTCAGTCATCCTCCAGTCACCAGTGATCCCTCCTGGACACGTCCCAACGAGTCGCGTCGTTCTCAGCCGAGCATTTTATCCAACTCAAGCCGTCGTACTGCTATCCGACGAGACTCGTATCCCAGCACACGTCAATCCCGTCGATCTCCTCAGTCTCAACACAGCCCTTACAATATGATCTCTCCATCTCATCATGCGGATCACGATGCGGCTCTTCGGGCCAGCTTATCTACTCTTCTATCATGTGCCGCTGCTGCTCGTGGACTCCCAAAGGCTGAAAATCAACGACAAAATTCACCTCCTGATCCATCTCGTCCTGTTCCGCCAGCCTCATTCCGTCTTGTCGGTGAATCTGTAGCCCTGGGAGATGAAAGTGACGGGGCCGGTGCATCTTCACCACGATATGCAGAGACCAGTCCCTCAGTGGGACCTGCTCGCCAGAATACCCGATCTCCAGTGAGACCATCTGGACCTATCAGCAAGGCCAAAAGACGATCAGTGTCTCCTAGAGATCGTAGTGCGACATCTAAGAAGAGTCGTCGTGCGAGTCTGACCGAGTCAGGTGTCCCTACCAGCCCAACCATCATGACCTGGGTAATCAGTGCTGGCGTGGTGGTCCTATTCTCGGCCATCAGCTTTTCTGCAGGCTATATGCTTGGCAGAGAGGTTGGCCGAACCGAGATGGGCATGATGGATGGCAACGTTCCCGGCGCTCGTTCCTCAGCGGCGTGCGGTCAGGAGGCTGTCCGAGGTAGCCTCAAGCGACTGCGCTGGGGCACAGCAGCGGCAGGATCAGCGAGTCTGGCCTAATCTAACTGATATTTCACGATTTGCAACGTCTCGACAAGAAATGATTATGATTCCAATGAAGTCTTATGACTCATGATATCCCCTCTTTTTCCGTTCTTTTTTTCATGGTCTCTCCTTCTCACATTTATGTTCCTCTCATCTCTGAGATGATAATTACTTTACTTGATATGCCTGTATTTGCCTGTTTTCGACTCGTTTAGGGTGAGAGTATGGGATCTGTCGGCAAAAAATCGGTGAATGTCTTCTGAGTTGGGTTACCCAGGCGCTAGGAGTTTGAGCAAGCATTCTGCATCAGGTTTCGTGGTGATTGAACTTTAAGTCGATCTCTAACATACCTAACAATACCTTCACGATTATTTGTGCATTTTTAACGTAAAATCCTTGACATATTTATGTCTACGGCTAGTAGAGCACAGAATTGATAGACTTGATACCGAGTGCTTCAAAACCGCGCTTGATATACTCGTCAAGTCCATATGTCCAGGCTCTGGTCTCGTTTGCCCTTGTCATAATGTATCATTCAAATGTTACTGTCTTCAAGCTATCTTCTTTCATGCGGATTAGTGGAAGACTGGCACCAATATTGAAGATTGAGAAATAGTTGCATCGATAGCAACGTCGGGAAAGCCTTTCTATGTTCGATATCGAACTCGAAATGTATTAAATCCCAACAGAAAACATTTGTAAGAGTTAAGATGCCATTACTCATTCGATAAATGAAAAAATGCCCAGGTTTCACATTTGAACCATTATTTCCCATATCACACCTACTAGTGCATAGATGGACAGGTACACAAACTGATCACCAGCAGGTACTACTACTAGTAGAACTAAAGTGCTAACTCAGGTGGGCTAGAACCTTCAAATTTTGGAAGTGCATGAAGATAACCGGACTAGATGTCTCCAGATAATTTGCTCGCGCTGGCCCATATTCAAATTTCAATCTTAAAGTGGTCCAATTAAGCACCAGCCACATCTGTGCCTGAATAATCCCAAATATCTTAAATATGGTTTTGGATGAAGCACAGGCCTATCGGATCAGACTCCAGCTTGATATCACATCATCCTGCGAATTGGAACTGCAGGCTACAAAATAATAATACTCCAGCTATAATTCAAATTAATATCACCATCATTATAATAACTGAGAATAGTATATTCTTCCGAGTCCTCCCCGATGCTGTGTACCAGTACTTCCAATGCCTCACTCCGAGTACTATATGAAGGAAATACCCCTGCATAATCATAGACTCGGACGCACGGGTACCACTGAAGAAGCAAATCTAGCCTCTATAATGACGCAAACCCGCATAAACCGGAGAAAATGATTATCAAAACTTAAAGATGAATAATCATAATATCAATTTGAAAAATATCACTGTACCTGATCGTCACCAGACCCACATGCAGCTGTAGATACTGAAATCCATTTCACCAGCCACACGGCACATGCACACATGCACAGATATGACGGGTCATATCAAGTTATGTGTATTTGCTTCTTCAGTTCCAAGGTTTCATGGACTTCTGCACTTGAATCATACACGATGACTTGCCTAAATGGTCTCCTGACTCGTTATTCCCAGGATTCTGGTTCTACCGTCGCTTTCCCGTTGATAAAAGCAATATGTCCGTGAGGATTTTTTCCTCCCCGATTATGATGAGGTGCATGTAGGATATGGATTATCCTTCTTCATTGTGCTAGTTGCCGCTACATGATTTACTAGCACTGCTACTGTAACCCATTCAAGTTACTATTTCATCATCGAGTTCTAGTCGAGTCGATCGATCGGACTTTGTCTAGAACTTCAACTTCAGAGTGTGGGTCTCCATTATTCCTCTACCTGCAGCTGTTATTACATAGGTGAAGTCATTGGACGGCATTGATTGGCACGAGATTTGTTTTGGTCATGAATTGAAATCATATTCTTACCTGAGCCTAGTCACTTGAACCTTGGGCTCCTCTTCCCAATACTCCAGCTGATTTATCGAACATTGATGTGCTAGTATACAATCATGAATGATGTGCATTGAAAACCTGAAAATAATTCGCCCGGTGCACGATAAAGTCAAATCGTGGCACATGGGCATGATGATCCATTGATCCGAGTCCGAGCCCACTGCACCCCTGGATATCAAAAACCTGAAACCTCAAATCAACTTGAGGCCTGAGCCTGAGCAACCGATAGTCCCGAGAAAAATTAAAGTATATCCACGTTGCACAACAGCACCTGGGCTTGTCTGGATTCCCCGGATCTCCGTCATTGCATCTAATTTGAAATACTACGGAAACTCTACCTCAAGTGCTCGGGCTTCAACTGATCGTGGGGCGAACCGCGAACTATTGATCTGCACGGGTCGGGCCCTCCCCCGGGGAGGACATCGGAAGGGGGGTTAGAGCTCAACTCATTGGAATTGATTTTATCCAGGGCTCTGAAGATAGTGATTTGTATTTGTAGCCTTGTTTGTACATAGGAATGATGCATGCGAGGGCGGATTGGGGAGGAAGGGGATCTAACCACTAGCCCTGACCCCTGGACAATGAACTTGTTCCTAGTGGATCCCCTACATCTGCAATAATTAGAATAAGAATAAATGGAATCATTGCGTAGATCACTGTTTTGGTGTGTAGATTAACGTTTATTGGAATGCTTCACTCCGGTTATCTTGAGTTGATATCTGTAAACTACTAGTATAATAAGCAAATAATATGAACATTGGAGTCAAAAAAAAGGAAAGAAAACCCTTCAAATGTTGGAGAGGGGTATTCAACTTGAATCAGGTAATGCATGGGGTTAACCCGATGACGAAAACAAGGAATAATGATAACTCTGTGAGTCTAATCCCAATAGCTTCTTTTCAATTGACGTTGATCGCATGCATATAATGTATTCCCGAGTTATATCCGTGCTTAATTGGTCCAAACGTGTACTCCTTTCGGGATTTGACTCGGACTCTGGCTTTCAATTGAGTGCATATCTGTGTGTACCTGTGGGGATGATGATCGTTGCTGTCTTGGGCTTGGGTTGTAGTTTGATCTACGCAGGGGCCATGCGAATCACTGGAGTGGAGAGTGGAGATGCAGTCACGTTCGGCAACTGGGTTGCAATGGCCCCCAGGTGGAGGCCACGGGTGTCTCCAGGACCCAGGTGGGCATGGTGGGCATGGTGGGCATGGTGGGCCCAAGGTTGCAGTTGAGGTGTTTCATGGGTAGCCTGAATTCTTGCTGTTACGCTTAGTAGTTGAAGGTTTGTGCTAGTTTCAGGCTCCAAAGATTGTGCGGACATTCCGAGGGGAATAAGAGTAGTCCTGGAGGGTTTCAATAGCCCAGGATTGAACTGGCTACGAGCGGTGCATCTAGTCTGGTGTCTAGGTACTAGTCGATAATCACGGTTGTATTTTCCGACTATAGCATCACCCAATGATAGTAACATTCATAGTCTATGAGCCGCATTATTGCTTCTTTACTATTGGTTACATGGAAGATACTTGCGACCGGTGATTTTGAATACTTTGGAACATTGATAGTTTGAATATTGAATAGTTGTATGTCATTGTGTATATACATTCTCGATAAAGTACTCGCCCCTGTGCGAGATCAAATAACCCGAAGACCCTGTTGCCCTTGCAAACGCCTTGCTAACATATCGCTGATCAAATGGAAATCGTAGACAAAGGAAAATGCAATCAGACCAGGCCCATAGCGTGGATGACAATAAATCAAAGAAGAAGATAGCTCTGGAGTTGAGACTTGAGGCCAATCGGCAAAGAACGGATTAAATCGAATGGTTGAAAACATGCAAAGAAAAGAAGAGAAGTTCAAGTTGGAGAGAGCGTGGTCGTTATGTGGTAGATTCTGAGCGTCTTCGATATTTTAAATCGTCCCGGCTGAGAAGTCGACGCAGTTTCGATACAAAGCGACAGGGTAGGTCTGCAGGTGAACCGTTAGAATCAGGATTACAGCTGGGATGGTTATGCAGGGACATACCGTTTGTTCGTCGTGGAGAGAGTGGTTCCTCAATGGGTTGTGAAGGATAGGCGACAGCCCAGTAGTCTGTGTTGCGATAACCAGTAAAGGTGCTATTGTAATGCATAGCTGCAACATGTGGGTAGAGTGTTGCTAATGGAGAAAGCAGCTCATCTGGAGGTGGTGGGGTGCGTCTGCTGTCGATGCTTTCGCATTTCTAAGAGATGTTAGTAGAGTGAAGTTGAGATGGGAGCGGGGATCACATACGTAGAGATCGTAGTTTGTCTTGTACATTGTGAAGTATGTGTGAAATGACAGTCTTTTCTTGTTGAAGTTGAATGTTGAAGGTCTCAGGTGTCGAGATGGTTGTTATATGTATGTTCCTGGGGAAATCTGCATTTAAAACGAGTCAGGCCTCAGCCTCAGAGCGGGGAGTCTGATTTGCATCTACACTAAAACACAATTGGGGTTAGTTGGCGCGAGATGACCAGGAAGTCGGAAATTCCAAAGTAAACGATCGTTGATCATTGGGTAAGATGCAGCGCTCAGGACCCTCCAGAAGAGTCAGCCTCCGATCTACTACGGAGTGACCGATCTAAAATACGAGAATTAACACTACATTTCTTGGTATTCTGACATTTCTAATCATATTTCTGATATTTTTAAATTCTTTATCTACTTCAAGTTGGTCATTCTCATCTCTTTTCTCTATTCTGCACAGTAGACTTCCATTCCACCTGGCCTCGTTCTTCCCCTTGCATATATTCACTTGCATCCACGTTTCTGATTCTGATTTAATTCTGATTTGAAGTACTGAGTACCAAATCCTACGTAATAATTCAAATGTTACAATCCTAGTCAGGTAGCAAAAAAAAATAGTCTTGGGTATAGACAGGGATCAAGTCGATCAATGGGGAGATCAAAGTTTGGGGGCGATCGGCCGAATGCACCCGTAGAGAATTTGAAATACTAAAGATCTTTTTTATTTTTATTTTTATTTTTATCTTTATCTTTATTATCTTTTGATTTTATTTAATCTATCCTATTCAGGTGGGGCTTGGAATGTGGTATAGGTCATTGATTGCGACGCTTCATTTACTTCAACTTACATGGTAGGTTGACCTCGGTAACTTCAGTCCAGAGATATCATGAAACCTCCAGGGCTACAGATGGTGATTCAGATCAATGATGATGATATGACGATATATTATCACGCGCCATCTTCCAAATCATCAAAATCATGAAAAAAAAAATCCCATAGTCTGGATCTCATCCGCACTATTGACACGCTAACTCATCCCCGATCTGAGCCGTGCGCATGGTTGGAGGCCTTAGCGCCAATCTCTTTGTCGGACTCCACCGAACTCTTCCAACACACACTCTTTTCATCCATCACAGCCACACTTTCTACTAGGATTATCCCTTGCTATTTAGGGATAAGCGCACGAGCCACAAGCTCGGTCTCTCCGTGGCTGGTGCAACCTGTGGCTCAAGCTACTCCTGTGGCTTGAACTCATTTGTCGCCTTACTCGATAGCTTCTCATGCCTGATCCACTCCGGTCCGTCAAGCCCGAACTAGTCCGCCCTTGATCTTCAAATGTGATCGTTTTTGGCATCACACCGACCCAGGGCCTCGGTCTGTCCGTGCTGGGTCGATGGGGTCAGAACTATAAGGATGGGCCCATTCGCCCGGATGCTTGTTCATATCTTTACTAAATACTCCAATCTTCAATCCAATCTTCAATCCAATCTTCAATCCAATCTTCAATCCAATCTTCAATCCAATCTTCAATCCAATCTTCAATCCAATCTTCACTGAGATCCTAAACTTCAAGTTCTAAATTCCCTTCTCTTTGGATCTGGATTTGATACTTCAAGTCCCCCTCTCTCTTCTTCACTTGGGTTTCAACCCACATATGTCGACAAACGATCATGTCACTCGAAATGCAGGGCTCAGGAAGAGAGTGTTGGGAAAACTCTCATATGGATCTGTGCGATCCTTACTCTCGCGAGTATCTCGCTCAAAGTATGTTCATTAAAAATCCCTTTGCATTCTCTTTTTCCCTTTTATTCACCTTTACTCCGTTCTAAGACGTCTCCCCTTCAATCCAGGATCTGTCGAGCGAGAGACTGAACGCACCGACAGGCGCGCACTGTATCCCGCTGACCAGGGAATCATCTACACAGAAGCACAACCCAGTTTAAGCGAAAGCGAGTTTGGTCGTGTAGATCCTACTGGCTGGTATCCACACTACAAGGATTGTGTACAATACTTTGTTGATCGCAGTCAACATACGTCTCCAGTTCAATCCGTGGCTGCTTTTATCAATATCCGTCTACCATGCCAGTCTCCTCCGGCTCCGAGTCCAGAGTCTACGCAACCCAGTTCTTATGTTTCTCTTCGACCTTATGTTCGACGTCTGATTGTTACTGCTCAAGATTCACCCGCTACCATGCGTGCTTTCTTTGGTGAGAATTGGGAAGCTGGTGTGGGGTGTATCTACAAGCAAGAGCGCATCAATTACCTCTTTACTGCAAAGAGTAGTGGATGGGCTGATACCAAAATTGCCTATGACATGTTACCGGATGAGCAGACACCTTTCTTACGCCCACTTCGGGACCCATCTGAAGAGGAGATTCGGGCAGCAGAGGCTAGATGGAGTGAATGGCTTGCGATGGAGGATTGGATGGTGGGGGCCCGGAGCCCCTGGTGAAAAAGGGGGTTACAGTTTACCCATTGATGAGACATGACCCATTGTTTTCTTTTTTTTTCTTTAATTTCTTTTGTTATGGTTTTTATTATTATTCTCCTTTGTCTGGATGTTAATTGAATCCACGAGGTACACAAAAAAAAACAAGATGTTACCTCGTGTCGAGAGACGGCGTTGAATATTTCAAGCGTTTTAGGACTCATCAATTCGTTCAAAATCAAGGTTCTTCAAAGAAAATATCAAAAAATATCAAAGTCAAACAAATGAACGAATCGAATATTCGATCACTGAAATCAAACTAATGGTTCTTAGCCAAATGATCGCCCTTAAACCCGCACCCCAATGTAAAGGTGACAGTGATCTACTACATAGTTCAGCCTGTCAAAATCAATAGCGGCGCACCGCCACAGGCACAGACCAGTGTGACCGTGACAAATACTTCAGTGAAATGGATTTTTATTTTATTTTATATTATTTTTTGTCTGATCCTTTAGCACGTCAGATTTAATTTAGTTTTAATCTAGAAGCTAAGAAACTTACCTACTATGGTTTAGTTGGGATTTTCGGGGATACCTAGTCCATATGTATTATCTCTCTCCACTTACCATGACTCACGCGCGGGAGAGACATGTCAACCTGTCAATTTCCACCACCTTGGGAATCCTGGTCAATAGTCCAACTTCTTCAAGTTTTCCAAGGTTTCCGATCGTCAGGGTCAGGGTCTTAGCAAGGAACAAGAGTCAAAAAAAAGTGATATATCACACATCACAGTACACCCATATCCAGGTTCTCGGGAACTCCTTAAAAAAATATTCAGTCCAAATCCCAATCACCACCAATATTGGAAAATAGTATCATCATGGTTCAAATCTATGAACATGATGATCAGGCCGAAAGCCTTTTCCCAATTCTATCATCGCATCTCCCTTATTCAATCTCTTTACTTCGTCGAATTCAACATGGAATCGCTCACCCTGCATCCACCGCCAAGATCCTAGCCACTTTCCCGCCTTCAGCTCCTATTCCTGAAACTCCATGGCTGGCTGCGCGAGTGGATCTATTCCGTGGTCGTGAGACCCAGATCATCCTGTACTCCAGCCTTGAAGCGGAGCACACGTCAATCCAGCCGATCGGCCCTCCCGCAAGTGACGCACCTTTGACCGGCGGGCCCGATCCCTGTTCATCCAGTTCCACTCCTTCGGATTCCACTAGCGATGATGACAAGAAAACTTACTCGGTAGCTACCCTGACAGCTAGCCCTGAGCAACTTAGTTTGGCCCGTGATCAACTATTGGCTTTACTCGTCTACACAAAGACTAATCTACTCCCTGAGTATTTGGACTCTTTGCCAAATCGAGGAGAAAAGATTGAATCTGAAGCCAAGACTGAATCTAGTGGTGTCCCGCTGATCCCGGCTCCTGATCCTAAGGCTTTTCTCATCGGTACTATGCATACGGGTCTGTATACGCTACTTCTACGCGATGGTGTTTTTCCCGTGCCTAGTGAAAATGAAAATGAGGATGCGTCGATCTTATTACCGGGATTAAAGGTTCATCGTTTCGATAACCCGCCTTATTTTAAAATTTTCTTTCCAAGACAGACTTTCACTGTTAAGGATGGTGATAGTGAGATTCCATTACCGGAGGGATATCGATTCCATGATCGACAGGGTAGGATTGGGGTTCTGGATTCGCATCTGGATCTTGTACAGAGTCGCACGCATATCCCTCGATCTAGGGCTCAGTTATCTATTATGCCTGGTGTGGCGATTTATCATGATGATCCTGAAAAGGAGAATACTAAGACTGGGGATGAAATGCCCATTGCTTGGGCTTTCCTTGGTCTCGATGGACCTGTAGCCACGCTACATGTTGAACCTGAGCATCGAGGTCGGGGCTTGGCGCTTTCTTTGACGAAGGAGACTATGCGTCGTGGTATGGACCCGAATGGGGTTTTTGGGATTGAGAGGTTGGGCTTTGCGGATGAGAAACTTGGTGAGGAATTGGGTTCTTGGGTGCATACTGAGGTAGCGCAGTATAATAAGGCTAGTCGGAGGGTTATGCAGAAGGTTGGAGGTGAGATTTTGACTACTGTTATGTGGACTGTGGTTGAGTTGTTGTGATCCTGTCCACCTGGACGAGATGAGATAGATGAGGATAGTACATACACATAGACACATACATGGAATAGATGAACACGGAGAACTGCCAGTGCTTACCATGCTTCAAATTCTACTTAGATTTACAAATTGATTGAACTTAAATATGACTTTCACGTCATACCTTGGAATTGTAGTCTGAACGATGTACTGTACCAATGTATGTACCACCACGACGACTCGTCGGAGGTCAAGGCCTACTCAAGTGCTATCAAGTGCTAGTAGCATTGAGGTATTTAAGAAAAGAATATTCAATTTGTTAAAGAGCTCAGAATGAGAGTCGACATCTTTGACTCCAGGGCTTTTTTGAGATCAATAGATCGTGACCTGACATCAATTGGTCTGAATATGTATATTGTGAGTACCTCATTACCGCTCTCCTGATTCGTTCATACAAATAACTTAAAGCTGTCTAAATACAGCAATGTAGTTTCTCTATAAGGTCAATTGGCTACTATAATCCTTTACTGACCACTGAGATTAATAGACAAGTGTACTTTTCCTATTAATTTCTCTCATTTTATGAAGACTTGAACATTGACTCATTGCATTCCCCCACTGTCGATCCCCCAAAGCGGCTTAGCGTTCCGATGATCGGATGAGCCACAGATGGTGAACTCGCCCTTTCTCTTACTCTTTATCACACCACCAATTGATCCCTCTCAAAAAACACATTCCAAGCATCAAAATGAGCAACACTAAGGGAGTCGCTGAGAACATGCTCTGGGGAGGTCGTTTCACCCGTAAGGATCCCCCCCCCCCCTCAACTCTTCCCATACCATCCATCCACCCCGCCAATCCAAGCACTGAGTCACACTAACCAAAAAAATAATTCAGAGGGCCTCGACCCCCTGATGGTGCAGTACAATGAGTCCCTCCCCTACGACCGTATCATGTGGAAGCAGGATATCGCCGGCTCAATCGCCTTCGCCCGCGCCAACACCAAGAACGGAATCCTGACAGCCCACGAGTTCTCCGAAATCGAGCGCGGCTTCGTCCAGATCGCCAAGGAATGGGAGACAAACACCTTCGTCGTTAAGCCCAACGACGAGGATATCCACACTGCCAATGAGCGTCGTCTCGGTGAGATCATCGGCAAGGAAATCGGTGGTAAGCTGCACACCGGTCGTTCGCGCAATGAGCAGGTCGCCACGGATATGCGCTTGTGGTTGCGCGATGAGCTCCGTAAGCTGGATGCCCAGCTTGCTGATCTGGTTAAGGTTTCCATTTCTCGTGCTGAACAGGAAATCGATTACCTCATGCCGGGTTACACTCACCTCCAGAAGGCTCAGCCTGTTCGTTGGGCTCACTGGATGCTCTCCCACGCTACTGCTTTTGCTAGTGAGCTTCAGCGTCTTCGTGAGGTTATCCGTCGTGTTAACCGTAGCCCTCTTGGTTGTGGTGCTCTCGCTGGTAACTCTTTCCGTATTGATCGTGAGATGATGGCTAAGGAGCTTGGCTTCGATGATATCTTGTACAACTCTATGAACACCGTCGGTGATCGTGACTTTGCTATGGAGACTATGCAGTGGGGTAGCTCTTTCATGCTGAAGATCTCTCGCTGGGCTGAGGATTTGATTATTTACAGTAGTTTGGAGTTTGGTTTCGTGCGCTTGTCTGATGCGTACTCTACTGGTTCTTCGCTGATGCCTCAGAAGAAGAACGCAGGTACGTAATGAGTCTATCTTTTGTTTTTGTAATATTGATTTAAATGCTAACTATTTATGTCCAGACTCCCTCGAGCTTCTGCGTGGAAAGTCCGGTCGTGCTTTCGGTCAGATGGCCGGTCTGATGATGACTATCAAGGGTCTTCCTACTACCTACAACAAGGATCTGCAGGAGAGTATCGAGCCCCTGCTCGACCACATCAAGACCGTCAGCGACAGTATCCTCATCGCTACTGGTGTTCTGTCCACTCTGTCCGTCAACCCAGAGAAGATGGTCGCTGCTCTGGCCCCCGAGATGCTGGCCACCGAGATCGCCGACTACCTCGTCCGCAAGGGCGTTCCTTTCCGTGAGGGTCACCACATCTCCGGCCGTGTCGTCCAACTGGCTGAGAGCACCAATGTCCCCATGGATACTCTGTCACTGGCACAGCTGCAGGGTATTGATTCCCGCTTTGGCGCTGATGTCCAGGAATGTCTGGACTACGAGCGTGCTGTGGAGATGAAGGATGCTATTGGTGGTACCAGCAAGCGGGCTGTTATTGAGCAGACTGCTGTTCTGCGCAAGTTGCTGTAAATCAGTCTACGGGGGAGGGGAGGGAGTTTTATGCATATAGTATACCATGAAAAATACTAGCGGTTTAGTTTCGGGTTATTTCGGTTAGACAAAATGAGATATGATTTCTGATTCAGTTAATTTCTTACCTGTAATCTTTACCTAGGTAGGATAGAGAATCTAGAACTTAGCGTTATACATGGAGGGAAGGGAAATATACTAGTTAAACTTGGAATCTCGAGATCAATCAAATCTTGGAATTTTCATAGTTCAATCAATAAATCACATCAAGAACTGAATCAACAACAAATGAAAATTAAGTCTTAGCACCTGATATGAACAAAACTTGAAGAACTTCAACGAAATTTCAAACTCAAGGAAATCCTCTTCTCCCACTCATAGTCATAGTCCTAGACGGGGACTTGAAATCCCTATCAGCAACACTGTCAATCCCTCCAGCTTCATAAACCGGTAAACCCTCAGCATTAGGTGAAAGCGGCGAATCCATATTCAAGAAAGTCCCTTCATGGGAGCTTTCGTTCTTTTTCGGTGTACATGGATCCTCGTTCTCAGAACAAATAGACTCCTCGAAATTCATAAAGCTCATAATATGTTCCTGAGGAGGTGAAGCAGGCTTTGGTCTTTGCTTCGGGCTCTCCTTTGCAGGAGTTTTCGGAAGACTCTTCTTTTCATTCTGACTTTCAGTAGATCCCTTCTTCGGTGAAGAGGAAAAATAGTGATCCAAATTCGCACCAAGAACAACTCCATCATTCGTAATAAGCTGTCTAGCTGTACTCCGTGCTAGGAGAGGAGGACTCATACTCATAACGGGTCCTGAATCATCATTCGTCATTCGAGAAACAGGACTACGTATCTGATCCACAGAACCTGATGTATCTGGGAACCCAGTAGATAGTAAAGGAGATACCCACGGTGATTCGGGTTTCTGATCCTTGTCACGCTGTGGTTCGGGGTGGATGCGTTGATCGAGGGGGATGTTTATCAGTTCTCGTTGGGAGTATGAGGCTAGTTCGACACGTTGGCGGTTTAGGCCTGTATCTGGTAACTCGGGTGTTGGTTTTTGGGTTCGAGGTGGGAGTAGTGTTGGTGTTGGGAGTGGAGACGTGAGTGTTGTACTTGTTGCTACTTTTGTGTTTGTGCTTAGACTGGTTTTGGAGCTGTTGTGTGGTGCTAGAAGCTTGGATAATGTGGTTGGCTCGGATGAGGATAGGTGACTTGCTTCTCGGTCGAATAATGGACGTGGTAAACCTGAGATATTAGTAATGGATGGGATTGATAGCAGTTGGAAATGCTTACAGCGATAGTCTATTGGGGATCTGGAGTAGAAGGCGCTGGTTGTTGGATCTGAGCCGCTATAGCCGATGTAGTGCGTGTCTGTGGCAGAGATGGGCTTGGGCTTGAAGCCGAGATCGTAGGATTCTTTGGCTGATCGCCTGCGTCTTCGGATGCAGAAGATGATGACGACAATAACAAGAAGACCTGCTATGCTTCCGATTATCCCGCCGATTATTGCTCCATGATTGCTTGAGTTGGTAGATTTATGGACGGATGTGTTTGTGGATGTGGCTGATGTGGCCGTAGTTGACTGATGTAAATAAGTTATCTGCACGATGCTCGTAGTAGAGGATGTCGAGGTGCTAGATGTTGTTGTATGGAATGTGGTGAGACTTGAGGACGTCGAGGTGGTAGTGGTACTGTCACTGGTGGTCTTGGTTGTATCGGTCTTAGTTGTGTCAGACTTGGTTGTGTCAGTCTTAGTCGTCTTAGTCGATGTGGTCTTGGTGGTTTTTGTTTCTGTAGAGGTGGTTGCAGTATCATCATCTGGACACGAGCCAGTTGTACATGGGTTGCTTGAGCAACATCCACTGTAGTCGCCAGCACTACATGAATACCATAGCTTGTCACCTGTACAGGTCTCATCCTCCCTCGGAGCTAGGAAATCCATTGTAGAATTCATTTGATAGACGCGGTAGTTGGAATTAACGAAAGTAAACAGGAAACCAGTCTGAGTGTGCGTAAAATCTAGCGGTGGTTGAGAGGGAAAAAGAGTAAGGACAGAAGATGAGAGTAATGATCAAACCACCTCTCCAGGTCATGACATTGATGCCATAGATAGATCATTTGAGCCGCATCTCTGAGAATTTGAACATAAAAGACTCGAAAGTGGCAAGCGGGGGAATTTCCTAAACGATATATGTCCACGAGTATTGTCTTTGTTCTCGTTGACTCTATTAAGGTCTCGATTCATTTATAGACCCTGTCGACAATAACAAAGCAGCAACTTCGACTTCTCCTTGTCAAATGAGCCGGAGCATTGTCCAGGACTGGCAGGCAAGCCGTTAAAGGTCATTGATATATTCGGGAAAACTATCTGCTACGGTCACATTCCGATTCCAGCACAAAGAGAACAATACAATGCGCATCGGTGAGATGACGAGGCTCAGACTTCTTTGTCTGGCTCCTTGAAATAAGACGAAACATCCATCCCTCATCGAGGGATTTCTCTGAGCCTCAAATCTACAAATGTGAGATCAAATCAAGATCTCAAAATAAGTATACTGACAATGAATCAGATTGAAAAAAAAGAAATCCAGTTGATATCAGACAAACTGAGGAAAAAGTACTCAGTACACCGACTTTCGCCTGTAAGTTAAAAGGAAATAGGAAATATGGCTATACAGGGTGGTAAAATAACACAGTCAAAAAAATAATAAGAAGCATGCTCTTTTCATGGTTTCCGTCGATACCCCTTCTTTTATCCTGAAACCAAATGTCACCATGCATCTGGAATCAAGGCGTGGTATCTTCTTTCAACTCCAAGGTAGGGACAAAGCGTTTAGTAGGTACGCTTGAAGGGAGGAACGGGCTTGCACTCAGCCTCGTCCAGGGTGTTAGCCTCAACGGCACGGTAGCTCAGGTCAACCTTGCCGTGGGCCTTCTTCTGCCAGGTGACGGTGTGCTTCATCCAGTTGACGTCGTCACGCTCGGGGTAATCCTCACGGGCGTGAGCACCACGAGACTCCTTACGGTTAGCGGCGGCGGTGGCGGTTTGGGTACTATAGAAAAATAGCAAGTTAGCAAAAAGAAACTCAACTGACAAGGGAAACTTCTGTTAAAACACAGGGTTGTCAGGGTATACATACGCGCAAGTCAACAGGTTGCGGAGCTCAAGGGTCTCAACCAAGTCGGAGTTCCAGATCATGCTGCGGTCCTTGGTACCGACCTGGTCGTACCAGGTGTCGATCTCGTTGACCTTCTGGACACCCTCGTCAAGGGACTCCTGGGTACGGAACACAGAGACATCAGTCTGCATGGCCTTCTGCATAGCGGAACGGATCTCGTTGGTGGACTTAGGACCATCGGCGTTACGGGCGAAGTCGAGGTCCTGGATGGACTGAGCACCAGCGTCGGAAGCCAGCTCCTTGTGGGGCTTGCCAGGGGCGGCAATGTCACGGACACGGTGAGAAACAGCACGACCGAAGACAATCAGATCGAGCAGGGAGTTGGCACCGAGACGGTTAGCACCGTGGACAGACACACAGGCGGCCTCACCACAAGCGTACAGACCAGGAACAACCTTGTCGTTACCGTTCTCATCAACATCAAGAACCTCACCAGTGTACTTGGTGGGGATACCACCCATGTTGTAGTGGACGGTGGGCAGGACGGGAATGGGCTGCTTGGTGACATCGACACCAGCGAAAATGGAGGCGGTCTCGGAAATACCGGGCAGACGCTCGTGGAGAAGCTCAGCGGGCAAGTGGCTCAGCTGGAGGTAGATGTGGTCCTTCTCGGGACCAACACCACGGCCCTCACGGATCTCCAGGGTCATGGAACGGGAGACAACGTCACGGGAAGCCAGATCCTTGGCGGTAGGAGCGTAACGCTCCATGAAACGCTCACCCTCGGAGTTGAGGAGGTAACCACCCTCACCACGAGAACCCTCAGTGATCAGACAACCGGCACCGTAGATACCAGTGGGGTGGAACTGGACGAACTCCAGATCCTGGTTAGGCAGACCAGCACGGGCAACCATGGCCATACCGTCACCAGTGCAAGTGTGGGCAGAAGTGCAGGAGAAGTAGGCACGTCCGTATCCACCGGTGGCCAGAACAGTGTGGTGGGCCTTGAAACGGTGCAGGGTACCGTCCTCCTGGTTGTAGGCAATGATACCGCGGCACTCACCATCCTCCATCAGGAGATCGAGGGCAAAGTACTCGATGAAGTAGTTGGTGTTGTGGCGCAGAGACTGGCCGTAGAGGGTGTGGAGCAGAGCGTGACCGGTACGATCAGCAGCAGCAGCACAACGGTAAGCCTGACCACCCTTACCGAAATCCTTGGACTGACCACCGAAAGCACGCTGGTAGATACGGCCATCCTCAGTACGGGAGAAGGGGCAACCGTAACCCTCGAGCTCACGGACGGAGGCAGGAGCCTCACGGGTCATGTAGTGAATAGCATCCTGGTCACCGAGCCAATCGGAACCCTTAACGGTATCGTACATGTGCCATCTCCAGTCATCCTCGTGCATGCTAAAGACTTGTTAGTTTGCTGATCGAATACTCTTCCCAGATCCCATATCAAGATCCTTTTTAGGGCAAGATAAAAAGAAAACCTACTTTCCAAGAGCAGCGTTGATACCACCCTGGGCAGCGACAGTGTGAGAACGGGTAGGGAAAAGCTTGGAAACACAGGCAGTGTTGAAACCAGCCTCAGCCAGACCGAAGGCAGCGCGCAGACCGGCACCACCAGCACCGACAACGACGGCATCGTACTCGTGATCCTATTGCTAGTCAGAATCTCCTTTTTCACGATCAAACACATTTCCGCAGCAGCATTGGCTTACAATCACGGGGTACTTCTCAGAGATGTAGCCATTGGCGGCCTTGGCGCGAAGAGGGTTGTTGCCAGTCCAGATACGGGCTATGAATGATGGTGATCAGTTGGTCATGACGAGGTGACGTGGTAACGAGCGGAAAGGATCTCAATGCATACCAGCAGCGCGGGATGAGGAGAAAAGACGTCTCTGGTCTCGCAAGACACGGGAAACCTATAATTTCATCATAACTCTCGGTCAGTTGAACCGTCGCACCCGGGCCGAAAATCATCGCAAGTCGGCTACTCACCTTGGAGGCAGGAGCCAAGCTCCGCAAGCTTATGGAGCTCATTATGACGGGTCCGAAGAGGTTTAAACCCTTGAACACCCGAAAGAAGAATACAACACCGGTTTCACGGTGGGGATTGAAGATTGGTAGAGGGGAGAGGTGGAAGAACTTCCTTTCAGAGAAGGGCAACTTCGGCGATGGAATTCGGCTTGCAGATGGCAGTTCGTGCTGACCTAATCTCCAGCTTTTTACAATTGAACGAGGTATGATTGGTTAACTCGGGTCCTGCTCATTTTCGTGCGTCGTGACTTGCCTCGGGCATCCCGGATGTCACGTGAGTTTCATTTTCGTAGAGCTTTAGTTTGGTCTGATGGGGTTTTGTTTCCTTTGAAAATCCAATTGGGAGTAAACTACGACTATGACTATACCTGAGCTTGTATATTTCAGTCTTATCTTCAATTGATCATATTGAATTGTTCAATCCTCAAGCAACCCTTTTACCCGATCTACGGTATCTCCCTTTCCCCGGATATACGATCATCCCATGTTTCCCCGGAACCATGTTTCTCCATCTCCGGAGACCCCAGCATCTTTATTGGTCCCCATGTTACCTAGGATTCAGATCTAAACAATCTACAAACTACAGAAAAATACATAGATGAAAGTATGGTCAATTATAAATTCATCCACTGTTGAAGGTTTAACCTCTTTAAAACAACATGCGAAGAAGGGAAAACATAAAGTAGAATGATCGTACAACCTCATGCACCATGCCCATGCCAGAACCAGCCCAGATCTCTAGTTGTACTGCATGTACGTGGCTGTTGAGTTGAACTTCAAGTTACCCTTGATAACCTTCTCTACCGATGCCAGGAAATCCTTCTCGGTCGCAACCTTTCGTCGAGCACGGATTGCGAACATACCAGCCTCAGTAGCAACACTGCGCAGCTCAGCACCGGTTGCGTTGGGGCATAGTCGGGAAATCAGCTCCCATCGAATATCCCGCTCAACAGACATGCTCTTGGCGTGAATACGCAGAATATTGGCACGTCCCTCAACATCGGGAAGAGAGAATTCGATCTTACGATCAATACGACCAGGTCGCATCAGCGCAGGATCCAAGGTTGATGGCCGGTTAGTAGCGAACATGACCTTGATGTTACCACGGGCATCGAAACCGTCCAGTTGTGTAATCAGTTCCAGCATAGTTCGCTGAACTTCATTGTCACCACCGGCACCATCATCAAAACGAGCTCCACCGACAGCATCAATTTCATCGAAGAAAATGATACAGGCCTTCTTGGTGCGAGCCATCTCAAACAGTTCTCGAACCATACGAGCACCTTCACCAACATACTTCTGCACCAACTCACTTCCAATAACACGAATGAAAGTGGCATCGGTTCGGTTGGCCACAGCACGGGCACAAAGAGTTTTACCAGTACCGGGGGGGACCGTATAGCAAGGCACCCTTGGGTGGGTCAATACCCAAGTTCACGAAACGCTCTGGTGATAACAAAGGCATTTCCACAACTTCTCGTAGCTTCTCAATTTGCTCCTTGCAACCACCGACATCACCGTAGGTCACATCAGGCTTATCCTCGACTGTCATCATCGTCACACTAGGATCGATCTTGGGAGGAAGAGGGAGCATAATCTGGTACTTATTCCGGTCGACACTATTATTTCATCAGTACGTCCATTCCGGGTAGTGAGACTTAAAGAAAACCTACCCGACTCGCATGCCCTCTTCAATATCTGTCGGACTCACGCGCTCTCCTAGGTTGACAACGAATTTGGCGATCTGCTTGACGTTGATGACATATTTGCTCTTGTCTGAGTCCTTCTCATCTGAAATAATCTTCGTACAGCGAGCTACTTGAAGTGGCTGCTCCTCGGCCATCCGTTGTCGATCAGCAGCAACATCCCAGAGATGTGGAGGTGCAAGACCAGTGTCGGATTCCTGGGGTAGGTATAAGCTTGAGCCGCGTTCAAAGGGATCAAAATAGCTGAATGTATAATCACCTTCACACCAATCTTCTCGTTGACGCTTGCTTGTTTATCCTTGATATCCTTCTCGAGCTTCTTGAGCGCGTTTGCGTAGGGGGCAGCGCCGTAGGTCTTGAGTACCGCGATATCACTAGGACGACGTCAGCGGATCCATCACTGAGCGATCGAGACACAAAAAGCTTTGGCGATCCCGGGACCAGTGTAACTTACTCATCTGTCAGGGGTGTGATCTTCTTCTCTGGCTCCTCATCGTCCGCGAAGTTCTTCTGGTACTTCTCCCAGTTCTGTCCCGTGGCGCTAGGCATACTGAAAGGTGTTGACAGCCCCGGGCTGAGGACCAAGGATTGAGAGAAGGGACAAGAAAAAGGGATGTAAGATTAGAATTCTGAAAAAAACCAGTTGAAGAATACTGGAATGGCAAAGATTCGAGGTGGATGGTTGTAATGGGATGGTGATGGTGATGTAGCAGAGAGCTGCGGTGCCCGAGCTCTCAACTCACTAATCAGTGCCAAGCTTCATCACCGCCCCAGAACCTCGCAGAATTTCTGTGTGTTCACTCCACCACCGCCGATTCCACTTCCCCTTTTTGGACTTTTTACATCGGTTGCTTTTGAATAATAACATTCAAGATGGCGACCGCAGTGGCTCAGGGATCATCTGGCAATGCCGCCTTCAAGGTGCGACCCCTGGACCTTTGTGTGTGATCTAATTTCTGACAGCGAGCAGGACAAGGAGAAGCCTATGGCCGTGCGGGCCTCCAATATTCTTGCAGCTCGGGGTATGTTCTGGATGATCTTCTATTAAACCGGCTTTCATTGCTAATCCCATTCTTCTACTAGCTGTCGCCGATGCTATTCGCACAGTATGCATACCCAGGAAGGAAAAGTAAAACATGGTCATATACGGAGATGAGGGGCTAACATATCGGACAGTCATTGGGACCCAGGGGTATGGACAAGATGGTGAGTCTATCGCGATTCCTTCTGATGGAAGTGTTTCTAATTCAGATCTAGATCCAAACACCCAAGGGACAGACTATTATCGTATGAAACTCGCCCAATTCTTTTCGCCGATCTCCCCGACTAACCCCCCCGCAGACCAACGATGGAAACACCATGTTGAGAGATATGAGCGTTATGCACCCCGCTGCTCGCATGCTGGTCGATCTCAGTGCTGCACAGGATGTTGAGGCCGGTGATGGAACAACCTCTGTTGTTGTTATTGCTGGTAGCTTGCTCGGTGCCGCTGAGCGTCTGCTTTCTAAGGGTATTCACCCCACCGTCATCTCCGAGTCGTTCCAGCGTGCCGCCACTGCCGCTGTCGAGATCCTCCATAACATGTCCCGCCCTATTAACCTGACCGACCGCACCACCCTCCTCCAAGCTGCCTCGACCTCCCTCTCCTCGAAGATTGTTTCCCAGCACTCTGGCCTGCTGGGCCCTATGGCCGTTGACTCCGTGTTGAAGGTCGTGGATCCTAAGACCGCTGAGAACGTCGACCTGCGCAACATTCGGATAGTGAAGAAGGTTGGCGGTACCATTGAGGACAGTGAGATGATTGATGGTCTGGTCTTGAACCAGCCCGTTATCAAGAGCAGCGGTGGTCCCACAAGAATTGAGAAGGCCCGTATCGGTCTTATTCAATTCCAGCTGAGCCCTCCTAAGCCTGATGTATGAATTACAGCTATGAAAAACGTGGGGGGGATTGAATGTCAATGCTAACTGTTTAACCCAGATGGAGAACCAAATTGTTGTGAACGACTACCGCCAGATGGACAAGATTCTGAAGGAGGAGCGTCAATACCTGCTTAACATGGTTAAGAAGATCCAGAAGACCAAGTGTAACGTGCTTTTGATTCAGAAGTCCATCCTCCGTGACGCCGTCAACGACCTGTCCCTCCACTTCCTTTCTCGCCTTAAGATTCTCGCCATCAAGGATATCGAGCGTGACGAGGTTGAGTTCCTGTGCAAGTCTCTTGGCTGCAAGCCCGTCGCCAACGTCGACTCTTTCACCGAGGACAAGCTCGGTACCGCCGATCTCGTCGAGGAGGTTCAGGCCTCCGGTGCCCGCTACGTCAAGGTCACCGGTATCAAATCCCCCGCCGCTACCCCCACCAACCAGACCGTGTCGATTGTCGCCCGCGGTGCCAACAGCCTTATCCTGGATGAAGCCGAGCGCTCTCTGCACGATGCCCTTTGCGTTATCCGTTGTCTCGTTAAGAAGCGTGCCCTGATTGCTGGTGGTGGTGCTCCTGAAGTCGAGGTGGCTCACACTCTTGCCATGCGGGCCCGTGAGCTTACTGGCACAGAGTCTATCTGCTGGAAGGCATTTGCTGATGCTATGGAGGTTATCCCTACCACTCTTGCTGAGAACGCCGGTCTGAACTCGATCAAGGTTGTCACTGAGCTGCGTCACCGTCACGCTCAGGGCCAGCACAATGCTGGTGTCAGCATCCGCAGCGGAGGTGTCAAGGATGATATCACTGAGGAGAACATTTTGCAGCCTCTGCTGGTCAGCACCAGTGCTATTGAGCTGGCCGCTGAGACGGTGAAGATGATCATGAGAATTGATGACATTGCTCTGTCGCGGTAAAAGACTCGCACAGGGATGTATGATGAAATGCGATTGATCGCAACGAGTAATTATCAAAAAAAAAAATTATCGAGTTGGAATAGACTTGGCCTGTGCATCCCCAGTGGAATTATGTAAATCTAGACTCGACCTGTCTTCAAGGATTGATGGATCAAGGATCAAGTGGGTATCTAGTCATACCAGATACCAGGTAGACTCAAGTGCCAGTTAGCACTGCTACTATGTAATATTGCATGGTAGTACTAATGAGTTGCTCCATGTAGAACTTGAAAATGATTAAAATGCTTGAGATGTCCTAGGGTGCTCCTACCAACTAGGATATCTATAATTATCAGCACGAAACTTGAACCACTTGGGCACCCGTGGACGGGACGTTGAAACGTGGAATGCTTGTCGGGCACGTCTGCAAATAAGTCACCTGGGAATGAACAAAGTGGATGCTATTTGGAGACTAGAGTACAGCAAATGCCGACATAAGAACATACCATGTGGGGAGTGATTCCCAGGAATTCTTGGCCCTATGGGTCCTGTAGTAATGGGGTAGTAACAAGTGGTCACCTGTATAGACCCTGCCCACCTGACAGGTGGGCTTATAAGGTCTAATAATTTGACGACTTATTTAGTCCAAGAGTACTACATAGTACCTAGGTAGTTTAATTAAGGCCTACTTGAAGTGAACTATGTATAGTAACTCGGTTTGTTGATCCGGTAGAAACTTGAATACATCTAACTTCGCCACAAATGGCACGATTTCTGCAAATCATGAAAGGTATTGAGATGAAACGAGTTACTTTGATAGATTGATCTCAATCTTAAATGAATCTTTTTTTAGAGTCAACGATGAATGAGGATATAAATTTCCACTTGATTGTTAATAGGAGATACCGAATCGGGTAATCTATTATTCTACCCTAAACCTATTTGGGCGATTCTGCATCAACGTCCAAATTGACCAATATCAACACATATCATAACGCTCAGTCGCCCTCACTGACTATTTCATGAATCTTACTCTGTAAATACTTTGAACGTTTTTTTCACATGGTTTTATTAAATTTTGTATATCTGCCATGGTTGTTTCAGGTTTATAATAATTCATCACTATATAGTCGGGGATTTAGGGAGCCCCATGTTATCCTAATTAGGCTTGGTCAGGGTCTTCCCAAATAGGCAATTTCTAGAAGCATTGTCCCCATTCTATTTACAAGAAGAATCAAATTGATCATCTTTGGATGCGACTTTTAGCCCCTTTCAACTTGAATGTTGGCATCTTCGTCGATCAATAAGTTGACGTCAGCCCAATCAGAACATCTCGTTCCTTTTCTACAGAGTATAGAAATAAACAACTACTGTAGCTTTAATCCTTCTTGAATCCTTCTGCACATTAAATTGCCTTCATCCCGCTAGGGCTTGATCTTCGCCTTCAAGTTAGTGCAAATCATTCAAATCAAGACCAGTTGTCCTTTTTCATATCTACATGCTTCCCCCGAATGCCAGTGTAGATCCTCAACCTTGTGAAAAATCCCCCACTCCAATTTCTTCTAGTGACATAAGTCGCATAACTCACATTTCATCCGTTCTGGCCCCCAAGCCCCGACCTTTTTTATCACGCCTGAAAAGCCCATGAAATCTCCAGATTCACGTCACCTGTAAAACTTCACATTCCACCAACACGATGCCACGACGATGCCACACTAAGTCCAGACGCGGCTGCGTCCAATGTAAAGAGCGCCATGTCAAGGTAAGTCTGATACTACCATTAAACCTGATCCTCTATATGACACGTCCATGTCTAACACTACTTCTAGTGCGACGAATTACAACCAACATGCAGTCTCTGCGTACGACGCGGATTATCATGTATCTATGTTGCGCCCAGACCAAGAAAACGACCCGCTTCCACAGGGAGCTCACCAAGGAACAGCGGATCCGAAAGAGCATCATCTCACTCCAGTGTCTCTGACATAGATACATTCTCTCGACTCCCTCGACTGAAGGAAATGGCCCTGTTCCATCATGCCTGCGAATCAACACTCCCATCTATATCAAGAAATAAAGACGACCGTTCCTTTTGGGTGGATAAAATCCCAAAAGTCGCAGTGAATTATGATTTCGTCATGGATGGTCTGCTCGCAGTAGCAGCCCTTCATATTGCTTCTGAACAACGCGATAATGGTGAAGTCCCCAGCTGGCTGGAGACTGCTTTAACATACCAGACTCATGCGACAATTGGTCTGCGGCAAGATCTTGCGACCAATCCACAGAATATTCAAGCTTCTTTTATTTGTTCATCTATTATTCTGGTGCTTGTCACTGCTTACCCGAGTCTCTGCTGGGATGATACTCCTGTTGATCCTTTAAATGAGATTGAGACACTTAGATCTATTTTGAGTGGAGCGGCTTTTCTATGGGTTCAGATGGTTGGACCGGATCGAGGTTGGGTGGATGATTGGGTATATCGAGATGGAAGTGATCGACTTGTACTGGCCCGAGCACAGTGAGTATCTTTTCTTCTATTTATCATGAGCAATGACTAACAATCATCATAGTGAGGATCCTAGCCTGGTCAAATTACACCAGTAAGCCTCCACATACTACACCCCTTCTTGTCAAATTGATACTAACAGACTCAGAAATATTTTAATGAAATTCCGCACCCTACCTCCTATCATCGAATCCAGTTCTGGTCCACATATCGAAATCTACCGCGATACATATAACCTACTCCTCCGAAGTCTGGAAACATGGCCATCAGGACAAGGTAGTCTGGTATGGCCCATCCGAGTCAGCGACGATTTCATAAACCTAGCTCGACAAGGCGAATGGACAGCCCTGATTTTTATCATGTTCCACGGCCTGGATCGACATCTCTCTTCTCAAAAATGGTTTGCTCGAGATTCAGGCAAACGATTAGTTCTTGGGATTATTCGGAAATTCGGCTCTACTATTCCCTTGGAGTGGATGGATATGATTGAATGGATTGGACGAGTGGTTGAGTTATAAGCCCTGGAGGTTTTTGATTTTCTGATTCTTCGATTTTATTTTGATACCTTCATTCTTTTTATTATGATCATTAATTGGCGTTTTTGTATTGGCTATTATGCCTTGGGGTTGGCTATTTGAGGTTATTTGGTTTGATGTTGACAGGGACTCGACATCTATACGGAGTATACATTGAGCGATTGCAGGTCAACAAATTGAATTCACAATATATGACAACTTGAATGAGCTTGCTACTAGTCGAAGTATTTGATGTGAATTATTATTATAATATTTTATCACAAATCATAATAGTTAATATTGGAACACTATTAGCATAATGGTGAATAACGCCACTCAGTCCCAAAACAGTTGTCAATAAGAGTCAATTGTCTTTGTCTCGGGGTAAATCCCCTCTCCGAACTTAAGGGTTTCCTTTTCCACTTTCACCCTTTCACTATACATTCCCCTTTTCTCATAATTCAAGATCTTTGAATAAACATTTGAAGCTCTTATGTATTTCTACTGTTCAAAATATTGATCAATTCATCCCTTCAGGCATTCTTATCTCTAGAGTGTCTAGGTGGGATCCACACTTCTTCGTCCCTGATAAGAAGAGACCCGCCAGGAACCTCCCCCATCTCCGGAGCCCGAGTACATTAGCTACCATGGGGAAGCTCGACCATGACGGTCAACCCGAATCAGTTCCACTGACACGCCGACGATCCTCATCCTACGCCTCACACACATCCTCCGATTCAGGGCTCTCCGTAGCCTCGGCCGCATTCATGGAAGCACACAAGGGAGAGCTGATGGCCGCGGCCGACGAGAGAGACGACCACAACCAGGCACAACCCTACCGCGATCTAGAAGACGGCGTCGAACCCGGCTCCGATGAGCCTTTCTTACCGTCCCGTACTAAGAAACAAGGCACATCGAGTAATAGCATGCGCCGTGTGCTCTGGTTACTCGGCTTACTCTGCGTCGGTGGCTGGGTACTCGCTTTCGTTCTCTTCCTCGCTCATAAACGACCGAACTCCGCTGCCCTTTCCTCGGTCTCGACGGTTAGCATCCACGATCCGCACTCCGCGACGGGTGGAACTAGCTATGGAAGTCCTGTGACTCTTGAACAGGTGTTGAGGGGTCACTGGATCGCGCAATCGCATGCGATTTCGTGGATTGCCGGTCCAGAGGGTGAAGATGGACTCTTGGTTGAGCGTGGAGAGAGTGGAGAGGGATACCTACGTGTTGAGGATATTCGCAACCGTAATGGAAGCGCGGATAGTCTCGATGCGCGGGTGTTGATGCAGAAGTCTTACTTCAGGGTGGACAATGAGCATGTCACCCCCGCAAAGACGTGGCCGAGTCCCAATATGAAGAAGGTCCTCGTTGCCTCTTCAATTCAGTCTAATTGGAGACACTCGTACTATGGGAAATACTGGATCTTTGATGTGGAGACCCAGACGGCTGAGCCGCTGGATCCTAGTGACTTGAGTGACCGAGTGCAGCTGGCTGCTTGGTCGCCCCAGTCGGATGCTGTGGTCTTTGTTCGGGAGAATAACCTGTACTTGCGCAAGCTTTCCTCTTCCCAGGTTGTTCCTATTACCACAGACGGTGATAAGGATCTTTTCTACGGAGTTCCGGATTGGGTGTACGAGGAGGAGGTCTTCTCAGGCAACTCGGGAACTTGGTGGGATAAAGAAGGCAAGTTCCTGGCTTTCTTGCGAACGGAAGAAGCTGCGGTGCCTGAATATCCTATCCAGTATTACCTGTCCCGTCCCTCAGGCAAACAGCCACTTCCTGGACTCGAGAATTACCCCGAGGTTCGACAGATCAAGTACCCCAAGCCTGGCAGTCCGAATCCCGTGGTGCATTTGCAGTTCTATGATGTCGAGAAAGCAGAGGTCTTCTCAATTACTATGCCGGATGATTTCAAAGACAATAATCGTATCATCATTGAAGTCGTTTGGGCTTCCGATGGAAAGGTTCTTATCCGAGAGACCAACAGAGAGAGTGACGTTGTCAAGATTTTCTTGGTAGACACCAAGGACAGATCTAGCAAACTTGTTCGATCCGAAGACATCGCTGGTCTCGATGGTGGCTGGGTTGAACCTTCGCAGTCCACGCGCTTCATCCCTGCCGACCGTGAGAACGGACGACCGGAGGATGGCTACATTGATACTGTGATCTATGAAGGCTATGACCACCTGGCTTACTTCTCCCCTCTTGATAGCTCGACGCCTGTCATGCTTACCAAGGGAGACTGGGAGGTGGTAGCTGCACCCTCTGCTGTTGATTTGAAGAATAACCTTGTGTATTTTGTTGCAACAAAGGAGGCACCAACTCAGCGCCATGTGTACCAAGTGAAACTTGATGGATCTGATTTGCGTCCATTGACAGATACCTCCAAGCCTGGATACTATCAAATCTCGTTTTCCCATGGCACCGGCTATGCCCTTCTCAGCTCGAAGGGACCCGCCGTCCCTGGCAAGCCATTATCAACACAGAGGGTGACGAGGTTCAATATGAAGCTGTTATCGAGGAGAACACCCGCCTTACCCAGATGGTTGAGCAATACGCCCTCCCCGCCGAGATCTATACCAACGTGACAATCGATGGCTACACCCTTCAAGTCCTAGAGCGTCGACCTCCACACTTCAACCCCGCTAAGAAGTACCCTGTTCTCTTCTATATGTACGCCGGACCCGGCTCCCAGACTGTCGACCGCAAATTTACCGTCGATTTTCAATCATACATTGCTTCCAGCTTGGGATACATTGTCGTGACGGTCGATGGTCGCGGAACAGGATACATCGGGCGAAAAGCACGGTGCATCATCCGTGGTAATCTCGGCCACTATGAAGCACACGACCAGATTGAGGCGGCTAAGATCTATGCGAGCAAGAGCTACGTGGATAAAAGTCGTATGGCGATTTGGGGCTGGAGTTTCGGTGGCTTTATGACATTGAAGGTCCTCGAGCTAGATGCAGGTCAAACATTTCAATACGGAATGGCTGTTGCACCAGTCACAGATTGGAGATTCTATGGTATGTAAACCCCTGCTACTTCGCAAAAACACAATATTAACTTAGGCAGACTCCATCTACACTGAGCGCTATATGCACACACCTCACCATAATCCATCCGGCTACGAGAACGCAACAATCACAGATGTCCAATCCCTCGGTCAGAACGTTCGATTCCTCATCATGCACGGAAACGCAGACGACAACGTACATCTCCAGAATACGCTCACCCTCATCGATAGGCTGGACTTTGGCAATATCGATAACTACGATATGCAAATCTTCCCTGATTCAGATCATAGTATTATTTTCCATAATGCACAGACCATGGTATATGAACGTGAGTAAATCTTGATTCATACTCCAGTGGTGAATTGCATACTAATCATGATTACTTTAGGTCTCTCGAGCTGGCTCATTAATGCGTTCAATGGCGAGTGGCATCGTATCGCGAATCCAAAGCCCGAGGAGGATTCTGTATGGAATAGAGCTAGACGGTCTTTGTCACTTGGCATCCTTTGATCATGATCTTGTTGGTCCATAGTTGGCGTTTTTATTCATTTCATACACATATTTTCCGGGAAACCCTTCAACTTCAAGTTTAGCTTCCAGTTGCTTAAAATGCGAACTTGAGGTCAACTTGAATGCTGGTGTTAGTAGTATGATCATCTCAGGATGCTATACTATCAGTACTACTAGTAATAATGCCTGACTAGTGCTTTAAGTCACGGTTGAAATAAGCTCAAGCCTACGATGAAATGTAGAACAACACAGGTCAGTTAAATAATTGAACAAAATAACACAGAAATTGTATAAAAAATGTACAAGTAGAAATAGACTCGGAAGGAAGATAAAACGCCATGTCCAAGGACAGGAAATTGAGAACCCCGAGTGCTTTCAAGAACTTCCTTGATGGTGTAAAATTTCTTTCCTTCGCACAGATACTTCGGATGTTCCAACCCTCTCAAGTGCTATCCACTCCAAAGCATACCAGAGCGAAGGACATCCTGGCTCATAATCAAACTCACATCCGAGTTCGAATACTGAACCAGATCTTCCCGTCGCAGACCATGTGGCTGCTCCCTCCCGGAAACCGAGAAAGAATTCAACCCAGATTGCACAAGCGTTGTGGACGGTGAACGCCAGAGATGCACCGCTTTGGGAGGAACTGCAATGGCTTCCTGATGAGCCTTGTCCTGGTCCAGTCCTTTCACAGGCTCTGTTGTAGCACCTCCTGGATCACTCATCATCTTGGTAAATTTACCAATCCACAGCATCTGTTCATGCTCACGCAGATACCGCTCGCCGCTAAAAGATCGTTGTACGATCTGGCGCGCTCTCATACCCAAATCACGTCTTTGCTGACTTTTCTCGTACATACGCCGAGTAATCTTGGATACGTCCTCGGGTGTGGGCGATGAAGTGAGAATTGGTGGAGGTTCGCTATCCTCGGCGTACTGACTCCACTCGCCTAGCAACGCGAGCATCGAAATCTGGGCCCTTGCGAGAGATAAGGCGTCGTTCGGAGCAACCACTGCACTGAAGCGGGATAAATCATCTGGATCACTAAGTACTCGTAGAGATGCGCCTACATCGGTACAGACGACTGGGGCACCTGTAAGAGCTGCTTCACCGAGTGCAAGAGGTAGGCCTTCGGAAAGTGAGGAATTGAGGAAAAGCCATGTCCTTTCGAGTACTTTCATGGGATCCGCGGTGCCACGGAGTGTGACTCTACCACGGAGACCTTTGGATGCAATGATCTCTTGACACTCAGTTGAGTAGGTTGGCGCTTTATCAATGGCACCGTAAATTTCCAGATGATAATCATCAAATTTCCACTGATTGATGATGATGTCGGCAGCAAGTAGGGCGGTCTTGATATCCTTGGCATACCACACATGAGACAACATGGTTACTGTCGGGCGCTGGGACTTGATCTTGTCGACAGGAGTGAACTTTTGCATATCTGTGATGCCATTCACGACAGGATCTATTTTACGAAGGAAGGTATTGCGGTGCTCAAGTGTGCCTTGGCAAGTACCAATTTCAGTTTCCCAGCCCGGGTTGAAGAAATCCGCACAGGGCAGAATCACGTCTGCGTGGTGGAGGGATAATACTGATGTGATGCGCATCAGGCCAAGAAGGGAATTCCGAACAAAAGGTGACAACTTGCACAATGCAGAAGAGAGGCAGATGTTTGTTTCTCGCCAACTGATGGCGTGGTCCCAGATTTGAAGAGTGCACCCTCCTTTCAACTTACAGACCACACCATACGACGCACTCACACTATGATGTGAGGCCTGGAAAACATCTGGAATCTTTTCTGGAACTGGGATTGAGAAGATGAAAAGGTAGCGATACCACAATTCAAGGGCAACATTCAAAGACGTCAGAGTTGGTAGTTCAGTGTCCAACCACGCTGTAGATGGAATCGAATTTGGCATTTCATCACTAAGCCAAAGATCTCGCCAAGCCTGCTTGACGAACTCACTGGTCCAGATTTGGGACCAGTGGCGAGATTCTTGAAAGTAAGTGTTGAGATTGACGAGTGCTCTGGTAGCTTGTTGAATATCAGCCTTGGAGATATGCACAGCTCGCGCTGCCTTGACCAGTGCAGTCAGAATCGGAATGAAATTCATTTTGATATCCAGTTCGCTGGAAGTGGTGGCATTGTTCACCTCCGCATCCAACTTGTTTTGAAACAGGCCATGAGTCGGGGTGAGAAAATCCAATCCCCAAAGTGGAATGATCTTCAAGGACTGGATATTCCGTTCAGTTTGATGTTTGGGTATGCCGAAGTCATTTGCTGATTCACATAGCATGTGCCATTTGATTGTGCGCAACGAGTTGACCATATCGCGCCGACAAGCAGAGACCCCTCCACCTTCGTTTGGCCATGTCCCAGTATCTGCAGCCATGACATGCAGGGCGTTGTCGGTGTCGGGAGAGAAGTCTTTTGAGCATGTTGTTACCACCGCATCGCCACCAGGTCCAAAGTTGAACAGGTCACTGATTTTCACTGCCAGTGGAGTCCATCCGGATACATCATCGTCTAGATCCGCGCTCGCCATGATTGCATCGACATGGAGATTCATATACTTCTCTACCGCAGTGAGATTGCCCCAATCTCGGCTGCGCCAGTAAGGAGCGAGAACTTCGTCTCTGCGCAGAATTTGGTCATCCATCCAGCGAACAATGATGCCGTCCAGATCATTGCAATCTTTCCATGCCCTCCATATCAAAGATCGAGCGCTAGAGGATGAAACAGTGAAGCGTTTCTTCGTTAGTCCAAGTAGGTGAGCGAACAAACTGAATTTGAGATGATCATAAGACAGGAAAGGATTTTCGTGCATGAAATTGGTATACTTTGGCTTCGCAAGGACACCCAGAAAGTCATGCTCGATCATGGGAGGAGTTTGCACTCTTTTGCCGTTGAGAGTGGTGTATATGGTTGGATGGAACTTGTGATCATATGTCCAACGACTGATGAAAACATCCGCACCTTGTATGAACGTTCCTTCGGTGACTTTCGAATGCGGAACCCATCGATCGGTTTTTTCAGGATGATGCCTAGGTAAAGCACACCATGCTACTGCACAAGCGACGTGAGGCAAGACAAACTCGGCTCGAAGGAGCTGGTCTTCGAATCCAGGCTTCTTCCGGTGATGGTACTTGAAACGGACAAGGTTGCCATCTTTCATGTATGACCCGGTGTCGATGAGACCCTTGCTGTTGTATTGAACACTGAAAAGGTGGTTCTGGCCATGCACACATCGACGGCCAAGCGGAATGCGCTTGGTCATTGAAGTTCCACGCCTCAGGTATTTCTTTGAAGGAGTCGGATAGTCGTAGTGGTACTCGTTGAGCAGCTTGCTGTCGTTGAACTCTTGCTTGGCAATGAGAAACATATCACTTGAGTACTCGCTGATGTATTTGAGTTGCTTTGACTCTGTCGGTTCGACAATATGGTCGCCTGCATATTGATATACCTTGAATCGACCATCACATTCAGCATGTTTAAAGGCAGTGGAAGTCCCCTCGAGATTTTGAATGACAATTCGGCTTCTTTCGAGATTTATGGTGACTCCTTTCGTTTCATCCCATAGTTTTTTGACATTCCTGCGCCCATAGAATAGAAAAAGAGACAAACAGAAATCCTGACAGAGTTTGGCATAGTTCCATGTCGTACTCAGCAAGAATGATGCTGGCACACATATGATCATCGGAAGAGACTTTACAACAAAGTCAAATTCTTTTTGGAACTCAGCATCTGCAAGAAGTGCAATGACGACGAACTTGATGATGGTGCCCAGCTTGTGATAGACCAGGCTAAAGGGAGTGTGAACCAGCGAGAGTGGGAGAGGAAGTGTTCGGGGAATGTACGGCATGGACTCAGGGCACTCGGCAACTTTCTTGGCCGCAGTATCTCTCATGCCAGATTGACAGTAGTCAAGTACACCAAGCGCAACAGTCACGCCGAGATTGCATCTTGCTATATGCGTATCCAGATCAATCATGTCAGACTGACAAGCATTTTGCTGAAGCCACTCCCAGTGGGCCTCAGAAAGGCCAACTCGTTGTCCCAAACAGCGACCCAGCAGCATTCGTCGAATATAGACTGGCAGCTTGTCCCAATGAATATCTGGATCATACCCAACACAGAGTTGTCGGAGCAGCTCTTTCTTGGCCCATTGTAAAACGACCGAGGTGTTTGCTTCATCAAGCTCTGTAGCCATGCCATGCGCAATACCACCAGATATGATTGTGTCAGTCAGCAATGCGTGCTCATGGGACATACCCATCTTCATCTCAGCAACAGTGTGAATCAAAGCTTTTGCGATTATTCGGCAGGTTGTGGTATCAAGCCTTTGGCTATGCAAGTCTCTGACACCGACGAGCACGATGAGACGATCTTCTGTGTTGCAGCTCAAGGCTCGAATGCCGCTGGAACCCAAGGAGCCATATGGCACTAATTCCACGCAGATTTCTTCTTGGTCCCACAATGAAATGACCAAGTCAATGATGTCCTTGAAATGTGGAAATGCTTCTCCAATTTCAGAATCCTTTGTATGGGATTGGAATATAGCCTTGATCTCAAGAGCAGGATGAGTTGCAGGGTGTATCCCAATGCGACCATTATGAGATGCGTAAAGGATGCGATCGAAAAAATTCTGAAGCTCTTGCTGCGACCATTCAGGATCAGACCAAGGAGCTGTAAGAGCGTGGAAGGTTCTATCGAGACTCAGTGGAGAAACGCTTTTGGAAGGCATGGCCATCCCTGCGTTCCACAAGGATAGCAAAGCAGCAGTCCAGGCTGCGACACCAAGGCCAATTACTGAAGAGTAAAGAAATTCAGGCCGGCAAACTTTCAACGCGATTCCGACTGGCAGGCCTGCACATATGCCGACAATGGCTGGTTTCAAGGCGTAAGGACCAGCGTATATCTTATTATATTGGTACCAGAGGAGACCAGTGTAGGCAATCACGCCAGCGAAGAAAATAATCATATCATCTTTCGTAGAAGTGAATGTCCATAGGAGGGCTGTCGCGACCGCAAGACTCCAGACATGCCACAAAAGAAATTTGAAGAGCATTCTCCTATAAACTCCTCGTCGAAATCGGACAAATCTCTTTTCTACCACTCGGATGTATTTCTCTGTTTTGATCCCGGTGGGCTCTTGACTACCAAGAGCATCATCGACTTGTTGAGCCTTGGTGTCTATCAACACAACACCAATGAGATAGTATGCCATGGAGAGGCCGACTGCCATTCGGTTCGCATCCGTCACAGCTCCTGTGAGCCCAAGCAGATTATCACCACAAAGTAATTGGATCCACTTGTCAAGGAGAGCAAGAACAAAATACAAAACGCCACAGCCTATCTCGTTGCTCGACTGGCGCCAATGCACGAAGGCGTTGTGCAAGCGAAGACCCTTTTGCGAGTTCCGCAAAGTATCTAAAGCAACTTTCGTTTGAATGTTCCAACTTGAACTGAACGGGATTGGCCTTGAAACATCTGCATATCGGCAATACCAGTCCAGAAGAAAGTTTGTAGATGCCCAGTCGCGCGCAAGTTCCTTGACCAATCGGTCGTCTGTTTTCTTAGAAAAGAAACCACAGGAAATCTCCAAGTGGATATTCTGGAGTAAGGTCTCCCGAGATAGCTTGAGCACAGCAGGATCGCTCATCATGGCGAAGGCCTTTTCATTGCCATCGCCGTGCGCAGATATGTACCATTGTCGAATTTCAGCATCATCGGTGCATCGAATGAATTGGTACCACGTCATCCACTTAGAGAGAGTAGATCGCAGACAAAACAGAAGTGCCCCTGCGAAGGCGTATAAAGCACAAATGTAAACAACAGAGTCATATCCCGTAAAGGTCGTGATGATGGGTGATAAAAACAGCAGCGGGATGCACAAGATGATCGCCTTGCGACCCGAGAGGAATGCAGATCCAGGATAACTGAAAGTGGCGAGTGCAGCGAAAGTACAAAAGTAAATGGTGAGCGAAACTAGGTAGAGATAAAACACAATACCTGCTCGAGGGCTACTGGCAATAGAGATTGCGATGAACCCAATCATTCCTCCAGCTAGCGTGATGGCAATCCCCGCAACGAAGCGAATGAGAACGAACATGTTCGCCGCAGCAAAAGCCATGGATATCAAGTAGTAATGGCCACCAATGGAGATCCATGTCCCAATGGCACCGGATAGAAGCAGAGAGATCATCAAAGCCAGAGTGGCACTGTCCTGCTCCTCGATAGTCATATAAGCAGACAAGTACAGTCCCCGCCCAATGAAGCTGATAAGAAGCACGTCGATTAAGGCCGGAATGGCAAAAACGCTCATGAAAGTAAACCTTTGATAAGGCCTCATCGGCTTGGCTTTTTCATCTGGATCGACATCAATTTGGGCACCAGCATAGGCAGTCGCCAGTTCAGGTGACCCATTGACCCAGCTAGGCGGTTGATGTACCGAATAATAAGCACGAAATCGATCGGAAAGCAGTTTTCCAAATACACTCGGGGATACACCGAAGTATGCGTCACATCGTGAGCCAAGCGCAAATGACTCCGCGAATGCAGCAGCCTGATCCGACTGGTTGTTGAAGAGTGGGTTCCGGTCGGTCACTTCGGTATAGATCTCGTCAAAAGCGGATTTCTTCGCCGCGCAAATTAACGCCAAAACCGCCATATCAGTATAAGCATCAATCTTCCCGTCTTGTACTAGCTGAGACAGCCCTTCTGAGATGCTCGCTAGGTCATCTTCTCGACCGTCCCTCAAAATTTGATTGAAAATTCGATCAATCTCATTGAAAAAAGCCAGGGATGTATCGAAAGAAGGGTGTTTGCATTGTTGTTCTTCGTACCAGTTGATTCGGTTCCTGACAAGACTCTCTGGTGAGATAGACTGTTCGAGAAAGCCGACCGTGTCAAGCTCCTTGAGTTGCGTTGCAGAAGCAGCATCGATGAGCTTTGTACGAATGAGAGAGCATATTTGGCTTGAAATGACATCTTTCACATCTTTTAGTGACAAATTCTGAAGGAGCATCAATCCTTCCTGAGGACTCAGAGCATCGATATCCTGAACAAGCCGACGAGGCAGAGCAGTACCCGGAGCGAGATCATTCAACCATCTAGCCAGATCAGTTTCCATTTGGAAGCAAGTATGACGAGAAAACCCTCTTCCGGAAAGAAATGTATGAAGAACAGTTCCAGCTATGTCTTGTGCGTTCTTGGAAACAAAAATCTCAGCGCCATCATTCCTGAGCTGAGAGACTGCCCAGAACCGATGATCCTTGTTCTTTCGCAGACCAGAGTCCAGTGAAAAATACACATCTAGTGATCCATTCAGCGCAAAATCAGAAAGCTCTTCAATCGCAGTATCGACACCGGGATCATCGATGATAGTGAGCTGAAAGCTCCGGAGAGATTTTCCAATTTTCTCAACTTCTTGAGAAGGAACAGGCTGGAGAAGCTTCAGCTCTTTTAGGTGTTGTTGGGATTTCAGAACTTTCGAAAATGCAATTTCATTCGAGTCAGAGCCCACGGGAACACAGCCAGCCATTGTGGCCGATAGTGGGCTTCCCTGTGATCCGATCCGTGCCATCCATTCTTGAGAATCAGGTAAACTGAATATTGCCTCTTCAGAAGATTTTGGCTCGCTCCCAGCGGATTGAAGATAACTCTTTATTGAAGGAAACATCCGTAGAAGAGTATCCCATCCGATTCCCTGATCACAGACAGCAGAAATCTTAAGATTCGAGCGCCAGGATTCGTGAAAATCCATAACTCTCGCTTCTCCTAGCCAACTAAAAGCTGAAAGTGGCTCGACGACTGGAACATTCAACTTGGAGTTGTAAAGTGCTGAATCAGTTCCAATCCATGGCAGTATACTGTAGAAATTGCACCATTGAAGTGATCGACGAACAACCGCATTAGGAACTGTCACATCCTCGTTCACTGTTTCCCAGGCAGCGACCACAAATTCTCTTGTACAGGCCTCGGAAACGAAAGCTTTGATAGTTGGTTGAAGTTTCGACATCTGGAAATGATCTCTCTTTTCGCCGTAAGGTAAGATACTGGCATTGCGGATGACCAACCCAGTTATAGCAGCACTACTTAATACATGTCGATTTCTCAAGAAGTCCGGTGGGTGAGTCTCCAGATACACATCCAACTGTAGGCTATGCAAGGCCTCGAAGAGTTGCTGCTGAACAATTGCAGTGAGGGCATCTTCCCAATTGGCCAAAAGAACTCCGCTGAATGCAGTATTGCAGAATCTCTGGAGAAGGCATGTCTGGATGGCTTCAATGATGGCTAGATCAGAGTTCTTGGGCGAGGCAAGTTGAGCCAAATCTAGCCTACCCAGTACTAGATGATTTTTGTGGGCTGAAATGGCCTCTGGGACCCCATATTGAAGAGGATCCACAACTAAAAGATCCCACTGGTTGAGAATCCGCTCCTGTGATGCTGTTGATGGACTCTCAAAGCCTCCCAGATAGACGCCAAAAGAGGATGGCTTGTGATTTTCAGATCTGATGGCATTCAGATTAAGTTGTAGCGTTGCAAGTTTGGCAAGTTGCTGAGAAACTTGTAAAGAGACGATCTCTGGATGCAGCTTTAGCTAATAAATGGTTAGAAAATGCTCGCCATATTCTGTTGTTAGTCTTGTTAGACTGTACCTTGTAGTGCTTGAGGATCCTCTTTGTTGTAGACCAAAAAATGTATACTAATCCGATGGTTATAGAAGTAACCATCACACCAATTGTGACCTTGAGCATGTTAATACCTTCTCCAATCAAAAATAGTATACACAGATACAAAAGAGGTCATCTTACAAACTGCCACCAATGGCTTGTCATCTCATCCCAACCCACGGGATGTACGGGGAGAACTTTGGTCATTTTGATGCCAAGGCAAAGTGCTGATATAATACCTCCGACGGGGTTAATTCCAGATTCCCTCTCCTCCAAACTTTTCGTTTGTGCAGATATTCATGAAAATGTCATCTTGATGTCTTCGAGAAAAGCACCCATTACTATCGCAGTTTGGGCTGTTGAGCTGAGGAAAATGATCGAATTGGCATATCGCCAAGGCCATTTGACAAAATCAGGCTTCCAAAATGATCACCTGTCAAATGGCATGGCTAGTGCGGCTCATGTAGACCAAAATAGCCAAGCCCCATGCGCGAGTTATGTCCACTTTTCTCTTTTTGATTCTCTCTAACAGGCGAATGCAGAAACCCCTTGTCCGACGATGGTAATTCAATTGATGACAAAGTCTCTGACATGATAGGAGCCCGAATCTTCGACTGCTCAAACTTTTCATGGGTCCGAGCTAAGCCCTTGGGTGGAGGTGGGGTCGCGGAGCTTGTGGAAATAACCCGCGCCATGTGTCCGGCAAGGATCCCGGCGGGTGAATGGCATGATGGACCCGTTTTGAAAAACGGTGATCGCCCTGATATTTAGAATGGTCAAATATCACGAATATCTCTTTTCAGATATCGCAACTCTTGCATTGAAGTGAGAACAAATGAGAATTCCAATTCCGAGTCCTGGGCTGCTTATACTATACCTAAAATGGACTAGTGCATTCTGCTGTCTATAAGGGATGAAATCAATCGTTCTGTGAAAGGCTGTGATATCAATGCATTATTTCGTATAATCGAAAATCAAGTCATGAATATCGTCGTCAATTTCTTGATCGAGCTGTGAGTATCGACTATAAACGAGGGCGCCGTGTTTGCCATATCATAAATATCAAGATCAGCACCAAGGGAATAGCCACAACCCAAGGAAGCCAGAACTTCTTAGCACCAGGGGTATAGTCACCACCCATAGAGAAGACAGCCGCGACCAGAGTAATGGGAAAGAAGATCGCACCAACAATTGACAGCTGCAGACCAATTCTCGCATCCTCGACGCTGCGCAATGCATTGCTTAGATTGATGGAATCCGTCACCACGCCAGCAAGATTATCCACGCGAGACTCCCGCAGATCCAACTCATGCAATATGGCCTGAAAATCCCGGCCCATTGTCCGAAGACCCGATGCGACCGCTTGATTTGGTGATTCACCAGGTGTGAAGCCCAGACGCTCCAGGTTCAGTAGCATTTCTTGCTTATACCACATTAAACGTCGTTGAAGGAGACCAAGGAGAGATAGTCGTTTATTGTAGTAGTTCAGCTCTTCTCGCCACTCTGATGTGCTGGGAGTATGTCCTGCTGAGCCATCTGACTTGGACTTTGAGGTTAAGTCCAGGTTCGACAGTGTTTTGAGCTGTAGGTCGAGAAGCTCATACCAATTGCTCGCTACAATCTGCTGTGCGAATAATGTCGTGTTAACACAGTTTTCGAAGACACTATCGACTTCATGTTTCTCTGAGTTGAGCCAGTAGAATATGATATCGTCAAAAAGGGACCTGCGACTAGGCGCTGTAGATGTATGGCTAGACTGCCAGGGACGCAGATCACTGTATCCTCCGCGAAAGGGCTTGCTGGTTTCAATTCGTGAGTGCCAAGGTTTATGATCATTTTTCTCGAGGACATAGTAGCCATCATTCTTTCCAGCTACGGGCTGGGAATTTATAGGAGGGTCAACGAGTAAAATTGCTGTACATGCTTAGCGAGGGATCTTTAACCAAGCAGGCATCGACATACCATTCCATGCACCCTGTTTCTGATCACGTCCCAGGCCTTCGTCGCACCAGAAAGAGATGTTGTGCCTTACAAGATCCACAGAATTTTCTTTTTGATACTCCGCTAGGTCTTGCCAGGACTCTATCTGGCGCGAGGCATGAGCAAAGGTTCGACGACGGCCTGTTTGTGAATCGGCAACACGATGACCAGTCTCCCGCAGCTCATAGTATCGTAAAGTGAATGATCTCTCTGCGTTAATCAACGATGGTAATTTTCGATGTGGTATTGTGTGGGTCTGAGAAAAGTGATACGTGAACAGGTGATCTGCCAACACGAGAGGATCGATCGTCAATGCCGATCCTAGAGCTTCCAGCGCAGACTCTTCCAGATCTTCAAGGAGAAAGATGCGATTTTGACAGGAATAGTTGGTATTCATTGTATTTAAGTAATTTTGAATGTCTGTCTGATCGCTTAAATCGATAAATCTGGGTTGCTCATTCTGCATGAATTCTAGAACACCACATCTGGAAGAGACACGGTTCAATGACAGTGCGCGAGGCAGATTATCTGGGGAGAGACGTTCCCAGTCTGCGAAGAATTGTTTCATGCAGGGAAACCTCGCACGTAGCTTTCTCGTTTTATCAAGGTAGGAATCCATACTTGGCTGTATGTCTGTAGTCCCAGGTGATATAATTGATATTTCTGATCAACAGTAAGGATGAATAAACACAATTTTTCAATCTTGTGAAACACAAGGGAGTACAAAGATAGAGAAGGTTTCCAGTTGGTGACAAGATACTGTTAGATCACCTGATGAGTAGATGTAGACGAGTGCTCAGACCTCCAGGACCCTTTTGTCCCTCTCTTACTGCTGATCTTTCAATCCTTGGCGGGAAATACCTAGCATGCCCGAAAAGTATGAAGCCCGTATCCTTCAATATTGTCGTGTCTCACGCAATGTGGAAGCTAGCGGATCTAGGCTCCCAGGTCAATGTGACATGGACGCAGGAAGCCACGGAGATGCTTCGACCCTGCATGCACTATGAAAATGCATCAGTGCTCCGATAATCAGATTTTGAATTCGGTAGATCAGCAAAGTCCCACCTTAATCTGATTATCGTATACTCCGTACAGAATACCGAATTTCTCCACACTCGAGTGCCAGATCCCCAAAGATCTCCCGCGGCTCAAGACCCAAGAAATTTAGGCTGCTAAATTTCCCAATGGCTTTCTACCTCGTTTCCTTCGACAATCACTATTCTCTAAGTGAGATTGTCCCCACACTGCAGTGCCCAGAGCCTTGCGGGTTGTAGCCAAGACTTCAAAAATGGAAGGGTCATCGCCTCAGCCACCGCCCCCAATTCCATTCTTGAGCCGGCTCCTTGGACCCTGAATTTCTCCTGATTCTGAGCTCGAAGATGAATATCTCAGAGTGTCTCTGCTCTTCACTTGAGGAATGATGCTTGATTTTCCTCAGCTCTGAGCATTGACAAGTCAACGTGATAACCGAACACTCGGCATGGCAGGAAAAGGAGGCTGCCTAGCCTGGTCAATCAAGAAAAAGGTCCTCATATTCGGCTCTATCAGTGTACTGATTCTCGCCCTCGGACTTGGACTGGGTATTGGACTTGGGCTCGGCTTGAAACACAATGACACCGACGACGGGAGTGGAGGAAGTGACAGCGACACCAACGGGAATGGCACCAGTGGCGGAAACACGACTGTGAAGTGGCAACCCAGTGTGGGGGTCAAATGGCAGATTGAGTTGCTATATGCTCTAAACGACACATCAGCAGATGCACAGATCTATGACATTGATCTTTTCGATAATCCGAACTCGACCATCTCGACTCTGCAAACTATGGGCCGAAAAGTCATCTGTTATTTTTCGGCCGGGACATATGAGAATTGGCGCTCCGATGCAGATGAATTCAAAAGTTCGGATCTGGGTGACAATCTAAGCGATTGGCCCGGCGAAAAGTGGCTCGACACGAATTCACAAAATGTACGCAAGATTATGCAGCAACGGCTTGATCTGGCCGTGTCAAAGGGCTGTGATGGGGTTGATCCCGATAATATCGATGCATATGACAACAAGAATGGTCTGGATCTGACTGAGGATGACGCGATCGACTATGTGAACTGGCTAGCGTCAGAAGCTCATGGTCGGAATCTCTCGCTTGGATTGAAGAATGGTGGCGATATTATTGACTCGGTCATTGATAATATGCAGTGGTCGGTTAATGAACAATGTGCCCAATATGATGAGTGTGATACTTATTCGGCATTCATTGATGCGGATAAACCTGTTTTTCATATTGAGTATCCGAAGGGTGATGATACTGATAATGATAATAATGTGACCAGCAAACAAAAGAATACGGCTTGCAATGCAGCCAACGTAGGGAATTTCTCGACTGTGATTAAGAATATGGATTTGGATAATTGGGTTGAATATTGTTAATCTCGAATACTGTGTTTACTTACACCGATGTACTATCAAATCATGTCTATCTTTCTTCAACCTTGTGCTTTCTTCAGTCAAGGATCATTTCATCCCAGTCCATTGATCTGTAGCCTGTTTCTCAACTTTCCACTTTGAATGTGTCTGAGTATGATATCGTGATTGGCCAAGTTTAGGGATGTTGTCTTGAAAATGGAGACTTTCCTGCCAGTATGATGGCGAAGTAACCACACATGCATATGCACGCGTATGTGAGATCATCGAGAGCCCCGACTCATTCTATACTAAATTTCACTAAATCTCATGCCAAGATTGAACCAGTTTGACTGAGAATCAGAACCTCTATTACTTCGAGCACTTGAGTACGTTGGTTGTTCACGCTGGCATTTTTGCATCACATTACACTCACTGACTACAACGGCGTTGACAGATCAGAAATCTAATCAAGATCAATTAACATTAACCTTTATCACTCGCCCTTGCAGCCCACTGGCAAATCTCAGTTCGCATAAAAAAGCCAAACACTTTGGGCTGCAGGGCAACACGAGCTAACCTAGTGGTGACTCTACATGACCTCGACTCGAAGCCCCAGTGTATAGCCCCATTCACTACTGCAGGGAAAAACAAGTTGGGGAGAGGGGCGCAAAATCCTCCAAAACCAAGACTGGTGTCATTTTACGAGGTACATTACTTCCAACTTGAAACGGACATGTATTTCCCGTTTCTACGAACTTCGCACTCCCCTATAACCGGAACCACCGGGAGGTGTGGATCCCGGATGGATCGATCACATCCAGCTCTTGGAATCACTCCGACGCGACTTCACTCCGTCACTCCGTCCTTTCTCTGCCGCTTCTACGAATCTTGTTCGTCCAGTCATCTCATCCGATTTCACGCAAGGCAGCGATCACGAGCGCTAAGATCGGCGGTTCCCCCTATGACACCCGAACGGATCTGCCCGGGTTCCTGAACGCGAACCATAGATATGGCGTGTCGATTGGTGGACAAAGATTGTTACTTGGAATGACCAGGGTAAGAGATGGACCCCATCCCTTTCATCAGGGGGCCATGGACGATTATTACTTGAAAAGGGAGTGAAATCTTGAACACGCTACGAACTAGCCACATTTCGTGGGGCCAAGCATAACACTTAAGCGAGGTCGGAGATCTGTTCGTTTTTGGTTTTAGCCACCACGTCTAGGAACTTGCTTATACGAGTACACTTAGTACATATGTACTTGAAATGCATGTACTTGTTTGTTATTCTGTGTGGTCTGGACTCAAACCTCGGGGAGAAACAATTGCAGCCCAATTACTTCTGCATTGTGGATATCTCAATTCCACTATTCCATACTGAGTATGATTCAGACGCTAGTAAAACAGGAGTTAGCTCCCACTGACAAAAATTCCTCTTTTCTCTCACCATTTTCTCTCCAATTCAGCCTCTGGATTTATCCCAAAATGATAACCACCGGCGCTAAATGGACTAGTTACTAGACGATTCGTAATCCCACTTAGGGGTCCATCCAGTCCCTCTGGTCCACTTCAATCCACTTAGTTCGATCCAGTTTTAACAGATTTGCAAGTTATCTTGCTACATTGGTTCATAGTTATGGAGTCTTCATTTGCGAGTTAGAGATCCATCGGGGAGAGATCGAGATATCAATGGATTTACAAGGAAAATTACTTATTTTGTAATTTTTTCTTTCACCTGGTATGGGATGCTTCGGATGCGCCCAGGGTGTGGCTTCCGCCACTCCTGTCGGCAAATCACCGTCAGCAATTCGGCTCCGATCTTGATCTTTTTTTACTCACAGTTCGTACCTGGGAGATTATTCTATTCCAAGGGTTTATTTTACCAGGAACGAGCTGCGGTGTAACCATGTACCCCGTACATGTATGACGTGAAATATGCCTCCGATCGTGATGCAGTACAGCACTTGAGAGTACATACGGAGTACAGGGTCCATTGTCCAGGTGCAGTTTTTTGTATTCCCTGTACTTCTGTCACCTAGCCGATACAACTCTACTCGGGATCTGGTTTCATGCTACTAGTATGGAGTAAATATCCGGTTTTTGATTGAGTCTTGGTATGCTGTATGTCTCACTGACCCGCGGTTCTAGGCATAATCAACACCGTTGATATAGTCTATTGCGGAGTAAGTAGACCGAGGCAAGATTTAACGATTGGATTAACACAATGCATATTTTTGTATTGTGAGATTCCAAGGCATTATGAGTGCATATACTAGAGAGATAGTGTACCTTGGCATACTAATAAACCTAGATATTCAAGTGTGTGCTGTCCTGTGGCAAAGGTAAACAATTTGAAGAATGGTATTGGTGCTCGTAAGCGGAGCACTTGGCGCAGGGTCTATAGCTAATTAAGCCTTGACAGTTATGGCCTACACAGGATAGAAATGGGAAATTTCGGTTCAAATTGCCGAGTCAATCAATCGAGTCAATCGCGATCTATGTAAAACTTGAACCTGGAAGGATCTGAGTCAACTGGTATATCCCAAACAACTTGAATCCTCAACATGTTTCATGGTTATGGGCTACCTAGTATGAGGTTAACCATACTCGCCATGAAGCTCGTATTTCAATGCATAAAGACTTGAAAGAAATTTCAAATGGCCCACAGAGAATGCACAGTTCGAGTAGTATTTCGCAATTGGTATTCGTATCAAATGCATAGATCTCTCCAGGGCTATAGCTCGGAATGGATACCAAGTACCATGTATGGAGCCCTTGGAAATTAAAGCAGAATGCGATGGCCCACATATCCATAAGAGGAATACTCCGCCGGCAAGATTGTCCACTGACAACTCATTTCTTTTTTTTGCCTTGCACTCGATTCCAAGACCATGCAGCTAATGTTTAGCTTCACGGCAAAGAGAAAACGGGAGGGGGTGGAAGACTCCACCATGCAGAAAATTTCTTCTCACGAAAACAGAAAAAAATTCATATTCAAATCCCATGTATCTCCGAAATAGACTTCTAATGTAGTCCACTTATTCCTGTAACCGAATCTCAGAGAATAAAAAAAAATTCAAAGCCAAAATGTGATACCCACTATCAAAATTCCAACCTGGTAATAGTGAAATGGGGCCATCTTAAGCCGCCATGAGATCGACAAATTCGGCCCACTTCGGCCCAAAACTAGCATAGTAGTCGGTGTTAAGGTGAGTGATGAAAACCTCATCGGCAACCTTGCGAACCGTCTGCACTAGATCGCGCAGTTCTGACCCCTCTAGGGTATCCGGCACAGAGTGGATCATGGCGACACGCTGGGAGCCATTATGCGGGATTTCCGTGAGTAGGTTAGCCTGGTACCGCTCTTGGAAAGTGGTGTAAGCAGCTTCGAATATGACGGTTGAGTCTGTGGTAGAAAAGTACCGAGAATCTGGGACTGCGCCTGGATTCTGAATGACCTGTTGAGGTGTTAGTTCACGTTCAAGTTACCAGTGGGAGAATAAGGATCTTCGCTAAGATATCCCAGATAAGGTGTAAACTGGTCCTTTTGGGTCTGCTGCCCAACAAGTGATGAACTACGGAGTGCAGGATGCGATATATTCTCCACTAGGGAAAGCCCCGCGGGAGGCTAGGAGTGGAGTGGTGCGATTCGGGAAATCGGACGGACATGAGATGCAAGGGGAAGAATATTCCGGAAATCCTTGACGGAGAGTTGAGAGGCCAATGGATATGAGGGAGGTGAAGAAGAAAAAAAAAGTAAATCGGAAAAAAGCAATAGTAACTTACATATGGGTTGGGGCCGAATTCATTGTGATTCTTAACGAATTGGGTCAAGTTTTCGAAGTAAGCAATGTGATGCGCATCGTATTGTTGTGGTGTCTCATCAAAGAATATACCCCGAACAGCTAAATTCGGGTTACAGGATTTGATCGGCCAAGCCGCGTATGTCTCAATATCCCTGCAGATCAGGGAGATATCCCGTTGTGCATAGGAAGTATGGACGTATCCCAGAAGTTTGACATTGATGTGAGATGAGAGTCTAGGAATGGCGCGAGTATATTTGGCATCGGGCAGCGAGTCTGGCCCTGGACCATTACCAGGATTGATTATAACGGTAAAATTGACATTGGGGTAAGTTGTAATCCTGTTTTCTAGTCAGTAATAGATTCTGATTTTCTTTTTTTTCTCTTTGCAGCTTTTTTTTTTTGAACAACGGCTTTTTAGCGCGGTTGTGTGTGGTTGGGGCCCAAATAATTCATGGATGGGAATATAACTCCGTGTGTGGCGGGTTACCATCTGGCCAGTGGCTTGGTCTATTTGATTTCTTCGTGCCGAATAAAAATGAAAAGGGAATTTGAAAGGGAGAGATCGACCATGGGGGAAACATACACGTCTTCTAACTGGGACCATGCCCCTGGACTAGGGTACACATAGAGTGGTACAATGACATTAGACTCGGATTTGGGGCCCATGTTTGGTATATCATGCAGCTGAGTGATCGAAAGACGAGGTTTTATGACGATTACGAAGAAAAACGGAGCTCGGAGTACGGAGTAGATAAGGGAAAGATGACTAGCGTGAAAAACCATACTGCGCTAGTAACACAGTTTGTCAGTGGAATTTTTGGTGCTGAATTTAGATATCACGTATTTTTGGACCCATAGTTCTTATTCTAGATGAGCAGGATTGGTCAAATTAGAAAAATGACACATATTAAATGGCTTAGTAGAGGATTCCCGGCTAATTCAAGGAGGAATTGGAACTATCTATATCATTTTAATAGTTTTAATAGCTCCATGGAGTAAAATGTAAATGGTTCCGACTGGACGGTTATCCTGTACTCTGTACGAAGTAGTGGGAGCACTACATTCTGCCCTAAACACAAAGCGGGTCACGCCAGTGACATGAAAGTCCAAAAAAGTCCCATATTACATGAGATTTGCAAGTCGATTCGAGGGGTGATGCGGTCATCAGCCCCGGCTGAGGCCCCTCAAGTCCCGTCCTGGTGGATGTCCTGTGGAGGCACTTTAGAGTCGTGAGAAAATAATAATAAAAAATAATAAAAATAAAAAATAAAACCCCAAGGTCTAGCCACATTTTGGCCCACCATCCACGGGGAGTCTACTTGAGTGTTCTTTGGTCTGCTTTCATTGCCTTTCCTGCCGCCCAAATCCATTGGTTGATTGACGTGTGTTCCTTTTGCTGACTTGGGGCCCTTGTTTAGTTTGCGCCCTCCATTTATTCCGCTAGGAGTAATAAGTCCTTATCCAAGGAACAACCCCAGGCAAAGTACAAGAAAAGCAATTCGGGCATCGAGGTAGCATCAGGGCTTCTCATTCTCTATAAATACTGTGTGCTGGTCTGAAATCCAAACGACTGCCCATTTCTTCAAGTTCAAGACCGCATAAGAGTCTGATATTTGTTCATCAGCATTTGCACAGGTGCCGAACTTCTTCTGTGCTAACTTGACCCACTGTTTGTCTCAAATTGGGCTATCCCAGTGGCATTCACCTCCAATATTCATAATGGATAGTCGCCGTCGGTCAGACGCGAGTACTCCCGTGGAGAGCGACTCACCACAATCACCACTGTCACCAGACTTTGTCGACACTCCAGCAACACAGTCGTCTGTTTTATTTGACGACCTGAATGAGTTGCTGCGCAGATTCCCTTCCGAGAGCCCTTATATCCTGGTAACAGGTGGCCTCGGCTTCATTGGTAGCCACACAACGCTAGAGCTGCTCAAGGCCAACTATAATGTCATTGTCATCGACAACCTGAGCAATGCTTTCGCGAATGTTCTCGACCGCATTGATCTTCTAGCACGGAAGTTCCACCAAGACAATGGAACCAAGATGCCCACATTAAGATTGCATGCCCATGATTATCGAGACACCAAAGCCCTTCGATCTCTACTAGATGAATATCAAGTAGAATCACGATGGGGCATCACAAAATCGAAAATCACCGGCGTCATTCACTTTGCTGCATACAAAGCTGTCGAAGAGAGCATCCAAAAACCACTGAAATATTACGCCAACAATGTCAGCGGCATGATTGACTTCACATCCACACTTGGAGACTTCGGTATCAAGACATTCATCTTCTCGTCTTCGGCTACCGTGTATGGTACACTGGCAACCTCAGGTCTACCACTGAAAGAGGAGCTCTGTGTGCACAAGGAAGAAGTATACATCGACCATACTGGCGTAGCCAGAGTGGTTCAGCCGGGATGTACTGGGATAACCAATCCTTATGGACGCACGAAGTGGATCTGTGAGGCTATCCTAGCGGATATCGCCACCTCTGATCCAGAGTGGACGATCGTTGCTCTTCGATATTTCAACCCTGTTGGGTGTGATCCTTCTGGGCTACTCGGCGAAGACCCAAGACAAATCCCAACAAATCTTCTCCCGGTGGTTGTGAAGGTCATGACAGGCCAGTACGCCGAGTTATCAATGTTTGGAACGGATTGGGAGACGGAGGACGGGACTGCCGTTCGGGACTTCATTCACGTCACGGATCTGGCTCGAGGTCATATTGCGGCTCTCAGTACTGCGAACGAAGGTCAATTGAGCGAGAACTTCCGCACGTTCAACCTGGGTACCGGCTCGGGTCACTCTGTACAGGAGGTGGTCACCACTATGGAAAGTGTTGCTTCCAAGCCCATCCCCACAAAGGTTGCAGGTCGTCGACCAGGTGATGTGGGATCTTGTGTGGCAGTTGTCGACAGATCTCAAGATGAACTTCAGTGGAAGACAGAAAAGTCACTGAAGGACGCTTGTCAGGATATCTGCAATTTCCTAGATGTCAGTGGTCTCTCTTCATGAGCGGATGTTTTTGCTGTATTTTTGTTTCATCTCTTTTGGAATATTCTGGGATTGATAAGATGTTTCTGGTGGTTATTTGGAGAGTTTGGGTTTCGGCTTAGTGTCTTAATGTTTTTTTTCTTGGATCTCGAAGTGATGGGTTGTTCTCCTTCAGAGCTTTGGGGAATCTTAATATTTTCAAGTTTTTGTTAGCATTCTCATACCCATTGCAATGATTTTGTTTTATTTTCTGTCTCAATTCTCAGTCGTGATTTTCCGATTCATTGATGCTCATCAGCCATGTAGACATTGGTGTCCAAATAGACCGTAGATCAGGAGATGATTCTAGATCATCCAGATGAGGAAGAAAGACAGTTTGAATGAGCCCAGGGATCTGAACGACTGTTGTCAACATTAGACGTCAATCATCGATGATCACAAAGAGGAGATAGTCGGATGTTCCCAAACGGGAAAGAGGAACATATCACGACACGTGACTTTCTCCGGCTTGGCATCAGATCTGCGCCGCAAGTTTTCTGGTCGAGTGTCCGCGCCAGCAGCATCATCGATACCTCCACAAACCTGCCACTCGGCCTGCGTTGACCCCGATCCTACTCAATTCACCTCTCTGAGCGGTCAATTTCTCTCACTGCGACCATGATCTGCCGAAGCTGCAGAACGAGCATGCTGTCCCGGCTGCAGCAACAACAAGCCGTGACATGGACAGCATCATCAGCGCGCCAACTGCCTCTGGCTCGTAGCCAATTCCGATTCTACAGTGCTGCCGCCCCCTCCTCTCCTCCCAACCCCCGCCAACCCTCCGTCGGGGATGTCACCACCCCATCCGCCATCTCCTCTGCAACCCCCGGTGTTTCACAGCCCTTGAGCACCCCAGAAGGTGTCCACGTCGATGTACAGCCTGGCGCTGCTACTAAGCCCGTCGTTGAGCGCCCACCCAGCAGCTGTCCTGCCGGCACCAAGCTGAACGGCCTGAACTACTTCAAGAATAAGCCCGATGTCTTCGCCAAGGACGATTCGGAATACCCCGAGTGGCTGTGGGATCTCCTGAGCGACCCAAGCAAGCAGTCCAAGAAAGATAATGGTGGAGTTGATGTGAGCTGTATGTTTAATCATTCCCCCGCAGGAATCCCCTTTCCCCAGCTAACGCCCTTTTCCAGCCTTGAACAAGAAGCAACGGAAGCGCTATGAGAAGAAGCTCGCCGCTCGCACTGCTGTCCTACCGCCCAAAATCCCTGCCCACCACAACTCCCACGATATCACACCGGCCTCATACAACCGCGGAGGTCTCCCCGCAGATGCCCTTGCCGATGCCTCCAATGACCTAAGCCAGCGCGGAGAGGTTATCAAGAGTGCTCGTGAAGCCCGACGCAAGGCCATCAAGGAATCTAACTTCCTGCGTGGTCTGTAAACATTCAGTCGGGTGTATTTGTTTTACTAGGCGTCGACCATTGGTTTTTGAAGAAGCGGATTCATCTCCTGGACGGTATTGGGGGAAAGACTATATCGCCCATGACCGCTGTGGATATCACATAAAACAGGTCCTTCGCGACCTCCGGCTCCGGCATGTATTATTACGTCGATTTGATTTGCTCCATTTGTGCTATATATATTCAATGATACTTGATCTACAACACTTGCTGCTCCAGGCTGCACCGCTTTTTAGATTAATCCGCATTCTCGGTCCCTGCATACTAACTCAAGGTCAACCGTCTCACGCATCCACCTGTGGAACCGGCCACTCCTTCTCTTCTCCCTGTCCCTCCAACCAAGGTGAACAGACATTCCACAACACCCTGAACTCACCATCTCCAAATGCCATAAACTTCTCCCAAAGATCCGGAGCGAATCGATGCAGAAACGCCAAAGTAGACACGAAGAACAAATCCACGCACCCAGCCTTCTCCCCCTCGAAGAACGGTCCCTTCTTTCCCTCCCTCCCCTTCAAGACATCAAGCAACGGTCCACTGCTCTTCTCAACCGATTCCCAGAGCTCTTGGATCTCTGCTGGGTCTGTGGGCCTAACTTCAGCCAACGGCTTCCCAAAAGACTCGCTCCGAGTCCGCACGAAATACTCCTGTCCACGAGGATCCAGGTACTCAGGTACAGTGGGAATGATAATCGATCGGATTGCAGGGCCCAATCCAATGGTTAGTCTTTGTACCGCAAGTAACAGTGCGTAGCTTGCATCGCCGGATGGGAAGAGCGGGGGCTCGGGAAAGACCTTATCGAGGTGTTGCACGATGGGAAGCGAGTCCATCATTGCGCCGTTTGGGTTGGATGTTACACTGTCGTGGATGATTGCAGGGAGAGTCCACTTGTATCCCGTGGGATTGGCTTCAAGGCCGAGTCCCTGAGTGAAGGGTTTGATGTCGGGATAGGAGATCCAACTTTGAGTGTAGGGAATGTTCTTGAAGTTCAGAACTGTTCGCACTTTGAGGGTGTTCGGAGACCATGACTTTGATGACCCTGCTGGGGGTTACTACATGGGTTCCTTAACTTTTGATTACAGGGCATACCTGGGAGGGTCGAGGGTATGTCGAAGAAGTGAACGGGGTTTGACTCGGCCATGGTGTCAATTGAGCAATTCGAGTTTTGAGTAATTGGATTAAATGAGATGTTTCTGGGTCGGGGGCATGAAGGTATTAATGAGTGAACTGGACCATTATGATCGAGCGGGGTTGCACGCCTGATGGATTTATCAGCAACGCTACTGACTCGAGTTTAATTAACACCAGTGGACGCGTCAATATGAATCCTTTCAGTCTAGCTTTGATCCGGTGACTGTTACTAGTAACTTGTAGACTGTGTTATCATAAGAGGTTGCGGCACACACGAATCATGTGTGTTCATCTGCTATCTGCTATCTACTAATAGTAACTTGAACTCTTCTAGCCATTTCCATTCACCCTTCCCACAATATCATGCTCACCCTTGTATACTCATTTTAGAGCACTCTTCATAGTGCTCTAGACCAAATGCTGTATACTAGACGCCAAGCACAAGAGCCTATGATCCGCAATGGAGCCACGTCTCAGTGCCCAGTGGGGAGTCGATCAAGTGGAACACACGTGTCTTAACTCTCAATATGATTTCTGATTTGAATTCCTTATTCTCAAATCCATCTTTCTTTCTCAATAAACTCATCAAAGAAAGAATCTTGCAAAGTTCAATTCCAGGACAAAGACTCCAGGAATATCCCTGAATCACTCACGCCAATTGTTACTGCGGGGCAAGCCATCACCAATAAGCGACTAGCTCACCGCTAGTACAGGTAAAGTCCGATATCTTGCAGGAAATCTCATTTTGAGATTAAGATACATACAAGCACAGCTTATCTCAAACCCAAAGTTCGTGGCGAGCTGAAATGCAAAAAGTCGATAGCCTCGTTGAGCGCGCGCGCCATCTTTCGCTACATCCTTCCACTTCAACTGCAGGATCTCTGGATGCGCATTTACAGAAAATATATGAGTCGTTTTCTGCATCTGAGGTGTCAAAGGTGGATTTTTTGAGTCATGTTCAATGGGATAAGCCTGCCGTTCAGGTCCAGACTCAGCCTCAGTCTGTCATTTCCGCTGAAGCTGAAGCTGACCCGTTGGCTTCTCTGTATGCCTTTCGGGCGTATATGAGAGATCCAGCGTCTTGTGCTCAGGGTCCTGCAAAGGAACTTGATCTATCAGCGCCTCTTTCGGATTATTTTATCTCGTCTAGTCATAATACGTATTTGACGGGGAATCAGCTATATAGTGATGCAGCCGCGAGTGCGTATACATCGGTATGTGAACCCGTTATGTGGTACTACGTGAATGAATTTTGATACTGATTAATACAATGTTTAGGTTCTTCTTCAGGGTTGTCGCTCTGTAGAAATCGATGTTTGGGACGGGGAGCCCATAGACCCAAATGAAACTGAAGATAGCAGTGACAGTAACGATGCTGAAGCCGAGGGCAAGAAATCAACACTCAAGTCCAGAATCAAGGATACTATCAAGTCCAAGTTTGACTCTGAGGAGAAAGCAGCGAAGGGGGCATTGGAAGATGCTCTTCACAGGAAATCAAAGTCTTCCGACGCTGTTACTGGTGACCAGTCTCCTGTCCTGGGTGAACCGCGCGTTCTTCATGGACATACATTGACCAAGGGAACCAAGTTCCGTGATATCTGCTACGCTATTCGTGATAGTGCGTTCGTGAACTCCGATCTACCGGTGATCATCAGTTTCGAAGTTCATGCGTGCTTGGAGCAGCAGCAGCAGATGGTGGATATCATCAATGAAGCTTGGAAAGGCTTGCTTGTTGAAGTGCCTTCTGGTGTTGACGCTGATAAGCTGCCCACGCTGGCTCAGCTTAAACGTAAGATCTTGATCAAGACTAAGTCGATGCCTCTGACGGAGTCTGATGAGACTCCTGAAGCATTGGAAGAGACTGATGGGTCGGGAGGTGTGCAGCAAAAGCCTGCTAAGCCATCCAAGGTCCTGGAAGCACTCGCAAAGCTGGCGATTTATACCCGAGCATACCATTTCAGCAACTTTGAGCAACCGGGTACGTTATGCTCAGATATTAAATCCCTGTGATGTGATCCATTACTAACATGTTGATGTTGATAGAGGCCAAGGTACCAGGACATGTCTTCTCACTATCTGAAAGGTCAGCCCGAGAAGCACACGAGAAATACCGCGATGCACTTTTCGCCCACAACCGGTGTGCAATGATGCGAATCTACCCATATGCTCTGCGAGTCACATCCTCAAACCTGGACCCAACATTCCACTGGCGTCGCGGCGCACAACTCGTAGCGCTGAACTGGCAAAACGTCGACAAAGGCATGATGCTGAACCACGGCATGTTCGATGGAACTCAGGGCTGGGAACTGAAACCCAACGGATATCGTAGTTCCGAAGCACCAACCGATTCCATCTTGCGCACATCATCCCTCGATCTCACTATTGAAGTCTTCGCGGCCCAGGACTTACCCCTCCCGCCGAATCATACCGAAAAGGGATTCCGCCCGTACCTCGTCTGCCAGTTACATGTTGAGGAGCCTGAGGGTCCTGTTGCCGCTGATCGTGATGATGCGAGCTCAGATACGGAGAAAAGTAGCTATCGCCGTCGTACGAAGACGTTGACGGGCAGGAATCCGGATTTCAAGGCACAGAAATTGATTTTTCCTACTGTGGAAGGTGTAGTTGAAGAGCTCAGTTTCGTTCGGTTAGTTTTTCCCCTTTTCTTTTCTTGTTTTTTCGTCTTTTTTCATTATTATTGTTCGCGGAATTCTCTTCCGTCCCTCAACAATGCACTTCTTACGTGCAGGGCATCCAATCGTTTCACAACATTTTATGGAATGGGGTCTGATCATGCACTTGACTGATTTAATTCGGTCTCAATGCCTTTTTCCCGGTCTTGCCTCCTTCATGCTCTCTCATGCACCGGGATGTCTCTTTTGGGTTGGAAATGCATCTATTACCTCGGAAATCACATCTGCAACACCTGTTCCTGTCCCCTGCATCAGAATTTCTGGAATTGAGATGCGAGTTCTCTGCAGAAAAGCTGACATTTTTCTTGTTTTATTTTAGTTTCAAAATCAAGGATGATGAACTTCTTGGTCGTGATGCCATGGCTGCATGGGCTTGTATTCGACTTGATCGGCTACGAGAGGGATATCGACTTGTTCATCTTTATGATAGCACTGGGGAAAAAACAACCGGGATGTTATTGGTTCGAATCACAAAGCAAGTCGCTTAATGTCACACGATTAATTAGTCAACATGATAGATCTATCATTCTCTTTTCTGAACTTCTCTTTAGCCCTTTTTCCCTCTCTTGTAAATCTTATTCTTTGGATTTCTCGTTGGCGTGATGGCTGATACACATTCAGCCTTGGGCTGCGATCTGTATCTATGCGGGCGTTCAGGCATCCATGCCTATCTGTCACACAGCCTCGATACCCTTGTCAGGATCAGATCTCAAAAAAAAAGAAAATAATAATAATAATAATAATATTTATACCTGTTAGCTGCCAGGGAACAGACTCTTCAGGTGCTGCAAGGATCAGACGTGGCGCCCATATGCTGGACGCCTCGCATATTCACTTGGGTGACAGTGCAGTGGACATAGTGGCAGCATAATGGCATCGCGCAATGTCATATCGCAATGAAGTACAAAGAGCCCTGCACCAAGTATGTCATCCGATACTCGGCATTTGAGGCAGAACTTTATCGGTCCTACAGAACACATGTACAAGGGAATCCCATGATGTAAGATGTCCAGGTGCGGTTAGGCCCCGGGGGCCTTGGAAGCCAGCTCATCCCCGATCGATTGTTTCTTTTTTTTATGTGAGAATCATGCGTTCGATCGCGGTTTCTAGATAGGTCGGTGGATTCGATCGTAAGTTGTTTCCTAAACTGTTACTAATTCTCAGAGATCATACCTAGGTAGAGGCGGTGTTCAAAGACATTGCAGAACCTCCTTGAAGCAAGGAGGCTCGGTGGAAAGGATGCAGTGCCACAGACCACGGTCCCCTGTGGAGATCATTTCAAGTGCATGGTCTCCTCATGCTGCAGAATTAAACACGAAGTCCATGATATTCGAGAACGCAGAACGCAGAACGCAGAACGCAGAACGCAGAACGCAGAGTTCCTGCTTTCGGCATCCTGCTTTGGAGATATGCAAATGAGCAGTACACATCGCACTCCAGGGAATGAAGGTGATTTGCGGTATCTGCGGCTAGTCTCTCTGCTCAGTGAGAGTAGGGGGGGAAGACCCACTGGATCCTGGAGCTATACTCCGGGGGGACATACGAGGCTCTCTTTGACAGCTGGGAGCTATTTGAGAAGTTTGAAAAAAGCACTTATTCGGATATCCGCAGCCTTTTAAATGGGTCTTTTTGAATGGTCGAGACTGTCGGGGTGGAACCCCTGACAGGGGTGTCAAGGAACTGTAGAACGTGGATAGCCAGTCCATCGGTGCAAAACCAAGAAAGAACTCCACTGAAATCAAAATCAGGCTATGGGTTGCATATAAGCAAACAAGAAAGTTTTCCTGCATGATGCGTGCCATCGAGCCCCGCCGTTTCTGGACTCAGATAAAATACACTAAAAGGGTCGTGCTTGGTGTTTTGATCGCTCCAGGGCTGTAGCAGATGCATCCTAGGTACAGAAACTCTGTATTTCCGTAAGTTGAATGGCAAATCTTCGGTTCAAAGACTAGAATCGTAAGACCGAACTTTGAGAGTTGAGTTCAGCACCACGGTTGTACGCAGCTGGAGATAGGAGTCCAAATGGACTAAGATCGCCGCCAAGCGACATGCATCAGATTGATCAACATGGAGAGTGGGGCTAAGTGACAAGCAGAATAACCAAAAGCTCCGAATTTTTTTGATTATAAAGTGAAGGAGTAATTGTAAGGCTGATTCACTCCTTTGATGTACCACTGATCCTGGAAATCGTATTTGTAAGTTGCGGCTAAAATAACATATTCTCCATAGGAGGTTCCAAAAGGTTAGGGGGGGGAAGGAGTTTTGATACCCAACAACTTGAGTCATATCCAGTTGCTTTTCTAGACTTGAACCTCGATCAAACTCAATCATTACAAAGTTTGAGGTAGATCATCTAGAAATGAGATCCCTCCCCTTCAAGTCTCCCCTTCAAGTTGTGGAGGGGTTCACGCAAAGACCTGGTGACAGCTTGACAAGAAAAAAAATATATGGACACAGGCTAAACTCACAAAATAAGTGAGATTGTCCAATAATCGGACACCATCTTCGACATGAGACGTATCATTCACAGCCCCCCCCCCCCTGTCAGAGCAAGAGCAAATCAACGATGAATAGTGGCCGAGGTTGACCGAGTGGATCCCTCATTCCGGGGTCGCAGGAACGATACATCAACTTTCTGGTTTTTTTTTTTCATTTTTGGCTGCTCTTTCAGCCCATAGTTGACAAGAATCGGATCATCCACCTATTCCTTCTTAGCTCCATTGCATGACTGGAAGCAGTAATGTGTCTCGATACGATCGGCTTTTTTTTGTGTTCGTGAGACCTGCAACACGTCTCAAGCAGGATTTCTGGATATGTCAATCCACCCCCACCTGGCAAACTTGGATTGAAACTTCAAAGGAAAAAAAAAAAAAAAAAAAGCCCGGGGTGTTCGGACAAGATAAATATGATTGGTTTATCTCTTCTGTGGCGTTGACAACAATTTTATCCAGTAGAACCTTGATCCTTGATGTAAAGAGTAAAGAGAATAAGGGAGAAGAAGGAGAAGGAGAAGCTTACTCTCTCACGGGAACTTCCGAAAATCCACACTTTTCTATACTTTGTTTGACCTCAAATCCTTTTTTTTTTAAAATCCTTTTTGAATTTAATTTTTATATTTTATATTTATATTTATATTTATATTTATATTTTCTAATTTATGATTTATTATTTTCTTATTTTTATTTTTTTGAAAATCTGCAATCGCGGGGCGTACACTGGGCTTGATCTCTTTTCCCCTTTCTCTCCTAGTTTATTTTCTCCCTTATAAAGACCTCCTTCCAGCTAGACAAAATCCAAATCAGATGCCTTCTATCCTCAATTGCATAACTTGTGAAATCTTTCAAGCTCGGTTGCCTTGACGCAAACCTCCTCGAATCACAATCAAACTTTCCCGATATAACTTCCATCATCCTGCACCATGACCAACTCTTCATGTGTATCAACAAGCTCAAAGCTGCCTTCCGTCAACAAGGTTCGTTCAGTAAACAGTTTCAAATAAGACTCTCTCTAACCAAAATATAGATGCCCGGTGTTCGGTGTCCTAACTGCGCGTCTAAAGGACAGGAAGTCTGGGTTATCCCAGGTAAAAGCTGTCATGTATGCCATACTCCATGTGCATGAAATTTGAGCTACACCTTGAGATATCGATGGAACTCAACTCAAGTTGCCAGTGTGTCCCAATATGGGCCAAGACTTGGGTGGACACTTTTTATTATATGTATATAAAATTATAGACGCAGCCATGCTTGCCTCTGTCAAGTTGGTATCTATTTCAAGTTAGTGCATGGTGTGAAATCATGAGCGAGACCGAGACTACAAGACTAGACATACCTACCCATGGACTCGAACATTTGAATGGTGAATTCAAACTTGAAATACAACCCGCCGCCGAATTCCAAGTCTTCTACTAAGGTTGATGGTCGTGCCTGTGAACATGTGACACTTCAAGTTGCTAGCACTAGATGAAAGTTAACATCCATCAATGTATTTCAATAAATCATGAAGTCGAAGTACTACATAAATCTACAGGTAGTACCAACTTGAAACGGAAACAGCTTGAACCAGTTGACATTTGAACTTCCAAGGTTCAACTTGAAGTTGAAGTAGTCCACAATTGACCCGGACATCTGATATATAAATACTACAAGTCAACTGGTAGTACTACCTACACATGGCATACAGGGCTATAGTTACCTCCAGGCTATGTACCGCCCGGGCGACTCCAAGTCGGACCTTCAACCAGTTGACTTCCAACTTGAAGGTTCAAGTTCAAGTTCTCAGGTTGAAATGCTGAAAACTGCCCAGGTGGGTACATGGATACATACCGTACTCAAGTGCTACTATTAGTACATACTAGTACATCAGTAGTATATCCATTTATATTACCTATGTACATATGGATATAGTACTAGTAGTAAAACCTGCACATGTGAAGTGCAATAAACACCAACCTTGCAAGGTACCGGGATGGGTTGTATTCAATTAAAATTGCTCTTGAATGTTATCAATTGATACTATGACGTAGCCTCAGGCTTTTAAATTCACTTAAAGGTTCCAGCTGAAACCTCACATTGGCATATATAGCCTTAAGCCTATGGCTGCTTTAAGCTCAAATCTTGGAAATGCCAGCGATGTGCCCTGCAGACATAATTATATTTAGTACGTGATACCACCGTCACTAGTAGTGACTTGAAGTGCTAGAGTATACCTAGGAGGTATCAATGGGCATTCAAATTGTGAATCTTACTATGTAATGAATGTACCTAATCTTCAAATGTTACATAGGTATACACTACCTACCTAGGTAGTATGGATGATTCCAAGGTTTACACGTACTCCAGCCTAGGATTAGATAGTAGAGCTACACCTGGGCATATGGAAAAACTTTTTCCTACTACTACATTCTCAGCCTTGGAAATGATGTGATGAATCACTTCTACTGCAAATATACAGATGCCGAGCCTAATTATTCTCAGTAACCAAAACTACCTACATGCACATAATAGCACTGGCCTAAGGAAGATTGAACACCTGGGCACTGGAATGAATCAAATATCAGCTGATTCCCAAGGTCTATAACTACCTAGGTGAGTGCAAATAATCTAGTGCAAGAAGCGGAAATCAACTCTGTAGGCTGAATTAGTTTCAAGGCTCACGTTTGCAGAATATTGATACTGAAATAGATCAAGGCTTACCTCTTGTTCCCCAAGTGACTATTTTCTGCAACATAGCGCTCTCGCTCGTCATGGGACATATTATTCCAGACAGCAGCATTTTGCCTGTGGTTTCTTGTTAGTACATAATGAAACGCGCTCAGGGATGCCATTATGTAGCTGAAGACATACTTGTTCCGCCATACGTAGTAAATTTTAGCAGCAATAAACAGAATCATACTCCAAACGGCCAACGCAATCAAAACTGTATTCCCAGTTCGATAATATGGTTTATCATTATCGTGGTATATCTGTAGCGTGTTCTTAGCCTTGTATCTTTGAGTTGCTTTCAAAGGTGATAAATTCAAGTTGAAAACTCACATTGCTCCCAATAATGGCACTTATCTGGACTGACATATTGTATAACGCGGTAGCAACCGTTCGAGTTCTGACAGTTCCTGCATTGCGAGATGTAATTGCCACAATGATTGCATGCACATACGGCATAGCCAACAGTAGTGTGATTAAAATCCACCGAGCCCAGGAACTCGCGCTATCAGGAAGAACTTCAAGGGCAATCAAGAGCACTAGAGCCCAAAATTCAGCAAATACACCAAGTAGGAGACGTTGGTTAAATCTTTCTGAGAACCATGTAATCCAAAGTAAGTTCACAATGAACAGCACATAGGCAGGAATGGTCAGCAAATTGGTATGGAAAGTGCTAAAACCAAGTGACTTCAATTCCAGGCTAATGTAGCTGGTTGCTGGAGTATTAGGAACCATCCAGGTTAATCCAACCAAGTATATGATCCACATGTCATAGTCCTTAAGGGCCTGCCAAAGCATCTTGGGGGTGACAGGCTGGCGATTGTGCATACCTCCCTTACTCGGATCATCGCGTAAGATACGATTGACCATGATCTTTTCCTCGTGCTCGTTAAACCAGCCTTTCTTTCCTCGCAACCACCCAGCTGTCTGGGTTGGAGAGGCTGGCATCCAGAATGCTGCCACGATACCAATAACACCGGTAATGAGTCCTTCAAAGGCGAACAGATAGCGCCAACCACCATTTCCTTGAGCGTTATGAATATGCAAGAAGCCATAAGCCAAAAACGCACTGAGAATAGATGTTCCTTCATAAGAGATCCAAAAAAAGCTAAGACGTATAGGAAGCTCCTTGGTCTTATACCAAAATGAGAGAAATAGAATAGTGTCTGGGATGCTTTAAAGAGGTTAGCTTTTTAGAATTCTTTCAAATAAAAGAGAACTCGGAAACTTTTCATACAAACCACCTTCCAAGAGACCTAGCATGGCTCTACAGGCGTAATAACCACTCTTGTTTTTCATAAAAGATTGACAGGCAGCAATCAGACTCCAGGTGACCATCTGAACTGGAATCCAGCGATCAGGGCCGACCCATTTCGAGATTAACTGCGAGGGCATTTCCGCGAAAAGAAATGTCAGATAGAATATTGTTTGCCCGATATTGTAGTTGTTTTCTGTCATTCCCAAGTCTGTAAGCATGGAGTCGGAGGTGGCTTGGACTATATTTCCACGATCTAGCTGAAGAGCAAAGAAGGTAATACATGCAAATGTACAAATTCTCCAGTCAATCTATGAATAATCATTAACTTCCTGTTGAGATACTTGTATCAGGGGCAGGCCTCAAGTTTCAAAATAGTACTATTACCTTTTTGACAATGGCCCTCTCTTCCTCTTCCGTCCATTCAAATTCAGGATCCCAGCGGTGGTAACCCTCATAAGTCTCAATTGGCTTATAGTAAAGAGGGTTTTCTGTAGCATCAAAGGCACAATCAACTGCTCTAATCACCCGGTATAATTTTCAACGGAAGAGGTTGAGACAGAATCTTCGGCCCTTGGAACCTTCGTTGCATCTTTGTTACCATAAGTTTCATTGTCATGGCCAGGATCAAAATCTTTAGCCTCGTCGATGGTCATATTCCAATGTTGAGGATATGATCCAAATACTACTACTAGTATTCAATAAGTAGCAATCCAAATTCTTTTTCTTAAGTAAAGGAAATGGTAACTTGAAGTCTAGATGTTTCCAAGGTCGAGAAATGATTGTATCTAGGTAGAAAGAGAACAAGAACCACTCAATATATGTAAAGACGCGAACTCATTGAACCTTGGAAGATAACCTTGGAAGCGACTGGATCGGCATGAAGTCTTCATCTCAATATATCACGCCATTTTACGGCTCCATTACTATTTTCAGCTTGAGTATTAAAGTACCTAGGTATGATTTCTAAAGTTATTATGACTACTACCTGCCAGTGGACCCAACATTTGAATATGCATGAGTACAATAGTACTAATCCTGGAGGTAATTTCAAGGTTAATGGTACTAATACAAGATGTATGGCTTCAATTGCGACTGTTACCCATTTAATGGCGTTTTCAAGTTCGATCCACCTGTGGACCCTTAAGAGGTGAATATACAACATATGTACTTAGTACTAACCCTAGAATCACTAGGTACATAATAGCACTCCACCTTTCAGTGCCTAGATTTCCATATCTATCACGCAAAAGCAGATAAAGTGATGCGAGCTCAAATGACTAGCAATATTGATTTATTAGGTTTCACATGTGCACATGTGCACTCTGAAAGTGTTCATGAAACATTCAATGTTTGAATCTGGATATGTAGCAAGATTCAAGAATACTCCCAATTCAGTTTGACAATGAGCCTGAGTAGGTAGAGATTTTCCTTTCCTTTCTTTTCCTTGTCTTTCAAGTTCAAGTTGTCTAATAAAAGGTTGTGAATTTAATGTGTTCTGTATTTCGGCAAGTATCCGAGATTTATATACCATCTCTAGGGCCGTGAAATAGTTACATCCTACGTACTAGGTAGTATTTAAAATATTAGGATGTAGAATGGATAAAAACGACTTGAAACTTCCAAGGTTTAGATTAATTGGAGTCTTGTTTCATCTCATAAATCCCTAAAGAGAAGCCGAAAAATCGGCATTGCTACGCAACCTCAGTTCGTTATCACGCCATATGATGACGCTTGAGTTTGAAAGAAATGAAAGTAACATGATCTGAAACTCCTGTAGAGGTATTTAAAGTCAAATTTACTGTAATCAATTATATGTACTTTTCCCTTTTATCATGCGTAATAACAATTTCAACTTGAGAAGTCCAGATGTCAACTCTGAAATTCGACATTTGGAGGTCAAAGACTACTCATCTATGCACATGTGGATACTTCATGGGCCTCAGCACGCCATACTAGATAAAGATCATAACTCAGAATCTGAGTCAAGTATTGAGTATTGATAATTTGAAGATCCGGAATCGGAGTACTGAGATTCTTGGCTTCTAACTTGTACATATGTACATAGTATGTACTACATTCAAGTTTGAATCACTGAATAAATTGTGTTGTTGACGCCATCAACCCCGCATTGATGTCAACTGGTACTACTAGTAGTACTTATATCAGCGTATAGCTGCCACCATAGTTAAAATCTGACTCGGAACTTGAAGTTACTTGAAATAAATTTGAATCATCCGAGTCCACTGTAAAAAGAGCTACAGTATCTTTCAATATCTTTGATCTCAACGCCCTGATCCTCAAAAATGGCCCCAGCAGTCACCGACGCTGCAGATCAAGCTGGACTCCGTTCCACAACCTTCATTGTGCCTCTAAAGACTGATACAGGTCATAACAAGGAGAATTTAATTGGCTATAAATATGAGAAAGAGGCGGAGCTTCAAGGGACAGAAAGGATTGCTCCAGCTTCATTTCCTAACTATCTCCCAGTTTGGAACAACGAAACGGAAAGGTAGGAATTGATTCCATCATTATGCATTTGGATGACTTTGAGTTGTCCATTAAACAGCGTGAAATATCATTCACTTATTAATTTCAATAGATACCCTCCTCTGACCCTCTTTGAGCATTATGACCATGGCAAAGATGCTGATCCGAACTTCCCTGACCTTCTTCCCAAAAGTGTAGCTCAAGTGGATGATATTACTCCTTTTATTGGTACTGAGGTTCAAGGTGTACAGCTGAGCAAATTGTCTAAAGCAGGCAAGGATCAGTTAGCACTCTTTGTAGCTCAGCGCCGTGTTGTTGGTAAGTCCACCTATGTAGTCAAGAGAAGAAGGGAACATGTAGGCTTTTGATCCATGTTGGAGTCAATGTTGATGCTTTTATGAGCTTTTCGTGATCAAGACTTTGCCTCCCTACCTATTCAAGAAGCAGTCGATTTCACTGGTTATTTTGGTCGTCACCACATACACCAAACCTCTGGTGCTCCAAAGGGGTTTCCCGAAGTCCATCTTGTGTTCCGGGGTATCGATGACCGTACTGGTGCAAAGTTCCTCGATCAACGTACCAACACCATAACTTGGCACAGTGATGTCACTTTCGAGAAACAACCACCTGGCACAACTTTCCTATATGTACTAGACGGTCCTTCAACGGGTGGCGATACTCTCTTTGGTGATATGGTGCAGGCATACAAGCGACTGTCAGTTGAGTTTCGCAAGCGTTTACATGGACTTCGGGCTGTGCATTCAGGTATTGAGCAGGTGAATGCGAGTTTGAATGGAGGAGGTATCGCACGACGTGATCCTATCACTTCAGTGCACCCTGTGGTTCGGACACATCCTGTTACTGGGGACAAGGCTCTCTATGTGAACCCACAGTGTAAGTTGATGAATTACCTGTCCTCTTGTCCTCTTGCCTTTCCCTCTACTTTGAAACTTTATGTCACTTTTTACCTTGTGCTAACAATCAGTCAAGTCACTCGGTATATTGTCGGATACAAGAAGGAGGAGTCAGATCATTTACTCAAATTCTTATTTGATCATATTGCTTTATCTCAAGATCTCCAGACTCGAATCCGCTGGAAGCCTGGCACAGTAGTGGTGTGGGATGTAAGTATCTGTTAAAAATCTACTATAGGGTCGTTAAACATCTTATTAAACGCATGCTTACTTCACTAGAATCGTCTGGCTTGCCACTCGGCTGTATTCGACTGGGAGGACGGACAGAGACGCCACATTGCTCGCTTAACGCCACAAGCCGAGCAGCCTTACGAGACGCCATTTGAAAACTGAGGAAATAATATTGAGTTTCAAATCCATAGCAGGTGTTGGATCTTAAGGAAATTCGACCTATGTGTGGCATTTCTGGGTTTGAATATAGCCCGCTCCTTGCAGAGCTTGATTTTTGTTTCGAGGGCCTTGGAATGAATCTGATTTTCTTAAATATGAGAAATAACTGATTACTTACGTCGCAAGAATGCCATCTCGGCTGAAAAGATCCAAGAGTCCAACATTCCATTCGTTGAACTTTCTTGCTGAGAGGGGAAGGATGCTGTTACTCTGCAGCAGAGCATCAGACACTACCTGGAAAACCATGGCAGGAAGTATCACCTCTTCGGGGGCTAGAGATGGGTTTCCAATGTCATCCATAAGAAAAGGGCCGAAATCATCCACTGTCTGAAAGAGCACTTTCATGGCTTGCTGGGGGCCGATACTCCGAGTTCCATTGGAATAAGAATAGTAGAGATTGGGACTGAAGACCCACAACTAGAGATTGAGTCAGTATGTTTGTTACATAGTAGCGAAATATAGATACCAAAAGTCCATTTTTCAGTCCTTCGTGGACGATAAATCTTCGCGCATTTTCTCGCTGAATTAATTCAAGCAACTGAGCTGCCACTAGGACTTCCGAAGAGTGGGATTGCCATTGATTCCCATCCAAATCACCCTTTAGGCTATGCGTGTTCAAAGATAAATTCGCCTTCATGAGGCGCCACCCGCTCACTGACGAATCTTGGATTCCCACAAACGAATCACACGTGGTACAGTGCAGCGTGAATTGCTGAGGAATCCCAATACAGGGGTTTGTATGCTGATCATTTCCCTAGAAAATGTATGTCAATTTGTAGAACTATGAGGTGAAAAAAAACAGAACGCTGATTGACCGCGAGATGGATGAGTATATAAATCGCCCAGGATGTTCGAGCCTCTTATGATTTGTAGAAGATGGGTTGATATCTCTTCATGTGTCTTCTCATTTCACGTCAACCCCATTATTCTAGGAAAGGGAGAGCCCTAAAACTGACGTTGGAAATGGAGAAGATGTGTCAAGGCGCCATTGTCGTTGGAGGACAGCACGAAAAAAAAAAGAATGTGGAAATGCGTGGGAAGTGAAATCCATCTGTAAAAGAGGATAACTACCACTCCAACAGCCATTCCGTCATAGCTCTGAACCGTCAACTAACACAAGGAACGCCAGGGCAGTATTATCTAGGGCAATAGTATCGAGGACCACAACATCGAAGTGAAAACGGAATGGTCTTCTTCTGAGTTGCCCAAAGCAGGAGCAGGAAAATGGGGGTAAAAAGGGAGACATAATGGAAATTGGGATCCGGATGATATCGTTGAATGGGAGGAACTAAATTCGAGGAAACATGCAAGAAACAGTTGCTCACCTTTTGCAATCCGATGCAGTCGGAAACTGCGAGTATAAATGAAGTCACGTCGATGAGGATGGTACCGGAAACTGCTTGAATATGACTAGCAGCGCCATACCCTTTTGCTTGAGCTACCTGCTCTTCAGACCTCAGTACAGCCATGCCTTCCGAGCTTTGATCATTCTCCCTAGGATCAGGTTTGTGGCAGTGCCAGAAATCCATCATCTCGGCCCAGTTTCCACTGGGGAGATCCTTCCATATCCACCCTGAAGAAGAGTCCTGATCGTGGACTCCTGTATTATGAGAAATTGAGGTATTCAGGAATGGCGATCCACAAGCGCGACATCGAATCCGAGTCGAGATAGACATGTCGGCTGAGGTCCAAGGCACATGGTTATCGATTGATTCATCCCTTGGCATAAGTACCGGGTCAGTAGGATCTATTTGCATTCTGAAAGAATATTCCTGGCTCTGGCCTTCCGACCGGTCGGTTATTGACAGTGGTTCATTGAGAACGAATACCTGCGGAGTGGCGTCACTCACGCGGGCCGGAAGCTTGATGATTCGCGTTGCATCTGGAAAATATTCTGACAAAGAAAATTTTATTGCGCTGCGAGACTTCAAAACCTGGAGCTCTGGGCGAAGCGTGACAAGAGTTGGGGGTTTGTTGTACGAAAGGTATAGGGAGACCTGACGGATGTTGAGGAGTAATTCAGAATACAGGTAGCAGGATACATCTGCAATCAAACTATAAGCTTGAGAAGAATCGTGAGACATGGCCAGTCCCCCGTTTAAACTTGACCCAGGTGGGAGGCTGCAAAGAAGCCCTGGAGTTGTCGGGAATATCAATGGCGCTGAACCAAAACGAGCAAACAATGCAAAACTCCAGCACGTGATCTTTAAACTAAGCCAAATTTGGTTGGGGTGACTCAGCAGGACCAGGGCATGAGGTCCACCTGCCCAGCCCTGAAGGTGGGCATGGATCCAGGGCCCTCCAGCCCTCCTGAGCAGCCCTGGAGATGGAGCCCAGTTGTCCACGGGTCCATCTACCAATGTATCGATACATGTATGCAGTAAGTACACATCTTCTCACCCCAGAACCTTTTTTTCAATCAGGCAACATACATACTACTATATGGGCTAACCGTATATTTGATGTAGGTAAATATCAATTTTATCTAAATCAACCATGCTGAAATACCTTAACACACGAGATGATTGATCTTGATTCTTGATAGTATCCGAAATAATATTCCTTGATTTCAAGTTCTACATTGGAAAACATCATGGGTTGAAGATTAGAAACTACATAGTAGTAGTACCCAATGATTATTTCACATAATTTAAGCCTTTCGCTCCACCATGGGAATCGGGTCATGTGGCTTGTCTTCAACTTGACCAGAGAGAATCTCAACTTCGATACGAGGGCCAACATAGTTCTTGCGGCCATCAACAATCCAGGTGATGGCCGAAATCACAAATACAATGCCAAAAGCAGCCACACAGTAGTCTAAGAAAAAAGAGGGAGGGAAATGTTAACTCTTCTTGCATATGTCTAGTCAAAGAAATAAGGAAACGTACTCATGTTGCTGCCAGTGGCAGGAAGATCGGGAGGAAAGAGAAACAGGACAGTGGTCAGGGTAATGTAAACCATTGATACCTAACAGGAAATATTAGTTTAAAGCCTCTCCAAAGCGAGTTGAGCTCATACCATGTTCAACACCCAACCAACAGCATTTGGAAGAACGAATGATCTTTCGGGAAGTGTGTTGCGCCCCCGAAGGCAGTTAATTCCAATTGGAATACCGTAAGCAAGATCCAGCAAAACAACAGAAGCGGAAATGATAGCGTTAAAGGCGCTAGATGAACCGAGGAAAATCAAACCGAATATGATGACAAGAGCAAGATTGAGACAGAGTGTGTTGAGAGGGACTTTCAGCTTCGGGTGAATCTTGGAGAAGAAAGGCGAAAAAGGTAGTCCGCCGTCACTGATTAATAACAATTTATTAGCGAATTTGATGAATGGTGAGATAGAGCCTTGGAAGGGACATACCGAGCAAATGCATAGCACATTCGACTGCTAGTGGTCATGATAGCGGTGGTAGCAAAGAGCATACAGACGAGCGGGAAGCTAGAGAAACAATCAGAACCATGATTATGACCATCAATATATCAGAAGATCAGAAGATCAGAAGGATCATGAAATCATAATACTTACACGAGTAAGCAGATGGCACCCGCTTTGTTGGCAGTGGCGTTGTACAGTATCGCAAGGAGAGGACCCGCAGCCGACTCAGTGATCTGAGATATGCTGCCAGCTACAAACAAGAGAACAACAAGGAAGATAGTACCAGTGACAGTACCAATGCCAACACAGGCGATCATAATCTTGGGACCCTCCACGGAGGGGTTGGGGATCTCTGATAATGATTAATTCCATTCTTGGTTGAAGGAGGTTTCAGGCTCGAATAGATTTACCTTCGATCATATGTGCAACACCATCCTATGTTTATTATTAGATGAGATGCCGTTATTTCAAGTTATTCGTTTCCTTTTGGGATTCTTGACTCACAAAGCCTGTAACACCGAGTCCTCCTTGCAGAAGCTGGGTAAGGTTGTTAGACAAATCAAAATGGCACAGGAGAATGAATATGAATCTAAGGTACATACTCCAAGCAGCCAGGCAATTCCATCGGGCCCTGCATAATAAGTTTTAGTTTGGGATTCTCCTGTCAATCTCCAAATTCCGATTTCACATACAGCCAGTTTTATTGATGAACTCGCGAAACACAAAACTGTTCCGTCTCGTTAGTCATTTCTATATTGGGTCTCCCACCAAGATTCGGAGGCACATACTCTCCAGAATTGAAATTTGGTGAGGCACAAGCGAGTACCGTGATACAAATAGTAGTAAAGCCACCCAGGGACCAGATAACTTGAAACGAGTTAGATTTCGATGGAACAGTTTTACCTAGAGGGTAAACTCACAGGCAGCCTTGTTAAAATAAGGTAAAATACTGTTTCCGAAGGCATTGATGAGGAATCCAGCCACATTATATCCGATGTAGATCAAGAATTGGTGCCATGGCTGAGAAGAGTAATTCTGTATCAACCATCAGATAGGGATTGGTTCCCAACCCAACAAACAGACATACCGGATGCACTAGCGAAATGACTCCGAGGACCAACTCGCTACCCAGAAGACCACCGGTAGCAACCAAGGCAACCCAACCAGCACAGTTCACCCAGCCGGTTATCCATGATAAAATGGGCATCCATTTTTCCCAGGAAATAACTATGACAATCCAACTTGAATGAGCCTAAAAAGTAAGCACGATGAAAAGATGGTATTTCACTCACCAGCGACCCAGTGGTATTGACCTCCTGCCCTATTAACCATTGTCAGCTATCTCTGATCTGCATCACAGCCAGCGGTGCGTGGCCCCAGGGGATGGTGGGGAATAGAATATCTCACGTGGGGTACGCGGAAAGGAATTCAGCAAGCGATGCAGCCATGCACAGATTGCAAATACCTGCAGTAACCAGACCTGATGGGCGTAGTTAGTGCACATTCTGCGTATAAGCCCCGAGACATGGGGGATTGGAATACCCCAAACGACACTAGCACTCCCTCCCGATGGCAGACTAAGTGACAAACTCGCAGACAAAGCAGTCCATGACTGTTGGGGGTCGATAATTAGTTACTCCGCAGCAAGCTCGATTCTTGATCATATCATTTCTCGATTCATCTTCCCGGTCATACATTTAAAATGGCAAAAGCAAGGCCGAGCATGGACCTGAGATGAATAGCAGAATTAGCATTTGCGATCGGGTGTTAAAAGCCCTTAAGAGGTTCAAGTTGGGAATCGAAACATACAACAAAGAAAAGTGCCGCTTTAGCTCTGACTTATGACCCATCTGGGCCAATTGTGTTTCATCATCGCCATATCCCTTAATCGGAGGATCCATATTGGGTAACAGGGCAAAGCAGCCGAAGGGTGGGAAAGGAAAGTGAAGAAGTGAGAGAAATAATCGCTGCAGATCATAGACCACAGGGAGAAGGCCATTCAAATAAGAGAAAGACCATGACGACACCTTCGATGATGACTTTCCAAAAACAAGAAGAATAATAAGGAGTAATTCTAATAGGTAAGACTTGCAAGGTTGGAATGGAATCTGATCTCCACCACCATTCCCGATCGACACGGGCGCGCGGGGGGAGAATCATGGTAAGGTAATGAAATTTGGGGTCGATGGGGGATTGTGGGGGAGATACCTAGATACCAATACGAGTTTTTTATTGGTAGGAGATACCGAATACGGCACTTCTATCCAATCAACATTGAAATATGTGATACCCCAATTTTCGGTTACCACGCTCTGACTGCTCCACCCTGAAGCTTATTTGATATTTACCCTGATATGATTTGTAGAGAACCTCGGGACCGGCGATCTCCGTATGTAAAATACAGAACCTTGAAACCTTGAAACCTTCCAAGGTTGCTCTACCTATGTAAAATGTATACTCCGTACTTTCATCACTTCACGCGTGAATCTCGTTTCTTGTCTTCTATACTATAGGTATGAACTGATGTTATAGATTTGCCGAACTCTATCTTGACGATTTTCTTTGTCTTTGATTAAGGTTTGTCGTCATCGGTTTACCTACCCAAATAGTATTTATGCTCCTATCAGTGTTATCATGGGAATGGGTCCTTTTGTGGGGGGGGGGGGGCCATAGAAGATTGGGAAATGCATTATCTCTTCGTTCACCAAATCAACATATGTAACAAAAGATAAATCGTAGTATTTCACCGGTGACCTCGTAGGGCGATTCCAAGTTCAAATCTTCAAGTTGCTCAATTTGCTCAAGTTCTGGTCTTAGTTTCTTCCGGTTAGGAGTTGAAGCACGTGAGCTGTACTGTCAGCCCCATAATTCTGTTAGGCACACGCTGCACACCCTCTTCCAAGGTTGATTATTTAGACATTGAAGTATTGAAATTCGACCAATTCATTTTGACGATGCATATGCGCAATTTTTACAGTCTCAATTTATGTCTGTAACTTAGTTATCTTCAAGTTTTGGGATCTTTTAGTCCATAGACACACGGTAGCTCAGAGCCCTCGTTGACGGGGCGTCTCCACATGTGCATGATTGTGAAGACTCGGAGACATTGGGAGAGGACTTGGAATAAAATTTGAAGTAACTTGGGTATATATTCAAGTTGGCCAACCACTCAAGTGCTGCCAGTGCCCAGGTGGCACTGGCACATGGATGTGCATCCATTCTATCATGATCAATTCAAAATGTTTAATCATGATATCCCCACTTGAATGTTCAAATTGGTACTCTAACTTATGTAAAATTGCCAGAATCTTTAGGCCCGGGCTAGTCCATTCGATATACTACGAGTCATTATTGTTGCTCGTATACTAATCAATTACACTCAAGTGCTCCGAAGATTCCGAGTCTGCATAGTAGGTATGGATAGCACTTGAGATCTCTATGTAGTATCACCAGTAGTAGTATTACTAGGTACCTAGTAGTACTACATAGGCCGGAAGCCCTGGAGGTAGTAGGTAGTAATATTTATCATTCGGAACTAGTACTACCTAGGTATATACCTACGTCCGTGGACGGCCCACGCGTGACATCTGGAGTCGGACATGTGGACTCTCGGACCTTCGAGTCGGGAATGGATCGAACATTTGAATATATATGGATATCAGCCCGAGTCTTCCAGATGTCACTGGCACATTTTAAGATTTTGAAGTTTCTTCAATGTTTGCGCATCCGAGTCGGGATGCACTGGCAAATGTCACAGTTGTCCAGACATTGGAAAATAAGAGATGCACGAAGACTTAGTCTCGGGAACATTGGAACTTGAAGTTATCATCACATCCATGATAAACATCAGTTGACTACATGTACAAGGTTGCCCCTCCCCTCCACCTGGGCTACTAGACTCATGCTCACCAGCACTTCCAGGTTGACATCTTAGGTGCTCAAAAGAGAGGTTAAAGTTCAACTTTGGAATATTCCAAATTTCCTACTAGTGGACTCTTACAGCTACGCATTAGTTAACATCATTAGGTAGTACTACTTCTATCAATGTACATATGTAGTAGTGACATTTGAATACTACTACCTAGGTAGATAGTACCACCTGGGCAGTTGACCGTACCCTTGACGTCCCGGTGACAGATCTGAGAAATTTTTAATCTCGCCTTAGAACCTCCGAAGTCCCTCAAATATGTATAGTACTACTAGGTAGTAACCTTGAATTTGATACTAATCACCACTAGCAGACGCCCACTCCATGAATTGAACCTGTGGGTCTGGTAGTAGTACCCAGCACTTGAGGTTGCTACATAATCAACTTAAATCTATGTAGACATTTTACTCACTGATAGGTGCACACCTAGTGATTACCAACTAGCCTGTACTTGAGTAGCTATGTGCCTAGTAAAAGTGGAAATGTGTACATGTGTACTCCGTAGTAAGTATTCAGCTAGTAGTGGGTGATGCGGGGCCTTGGGCTGCCAGCCCCAGAACTCTCAGTCTACCTAGTAGCTAAGCGCATGTGGTAGCTCAGAGTATATGCAGCAAGGATTTATTTTACTAATAGTACTAGTAGTAAGTTCGATGCTGAATTCTGCGTAGATCATTTGAAGCAAATTTAGTTGATTAAAAATTGTTGGGATGGATGATAACGGGCGCTTAGGAGAAATTAGCGTCTTTTAGCCCCATACACCTTGCATGCAGTAGGAGGGAACAGCTGCCAATAAGGCCAAGGTCGGTTCAAAAATAACCAAAGGCTAACCCAGCTTTTTAATCAAACGAGCTCCACTTGAAACATGTGAGCCGCCCATAGGTGGGCAGGCTCGTAGGCCTTTCCTCCATTCTGATCCTTAAGTTTTCCCTGGTGTCCCCAGATTTTGTGCACTTTCTTCCATTTCCACTGCCTTTGAGCCCATCAACTCGATGTATTCCTTCCCTTCAAGCTCTAAACATCTCTCCTTTTGGTCTCTGGTACTAGAGATAACTATAATTGTTATATTGCCAACAACTTGTGGCACATGTTACTGGCCAAATGGAGACAGTGACGACAGCTATGTACAGTGTCCCAGTGCATTATCATGTTGTCTGAAAGGCGAGTCATGTCTTTCAAATGGACTCTGTTTCACCGCAAATTTTGGTATCCTGTATCGGGGTGCCTGTGCAGATAAGACTTGGCCTATTGCAGAGTGCCCTAGGGCATGCTATACAGGTAAGTAGATAGTAATTCGTGCTGAACTAGCGGGGAAAGCCGTGGAATGAATAATATGATAACGAATAGAGATCGATACTGTATGGGCAAATCTGTTTCAATGCAATACCTCAACCGACCTATTGACATGCAATCATGACTTCACCTCTGCGGGAATCGTCTGCAATGGGTATGGAGTGGGCACATACAACGGATATACAAGTGCCAACGTGACAGCGGCCAAGGTTGGGTTCACAGATTATGAAGTAGCATCGAATACAACTTCCTCGAATTCAACTTCGGATCAACCTGAAAGCTCAGCATCGATCATCTGTTCAAATGTCACAGAAACGACAACCCCGTCCAATCTCTACGCAAAGGATCATATTGGGCTCATTGCGATAAGTGCTGGTCTCGGCGCGGGCTTAGGCGTGCCTCTTGCAATAACGACGGGGCTTGTAATTTATTGTGCTGCTTTGAACCGAAAAAGGGGGAGGCGCCTACAGCAAGTGTCCGAGTCAGCAACCTTGAACGCGAAAACTCTGCCATGCCCCTTGTATTCAGCAGAGTTGGGAAGCCCAAATACTGTGTATAATGAGCTGGAGGGGGCACACTGAAGGGCCACGGGGAGCTCCCAGCCTGATTGTTATCTTGAGGCAACATTCAATTCTCTTTCCTTTTAGATCTCTTAGACTTTGGGAATTTTATGGTCCATGAACTTGAACATTTGAAGTTTCGCTTATTACTTTACTCATTTAAATAAGACCACCTAAGCACTGTGATACGTCTCTAGTGGTCATAACGCTCTGAAAAGCTTTAATCCACTACCTCGGAGCCCTGTATAGTTTTTTAGGTAGAATTTACCAGTAATACATACCGGGCCTGTCGACTTCCAACCTTAGCTAGAAGGTTTCACTGTTAGCAACTGGCACCCACGTACTAGCCTGGAGGTACTTAAGTGTAGGTAATGACCATCCATGGATCTATCCATGGATACTACCCTAGATACCTAGGTACTTCCAAGGTTACTTCATGTGAGTCCTGTTTTCTTGTTTTTGTACGTGCACGATTCTTTGTCCCTACTAGTTGAGAATACACACTCCTACACATATCTGGTTGTACTCATACGGGTGACCTCGGCCCTGAATCCTGATGCACTAGTATTCTGGGTTGTGGGTCGTCTATTGTAGCTGGATCGACCCGTGCACCTTGTGTACTGCCTAGAGCGTTCCCCTCTTCACTAGATAGGTATCCATATGGGTGGCTAGGTAGCACTTACTTGAGATCATTTCCGAAAAGATGGAAAAGTGTGAAAGCCCCAAATTTTAGAGCTTAGAAATATTACCTAGTACGGAGTGCATCCATTAAGCTTTTTTTCGCGGATTACTCCGGACCAGAAATTTGGACGCGGGCTCTGATCTGAGCGGCGGCAAATTTGCATAATGATTGGGACTCAGTCGGGAGCTCCCGAGAAGCTTCACCTAAGCGCCTACCTAGGCAGGTGATCATCTTGATTCTTGATTCTCACGTGTTGCCTCTACAAAAAGTTTAACATTTGAATTTTTTAATCGCATTCAGCATTACTAGGTAGCACCTGAGTCCCAACCTCTTCAAGTTGTACTGAGGCCAATCAACCGACATTTCAGAGCCCTGGAGGTATTCAATGTATGTAGTCAATCTCATCCTATCACCTAGTGGATATATCGTGAGTCCATGAGTCGTGAGTTGTGACCGTCGGGGTCGGTGTCCAGGTTACTAATCCCAAGTCCTAATTACTACAGAATTATTATGACTCGGAAATAAAAATTTTCTTGAAAGTGATTAATTCATCTGTGACTGCTGAAGTGCTAACAAGCTAGTGGTAAGTCTCATCGAAATAGATTACCCAGTTGGTGAAGTACACAACGGTATGAAACTGAAGATAAGAATCACCACGAAATGAGCTCCATGCCATTTGGAATTTTCCATCCGTGGTTAAGACAAGCTCTCTGAAAGGCTCTAACTGCCTCCCCAACGGAATAGTCACTCTGCGGAAGTTTGGCAAGGCGCGCTGGGCGTGGTTCTGTCGAGCTGATCGCCATGCGTACCTGCAGTAGAACGCTCTCAATGGATGCCACGGGAGACCATCCCGAACTTGTCAATAATTCCATGCACATGGCGCCTCCAGCGGTGATGTGCCCACCTCCACCGGCTGTGAACTCCATGAATCGTGGGCGAATGACTCGCACAAAAGGCGGGTCCATAGGGAATTGGGGTGGGAAACGAATTTCCATAACAACGCTATTGAGATTGGCTGCTTTCAGATCCTTTGCCAGCGGCAAGTCGAAGTCAAAAGAGTGAAATTCCACGATCCACTGATAGACAGTCGTAATCATGTTCGGATCCACATACCAACCTAGTTCTGCAAGTGGTTCTTTTTGCTGTAACCTGAGAGTTATTTGCAGATGCTGTTGAAGAAGCTTGGTTGCAGACGTTGTTGCGTAATCGGGTGGGGGAAGCAGCGGCAACGAGCTTTCTGTTAGGGTACCCGGAACAAAAGCGGCTCCAGACTTGGGAGATGCAGTGGGTTTAGTGCTATTAGCAGGCAAAGGTCGTGTGAAAAGTCCAGATTTCTTCCGAATTAGGCTCAGACTAGGACAGTCTGCTGAAATCTCTTCTTCTGAATCAGACAGAAGTAGATTGAGATCTTCTATCTCTGTTGAAACGCTCGCACAGCTTTCATCTTGTTGGGGCAAGGCTGTAGAATCTGCCAGCTGAAATATCTGACTCCGGTTCTCCTGATTTAATCTTTGTCTTTTTGGTGAATATTCTGGAGGAATCATTCCAATCATCCGTCGTTGCTGCATACTGACCGCTGAAAGGGGTATTTTGACAGGTTGTCCCGTAGGGCCATAGGCCAGATATTTGGGATCTTGGTCATAAACAGGCAAGTTTCCGGGATCGCCTAAGCCAGATGGCTGGAAGCAAATTGTTTTTGGAGTGCCCACAAAGAGATATCGGGGTTGAATCCACTCCAACTGTTGGACAACAAAATGAGGGTTGCTACTGACAAATTCGTCCGGTTTGTTCACAATCTCGTTCAAGGATACCACAAATCGTAGGTCTAGCTCACTGTTTGGCCAAACCCAGCCAGCAATCCGAGCTTCAGGAAATTTTCCTCCGCTGTAACCCACTGAAGTATTGAAACAATTTGACATGTAGACGCCATCCCCGCAAGCTCTGCCATTGGAAATTTCCTTGAAATGAAGACCCTCTCTTAGGATACTGTGCCAGTTGAACGCAGGACTACCGTGCCATGCAAACAATGTGGGATGACTTGGATTCACTGGCATTGACACAGACTTGACAGCTTCGGCAAAGTGCTGCTCCTTGTCTGGCGCCCCCTGCACAAATCGAAATTGAACATAGCCCTGCATTTGGGTCACCAGGAAGCGCGGGTCCTCGTTGTCTTGCAAAATACACGATCTATTCGAGGCAACAATCCATCGTAAAATGTCAAGCGCAGCTGGTGTGATTCTATTTCGCCAGGTTGAGAGAACTGTTTGAGACCCAGTCGATCCCAAGAACTCCTTCATTAATTGAACCGGGGGAAGGGTGTCAAGGATCATTTGCATGATTATTTGTTTTCGTGGAGCTGTTAGCTCATCAAAATCCTGGTCGTAGAGCACAAAATTCACATCTGTCATATTAGATGTAGTACTAGACCAGGAGTAGCTCTCTCCGGAGACGAGGCGATGTGAAAGTGCAAGATATTTTTCTGTTTCATCAATACGACGAACTTGGTAATGCTCTGGTGCGTACCCAGGGACAATGATCACGAGCCAATCGCCGGTTGAGACTCCAGGTAACGGTTCACAGAAGAGATTCATGTTATCTCGGTTTAAAACTCCACTGTGGGGGTTTAATGGCTTCCATGGCCGACCTATCCCAATTCCCTGGTTGGAATTCGTCTTACTGCAAGGAAAGTCCACACCAGGGACCCGGATTCCCAATCCATTTGGAAAGTCTTCGAGGCGCCCTGCCTTTGCCCTAGCGTATGCCAATGAAACCAGCAGGTCAACAACAAACGGCTGCGATCTGATCTCATGTTCCAGGCAGATGCCCATTCCAAAAGTGACATATTGATACAGGCACAGTTTGCTGGAACAGACGTAAGGTTTCAAAGCCTCATGTTTGTCGAAAGTTTTGCAATGGCATACAAGACAAAATTCTGTGCACTTGACGAAGTGGCGTAAGAGGAATTGCCAGGCAACAAGCGGAAACGAAGCCTTGGCAAGGTCTGACTTCATTTCAACGAAATGGTCAAGCACAAGAACATTTGGCGGTGTTGAGACCCAGTTTTCTGGTGCACAAAACTTTGAGTCACTTGCTTCTTCAGCAGTCATAGCACGAACTTGGCTGGAATGAAAGAAAAGTTCAGCACCTGTCCACGAGAACCCAAACTCTTTCCGGAGTGTCATGATTCCGAAAAATCGCTCGTTAAGAAGTTTATTGAGTTGCAACCCGATAGAAAGCTCTCTGAGTCTGATCAACTCTGTGTCCAGTACTCTCACAAAATTATCATTCACTCTCAATGGAGGCAGGGGCGTTTTAAATGCAGCTATGGCTGCCTGCAGGGGTGGCTTGTAGGAGTCGCAAAGGCAGACACGCATTTCCACAAGGTTGGTCGCGCGTTTAGTTCTGTCGAGAATGTCTAGCAGATTCTGGTACGTAGTTGAGTATCGAATCAATAGTACTAGGTAGTCTGAAGACTGCAGATTCCATGCTTGTATGGCCTCCTCTGGTATGCCTAGCTTCGAAATTCGACTAGAAACGGCGAGGATAAATGACCCCTCTGCTTTTCCAAGGCATCCAAACTTGAACCCCGCTGCCTTGATAGCACGAAGATCATTTCGAACCTGTTGACGGATTCTTTTAGACTGGTTCCAGGGTGCATGAACATCCTCATCATCGGAATCTGCTTCGGAAAAATTCTCATAACCGTCCAAACTTCCATCAGTATCATCTATGTTTTCGTCTCCCCAGGAAGTCTCATGTGCCAGAGATTGAGGACCGTGGATGGCATTGCACACCATGTGATCCACGGCAATCAAGACCTCATTGATAGAAATTCCAGCGAGCATACCCGTGTCCTGAGCTCTCTCCAGTGCTTTTGTTACTGAAGGACTGACATGATCAGACACGGCGAATACCACGAAGCTATGGTCAGTGGGATAATCAGAGGCATCTAGTAGGTCACAGTTAGAAAATCCAAGAGACCAGAAGGAACAAATGAAACGATGATAAGAAAGTTGACTCACCAGAGACCACGACTTGAAACTCAATTTCAGTCTCTGATTCTGGCTGATGGAAGTTGAAAGAGATGGATCCCTCATAGTCCCCTGGTTTGATTTGACTCAGGTGTGGGTGTTGATCTAAGACGGCAGCCTCTTGTAGATCACTGCGGAACCTTTTGGTGGGCATTTTGGTAAAGTCCGAGAATGAGGCGTGAAAGACGTGAAAATAGAAGACAGGGGATAGAAGGATGGAAGATGGAGAGAGCTGAGAAGGGCGAAAGTAAACAAAAGAAAATCGAGAAAGGATAAGTAAGAGATTAGAAAAGACGCGTCGTGAAAATAAACAAGAGAAGTTCTCATGGAAGAGCCTGAAGTAAAGAGAGAGGGGAAGAGGGGGGAAAGTAAACAATGAGGATGATTGCTTCACACCAGAAAATTTGTCAGGCAGAATTACTTACGCGACTCGTGAGACCATCCACCTGGCAAACATTCAACCTTGGAAGTTTTCCAGCTTTCAAAGTCTCAACCCTCACGGTCTTTTTCCCATCTGGAAATTTGGAGAGGTCAGACCCTTGGAAAGGTGTGCAGAATGAAGATTGTATTCCAACAGTTTACCTTAGCCCTATTGGGAATTCAACTGACTCCAAGTTCAGATCTCAATAGTACACCTGGGCATATTCCATTCGCGTTCAGGATGATGCCATATGTGTGTATTCCACCTTCAAGGTTTCAAGTTGGTTGAAATCCCATGGATTTCACGGATACAGGTTGCTGAGCTATAAAAAAAACCTCGAAGGTTGGAGATTCTCTTGGAGTCATTTTATTTCCCTGACAAGGATATCTCAAACGTCAATAGAGAATCTGACAATCATTTTAGCTTATACCTGGGTATTTGCGATCACTCATGGAGAATTTATTTCATTATCCCTTCAAGCTTCATCGACATGAAGCCGTACCCTGCTGGTGCAGTGTGTCCAAGGTGGTGTATGTGAATATCCACGGATCGCAGCCGGTGAACCGAATCTCCATGATACTGTTCCATGGGAGCCAATACTATTGCAGCTCCTTATGACTTCCGTGATATGTATCGGTTGGAGTTTGAAACTCTACAGCTCTGAACTTGAAGGTGGAACCCAAATCAACAGCCGCTGACAAGTATGGGTAGAACACATGGTTGAACACAGCGATATGCCATTCATATGAGTTTCCAATGCCCAGCGGAAGTCGAAAGGTCTACTTAGAAGAGCCAGAGCAGCATTTTCCATATCTTGGCTTTTCTCCACCTTCATTGTCGATCGCACCTCCCATCATCACCGTGGAATTCCACATCCCCTTTGCTCGTCATCCATGTACGTCAGCTCGGAATGTCAGCCGATTGATGCGACGGGTTAATTATCCAAATACATACTTGGATGACATTTTTATTTTTCTCCTCTGAGTGCCCAGCTATATATAGTCCATTCATTCGGGTCCCGAGATGGCGACTAGCTATACTACTAGATACTCCGAGCCTTCTGGAGTTGGCTTGGCCATACTCCCGCAAACATCGGCAACTTGACCCATTGCGGAATTGGAAATATAACATTGGAACCAGATACACGTTTTCTTTTTCTGGATTCTAGTGAGTTAGAAAATTCCCCTAAGATTCCAAAAAAATGGCTCATTGACGATTTCTCGCGGAAGGAACAACTATATCAACATGCCGCTCTCTCTTGCCGAGGCTGATGGTGGACCAAAATCTCGCATGCGGGAATTCTTCTTCGAAGATGTTCGTGAAGATCTTCTACTAGAATGCCAACTGTTACTTCTTTCTTTTGCGACAGGAATTCAGGATGCTGCCACCTGGCCCGACTATTCCTGCTTTGCATCGAATCAAACAGGCAATACCCTCTTCCTTGCCATTGGCGTCGCAGGCCTCACAGGAAACGCATATAGTTTCCCTAATATTGGCGTCAGCTTAAGTCTCTTTGTGATGGGTGGCTTGATAATGGGACAGTTGGGTAATTTCTTTGGCGTGAGGCGTCGACTCTGGTTATTGATCAGCAATCTGATCCAGACCTTAATGGTTTTTGGAGCTCTTGCGATTCAACATCTATGGCCAATAAAACGCGATGGTCCCGCTGCTCTTGGGGTCATTGCATTATTGGCTTTCTCCTCTGGTGGTCAAGTTGCTATGAGTCGCTCCTTGAAGATTACTGAGATAACCACGGCGATGGCCACTGCAGCCTTTGTGGATGTGGTTGTAGATCCAGATTTGGTTAAACTGAAGAACAGACTGCGAAACCGCAGAGTGATGTTTTTGGTCATGTTGACCGCTGGGTGTTTTGTTGGTGCATTTGCACAGCGAGAGCTCAGTTCCAAATTCCCTATCTTGTTGTGTGCGGTTGGAAAAGTCTTAGTTAGCACCGCGTTCCTGTTTAATCGGCCCATTGACCGATCTACCTCTCCTTCCAGCTCTATGGAGAATTTGAAAGTGTGAAAACTTACAGGATGCTATAACTGGATCATGAATATGGTATCTCTATGCGGATAGTTGAAAGGCATGAGATTGAGGTATGGAATTTTTCTAGTACATAGTGGAACGAAACCTTGAAAGACATAGAACTATATATTGGCACCTGAGATTTCCAAAAAGAACTTGAAAATCAAGTATAAATGGCACCTGGGCCCAATACTATCAGAGACACACCTGGGCATGCGCAAGGTTGCATCATAATACAACCGCTAATATTGAAGTTACAAAGATACAGCGGCACAACCGGCCAGGTGGTGGGCGTTGAATGGCACCTAATACAAGGAGTACTATTTATCGAGTTATGTCTGAGTGAACTGGTATCAATATTATATATTATAACAATGCTACCGGGTGTAGAAAGTGTAATTATACAAGGTTTCCAACAGTGGACTCGGATCTTAAGGATACTGCACACAATCACGCAAATAAGGAGCTATTCGAAGAAAGTGTGTCCAGTCCTGACTCTCCATCAAGGAGTGGCAATATCCGCTGAATTCGATCTTCAAGTAAATTTTCTTCAGCTTTCCACATCCTCAAAATGTCACTCTGAGCCTTCACTCGTCGTTGACCACCATACCAAGCAGTTTTCATTTGCTCAATATACTTTTGCTCTTCGCGCTGTGCCTGTCGCACAAGAGAAGAAACCATTGTTTTCCAATTCTCCAGCCCGACCTTGAGACATTGTGCGCACTGCACGCGAGCGGCTTGGTCATGAGAGCCAATTCCCAGGATTGCTGACTCGGCCATCTCGACCGCATCGCGGGTCCAGGCCAAGCCTTGGTCTTGGGAGGAAGAGGCATATATTATTTCACCAATGTAGGTCATCAGACCAGCCTCGTCACAGGCTGAAGCAGATGTTCGCAGTGGTGGGTTATCGCCTGATGATGGTGGAGGGGGGTATTCGGCGGGGATAAATAAAACTTTGAGGGTCTTCCAGATGGCAGAAAATGGGTCATTGGAAGAGTTCTGCATCGGCGAAGGCAAAGGAGAGGAGGATTGAAAAGATGGATCTGTTGCGTAAGGAAGATTGCGACGTGCTTTCAAGACAGAAGTAAAAATCGAGAGTGCAACTGAGAGGTTTCCCGTGCGAGCATTGTGGACGGCCAGTGCTGTCGAAACGCGAATAAGGTTCTCTGACGGCAACTCAGAGGCATGGTTTTTCAGTACACCTGTCTCGAGATCTATTATGTTGTTTGGATTGCCTTCGTACCCGGACGCAGCAATATCCATGGCCCACAAGTACATATCATTAGCTGTTTGCTTTAGTCCTTTATAGTCCAGCCAGTCGGCATAGGCAAGGGCAGCATCAAGCCTTTGCCGGGTACTAAACCCTTTTGTTGTAAGGACCTTCATGTAGAAAGTCTCGGGAGGTGCTGATGCATGCTCACAATTCTCCTCCTGGGGCACCCTTTTCTGCTTGCCTGGCATAGGTTTAGGTCTAGGGTTGGACGGGCCAACGACATATTCTGCAGGAGCAGAAATTCTCTGCTTGCGGTCCGTCAACCACCCATCCAGATTCTCAGCGGCTTTAGCAGCTCCCATGAGAGCCTGAAAGTAGCCCCGTCTCCAGGGCTCACTCTTAGTCGAGATATCAAGACCAGTGCGCCCGATACCTTCGATCAAAAAGCCACCATCATCCTGGTCGACTATACCCTTGCCCTCGCCTTCGACATCCTCCAGTCGCTCGATCAGTTCCTCCATGTACCCAGCAACCATAGGCCAATTAGTCATTAACTTGCCGATGTAGTCGGGATTTTGAAGAGCTTGGGCAGAGCGCAAGCACCAGCGGCTTTTCCAGGTCCATTCTGACGGAGTAGGCCACTGATGTTCGATATCTTCTTGGTAGACACCCAGTTGAATTATAGAAAACAATACCAGGATAGCACCAAAGGACACACCAAGCCTGAAGCCACGGGATAGGCGACGCTTATAGCCCTCCCGACTCTCTGTGGATATTAAGCGGCCAAAGTGTTGGCGAAGGTGAATCGATAACGGCGGGAGAGGTCGGGATGGCGCTAAGGGGGACAGAAAAGGTAGTTGAGGTCGCCCCGGCGGAGGAGAAAGAAGGAGTTGTGGGCGGTGCGTGAAAGGCCGAAGGTGGGACTTCAGAACATTTGATCTCAGTAAGCGCTCTGGCCGAATGGATCTCGGTATTCGAGCTATGGTGGTTCTTGATGGTAGCATTTTGCTTCCAGGTGAAGATAATTCTAAATGCGCAATTATGTACTTGCCCGCAGTGCCCATGGTGGTGATAAGGACCGGGTCGATGTTTGCCATGTTTGCACATGAAGCTGGTCACCTGATATATCCCCATAATAATCACCCAGAGTACTACATATGTCCTCGCAGCATGATAGCTATCTGAGATCTCTAGGTACCTCTATATCTAGGTAGGTATGTGCATGTTCACAGCGCAAAGTATTACTCTATAGTTAACCGTATTACTATTTCAAGTTACCCACTATGTAGCAACTTCCTTGGAGCATACCCATCTTCCACTGGCGAGGGCTACTAGTAACCTAGTTATGGTATATACCGTATAATATATGAAGGCCACAAGAAAAAAGCACTTGAATACTGCGAACGTCCGGCTGAACATTGTAGAGTCGCCATTTTAACACAAAATATGCGCGATTAATTGTACGTGATGGCCAAGGTATTGATTGTCAAGTCTAAATCAGGGGAATCCAATCGCGATTAAAAAGCGAGTACACATCTCTATGGCCATAGACCCAAAGTAAAGAATAAGAAAGTGAAAAAAAGGGTTCAAGCACACAAACAAATTACTGGGGGCGCTCGAAGTAACCCTCGGTCTCAAGCATGAGAATGATCTCATGAACAATACTGCGGACAGTTTGTTTCGAGGTATCAACGGTAAGGTTAGCATTGGAAGGAGCCTCATAAGGATCATCGACGCCAGTGAAACCCTTGATTTCTCCACGGCGGGCACTAGCGTAGATTCCACGCTTATCAGTCTTCTCACAGTGCTCAAGGGGAGTGGCCACGTGAACAAGGAAGAAGGAGCCGGCCTGAGAAACGGTGTCCTTAGCATACTTGCGAGAGCGCTCGTAGGGAGCAATAGGAGCGGCGATGACGGCTGCGCCAGCGCGAGTCAGCTCGGAAGCAACGAAAGCAATGCGCTGGATATTAGTGTGGCGATCCTCAGCAGTGAAACCAAGCTCGGAGGACAGCTCATGGCGGACAGTGTCACCTAGCAGAAGGGAGACAGAGCGACCACCCTGCTGGTTCAGAGTTACCTGCAATGCACGAGCAATGGCATCCTTGCCAGAGTTCATGTACCCAGTCAAGAAGATAGTGAAGCCCTGGCTAGCACGAGGGGGGTTGGATTCGCGCAGGATCTTGACAACCTCTGGGTAGGAGAACCATTCGGGAATATGAGCACCGGAACGCAAACGGCGGCGCAGTTCAGTACCGGAGATGTTCAAGGTCTTGACACCCTGAGGGACCTGATCGACAGGGCGGTACTCATCGCTGTCAGGCAGGTAGGTAACCATTTGGAACTCAACGACCTCAATACCGAGCTCATCCTTGTATTTCTCAACAGCATGCTGTGCATCATAGGGACCGTAGAAGTCCTCTCCCTTGGAGTTGGAACCAGGACCAGCGTGGTCACGACCGACAATGAAGTGGGTCGCACCGTGGTTCTTCCGGATGATAGCATGCCAGATGGCCTCGCGAGGACCACCCATACGCATGGCCAGACCAAGCAGACCAAGTACAGCCATACCGTTGGGGTAGCGAGGAAGGAGAGCCTGGTAGGCACGGACACGGGTGAAATGATCAATATCACCGGGCTTAGTCAAACCGACAACAGGGTGAATCAAAACATTTGCTTGGCGGGAGCGAGCGGCGCGGACGGTCAGCTCACGGTGAGCACGGTGCATAGGGTTACGGGTCTGGAAAGCGACAACACGGGACCAGCCCAGCTTGTCAAAGTGAACACGCAGTTCAGCGGGGGTGTCTGGAGATTTCTTATTAGCTCTCGATCTCTGTCGGTGCAGCGAAGGTAACCAGGCGGAAGCAAGCAAAAAAAAAGAGAAAAAAAAAACAGGAAGAAAACAGGAAGAAAACGTACAACGCAGAGCGACATAGTCGTAGTGGTTCAGCTTGTTGACAGCGTCAATTTTACCACCGATATAAAATTCCTGGGCGGTCTCGTCGAGGTACTTGACAGCTGGGTGCTCTGGGTCACCACCGAAGACCAACTTGCCTTCCTTAGTCCTAAAATCAGGGGTGAAATCCACGTCAGCCAGATCCACCAAGGCAAAGCCCTCCACCACAATAGGTTGTCACTCACTTGTCGGGGCGGTAGATATCGTCAATGGTCAGAATGGCCAAGTTGCGGTCGTCGCGGAAGTCACGTAGGGTGATACGGGCACCGGGCTGAAGCTTGTTCTCATCGATCACCTGCTTGCTAACATCGAGGGTAATGGGCATGGAAAAGACATTGCCATCCGCAAGACGGCAGTCCTCACAGACACTATATATACGACATCAGTGCTGAAATATAGGAGAATTCAAAAATGGACATACCCATTGTAGTCAATTTGGTTCATGAATCCTATAGGCGGTGAAGTTAATATTAGCAATTACCCCTCTCATGCAGTCTTCCCCTCCATGATTCGGTTTAAAAAGAAAAGAAAAAAAAGCTGTGAGAGAAAAGAAAAAAACATGTTCATTTCCAATCACCATTGGGACCAGTGAGATGAATCAGACCTCAGGATGATTTTTTTGATCCTTGCAGGTAATACACAATTGGGAAGGAGGGGATTAATATTCCAAACGTACCTTCCAAAGGTGAAAAACCACCATTCATGATCAATTCCAGATCACAAAGCTGACGCTCTGTGAGCACGACAGCAGGAAGAGTCTCTGCCTCCGCAATGAGCTGGATCTGACGGGGAGCATCACGAGCAATGAGGTCCTTAAGGACACCACCGTGAGGAGGGTTGGCCATTGTTATAATATAATTCTAGAATAAAGATTGAAAAGGAGAAGAGAAACTTTTGGAGGAAGAGTTCGATATTGGGTAATATACAGATGAAGAGAAAAGAGGGATGGAGGGGAAGAAAGGGAAGGGGGGAAGTGGAACTATGTATGTGTCATTATATGGAAATTACATTATTCAAAAGGTAAAAAAAAAGAGAGAAAAAATCCAAATTAAAATAAAATAAAATTGAAGAAAAAAAAAATTGGAAACCTGACTTCTACTTCTCCATAACGTCCGATCACATTTGGTACCAAGCTTCCCGAGCGTCGTGGCTCCGATAATCATGGCCTAGACAGTCGTCAACAGTGGATCCAACTATTCTTGGCTGCGCCATGAAGCACATCAGAAAAAGGTGATCAGTAAAGGAGATGTTTCGAATTTATCTTATTTGTAACATTTGAACGTTTTCAGGATTTTCTTGTGGGATCATGGTTCTCAGAAATGGTTCCTTAATATGGTCCCCTTCAAAGGTTGGTTTTCTATCTAAATCAAAGGGTCATAGGTAACATGTATGGAGTACTCCATACAGAGTAGGTACAGACTTGAACTATGGAGTATGGAGTAGGTATGATGGATATTCATTGAACTCATATGTGGAAGCTTCAATGTTTAAGTTTCAAGTTGGAAATAGTAATACTTAACCCCTGTTAGACTCTTCTAGACATATGGAGTATCCATCTACATAAAGTATGTATGATAGTAGCTTAAGTTGGACCTTTCAAGAGACCACTTCGTAACTTGGACAAGTTCCCGTCGATGAGCCCCACGAGGTGACTAGTTTGTACATGGGATGTGGAACCTCCGCGGAGTCCGTACTCGTTTACAGCGGGGATCTTCCAGTACCTTTCCTTCTCTGATTTTCAGGGGGCGGCATTTACTAGGGGTGACGTGGACTCCCCAGGGTCCGGCAGTGAAGATGATCCATATATAACATAGAATGATACCGTTGAAATGTACCTTGGAATTCAAATGTTCCCCCCTGAATTAGGGAAATTCAAGTTTACGGGATCGACGTCAAGGGCTGGCGCGGCTCACCACGTGATCATCACGTGGCTATCACGTCACCTCCGCTTGAAATGTCGTGATTGAGTTGCCTTGGCAGTCACGTGGTGGGTCAACCTCACGTGCTTCAACAGTTGAATGTTGGAATTTCAACTTGAAGCCTTCCAAGGTTCTAAGGTTCAAGTTCATCTTAGGCCGTTGGCGCATACTTATCCTATGTGTGTATTTGTATGCATACAACCTTGGAAGGACTTGAAATACCACTCTTCGCTCAAGTGCTCTTCCGAGTCCAGATTGTAGTACTCCGTACCGTGAACTTGAACTAGTGACAACTTTAAGTCGATTTTCAACACTACACGGTATATTCATTTATACATGAATTCAGAGCATTAAATCATACATTCTGCTAGCATCAGCACTGGCACTGAGTATCCGACATATGGAAGTTCTAGTTTCAAGTTAAAGTCCAAATTGCCCCAGGTGTTCAAAAAAAAAAGTTCTCTTTCCCACCAGGTACCTAGCAGGGAGTAGGTACCTGCTATCTGAATGGTCGATGAAAACCTTGGAAAGGGTCCCAATCACCCTGTCGTAATTGTCTTATTCTCAAAGTCTAGGGAATACCATCCTAACACCTCTACGGCGGGATGTGACGCTGACTGATACGAGTCAATCAAGTAGGTTTGAATCTGCGTCTCGGACTCCTTTGCTGAATCAATCGATCCGGTCTTCTCTAGGATATACAGAACTGCCACCCGAGAGAACTCCAGTACCTCCGACGGGATATTCGCTGATGATGAAGTTGAGGTCGAAGACGCTCCGGTATTGGTGGCTGTCGCTGTGGCTTCTGCTGTGGCGGTGATGCTGGTAGTGGAGCTTGCAGCACTTGTGGCCAGTTTCGAGTCATCCTTGGTGGAAGAAGCTCCGGCTTCGGAGGTACCTGAATTGTCGTAGTATATACCGTTGGAGGTACTAGCCAGAGACCGGGCCTCCATCGCGGGAGAAACAAGGTCAAGGAGAGTAGTAGTAGATGTAGCTGGCTGCTTGAGATCATCGACACTGTCCTTGCCCTGGAAGGTAGAATTCACATCGGTATCTACCAGTGAAAGGATAGATCGACGACTGTTACCACTGCTACCACTAACGTCAACCTCGCTGAAGGCAACGAGCGCATCCTCAGATTCACAAGAGATATTTCGTAAATTGAAGAGGGCCAGGATAGTCACCGCGTCCAAATCAATGCTGAATTTGCTTTTGGATTGATCCAGCAACGAGGGAATGGAGCCGCCCATAGTCGCGTTCTCATGAACGCCGCCGCTGTCGACTTCCGCTATTACACAGCTACTGTCTCCCACTACTGTGCACTGCGAGCCGGTATAACCATCTGTGCATACGCATGAGCACTCCGTACCGCTTGAGACGCTGACACCCCCATGGTAGCACGGTGTTGTGTGTGAACACGAGTGAGTTGCTGCGCTCTCCCGCGGGACTGCAACCAAAAATACTGGAAGAAGAACGGCAAGAACAACGACGATGAAGATCAGAATGCAGACCAGAATGAACCATTTTCGGGGCATACCACAACATCGCCGCTGAGAGGGAAGATCTTCGGGTACATCATCGTGCGATGGTAATGGTTCAACATTGCGGAGGTTGGAACGTCCACCGCCGCCGAAGAACACGGGCCACGAGCTGCGTGTATCCGGCGTGATTACGCTGGGATTAGGAAATGATGCGAGTATATCAGAAAGAGACCCTGAGGTTCGGCCTCGATATCCTAAAACCCGGTTAGCCCTCTGATTCTTCAACATTCGATGCCAAGTCACTCACCAGAATCATTAAAACAGAAACCTTCACCAGCAAGATCAGCCCGACTTGCCGTCCTTCCCCGGTCCAAGTTTGAGGCGAGCTTGGTTGCTCGTCGGATCAAATCAGTCAAGCTTGAGAGGCTTCCACGTGCCTCAGCACCCCGTACAGCATCCAAATTAAGACGGGGAGGTTTGCGTCCATTGGGTCTCTTATCACTCATTGTTGGAGCAGCCTGAGGCAAAGTCTCAAGTTCCTTTTCTAAGGCCCCACGAAACGTTCTCTGCTCCTCCTGTTTGGCAAAGCGCGGTTTCTCGGGATCCACACATGATTCCCCTGAAAGCGAGGAGATCGAACCGCGACGCACAGGGCTAGGGGTTCGCATTGTTATATGACCGTTAGTTGGGATACGATTCATTTCTTCCGCCACTGTCATCTTTGTCGGTTCCATCGTATCATGAGTTGAATCTCCACTGGTATATGAAAGGGCAGCATTTGGAATATCTGGGATGGAAACTTCCGAGCTAGGGTTGGATTTCATGATTGTGCGCATTGTAGGCCTTTGTCTCTTACCAACGCTAGCACTGCGCACGGGATTTGTCAATTCATGCTCGTGGTTATGTCTCTCGTCGCCTTCATCGCTAGATCCCTCATCTAAATAAGCACCTAGGATCTCCGATTCCGCGGGGCCAGATCCCCAGCTAGATGGAATGACGCGGCTTGAAGCGTAAGATCTAAACCCTTGGCGGGGATCGGGGATTTCCTCCGGAATTGGTGATACTGATGATTGAACTCGACTCCGGCGCGTGTTAGGAGGGATATTCAACCCCGACGCTTGACGTGGGGACTGGGGCATGGCCCGTTCCGGCAGTGGAACTATATTCGACGCATATGGAATGGACGATGAAGTCGAGTGGGTTGAGAGACGAAACAATTCATCGGTTCCGACTGGTGAATGCGAACTCATGTCCACAGTACTGGTTGAACTGAGCGTTTCATTATTGGCTGTTGGTCGGGGTTGATGATGGCGCTGGTTGGGATGAGAGAACGATCGTACTGGTCTTGTAGGGTACGGATATGGGTTTGAAGAGTTCAATGGCAAGTTAGGATCCGAGTTTTCGCCACTTCGTACTGAGTAGATCGATGGCGAAGGGATCTGCGATGGAACATCACTTGGACGTGGGGGGCCTAAGCGGCGGGGGGCCACGAGAATCCATAAATCGCGGATTATGGGGATTGAGTGGTCGAGGCTGGAGACCTGAGGCAGGTAGTGGCCATGGTGTCTGATACGCAGCATCTCTAACAGGTGGAGATGGTGAAGGTCGTGAGACCGTTATTCCTGTTGGTCGAACTCCAGCTTGCAGTAATTGACGGGCTCTCTTCACAGAACCCTTTCTCTCAGGCTCTGAAGATAATCCAGGACTTGGCCTAGAAATAGGTTGGCTTGGTGGAATCATCGGTTCAAGTTCTTGGTCGAGCCGATCCAGAGTACTTTGATGTGTGGCGTCCGTATGGCGGATAGGATAAAAGTAGTAAAACTAGGGCTGTCTTTACTAAGGTCAATTGGTTAGAATAAGCCACAACTCGGATGCGTAATTAGGATGAGTTCTCAGCTGACCTGAATCTACCACTGGTATCGAAGCACTTGAGTCAAAAAAAAAAAGAATAATGTCAAGTTCGATTGACCGAGCAATGAACTTGTATCGAGGAAATAGAATGATAATAGAAGAAAAAAAATGAAGATAAATAAAATCAAAAACTTGAACCGAATGGTGACTTAAAACGAATGGATAAGTGCTATTCATGGTGGAATTAGATGACCATCAAGACATATTTAGATAAATTAACATTTGAAGGCATCAGCTTACCAAAACCCGCGATAAACGAAAGACGACGAGTATCAAACTCGTGAAGAAATGAGTGAACGAGCGAATCTAAGTCAAGTTTTCATATTAGCACTTGCTAGGAAATAGGAGAGATTAAACATACAAGAAAGCCAGCTCTCTCTCTCTCTCTCTCTCTCTCTCTCTCTCTCTCTTTCACAGAGGGGGAAAAACCTCGAAAAAACCAACTAGAAAGGAGAAAACATATTAATAGGAGACTAAGATGAGAAGTAATTTAATATTAATATATGAGAATTGAAGATTTCATTCTCGGGTCCGCTAACCCAAACAGAGATACCTATACTCCGTACAAGCCCCCGGGAAACGGGTATTCATATAGTTCAAAAGTAAGATTAAATACGTTAAATGTTTCAAAACCAGTGTTCCCAAGGTTCTAAAGTTCTAAACGTACCTAGGTACCTAGTGTATAATCTTTGTATATTAAGGGAAAATTTAGATTCTGAGCCAATTAGATAACCCATATCAACTTTCCTTTGTAGGGATTATACAGATTATACAGATTCCAAGGTTACCTCCAGGGCTAATTAGGTATACAAAGTAGAGTATCATAGGTAACTGATACACGGGATGGTACTTTCAAGTTAGTCTCCGACGCTACGTCTCACATTAAGTGGGTTCGCTTAGATATGTGCAATGGTGAGACATAGGCACGGGAACATAATGAATAAATTAAGAGTAAAATTATCCATATCTTATAAGAGAAAAGGGGTTGTGTTCCAAAGTTATTCAAAAAAAAAAGTCATCTATCGTTCAATATGAAATTATTTAGCCCGGGTTTCTAAACCCTTGGAGTTTACTCCATTGCGGAGTACGGATTATGTGCGGAGTACGGAGTAGCCAACTTTTTCAGATACATTAACCGAGTCCCTCGGAATGATCATCCAAAAATGAGAGCTCTCAACTTAACGTTCATCATTCATCATTCATCATTGACCGTTAGATACCAAATCCAGTTTAGTCCGCAAGTGACGAATCTTTTGTTCTAGAGCGCGCATTTCCACCGTCACGGCTGCTAGTTCAGGTACCTGACGTCGGATCCCTTCTGTAAAGGCCTTTTGGGCCGTGCGCAATGATGATGGTACCAGAACACCATACCAATAGATAGGATCATCAGATTGAAACTTCTTGGGTGGATCCTTCTTCTTCTCCTCCAAGGACCTTGAGACGTTAACATTGTCTACTAGCGGATCACAATCACTGCCCGGTGTATGCAACTCGATTTGAGCCACACCTTCATTCTGAGGAACCTTGGAAGTTGGCGATTCAAGCTGTGTCTCGGTTGATTTGTCTGGAAGGTGTTGAGTGTTATAATCAAGCAAGATTTGGTATTCGACCTCATCATTCTCTTGGGCTTCTCGAATCGATCTGTCCATGTCGAGTCTTTGTTAACAAATTGTTAAGAGAGAATGATGAAAGGGGGCCAACATGCATTCTTTGATTCGTCTTCATTCGCTCATCATAATAATCGGCGCCATATCGTCGACCAGGAGGACAAAGGTAGTTTGCATGGGCAAGTGAGAGGAATCCCTATTTTGAGCGTTTTAGAAAATTGGTCAATTCAACCCGGATTTCAACCCCAGACGAAACCTACCGAAGACATTTCTTTCGCTAACTCCGACTGCATTTGTTGTTGCCGATCCAGTAAATGCAGATACCGTTCCAGAAGGGTATCCAAGGACTGAAACAACTCCGTGGATGCGGTGACCTCGAGCTCCACAGAATTCATTCTGATCTTCAAAATCTTTAATTAAGATTTCGAGGAAAGTGGTGTGGGTATTCAGAATAATCAAAGAGGGAGAGAGAAGAGAGAGAAAGAGAGTAAGGATTCTCCACGTAGAAGCTCGGGCCCGGTAACTCCGTCATTCTGTCAACTCCGCGACTCCGCCCAAAAGAATTTCCTGCTCTCCCTTCACCTCATCACTCTCCTCTATCTCTATTTGAAGTTGCACCGACTTTAATACTGCCATTTTGAATTTCTCTTACTCGTGCTCTTGAATTTCAAGCCCCTCTGTGACAGCACATAGGCTTGAATCGCCACCTCAACTTCTCCCATATACACTGCGTTAGGACAAAGTATCTGAGGCTATAGGTGATCTATTTGACCTTGATCATAAAATCACACGGTAATGCAATACCGTAATATCCCTCGAGTTATCCTAGTTTTCTAATATTTGGACATCTTTAGTGACTCGGATTGAACTGCAAGCGATATCTGAGATCGATACTGATCGGTAGTTCCTTAATTGTCCTCGTGCTTTTTTGATCCCCAACGTATTCGGACCTTACTTTCCATCCTACGACTCCTCCAAAATTCTCATCATGTCTGTTGCAACGGCATACAGTGGGACCGCCTTCCAAGTTCGCTCTCTGGTAAGCTTTACTCGCCACGGCAGCCCTAGCTGAGCAGGAGAGAAGTTATTTGAAGATTCATCTGAGATTCATGGTCCACTAACGGCTTTCTTTTTTCCCCTCGCGTTTAGTTTCGATCCCTGCTGCGACAATCATCTCAGTTTTCTAACTACAATTTCCGTGAATATGCACGCCGCAAGACGCGTGATTCATTCCGCGAGCACCAGAATGTCGCGGAAGAGCGTCGGGTACAGGAGTTGATTCAAAGTGGATTGCAAGATCTTCGTCTTTTAAAGGTTGGTTAATTGTATTGAATTTAAGGTCCTGGGGAAACAGCACCTGCACTATGCCATGATCACACATGGAACTTTCCTCATAGTCACGAAACGTTTTTTTTCTTCATCCAAACTGGAATAGAAACACCTACTAACATCCATGATAGAGACAAACAACCATTAGCCAGTTTTATCAGTTAGATAAATTGGTGGTTGAGGGCCAGAAGACTGTAGGCTCTTCCAATTGAACCTCGAGTCTGGGCTTTCCACAGCTCGGCTAACATATCTGCCTCTCCAGGGAAAAGAGATTGGTACACACGGGGATATTGTCCGTCAGAAAGAGACTGGGTTGGTTCCTATATTCTCTCCAATGCCATCAATTGACGCTGACCTTCTGTAGATGGAACTAGTTCTCCCTAGGTTGTTCAATAATAATATGCCCTCAGCAGAAAATTCCATTTTTATTCATTTTCTGAGGACTTGACCAAGAGAGTCTTTGGCGGAAAGGACAATCATGCTTGTCTATTGTCTTTGTCCTTTTCTTTTCTTTTATTTTTCTTCCCTCTCTCTCTCTCTCTCTCTCTATCTCTCTTGTATCATAATAGGAGCATGGAATACACCCAAACGCCAAGCTCGAAACAATTATCTCCACTCTGCTATAGAACTCTTCGAATATGAAAATCAAATTTGCGACTTTGCTAGATAAGAGCTTTTCCTGAGTTGGTTGATGTTGGACTCTGCAATGAATCCAACCTTGGAATAACTGATAATATACACGTAATCATCACGTGATGTTACCACTATCGACGAGGATACCTTAGTCCACGCGAACGCGGTGTCTGTTAACGCCTTCAACTTCATCAACGACCTAACCAACGCCTTTCGCATTGAAGCCCTCATTCTAGCTCAAATATTATCATCGTCTTTCTCTCCAAATATTGGACCGCCTGGTTATTGTGTGAGGACAGAAGTCCTCTCAACTAGTCATCATGCCATCCACTGTATGTGCCTCTTTAACTAAAGAGCATAATGGAAACATGTCCCATCATTGCGGTCTATCTCGCTCTAACAGCCTATTGATTATAGTTCCGGTCATCGCGCTCTGGGCGTCAATTTGACAGTAATCGAAGCCGAACCGGTCAAGTTGACCACGATATTTTTGAGGGATTGCCCGTTCGCCGCTGGTCACGTCAAGCACACACTCATTCCCAAACTACCAAGATCGAAGACTCAGAATTTGCTGTGCATGGTCCCGGTGGAACTGCAAGACTTCCTGAGCTAGCCATGCCACGTGATAGTCAGCTCCTGAATGCAAGCAGTCGCGCTCTCCTGCGTGCCGCTCGCGCCGGGTGCATTTACATTCACCAGAGCACTCATACCCCCGAAGATGCTGAAAAGGAAGGTGGAGATCTCGATGACGGAACTTCTGGTGCTCATTCAACAGACCACAGTTTCACGAGCCGGAAGTGGATGGCCCTTCCGAAACACTTGGAACCGGCCGAGGTCGAATTTTTGGCGAAGCGACGACCTGGCTTACCATCTCTCTATGGTGGTGCGACCGCTGCAGATGGATTGGGCTCCGGACCCGGCCCAATGAGACGGACTAAGTTCAAAAAAACGGATCCTCTAACGGGAAAGATCTCCATCTATGAAGCTTGGGTGCCTGAGGGACATCGCATTGAGGGCGAAGTTACTGGCGACATCCAGGCTATTGCTGAACAGACTGATGGGCCTGTCAATTCTGAAATGCCGGCCCCGGGAACTGTTGTGGAAGGGGTTGGGGTTGTCAATTCGGAAGGGGTAGTTGTTGCGGAGGCTGGTTCTGCTTCTGTAATGACACCGCCCAAACGACGACCACCTCCGCCTAAACGTAAGGGGAAGGGCATTGGGAAGGGCAGGAAAAAGAAGGTCATGTTTGCGCCAGGGGAGGGTGCTGATGCTGCTATCGTACATGGCAGTCCTCGAGATCCAATTGGTACCGTCGAAGGCCATCCAAAGGAAGACAAGGATGTTTCGCAGACACCAATTGACCAAGCAGGCCAAGATGAAGACGAAGATGATGGTGACGACGGTGATGACAGCGACGAGGGGGACGAATCCATGATAGATGCGAAGACGCCGGAAACACCGCAGGCTTCACACTTGACCGCGCCTAGAGACCACCTCACAGTTGAAATCTCAACTGATACAAAGGATGTTGAGATGGACGATGCAGCCTCGGAGATGCAATCTCAAGTGGTAGAGCCTTCCGTGAATATACAAGAAGCACCTCCAGTATCTTCAGGCATACCTGCGGCGCCCATATTTGAGACATCGCAGAACAAAGCCAATGCTGCCACTTCCTCTGCTTTACTCTCTTATGGTAATGAAGTCACTGGTGGAGAATCCGGGATCATCGATGGCGGAAAAACCAGCGTGTCAACGGATGAGTTGCCCATGAATTCGGGGCCTCTGGGTTCGCCATACGAAGCAGGCGAGCCCAGAATATTTTCTGAATCTGCCAGAGATTTATTGTCCCGCCAACAATCTCCAGATCCTAGGCCATTTGCCCCGACTGACACAGATACTGCTATGGAAACAATTCAGCTTGAATCAACCCAGGCGATGGACAAAGCCCCAACCTTTGAACCACAAGCAGAATCTGGAATTGCTGTTGAAGAGGTTGGTAACACAGACCTGATGTCTGTGGATAAGACAGCAGCGGTGACTGATGAAAATCAAATGGACTTCTCAAGCACGCCAAAGCCGGTATCAGAGTCCACTACTGCGAATCAAACAGTTCAATCCAGAAATGCTGATAGGTTCGCCGAAGACCACAACCCACTTTCAATCGGGCCTCAATATAGCGAACCTACTACAACATTCACGGCCCTGGAAAAGAAAACAGAAGCACTCATGATACCGGAAGCAGGTTCTCAAATGATAGAGTCTAAACAAGAAGTGAATGAGGGAGAAGCTTCAGCAGGATCCGAAAAATATGAACGAGTAGAGCGGGCAGAGGAGCTCACTACTGCCGACTCTCTCGCAGAACCTACTTCTATGCTACCAACCGAACCGGAACATCGGCCTGGATTAAATGAGGGCATGGAATCATCAGAGCTGTCTACTCCCAGCACACCTACTGCTAGGCTAGTCTCTGAGGGAACAGCACCAGTCGCCACGATTAGCAGTAGTGTGGCAGGTGCTTTGAGACAAGAGCCCGCAATTCCCAAGACAATTGAACTTTGGGATCAAAAATCTTCTGCCGCAGCCGAAATGGTACCAGCAGAAGGCCGGGCGCCTACAGAAGAGCAAGAAAGTACCAACTTAGCCTAACCCGTTTCCGCAATATGCGTTGGGTTTGTCATGTACAGCGTGGATCAGAATCAATTGTACCGCTGTACCGCCACTCCTCGGATGGCTCTGTTTGGATCCTTGCGTGATATTTGCTCTTTCCTTTTCACACTTCTAGATGTATATGCTGGTTATTATAGGTTCCAAGGTTGGGATGAACCGATATGGGCGTTTGTGTATTGATTTGTTGGATGGAATTACTTGTTTTTGTTTTTGACGTTTAGTGCCAGGTGTTAACCTCAGCTGCTCGATTTCCAAGGTTCTATTCTATTATCTTACTTATCCATTACACCCCAAGCAAAATTTCAAGTTTGAACTTCAAATTCCCAAATGTATGATTGCACGACTAATCGCCACTTGAAATATCTAGTGAACAGAGGAAGTACTAAACCAGATCTATCTGATGACCCCAGAAAGGGATGCAACTAGTAACTAGGTAATACATGTCAGTGGACAGTACAAGAGAAGTAGTGTAGTCCAAGCCCAGATCGCTCCTAGTTGATGGAGTATGTAACAGCACGAAGTCCTCGAGGCTTCAAGTCGATTGATTCAAGCTATCTCAGGGTGCCGTACTCTCTTGGCCACTCTTAGTACACAACCCAGGGGCAGCAGTTGATGGTAATATCATGAGAGGGTTAAACTTGAAAGGGAAGGGAATGTTGAGCCCCAAATTCTATCAATCCCATCTATCATATCCACACACCGAACTTCAAGCAATATTACCCACATGAACAGATGGTGACAGTCTAGCCATCTCATTCATTCATCTTGCTAGTCAAGCAATCAATCCACGTCTTCGTCACAATCGGGATCCGAGTGCAAATCAATCAACAGAATAGAAGAAAGTAAGTAGAATAAAGCAGAACAAAGGAATCAAAAATAAAAATCAAGCCGGAGAAACACAAGCCTTAGCAAGGCGAGTGAGAGAACTTGAAACAAGGAGATACATCACCCAAAACGCCGTTTCTGGTACCATTACCGTAATAGAGGCCAAAGGACAGCGCAGGATACCTTGGAAAGCAAGGATTGCTGAAATCAGAGAGCCGAGGAAACAAAAGAGTGCAAAGAAGGGCCCAATAAGTGAGGATGGTATTTGCTTGTGAATAAAGACTCCAAATTGCAAGGAACCAAGATTCAACCAACACATCAAGACAAGAACAAGAACACTGACTAAGGCGAGAAATGATGAGGTTACTGAGAGTAGGAGATTCAGATTGGTTTGGCCCCCTTCACAGAGCGGACCACGCGGCGGGCAACACTTTTCACGCTGTTACCCAACCCTTTACCCCCCGTCGCCGAATCCCTGATAATGGTGTCATTGCCTTTGGAGCCACTCATGCTGGCTTTGACACCGCTCTTGACCCCCTTATTATTATGTTTGTTGCGGGAAGTCTCTGTTTGGGAAGACTTCGTATTCTTCCCCTTGGGTTTGCTGGACGACTTGTTTTTGGGGGAGCTGGGGTTAACCTTTGAGTTAGATCCCTTGACAGCATTGGAAATAATTCTCTTCTTGGTTTCGGGAGAAGGTCGCTTGAGTTGATTCATCTTTTTGGTCAGGGCAGTTGACGTGGAGCTAATATTTCGTGGAACGGTAGCCTTCACTCTTGAAGTTGCTTTCACTGTAGGAAGTCTGACTCCTTTTTGCGTCTTCGCCTTAGTCTTTGTTGCACCACGCATCCTCGGTGCAGTGACTGATTTCTTCATCTTTGCCACCTGGGCATGTGCAGTTGAGACTTTGGTAACAGCTTTCCTCACGCCATTCTTGACAGTATTGGTACTGAGGAACTTGCGCTTTTTTGCTTGGCTATGAGTAACTGTGTCCACTGCTGCACGCTTTCGTTTCGCACCAGAACTGTTGATTGGCTTCTTTATCTGACTGGGTGTCTCAACTTTCGCACGCTGATCCTTGTCTTTGGGTCGAGGGCCAAGAATTCCACGACAGTTGATGGCACCACAGCGACATTGCTGGACGTTTTTGTTGGAGTACGGACTGCAAATAAAATCAGTAATGGCTTCCAGGGAGTGATTTTCAGGGGGAACGCACTCGAAGTTGTAGTCATAACTCAACTCCTCCCCTGTCATGATCCCTCGATCTCCTGCAAACAGAGCCATACGTGGTTTTCCAGCCACGGTCCATTTCTCCATTCGGCAATTTGGCTCACAAGAGTGGTTAACAAACCGGGCAATAGAGCCTCGTGTTGCATCAATGATCATGTTTTGGTCGAAGTACATCAGATAATAGCACTAGAGTAGACAGAGTTAGTCACCTCCATCTCAGATAGACAAAAAAGAAATATGAGGCTTAAATTACCTCATTATTCTTATACACGTTCCTCATCCTTCTTTCACATTCAAACTGAGTGATGATCTCGCCCGTGTACTCCACAATAATTTGATTCGGCTCAAAAGTGCGATTACTACGCACGCCGTAGCCTCGGTCTACAGTCTTGATAACCTCAACACCAATGTTGTACTTCCCGCCAGCCTTCGTTCGGGTCTTGAGCTCGCTGAAATTCCGGTTACCGCACTCCGGGCCCAGTCGACAGTTACCTCCATCGCACTCGTAAAACATGTAGCGATTCTGACAGTTTTCATCACATCCGGTTTCTTCATCACACATGCATGTAGAGAGTTCCAGTTTCTTGTTTGCTTTCCATTCGCTGGCAGCATCGCCAACGAAAACGTTCTTGTTTGTCTTACGCCACTCATCAGGCTTAGGTTGGCCTGGCGGCAGTGGAGAGAATATGTCAAATGGCAGAAGATAGTCCCGTCCATTCTTGATCAGACGAGCGCCAGCAAATATGGGCATGGGAAGCTGACATCGTGACTTTATGTCTGATCTGGTTTTCTCTGAGTTTTTGCTCTTGCGCTGCTTGGGTGGAGAGTCGCTTGGTTCCTGGCCACTGTAAAGGCCATGGTTCAGCCACATCTTCGGTTTTGGTTTCGAAATAGGCGGCGCAATCGGCTCTTCGGAAAGTGGCAGGTCCTTGGGTTGGAGACCCAGCAAATCACTCTCAGAAACACGTCGTTTTTTGCGCACAGGTTCTGCTACAGGGTGTACTGGTGCTTCGTCTTTGGCTGGGGCAACGCTTCGAGGTCGAAGACTGGCACGTCGACTAACTTCTTTCCCTTGATTCGCCAGATCTCTTGTCCGTTTACCTAAAACACTGTTGGCGCGGCTCAGGATCTCGGATGCTTTGTTGAACATGGTGATACGGGTCGATCTTCGTGGCGACGGGTGAGAACCGATGTTAGGAGTTGGCTTAACCGATGCCAATTTATCTTCGTTGGTCAATACCTTCTCTACCCGCCTCCGTAGAGTTCGATGCTGAACAGAAGTGTTTAGATCATCAGAGCGCACCTCCTGCGATGAGTTTGAGATAGGCGTGTCGGGTACTATGGGCTGATCATCCATTACGCTGACATCTTTTGAGCGGGTTGAACCATTGTGCAACGACTCCATCACAGCGATGCTATGTCGAAGCCCAGAGCGTGAGCGCTTGGATGCCGCCAGTCTGTCCACATAGGCCTGGCTTGTCGACGTCGAGGATGTATGTTTCTGTGAAGGGGTGTTCTCAAGAGCCTCCGTAGCCCGCAAGGATGCGCGTATCGTTCTAGTTGACCTCCGCCGCGTAGCGGGTGGATCTTCGGTTGACGCGTTTTCATTGTTGCTCGAGGTCTCAGATCGACTGGCCTCTGGTGTCAGAAGCTGTTCCGGGATATCAAGACTGATAGGATCATTGGAGGGATTGTGGACAGTGGAAACGTCAGCGATAGTGGTAGTTGCGGACGCGGCTAGACGCGATGTTCGGCGTGCCATGTCGAGAAAATCCACAGTTCGGGAGAGAAAGAACGTGCCGTATACCGTGAAAGATAGGATTTACTTCAACCTTGAAAGATGGAGTGGTGGACGATGAGAGAATGGTCGGGTCGGGGAATATCAGGGGGGAAAGGTTGATCAGCAGCCGCGCGCCTCTTATCTTTAGGGCGATGTGGATGTCTGACGCGTGCAACATCAACACCTACATAGATTCACTTTATAGAAGAATTTACCGAGAATCCGATAATAAGAAGTACGCAAAGAGTGATTATTATTGGTTTTCTTTCTTCTTCTGATTGGTTTGTTTATTTCCCTGTCTTTTATATATATATTTTTTAACGAAAAGAGAAGGCGTTTTAAGGATTAAAGATTACTATTGGATTGTTGAAATCGGATCTAAGGAAATGCCATTGACTTCAAATGTTTATAGATTAAGATGAAATAAAATCAATGGCTCTGAGGTTATTATTCTATTGACCACATATTTCAAATACTAGAATATCGAAGGAATAAACCTGTTGTTTTTGGCTTCTTTGCTTTCCATCAGTGATCTATCAGACGGTCATGATTAAACAGTAAGAAATGAAAAGGAGAGAAGATGGGGAAATATAATCAAAACATGCTAGAGAATGTAAATTGAAATTATGATGTCTTTCCAAGACTAGGACAGATAAGTAGTGAGGTGGCAAGAAGGGTATAAATGTAAACAATTAGAAAACACAAGAGAAAGAGAGAAAAAAAATCCCAGGTAGCGTAGGGACAAGAAATGGGAAGTTCATATCGTCTTCACAGGTCGTACAGAAGAGATTGAGACAGACATTTTGGTGAAAGGGGGGGAGAGAGAGAGAGAGAGAGAGACGTTTGGCACCTAATTATGAGAACCAACTTGTTGCATCTCAATCCCTGCCTGAGACTCGACATCACGGTGGGTCAGGTATTTGCGTTTTTGCATAGCATAGCGCTGATCGCCTTCTTCGTAAGGCTGCTTGAATTGCATATAGGTGGGTGGGCGAGGTCGGCCCAGAACAGAGATCCAGTTTTTCAGAACATTGCCCTGGGTAAATGGCCGATGACGATCAGCTTTGGCAAACTTGTGGGAGTTGAGATACTCTCGAGTAGTCTCGCCCCGGCCAACTAGGAACAAATGATAAATCCAGAGTGCCAAAGGGTATGGGGTTGCAACAGCGCCATAGATAAACATAGCAAATGGAACACGCCATTTTGAAATTGAATCTCCAAAGGAAATCCGCTCGCGTGACATGTAGAGCAAAATATGGGCTAGACTGGCACCGAGGAGGAAGAGTCCCAGAAGTGTACCCCAGCTCACAAAGGCGAAGAAATAGCGATAATTCCGACGTCCAACACAGTTGTTCAGCCAGACGCAATGATGATCTAGGGTCTCGACGCAATTATCACAGACGCGGCAATGATAGCAGCGAGGGGGACGCCAAATGCTACAGGTCTTGCAATATTTCACAGGGACGTCCATAGCTGCTGATTCAGACGTGGCAAGCTTCACCATGACCCAGTCATTTGTGGGCGGCCCAAGAGTCAACGGATCGTCCGAAGTACTCACTGGAGGCAGAGGATGCATGTTTCGAGGCATGATGCCAGGATCAACAACCGACGCATGCACAAAAGACGAAAAACAAACATAAAATACATATGCAAACAAGATAGGGATGGCGGGGGAAACGTTGTGCCAAAGCCAAGGAGCTGAGAATCCAAAGAACAATGCAGATGGCACAAGTACCATTATGCCAGTGAGAATGTTAACAGGTTTGTCTCTGGCATTCTGAAGCCGACCACTACCACAGAAAATGGTATTGCCAACGAAGTATTCGTGGTTTCTGCCGCTATGAGTGCTTGGGAAGGCTTGCTTTTTGATATCTGCGGGGCCAGGAGAAGAGCCTACGGACGAAAGCCGTTCGTGGCCTTGAGGGTCATGGTTGTTGTGGGCGACCGCCTTGTTTTGATATGACAGAAAAGACAGCGGTGACTTGGGGGGGCGGAGCATCGCGCGAGTTCTGTACGCTGTAATTTACATTGAGATTCAAGTATTCAGGACGCTCCTTTCCTCCAGGATCTCGGTCATGAAGAAGCCGTACACTTTCTCCCAGACTTCGAACTGTCGTGTTCCCAGTGGGGCTGGCATTGGATGTATTCCGGTCGGGAATAATGGGGTCCGTGAACTCTGTTCCACGCGATGGCGGGGCCTCCATATCAACTTGAGGAAGAGATCCTTGCGGCATAGTACTGTTAGAGATCAAGCTTCTCCGGTTCTGGCTCGTTTGATCACCCCATTCCTCGGTAGACGATGCCGTCCCCTTGGTTACCGGCCGTCCCCCTCGGTGCGCTTGCAATCTTTGTGAGCTCATCGGCCGAAAAAATGCCTGAGCAGTCAAGGACGGAATATGTGTTCGACTGAGACGGCTACCAGAGCTTCCCGGTCTACTGGTAACAGAGTTTCTGGTGGGGGGGAGGACCCCGTCGAGAGGCAGAAGGGCGCTGCTGTTGAGGGGGCGGCACAGGTGGTGTGAATACCAATGAGCCCTCCCCATTATCAGATGCAACATCTGTTACCCGAGAGGATATCCCTCCAACCGAGGGAGGCCTTGGGATCCCCAGGGCATGTTGCTGAGTTGAGAGGGTGTTTGTATCATTAGTTTCGGGGTGGTTGGTTAAGTTTGTCATGGTCGAGGGAATCACGAAAAGAGTGTAGTTGATGTTTTCAGCAGGGTCCACGTGCTTTCATTTTGCTTTGGAATTAAAGATAGAAAGAAACGAGAGAGGAAAGGGAGCAAAAAATAATTGCTAGGTATGTCCGGATGAGTCCCGAGTGAGGTGGAAAGCTGGCTGAGGATAAACCAGAGTAATAAGCGACTGTTGATAGTAGGGGGGAAAAAAGAGAGACCGAGGCAGATGTGTACGCTCCTGGCCAAAAAAAAAAATCAGTCTTGATTGCGGAGGGATGTCATGCACTTCCAAGAGTTCTTTTCATCCCCACGCGTCGTCCCAGAATCCGGGGGAAGGAAGGACAATAGTAAGAACCCCCCCTGATCCCGATGATCGAATAAAGAACAACAGATAAGATAAACACACACCTCTGAAACGCGAATTGACGGATGATTCGAGCAAATTTGGATACTACCCTTGACCACAATCGAGCTTGACGAATTGTTGTATGACCACAAGGAAGTCAAGGGCGAACGCAAAGCAGTGAGAGCAGAGCCATTGGGGCCGAAAGGTTCACAATTCCACAAATCGAGCTTCAATTAATGCTGACTCATCATTTCGCCACGTGATCCAACAACATCATTCGATGTTCATGATTCTCTCACACCACCCCCGTCTCCGCTACTCCTCCACTTCCAATCCACCTAGAAGTCAACGCCACGATGTCCTCAATCGCTGCCATGGCTACTCGCCGGGCTCTCGTCCGCCAGCCCGCTTTCCGTGCTCCCTCGCGCCGCTTTATGTCCTCCAAGGTTGAGGAGGCCAGTCTCGACAAGGCTCCCAAGCGTGACCCCGAGCTTTACGTACGAGAATATGAATGCCATTGACTCACCTGGACCTTGAATTCTGACTAAAATGATAATAGGTTCTGCTTGGTGTTATGTCTGGTGCTTTCCTGGTCGCCGGCTGGTGAATAAACCCCTCCCCCTACACCTGAATTGTGCAGCTCCTCGATGCAATTGATGTCCTCGATTGAATGAAGAGTTCCCATGAAATAATCAGCTGACCTAGTGACATATTGTTCTCCAGGTACTTTGGCTCCAAGCCTACTTCCGTCACCTCCGAGAGCAATGTTCGCATTGGTGAGAGTGCCATGCCCTGGCACGGTGCCTCTGAGGATGGAAAGATCTACAAATATCAGTACCACCCTCACGGTGACAAGAACCAGCCTCTGCGTGCTGCTCCTAGCGCTATGAACACTGTCATTGTTCCCAATGTCACACTTCCTGAGGTATGCAATTCCTTCAAATATTATGCCCTTGCATCAGCCCTATCTCCTATTGCCGTGGTGGTATTTGGTCTTAACGCTTAGATCTTTTCACCCTGCCCACTGGTTTCCATTCTTTTTGGTCTATTTCCCTACTTTACCATGTTACTTATATGTTTGCCATTCTACAGGACCTTCATGAGAAATTCAACAAGTACGGCAAGGAGGAGTGGGATTATTGATAGGCTGAATTCGAGCTTGTTAAAACACGTTAGGTTAGACTGCCGTTTCTTGCGGCCAAATGCTGTACACTAAGATTTTGGTGAACGCTTGGTGAAAGATTATGTATTTGGACTTGGACTCGTATTTGCTACGGTTAAATATTTGTGCATAGTGTTCCTTCAATGTTAGTCAGGTGGAGAGAAACTGAAACACAGGGACTTAAGCTCGCTTGCAGCTTCAATATGCCCAGGTGTTGCGCGTAAAATGTATTTTCAAGCATTTCAAAGTCCGACCGTTCCAACTTGAAGATTACATCACTACCAGTGGCAATTTAGGGAGGATGCCAGTGTCATCACAACTCCGAGTCGGAACATTCAAGATTTGAACTTGAATGTGTTCAAATGTTAGTCCTAGCAGGTCCACGGGTTAGTTGGACCTATTCTACACATGGATATGCAAGAAGAATCAAATGTTCGTGCGGATGACCTCTGGAGGTAGTATTGAGTATTTATACTACTAGTATGACCAGGGGAATATCATCCACCGAGCCTTGAAAATGTTGAAGTACTATAACTTCCAAGGTTTAAGTTGGAGTTTCAAGGACTACATAGGTAGGATTCGGAGCCTGAGGGGCATTAGGAGCTATCTCGATTGATACCAGTATGTAGTGCTCAAGTGCTTTATCTCAACTTTCAAGGTTGAAGTGCTAGTACTATCAACCTGAGTTGACCTACGTAGTACAGCTTGAAGGCAAAACTTTCAGATCTCCAGACTCAAGTAGTACTCCGAGTAAGAACAATTTCAAGTTGAATGATCAACTTGAACCATTTGGGTAATCAAAAAGAGAGTGGAAACATCTAACGAATTACGATGGAGATATAGATGTTATCTCGTCCATGGGGAGAAAGGAAAGGGAAAAGAGCAAAGAAAAACAGATATTCATTATACATGTTGAAAATTTTGAAGCTGCGTCCACCGGCTTATCCCTCAACTATCCCAACAAGGCTATTCAATCTCAGTGCGGCCTTATGACGATGACGATCACTGCCTAGTAGCTTCGTTACCTTCACTAGCAGGCTTTGCCTCTGGGGAACCAGAGTTCTCCATGGATCGCTCGTTACCTTTCGCAACGGAGGCGGGCTTCTCCAACGGGACTGAGTCTTCGGATTTTCCACGAGTTTCGGGATTCTGACCTTCCACATCTGGGTGAGGGGGCGCAAGATGGCCATCAACAATCGGAACTTCGTGCGCATGCTGGAGTCGGGATTTAGATTCCCAACGGGTCTCGAATTTCACGTTGCCATCAGCGCGTAGGGAGGCCACAAGGTCCTCAGGAAGAATATTACCGTGTTGATCGCGATACTCAACACGGGCCATAGAGCCGGCAAGCTTGGGTGAAGTGACAGCAGCCTGGTCTGGTTCCTGGTCTTGGTCATGGGCCGCGTTGATGGGCTCTTGGGCTAAGTGCTGCTCAGGAGGATCCTGTGGTGGCTGTGAAGGCTTCACGTGAGCAGACGTCGTCGGAACCGTTTGGTCCAGGGTGGGGATTGGCGAATGGTATTGACTCAGCTATTTTCAATCAATACATGTTAGCAAAACCGGGACTGAGGATGAGACCTTGATTGTCGAACACTTACATCGGCGTGAAATCTCTCGCAATCAAAATCCCAACCGTTCAATAACTTGACCTTGTAACAAGCGCTTTTCGTCCAGGGGTTGCCATATATGAGGGGAGAATACAGCGTAAACACAGCAATAGAAAGTATCACGAAAATGGCCATCAGTGATTTTCCAATGGCGGGTCGCGAGGTCAATCCGAAGACTTTGACGCGATTCAAGATAAAGTCAAATTCCTGACAGAGAACCATAATCGCAAAGTAAAGGGCGGGAAGATAGTGGTGCAAGAAAAGTTGACGAGCCATGAGGTAGAAGGGGAAATAATGGAAGAACCATCCCAGAACAGTAGTACCGACTTCATAGTCAAATCTTTTCCATGAAACGTGGATGTAATCATTACAACTGCGTTGCCAACGAAGAACAGCGATAGCCTTGAAAACGAAGTAAACGCCAATTGCGAGAGTAGACGACCACCAGATAAGAGGATTACCTAGGAGATAGACCTGGCGGGCATCTTTGCCCCAGAAGTTGATGCCGCGGAGCAGAGTCGGCCAGGATGGAGGACGAGAGTCCCAGGCATGCGATTCAACCAGACCTGCGTTGGTGGTCCACATCACCTTTTGCAGTTCCCAGAACTTCCCGAGGAAGCCAGGGTTACGGTAATTCACCTTTTCGGCCTCTGGTGGCATCGTGGGGTGCGAATTGGACTCAATGTACCAAAGACTATTAGGAAGAGTACCACCACGGGCACATGTGACTTCTTGTTGCTCAAAGCCCCAGTCTGGAAGTTTAACCTTGTGGGAAAAGAGCACACAGCCAGTCATGATATGAACCAATTTAAACTTGGTCTGAATCGTGCGCAGACGCGTTTTGGCCACATCACCCTCGGACATCGAAGGCACAATCTCAACTTTGAATAAATCGTTGGCATCACCAGGGAATCCCTCATAGCCATAAGCAGAAACCTCAAATTGCCAGTCAGCCTCTGTGACAGGGGGTCGTTCATCATGGGAATGAATTCGTCGATGAGTAAGCTGATGGTAGAGTCTAATGATCGACCCATCTTCAATAAAGTTATCGGTAGCAGTTAGATTATCCCAGGCAAAAGCTCCAGGGATCTCCCCATAAGGGCCCAAGGGTTGAGTTTGGTTTTCCAATACAAACACATTGTTCTCATCCTTGTGGGGATAAAGGGTAATCTGCTGCTGTTTGCTGCCCGTGGGGTACATATGGTTGTGTGAATGTAAGTAGCCACCCTGTGTATTCAGATGACGGAGGCTGACACGAGATCCAAAGGATACATCTGCTGGCACGTCCTGCATTGACTTGGAGTTCAGAGTTGCTTGGAACTCGGATGACATAAAGCCATCGCCCTCGCCTGGGTTAACGAGGCAGGTAAAGTGAATGGCAAACATGGCAAGATAGAAGCCCACAGGAATGACAATCAAGCAAAACGCTCGTGAGAACAAATGCTTGAACCATAACCGAGGAGAAACAGTTTTTGTATCACCCAATACTACCCATAGCTGCAGGGCTGTGATGGACCCAACCCAAGCCATGGTGAACAATCCAACCCATTTCACACTGAGAGTTGCCCCCAAAGATACGCCGGTTGCAGCTAGCCAAAACCACCAAGGCCCTCGGAATGCATAGTTAGGACCCAGTTCTTGTTGGTTAGAGAAACAAGTGAATGACAGGGCAGTCAGAGCAGTGAAGAATACCAAAGGAGAGTCAAGGAGAATTAGACGAGATTGAGTGGTCAGCGCGTTATCTAGAATGACCATTAGCTTACTACCCATTGCCGAAGTCCAGTATATGCTTACCAAAGATTACCACACTGGCACCCATGACAGCAGTTGAAGAACGACAACCGCTGGCCTTGAGTGTAAGGAACATCAATGAAACCGTCAACACTCCCATCATTGCAGGGAGCAGGCGCATGGCAACGTAAGGAACACCTGGCTCAATATAATCTTTGCCAATATCCTTGAAGTCGAACTCTCCATCAAAGCCGGCTAACCAACCTGCTAGCGTGAGTAACAATTTGGCCAGAGGAGGATGCACATCCATGAAGAAATTTCCCTTGATATATTTGCTGGCGAAACCACCGAAACTGTTCAAGAATAATGAAATGTCAAGTATTAATCAAGGTGTCCCTATATATAGTATTTCCTGTAGGGGGGAAAGGGAAGTAGAATGGCAAAAAGTTAAACTTACTGGACTTCATCAAACACGACACTTGTAGGTTGATAGATGCGAAATAGGCGCACAGCAGCTCCAATAAGCGTTACTAGCACGAGAAGCTTATAGTCGGATGCGGGAAGGTTGAGAATATCATAATCTTTCACACCCTCAGAGGCATAACTCGCACTTTGCTGTGGCTGTATAGGCTTGCGAGTCTTAGGCTGCGGTGAACGACTAGGAGATCGTCGGCCACGACTCTGTGGCCGCACAGTCAAAGTATCCTTGGATTTTTGACCCATAGTCACGGCAACCGGGGTAATTGTTATGTATGATGCGTGAAAGAGAGCAAGTATTCGGAAGGCAGAGAACGAGACAATTGACCGATCGTCGATCGTCGGACTAATTTAGAAAAGAACGGAATCAAGTTGAATGGCGAATGAATCACGATAAACAATGAGGTTTTTGAAGCTGAGAGAAAAGCGACTGTTGACGGTGACGCCACTAATGATCGTAGGTTTTGAACAAGAAAGACCCCATGACAGGGGTTGAAGGAAATCTGGAGGAGTGGAGGAAGGGAAATAAATGAAAAGAAGATTTGAATGAGAAAGATAAGAAACAATAAGAAAAGGAAACAGAATGTATGAGGGAAATGGACGAAAGCAGAGAGAGTGTGAGAGAGAGGCCAGATATTGACCCGAGGCGGAGTGTGGATCAGAGAGACTGGCCCCTGAACCTTTTCAGTCTTTTAGTGTGAGATTCAAAAGGGTCTAGAGGATCATATAGAATACCTCAGAATGGGGGTTTTTTTGAACTCGTATTTTTGGAAAAATTGGAGATGATAATTGAATTTGATGAAACACGAACTTTTTAGAATCCGACTGAGAAGAATCATATGAATCTAAGTACATTGTGTTTATACAACACAAGATGATGACTGAATGCGGCAATGAGATTGATGCAAACCATGCAAACTGTCCTCGACAAAATCAGGTGACAATACATCACATGACTCTTGTGTTAGCCCATTATAATATAGACACCTTAAATAGAAGGTGGACACTGGTCGAGGAGTAGTCAGCACACTCATCTACCGTCCGGGCGTTCAACCTTACCTGAGAGAGAAGGGCTGCTCTCTGGTCTCAGGTCCAAATTGTTCTCTTGCTTAAATTTTTCTTTCCCACTACGAGCGACATGGACTCCTCAAATGGTATCACCCCTTTGCCAGAGAATGTGAACAAGCCGCCTGAGGGCTTGGTACTTCCTCCGAAAGATATTAGAGGTAGGTTTTCCTCAACGCTATACACCCAACGAGAATGAAGCTCACCATATGCTCCAGCAATTGTCGAGAAGACCGCTGGCTACGTCTCTCGGAATGGATCAGTATTTGAAGGTGAGCATTTTCTCTATTTCCCTCCATTTGAGAGCGATTCATCCAAGTTCTCAGGTCATTGCTGACTCGATGCGTTCTTTTTTTTCCCGGACTTTAAGATCGCGTCCGCGAGAAAGAAAAGAACAACCCGAAATTCTCCTTCCTTAACCCTGACGATGCCTATGCGTCTTTCTATCAATGGCGCTTGTCTGAAATCAGCGAAGGTCGAGGTACCACCGTCTCTGCAGGCCGATCAGGAGAGACTGTCCCCATCACAGAAGCCAAGACCCCCGAGGGACCCCCCGAACCGCCTACATTCCATTTCTCTGCCCGGATGCCCATCAGTCATGCACAGGATCTAGAAGTTGTGAAAATCACTGCGCTATTTGCCTCCAAACGTGGCAAATCATTTGTTACCGCACTTTCCCAGCGAGAGGCGCGGAATCCCCAGTTTGAGTTCCTCCGGCCCGGTAATAGCCTTCATCAGTTTTTCACACGACTGGTTGACCAGTATACAATTCTCCTCCGATCGGAAGGTATCAGCGAGAGTACTACAGAGCAGAGACGCTCCACGGAGCTAGCAAAGAATGCGAAAGGCAAACATCACATCTTGGAGCGGGCCAAGCAGCGCGCCGCCTGGGTCAAACACCAAGAGCAGCAGAAGCAAGAGAAGGAGGATCAGGAGGAACAAGAGCGCATAGAATACGCTCAGATCGACTGGCATGATTTTGTGGTTGTTGAGACGGTCATGTTCACTGAGAGTGACGAGCATGAGGATCTACCGCCCCCGACCTCATTGAATGATCTCCAATCCGCATCCCTGGAGCAAAAAGCCGCCATGTCTCTAAATCCTCTGCGCATCGAAGAAGCCATGCCCACCGATCTCGATACGCCCATTTATTACAATGCTCATCCTGCCCCAATCGAGCCAGCTCTTGCGCCGCAGCCTTCTGTTACTTCACACATTACCCCGGGCCAAGCCCCATACCTACCACCCACCATGGATTACAATTCCCAGTACCCAGTTGTTCCACCCGTTCAAGCTTCGCAAGCTATTGTCGACTCATCTGGGCTGGGAATCCCGAGCAAGCCACCTATGCGCATCCGCTCCGACTACGTTCCACGAGCCCAAGCTCGTCGTCAGCAGGGTGCCACCGCGATTTGCCCCAATTGCCACCAACAGATTCCCGTCACAGAGCTGGATGAACATGTACGCATCGAATTGCTTGATCCACGCTGGAAAGAACAACGCGCCAAGGCCGATGCTCGCAGTGCCACGACCAATCTGTCCACTGTCGACGTTGTCAACAATCTCAAGCGTCTAGCTAGTCAGCGCAGCGACGTTTTCGACTCTTCTCCCGTATCTGGCATACAATCCGAAGAAGAGGATCGCCGTAAACGCTTGGCCATGGGGGCAGTTCCACCAGCAGATGGTCCGCAACCTCCCGGGGTGGCAGTTCCTTCAGGCGTGCACAATCCCCAAAATATGAACATTGAGGACCAGATCCGGCATATCCACCAACGAGCCCGGCAATAATTTCACAGTCTCTTTTCTGTGGTAACGTTGTCATGAGAGTACAGACTCTACTACTCTTTGTTTTAGTATGCGGAGTTTTGCAGGCGTGGCTCTAATTCATTTTGACTGGATACGGATATCGGATGATGCCCAGGTGTGCTATCTTGTATTATAAAGTTATTGTTCAAGTTTCTGGTGCAATCTAAGCAGAAACTTGGAATCTTTGCTGGTAATGGCATATTCTCGTGTGGTCTATAGCAATCCAATACTCAAAATCTTCTTTATCAAGCTTAAAGCAACTTCCCAGGTGTGTTGCTAGGACCAAGATAAAGAATAAAAAGAAACATTTGAAGCAAAACACAATTCAATCTTGTTTTCCGGCTCTCTTGGGCCACACATGTGCAGGATTACTAGGTAGTAGGTACTGGGTAGTACGCTCACGCCTACCTACATTGATAGGTACTATACATGCCCATCCATCCATGGATGTGGGATCTGAACCCACTCCAGGGCTGGCAGTTCTTTGGACAAACTTGAACCATAAACTACATCCGAGTCTCAAGATTACTCGCAGCGGCTCATTGTTCCACGGACTTAACCTTCAAGTTGGAATTTGAAGGACCAAATCCAACTCTACCTGCTAGGTAGTAAAGTACATGTGACTGCGGAATATATTGAATGTTATTCATAGATCCATGGTACATAGTAAAACTGTCATGATGACTGGCCAGGTGCATATGTTGAAGACTTCAATGTTCCCAGGTTAGATCGTGATGATACTCTTGGTAGTATCCATTGGCACTGGCAGGTAACAGCCTGAGCACTTGAACGCTTGAACATCCAACTCCAGATATCGCAGTCGCTATTACGTATTCTGAGGGCAGGTGCATTCAACTTGAAGTTATGTAATATAGGATCATTCCGCCCTACTAGTATCTGGGCAGTAAAGCGGTGGTCAAAATCTTGCATTGACCTCGGGAAGATAGTTCCAAATTGCAATGCCGGGGCGTTCAAGTTGTGAGTCACTCGAATTGAAAGACGTAACTTTTTGAAGAGACAGATATATAGGAATTGCGTGAGGAAGGGGAACAGTCACTCAAAAGACATTATATATACATAGCATGGGTTGATCGGTAATTTATTATCAGTAATGACATCTGGAATAATACAGAAGGGAGCAAGATTGCCCAGAATAATGCACAGATCTGGAGATGCGCGGCAGAATGGAGGAAAAGAAGAAAAAGAGGAGGAAAAAAGACGACGGGCCAAGATGGATAAAGAAATTGAAAAGAGCAACAACATTCGCTGGATGATGACAGGGAAATTCTATTGGGGCTAACCAAGATATACCCCTAAATTAGAGTCAATATAAGGGAAGACATGGGACGGTTCGTGAATGTAGCCGCGGGTGGCGAAATAATTATGAGAGACGAGATATTGATATCAGGGGTCATGAAATTGAATGACTGCTTGGGTCGGGAGTATATGGGTCTTGCTCCACTTCAGATCCCACGTATTCCGTCTCCACGGTAGCATTGGCTTCTTCGGCTTCTTCGTAAACACTCATGTCGGAATCAACAGAGGCTCGTCTCTGAAGAGAGTCGGAAGCTGAATTTTGGAGATCTTTTCCCTCAAACGTAGGGGAGTCAGGGGTCGCCGGTTGAGCCATTTCGAAGTCGGGTAGAGAAGGAGCGAAAACGCTGGAGTCTCTCTTAATCTGAGTGGGCTCAATCGAGGCTGTCATTTCATGTATTTTGCACTCGTTGATAACAGAGTTGTCCGTAGGATGAAGATACCCACCGCCTGGTGTATATACCGAGGACTCGGTATCCAGGGTGTTGATATTTATTTCAACATCAGGCTCAGGGGCCCGAATCACCAGTGGGATGATCCCACCAGCAACTCGTGACCAAAACATTCGCTCTCTAAGCCGAACTGTTTCCTCCCAAATTTCTCTCTCTTCCTCCACATCGCCGGCCTTAAGATGACCATCCAAAATCAATCGTAAATATCCGGTGAATTCGCAGCAGGAACGAATCCGCTCCACACACTGAAGGCACAACGAATACCGCTGAGCTGTCTCACTCTCAGACGTTCTAAACCGGTGAGTTCGCTCATTTTGTGGACCCGGTCTGCGTTCACCACAAACAGTGCAGGGAAACTCGTATTTTTTTGTCATAGCTGGCATTGGCTCTACAACCAACGTGCCCTCACAAATACCGCTCAGAACTGTACGGCGGGTGAGCCATGAGATTCCGGGCGCCAAGTCAAGTCGTAAAGTAGGCTCAATATCTTCCATGAGTACCCTTTTATAAAATCGGGTATCTTTCAATGGGGCGTGCGAGCCAAATTGAGATGACAAGCTTCCATTTGGAGAGCTAGTCACCCCCTTCGTAGGCGAGTTGTTGGCGGAGGCTGCTCCAGAGCCAAATCCTGCGAGACTCATGACATTCAAACCCGCATATGATCCACTACCGGCCCGACTGGGAGGCTTAGAGCCCCGGGAGAGCGTAAGAAGCTCTCGAAAGTCATCAAAAGACTGTAGGTCAGTGCGACACACCATGCGAAGAATCTCGGGGAAATCGCACGAGGGACCGGGGGTACGTCCCTCAGGATTGCACGGATTTGCTACTAAATGATGCGATTCGGGATTATGCTTAGTAGGCCCTTGCGTTTGAGAAGCCCCCGCTGGCGATGGCGGGGCGGTAGAAGCGGCACGAGAGTCCATGTCATCCTTGGAGAGGTGCATTCCTTGCATGACTGACTTGAGCTCGGCCAGTTGATCCTGATGTGACGCAAGGAGCGACTCCGTGTCTCTGACTTGGGACCGTAGTTGCTCATTCTTTTTTTCAACCACTTCTCGTTCGATTTTAGCCGCAGCCACCATCTTAAGTAGTTAGCGTAGATCCAAGAGCCAAACGTGGATACCGCAGAAATGCTCACCTTATTGGCTTCCTCGAAGAGATCAGCAGTCAGGGTTTCTAATTCTTGCTCAATTGTCTTCTTTCCTTTTTCCACCACAGCTCGCTGCGCCCTTTCCTCCGCGAGCGCAGTTCTCAATTGTAAGATTTCGCGGTCTGCATCTGATTTTTTGATGTAGACCTTGGTGTCGAGGTCACGTCGATATTTCTCATTCTGGAATTCCAGGGCTTGAATTTTACCCTGAGCCAATTCCAGCTCTTGACGAGTGGCAACCAAGCTATCATCTAGCTGTGCCTGGTTATTGATAGCTTGAATCAACTTAACACTCAGCGCAGCAACTTCATTACTCAAGTCGGGATGATGAGTTGATGAGATCGAGGGGGAAGCCTCTGTTTGGGCCGCTAATCGAGGATCCTGCAAGGTGTTGAAACCGTCCTCCTCGAACCTATTTATGTGGGAAGTGGGGGCATTTTTCCCAATGTTTTCAGTTAGATCTGTCGTGGACTTGGCCTTAGTCACTGTCTTTTCGGGAGAAAGAGCTCGATGCTCGGAGGACAGCGACCGTTTATGGGAATGACGCGGGATCATGGTCGAGGTAGACGGTGGTAAGAGTTTATTATGATATGTTTGAAAGGCAATAAGACTGTGGGGTAACGTCAGTCAAAATCTGGTTTAGTGGAATTTCTTCTTCTTCTCTCCGTGTGTGCATGTGTATATGACCCTAGAACTTACTCGGCCATGATGAGTGACGTAAAAGGCGTTGAATGAATGTAAGAGGAAAGGATGCAGAGTAGTTCCAAAGGTTGTATTTCGTTTCCACCCAGATCAGACCCAATTGAGGTTCCACTCAAGAAGCACAGAATTGCCAAAATTCATTGACTAGGCCATTCAAACTAGGGGGGAGGAATAGCAAGGAATGGTTCGCGTGAAGTCTTGAGGCGAACGGAACGGGGGAGCTGAGGCGGTGCCCGGAAAATGAGGATCCCGGCAGGATATTGAAGAGGATGAAAGGACTGACAGGAAGAAAAATAAGAATAATAAGGGAGAGAATAAGGGTAAAGTTCAAAAGGGAAGACTCGGGAACTGTTAAACAGCCCAGGAAGTTGATGATGGAACAGGATCTTGGAGTTCTCCAGGTTCCTGGAAGAGGCAAACCCATTGCTTAGTCAGGCACCGAAAGCGCCTGCCATGGTGACGCGTGACGAGTCTACCTTTACAATGTCCACGAGTTTCACCGAAAGAGTTATTGATTTTTTTTTCTAATTTCCTAATCTTTGCTCAAACATTTCGAATGCTAATCGATGGTGCTCTCTTGGATCATCTAAAAATGATTTAGGAGCTCAATGAACTTCCAAGTTATGCGCGCCAAATGCTTCAAAGTTCTGCTATACGAAGTACGATCAGGTAATTTGACTTGTAACTAACTGAAACTTCAGCCTCACATCCCCGTCCATTTCCCAATTGAACTTGTTGAATCCAGATTGTCTCAGAGTTAATCTATATTTCAAGTTGGAAATTGTATATACATACTCTGTACTTGCATCTGAAATCGGAATTGGAATCCAACATAGAACGGAGTTTAAACCCGCTCTAAGAACCATTGAACAGCAGTATGAAGTACACGCGTATTTCAATTTGACCTATTAAGAGTGCTGTATCTAGGTAACATTCAAGTTCTATATGATATAAGTTGTGTATGTACTAGCGCGATCACCAATGTTGAAAACTTCCAGACTACATATACCTAGTAGGTAGGTACTAGTACAGTAGTACTACAGTACATAACTATGGGCAGTATACTACTGTAGTACATCCCCCCGCGGCTTGGTAGCCTGAGGCGGTTCAAGTGGGGTTACCAAATCAACTTGCAAGTTGGAATCTTCTCTTTTCAATGAAAATTATCTTTATTCAATTTAACACATAATCTCCAACAGAATGGCAGACGCAGAGTTAGAGGAGGTAAGATTGGTCTTCTCTCGATTTTTCATCTTTTTATCTTCCCCCTTCCTTTTTTTTGTATCTTCACGCAATTGAATACTCAGGTCTCCTAGATCAGGCGAGCTCGTTTGGCACAACTTCAACAAGGCGGTCCTCGTGGAGGACCAAGTCAAGACAGTGGTCAAGATGAACAGAGAAGGTATATACACCTCCAGGCTATATACACCTCCACTGCTTTTCCTCGTGTTCTACTTCCGGGATGTTTTACAATTCTACCTAGGTAACTAACGAGTCTCAACAATAGGCAAGCTGAATGTAAGGTGACTCTTTTTACCAATTCCACACAAAAAAAACACAGCGCATTCTCTTCACACCAATGATATTCAGATCTTAAAAATATAATCGAATGACCAAATCTAACGAGATTTACTTCCTAGCGGAACGGCGTGCCGCCATATTGAACCAGATTCTCGACCCCGCGGCCGCTGATCGTCTTGGCCGCATCCGCCTCGTCAAGGAATCCCGTGCAGTCGATATCGAGAACAGACTCCTCATGCTGGCGCAGACAGGTCAGTTGCGCCAAAAAGTTACCGAGGAACAACTTAAGGAGCTCTTGAATGCCGTCGCAGAGAATCAGCGCAAGGAGGAAGAAGAGCAGAAGATCGTGATTACTCGGCGAAGAGGCGGCTGGGATGATGATGAGGATGATCTGCTTGACTTGTAAGCCTCGCTTGAACAATATTGGTTTATTTGGCAATTCAGCGTTGTGCTCTCTCTCTCTCTTTCTGTCTTTCCCAACTACTCTCAAAAAGCTCTTGGAAAAGACATCATCATCTACAACTCCAGGTATCAGTCCTCTCGGGATTTTCTTACAAGATCCGGTTTCTTCCACATGTCATTTATCATGTTTTATGATCTTACAATAATCTGTTTTGGTGCTACAAGAATGGGGATATGAAAGAAATGGCCATAACCACTGCTTCACAATTGGGAGAGCAGAACACCCCTGCTCAAACTGACACCTGCTGTTGTTGCTTCTCACGTTTCTGCTGTTGCCGAATCATTTTCCTAATATCCCTCAGATCTGGCGGGCGCTCGATATTCAGCTCTGCCCGAAGCACATCAACATCTTTCTCCAGCACCTCTTCCCAGTAGACATTGATCAACTCCTTACTCCCAAGTCCACTTCGCACCGCCCAAGGCAGATGCAACGAGAGAAATCGCTCCTTCTCAGCAGGTTTCATCCGAATAAACGCAAACAAGCTCAATCCTGTCATGGGCAAAAGTGTATTTAGAAACTCTAGTGCCTTGAGCGCTAGCTCGCCCTCTACAAAGATTGGAAGTCCCGTTACCGCATGGTAGAAATCGTGACACTCACGGTATCTCTGCATGACATAGGCACACTCTTCGTTATCAATGTAGTGAACCTGGTCACGGGTATCGGGTGTCACGCCCTCACGGTCGAGCCATTTGGCGTATGTTCGACCAACCGAATTGTCGGGAAGTGTACGGAGATGGGAGAGTGGAAGCGTGTTGGATGTAATGCGAGGGCGGTCGCGAAGGATCCGGCGGCCTGTTGGGTCAGAAAGCATGGCATTGCGAAGGCGATAGATGAAGTATGGGGTTGCAGTGGCTTCGCCCAGGGCTGCAATGAGGTCTGGAGAGTTTGGTGTTAGTGAGATAATATTGTACGTCCGGTGGGTTGGTATATAGTGCGCGCGTTTGCACTGGCTCCTAATGAGCAAATCCATGTTCAATAGGAAAATCATAATCATACCTGCTCTTCGAGGATTGACCAGAGACCCAATTGCTGAACCTAAGGCGAGGGCACCTCGCTCAATGGTCGTTAATGGAACATGACCAGGATAATTTACCTCTGGACGGTTGAGGACAGAGAAAGGTCGTAGTGTATGGCTGGTAAGATTAGGTCTCATTCTGTATCTTCCCCAGAGTGACATTGTGGGGATCAATATATCCCTAAGGTATGAAGAATTTTCAAGCTCCAAACTGTAGATCGTACGATCGTCCTTATAGAGAGACCTCGGGAGAGATGAGAACCGGACATAATCATGCCCAGGTGGCGCATTGGGTTCTTGTCGAGTACCGTAATTCTACGATAAGCGGGTTATCGATATCAAACTGTTTTCTCCACAATAAAATGTTCCTGCATCATCAACTTGAAGTACGGAGGGTTAATCATGGCGTTTACCACCTAGCAATGAACATTTCTCTTCCACAAATCCTTCTACTTACAACTGGCCCTTTTCACAGGTTCTCTAACAAGAAACACATCCATTGAACCGCAATATGGACCCGAAGCATTATCCCGGCGAGAATCATGACGCCTTCACTAATTGGGCATTGGCCCAAGGTATCATTGCCAATGGAGTTACTCCAGCGCGTTTTCCAGGACGTGGCCTTGGAATGATGGCCATCCGAAAAATTAAGGTAGGATGCAGCTGGAGAGGGGAGAAGGGAGTTTCCTTTTTTTTTCTCTTTCCTTTTTTTCTTTTTTGCAACAAACGCGACAAGTCACTAACAATACCCATGTGCATGTATCTAGAAGGGTGAAACTGTAGTTCAAGTCCCTACAAGCACGATCTTCACAATTGATCATATCCCCATCGAGTTCAGGTCCCGGTTTCCGGAAGGCACAGCCGTCCAAACTATCATGGCCGCATTTCTGACCCATGGAAGTGAGGAGCAGCTCGAAAAGTACCAACTTTGGTTCAAGACGTGGCCTACACGGCACGATTTTGAAAATAGCCTGCCCTTGCTCTGGCCTCGAGAATTAGGTGGTCTCATCTGGCCAAGCAGGGATACCTCGGAAAGCACAAGGGACGATCTCTCTGTGGCCCCTAATCTCCTTCCACCCTCTATATCAGGACGTTGGAACTCTATCAAGACAGAGCCCCGGGCAAGAAAATACGATAGCGAGCACCAGGATTTGGAGCCAATGCAAGAACGAAGGCTGAAGAAGGCATGGGCGGACGTCACGTCAACTTTCCCTGAGACTGACTGGAAGAGCTTTTCATACCTATGGCTTATCGTTAACACAAGGAGCTTTTATTGGGTTGGCCCTAATCAGCAGCCGCCAGATAATCGGAATGATGCAATGGCTCTATTGCCCTTTGCGGACTACTTTAATCATTCGGATGTTGAGGTATGTCATTTTTCACCAGGCTGAGATTTCGATTCTCTTTCTTCCATTCCCTTCCCTTTCCTTTCCTTTCCTTTCTTTTTTTTCTTGGTTGCCGACTGCATTATAGTGCGATGTAAAATTTGACGAAAATGAATATGTGCTTCGTGCTACGGAGGACTACGAGAAGGGCGATGAGGTTTATATGAGCTATGGCAATCATCCAAATGATTTTCTTCTAGCGGAATGTAAGACCCCACAGCACGACAATCTCTTTGCCAAGCTGACCTTCCTCAGATGGATTCTTCCTTGACCAAAACGAGTCGGATTGCGTTTACCTTGACGCTATTGTCTTGAGGGACATTGATAGCCCTGATAAGCAAGAAGAGCTTTCGTTAAATCGATACTATGGGTTTGTATTTCATGGAATAATGAATTAGAAGAAAAAGTTGCTTGCTAATACTTAGCAGTGAATATCGAGTCACTACAAAAGGGGTTTGTTACCGCACCGAGGTTGCAGCGTGTCTGAAGTACATGAAAGGCGAGGATTGGAGAAACCATGTTCTCGAAGGTTCGATTGATGGTGTCGATGAAAAGAAGTCAATGGAAATTATCAAGGGGTGGCTTGACGTATACACCTCGGAGGCAGATGCAACGACGAGGGCAATAAAAATGGCTCTTGCATCAAATCCAGTGGTGCAGGCACATCGAGAGAAGGTAGAGGTGATATTACGGCGATGGAAACAGATTAAGCAGATCTGTTATTGCGCTGCTAAGGCCATGTCACTGTAGGTAATCATCTGGTTGAGCGTCTACTCGAAACCTCCAGCAGCGTTTCATCATTGATCTTGCTTGACTGTTGTCTGGCTGGCAAAGTCTTCAGCCACTTGAATATCATCTTGGTCAAGAGGAATGGAGGTATTGTCCCTTCGTTGTCTTATGGTCAACTTGCTGCGTACCATTTGGCAGATCATGTAGTTCAATGTACATTTGATCCCCAGTTCTTCGCCCCGATCCACGATCCAGCCATTCATATGATCAATTTCGGTGAATTTTCCCAATTGCAGGTCTTGAAGCATGGAACTAGTGTTCTCCGCAGTGGTATTGGCAACATTCATTGTCAGTCGAAGAAGGCGCTCTGGAGCAAATCGATCCTCGATTCCCGGGACTCCTTGTAGCTCAGGGAGAGCAAAAATGACACTCGAGATTTCAAATAGAAGCAAACGCATGGTGCGAGTCACCTTGAAAATGTACAGCAGCTCTCCATTGGTACAATCGTAAAGGGCCGTCAGCGGGTTGATTAAGCAGTTCACAGCCAACTTCTCGAGCTGATATTGAAGCAAACCAACTGGTGTTTCCGTTGTAGCTACCAACGATGGGGTCAAGGTTAAAAGGCGAAGAATATACTTGGTGCTTGGTGCCCAGTGAGTGTCTTCTTCCGCTAAAAGGGGTGGACTCTGGTCTGTAACCACCGGTGCGAGGGTTATTGTGCCGACACCACGATGGGCGATTTGGAATTTATCTTGCATAGAAAGACCATGACTGATGACCCCCTGTACATAATTGGGACGGTCATTTGCATCCGGAAACACAATCTCATTGAGTTTTTTCACCACCCCCATTCCATTTTGCAAGAGAACGATAGTCGAAGCTGTAGTCAAGCGATGTCGAACTTTCCATATAGCCCTCACAGTCATAAAAGCCTTGCACGTAACAATTAAACATTCGATCTGCCCCTCCTCGGTTCTTTCAAGAAGCTCATCCGCCGCATTAGGGGCGTCGATCGCTGTGCTGTCGTCTCTGTGCCTGCGAGATTCCGAAAGCCATACATCATCCGACAGAACCTGGACATCAAACCCTGTTTTGACATCTTCTAGTCCATTGTGATTGACGGAAATGCTCTTTTTCTTCCGGCAAAAGGTACGGTAAATCCCGTCATTATGCATCAACAACGTGATAGGCGGGGGCGAATTTTTAGAAGCAAGAGCATGCGCAACGAAGTTTCCTATATTTCCCATGCCAAGAATATGTACCCGTCCGGACAATGACGGTGTCTCGGTCTGGTGGGATACTTGATTCACTTCCGGGGTCCAAGTCGAAAGATATCGAGGCATGAGTCGTCTAGCTGTTCCTAGGTGAGACTGTAGATGGTATTCCATGAGCCAACTCCGCCATAGCGGGCGGCTTGCGGCTTTGAGAAACACTTTGAAAGCGTTTTGGGGAGGTAATCCCCGGGTAGCGTTGTAGTCGGGGAATATGGCGTCAGGATCGGGTGATTATAAGAATCAGAGGGAGGTATCACATTGAATGTTGGAAAATCATTCCAAGGAAATCCATCAAAGGACGAGGAAAGGTTCAATTGAACTGCAACTCAAGAAGGGTTGTGGCACTATTCCATCGCGGAGCTGTGAGATAGAATCTCCACCGCCTGTAGTCACCGCCTTGGTAACACCGGTCTTAATCTTGGAATTTTTCTTGTCTGCAGCTCCCAACCTTGGAAGGTTTCATTCCTCACTCAACCCACACCATGGATACAAACAATCTCTTTCCTCTGCTGGAGAAATTGGATGATGACCTGGATGACCTTGAAGAGGCCCTAGAGCCATTTCTTGGTAAATCCCTAGTTGGAGTATCCAAAAATCTGCCCGTGATGGACAAAGCCAAGCTTCATGTCCTGGTAACATATACGCTTGAATCACTAATCTTCTGTACGTTCCTTCTCATTGAAAAAAAAAACAAGATCCATTGAATTTTTTTTTAATAAACTTTCAGCTTATCTGCGACTACATGGCGTCGACGCGAAAAATCACCCTGTTTTTCAAGAACTCACTCGCGTGAAGCAATATTTCGAGAAGATCAAGAGCTTGGAAGCGGAGCCTGAACAACGCAGTATGACACTGGACAAGGACGCTGCGACTCGCTTCATCAAGCATGGTCTTGTAAGTAACAAATATGACAAAATACGTCATCTGCGACTAATTTTGCATAGGCTGGCAACGAGAAGTATGATCTAGAGCGTGCTGAAAGGGAGGCCAAAGAAAAGGCGCGCGCTGCCTTCAAAGCCTCCATGATCGCCAAAAAGATGGCAGCAACATCATCTAGTGCTGTACCACCTAGCGACAAATCTACTTCTAACGATCGAGGCGATTCCGATGCCAAAATTAACACCGAGATCAAAATTGCCTCTGAGTATGACAAGGAAAAGAAGCGAGGGAAGCACGAGAAAGCCAAGCCTAAAAGAAGGAAGCAAGGAAAGCCAAGCAAAGCCGATCTTATAGATGAAAAAAAAGAACGGCGACAGAAGAAGGAGCAAACTCGTCAAAGTCGCCAAGGTCGCCAGGAGTCATAAGAGAGACATTATCATCACTCTAACCAGCAATCTTTGACCTCGCCAAAGCTCCATCCACTCAAGCCTGTTGAAGCGTGGAGTTATACATCGAGTATTTCACCTTCATGGCGATTTGTACATCATGATTAAGATACCCAACAAGCCTATTGAATCACAAACAGTTTTCTTCTGCTAAAGATTTATTTGATGAATCGGTTGATACTACCTGGGTAATACATACATAGTATAATTCATCTGGGCAAGCTTTAGTGCAAGTTTCCCTTAGAACACCCGTGATATTCCGTAAAATCCCGTGATGTCGAGGAATTTATTCACGTGACCTAATGTCCTGGAGATGATTATTCAGCATATAGGACCATTTACCACCAATCACGCCCGGGCGGTTCCCAAAATTTACAGTGTACCTATTTTCTCCTTGTTAACTGACTCAGCTTCTAGCTTCTTCTATCTAGGCAGTCTCCACTTACCTTTCTTAAACTCACTCTTCTCCCTTGACAAATATCCAGTTTTCCGGAAACCCTTGTCCTTTTTCACTCCTCAGATCAAAATGCCTCGTCAACAACGCCGTGCTGCTCCTACCCCTGCGCGTAGCGCTCCCGTTCGCCCTACTGCTGCCCCGGCCCGGCCAGCCGCCACTCCCCAGCAGCAGGCACCTCACTCAACCGCTGCTCAACCGCAGCAGCATCAGCAGGCTCCTCCTCCTATGCAAGCCCCTCCCCAGCAAAGTGCAGGCCCAGGTCTGTTTGGTCAAATGGCATCTACCGCTGCGTATGTGATTCCTTCTTCTCCACTATAGACAAACTCTCCGATGTGTTGGGGCCTGGAGAGTTCGCATGCTACTCTTGCATATTGCTCTTTTTTTTTCTTTTTTTCTTTTTGGATAGGACTATAGCTAACATCACTCAATTGACATTGCAGTGGTGTGGCGGTTGGCTCATCTATCGGTCATGCCATTGGGGGTTTATTCAGTGGCGGCAGTTCTAGTGCTCCTGCCGAGACTCAGCAAGCTCCTCCCGCACAGTCGCAGGCTATGGACAATGGTCTTTGGCAAAGCAGTGCTACTAATCAGTCATGGGAAAACCCGGCCTGTGAGCCTAACGTGCGTGACTTCCGCAACTGCATGGACGAAAACCAGGGCAACATCAGTATCTGTGGTTGGTACTTGGACCAGCTGGTACGTTCCTGCCCCATTAAGATTCAATGTGTTTCCATGTGTCCTGCCGAGATGAATCACATTTGGTTTACGTTGTATGGTTTATGGTGTACTAACATTCTGACAGAAAGCTTGTCAGGCTGCTGCCAAGCAGTATTAAAGACATACCCAGTGAAATACATGATCGTACTAAACGCCTCTCCCAATTTCTTTTTGAAAGCAACCCATTTCCATCTGGACTGTATTATTGCTTTCTGTACATTATCTCAATTTCCAAGGACCATTTGATATCTCCATATCTTGTTTTCTAATATCAAACTAATGACAGGCCAGGTGGTTCAAACCTGGTGATGTTTTTGACCTACTATGAAAAGAAAAGAAAAGACTCGGGAAAACACATGTAAAAAAAATAAAAATAAAAATAAAGCAACCATCCATGGAACATACTTAACATTCAATGTGACTGCCAGTGAGCTGTCTTTTCCCAATTTATCAATGCGGAAAAAAGAAACCCGTAATGTCTCAGGCTACTCCGGACTTCAATATCCCACCTGGGCAGATTAAATATCCTGGGCACTGAGATATTCTTAACCTGAACTTGAAGTAGTTGTATCTTGATCTTATACAAACTCAGACAGATATATATCCTTGGGGTGGTCAACCTTGGAAGAGAAGACCAAATTTCTAGGAGTATTTGTTTGAAATCAATGGAAATACCGAAAGCTTTAATTGGGGCAAGGTGACAAAACCGCAGGTCAATCATCTTTCTCATCTTCCCGCGGTTCAAAATTCAGCTGGTAAAGGATACAATTGTTAGCGGTTGACACGTACATGAAAAGGTGCAACTCACTTGGTTTCCATTGTAAAACTGCTTATCATTTTCCGCAAAGTGATTTTCCCTGAGAGTTCGAATGTTCGCTCCAATCACTCGTGAACGTGGGGTACCACTCGGGGATACAGATTCTCCTTGGCTGAGAGATGATCCAGTATTGCTTGCATTTGATCCAATCCAACTGTTTCCAATCAAGGAGCCTACAACTCCCGAAGCTGTGTTTGCAACCGAAGCAACCATATTATAGGCAGCTGAAATACCTCGGAAAGGGAGGCTCGATCCCGTAGTTGAATAAGCCTCTATGTATGATGAAACAGGGACCATGACTAGGTTAGCAGTCGAACCTAGTCCCAATTCCTGCAAGGTTAGCGATTCGTCGGAGACGGAAAGGGTGTGGCTGGGAAGAGGAGTCAATATGTGTTTCAGGTTGTATGGTCGCTGCTCCGAGTTCATCTGCCGGTCCAACCAAAGGCGCACATCGCTGCGGATTGTCTGAGTGGGCGCAAAACTGGAACGAACGGAGCTTCCGTCGAATAAGCGCACTTGTAATCGGTATTGAGTGGGAGGTCCACGGGCGACGGGTGGCTTTGGTTTGACGTTCTCTAAGGGGGGGTACAGACGTCCTGCAAGAGCTGGATATTTGAGGCCTCGGTGGGACACTGTCTATTTCTTTTTCTTGGGTATTTGGCTGCGTCTTTTTTCCCTTCGAGAGCTGGACTTTCGATAGTGTACGCGTTTTGGTAGTGATATCATGCTCAGCATTTTTCTCACTGCTCTTGTTGAAATCAGAAGACTTCTTCATAGGTATATTGGTAGCACTGGCGGTCTGTGACGATGTGTATGTATGTTGGGACGATGTGGTATTTGGAATGGATATCGCAACATTTTGACTGGAAGAAACTGGTGTTCCAGTAGCAGCTCTGCCTCCAATCTCATCTCTATCTTGTGATTGAGGGCCTGCAAAGTCCCTCCGACCTTTCACCGCGCTCGCAAGTCGTGTTTGAAAATCATGTTTTGAGAGCTCAGGCACAAGGTACTCCTGCAGGGAGCCATTTCTGCGATTCAACCAGTCAGCTAGAAGTCCAAGCATTTGAGACCCAAGAAACGTCGCCTACTTTATAACTACAACTGTTGGGAGTTTTGCGATAGGGCAGAACGACGTTAAGAACCCGGCTTCCTGGGACCCTGCAGTAATGCGTAATAAAACCGCATTGGTGTCCAGTGCTGGTGCTATCTGGAAAGACATTCAGCAACTCAACCCTGGCTTAGATTAAGCAATTCAATATAATTACCCGTTCATCTGAAAAATACTCCTCTTCCCATGTAAAGCTCGTCTGGGCATCATCTGTTTCGACAACGGTTAGATGACAGCATCTGATAGATGAGGAGGAAACCCCGACCTCGGACAAAACAGACCACAGCCTTGGTCTCTCTGACAGCAAGTGCAATGCCGTCTTGAACTGACCCCTCGAAGAAAGTAGCCATACTTTGAAATTCCAAGATGGAATATAGAAAACCGCAGGATAATAGCTGGATGTGAATGAGTTTCACATTAACTATGTGTTGGGGTAGATTGGCCCATGTGCGGAGACTCCCGAGGTCGAAGCACCAGGTGAAGTAAGCGTGACCGCCTTAGACTACTTGGGAAGTCTCCAGAGCTCAAAACCGCAACATTTATTTTTACTACTTCAAAGTTTCTGCTGTATAACAAATGGTCAAAATCTCAACTCACAAGTCACTCATTTAATAAAATTCCATATTCCCTTTGATTCTATGATGCGGTCTTATTTTCCTTTCTTACAGAGAGCATCGCCCACCTCATGGCACCTGCCTAGCCTAGTTGGTCGAGATACTAGAGCCACTTCGAGGTTCAATTTGATCTGTCCTGGATGCCGTTCCCAACAATGGCGTCAATTCAGCAAAACACGCCGATTGACTGAGAATATGTTCAATGTTGACCATCCAGCGAAACTCGTGCGAGTGAACCAGAAACATGGCCCAGGACTTATCATTCTTGGTACGTTGTGCTCTACCTGGGGATATTTACTTTACTGGGAAACATTATATTTTCCAATAAATCTATCCTAACAAATTTACCTTGTTATAGCTTTGATTCCAATCATATCTTTCGCACTTGGATCGTGGCAAGTACAGCGTTTAGACAGGAAAACCAAGATTATCGCCAAATTCGAGGACCGTCTGGTCCGTCCTCCTCTTCCGCTTCCGCCCCGAATCGACCCAGACGCGATTTCTGAATTCGATTATCGTCGTGTGTATGCTACAGGAATATTGCGACATGATAAGGAGATGCTTATTGGACCTCGCATGTGGGAAGGGGAAGATGGCTTCATGGTTGTAACTCCGCTTGAGCGCCCAGATGGCCAGAGCACAGTGCTCGTGAATCGAGGTTGGATTTCAAAGAAGATGATGGATCAAAAGGATCGTATTCTCGGGTTGCCTCAAGGCGAGATCACTGTGGAGGGCTTACTACGCGAGCCATGGAAAAAAAACATGTTTACACCAGAGAATCAACCTCAACAGGGGAAATTCTACTTTCCGGATATTGAACAAATGGCTGAGCTGAGTGGAAGCCAGCCAGTATGGATTGAGAGCACTATGAGTATGGTTCCCCGGTAATAGATATACTGGAAGGGTGAGATCTGACTTTCGTTTAGTGCCTGATCTCCTTGAGTCATATGACCGCCAAGCGAAAGGGATTCCAATTGGTCGTGCTGCAGAGGTCAACTTGAGAAATAATCATGCCCAGTACATCTTCACTTGGTATGTACAAACCGACTTCACAATGTGAAGTCAATACCATTTTTCCTGGAATAGTGGCTTACTTTCTTCAGGTACGGCCTTTCTTTAGCCACATCTGTCATGCTGTGGATGCTTGTGCGCAAAAAGCCCAATGAGGCTATGCGTCGGGTCCGTCAGAACAGAAACTGGTAGCAGAAACTTGGAGGACTGAATGGGCCCAATACCATCTCTTCTTGATGGCGTTTGGGGGTTTGTTTGATAGACTCAGGTGCATGTGGAAGGTATTCACGGCGGCATCGCCAGTCTCATATCTTGTTGAAGTTCCTTGGGTAAATGTCTTTGAGCCAAGGAAAATACAGTCGTTGAGTTGTTGATGTGGCGTTGTCTGGTAGGGAATTAGCATGACTATTTCTTTTTCGCCCACATGTTAATACAGGAAGACCAACCTTCTCATGAGCATTATTACATCACTCTCATCAATCATCTTCCGTTGAGCGTGGGCAGAATACCCAGCCAAGTCGTTACTGGTCTGCTCGAAGAACCAGGAAGATGCTTGCTCGATTGCAGCCATAGTCACTTTGTTGATACTCGTCTTTGAGCCTGCCTTCTTGCGTGAAAATCGCATGGCTAACTTCTTAATAACACCGGTAGGCAAATTCGGAACGGCAGTTCCAAATCTGGAAAGCTTCACCTTGTTTAGCACAGTCAGGTCCTCGTCTCGTAATCCCCCACCGATCAAGCCAGGACTCTGACTTCGAGAAGACGGCGGTGCGACACTTAGGCCACTAGAGCCCATGAAGTCACCACCGGCATTGTTATCGTCGACTGGGAATGACTGGGTCAATGGTTCAACATCACCTGCAGAGAGCTCGAACCCATCCACATCACCTTCAGTCTCGTCAATTGGAGCGGCAGTCGGGGATGGAAAATGGAAGTCAATATGAAACCGGCCCAAGTCTTCTGTCTCTCCCCTATTCCGATGATGTTAGCCCGTGTATCATAGTCGGCATCAATTCTGTAATGAAACACACCCTTGGTCAAATTCACTTCCACTGGTCAATGTATCGTCTGGTGCCTCTTCGCCACCTAACATGCCGGTCTCATCATTGACATCAGACTCACTGTCTAGTTGAATCTCGCCAAAGTTTTCACTGTGCCTTCCAACCCCAGGCATCATAGAAAGTCGAGTATGGTCACGAATGGCAATATCTCGAGGATACTCAACCGATTGATATGTTATATCGTCGTCGTCAAAAGCAAGCGACATGCGAGGGGGCGTTTCAGAGCTTGTTTTTTCGCTCCCATCTTCACTTTCCTGGATATTCAAGGAAAGTCGCGGCGGTTCGATTTCCGGCTCATTGTCGAGCTCTTCTATTTCATCTCTAATTTCATCTGCAGAGTATTCTTGGGCTTCTTGTGGAGATGACTGAATTGGGTGGGATATAGGGGCAAGTGCTATGCCAGTCAATTGATACCAGGTTAGTTCTGAGAAGGCAGATTGGTGTTTGGGGCGCTCTTACCTCTACCCAAATTCCTCAAAATATCGAACGTGGTCTCGCGTTGCACCTTGCCACTGCGGCGTCGATCATGACCTGGTGTGTTTACGGCCCTCTGTTGACGTGCACGGAGGCCGTATGGTGTAGTAGGGGCCACTACGCCTCGCGTTCGGGGGGTAAATCGAGACGAACGTTGGACAGACGGCGTTGCAATGGGGAGGCGACTCGGCGTAAGTGGATATCGCGTATGAGTTGGAAGGCGCTGAAGCTATATGACACCATAAACATGTGGTCAGGATCCAGATTTATGCGTGTTTACTCACTCTTGTTAGAGTCGTATCCCCAGACGGTGTATTAATGCCCAGGTTGCGCAAGGACCGACGGTCGCGCGGCTCCGGTGTCGACATTTTCTGGGCTCGAATGTCAAGTCAATAGACCACTTTCAAGTCATCAGATAGGTGTGCCTCAGTTTCGAATATTGAAGGCTGCAATGTGGTAGAATGGTCCAAAAAGTAGGTTGATTATCTTGCTCGAGGCGCGTTGATCATAACAATGCGGGCCCATTTATGAATTCACGTGTCAGGTAGATACAGTCTTTATCGATAAGGATATGCTGAGTCAGCGTTGACTTTTTTTGGGGGGTGTCTGGACTTCTCTTCCCAAGAGCTAGGATCTGGTCATCACTACCTAGGTGAGAGTGTTATTGGCGCACTTGACCTTCGGGATCAATTCAAGTATTTTAATATCATGGAGAAGTCCAAGCAGACAGGCCTAGCCGGCAAATTGGAGAAAAAGCGCAAGAGGCAAATCGACGAATCTACCAAGCAAGATCGATCAGACGCATCCTCCAATGTCGCCCCAGCTAATTCGACAAATGGCCTGAATAAAAAGAAGCGCAAGAAGGCGAAGCATTCCAGCGGGCAGCCAGGCCAGGATGTGAAGATGCAAGATCGCAAAGACGGCATCGACGAGTCTATTGGGAAGATGGATGGAAGACTTTTGTCTGATTACTTTGCCCAGCGGGCACAGAAGTTGAACAAGGAACTGTCTGCTGTGGAATTAAACGATATCTCAGTACCAGGTATGTATCGCTTTGCACCGCCTTTTTATAGAGGTCGAATATGATACTAACTTGATTTGCAGACTCCGCATTCTTCGATACTACTGCCTTCACTGAGCCTCGGACGCTGGAGAGACTTCCCGAGTTTCTCAAAAAGTTCTGTCCCAATGGTATCGACCTCTCTAAGTCCTCAGAGCAGAAGGGTACCCCGCATACACTCGTCATTACTGCCGCCGGTCTGCGAGCAGCTGATATTGTTAGGTATGGTTAGACAGGGTTCTCGGGTGGCCGAGAGTAACACTATGGCTAACAATATGCCTTCCAGGTCTCTCCGACCTTTCCAAAAGAAGGAATCCATTGTTGGAAAACTGTTCGCCAAACATATCAAGCTGGATGAAGCTAAACAGTTTCTTCAACGTGCACAGTACAGTACCCCCTTTCCCTCATCCCCTGATATTCATGCCTATGCTACATTGCCTTGCAGAATTAGCTGACGAGTTTAAAGAATGGGTATTGGTGTAGGAACGCCATCGCGAGTTTCTGATCTGATTGAATCCGGTAGGTCATTCGGAATATCTCTGGCTATTCCCAGATGGCAGTGCTAATATTGGTTGCGGTAAAATATAGGCGATCTCAAATTGAACGACTTACAACGCCTTGTCATTGACGGTTCGCATATTGACCAGAAACAGCGCGGAATCTTCGATATGAAAGATACCCATTTTCCCCTCTTGAAGCTGCTCACTTGTCCTGACCTACGTGAGCGCTATGGGGCAGGAAGAACAGGAATGCGGATCTTGATGTTCTGATGTTCTTATGTGTTAGAGTTACTTTTAATAGCAATACAGTTTCCTAGAGCAAGCGTTCAGACGCTCTGAGGTTATATTCATGTAGGTAAAAATTACGGTATTACATCATGATGTCCATTTATGTTACCGCAAGAATCTTGTACTCTAATACATCAACATCATACTATGACGTATAATACTTGAGCATCATCAAGGTTTCTCTCAAGATCATTCAGGTTGAAGATGTATCAATTATCAAATGTATGATTCCGTGCGTAGCAAGGTTAGGCAAGGATAGTGGATATGGATGCATTTATCCGATAAGGTTGATATCTGTTTACCGCCTACATGATGATCCCGGGCAGAAAATGTCTTTCTCTTCTCCGCTCGGTTTTCTTTTTTTTTGTTTCTACAGCTTCAAACCCGTCACAAGATTTTGGTTTCCCACCACCTTCAATTCTTTTCAAAATGGGTGGCAGTAAGCGCAAAGCTACAGATGATGCGGAGGAGTCGAATGATCCTGCGCGGCGCCAGAAACTGAAGCAAGCACGCAAAGAAGAAAAGGAAAAGAAACGAAGCATCAAGGAGCAGAAGGAGATTTCTGCTCGTGAGCCCCAGCTAGATTCTTCAGGGACAAAGCTGAAGAAAAACAAAGAGAAGTCCAACAACAAGAAGGGAAAAAAATTGGGTGTTTCTGAGGCTAAGACAGAAGCTGATGTCGAAGCTGTGGACGAGATGGATGTGATCGATGAAACTCAAGAAAGCGGAGAGAAGGAAAAGAAGGAGAAGAAGGAGAAGAAGGAGAAGAAGGAAAAGAAGGAAAAGAAGGAAAAGAAAGACAAGGAGGACAAGGACATCGGTTCAAACGGCCTCAGCGCTGTAGTCAGTGCGAGCGAATCTCAGGAGGAAAACGATACTGCCGAGACCCACATTGAGGAAGAAACCGAAGCATCTCAAGGGAAATCGTCGCGTTTCATCTGTTTTGTTGGTTCGTATCCGTCAATCTTGCAATCAAGACGATCGGGAAGCAGCTGCTAATGATGATCATGGTTCCAGGCAACCTGCCATACTCCGCAAACCACGAGTCTCTTACAAAGCATTTCGCAAAGAACCCGCCAGCTTGTGTACGCGTGGCCACTAAGAAAGACGACCCCAAAAATCGATGCCGAGGTTTTGCTTTCATCGAATTTGATAACTACGACCGCATGAAGACATGTTTGCAATTATACCACCACTCCAATTTCGATGATGGAAAGTACCCTCCTCGACGGATCAATGTGGAACTAACGTAAGTGATCTCGGTCATCTTGGGAACTCGGGGGATATGAGTCTGTTGTAAGGCGCATTAAGTCGTCTGGACAGCATGAATCTATCCGATCTACTCTAATTTGAATATGCTGACCTTTTTATTTATTCGATCCAGGGCTGGGGGAGGGGGTGCAAAATCAGATCACCGCAAGGCAAAGATTCAGGCTAAAAACGAAAAATTGAATGATGAACGTCAGCGCAAGGCCAAGGATATCAAGAAGGGCAAGAATAAGCATGAGAGACAGGCAGCACCTCAAGGGGTTACTGGCGCCAATGCAATTAAGGTTGATGGGGTCAATAATGCCGATGATGATGATAAGTTCGCAGGTGTGCATCCTAGTCGCCGAGGCCGCATGTGGTAAAAGGCTTGGGTTGTTTTGTGAAGCCAGTACTTCCAGGGGAAGCTTTTGATTATCTTGGTATCTCTTTTGTTACGTCTTCCGAGGGCATCATTGAAAACAAATTCGCTTCTATTGTTTCTCTCAAATACTTCCAAGGTTTCACTTTCTATACCATACATCATGATATGCAATCAGACAACTCGGGTTAAAGCGTTAGTATTAGTACATACTAGTAGCATCATGGATGTAGGCTTAGCATTTAACAAATTCCAATTCAAGCATCCGGCAGATAGCACATGTAACATTTGAACCATGACGTGGATTCAAATTGATTGATAATCCATCAATCAAGACATCTGGAGCTCGGGAGGTATCTATAGATCTGCCACTTGACTATGTATCTTATCAGAACTTGAAGCCATTCTGGATGCCTATTCTATGGGGTTCAAGAACGAGTACATAGCAACCTTGGAAACAGACATGGTTGCTCATATTAAATCAGAAAGAAAAAAGACATCTGGAAAGAATAGAACAACAGGAAATAATGGATTCATCAAAGGGTTTCATGAAAGCCTCTCAGGCTACCGGGACGCCGTATTAACTATATATTACTCATTATAGCATACGATAAAAGAGACGGCCATATGCCACACCTTTACAAGATCTCGCATTTGTTCTTCCGCCCTGATTTCGTGAGAGGGCGGGGGTTAAGGACAGCACTAAAGCACAGATATGTCAGTTTTTACTTGTCCACTCTCTCTAGATGAGGGAATTGGCCCTCGTCATGTATTCGACCTCACATACCGGATCGCCTCATCAAACACACTCTTCAAATTGCGCTGTGTCAACGCAGAGCACTCTAGATATTTGTGCGCACGAATCTCCTTGGCCACGGTCAAGGCCTGTTCGTAAGAGACGGGTTCCATCTTCCTGGCTCGGAGGGCTTCCGTAGTCGTGCGGTCATCTCTTAGGTCAAGTTTGGTGCCAACAAGGATGATGGGGACATTAGGTGCATGGTGTTCGATCTCGGGAAACCACTGGGAGGTATTGATAGGTCAGACACAGGTGGAGTAGGAACGGCAAGATTTAAGAGATGATGCGCGTCCGTCTTTGGGTAGTGGGACATACCTTGGCTTTGACGTTATCGAAAGAGGGTGGGCTCACGATCGAGAAACAAATCAAAAATACGTCAGTCTGTGGGTAGGATAGTGGTCTTAGGCGGTCATAATCTTCTTGGCCGGCTGTATCCCGTAATCCCAAGCTGATAGGACGGCCGTCGACCATAACGCTGGCAGTATAATTGTCGAATCTATTGATGTTGTCAGCACGAATGCGCTGGATATTCCTAGTGTACTGAGGCCGGAGGCCAGAGACCAAGGGGGAGGAGGAGGGACAGATGGGAACGAACACGGTCGGGATGTACTCCCCCGGGAAAGCATTTGTTGTGTAGGAGATCAGAAGACATGTCTATGGCCAGGTCAATATTTCCATTCAGGAAAAGCGAGTTGCCGAGAGTCTGAGGCGATTCTATTTTACTCACTTTGCCGACAGCACCGTCTCCGGTCACCACGCACTACATTTCTCGAATTAGTTGGAGTATTTAGCACGATGGAAGATTACTAACCTTCAGGGATTGAGTCGCGGGGCCCGTCGCCATAGTGAAAGTATGTACACGGAAAAGAGAGGGCGGAGGAGACTCGGAACAGGGGACTGTTGAAAGATGAGCTTCAGGGGAGCCGATGTTGAAGCTAGGGGAAAGAGGGGGAGAGGAAAAGCCGGTGGAGACCAACAAGTTCAAGTTGGAGATGGTACTAGTAGTCTAGTATCAACCAACAATAGTTTATAAACATACGCCATAGAACTTGAAATTCTCTATAGTGATTCGATTAAAATATTAATAAATATATATTAGTAACATTGAAAGAATATTTTAGTGTTTATTAAAAAATAATTTGGATATATGAGCACTACTAGATCGGATTTTATTTAGTTGAATCTGTTCAGCTCCACATCAAACTACATATAGGAACATTTTATGCAGATATGATTGGAAGGAGATACTAATAAAAAGATATTTATATCTTAATCCATATCATAATGGTATAAATAGGTGTATTCTTTAGGATATATAAATAGTATATACTTATACCTACTTAGTAGGTAGGTACTCTAAGTATAAGCCTTAAAAGACTACCTAGCATCAGCCTGAGGGTTAATATTAACTTGAACTTGACTCAGGTACTATACTATATAGTATATATTATTATTAGGTAGTGTTATATATAGTACCTAGAGAGGTACTAACTTAAACCTTCAGATATTCAAAATATTCAAGTTAAACATTTAATTATGTAGAACTTCAACATTTGCATGTTGAATTAGTATAAGCTAGTACATCGATTATCACTAGCATACACAGCTGGCACTGACAATCACAGATATCCTATGTGTAATCAAAAGTCCCAATTACCTAGGTGCCTACCTAGGTAAATCCCACTGGCAGTAGTATCCAATATGTACATTGAAGAGATCCAAACCGAACTTGAAGTTGCTATTTATATCCAATTTCAAGTTGAACTTCCAAGGTTGGTATATCAGAGTCGAGAGACTCCCCGTATGCCCAAGAATGCTCCAGCTCGTAGTTCCCATGGCTGGCTGGACCATCCAGGGATTTTGGCAGCAAAGTCTTGAAAATAAGGAGCTTTGACATGTAGTCGAACAGCTTCTGGGTACTTATATCTAAATGACACTCAAATTTAGATAGAAAAAAAAGAAGAAGAATAAAATGTATAGCTCTCTTACCTTTCCACAATCACAATTTCATTTGTCTCTGGCACATGAAAGGCATAATAAAGCAGGGTATCAGGCTCATTCTCTTGTACTTTCTTCACTATATCAGTGACAAGGGCAGTGACCTATCTTAAAGTTCCCTATTAGAATCCACCGGTGCATACTAGTAGATATGATCTGACCTCTTTAAGTTTCTCAGGCTTAGGGTGAAGGACTGCCACAACATTGATTTCAGACATAGTAAGGCTGCCCAGGTGGTGAATAGGGTGATACCTTAAAATGTTTGAAAAAGGGTTGAAATGTTAGTAGAGGATAAAAATATATCTATGAGGATTTGAGTTAGTTATATAATTTAAACCTTGGAATATTAGCACTTTAAGTAGTACTCGGACCTAGGTAGAAATATAAACCTTGGGGATATTCCCACATACATGTGCGTCTTACATATACACTATAAACTACCTAGGTGTCTTACTGGAGGTCAGTAGTAGGTGGTTTGGAGTATGCGATACTATATCCAGATATACTTAAATTCAGAAATATTAGAATATGATATTTGCTTATATACTACTAGAAATACCTAGGTACATAGTAACTAGATAGCTAGGAGCAGTACTAAGTACGTTATCTTTGGAACTCGAACGTGAGAAACTTCTATTCTCTATTCCTTTGAACTTGAAGATAACACATTTAAAAAGTTGAGTTCAAGTCATTTGGTTTATTTGGTTTATTTGGTTTATTTGGTTTATTTCGTTCAAGTTCATTCAACTTAGCCCCTAGGCGCCAACATTCCTATTTCCGGTGGTCTGACCTCATTGATCGACATCTAACTGCACTCCCCACTGCCAAGCCCCAGGTGTCATCGTGATAATAATAGCGATTCCTTCTCAAGCTTCTTCTCTCCTTATTGTTTAGTCTTCTCCTTCTCTCCTCCCCCTTCTTGGGTCGCTACTCTGATTATTCTATCATGTCCGACTCAGTCCTCCCAGAACCTACCCTCCCAACTTTGAGTGATGCGCCCCCAAGCAGCGCCGGTCGCTCCTCTGGTCATTCCGCACCCGTGGACCAGCCGCCTGCCATCATCTCCGGCGAACTGAAAGCTCGCCTAGATAAAGTTATCTACTCGGAAGTATGCGTGTCAAAGAAATTGCAGAATTACCAAAGTATAAGCGCATCCTCATTTCACTTCAGTACTAACCTCAATTGTGTCGCGTGCAGATCGGCATCACCACTCTCCTGACCAGGTTGAAACAGAGCGTGGCTTCCGCCAAAGTACGTACCCATCTATTGATATGGCATATTCAGCTTGGATTAATCTGTCCATATAGGACTTTGCCACCTTTTTGAAGAAACGGGGGGGCATTGGAGGACGAACATGCTCAGGGGTTGAGGAAATTGTCCCGCGCCGTGAATGACGCCGCTCATCGTAATGAGAATCGCCAAGGAACCTACAGTTCAAGCTACAAGGAGATCCAACGACTTCATGAGCGCATGGCCGAATGTGGCTTGCAGTTTTCCGTATCATTACATCAAATGTCTGATGATCTGCAAGAACTTGCCATGAATATTGAGCGTGGCCGCAAACAGTGGAAACAGACTGGGTTAGCCGCAGAGAAACGTGTCATTGATGCAGAATCACAGGCAGAGAAGGCCAAGGCCAAGTACGATTCATTGGCTGAGCAATATGACCGTGTGAAGACTGGTGATAAGCAGGGCGGCAAGTTCGGTCTCAAGGGTCACAAATCTGCAGCCCAGCATGAGGAGGACCTATTGCGCAAAGTTCAGAATGCGGATGCAGACTATGCTGCAAAGGTTCAAGCCGCTCAGGCAGCACGTCAGGAATTGGTGTCTACTCATCGGCCTCAGGCGGTGCATAATCTTCAGCAGTTGATTTCTGAGTGTGACTCAGGATTGACTCTACAGCAACAGAAATTCGGTATCCTTATCCCATAAAAGATTCCCATTGGAAATGATATGTATAATCTACTAATCCATCACAGCGACTTTCAATGAGAAACTTTTGCTGAGCCAAGGCCTTTGTGTTAGTCCCCTCAAGGGAGAAAGCAATGGTGCAGCAGCCTCGAAGAGCCTGGCAGAGGTTGTTCGCCAGGTTGATAATCAAAAGGATCTGCACGACTTTATTTTGAGCCATGAAGGAAATCCAGGCGCTGTTGCTGGAGGGGAGGCCAGATATGAAAGACATCCAGTATGTTGGAGCTGTACCATCTTCTTTGCCTCCTTTGATTTTTTTTTTCTTCTTCTTTTTCTTGCTAAGTACTACCTAGACTCTTGGTGGGCCAGCTCCATCGTCCTCGCAGCCAAACACTCAGGCCAGGCGCCAATCCTCCATGTCCTCATTCCCCCAGCAAAATGTTTCCTCCCCACTTCCTCAGCCAGCGGGCAGTACTAATCGACTGCCACCTTATCCAACCCAAGGAGAACCACCAGCAGCGCCTCCTGTTCAACCTCCATATCCATCAGGGCCACCATCTCATGAGCCTTCCTCAATGGGATCTGTATCTGTGATACATCCACCATTGACAGACAAAACTCCGCAGTCCAATCTCCCTCCTCTGAAGCCGGTATTCGGGGTTACTTTGGACGATCTCTATGTTCGGGACGGAACTGCGGTGCCCTTCCTCGTGTATCAATGTTTTCAAGCAATTGAGCTATTTGGTCTGGATTTAGAGGGTATTTATCGACTCTCTGGAAGTGCCAATCATATCAACCACTTGAAAGCACTATTTGATAATGGTAAGCCATTTATTTTCTTTTGCCTGACCATCTGTTTCTCGTCACTTATAATTTTCTAGACTCCTCGCAAGTTGATCTCACCAACCCAGAGAACTTTTTCCATGACGTGAATAGTGTTGCTGGACTTGTGAAACAATTCTTTCGAGATCTTCCTGATCCTTTGCTCACAACCCAGTATTATACACAATTCGTTGAAGCTGCCCGTAAGTTTATAAATCATGATGATTTCCCTATAGATGTTTAAAGGCTGAAGGTCTTAGGCATTGATGATGATACCCAACGTCGAGATTCACTACATGCTCTCATAAACAGCCTACCTGATGCTCATTACGCTACTCTCCGTGCCATTATTCTGGTATGTTGTGAACTATTCTTTTATTTTTGCAACCATTGCGCTAATATATCACCAGCACCTGAACAAGGTTCAAGAACACGCTTCACAAAACCGTATGAATGCTGGAAACTTAGCAATCTGCTTTGGGTAAGCTTATCAAGTGACTTCTAGTGCTTTTTTGGAATATCTACTGATATATTATCCTAATGACTAGCCCAACCTTGATGGGAGCCAACTCGGGTGGAAATATCGCAGATGCTGGTTGGCAAGTACGAGTCATTGAGACAATTCTCAACAATACTTTCCAGATCTTCGACGATGACTAGACATATTGTGCTTGGTACCTTGAGTTGATGTACTAAAGAAACAATTGTTGATCACTGACTTACTATCCTTTCCATTTTTATGCCTATGCGTCGTCTATTGATATTGATAGGATGGTCATAGTACCCTTCATCTAGGTAATATCATATTAACACTACTACCTAGCACTTGAGCACTTCTAGTTTGTTAAGTTAAAAAAAGACCGACGTTGGATACATTCAACTTGAATGCCATAGTCGGGTTTTCTTTGTGTCATGATAGATTCTGATCTATTTTGTTTCATTCGGGCTTCGGGTTAAATTTTTTTTCTCTTTTTAAGATGTGCGTTATACCTGGGCATACATCGTAGAACATGCCTCAGAGCATCAGAAAGAACCTTAGAAGCAGTATTCAAATTACTACTAGTAGTACATAGTACTAGTATGTAGGTATATAGTGCCCACATGCAAGTAGGTACCTAGGTAGTACTACCTAGGACCGGGAGGTATCATTCATGCACATGACTCCCGGGACCTAGGCTGCCAATGTTAATAATATTGAAAGAAGAAAGCGAAAAAAAGTCACTCCACATCGTCCACAAACTTGACTTGCTCATTAGATGGGAAGATAATTTGAACAAAGATTCAATATTGATTAGTAGGCCTAATCCAGTGTGTGGAATGGACAGCAAAGAAAAATTTATGTATAGACTATGACCTTGGAACTGATGGAATACATGTATATATGACTCGGATACCATCATTCTCGTTTCTTGTCTTAGTATGCGAAATGGACCTGAAAAGACAAGTCAGAACTACAGAAATTGAAGATGATGCTGTCCAGTAAGTTGACGTTCGCTTGCGCTTGAAACATGATATAGATATGATGTGATGGCATAAGATTGAGGGTAGCGAAATTAAGCCAAATGAAAATAAGGTCAGACAAATGGTATGAGACAGACATGAATGGAGCTCAAAAGGCAAGGGAGAACTAATGACCAATTGGCCAAGTGAAGGTTTTGTCTTGAAGCAGGGCAGAGTTTAGCATTTAAATGTTGCTTCAACTTGAGTTCAAACTCGAACGCGCCGAGCTTCAAGATAGCCCAGGTTAACTGCAGTGTCATTAACACCCACGAAAGGAGCCGCGTCCTGAAGAAGTTCCCAAGGTCGCACTGAATATGACCCAGCTACCCGCCCTCGGTGTTGGAGACGAAATCGATCGGGTGTAAAATTGGTGATTTCATTCATAGCAGCAGAAACTCCAGACGGTGTTACCATGGATTGTCCAGAATGACTAGCTGTGGGCAAATTGGACGTGGAGGCGGGAGTGGCGCCTGACGGAACTGGAGACGGAGCTCCTGTTGTCTGGGAAAGATTGGCTGTTGTAGGATTTCCAATTGGGCCCAAGAGGTAGGTGAATCGAGGGTCATTTTGCAGAGAAAAAAAAGGCGGGCATTTTTCTCTTAGAAAACGAGAGCACTGGTGGCGAACTTCGTCCGGGAACACGTCGAGCAGAGAAGCGGCAACGTCAAGTGCATGTGTTTGCAACAAAATTCCTGGGCAAGGCTGATGATCTCCAGATAATTCTGAGCGAGGAAAGTAGTCCGCTTCCGGGAAAAGACGGATGGTATCTTTCGGAAGACGAGACAGAGCAATGCAAAAAATGGTGCTCAAAAGTCTACACTGCTCATGGGAGGAGTTGGCCTTAAGAGTAGGTGACTGCACCAACGAAGCGCGGTGTATGACGACCATCCGCAGAAGAGCTGAAAACCAGAAGGCAAGAGACCTCTCAAAGTTAGGACGAGCTTCCCTGGTGACAGATTTGGTTTGTTGATCTGCAGAGGGGTTGAGGCTTCTGTCTAGTGTGATAATTTTGTGCAGTAGCATATCCATTCTCTCAGCTAGCATTGATGTAACAGAGAAAGTCCCAGTGGCAGGTATACTATCAGCTAGCTTCTCAATGATGGTCAGGTACAGCTTTGCTGCTTCGAAAGTACCCAAGCGATGTGTGACTACCGAGGAAGAAGCATCATGCCATGCCTCTTCTTCCATGACCGGTATGGCAAAAAACTCACGTTCTGCACGTTCGCGAATCTGACGAACTGCATTGGGGGTCATGAGTGTGATGAGCTCGACCCAGTGAGACTTGGGAGCGCCGAAATTAGCTGCTACCGTTCGGAATATTGCGTTAGCGATGCTTTCCCGATCTTGACTACTCTCAAAATCTTCGTGAAAGAGTAGCTGAACCTTCATTTGACAGAAGGAAAGAGAAAAGTCGTCCGTTATGCTAGCAAGTTTTTCAACTTCCGAGATGACAGATTTTTCCCCCTGCTGGGATTCAAATCCTAGCAGACCATCTAGGGCTTTCTGCAGCGCCCCGATAGCAGCTGGGCATCCGCTAACAAAGTTTTTCATACAACTTTGTTGATGGAAATTGGGGTTCCGTACGAGGAGTTCCCGTAAAAGTTTCACAAGACAAACCTCTAGATTGTCGGATTTGATTGTATCACGAGATTGGAGGGTTGATGCGGCGTCAGAAACGATACCAAGAATTTCGTCACAGTTTCTGGCCAAGAACTCTTGCTGTAAAAGTTTGAACCGATAAGACACCAAATCAAGGGGCGAACTCTGGGCTTCTTCAAAGACAATAAGTTTAACGATATCTGCCGGTAGATCTGCCATGTCAGACATTGTTGATATGGAAATGTTAAGCCTTCTGACGAGAGACAAAAAAGATCGAAATGTGACGCACCCAACCCCAATGAGGGCGGGAAGAGCACTAAGCAATGTAGACCTGTCAGGTATTCGTAAGTGATTGCTGACCCAACGAGTCAATATCCCATCAAAATGTTTCGGTTGAAAAGATCGCAATTGTGCCAAGTATCGGCAGGTGTCGTTGACTGGCAGTTTCACTTTACTGGCATCAGGTTCCATGTGCTTTGTCAAGGTGTTAAAAACAGCGTCCAAGGTTGGCTCATCCATGACATTGCCAGAAAGCAAGAGTTGATCCAATTTTTCTCGAAAGGAAGGATCTTTATCGTCAAAAGAATCCGGAATGTGATCAGAAACCGGCGACGATGCAGCAAGAACGGCTTTATTCTCCATTCGAGAAAGATCCTGGCGCAGTCTCACAACCGTGTTGAGTTCGTGGGGGATGCGTAACCCGAGTTCAATCAACGAAAATATTAAATCAAGGCTTGGCAGGTTGAACTGCTTAATATTTGCGTAAGAATCAACCATCCTTCGAAATAGATCAGGGGTCGCTCCAATCACACGGAGACAATCAAAATGACAGTTGGCAGTATCAGCAGCTGAGGCAAGGACAGTACTATTATCAGAACTCGAGGCGCATTTCAATACATCTGCCAACATAGATATATCGCCAAATGTTTCTAAAATGTCCCGGACGTGGTAAAACTCATCTGGCGTGAGTTTTGAGACCGAAGAGACAAGCTCGTCGGGGAAAGCAGCTCGAATAGTTGAACCGGTGGCAATGCGGGTATGTTCGCCTACCCCTTGTCGTAGCCACTGGCCTATCTCCGCCTTGACAGCCCACGTCAGGTCTATTGGTAATGAAATGAGTGAAATTTGAGGTTTGATGTCTGCAGTGAAAATTTTTGGCATGCGCTTGCTGATCAGGCTTTTAACGCTGTCAACCATGTTGATATCATCCGAAACTGAAAATCCAGTACGGCCGAGCAAGATGTTACGCAGATTTCGAACGTGCTGGGGAAGACGACCAACAGGCAGCTGTGTTATCAATAAAACATCGCTAGGCGTATCGATAATCGATTGATGGGGATAATGGGGATCCCCGGCAAGTCCCTTAGCCATCAACCACTGAAGATATCGACCGACCGAGAAAGTTTGCGACCTGACAAGCTCGGAAACGATATGATAAACGTTTTCAATCGCTAGATTTTTGTTGCGAGTCGCCTGGGCAAGAAAAGAAAGTAGATGGCCATCGACATCAATTCCTGCCGCTTTCCATTTTCGCAAAAGGCGAGCACTGACATAAACTCGATAAATTCCGTGCCGAAATGGAGTGGCAGCCCACTCAAGAAGCCTGGAAACAAGAGTCGCCTTATCTTCCATGGCATCCAAACAAGCGGAAGATAGAGCAGTAAGGTCACAAGCCGAGGTCATGGAATCAAGAAGATATATGATGCGTTGATGGGGAGAGCACTGCGTTGGTTGCGTGAGGTGAGGAGGCCTTTGAACTCGAGCATTACGCTCGACGAGAATTTGCAACAATGCTCGGTCCACATCGCGTGAGAGATCAAGACAGGAAGTGACCTGGCCTTTATACAATTCCCATGAGCTAGGTAAAATCAGGGACGACGTATGTTCATGAACCAGTTTTTTGATGAAACGAGACAATCTATCAATGAGAGGTTGAAGAGGCAGGAGTTTCGATTCGGCAGCCTGGCGCAGCTTCTCGAGCAGAATTTCGGCCAACCTCCTCCCCCTACGTCGATATCGGGTGATGTTACCCCAGTAAATCTCAAGCATCAAAACCCAAACAGGGGTAGTGACAAGGGTAGCAGATTCGAGCGAAGACAAGTACCACTCAAGAAAGTGATCGTGATCCAGGAGGTTTTCGAAAAACAAACGGGCCGTAAGGCCAACTGTATAGGTCATTTTCGATTTCCAATCTGATGTCTTCGGTGCACCGAATACACCTTCAATGAATTGGTGAACATTCGTTGTCCAATCTCGTACCCACTTCGCCTCCAAACCCACGGCCAGGGCCCCGCTCGTCCCTTTTCGTTTGAAGGCGCGAATTTCATTAGCACCTACACATTTTGCGAGCCAGACTGCGCGTGCAACCGGTATCCATTTCCCAAGGCACTGGTCCAGAAGAACTTTGCCTCGAATACCATGAGGAATGGTTCGACTTAACCGACGCAGGGGCACAGATGAATTGGCAAGATCTCGGAGCCAAGCCTCGCGTTTATTGTCAGTGAGGGTGACTCTCGGAGGTGGCTTGAACGTAGACGAGGTAGAGATAGTATTGTGGGTTTGGCGTCTCTCTAGGGCAGCCGAAAACACGGTCGAAAGCATTTGCAGCCCCGTGCGGTGTTTCAACTGCCCATATAGTGCAGGACGAGCAGTGTTGGATTCGTTTTGAGAGACCTGCGTCCGATCATAATAGCCTTGTTTGGCTGTTTGCTCGTTCAATAGATCTTCTGGGTGATTGCCAGTCCATGGGGTAAAATCAGCGACTTCTAATAATGAGTTGTTAGTGGCAGGACAACGCTTTGGGGGTTCGATAACTTTACTTTCGGCCTTTAAAGCCGGAGCCATAGAGGGGGTTTCAATGCGATATGGAACAGTTTGAACTTTTTGGTCCGGGGACACTCCCTTCAATTCCGGCCCCGAGTCCTCTGCTGAATCACGCGAGTATTTGTTCCAAGGCTGAGCGGGAAAAGGCGGCGGCGAAGATGGTCGACATCCTGTAAGATGATCACCTCGAATCTCGCTACCTGGGAGATCTGAAACCACCGCTTGGAAGGACCACATGGGACGACCGCGCCACGAGAGCTGGGGTCGTGAACTGACACTGATTGGGGTACTTCTTGCATCCGCAGCACTAGCGGATGCACTTGGATCTCCAACCTTAACCCCGCTTGATATCTCTAGTCTGGGTCGTTTCAATGGTGGCTCTCTATCATGCGACTCGTACCCGCTACTAGTTAAGTCGATGATTGTGGATTGTGGTTGATGCTGGGGCAGCGAAGATACTAGGGCTGGTTGCGAAGTCCCCGACGGCAAATCATACTCAGTAGGCATTTGTGCAGAATCAATCCTTTCGGCGGCACCATTGAGTGCGCGCATATGGTGACCCCACGGTTGGCCACCAACGGAAGAATGCGGGATCATCTTAGGCTCATGGTGTATCGGTCGAGGTGTAGAACAATTGAATCATGGGGATACAGATCTGTACCAGGAATAGAAGCAATCTTGACGAATATGTCGAATACTGAAAAGTTCAAACCGGCGCAAACTTGAATTTAGTCACAACAATTGTAGGAAGTTGTGGGAAGTTGTAGGAAGTTGTAGGAAGTTGTAGGAAGTTGTAGGAAGTTGTAGGGAGTTGATAGGGTGGCGGTTTGAGGCAGTTGAATGCGGCACTTGGACGGGTTGAGAAGGAGGAGGCGAACTTGAAGATCGAGAAATGAGATCACGGCCGAGAAAGCAAAAGGTGCAGGTAGAATTATTCAAGTTAAAAGGATATATATGGGGACCATCATGGACAATAGGAGGGAGAAGGTGTTTATGAGGAAAGCGATAACGTAAGTCACGGGGTTAACTAAATCACTTGAACAGCTCCGTCCTCCTCCGCCGGGGGATCCACCACTAAATTCACTAATTCACTAATTGACCGGGATGATCGACGATTATCCTGGCTCCACATTGAAATGTTGGTTTCAAGTTGTTGTTGTTGTTGTTGTTTTTTTTTTTTAACTCTTGAGTGGTGTGGTCTTTGCAGAATATCTTAGATCCGAAAATTTGACGACGACATTCTATTCTGCCCAGGTGTGTACAGCGAACTTGAACATTAAATGGAGCGTTATTGGTGTCAAGATTATAATTTGTTCCTTTTAAAATGATTAGCCGAGTTGCCCGTTACGCTCGGTGATTTTCTATACGTACCTAGGTGGTAATCATATTATTTCGAAGGTTATAACATAACATTTTATGTACAACCTTACCCTAGATAGAGTCGAGTACACCATCTCAGCCTAAGGCCATCTTGTCCAAGTGTGCTTCAACTTCCCACTATTAGTGAAGTAATTAGATAAACAATAAAAATAAAAATAATTGTAATACCACACAGCTCGGGGTAAATTAGCCCTTATTTTTATTTTATTATTTTGCTTTTTCTAAAATGTTGATGATAAAATCAACCAGTCCGATTCAATGTGTATCAGCCCATCTGTGGAGTCCAGGTGTAGTATGACTCTATACGAGGTACTAGGACCAAATCTACCTACCTAGGTAGGTATAATACCGCGATAAAGCTGATATCTGACCTAACACCATAACCTTCCAAGGTTGGAAGAGAAACAATAAAATAATTAAAAATTAAAAATTAAAAATAAAAATAAAAATGATGTGTATATCAAACTTGCATCCCGCATGAGAATATTTTTTTAGCTTATCTCTCCGAGGCGTCCACATTCCGCATCAGCCCACCGCTTCAAGTTATTCCATCATACGGTCCAACATTTGAATATGGTTCAAGTTCAAATATTACAAACTTGAACTTGAAGCACTACATATTGAATATGCACATGTGCGCATGTGTGCACATGTGCGTGGTATCATTTTCGGTAAATGAAAATCCCGCAGAAACCTCTCTTCTTTCAAGCACTTGAGATGTACAGTACTATCTTCGTGATAGCCTACTACAGTATTGTATTATTCCAAGCCCTGTTGATTCCAATGTTCTGGTCCACTTTCAAGTTGTCGCCGAAAATGCCGGGGTTCCGAGGTTAATGAAAAAACTTGGAAGAATGTCCACTATCATCACTATCAGGCAAACCCGAGTCTTTCTTGGATGCATATCACATCAGCATATGCATGTGGCAGGTACATCACTTGCTAGTGAGTTGATATCCACACCCTTCAAATGTTTGTAATTTGAACTTGAAGATCTATTATCGATGCACTAGCCTCATGTCTAACTTTTAGACCCGCTAATGATGGATCTGCGAACTCAAGTTTATATCTCTCGGGACATTAATTGCTGATTTAAATTTGGCTGTACTCTAGAGAGTAGTGAATCTGATTCCAAGTGTACATCCATAGAGTACGTAGAGTACGTAAAGTATGGAGTAATAATGGTGGCCAACCCCCCCCACGATTTGGGTCTAGCTGGTCTTGGTCTTGGCACTGGGGAACCGCTTTAACATCTTAACATCCTCCCATCCTCCCATTTTCACATCTTCACATCTCCATTCTCCTCATCCACCAACAATGGCATCAAATAAAGATATGCGGAGGGCTGATCTTGGTAAGAGAAGAATCTCTACAGCTTTTACCATCTCAATACTAATCCTGAGTGATCTGCTAGTGATTCCCTACGTTGACCCACCGAAGAGCGGCAATGAGGCCGATATGTCCAGTACGTTGCGCACATCCTGCCGATGATCCCCTACTTCTGTTGGTTCATTCTGGGTGGGATTTAACATGAGATAAATAACAGGCACAATGTCGAGCACAATGCCTATGGCGGCAGTAAGTGGATCGAGTTCGGGCTTTCAAGCAATGCCGCGCTGACACCTTTTCTGTTAGATGTTCACTCGGAACAGGTGAGATAAATCCGTACATTCGAGACTTGAACAGGACTTCTCGGATTTCGCGTTGTTATTTATTTCTAATGGCGTGGGATATGTTATAGAATGATTGGATGGTAAGCAAGAAAACCCCAGGGCCCCTGGTTTCTCCATTTAATACCTTTCTAAACTTTCCCTAGGGTGGCCTTTGTTTTCTCACTCCAGGGCTGGCTCGGCGAGTCACCTGAACAGAAGAAGACTGCTGCAACCCCGGCTTACATGTCGGTTCTCATGTCTTGTATGTTATCTTCCCCAACTTTCCTTATAAAAGGTTGATTGGTTAACGTTCTCTTTCTCTATAGTGATGGCGCTTGTTGTGGTATGTTTCTCTGTGTTGACTACTTCCATGGTGACGCTTCATTCTTCTAAGACACTCTACTTAGACATACTTCCCTCTCTTTCTGCCTCCTCAAGGAAAAACTGCTCCTGCCGCGGCTATGCCATCGACTTAAATGTTGATGCCACGTCCTTGTGATACCTGCTAACCCCCCTGAGCCTCTTGCATACCCACTTTGGATCATCACACTACAGAAAATAGTGGGTGTCAACTCAGATAATCTTTGGCTACGATCCTTTCATACAATCCCCGGGGGCCTTGAATAATGCCCAGGTGTTCAAGGGTGTTTCCAAGTTTGTTGTCAAACGGCAGCCCATTACTGTACCAATACCCGGCATGGTCCCCCCTAATGGGCCGCCTTTGTTGTTATAATAGTAACTTGTTAATTCAAGGATATATATCCATTCAAATTTTGAACTCTAAGAATTGTACTTGATCACATTATCGAGTACATACTACCTAGGTAGTTTAATTAAATAGTTTTCACCATCGATATACCACATGTGCATGACTCTTTCAGATGTCCCTTGGAAACTTGGAGGGGCAATCGCTGAGTCATCACACCGCCTTCCCCCACAACGTGACCCTCATAAACCTTTGCCGCTCACCTTGTCTCTGATTCTTCATCTACCGTTCCATCCTTCTTTCTCTCCAGACGCCCCTGCGATCGCTCATCCTTTTTCCCTTTCTTCCTGAGATACTACATCTCTTATCCTAAACCTTCTTCAAACACCGCTTTTAAGGGCCATTTTCAAGTACAGGCCGAGTTTATGTCCATCGAAAACCTTAAGACCTTCGGTAAGTTGGGTCGCCACCATCCCCCTCCCATCCACGACACAGAAGCTTCGTTGAATCGCAGCTCTGTTCAAACCTCGAATTTGGCTCTCAAAAAGAAGAAGGATTCATGATATCCGCAGACTCATTATTCTGTCGCGATCTTCATCCCGACCTTCTCAGACCAAATTCGCCGCCCAGCTTCGTGGTGGGGTAGAGATCTTGTTCGGGATCAAGCTGACATCAAATCACAGACCCCTTCGCCGACGTCGAAGAGGACTCCGGCCGGTCTAACGCCAAGACCGAAAACTACATCCACATTCGTATCCAGCGTACGTTTTTTCCGATTTGATATCTCCCCTCATCCCGATTCGTCACCCATACTACAGTTCTATCATATTACCTGCCTCTCAAGTTTTTCCGCTGATAATCTTTTGCTACAGAACGCAATGGTCGCAAGACTCTGACTACCGTTCAGGGTCTCCCAGCCAAGTATGACCAGAAGAAGATTTTGAAGCGTATGAAGGGTCTCTATGGTTTGTTTATTCTCACCCGAACATGAGTTACGTGGTAAATACTAACTGCTGGCCAGCTTGCAATGGCAACATCGTCAAAGATGAGGAAATGGGCGAGGTGATTCAGTTGCAAGGTGACCAGCGCAAAGATGTTCACGACTTCTTGACTAAGCGCCCGCCTACCAAAGCGGAGGCTGAAACCATGACCGAGAAGGACAAGGCCAAATACGGCCTCGGCATCAAGGCTGCCACTGTCAAGGTTGGTCCCGCTTATTTCAGCTTTTCACACGTCCATGTTCTGATTATTTTTTTAGGTCCACGGTTTTTAAGCCAATCACCATACCTTGTTCCGGTTCCTTCTTCCTAGTCTCACGTTGTTCTGTGTGTGGTAAGGGTAGAGCCATGTCATTTGCTATCACTTGAGCTTCGCGTCTTACCGACCCTCTCTTTCGAAATGGTGAAGTGTCCTTCTCTACCTGAACATTTGTGCCCTGGATACCAGATTCGGGCTTCTATCGGTTCGACCCGCTACATCCATAGTATTACCAGTGGCTTCTCATGGCATCAACAGGGTAGCGTGGCTTTTTGATCGGTGTGTCAATATTCGGAACTGGATCACGACGGAACGAGGCGCTGGAGATACCCTTACCTGTGCTTAAACACATCCAATTTTTATCAAATTCGCTTATGCTTTACTGTTTGTACTTCTCTTCCAACATGGATCAATTGCGTTATGCAAAGAGATTACTTCATATCATTTTACTTCGTCACCTTGTTGGTCTACATAACTGAGTAATTTATGAACATTTGAATAGCCCTGGAGGACTTTTGTAGCCTTTGATGCCAGTGTTTATGGCTGACCTATTGTATCCTTTTCCTGGTCATCTTTGCTCGTGTGCTTTCTCCCTACCTAGTCTTCCTCGCTCATTAGTTGTATTTCAAACTTCCGATTCAAGTTTTATCCTTCTCCCGAGAGTCGTAACCGATTTATTGAACTCGATATTATCAAGTGCTAGGTTACTGGTTGACTCCTACTGACACCATTGATGGAATGTTCTGATTCAAAAATGACAGTGTCTCCAGCTTTCCCGGAATCATGGTGAGTTCAAAACCGTTGGTTCAAATAACCCAGGGATATTTATGTATGGGGTAAAAAAAAGAGGAAAGAAAAATCTACTGGTCAGAAGGGCTTCAAATATTTGATACCAAGCCTTATGAATGAGAGAAAGGAAGTTCGAAAATCATGATCGTACATAAAATTTGAATAGATCTACTAGTATATTTCCACCCACTTACATATTCCAATATTCATATTTAATTGTCTTTGATCGGCACTAGCAAGTCTTGAAAGCCCTAATCATACTAAACCAGTTCAGAAGACACACCTGCAGAGAGCGGGCAAACTGAACAAAAATACATGGAAATATCACTCATAACTCCCCACTGGATATGCGGTCATCTGCAACCCGCATGCGCAGGAAAATTGCAACAGCCCAATCCCATAGTTTCCTGGTAATCACAAAGACGGGAACTTCCGGCTCGTTTTCACGGGTCAGATGTAGTTGTAGTAGGAGCGAGGACATGCTAATGAAGCTAGCCATAGATACCACTAACAGGGAGGCAGCAGTCTCACGCTTGATCTTTGCATGGTTTTGTGTGGCATGGTACACAAATGTTAGGGTCTGGGGTAATCATTCGTTAATAAAAGTATATGGACCGCCAGTACCGAGTAGACTTCAGTGGCAGACAGGAGCTTACTGTGGTTATTGAGATCCAAGCTGGCAATAGAAGCCGAGGATCAGAGGAAGCACCAGATAAATAAAGGACCCAGGAAGTGATATATGCGATCAGGCCGTTTGTTGTCAAAAGACGAATCACAACAGCCGGTGGGGTGTAATTCAAAAGCCTATCGAGTCGTTGTGATTAGCAAATGCCTGGTCAGGGTCTGGAAGCAGGGGTATTTACCAACGTGACATCATACAATCAGCGAAAAAATAGGAAAGGTATGCAGATGCGCAGCACTGAGAAACATCATTATTAGTAACATTTACAATTCTCCAACATCTCTTTAGACTGGTACTTCGGGACAAAATTAGTATTGACATACCCACATGATAGCCAATGCCACTTCAGTCACCCTAAACTGCCTTTCAACATCCCATTCTTGTCCTACACTACCAACAATCGCAGCTGCCCAACCCTCACGGCCCATACCAGGCCGAATATGTAGCAGCTCAGCTAGAAAGGTAAAGGCACATCGTAAGCCCCACCATGCAGCGGGAAGTGTGCTCAGTGCTCGGCATACCAGCAAAGGGATATACCACCTGCGGTCAACCCCTAATATCACAGCTATCCGTGGATGAAGCGACGAGGAACCAGTGTGGCCGGCATCGTTGCCTTGCAAGGTACGAGACGTTAAGGTGATCGGGGAAGGTGGAGATATGATGGTAGGCACTTCTTTGGCAAATTGGTCGACCGAGGACAAAGCTGGAGGCCTGAGTGGTCCTGGGGGATTGTTTGACCTCATGTGATTTAGCTCTGATTGACTTGGTGTTTGAGCGGGGAGAGTGTAGGGCAGTGGAGAGGCATTGCGTCGAGGAGCCAGCCTTTCAGCACAGTCGTGGCATATGCGGCCGCCACGCAAGCAAATATCGTATATTAGAAATAGGGTTGGTCAAATAGAGAGTCTTAAGAGCCTGGCAGATAGATGATCGGTCTCGTCGAGTTTTCCAAACAGTGGATTTCAGAGGTAACGTCCGGGAGACTGTCACTTTCTGAACCTGAATTGATTTTTTCTTTCTTCTCCTTAGTAATCAAGGAAACAGAAGAGACCAAACGAATAGTATTATGAACCAGGAACAAGACACGGAGGAAGAGGGAGACTCTTGTAGTGGGGATCCGCTGTGTCGCAGTGTCGCGTTCTCCATCACAAGGCTGTGGAGATAGTCACGTGACCAGTGGATTTTGTTTCGGTGGCTTTCACGGCAGACTTCATCAACTTTCAAGCTGCAACTCACTATGGCATTATCACATTTGCCCACGAGCAGACTTGCTCGCAGTGCAAAATGCACCTTCCTTTCTACCTCAAAGTTTACGGAAATACACCAATCCCGGTTCTTCTCTCAATCCTCGCAGCAATGTGCATACAAAAACATGAACTTCTCGGCCAAGAACCCTACAGGGCCCTCGATAACAGCTCGCAAGAGAGACACAAACGCTAGCATGATGCCAACCGATGTCGGGATACTACCAGGAACATTTGTACGGCCTCTATGGAGGAATCTACCATCGGTTTTCCAGAACCCGCGGGATCGGTGGCAAATAGAGTGGGCTTGGATTCGATCTTCGATCCAAAACTTGATGAGGTTGGTAATTACTGCCTACTCTTTGGTAACCCAACTGAAGCTCTCTGATCTGAGAAGCTTCTGTTAGTGGAAAAATTGAGATTATGGTTCGCAATTGGGAATTGGACGATAGCTAATGTTTTTGGCAGCCTCGTTATGTACTGCAAGAAGGGCAATGACCTCCCCTTGTTGTTGAAAGATCGACGCAAAATAGCCCGTCTTCTGTACGATGATATGTATACTGCTTTTGCACAGTAAGAATCTCCAGTCCAGTCTCTATAACTGGCTTTCAAGGCTAATTATTATCCTCCGTAGAGGCGATTCCTCGGGCATTCGTCGCCTGTGCTGTGAGGGTCTCTCCAAAGATCTCGTTAACCAAATCGAGAGCCGCCCTAAGAATCAAAAGGTTTCCTGGAAGCTCGTCAAATGGCTTCGAGGACCGAGTACCTACTTCACCGGCATTCGTGTTATGTCAGACCGTGGAACGCAGATACATGAGTTCCCCAATTCTGGTATTCGACAGATCGTCTTGCGTATGACATCTTTGCAAGCCATGAGCAAGAACACGCCTTTAGCTCCCGATGCTCCTGCTAAAGAGCAGAATTGTGAAGAGTACATTGTCATCCAAGAGCTTCGCTGGAATGGCAGCAGCACTGGATGGCGAGTCTGGGGTTACACTAAGCCCACCGATCTCAATTCTCTGCACAGTGACCCGACATTTGCACCGGGTCTCTCTCCTCTAGAGCGAATAGATGCCATGAAGAGATACATGGGGGGGTGGCGATTAGTGATAACCCAATCGACCCAACTAAAACATCCAAGCCTTCCCGGTTTTACCCGCTGCAAGAAGTTATACCGTCTATTGCGACTGTACTGCCAAAGGAAAAGCAACCAAACTGTACTCACACTGCCCACAGGTCCCGTTGTATATCGACTGGTCTGTGTTCTTTCTCTTGCTCTTGATCTCAATCTCCTTTCGATCTTTTTTTCTGACAGGTTCTGCAAGCGAGTCTGATGCTTTCCCAAGCGTGCTATAATCACGGCAGGTGTGCCTGTAGAATATCGATCATATTACATTGTACCATAGTCAACATTTTTGTTTCATTAACTTCTTTCCGACATTCTGATATTGCATCTATGGATGTGCTGAACTTCAATTCCCTACTACCTAGGCCCCTTTGGAATAATTTCGCATCTGGTATGTGTATTGACTGTCAGTGGTTTCCATCAAGTCACACTTTTGTTTGTTTAGCTATGCCAACTGATACTTTACTTACTTGGCCTGTTGATGCGGACCCTTGGAAGGGTTTGTATACTAAATGTTCAGCTGAGGCCCTGATAGTACACCTGGGCACGTACATAGAAATTACGGAGTACAGTCGCCTAGCTTCAGAGAGAGAGAGAGAGAGAGGGAGGGAGGGAGGAGGGAGGGAGGGAGGGGAAAAAATATAGGATAAAACTAGAAACTTCAACAACAATTCAAGACATTAATCAATATAACAATCAATAAAACGATCTAGAGACTCAACCCATGTGGAAGAATTTCGTCAAACTGATTTTGGTGAACAAATTCGAGTCAATGAACGGCTCCTGCGATAGCTTGAGCCAGGGTTCAAGGCAATGGCTATTTTCTTTTTAATCACCGTCTTCTGTTTTTGTACCTGCTCTGCTTCTAGCGGTATGACCACATCTCTTTTAACATTTTCACTAACACTCAAGTCTTGCTTGGTTGGTGCCTGGTATCGCACATATTCATCAATTGTTTTGGTAGGCGTGGTCTGAGTCGCTAGGCAGATATCACTTGCAGGGCTGGAAGGCGCATAGTATGCAATCATACTAGATGGGCGAGAACACGAACGAGAGCGTGAGAAGCTCGGTGTATACTCTTTGCCTAGATGTTTTGTGTGATCATTTTTGCAGTTTTTGTCAAGACGATAATGATAACGATGAGAGCTTCTACTGCTGCTTGAGTCGGAAATAGATGCCGAGTCACAGGTTAATTCCGTAGCTTGTGTCTCATTCCCATCTTCGTCTTCCTCCTTGACTGGTTCGAGTTGTTCTTTCTTCTTAGTTGTCGTGCTGCAGTCAAACTCGCCGACACGAATGAGCTTTGGAGGCGCTTCTGGTTTATTGAGCTCAAGGAGCTTCTCTATTCCAGTATCCTCTGCTGCTTTATCTTTCACCATTTCACAATTTTTCGGTGGTGGCGTTGTCTGATGCTGTTCATGAGGTGGAGGTTGATGGTCAAATGTGGCCGCATAGGCTCCCTGTCCATCATAGGCTTGTTGGTTGGAATATCCACCATGCTGGCTTATATTACCAGATGACAGACTTGGAAAACCGCCGTGTGGGGGGAATGCCTCGTGATTCAATGCCGACATGCTACCATCATATTGTAATGGACTGTTGATGATAAAAGGTCCAGCCAGACTGGGAGAAAGATACATGTCAGGGGGCGAGGGCAAATGATCAAATATAGGCTGGCCATGAACGACCAGTGGAGGAGGGCCGTAAAAGCTATTCAAGTGCGGTTGTGGTGGCGGATAGACTGGTTGATGTGCTTCGTGATTGTATTGCGTGCCGTTCATCCAGATGGGCGGGACGGGGAAATGATCTCGTAGATAAGGTGAAGACTGGCTCTCTGGCTGTTGCTGTTGCTGTAGGGGTCGGAAAGAAGGTCTCCAACCTACACCACGATAGCCAGCTCGATTTTGCTGATTCCGGTATACTCTAGCATTATTGTATCGGGTGTTGTTGTTGTTACGCACCATCTGAGATGAGTTATGTCCTCTCATTTGTAAAGGATAGCCTCTTCCTAGACTTGGAACCATCGGACTGCCATCCATATCAAGTAAACTCAAGTAATATTTGTCGTCTTTCTGGAAGTACTACAGCACTGTAAGTAACATAAAGATGATATATGTGCGTAGAATGAGAGACTTGGGGAAATCTTACCTTGATAGCGTCCCTGCAATCATCGACATAGGCAAATGTGACTTTACAAATTAATGCCCATATCTGGGGACCAACTAGGTACGATTCGAAACAATAAGCCTCCACAGGACCTCGTCCTTCCAGTGCGAAAGATAGGTCATCAACCGTGATGGGGGCACCTGACCGAAGACCAAGACCGGCGGTTCCTTCATTCTAGTCAGTCTCATGCTCAGAAAGCAGTGGGTAAAAATGGAAAAATCTGAAATTGAAAAAAAAACAAGATGAAGAGACATACTTCTTCCTTTCGCTCTCTCGATACGAAGCCACCGGTCATGCAGCATAACACGATCACTGTTGACTAGCGCAGCAGATGCATCTTCAACCTTCTGTGGAGGACTTGGTCAAAAGAAAATAACAGAAGCCCAAGGTACTGGAAAAAACTGACCTCGAATTGTACAAAGGCTCCTGGCAGCCCTTTTTTTCTTATCCTGCTTTATCTTAACATGACATTGGCCGAACTCGGTGAAGACTTTCTTGAGGTCTTCAGCCAGGTCATCTGTGCAAACCTTTGTGGAAAGACTGTAGAATATCTTGTTAGGTCAACTCATGAGAGAAATTGAAATATCGAGTGGTTTACTTACTTCCCAACAAAGATGCATGCATCAGGAGGAAATAGTCCCTGGGCATTTTTGGCTGAGGGCTCCTCATGTAGGCGATCTCTACGACGAGGATAGTTCTTCTCAAGATTAGGGACAACAACTTGTATCGTCATGGTGAAATATCGTATATTCAATTGCAAGGTTCGTAGTATGTGATTGATTTGAAGGTGACAGCCGTATAGGGTCGCGCCGCGCGTGGGTGAATAGGAGCAATGGTTGTATGAACAAGAAATGGGGGGAAATATGCACAATACAAGAAGACACAATGGCATACCCACCTCCGAAGTCGTTTTTGATTCCATGCCCCATTTCTGAACAGTACTAAGCCCGTTCTTGGACCGCTCACGTCTGGAGCGTGGGGAGGTTGATGGTTAGATCCATGGCTACGCCTGGGATTTACCACCAGATACCTCAAGCTGCTTTGACTTAAACCCAATACGTATTCACCGCGACATATACAGCCCTGGAGGAGCATGTAATAAACATTTGAAATGTTGCCCGGGTGCATATAGGTGGGTGTGGTGCTTGCTATAAAAGTTCTCGGAGGTCTCAGTTTAACCACGGAAACTGATCTGCCTTTCAACGGTTCATCAGTTGAGTAAGTAATTCAAACACAACCTTGCAATTAGTATTCGATGATTCCGAGGTAATATTCTGGAGATTTGAAATGTTTAAACTTGGTACTTAAGTACTCGGCCGGTCTCGGCTGAACCTTAGAATTCAACATTTAGTTGACATCGGTGCTTCATGTCATGACGTTCATTGTGCGTGACCATTCAGGGCTGTAGTACCTCGAGGGCATCTGGGTGAAGTCATCCAAATTTGTTCAACTGGGCAGCATCAAGTGCTGTCATATATTTCGAAGGTTCAACTAAAATAGACATGGTCATATTCAATATCTCTCCCTAATATGGCGCAATAATGCAAGATCATTCCCTCATGTCTTGTTCGTCTCACTCATTAAGACATACATACACAGAGAAAATATCATCTTTCAATCATAAACCTCGAAACATAGAAAAATCAATGACCCTCAACCTACCTGCCACCAGTAATCTTCTCCCAAGCTTCCTTATATTTATCAGCAGTCTGCTGGACAACCTCCTCAGTCATCCGAACACCGTTCTTGCCCTTGAGACCCTCAGAAACCAACCAGTCTCGCAAGTACTGTTTGTCAAAGCTCGACTGACCCTGACCAATGGTGTATGATGCTTGAGGCCAGAATCTAGAAGAGTCTGGGGTCAAGACTTCATCAGCCAGGACAATCTCATCAGTTTCCTCGTCGACACCAAATTCAAACTTGGTATCCGCGATGATCACACCACGCTCAAGTGCATACACGTGAGCAGCCTTGTACAGCTGCACAGCGAGATCGGCAATTTTAGATGCGTATGGCTCTCCAACAATGGCGACGGCTGTGAATTAAATTAGCATTTGATACCGCCAAGATACTAATACTCTATTCGGTATTTGGAAAGAAACGTACCCTGGTCCGGGTGAATGTTTTCGTCATGTTCCCCCTGTTCAGCCTTTGTGCTAGGGGTATAGATTGGACCATTGGGAAATGCCTCGCTCTCCTTCAGACCAGCAGGGACGGGGATACCGTGCACAGTGCCAGATTTTTGATACTCCTTCCAAGCAGAGCCAGTGATGTATCCCCGAACAATGGCCTCGATTGGGAGAATGCGCAGTTTGCGCACTTGCATTGCGCGGTTCTGAAGCACGGGTCGCAGAGACTCGGGGATTTGGGAAGGGAGGTCAAGGGTGAGGAAATGTGTGCGTAGTCCAGGGACAGTGCTGGAGAGAATATCGAACCAGGTCTTCGTACAGAGTGTCAAAAGAACGCCCTTGTTAGGGATACCCTAAAGACAATTGTGAGTGGTCATGGTTTCTATATAGTTGATGGGACTGTGAAATGTTGTACATTCTCCATGATCACGTCGTATGCGGAGATTCGATCGGTTGCAACGAAGAGTAAGGTCTTATCGTCGACCTCATATAGGTCACGGACTTTGCCACGAGCAATGAGGGGTAAAGATCCTTGCAGATCAGTGTTTGTTAGAGCTTCCGCCATAATGTAGGAGGTCAATTGATGTTTTGGAATAGGATGAAGATGTAGGTCGATGGTGTAGATTCAATAGATCTCCCGTTGCAGTTTTTTTTGGAGGGGCAATTGACCGCCTCAGGCACCTTATCTCACCTTATCGGTTTCGTCACTCCAAACACCAAACGCCAAAACGCGTCCTAGATCATTCTTTCAATTTGCGATCTTGACAATGACAGGTCATTTTTCACCATGACGCGCTATCTGACACCATGGAGAATATCTCTTCTTTGTTTGATCACGGTCTACACAGATGGCTTTGTCCCTAACTCGTCCGCTGTTCATGTGCTCTCCTTCTTGAATGCAGGTCTATTCCCTCTAGATCCCGCCGATAAGCAATGGGAGACGCATTACCTGCCTAGCATCACCGAACTAGAGGAGGTCCTCTCCTGTCACGAATCTTCAGTCCCAGGTCGCACTCTGTGGGATTTGCTTCTCAAAAAGCTCTGGTCCCTTGATTCTCTTGATGCGCTTGAGTGGTTCTTTTCAAACCATCTGCCGACACTGCTTACCAAAACCCGCGAACAATTGATACAGGATCGAGAAGATGGGCTTGCTCCAGAGACCGATGGCATGCGACTTTCACGCAGCTCACCACTAGGAGCATTTGTACGTCGAGCTTATCTTGAACATACACGATTGCAGTTTCATGATTCTGTTAAGTTATGGTCAGGGTTTGTCAACTATCGCTTGCCCACGTATCATGTTTATGCACGCAGGAACCCGTCCAATGGTCAAAACCCCATCGATATCAATCTTTCCACTCAGGGCCTGGATCCCACCAGCCCCCTCTCTCGTGTGACCTATAGCAATTTTTTCGACAATAACGAGGAAGATGGGGGCATTGTCAGCCTCAAAGATGCTGAACGCTTGGTGGAATTCCAAGTTGGGGAGCTTCAGCGTACGTTTATATAGTCCCTTGGGTATATGAACTGGTCAAGTATCATGGATTGACTAGAAACAGGCCTGGGAGGCAGGGTGCCAGATGAAATGCGGACCCAACTCAAACGCATCATGACATCGGAGTCATCTGTGCCAGTGCTGATGTATTACCTAGAGTAAGTAATTGATTGCAGACTATCGCAGAAGAATCCCGGTCAGTACGCTTATACACTTAGGTTCCTTGATGCCTGGCGAGCAGGTGACTATACCTCAGCCTTTGATAACCTTCACCGATATTTCGACTACACAATGCACAGTAATTTGGATCGCAGCGCGTATCAGTTCGCGCTACTGAATCTGGCCATTATGCAGGCAGATTTTGAATGTTTCAGCGAAGCCATTTCTGCAGTGCAAGAAGCTGTGGCAATTGCTCGAGAGTCGCATGACACAAATTGTCTCAATTTCTGCATGAGCTGGCTTTATCATTTTGGTAAAGCGTTTCCGGAGCAGATGCAAGAGGTTCAGAATAGCGGCATGCTAGGCAATGAGAAGGAGGGTCTTTCATTTCTCAAGGCCAAGTCAAAGGAAACTGATATGTGGTCACTTATGAGTACCACATTACTGAGTGAGGCCAAGCTAGAAATGCAACAGGTTTGTCTTTTTATCTCTTGAAATTTTTTCCTCCTAGGAGAATGTGTTTTGCTAATGGCTTTCAGGGAGAGAGTCTGGCCTCGATTATGGAATCGTTCACACGGGCTTCTCAGATTAATGTGACAAAATGCCTTTCAACGCCAACAGGTGCCTACATGACATTACAAAGCACATTTTATGCTCGAATAGGTATGATCGGTAGATATTGACCTAAGCTAGCTGAAAACTCATTATTGAATAGGCGCTACTCATTCTGCTTGGCTAAGCACCGAGATATTTCGTGAATGCTATACAGAAGGGCACCCTTACGATGACTATGTCAAAAGTACATTCAGAAATTGCCAGATTGTAAGTTACCTTGACTGATCATCAAATTGTACCTGGCCCATACTCAGAACTAATGATATGCACGCAGCTGGCGCAAAGAGGCAATTACAGGGAAGCATTTGCGCGCATGAACAAGATTGAGCCAGAAAGACTCCGAGCTTTCAAATACAACAACATCTGGACTTATTACTCGGGTCTCCTTCAACTAACGCATCACATATACCGGTAAGTTCAACTAACAATAATTGGGCATGCAAACAAATGGTCTAATCGCTGGCAGGGATGACAAAGTTGCAGTAGAGCACATTATTTGCCAACTTCAAGCAATCCAACTCCTGGACTTTGATATGCGCCTTCTCCTTGCTTTTCTTACCATTGAATTTACAATGCGACAAGGTGATCATGGTCGTGCTCTTCGGATGGTCGAACAAGTATCCCATTGTATGCATCCAGAGAATTTTGATGTCCATTTCCAAATCAAAATCCTGTGTCTGAAAGCTCGAATACTGGAGAATACTGGTCATGCAGAGCGTGGGTTTTCCCTTGCATTGCGTGCTACCGCAATAGCCTACCGCTCAAAGGTCCTCTTGGACCTCTGGGAAGCTATATGTGCTCTAGCAGCTGCGCTCCTAGGATTATCTGAATTTGATGCTACTGCCGAGCTGGTGGAGGGTATCATGCCCCAAGTACTGGAGAGCGAGGATGCAGCACTAGTAGCCCGGGCATACTCGTTGTTGGTAGATGCAAATATGGGCATAGCGGGGGGAACTTTGGGCACGTCTTGGGAAGAGCAGCAAGGCCGCAAGGAAGGAGTATGTGAACCGAGCGATTGGCTATATTGATTCTGCATATGAAGCATTTGAGAAAATTGAGGACATCCTTGGCCAAACAGAGATGATGGCCAAGAAAGCTGCCGTCATGCATCTGACGGGTGATTCTGTTCTGGCTAATGATTATGCAGCAAAACATTTGGATTTACGGAGAAGGAGAGATACCGAAGTATGATACAAGGGTACAAGGAGCTCTGTCCAGGTGCTTGTCGGTCTTTTTTTCGATTTCAGGTTCTGCCAGGAGACTCGGAACTTCATTCATTGTTACTGGGAGGAAGGAAATCGTGCATAATATCATGACCAAGGATTATTCTTCATTGACCTGCCCACATTATTCAATGTTTACATCAACGTTCTGGGTTTTTCAAGGAGTATGGAATCCAAATGTGCAAACCTGGGGAACCTGCACTTGGGCATGCATGATTAGTATTCGAATCTCAAGTTCCCCGGTGCTGGCTTATTAGTAGTATGACCAGCACGCAACAAGTCTACAGCTCTTCACGGGAAGAGAAAGAATAACAATAGTAGAAGACGAAGAAACTACTAACACTCTAACCCCTAAATTAGGAATGGCATTTGTATCGCCATTTAGTAACAACAAGAGAAACCACCCGATTGAAATGGCTGGGAGCTTTACTCGATCGCGAGGTTAACATAGTTCAATTCGCCGAAGTTCTATGATCTTATGAGACCCCTTGCCTCCTCTCCTGCAGTAGATATACATAAATGAAAAGCCAAGAACCCTACCTCTCCTTAAGACATATCAACAGGTTGCGTTGTGGAGCCTTAGAGGGGTGTCAACATCTTTTGAGGAATTCCGTTCAAGTAGCCTTGTCCTTGTTGTGGTAGTTGACATCGGAATTCCAGCTTGCGAATAATTAGTACTTGATTAAAGGTTTGGGTGCGAGAGAGTCATGGGTCAATTCTCGAGTGGTAGGTGGATATGGCCAAAACGCAAATAATGCAAATAATCGTGACGGTAAAAAGGACTTACAAAATGGTCTAGAGTTGTGTTCATTAGCGGAGAGTTCGTATTAAATGTAATCATATGAAATAGCAGAAGACAAACCTTATCACCGTCACCCCAGGGGAAATTCTTCTGGCGAATATTCTGGTAGGGATACTCGGTTCGCTCCTCAAGAGGGGGCATGTGCTCCCAGTGCTCCCAGTGCTCAGACCAGAGGTTGTAGGCATTAACACCACCACCAATCAGGCAGGGAATAACAGCGCTGAAAGAGAGGGATAGTTAGTGATTCGCCAAATATCTATTGTGTATATTGATCCGCTGTTTCCGAAGTAGACATACAAGATCGAAAGCTTGCGCCAAAGGTCTGCGAGGACATTGAGTTAGTGAAAATCACTGAGAGTAGTGAAGCCAGTCCCATAAGATAGATAGAGACAAATTTTTGGCTGGAAGATCCTGCTTAAATTACATACCGCTGGTAGAGGCAGCGTGGTGCTTGACAGCAGCACGCTCACGGTTGAATTCGTTGTCGACAATCCAAGATGGCTTGGCCTCGGCACTGTTGAAGCGACGTTGAGCGGCCGAGCGAATTGGCGAAAAACGCTGAGACAGGCGGGCGACGTTACGAGAGAGCATGGCGACGGTGTCTTCCAAGGTTGTAAGATGAAGGACTTGAGGAGGAGAGTCGTATGTTGAAATCCATGCTGTTTCAGTGGTTGAAGATCCCGTGATCCCCCGTGCGATTATATAATCTGATGTCACTTGATACTCGGTCACGTGATACATGGCTTCTTCGATAGATCGGAATTACTGAGATCTTGAGAGCTTTCATTCACTTAATCTTTCTGAATCTGGTCACTAACGACTCGAGGAGCTCTAGTTTTCATGATTCATACTGACTCTGGATTCTCTCCATAGTCCTCACACAGAATCATCAATCATGGGGTTTCGCATCACAACATGGAACGGTAAGCTATTAGTATTTAGCTTGGGCTAAATATATCCTGATCTAATTTTTGAATTCCGCTAATGCCACGTATCATAGTGAATGGGATCAGGTATTTGCAGTACCGGATTTTTTCCCTAGAGCTTTTTTGATAACTGATCTTTCTTAGAAATCCATTCTCCTATGAGCCATGGAGAGGAACTCGTACTTTTCAGGTGAGTGATAGTTTATAACAAGTTGCTGTGATGTCTATCTTGCTAATCAAAGCTCAGTCTATGTTTGACATCCTCGAATCTGATATTGTTGTGATTCAGGAAACCAAGATACAACGCAAGGACTTGCGTGATGACATGGTTCTCGTACCTGGGTGGGACTGTTACTTCAGTTTGCCAAAGTTCAAGAAAGGCAAGTGATATCCCTGTCTTGGTTTATCTTACACTGATGAATTCTAGGGTATTCGGGCTTGGTCATATACACACGCAACTCTACTTGCGCCCCAATACGAGCCGAAGAAGGTATCACAGGGATACTTTGTCCGCCCAACTCATCAGTATCCTTCCGTGATATGCCTGAGGAGCTTCAGATTGGTGGGTACCCCACATTAGGCCAGCTCAGAGATTCTTTCGGTTCTGTCAGGGAGAGTGAAGCGGATGATGGAGATGGTCGGGATATCACCTCCGATGAACAAGTTGATGCTGCGACCCTTGATTCTGAAGGACGGTGTGTTGTACTAGAATTTCCCGGTTTTGTTCTTATAGGAACATACTGCCCTGCATACCGGGATGAAAGTCGCAATAGCTTCCGTATGGACTTCCTCAATGCTTTGAATGTCCGTGTACGGAATCTTGTGTCACTGGGGAAGCGAGTCTTCGTGACTGGAGACATCAACATCTCCAAGGCACCTATCGATTCTGCGCATGCACTCGAAAGTATTCGCAAAAGTGCCACCACGGCAGAGGATTTTCTCTCCAGTCCTCCCCGAAAGCTATTTAATGCCTTGGTAACGGACGGAACGGTCGTTGGTGGCGGAGATAACAGCAGAGGACGACCGGTTCTTCATGATATTTGCAGATCTTTTCACCTGGATCGAGCAGGGATGTATACTTGCTGGGACACTAGGCTCAATACCAGACCGGGGAACTATGGCTCTAGAATTGACTATGTGCTTTGCACCCTTGATATGAGGGAGTGGTTTGTTGATTCAAATATTCAAGAAGGCCTCATGGTACGCTATGAAATAGGGTGGAGAAAAGCACGATAGCTCGCTAATTTTTTCAAACCCTAGGGATCTGACCATTGCCCTGTCTACGCCGTCTTCAATAAACAAGTACTATACGGTGGAGAAATGGTTCATGTTCTAGACGTTGTGAACCCGCCGGGGATGTTCAAAAGTGGCGTACGGCAAAGGGAATATTTGTCTAGAGATATACTGCCGACATCAGGACGCTTGCTTCCCGAGTTTGACCTGGACAAGCGGCAAAGTATCAAGGACATGTTCACACGCAATCTATCCACACGAAGCCTTGTAGGAACCCCCCACCGCTGCAGCCAATACAGAAAAAGCAGCAACAGCAACAGCAACAGCAACAACAACAACAACAACAACAGCAGCACGCCAAATTCATACCAGTGGTCAGCCATTTGTTTCCATTGACATCACTACTCCAAGATCTATGTCGGGCAAGAGACCGCCACCTCCGTCATCCACTCCTGCCAAACGCTCAAAGTCTACAGCAACGATACCGACTGCTTCGTCAACAGGCCAGAAAACACTTGAGGGGTTTTTTAAACCAAGGACTACTAGTGTTGCCAGGTCATCAGTGCCATCCAAGAATGCATCAATGCGCAGCATCGGTAATACTCCTGAAACCATTAGAAAAACATTCTCAGGTCACACAGCAAGTCACCCAAAGGTCGCAGCTTCTATCTCCAGCTATGCAACAAATCAGTTTGGGCCTGATGATCCTGCTACTCTCAGAGAGACATTACCAACAGAGGTATCTGCGAGCACATCTAATAATGACATCTTGGAGGATGCACTTAGTAGCAAAGAAGACTGGTCAAAGCTCTTTACCAGAAAGCCTGTACCTCGTTGTGATAGTCATCAAGAGCCATGTATCAGCTTGACCACTAAAAAGCCCGGGGTGAACTGTGGTCGTGCATTTTGGATTTGTCCTCGGCCATTAGGACCTAGTGGCGAGAAGGAGAAAGGTACACAATGGCGATGTCCGACATTTATCTGGGCAAAAGACTGGAATGGACCACAATAGCTCTCAACCGACGAGCTGAAGGAGAAGTTGTATTATCGCTAGCACTTGAGGATATCACTTTCGAATACCACCAACATAAATCTACCTATGTACTGATTAATACTTGGTCTCTTTTTCTGTCTTTGGTCGGAGTTTTGGTCTAGTACTAGTATGGATTCCGAATCCCATGTGGCACTCAAGTTTTATATACCATGATGCATCTATACTAAGTCTACGACTACTAGCATGGATTATCAACACTGACAGTAGACATATACAACTTTTAAGATTTAATGATGAATAAATCCATGGCTAAATTCATCTTTACGAGGTTTCTCCCTCATATGGTCTAGATTTATTATGTAGAATAAAGATCTAAGACAGGGGTTCTCCGGGACATCCAGGACATCCAGGACATCAGGGGGGGAAGGGGGGGGGGGAGCCTTGAGAATTTACTTGGAGCCTTGAAAGTGAATGTAAACAAATGTAATTATATGACTCAGGCTCCAAGGTTCCAAAGTTCAGACCAAAATTTAAAGTGAATGTTTTGTTTGATTGTGACAAACGTCCATTCACTGGACGCGTCGTTTGTTTATATTCCTTTATTTCTTCTTCCTCCTCTTTTTCTTCTTCCTTCCTCTATCTCTCTTTATTTTTCTCTACCCTTCCCTTTCCTTTATCTTTGTTTTGACTCTCTTACTTTGTTACTCTACGCTTTGAGGCTTTTGCTCTCTTACTCCCAGTAACTCTTGTCAAGTGCTTACAACTGTAAGCCGTGTCTACTGTGATCCAAATCTTTACGCTCTGAGGCTTTGCTTAGGCTTTACTTCCTCTCCACTCAGCTTCACTACACGCTCCAGTCAAGTTCTGACAGTTGTATACTGTGTGCTGCCTCTTTTCGGAAACTCTTTTTCTTCTCTTGAAATACCATCAACCTACACCATTCCGCCAAAATGTCCACTGCTGATCACGTTTGCTGGGTGCCCTCTACAGAGGCTGACCAGCTCACCGAGGCTCTTTGGCACGAGGCTGGGACACTTGAGCGACTCAAGGCCACAAATAATGAGATTATGCTGCCCAACAATGTTGTCACCAAGATTGGCCGAGCCAATGTGACAAAGCTCGCAAACCGGCTCTCGTGAGTATTCCTTCTCCTATTGCTTGCTTTCTACTTACACCTCGTCTAAGGGTCCTCACCGGTCGAGCTATTCGGATTGCCACTGATACCACAATCCAAGCTCTGCGACTCATGCCCCTTTCTGACTCAAACTCAACTGCAGAGACCTTGAATTGGGACAAATTGAACCACATAGCCCAGCAGGTCAAAGAGGCTGTTTCGGTTGGCCAAGTTGAGGGTCCAGGACAGTCTGAAAAAATCCCCCGACCCATGAATTCCTGGATACTTTACCGACAGCATCATCACCACGCTGTCAGTGAAGCGAATCCAAGCTTGCCGAACACCGAGATATGTAAGTTCATCTTCTTTTCCATTCGGAATTTGATTAGATATCTGACCTTCCATCTAGCCAAGATAATTGCGGCACAGTGGCGAGACGAACCTGCTGCGACGCGTCTCGAATGGCAGGAGCTTTCTGAACAGATGAAGGCCGACCACGCGCGAGCTCACCCAGACTACCAGTACTCACCTCGTCGACCGGGAGAAAAAAGAACTCGTCGTTCTCGTCGCATTCGCGTCAGAACCGACAGTGTTGAAGATCTCATGATTGAGACTCCGCGCGGCGAACAACGTCTCCGAGATTCGATTCTGGGAGATGGTCCGAATCCCTGGGACTGCAATGGGTTTGTTGATATCGATGAAGAGTTCATGACGATCCTTGGCGACCACAATCTCCTCACCGGCATGAACGGTATCTTTTCGATGCCGGACCAACCCTTTAGCAACGACGAGTTCGCCGCTATCGTTGATGCTCAAGCTAATGGGGGGCCACTTCAGAAACTTCGATGGACATCTCTCAAAGGTGATGAGTTCGGGTCGGAATTTACCGAGGCAGAGATGGAAAACTCCTTCGCACCCACCTAATTGCCCTGGTTTTGTCAAACCCACCAGGCTCGAGAATCCTCCCTCCAAGAAAGATAATCTACAAAAATTTCGGCGATCACAGAAAGAAACGGAAAATTGAAGCTTTTTACGGACGTTTTTTTGATTCTTTACCAAAGGCTAATGATTTGGTGCTCTATGTTGGTGTGAGGCAGAATGGGTCGGTTTCCGCGATGGCCTATTCTCTCTCTCCGTGGCAGACGATCATCTATTTTGAATGAATGCAAGCAGCGTTGACAGGTTCCAAGGTTCAGACCAAAATTCAAAGTGAATATTTCGTTTGATTTGTGGCAAACGTCCATTCACTGGACGTGTCCTTTGTTTATATTCCTTTGTTTCTTCTTCCTCCTTCTCTTCTTCTTTCCTCTACCCCTCTTTATCTTTCTTTACTCTTTCCTTTCCTTTTCTTTATCTTTATTCTAATTCTCTTACTCTGTTACTCTACACTCTTAAGGCTTTTACTCCCTCACTCCCAGCAACTCTTGTCAAATACTTACAACTGTAAGCTGTGTCTACTGTGATCTAAATCTTTACGCTCTGAGGCTTTGCTTAGGCTTTGCTTCCTCCCCACTCAGCTTCACTACACGCTCTAGTCAAGTTCTGACAGTTGTGTAATGTGTGCTGCCTCTTTTTTGGAAACTCTTTTTCTTCTCTTGAAATACCATCAACCTACACCATTCCGCCAAAATGCCGATAATCTTCTCCCCGCGCTGGTCTCCCAAGACCTGCCTTCTCTTTGCGTATCTGACGACCATACCATTGTGGAGAGCAATTCGAATTTTGGCATTCTGGGACCGTCGCGCGAGACGACTTGAAGATTTTGCTCTCGACATAATTCAGGGTATTCCTCTTCTTTTCTGGACTGTCCCACTGGCAATTCCCGACGAGCCACACTTCTCCATCGTCAACGGACACCTCAGGGTTTTGACAGATGATGAAAGTGCGGAAGATCCTTTGCGCATATTACCAAGTGATCTTGAGCCCTTATTGGCAGCCTGGAGACCTTGCGGATTAACCACGACCAGACCTCCGACCAGGCTGAAACAACTAAACAGCTTCATGGTTTTTCGAGGTAAGTACCCCACCCTCAGTATCGAAACTTCAAATTCTCACTTTTTCTCGCAGCGTTCATGGCACCTCTTCTCCCCGGTTTGCAGCAGAAGAACAAGTCCAGGGTGATCTCCACGTTTTGGCAATATGATCCTTTCAAGGCTCAGTGGGCTGTCCTTGCGAAGGCGTACAGTCTTCTACGTGATCATTTTATCTTGAACGATCAAACTCTATCCCACTTCATTGCGGTCACCAAGGGGCTCTTCAACTTCCCGACACCCGAACTCTATCTTGCCCACGTTGGCTGGAAAATCTACCAAGACGATGACGGGGATTTCGAGCTGGTGCAGTGTTCTTCGCGCCTTACTTTTCAGCTACCGAATAATCCTGTCTCAGTCAATGATGTTGTATTCTTCTGTGCCGACATCACAGGCTATGCAACTCAGAGGGACGAGTCGTTGTGGCCATTCTTTGTGGGCTTCCGCGAGGATATTTTTGTACTCAACGATCAAGGAGAAATGCGTGATCCCTTTGGCTGGCTCATGGACGACAATGGAAACCTTAAGCTTGGGCCTTTTAGAGAGTTTCATCTGGAGGATCTGTATGATGACCCAGATCCTGACATGGACCCTCTCAATGACTTGATTTTTGTACCTGACTACGAGCAGGCGCGAGAGGAGGAGAGAGCTGCGGAAAAGGCTGCATATCTGAATCAAATGGGCCCCCTTCCCCCATTGGAGCCATGGATCCACTGGGGCACGATCCTTCCTGCGGCTCCCGTGGCTGGCCAGTCTTGAGGCTGGTCAACCCGACTTCGACTATGAAAAAGGATGACAGAAAGAAACGATTGAAGCTTTTTACGGACGTTTTTTGATTTTTTTATTTTTTTTATTTTTTTTTATTTTTACCAAAGACTAATGATTTGGTGCTCTATGTTGGTGGGAGGCAGAATGGGCCGGTTTCCGCGATGGCCTATTCTCTCTCTCTGTGGCAGACGATCATCTATTTTGAATGAACGAAAACAGCGTTGACAGGTTCAAAGGTTATTGAAATGTTATGTAGGCAGAGCTAGTCATTTTGGGGTTCGTGCTTTTTTCACCCACGGGGGGTTTTTTTTTCGCAATCCATCTTCTGCCAGTGAAGCAATAGTTAGTTGAATGAAAAGATTTCCTACTCAGCTCCATCTATCAGTAATTACCTAGTTCAAGGGTCAGTTGTTCTTAGTCTTCAGAATTATCTCCAGAGGAAACTTGTCTAGCCCACCAGCTATTCGCTGTGCCTCTCTAGAGTCTAGCCTCGGTTCCTTGTGGGGTCATTTCTTTGTTATCTGAACTTGAACGTCATGGCGGTCGAATGAAACGAGGATTTCAAAGTTCTTTGTTTAGTTTGGAACTCTAAGGGGTTCCACGGTCCTATATGGCCCCCATACACTCTAGATGTGCCAAGTGGTCCTGGGTGACTTCAAATTGGAGTGTAATCCAATGAGATTCAAATTGGCATACGTAACACAATAAGATGGGGGAAGGATTCTTTATAAGCGACTTGAGAAGATATTCGCTGCTAGTAGAAGATACTATGAAACATAATAGAGACTGGGAACTGGCAGATAAAATCCCAGGTGTGATCCTAAGAATGTACAAAAACAAAATACAGGGCCAAGTTGAAAGAAAGCAAAGAGCATATGCCCAAAATTTACTCCTCTTGATATGAGATCTTGCGCATCTCACCAAGCCGGGTGCGGGCACGGGCAAGGTTGTTCTCGAGTTGAAGAATCTCTACCTGTACAGACAATTCTGGTCAGTAAAGGAGTATAGTATAAAAAAAAGAAAACAAGCAGTGACTGATAAGACGGTATTCAAGCGATGGGATCCTTTAAGATACGTACCTGCTGCTCCATCTCACGCACCTTGAACTCGTGAGAGCTCAACTTCGTGTAATCCTCCGCATCGGTATCATCACGTTGCTTTTCTTTGATGATATCCTGTACCTGGCGGACCAAGGCACGGCAGGCAGCACCTACAGCCTTGCTGGCTGTCTCTAGCCGGTCCTGCGTTTTGCTCATAAATGTAGCTTTGACCCGACTAGCAGCCACCAGCTGTGCGGTACTTGCAGCAACATCATTAGAAGCAACAATAAGCTGCTCTGGCGAGTTTCGCCCCGATATGACACCGTCAGCCGTCTCAATCAATGTGTTGGTCGAAGCAGCAACAGCTTTGGCAGCGGATATTAAACCCTCAGTCCAACGGTTATTCTTTTTATAGAAAGCCGTACGGGATGAACTGCCGCGACCTTCACGTACGATCTCCTGTTGCGTCTCCGTAGCAGCCTTGATCAGCTCAGCGATGGCATTTGTCACGGCAATAGCCGCTGCCAAGATCGCGTCATTGATACGTAGCTCGTATGTCGAATAACCATCACGAGGCTTGTTCTTGAGCTTAGCCAAACGCTGAGCAGCAGCCTCGATTGCGTCGGCTGCCCTATTCAGCTCTCGATCCACTAAATCTCCCAGGTCACCATTGGTAGTAATCTTGCTGCTTTTGGGTGAAAATGACTCAACCAGCTTCGACAACGATTGGAGATCCCGCTGTACTTCCAGGTTATTATTGATGACAACGTCCGTCTTTTGCAACGGGTCCATTCCCTCGAGGCGGAAGGACTGCAGACCACGAAAGAACCGCACAGTGGCCTGTGCGGACTTACGGGCGGCATTAAACAGCTGGTCAGAACTCTTGTCGTCATTAGCGAAGCGAGATAATCCCTTGGTGTTGCTGAGTGTATCTGCAATTGATCCCGAAAAGACGGAGACGGTGCGAATAATGTCAGCATGGGGACTGTTTGGCCCGTCTGCGATAAAGTTATTGAATGCTGTCGAGAATTCCGTAGCCGATGCCGATGCCTTCTCGATTTGTGACAAGACATATGAAGGTGATGCATTCTGGTTACCGGCTTGCATAGAAGAATCAAGCTCATATAGAGAATCATCCACCCGTTGGACACCGGCCTGCAGCACCGAATCAATGATATCATTAATCTTAGCTACAGTACCATGAAGAACGGTGTCAATTTGGCTGTCCAGTGCATGATCGGTATCACCTTGACTCTGCAACGAGCTGTTTAGTCAAATCCACCAGCAAGATATGTATCATTTTACTCACCAGCTTTAACTCTTCCAGCTCTATCAGAGCCTGCTCCATGCCGGACTTGTAAACCTCAATCTCTTCCTCTTTCTCGCGCAGAACTAGGGCGTGATCTCCGTCCCACTCTGACTTCCGAGTTGAGATATCATCAAGAGCACGAGTTTTGTTCTGAAACTGTTAGTTTCCCAATTATGGACACGAGACGTTGGGGGGGGCATACTCTAAGAGCCTCTTCAAGATCCGCCATCTCCCGGTTGTACTTGGAAAGCATGGTAGAAATCTCTGACCCCTTTGATCGTTCGGCATTTTCGGCTCGCTCAATCGACATACGGAGCTCACGCTTGATCTTCTCCAGCTCGTCCTTGTTTGTACCAGTAAGGCGGTCCCTATCATGTAGAGCACGGTCACGTTCACGGATCATGTCGGCCAGTTCCAAGTTCTTGGTCTTGAGCTCACGTTCTAACTTTTCGCGGCGATCAATAGCCTCCTGTGCTGATGCTGCCTTAAGTTTAAGGCTTTTAGTTGTTTGCAGTAGATCTAGATGCTCTTGCCGCAACTGCGAGTAAAGCTTTGCTAAAGCCTCGTACTTGGATCGCCAGGTATTCACTTGGTCCTGCAAAGAGCGAATCTGCTCGTCTTTGGACGCACTCTGCATGTTGAGATTCGAATTCAATTGGTTCATTTGTTCCTCGAGGTCTTTAACACGGCGATCGTATTGCTGCAGCATCAACTGATCTCGTTCGTACTGAGCCCGGGCATTCAGATTCTCTTGTTCCAGCTCTGCAAGTCGGCCCTGTGTCTGTGTTGAGTATTGGTCTCGGAGGAGCTGCTCATGGGCAAGACGTTGTTGTTCAGCTTGCAGACGTTGCTGTTCCTCGAAATCTTGTTGAGCTTTCTGTTGAGCCAGGATTTGCTGCCGTTGCTGTTCTTCCCACTGCTGTTGGAGGCGGGCTTGTTCTGCCTCGTATTCTTCCTGCTGACGCCTAGCCTCCGTGGTCCAGAAATCGTTTATGGGTTCTGGCTCAGTAGAAGTGACCTTGGGAGGTGGTGATGGCTGGACTTCAACTTCCTTAGCTGGACGCCTAGGCAGAGCTGGACGTTCATCATCTTCCCCCAGAAGGCTTGGAGGATCTTGGGGCAGCTTGGGTATAGTAATCAAGCTGGTCAGATAGCGCAGGTTAGAGCATTCGTAGTAGAACCGAACCAAACGGTAATGCTGGGCCTCATAGCGACCCCGAAGCGGTTCAAGAGCTTCATCATCTCCTGTCGCTATAATCACAAACAGATCAGTACCTATTAGACTCCAGGTATGGCAATGGAGAGTGAAGCATACTGGTGTGCATGGCTCTCAGCATGCTGGTAATGAACTTGTAAATACCATAGCTTTCTTGCACAAGAGCAACCAGCGCGGAAATACGACATTCATTGTTAGTTCCTGACTGGAAATGGGAGAAAATCAGCTTTTGGAAAGCATCAATTTGGTCTTGCAGGGCCATCAAATCGGAAATTGTTTCGTAGCTACGGTTTCGTTAGCTCACTATCCAATAGACGGTGATGGTGGATTCAGACCCTTCGTTGGGATCATTGATGGTCTTCAAACTGATGTATTCCTCGTATTCGAACAGACCTGTATCTGTTAGACAACCGCCCATCTCTCCTCGTGTTTCCGTGCGTGATCAGCATACCATTAAATTCTGGGTGATTGCGATGGAAAGTCAATTTTGACTCAAGGAAGTAAACATATTCACGAATCAATGGGGCATAACCTATTCGATAATGTCAACATTCTTTCCCGCGATGCCTCCCATGCTTCTTCAAATATCTACGAATTGCAGTCTTAGACCAGATGTCATACCTCGAATGCCATCACCTCCGACCCCTCGCATTAGACTATCAATCCAGTTGGCATGCTGCTGAGCCTCTCGAACCACAATCGGATGACCTTCTTGGAGAACCTTGTGGATAGTAATCAAGGCCTTGAACGTTTGGACCTCATCGGCGAGGACGGGCTGACTAGAGATATAAAAACAAGGTCAGCCAGATGAATTCTAGCAACCTCACATCATAAGTTTGCAGAGTTCCGTGACCCACGTACACTTTCATGCCCGCCCAGAATGCCGCTGAAGACTTGTGGTCCCACGTGTAAACAATACAGCTCCGCACATGTTTTCCTATCAAGTTGAGAGGGAAGCGTCAGTCAAGTCGAGTGGTATAATATGAAGAATAAGATAAACTTTGGACAAGGTTAAACGGACGTTTTGGCGCAGTTTCCTCTATCGTAGTGTTTCATAATTAGCTTTCGAGATCTTTAACCACTTTCTCCTTTGCGGCGATGGCCACTGGATTTTCTGTGGATTCTCGGAGGGTAGTGACATACCAATACTAGTCGCCTTTCGGATATTGATGGCTAGATCTGCCTCCGTTCTATGCGGCTGAGGTCAATCAAGGTCCTCTCTTTATCAAGGGGTAAAAGGGGATTCACGGTAGGAACCGGTTTCCACTTACCGACTCATCTTGGACTGGAATCCAATATGAATTGAAGAACCTCAGAATCCCAATTAGCGCAACTTTGAGTATCAGGTCCGTTGTACCAAGGAAGGAGAGGAGAGGATGTTCGTAATTTTGCACGTGGAGTGCAATGACGTTGAGGAAAGCTGGCGCCTGTCGGTCTTGGCGACACCTAAGCCCCATTCCTTACCTAAGGCATAAACTTCAGGTGACCTCGGTCTACTGAGAGGGTGAATGTAAATATTGCACTCAAATATGACAATGGGGTTATATGGATTCTTAGAGCAGTAGATTTCTGACGTTAATGTTTTATTTTGTTTTTTTTTTTTGTTTTTTTATTTTACTTTTTTATTTTATTTTTTTATTTTATTTTTTTATTTTTTTTTTTTTCTATCCTTAAATGTCTTGTTATCCCTCAAGGCTCGGGAGTGAAAAACAGCCATGAGACAGAGTTAAGGGCAGCAACTTCAAGTTGAACTATGCCACAGTCCATGGATAGTACGATAGGAATTATATTTGGCGCCGGCCTTCTTGTGTTGTGAATCACCAACTTGAAGGTTGTCACTTGTCGAAGAGTTGAAGCTGAAAAGTACTAGTAGCCCAAGTTGTAATTTCCAAGGTTCTCTCTATACAGTCGGACCACACAGAAGCCACTATAAACAAAATGATACATGCCTCTCTGACCGCAGATGCATCCAGGGGCCAGGGCTCAACGACGTAAAAGCTCTTGACAACTTTGAAACAGAAAAAAGAAAAAAGGATTGAGGAAATAAAGGTAATATTAACGGACAGAGAGACTGACTGAAATTGTCGTACAGACAGCGCTTCTAGTCCAGGGTCTGGAAGTCTGTCTGTGTCGTCATAACAAATGCAATTGTTTATGCTGACGAATGTTCACGTAATCCAGCAGGTCTATCATTAACCTGGGTTTCTGATATGCAAGAATCATTACAGTCAATCGATTGTACAAATCGATCTTCTTGACAATTCTGCTGATGCCACACTGTAGCTGTCTCAGGTAGAGCGGGGTTGGGCGAAGTTTCGTTGAAGACCAGACAAGGGGAAGGGGAACCTTCTACATCTGGACTGTTGGGTGCAGAGTCCCGAGGTGCTTGAACTACGAGCAGTTCATCCGCATTACCAGTGTGGTTGAGAGAGGGGATTGGTTTCCTGCGAGGTAAGGCTGGAGGCGGTATAGGTCGAGAACCACCACTAGTGCCAAAGCGCTCAAGGGGGGGCAGGCTCAATGGGTTTTCGCCTGGGTATTGTACCCGAGTTCGAGTTTCTCTTCAGGGCATATTTGTCTGGGCGAGGCAAGGGAGCCCCCGGCGGTGGATGCGGATGCCCACGCCCGATGGGTTGATCAGGGCTACCAGCATGAAGTCGGGTCTTTTCTTGATTCGGGCTAATCTCGTTTTTGCTGAAGACACTCCAGCTCCATTTCTTTGCAGCCGTGGTGGCTGATCCGATAGTTATATTACCAGCTTTGTCGTCCAAGCTATTCGTGAGTGACTTGGTCAGAGTCTCCATGGTGCTTCGTCGACGCGGTTTCTCGCTATGAAGTGAGGTAGTAGAACTAGCTTGAGATATTCGCATATCAGAAACTGGGTAGCTATCGGGTTGAGCTGATGAAGGACTTTCGACAGACTGATTGTGAGTGAAGCTCAACCCGTCCAAAGATTCTGCAGTCGAAGATCCCCGACTATGGCTGACACTCTCAGGCATCATAAAACTACCGGCAGGAGGCGAATTCTTCGGGGTGTGTAGCGGGGATGTAGGTGGGGAACAACTTGAGATCTCAATCATAGCGCTGGTTGCACTAACTTTAGTATCATCCCTGATCCCAAATGCCTCCTTGTTGAATCTGGCATTGTCTGCCGTCACTACAGGATCCGCTGCGTGAGAAAATGTCTGTGATCGAATGGAACGAGGCATCGAAGTATTATTGGGCCTCTCTATGTCTGTAGACGTGGCTGTCGTAGAACCGGTGTGCATATCTGATGATAAGGACTTCAGGCTCCTGCGCAATTTCACCTGAGAGGAGCCGGCCTCAGCAAGGACAGGCATACTCAGGGCCCGAATATCTTTAGGTTGCAGTATCTCAACCGAATCAACGGGGCCTTGGTTCGGGATTGACGCGAGTTCAACAGACTCATCTGGTATATGGGCCTCAGGAATGGATTGAGACACCTCTTGTTGCCAGATGCCCCCTCGAAATATCTGGCCCATAGTATCAAAGAAAGGAACATCATCCCAAAAAGGGAGAACGATGCTCTCAGCGACCATCTCACGGATTTTGCTCTCAATTGTTCGTAAAATAGGACTGAATGTGACTTGCTTGGAGCTGACAACAGGCTGGATTTCCATTGACATTCTGGGCATACTTTCAAAGGACATCCAGAATCGGTTGCTCGGTGGCGGCTTGAAGCGAACCAGAAGGTGACCCTCTAACTTCTTGAGGACAACGGCCAGCACAATATCAACCTCCCGGGCCTTAAATCGAGGGCCAAGGTCAATTCGGACAGTGGCTGATATTTCGATACGGAAATTTCCTGAGTATTGGAGGTCTGCCTCGACACAACAATTGCCGTCCGCGGTCAGATCTTTGAGCCGTGGGTTCGTGATGAAAGGAGCCCCTTCGCCCATATCAATTTTCTGTAGCCCAACCTTACTAATGAAATTTGGCTTGTTCACGCGAGAGATTTTCTTCGTGATTTTGCTCCGAATGAATTGCTCCACCTGGGGAGTCCGGTAAAGAGCAAGGAATAATCGTCCAAGAAAAGCATTGATCCATCGAGTCTGCAGCTGTTCCTCTGAGGAGTGGAGACGCTGAACCAGTGTGACGATATGTTTCACATCAAATGTCTGGTATTTAGGAGGACGTTCTGGGGAGTCCCGCATTCTGGACTGGTTCTGAAGCATAGCAAAATAGAAGTCCTCTTTCTCAGATAAGTTCTCAGAGAAAAGGTAGAATGGAGGAGTTGGACCACCTAGGTCTCCAAGGGAATCTAGGCGCCTCGAAAGACAGATAGCATTCCTCTTTATCCACAGTTCACCCTCAGGTATCTCGCCTTCCCCGCCATGTACGGACACATCATGATGAGCTAGTGAGATCACGTACCGCACTTCCACTTGATTTAAATCATCATATAACATCAAGTGGCCATGTCTGATGGTAAGAAGCTGAGTATCAGTATCGTCTGTAGGGAACTCATCCTTACTCAGGGGGTGCCTACCGGAGGACAATATAAAAGACATTCCGAGCCCTTTTGGTATTCTTCCCATTTGATTTTGCCGGTTCAATGCTAGGGGCTTGTTTTCGATCAAATAAACTGCGGTACATAGCTTGGTAGACACTGGGGCTTTCAGCCGCAACAACATCTCCAGTTGGGGTCGTTCTCTCCGGTGGTCTCCCATTCACCCCTCCAGGCACATATTCCCGACAAACTGCAAAGTATCCGGCGGCAACATCTGAGTCGTGTACCCGGTGAAATTCCTCTGCTAGGTGATCTGTCCCAGACTTCAAGTTGAATTCATCATCGGTAGGCCGGCGGAGTACATCGGAAGCCCCTGTAGATGTCTGCTGCAAAGGCAGAACATCTGGAAGGGTCAAATAAGCATAGAGCAGGACCAATGAGATAACCAACGGGACGAAGGTAAGCCCTCCGAGCACGTAGATTATGAGGAAGCTTCCAAGTGAGCCCATGAGGAAACAGGTCGATCAATGCGGATGGGCTAAGATCTCCATAATTTGTGGGGGGAGGTAATGATTTTAAAGAGAGGGAAGACAAGCTGACACAGTTTCAAAAGACCGTTAAATACCAGAAATCAAGACAAATCTGGAATGGTGATGGGGGGACACCTAACACAATGGTTCAAGTTGTAATTGAATGCGGTGAGAAGTGGAGATGTAGCTTCCGGGGCGTTTCAATGACGGAGATGGTCGGTTCCAAGGTTACGAAATCATAGAGTATTGCCCCGCATGATCCCCCTATATAAGAGTTACCCCTGTTACATACTACCTAGGTAGTACTTGGTAGACCTCTACTACAACTAATAGTAACTTGAATGAGAGACACAAATAGCTAATATCTAGGTATCTAAGGAGCATTTAATATTATTTTTCAAACGCTCAAGCTGCTTCAAGTTCTAGAAAGACTTGGATTTGCACAAATAACAAATAACAAATAATCATACATAAACTTGGTACTGCACAAAAGTCTAGGACCAATATATATCTAAAATATCTAGGTATACAGATGCTTTCAAGGTAAATCAGAACCCTTGGAACTTGAGATAGAATAATCGGCAGGGGAAGAAGACCAAAAAAGAAAAGAGAATAAGAAAGAACCAAGTTGACAAATATGTTTACAAAGAATTGGCTGGGAACCTTGGGAAATTTTCCTCATTCATCACTTCAACTCATTTCCGTCTGCGCATTGTCTTGTCGCACATCTCAATCAAGCCAGTCTTAGCCTCACTGTCTGGAAAGTCACTGATGGCCTCAACTGCCTTGTCAGCATATTCTTGAGCTAGAAGACGCGTTTGCTCCACGCCATCACTACGATAGACGATTTCACGAGCCTAAATAGAATGGGTTAGAAATATGCCTTGAAACCCAGTCAACAAAAGAAGAAAGGAGTCACACTCACCCTTTGGACATCACCCTCCTCACGAAACTTGCGGCCAACTAGCGGACCAAGTTCCGGGTTGCTCTTCCATGCAAACAATAATGGGGCAGTGGCTAGGCCCAACTCCAAATCCGCCCCAGCAGCTTTACCTAGCTCGGCCTCAGTGACGGTATAATCCAAAAGATCATCCACCAACTGAAATGCCAGGCCTAGATTGCGACCATATGCATAGGAAGCCTCAATAACTTCAGGTGCACTCCGACCCAGGACAGCAGCGGAGCGACATGATTTACTGATGAGACTGGCTGTCTTCAGATAAGTCTTCTGTAGGTAGTAAGACAAGGTCTCATCGGTGTAAGATGGGCTAGACTCGTCCTGAGCCGTGTTTTTCAGCTGCATGAATTCACCCTCCACCAGGTTGGCGATCACAGTAGCCATCAATTCAGTTACTTCAGGATCACGTAGTCGAGCTAGGGCCACGGATGCACGGCCCAGTAGAAAGTCACCTGCCAGAACGGCCATCTTGTTTCCAAAGGCCAGGTTGGCCGAACTGTTCGCACGGCGGGTCACCGCATTGTCGATGACATCGTCGTGAAGGAGGGAAGCGGTATGAATGAGTTCGGTGATCTCAGCTAGACGGCGCTGTGAGGGGAGAATATTATCGTCGCCTGTGAAGTCGTACTTGGCTTCGGCGCTGCGAGATACGAGGGGATTGATGTCTGGATTGGAATCATCGAGGATCGATGGAGAGCTGAGCGGATTATCAACAGGGCTTGGGCTCGTTGGATTCGTTTGTTTGCGTGGATCCAAGGCTGTTGCTTGAGACATAAGTAGAACAAGCATAGGACGCATGTGCTTGCCCTCACTGCGAGTATAATATTTAGCTACCTTATCCAAGGCAGGATGACCAGATCCCAGCAATTGACGAATATTCTTGCTAAGAAACTTCAATTCCTTGCCGACCATGCGCAATGGGTCGACTGAAATTCCTGGGGGTGCCTTGGGAACACCCTTCAAGATGGCCTGTGCCGCTGAGACTGCGGCACCAAAAGGTGAAACATCCTTCCGGCGAGTCGAATGGAATTTCCGATAGTGAATCAGGCCATTGGATGATATCAGATCCTCACGAAGGCATTGTGAGCACACAGAGGTCAAAGACGGTCGCGTGAGTATCAGCCTGGTGGCCAAGGTGGTGCGAGCTCGCATGCTCAATGCAGGGCTCTGATGGAGTTTCTTCTCTCCCTCTTGCTCGTTCTCTCTCTTTCCCTCTTTTCTTTAAGAGGTTTAAATCATGAGGGTATTGAGGTATTTGAATGATAACAGTGATAGCAAGAGAGATGGGAGTCTGTAGAGAATAGTCTTTGCGGAAAGATTTCGAGCTTTCGGGACGGCACGGACCACCTCATGTCCCCTGTCCACTCCGATGTGTACTGCATGCAAACCGACTAGTATTAAGGAGCAATTGTGAGACAGAAAGAAAGAAAGAAACAGAAGAAAAAAAAGACGTGTTATTTCAAAAAGTCTACCAACAATAAAAACTGAAAAAAAAAAATTGAAATTAAAAGCTGGTTCAGCATGGAGTGGTCAACTCCTCAAAAGTGTACACAATACTGTCTACACAGAAGGAAAAGAGTACTTTGCTAAGATGAGTACAAAATCCTACATGCAAGTAAACAATTCCAGTATAAGGGACCGAAAGGTTTGCGCCAGCCATCTTGGTCCTACACATTTGCCTTGCCCTTAATACACATCCACACCTGGGCAAAAGATAACATAAAAGAAAGGAGGAAAGAATAGGAAAGAAAGGAAACCAAGTGACCTCGCACACAATTAACAGAGCAGTTTGAAGACCCGTAGGGGCCCATGAGAATGATTTGGCGCAGAGAACATGATTTATCAATCACGGAAAAGCACCACAATTAGATAGCATCGAAATCACCACCGGCTTCCTCATCGTCCATATCTCCTTCCTGGATCTCCTTGGCCAGCTCACGCTCTCGCTCTCGTGCCTCTTGGGCACTCTTCAGCTCCAGACGGTGCTGATTCATGGGGAAACGCATAGCCTAAGACGACAAAAGAAAAAGAGGTTAGAATGAATTTCACAATGGCTAAACAGGAATACTTACTTTAACACTCTCATCGTGGAGGGCAAGGCAGGCACGAATGCGATCATGGAAAGCTTCACCTGGTTCCCGAGTGGCATAAATATCACCAACTTCCTTGCTCTTCATGAAACCATGCTCGTGGTCCAGGGATGCCTCGATGACACCATCACGAATGGCCTTGGCTACAATGTATTCGGCAGACTCTTCACTATCAAGACCCAAACGAAGACAGATATCTCGTAGGGAAATACGAGAGTAAGACAAGGACATCATTCGAATGCCGGTCTTGATCACATTTTGTCTCAGGCGAAGGATCAACGTGTACGTACCATCCTTCCGGAAAGTAGAGCTGTGAATATTGACAATATTCAAAAACCCATCCAAATCACCAACACTAACAGCCTGCGTAAGCAAGAAGTATGGGTGCATGGCCTTCTCTAGGGCGGGTTGACGGAAGACCGCTCGGTCAGGAATGTCACCCATAAGTAACTCAACGACCACAAGCAACTTGTGAGAAGCCTGATAAAACCCACGAGCACTGTGACTAGTGGGAGACTTGCGTGTTGCACCAATCAGATGGCTGTGGGCTTCAGTATACTGCAGTTGAATGGCTCGAATACGACCAAGGTAGTATAGATAGCGAGCAATTTGGTTGTTGGAGGCAGCAACTGGAAATCGATTGTGAGAGATCAAAAGATCCGCTTGGGTGATGTGGGAAGTGGACAAGTAGTTGCGCAGGAGCAAGGTCATGACAGTAGCTTGCGTGTCCACGTCTTTCCGAAGAACAGAGGTCCGCAGGGCTGCCAGCAAAGTTTGGCGAATGCTAGTGACAGCAGCTGCTGGGGAAGGCGGGAGCGGAGTCATTTGCTCAAAGAAAAGAGAGTAGTAAAAGTACACCCGAGCGGCAAGAGGATCCAGAGTGCGGCGGTTCAGCGTCCGAAGACGATCAATGAGATTGGTTGAAAACTCAGCGCCCTTCTTAATCTGACGTTGATCAAAGAGATAAATTTGCACCAAGATAGACAGATACACATCCACCTCAGGGAGAATCTCCTTTGCGGCAGCTTTGTTTTTATCCGAGTCGACGTCCATCTCTGAGTTGGCCATGAGGTCCTCAAATGCACCGGCTTGATCAATGGCCCCGAGTAAGAAGGATGCCATCGAGCTACAGGCTGGGTATATATCCGCAATGACCGCGGCGAGGACCTCCGGGGTGATGTATTTCCGCATCGAGGATATGGAACGCAAAACACGTAGAGTAAATCGGGGGTCAAAGTGGGTTACAGCTCGTTCAAGCAAGGTCAGATTGGCATTGATGTCTATCGTCAGGGCGCCGAGTGCAAGTGGCGTCGTTAGTCACAAATCTCCAGGTTTGGTCGGGTGAAGGGAGGGGGGACTTACCTTGAATGGCCTTGGTCGTTGGGTTGACCTCGGGCTCAGGCTGCTCAATATCACTGTCCTCCGCACCTTCCATCATGATATCCTCATTCTTGTCTTGGCCCTTGATGGATGATCTGGAACCCTTGGTTGGAGGCACTACAACAGTCATCTTCTCGTCACCATTCCGATCCTTACGGGTGTTGAAGGAGGATTTAGGCGCACCTGCCGTATCCTCTCCCATCTCAACATCCTCAGAGCCATTCATGCCATTTTCACTTGTCTTAGATCCGTTGGTGTGCGACTGATCATTCTCCTCCATGTCGTTGTTTGTAGCCTTAGTGGTAGTACCTTTCTTGGCCGGGACTGCTTTGGCCTTGTTGGCGGCCGTACGAGTTGTGGGGGCAGGTTTTTCCTTAGCGCTCGAGTTCTGGGACTCCGAACGTGCTTTTTCACCGTTAGCAGATGACGAAGCGTCGGATTTGTTGTTTGATCGAAGAGAACGCCTTTCGGCCGGCATCTTTCCCAAGCTGTCTAGCTCAGCTCAACTATGAGTCAAGAGAGAGGATGATGAGTATCAAGGAATTTGATAAGAAAATCAAACGTTAACAAAGGAGGATCGACTGGTTGAAGCGAGTCAAGGGAATGATAGGGAGGAAGACGTGGATTGATGAGGTGGATGGGGGTTGTGATGTCAAGAAGGACGGGCGCGAGACCATATTGCTTAGTCATGGAAAGAGCTTCCACCGTGGAACTCCAGGGCTGTGGGCACCTGGACACCTAGACACATTTACCCAGCTTAACTAGTTAGCTAAAGTCATGGATCCAGAGGTTAGCTGAATTATCTCAAAGTCAATAGCTATGTACGTCAACTGACTTTTTTCTCCTAATTTTGAATCTATTTAAGTGGATTTATCCATAGATTCTTTACTAAATGGATATTGCTGCCTGAGGTGTCTAATCATAGTTAACTAAGTTACCTATTTGGTACTCTAACCTTTGAAGTCACGGCTGCTTACGCTTACGTGCATGTTCTTTCTCCTACACACCTGAAGAGCATACCCTCTCCCTTCCTCCCTCTGTATCTCTCACTCCCTGGAGACTCTCAAGCTCAGGACCAACAGAACAATGACACTATTAAACTCTCACCTCGAGCAGATTGCCCTCTCTTCAAGTGCAATTGCAGAATTACCGTCTCAACTCCCACTCCCTACATGCGCATCACCTTAAAACTAATTCCACTATCTAGATTCCCGTCACCACGCATATTCACCAACGCGCTATTAGGATCACACGACATTACTGCTCTTATTCGTGATACGGAAGTCCATGAAAGAGCCCTTTTTCAAATGGATCCTGCTGCTAAGGTCCATGGATCCCGACGTCCCACCCGGCGTGGAACAACCTTTCCAGTTGATTCTGAGAACGATACCATGGCCAGTCGAATCTACTCCGTGCGCAACAATCGCAGTCAGTCAGCGGTGGCTCGCGTGTTGGGATCGGACATGATGGAAGAGATCAAACGTTCTGCAGGCCTGTCCAGTCGAGGTTCAGAGGGAGGAGTCAATATTGAAGTGCTACTGCGAGGTGCAGAACTGTTATGCAATGTCTAGTAAGTGTAACTCTCGCTTCATATGGATCATAGTGGATGAGCATTTTTTTAATTCAATATCCAGTCCTGTCGCGGGCGCACACGAAAGAATCACCGGTTTACGATATCGTCACAAGATGGTTGTTGATTCCATTGCTGGACTGGAGGATCGGGTTGCTACAAATACTGCGGAGCTAGAACAAATGCGCTCTGCGTATGACGAAGAGGGTTCCATTTATTCAGAAACTATGTCAAAACCATGGACTCCTGCCGAAGTCACTGATGAAGACATAGAGAGAGAAATGGCCGAAATAAGAGACTTGGAGCGAAGAAGGCGGATATTGGAAGAGAGGGTCACTGGCATAGAGCAAGACCTTGGTGAGCTCATGGGCTGAAACCAAATGATATAATGATACCAACCTTGGAAATCTTCCAGCATGAATGATACGATTAAATTGACTGCGGCTCTGCCCGCTTTCCAGCTCCTCCATATGTAAACCTAAACGATTGATGCCTCGACGTTGGGGGATTAATCTTAGAAAGGCGCAAGCCGTTCATCTGATCAGACATTCGCATGATTTGTTGTATTTTGTATGATAATCCGTAGCTAAGTATATACTAGTACCCTTGAACCTAATGGATGTGATCATGATGTATTCAAATGTTCAAATACCGACTCGGATTATGATGTACCTAGGTATCCATGTGTGCAGGTAACTATGTACCTGCTATTGATGTAGCCTGGCCCCACTAGTATATAGTATGGGGTATCGATTCCAAGGTTATAAACTCAAAGGGTATTGATATTCAAAAATCTCAAGGGGAGAAACTTGAAATACTTTATGAAGTATAATTGAGGATATAAAAGTTGGGATCTTCAAGTTGAGAGTGTATCTAGATATAGCACTGAGTCGGTACCTACTATGCACATCCATGGATAGGAGTGACATTGGAGTGTCAAGACTCACCGCCAACTTTCCGCTCCTCGAACATCGAAAGCCTCATCTTCCATCCAAACCCTCAAAGCTGACTCAAGCCCCAGATTATTATCATTCATTGGCATCCAATCTCCAGATCCTTCCAGTCTCATTGTGGGAATTGAAATTCGATGTCCTACCTATACAGTCTTTCGTTCCCCGCCCTAGTTTGAATTCCAGTACTACGACCAGCCCCTACCCTCAGGTGAATTCCTCGGTCCCTTGAGCAATCACTGTTTACCGGGATGGACGGGTCGCAAAGCCAGGCGGGTCAGCCTATCTCCCAGCCGGCTGCACAGCAGCACTCAAATCTCATTCGGACCGATCAAGTGCAAAAGTTGCCCCATTTAAACGAGGCGCAAAAAGCTCAACACACGCAGCTCGTTCGCAGCTTCTGGGAGCAACTAAACACTCGTGACCCCCAAAGCCAGGAGTATCAACATGCCCAACTCAAACTCTCCCAGTTGTCCCAGAATTTGATGAAAGGTATGCGTTTGTTTCAACAAAACCGTCAACAGGCGATTCAGCAACAGCAGGTTCAGGCCGCCGCCGTACAGCAGGGCCAACCAGTTCAACGGACGCAGTCCAACAACCCTCAGAACCTCAGCCAGCTCCTGCCACAAATCCAGGCCAAGGTTAACTCGCTTAATTTTTATCTCCCACCGAACGTCACCCAGGAACAAGTACAGACGTGGATCCCCGAAGCCCGGTTGCGATACGGTATCGCGCTTCAGAAACAGGAAGTTGGGCGTGCACGGTTGGCTGATTTGCGCCAGCAATATTCTCAGCGTCAAGCGCAAGCCAATATGTCGCAAGAAGAAGTACAGGAATTCAAGAATCGGCAGTTGGCAGCGGAAAAGTTGTTCCGCGAGGGTAGCGATTTTCTCAACAAATTCAAGGAGCAGCAGGAAAGTTTCAAACTGCAATCACAGGGGCAGAATCCTCAGATGAGTCAACCAGGACAGGGAACAGCTACGCCTGTGAGCCAACCCGCGCCTGCCGCGCCTGTGTCGACTCAGGCGGCATCTAACACCCAGGCGGTTAATGCCACTCCCTCCTCGGGCATACCTGGACAGGCACCCACTCCAGCTCCGCACACCATCAACTCTGCTGTGAATGCGGCCCGCAACCAAGCAGGACAGACTGCCATGTCTCCTTCAACATCTCAGCCTGGACAGGCACCTCCATCGGCGAGCGGTACTCCGGTTCCATCAAATGCGCCTCCTCCAACTCAACGACCTCAACCTCAACCTCAACCTCCATCGCAGCAAGGAACTCCTGGAACTCAAGTCACCTTCACTCAGGCTCCTCCTGACGGAACCACTTCTACACCAGCAAGCTCACAGCCGATTAATCAAGGTCCACCCCGTCCTCTATCTCATCAAGCGGCGATGCAGCAAGCAGCTCAGAGCTACAACACAAATCAAAATCAGCAGCCACAACAACCAAGTATCACCCAAGCTGCAAACAATCAACAAAGTCATCCTCAAGGCTACCTTGCAAATCGGTCCGCTGATTCTTCTTCTCGTAACATTAACATGCACATCCCTAAAAACCTTAGCGTCTCTACACCTGAACCAGTCACCATGTCTTCGGCACGTCCCTCTCTGACTGGAGGCCCTAACCATGCCCCTGGCATGATCAGTCAACCTGCTATTCAGAAACACCCTGGCTATGTTCTCGAGGGTGAAGGTCAGCATGTGCTCAGCAAGAAGATGCTGGACATCCTAGTTCGTCAGGTCACTGGTGGTGGTGAAGGAGAGATGTTGACACCCGATGCTGAAGAGGTAATTTTCCATTCCGCGTTTTGTAAATGGTCAAAAAAAAGAAAACTAAACATTTCACCCTCTAGTTCGTTCTCCAGATGGCAGATGACTTCGTCGACGACGTAATCACCCAGGCCTGTCGGCTTGCCAAGCTGCGCCCCTCTTCAACACTCGAAATCCGCGACATCCAGCTTGTACTGGAACGAAACTACAACATGCGCATCTCCGGTTTCTCCTCTGATGACCTTCGCACCGTCAAGAAGCCTCAACCCACCCAGGGTTGGCTACAAAAGATGACAGCCATCCAGGCCGCCAAAGTCACACAGGGCAGGTCTGAGTAGAGCGAATTACCGGTAATATATGCCGTGCATTCGAACTATTTCACTTGATCTACTATGACGATGATGATGCCTCCTCCCTTTCCCCTGCTTCCTGCGGCCTTTTATCTTTCACGATCGAGGCCCATACCCCTTCTCTCTTATGAGCTTTTAACAAGCTATTCAAGCCACTCAAGTATGGAATTATGCTCTTTTTCTTCATTTTCATCTATGTCATAGGGTAGCTGCTACAGTGAATGGCGATCCATGTCATTTTATTAATCGACTTATTCTTCAGAGCTCCGAAGCAGCATTCTTAGTCGTCATTCAAAGATTGAAGAAAGAAGACTTGAAGTGAGATTGATGGATCCATCCTCATTCCCATTTGACATGTAATCTGTAATTCCACTCCTGTCCAGCCAAGCACTGAGTGTCTATAGTGTAAGGTTAATTGATGGAGGGGCCAGATATGTGGGTGGAAATTGAGTCTCTACTTGTAACCTTGAAAAGAAAACCGTGACTCCAAGAGTTCAGTCTTCAAGGTCCACTGCCTTGGTCCACATTAATCCGGATGTAGTCAATCTAATGGTGCCCAGGTAGTGGATTTCACTCATGATGTATGATTTATTATGAATTTGAACATGGTCAACCAAAGAGGAGCTTTTTAGAGGGATTTTTTTTTCTTTTGGGGGGAGGAAGAAGGAAGAAAAAGGAGATTCTCGTTAGACAGAAGCAGGATGTGAATAAGAAAAAAAAGAAAGAGGGAGCATTCGTCTGGATTTCGAAAACACATAATACTCCAAGGCTCACTAAGTAGTCACGATAATTCCAAGTGGTATAGTGATTGGTACAGGGTATGAGGGTATGAATTTCAACACAGGGAAAAGGCAGATAAAAAAGAAAGAGAAGAAAAGGAAATTAATTGGTATGTAGAGCGAGGAAAGAGAGACAGCCAGGAAAATGAATATTTAGACTTGAGCCAAGGGAATGAAGACTGCCAGTGAGATGCATGAATACCCAATTCAGGGGGTGTTTTCCAGAATGATTCTTGTGACAATCGATTCCGGAGAGTGTGATCAAGAACTAGGTTCTTGTTTCACAGGGCGAGCTGAAGAGCTGAAAAGCTGAAGAGAGAAAATTTTGTGGGAAATGAGACGAGCATATGTGTGATAAGAGAGACCGAGCGCCGTAGTTATGGGGAAAAGGGCAAAAGGGCAAAAATATTTGGCGTCCATGCTCACAAGCCGTGTTCAAATACAAAGAACGTGATAGGTGGGTCGTTCAGCTCCAGCGCAAAGGGAGTATTGTCTGGGGTAAAAAAGAAAACAAAACAAAAAAGCAGGTTGTTGAGACTGCAAAGCAAGTACACGAAGATTGTGATAATGTCAGAGAATGAGGAAGTCGATACAGTGGCATTATCTCAGCACTGGGGAGATGACGAGGGAGCATTGAATGGGTTAGTAGAATTGACAAGCATGCTTGACAACTGAGGCTGAAATATACACATGTCACTCATGAGCGTCAATAGTCTCTGAGAGACTATGGCAGGGGGTCGAAACTGAAACTGAAAAAGAAAAAAAGAAAAATAGGGAGAGTGCTCGCCACATCATGCCAGGTGTGAAAGGTGGGTAGAAGCCAATGGTCTATCAAGCAATAAAAGCGATGTCTCGCTGATTAGAGAGAATAATTGGGGTGGAGGGTTACCGAAACTTCACTGACAGGTTTCAGATACCCAAACGATACGGAACTACCCTAGCATTGAGCGAACCGTTGGAATTTCTCTCCAATCGGGTTGCTTTCCTTTGCTAGGGGGGCTGGGGAGGTTCATCAAGTGGAGCTGGGGGTAGGTCCTTATCGATGCCAGTACCAGGACGACCATGCCGGCTATGTGAACTGTGGCCGCCTATACTACTTGCCTCGCCAGCTTCGTCCACAATGGGAAGGGTTGAAGTTGGTCCAGGTCCAGCAGCATCCGCAGGGTCCCACACAGTAGCCAAGGTTCGAGGGTGTGTGACCGACACATCTTTGGCTGCCTCTTTCTCGGCCACCTGCATAGTTCGCTCCACAGATGACGATCGTGATTGTCGCTTCTCTCCTGATTGCCGGTCGGAAGCTCGAGACTGTCGTCGGCGGTCAGCCTCTTCTTTAGACATGGTAATCCCTTTTACAAAATTGATAAACCGCTCTCCGTACCCCTCCGGAGGGATGGGGGAAATTTGAGATCTGTCATTGGAAAGACCTTTGAAGAAATTCTCAAGTTTCTTGACCGTTCCGTACTGTCGGGGAAAAAAGAAGTTTAGTTGATAGGGTCATATACCTAGGTAACGTTCAATGGGTCTTTCACTTACATGGGTCAGACAGTCAATAATCCCCAGATAATAGATTTCTTCGCCCGGCTGGCCATTTTCATGGGTTGCGCGGAAGCCTCCATCATCTGCGTAGAAAACATGATACTTGCGCTCGTCGAGTATTTCTTCCGGCATCTTCGCAGCTGCCTTATCCAAGGGCACAGGTCGCTCGCGCTTTATTAACATGCGGAGTTCTCGGGCTTTACGCTCATTCTCAAGTTTGGAGGGGGTTCGCATCAGCATGTTAGGGCTTGCCTCCTCTTCACGATCACCCCCAGGCTGAAAGACCTGAAGGGTCTTGTCGCGCAATTTCTCTTCGTTGCCTCGTTCCACGTCGTGAATGCCCACTAGAAGTGAGTAGTCCATTATTTTGAGCCTTTTCAGTAACTCGACGTCGCGCTTCAGCTGCTCAACGAAGAAATCACGTTTTGCAGGTCCGCATTGGAGATATCGATTCCTTCGAACCCAGTTTAGATCTTTCATCGTTGCACGTGGGTTTCGTTCAAGATCTGACTCTTGCAAATCTCGACCAATGGTTGAGCCCTTCAAATCGAATGTTTGGTGGATATCTCGGTGGGTGGGAACAAATTGTTCATCACAACAAAGTGAATCTTGCGGCCATATGCCATCTTGACTCGGTGCAAGCCGTAGAATTGCGAGATCAATGTATTGGGGTTTTTCTCCACGTGTCGATAGTATTCTGGCAATATTTTCCGGAGAAGCTTATGCTCGGCGTGATGGATGGTTTTGATAATGTACTTGTAGTCGCGGGAGAAGTAGAAGAAACTGCCACTCTTGCCAGGTGAACCCAGCTCAGACAGAATATATTTGCTGGTGAGGGACATGAGATAATCGGCAGGGTCAAGGCGAAACTTGGCTCGGAGGTGCCGGAAAACCCAGGGGGCATAGTCCTTGAATTTGAAGTCGTATTTGGCTGAAGGGATCAACTCATTCCCGGTACTGATGTGGTCAGTGACACTCAAAAAAGTATTTGAAGACATTTTTTATCAGGATAACGGCCAGCACCTACATATCAAAAGAGAATTTATGCTTGGCTCCAAAGTCGGCTGGAGTTAATTCCCGATCCATCTTTGCGTTGATGCGAGATACCGTGAAACGAATTCCCGTCAACATGTTGTACGCCGTGACATAATTAACATGATTCTGGTCAACTTTGGTGCCCACAATTACGCGTTCATCATCATCATCTTCGCGCCGCCGTCGTGATGCTCTTTTTTGCTTAATCGCCTCTGCCCATCGGGCCGCATCCTCATCAGGCAGTGTCTCATCCAGGGGAGGATCCGACTGGGTTTTTGTTGCCCGACGAATTAGGCCGAGCGACGTGCGTCGATGTCCGCCAACAGTTGGGGATAATCGACCGCTGCTGGAAGCAACCTCCTCGTTCTGGTCTCGGCTATTCCGACGGGTGCTGAGGGCCCGCGGAACCTGTAGGGAATGCCGATGTCGTATAGTAGACTGTTGGGAGTCTTGTATGGGAGTTGTGTCAATGTTAGAAGGTACGGGAGGGGAGGAGTAACGGTGATGACTGGACTTCGGTCCTGGGCTCAACCGATCTAGGTCGGGAGAGTGCCGACCCGTGTCTTCGCCATTTGGGATCTGTAACAAGGAATTGGAAGGACTAGTCGGCCTGTCGGAAATAAAGGGTTCATCGGCAGAGGGACGGTGAAGATCACTATTGATCATTGGCTTTCCCGGCGCTGATTGCCGGTGGCTTTGGATTGTTAGGCCATTAGCCAGCTGACTTGAGATGGAGGGTGCTGTCGTGGAGCCTGCTCCGGGTCCAGCATCTGATGACTTCCCATCCAACAAGACCGACTGCCGACCGCCATCTCGAGGATCTTTGGCGGAACCATTTCCTAAAGAGTGTATGCTGTCATCCTTGGAGTAGGACATCTCGCGCGTGTAAGAGCTGATACTTGATCGGCCATTCAGCGAGTACACACTCCCGTTTTTCAGGTTTGTAGACAATTGGCGATCATTCTGGTGGGCGTCGTGGTGGGCGTCGAGGTGGGCGTCGCCGCTTGGTGGGTTGGGCCAGTTGGTCCACAAGAAAGTGTTGCCGACAGAGGATTTGTCGTGCGACTTGCGAGGCGACTCGAATGAACGAGGATAGGTAGCTGTCGCTGTTGCTGTCGGGTAGGCGTCATGTGAGAACGATGGCATGGTCAGTCTCGGTCGTTTCCCCCCCTTTCCTCTTTTCCCTCGGTTTTTTGGGGCCTTGATCTTCTAAAGGGGACGGAGTGACGTGAGGTCTGCGTGAACGGGCAAGCCAAGGTAATGGCAATGACCCTGACTGGGAAGCGAGTAGAAAAATGAGACTCGGACCGAGTTCCAGGCGGTGGGAACAGGAAGGAGAGATGGGGGTGTTGGAAGGGTCCACGGATGGTTTGGAGAGAAAGCTGGAGACGATGGAGTCTGGTAACTGCTGGGCTGTTCTTCCCTTTTCCTTCTCTTTATCTTCTCCTGTTGGTATTCTGGTTTATTTTGATATAATGCGTAACCAGGAAGAATGAGAGATTACAGATCAGAAAGATTGAAGAAAGAAGACTCAAGGGACCAAGATGTGTAATGGGATATCCAGTAAGGAGAAGAGAGTACGGGGGGATGGAGAAGTTGTGCACATTGAGGCCGTGTTTGAGGTGTCCAGGTGTCAATGTATGGTAATGTAATAATACGCGTGTAATACCACTATTAGACCGAAAGTTGGGAGGAATTGAAGAGAATTTGGGCTATATTTGTTTATTTAGGTTTATATCTAGATATATTAATTACTTCTACTATAACCCTGAGTCCTGGAGGTTTCATATAGTATTCTTAAACAGTTGGAACATAATTTTCTACATAGTTCGTACAGAAGATTATGTCCAGAGGGGTTGAATGGTGCCCAGGTGGTTTTCAAGCAAAATGACGTCGCGGGTGATGAATACCCGTGGACATTATACTCCTCTAGGGCTCCAGGGCAACCTCCAGGGCTAGATATCATCGAACATATTGAGGATACCATGGACTTGAAAATCGCCTATATATTCAAAGTCTAAATTTTAGATTAATATCTAGGTAGATCAACCTTGATATAGAATTTTAATGTGAATAAATTCCATATTTTTGTGTTGAGACTTCATTCCTCTGATTGTATCTGTTGACCCTAAATGATCTGAATGTTTGAATGGCTGTGGGGGCGGACTCCAAGGTTATCGCTGAGTTCCTGACCCAAACCCCCATCCAATGTTCGAATGTTAGGACTTCAAATGTTTATGTAGTAATTCCACATGTGCCTGAGGTCACAACAGCACACGACTTCCTGATTGCCCACCTCCAGGGCTCCAGGGCTCCAGGGCTCCAGGGCTGTATACATAGATACTACCTATGTAGATAGCGATCTGATGTAAACCTCCATCATGATGGGCCAATTCGAACCAGGTTTAACCAGCCTGAGCCCGCATGATACCATAAATAAACCCGCTCCACTATTATCATTGACTCGGAACCCATACTCCGTTTTCCAGGGGCTATGTACAAGTAGGTACATATACGTGCATGTGTGTGGACCGATGCCCAACATACTGTATATCTACCAACCGATTCCTCGGGGCTTAACTATGGGAAGTTGGTGGCAAATGCCCTACAGACCTCTGCGAGAAAAATTATTGGATCGAAGAAATTTCAAATTCACGATTGTCTCTAGAAGAGATCCGACAAAGTCAAACAAGTGAACAAACCAATTCCCCCATTGAGAACCCACCACAGGACGCCATCCTTTCAATGTGGAAGCAGAAGAAAAAAAAGAAAAAGAAAAAGAAAAAACCAAGACGAAGAGAGCCATCATAACAAAGATATCCCAGAATCAATCACAAAAGGAACCCCTGCGAACCGCCAGATCAACGGGTCGAGGGAAACAAATTACATCGGAAGAGAAACAAAAGAAAGAGAACCTGATAAGCCTCCCGAGAAAAGCGCACGTGAAATTGGGAGTTGAATCAGGTCAAACAGAAACCAACAATGAGGTTCTATTTCTTGGTGGCTCGCTTCTTGGCAGCGGCCTTGACTGGTGGCGGCGCAGTGGTCTTGGTGACCCGACCAGACTTGGTCTTGCTTAGAACCTTTGGTTGTTCAACAATAGCAGGGGCCTGGAAGTAGGTGGTCAGTATAATGATATACATGTCGATAAACAAAAGATTTGTTAGAAAGAAGAATACATACGGCAGCAGGAGCCTTGGTCTTGCGAGCCTTGCCCGAGTTGGCCTTGGGCTTGACAGCAGCCTTCTTTGTGACAGGCTTCTTGACAGTGGCCTTAGTAGCAGTCTTAGTGACCTTCTTAGGAGCCGCCTTCTTGGTGGTGATAGCCTTGGTAGTGGTTTTCTATGAGAAACTGTAAGCAAGGGCGACGAGATTGCCGATCCAGCTTCAATAACTGACCTTGACAGTGGCCTTGGTAGCTGCCTTAGCGGCAGGCTTAGCGGCGGGCTTAGTTGCAGGCTTGACCTCTTTCTTCGCCAGCTTCAAAGGTCCCGATGGTCCTGGTACGCGACGCGTCAGTCTCCTATAACATGAGCCAAGTACAGCGGAACAAGTGAGCCAATGCCTCCCCAGGCGCAACTTATGACTCTTGACAATAATTTATTGATAAACATGAAGAACAAAATGAAACTTGATGTTGCAGGACTGCGTTTGACCGCGGAGAACGTTTCGACTTACCCTTGGGCTGGGTGAACTCGCCCTTCTCAACGCCAGATTTGATGGCCTTGTTGAATTGGGCATCGAAGGCACTCTGGGACGCGAAGGTGATCTGATTGTTGGCAATCACATACTTCTTCAGGGCTTGACGACTGTAGTTGGTCAGTATTTGGTTGACAGGACATAGAGGGGAAAACACGACGCGACCAGAATGGGGCCGCGCCGATGAGAAAACATCAACACATACCTGGAACCGTTGCGCTCTTTCAACTATATACAGAACAGGTCAGTCCCCATCAAAGAAAGAAAAAGAATAGAAAAAGAACAAGAACAAGCGACCAAATGTCCTCCATCTTGGAAAGTCGTGGTTGATCCTGCCCAATGAGGCGTGTCACGGTCGGGCGCGCGACCCGCCATCACAACATGGGGTTATGGAATTCAATGATCTACTTACGTTCACAACAGCATCCTTGATCATATCTATATCACATAAATCAGAATTGAAACGCGACTCAGAAGATACCCATCATGTATTTACGCGATGGGGTGGTGATGGAAGATCAGACAAAACATACCACGGTAGGATGCATGAGCACCAGGTGCAACCTTCTTGGTAGCGCCAGTAGCTTTCTTAGGAGGCATGATGAAATAAGATGAGAAGAGTTTGAACCTTGGAAGAACTCAAGTAGCTTGAAAAGAGTAGATAATGAAAACAAGGAGGGAAATTGGGGGAGAGGAGAAGAATCAAGAGGGAAAAAGAAGCAGTAGGGGAATGGGGGAAGGGTCGGCGGGGCATCCGTGATTTATAGGCGGCCAGTGTTGACACCAGATCACCGGCTAGGATATTGGCTCACTTACTCTCTCCCCCATATGAGCTTTTTTTTTTTTTTTTTTTTTGTCGTGATTTTTCTGGGGGACTTTTTTTTCTTCCCCTATATGTATTTTTATTTTGATCCTTGATTTGATATGATTTTGATTTCCCCCATATACATATATCTATTATCATATATCTTTGGATTTTGATTTTATTACTAGTACTTTGACACTGGTTTACTGTGATCTGGAATCTTGCTCACATGTACATCAATTGTCATGGGAAATTTTAAATTTTATGAATATATATATTTCTTTCCATCACCGTTTTTTGGTCCCTCAAATCTATCAGTCTCGGAGTTCACGCGTATTAAATGGGGGAAATTGTTGACTACATTCCCCCAGATGGCGGAGGGTCCATCCATTCCAAGGTTCCCGAGCATTCGATCTCATGTATTTTGCAATCCCTTAATGTGGTGGATTTTTAGGAACAGATTGGAAAATCAGCATGGATCAAAAGAAACAGAATGGAGAATGAAAGCTATGTGGGGTCTGGATATCAAGAATATCATAGTTTTGGCTCATGGGAGAGCTCCTGAGGGTGCCTTTATGAAGCATTCCAATGAGATCGGGTCCTCTAAGGGCTGCACATGTGAGTACTGCTAGGTCCAATCATATTAGACATGGATTTTGATCTTCACTTACTTGTGTGGCCATGCGCGTCCAAGGAAACCTAAAACGCAGAACTACTAGTACCAGTAGCAGAGGGTTTCTCAGACTGCAAACGGCATGGAAACAGACACTGGCATCTCCAGGGCTGGACGATTTCGTGCCAGTGGGCAGTCCTGCAAAATTACTACTAGTAGTTTACATACTATGTACCTAGGTATACGCTGCACATGTGCCCACATGCAGGTGCCAGTGGTAGGAAAAGTTCAAATGTTACATTCAACTTGAAGTTATTTTGTAGGTACTATTAGTAGTAGATGCAACTTGAACAGTACAACCTTGGAATGATGGAATCCTCCAGGGCTGATAGCACTTGAGTGTACGGACTCGGGGTAGTGGCTGTATATATATGGTCAGGTGATAACCAAAGTGATAACCACCTCCAGGGCTGGGCATGAACTGATACATCCACCTGCCAGTGGGCAGATCGTGATGTCCATACTACGATGTACATATGTAGTATGATGATACTTATGTAGAAGGTATATATTATGTATACTTCGAGTTCTCCATACACATGTGCACCAGTATGCAGCTCTTCCGAGTCCATCTAAGTTTCTTCTCTTTACGTACGACGGCACTGAGTGCGGAGTCCGAGTCACGAGATATGTATGCAGCTAACCTTGGAAGTCTGGGTCTACTGCGGCGTTGTCCCATGGTACTCCCTGGACATTCGATGATGTCTTGACTTCAATTTTTAGTTGTTGGTTTTGACAAATGTTTCAACTAGTCTCAAAACTTTGGAAATGCTAAACATTTGAACAGTGTTCAAGTCTCATATGTAACTCCCGAGGTCTGCAAGTTGAATCTTGGAAACCTTGGAACCCTAACCTCTTTCGAGTTTCCAGATTACTAATCAACTTAAAGATAGTGCTACCGCTTTCAATATTGGAAATCTTTTTGTTTTTTTCTGCCATCTCTCTTCGCTATGGAACTTGGGAACATTTTTATCAATAAATTATCGGAGGAAATTCACCGTGTAAGACGTGAAATCTGAACCTTGGAAAGTTCCAGATAATTTAATAACCTCTGAAGTATCTAAGATCAATTGCTAAAAGTTAAAACTAACCAGTACACTGAATACATATATACCTACCTAGGTACTGTCACTGGCAGTATCAAAATCGAGGCCATTAGGTATAACCAAAACATATCATTAAACATGGAGGGTCTTGATCCTACCCCCCCCTGAAACTTGATTGATCATCAAATTAAAGAAAAATAATCATCAATCTAGGCACAGTATTGCTGAGCTCTTCATTCGATCTTCCGAATCACTCTGGATCGAGATCAAGAGCAGCTAATTATTTTTCGCAGGCGTGATTCCCCTCAGGTACTCGCTTATCCCGCCTCGATCTACCCATAGTTACTATGTACCTAGGAACTGGTCTCTTTCCGAAGAGTTCCACCCACCAGGATCTCTCCTCTACCTCTCTCTCTCTCTCCCTCTCTCTCTGTCAAAAAATAATAATATTGATCGAACTATTCAACTCCAGCAAAAACAATGACATTTGAGATATTTCAAACTTATCCATCATATGTGCAAGTGAGGATCAACGAAAAGCCAGAAATGTATCAGAGCCTGTTTCTTCGATCCCCCCCCCCTGATCACCGACTCATTAAAGCCATGTAAACATCAGATTGGGTATGAATGCCATAAAACCTCACTCAGACACGAGAATCTTGAAAGTTTCTTGATTTTTGAGGGTAAATAAGTAGATAAGACCCACGAGACTGCAGAGGTGACCAAGTGGAAGGTGTCACTCATTCACATATCAATAAGAGCTAGAAGAAAAAGTAAAATACATGGAAAGAAAATAAAGAGCATGGAATGCTAGCATCAAAATCATAATAGGACCAAGAAAGACCCAAGAAGGAGAAAAAAAAAAGACGAGGAACCAAAACTAACAGCGACAAACTCATTTGAAATTTTAGCGCCTCGGGAACCTAGCCTGCACCCCGCGGCTTGGCCTTCGCGTCTTTCTTTGCCTTGGCTTCATCCTTCTTGCGCTTCTTCTGCTCTTGAATTTTTTCATCGTTTTTTCGCTTGAGATTGGCTTTCTCCTCATCGGTACGCGCTTTCGGCTTGAAAAAGCCCTCCAGTCGAGATTGTTGGGCAACTTTGAGGTTTTTTGTTAACCGGGCAGCACCATTTCGTACGCGATCCTCGTTGAATCCCTTGTCAGTAACCAAGAATTCAACTAATCCGTCCACGTTCGGCGCTTCCCACTTGAAATCGCAGGCGGGATCGTTTGCGTCGCGAACATCTGGCGCGATAAATAGATCCCGCGCATCTTGATAGGGCCAATCTTCTGGGACCACATACTTCTTCTTGGGGTCCTTTTCCATAAACTCGAGCACTTTCTCCAATGTGCCATGTTCGCGTATCAAGGCAAGGGCGGTCTGAGGTCCAACTTTAGGTATGGGTTCTAAGTAGTCACAGCCCAAAAGAATGCAAAGATCAATGAACTATATGATAAAGTAAGCCTCGGCGATTACTCATATGCGGGATCTAAGACACATACCTGATTGCGATCCATGTTAAGCCCTTCCAGGGCTCGACTCAGGTGAATCTCTTGAATTGGTTCCTTCCGCTGCTCACTGAATGTTAAATGCCTCAAAAGAATGGGAGACTCAAAACATAATGTATCCATATCTTCGGAGGCAGCCGCATAGACCTTTCCTGCACGCGCTAGAATAGCACACTGAGCCTCGGCTTCGGTGGGTGCATCGATGTACGGAATTCCCATCAACTTCAATAATTCTTTGCACTCAGCATTGTGCTCGCGAGTGACTCTCACGGTGCGGCGCGAAAATTTCTCGATATCTTCCGCAGTGCCGGTTTCTTTGGCTTCCTCATGGGCCTCGTGGGCCTCTGCCTTACGTGCGCCACGCTTTGCTAGCTCACCAGACTTCAATTTTGGAGGGGCACCGTCAAAGACGTACAAAGGCTTGATACCATTGTCAACCATTCGAAGGGTCCGATAAAACATGCCCATCAAGTGGGATGTTGTTTCGCCAGTATCGCTCATTAATTGCTGACCTTCCGAGCGCACAGCTATGAGGAAGCTGTAGATACTCATGGACCTGGAGGAGCGTCAGTGGTGGAGAATGTATGGGGGTTTGAAATCGATTAGAGAAACGGACGCATCCTTAAGTGATGAAAGTAGTCAGTTATCGATGAGCAGGTCTTTAAAGGGAGGAGATTGTGAAAGATCAAACGTACAATTGCAACCTTGCGGCCGAAATGGTTTTTAATTTCGCCAGTCTTAACAGCATCGGGCGCATTTTCCGAGATAACTTGATAAAGATCTATCATGGATTAAGTTGGCAAGGCTTGCCCAGAATAAGAGATCTTCACTTGATAGACTCACGTTTAATACCCATTTTGAACGTATGGCCAAGGTCCAAGAATATGGAAGAAGAAGAAGTTAGGGAGGAAAAAAGTGAGAGAAGAGTCTAGTTTATTGTCATGTGGACGTTCTCATTAGAATGAGAGAGACTGTTCACAACCACTTGAATAGAGACAGACAGAGAGAGAGAGAGAGAGAGAGAGAGAGATGAGAGCTCAAGGGCAGACGCGTTCATTGGTAACGCGCCACGCGCCCGCAGCCTCATAATTAAACCAAATATGGACTAGCGTAAAGCTCGGACTAATCACGTGATTATTTATTTAGTCGTAGCGGTCATGTGATAGCATTTACCAATCACGTCACATGACCCCGGGATATGTAGTCCATGTTCTCCACAGTGATTGCCTCAGGCTAGTGCTTAATCGATCAAGACTCCCGACCTCGGGACCCCGCTCTCTCCCTCTCGGAGGAGTGTATGTGGAGAGGTTGAGGCGACATCCCACCATGAAGCGAAATCGTATCCAATTCGAGATTAGCGGCGATGCATCCTCCACATCTCCGCAAGGTGACTTCATCCCAGAAGATCTGCCACAGCAGGCCCAGCATGTCCCAAAGATCTCACGGAGGATACGCGCGTGTACCGAATGCAAGCGGCACAAGGTTCGCTGCGACATGAAGGCAGGTGAGTCGATATGTTCGCGCTGTCAACGCATGGACCTAGAGTGTATTGTCAACAAAAGTCTGCAGACGTTGCTGGAGGACGAAGCAGAGTAAGTTTACTCTCGAGGGCTAATAGGCTTAGACGGAGCTAATTACAGCATTGATTGATTAGATGGAAAAACGTGATTGAGCTGGCAATGACGGACCTGCTTAGGAAGGCTCAACTGCCAGAGCTATCGTACTACCATGCCGGCGGTGGATCGATCGAGACGCCTTCGAAAAAAAGTCGCCGGAAAGAGTCAACAGGGTCCCTGGACGAGACGGAGCTTGCAATAGAGAAGGATGGCGGGAATACATTGGTTTATAATTCTGCTTGTCGATTGATGAGCTCAAGTCCATCGAAATACCCTTTCTCGCAGCACCAATCGCAATATTCAATTGATCGCGAGGAAAACGCAGCCACTTCGCTGGTGACAGCTCCGATGGGTAGTCTGTATGAGGTCACACAGTTGAGTGAAAACAGGGAGAGCTTACCTGGCCAGCGTCGTGTGCCTGACCAGGCATTGGTGACTGATTTCATCTCTCGTGGCGTGGTGGAATTACAAGAAGCGGAGGAATTGTTCCATCATTTTGAACAAGTGCTCAATCGCTATCTCTGGGATGGGGCGTTATTAGCCCAGAAGGACTTGACGGCTGTTCGAAGATCTTCATCCATGCTGTCTGCAGCAATTCTGGCAGTGACAGCGCTGCATTTGCCATCCAAAGAACGCACGTTTGATACTTGCTATACTGAGTTTGCAAGGCTAGCATCAGAGTCAATGCTGGGACATCATCATACTTTAGATGATATTCGTGCCTTATGCATAGGCGCCTTCTGGCTAGCCGATGTCAGCTGGAAGCTCTCTGGCTATGCTGTGCGTATTGCGACCGAGCGAAACTTGCATCAATTTTATCGCAAGGCTGTCCAGGGCTCTCCAGAACACAAGGAACAGGCTCGTCTGTGGTATCTTTTATATGTATGATATAATGCATTTGCTGTGAATCATAATGAGAGGTTAACACATGACAGACGCTTGAACATCATTTTTCCATCGCATACGGCAGGCCACCCATTATTCACGAGGATGCCAGTATTACTCAGCACAACTCGTTTACACAGTCTCCATCAGTATCCCAGGGAGATCTTCGACTCCATAGTCAAGTCGATCTATTCATCATATTAACCCGTATTTATTTTGCTTTTGGTCCCGACGTTGATCTTGATGTACCCGAAAGTGATTTCCCCAAGATTGACCAATTTGATTCGGACCTGGATGGCTGGAAGTCGGCATGGCTTCCTCGACTTGGTAGGATCAAACAATTCATTTCACGTTCCTCGACGCCATTTCTGACCGATCCTATAGTTGGAAGTCGACACGTCGGTGCATATCCATATAAAGCGGTATACATGCACTACCACTTCTCTCGGCTTCAATTAAACTCCGTAGCTTTGCGTACCTACCACTCTTCAACATCTTCGAAGGCCATGTCACCAGAGCGGAGAAAGCGAGCTAATATCGCAATTGAGTCCGCCATTGCCACCCTGAATGTTGTCTTGGGCGAACGGGACATCCAACGGGCCTTGGTTGGGGTTCCATTATATCTTCACAGCATGATCACATTCGCGGCTGTATTTCTTCTAAAAATTGCAGCTAAGGCGTGCTCGACTGGCCCAAACGCGGGAAGACCTGACCCAAAAAACTCAATTGCATCGGCTGGACTTCTCGTCGATGTAGGGTATGTGCGGGTGTTGGTTGGGCGTATTGTTGAGATGATGGTTTCTTGCAGCCAGAGAGCAAGTGAGCGGCATTTGAGCCATCATATCGCTCGTGGCTTGAGAAAGATGCTTACCGGGTTGGAGGAATGGGAAAAACGTAACGGAAGCCAACAAACTCAAGGTTTAACCTCACAAGAGGCACCCTCTCTCTTCAAGCCAGTCATCATTCCAGGGGCCCAAATATTAGGCGAACGTGATACTATATTGACCCATCCTCCGCCACTTCTGGGAGTGGCACCATTGTCCGCTGAACGCAGTAACGGCTTCGAGTCTGTGATGGGCTCGGCCCAGACCGACTCTGGTCTTTCTGAAGGATCAATAGATCCGATGATGGCGGATTTGTGGGGGTTTGATGAGGAATACTTTCCTACGGGAGTCTTTGACTTTCTTCAGAGCCAGATGCCAGCTTAAGAGGAAGACTGGTCATTCTCTAGAATATCAATCTTGTACATAATAAATAACCTTGGAACCCTTCCTCCTATCTCCACGTTGAGGTTGGGCGATATTGTGATGAGAAGCATCACAGATCACTAGAACATAAATCCATATAGTCCTAACATAATCCACATAATCCTAACCGTGGTACTATGAGCAGGTTGGACCTATTAACCAGGTGCCGAAAATCGCCGATTCAGGAGTCCCACGTCGGCACTACTAAGTAGGAACTAGGTCAGAAGATAACTCAGAAGATCCTAGAATATGAAATCGTTAATTAGTAAAGTTAAATAAATTACAATTGAGGTTTTAAGCTTGAAAATGAATTAAATGAATCAAATTGATCTATAGGTAGACTATACCCACTTCAATTCCGTCATTTGTTGCTCGGCGATTCAATCTTCAGAATTACCGAGGTTCGCCGTTACTAGCGCATATTTGATAGGAAGCTCTTCCCCGCGATATCCATCATACCTTGGTTAGAAACCAACCCTTTTCTATCTCCAAGTCCTACAATTATTTCTTCTCCCTTCCTGTATAAATTCATTGATACCTTTATCCACCAGACGAAATCATGAATCGCTCGCTCCTCCGTAGTGTGGCACGCTCTGTTCAGGCAGCTCGTCCTATCGCCAGCCGGAGGTATGCATCATCCTCTGTCGCCTTCAATTGGGAGGATCCCCTTGCTGCAACAGAGCTATTCACCGAAGAGGAGCTAGCAATTCAAGATACAGCTCGGCAATATTGTCAAAAGAAATTGATGCCACGAGTTCTTGGTGCGCTACCCCCGGTTGAATAATCCCAGTCACTGTGATATACATAGTCCATTCTAACATAACGCTTCTCTCTCCTTTGGTAGAGGCCTATCGAAACGAAGACTATGATCGCCGAATACTCGAGGAGATGGGTGAACTTGGCCTTTTAGGCGCTTCGATTGAAGGTTATGGCTGTGCTGGTGTCAGCACTGTGGCTTCCGGTCTGATCACCAAAGAGGTGGAACGGGTTGACAGCGGATACAGGTCGGGCATGTCGGTCCAGAGCTCCTTGGCGATGACAGGTATCTATGAGTTTGGTACGGAGGAGCAAAAAGAGCGATTCCTTCCAGGATTGGCACAAGGAAAAGTGGCTGGCTGTTTTGGCTTGACAGAACCTAATCATGGTTCTGATCCTGGGTCGATGGAGACCGTTGCACGCGAGCATCCCACTCAAAAGGGGGTCTACCTTTTAACTGGTAGTAAAACATGGATTACCAACTCACCCATTGCGGATTTGGCGCTCGTGTGGGCAAAGCTTGAATCAACTGGTAAAATTCGGGGGTTCGTGGTTGAAAGATCTAGGTGCCCACCTGGTACTTTTGAAACGCCAGCAATAAAGAACAAGAGTGCACTTCGAGCGTCAATTACTGGTATGATCCAGATGGATGATTGTCCAGTTGCCGTGGAAAATATGTTTCCCGATGTGGAGGGTCTGACAGGTCCGTTTACCTGTCTGAACAGCGCACGTTTGGGTATTGCTTTCGGTAGCATGGGTGCGCTGGAAGATTGTATTTCTCGTGCACGGGAGTACAGTCTTGAGCGCAAACAGTTCAAGGGCAATCCATTAGCCAAATACCAGCTTATTCAGAAGAAGTTGGCAGATGCTGTGACGGATGCGGCATATGGAACACTGGCCGCGGTGCAGGTTGCTCGTCTTAAGGATGCTGGGAAGGCTACCCCGGAGATGATCTCGATGATTAAACGACAGAATTGCGATCGAGCTTTGCAAAATTCTCGAATGTAAGTGATCTGAATATTCTATTGTCTTCCTTCGCTCGTTCTATATGCTTACCATATCTAGCCTACAAGAGATATTTGGTGGGAATGCAGCCAGTGATGAGTATCATATTGGGCGTCATGTGGCCAACTTGTTTGTGGTTCAAACCTATGAAGGACAGAGCGATATTCATGGTACGTGAGCCGAATCTCTGTGTGTTGACATATGTGCATTGTAGTCGAAACTAATTAGTTTGCAGCCCTGATTCTTGGACGGGCGATTACAGGAAAGCAAGCCTTTGTATAAACCTAGTCTTCCACTTATGGCCCATGGGAGAAGAACTTGAAAAAGAGAGTGTGAGTGTGGACTTGTTCCAAGGTTATGAATTGATCATCATGAAAATGACTATATGATCTCACTTTGAAGGGAAAAAACACTCTTATAAAAGAGAACCATGTTGAACGGTGGAAAGAATAGCTTGAAAGAATCGAGGCAGTATATAGAAGGTAGAGAGTTGAAGATCACACGTGACATCATTGAGGGGCAATTTTCACTTTTGACCCATTCAAATGTTGGTACTCTGTACCTGTTAGGTACTTATAAAGATGTGTATATCTAGCATTTGAAAACTTTTCAACCCAATTACAGATCTCTGTGAAACTTGCGGAATATTTGAAATTCATATAGTCAGTAGCCTGGAAGAAAGAGTACTAGTAACTTCAAGTTTAGATCCGTGGATGTCTATGCTCAAGTGGACGAACTTGAAGCACTTAATCTTGGCTCAAGTACTTAGTGAGAGTAACAAGGACCTGAAAAGTCAACATAGCTAATATATGTATCATAAATACCAATCATATTTTAGATATTTCTAATATTAGATCTCCAGATCAAATAACAGAGAGAGAGAGAGAGAGAGAGAGAGAGAGAGAGAGAGAGTCCAGTCTTGATCTCTCACATATTACTAGGTAGGTACTTGGTGCCTTAATGGAGTGTGTAATATTGAAACATGTAAAATTACCAAGGTAGGTGCCCAGCCCTGAAGGTGCCTCATTCCCAATAGCCAGCACCTGCCAGGTGGGTCATAGTGGCGTGTATTGGTAATACCAATCCCTCCCTCCAGCCCACCCATTTTCCCCCTCTTTCATTCTTTCTCATTCTCTTCTTCTTTTCCACACAAAGACGTAACCGTACGTGGAACAAGTCCGCTCCCCCTCCCCCATCTTGTTTCCGCTGACCATTTTCTAGTCTTTCCCTTCTCCCTTCTCTCATTTCTTCATTCATCATGGCTCTCAAGCGCATTAACAAGGAACTCACTGACCTCGGCCGGTAAGCATGACCTTCTCCATGACGCTGTCGGAGAATCATATTTGTAGGAAATGTCAACTGACCCATTCACAGAGATCCCCCCTCCTCCTGCTCTGCTGGTCCCATTGGAGATGATCTGGTATGAATACCTTGCCCTCGCTCATTTCATCAACATGGTCGTCGTCGCGAACACCCCGCCCCTCTCTCGAAATGTCTTATCGCGTGGCGGGGTTTGACTGTCCTGCAGATCATTAGATCATTCTGATGGATGATATGAGATACCGGATGACTGACATTTTCCCCTCGGTTTTTTTACCACCTACAGTTCCACTGGCAAGCAACCATCATGGGTCCTGTAAGTCGAAATAATCCTCGTGTCCAAGGCCATATTATAAACAAGGTGTGGAGAGGCAGAATGAGACATTGGGGAACCCAAAACCCTCTCACCCACACTAGGCCAACAACGCACCTATCATGAATCACATGCTGATATTACTGCTCAATAGGGTGATTCACCTTACTCGGGAGGTGTCTTCTTCCTCACAATTCACTTCCCTACCGACTACCCCTTCAAGCCTCCCAAGGTTAACTTCACCACTCGCATCTACCACCCCAACATCAACTCCAATGGCAGCATTTGTCTCGATATCCTCCGGGATCAATGGAGCCCTGCCCTGACAATCTCGAAAGGTTCGGCCCAGTCAATCAGCGCGCAGAGACATAGGCTAATATCTTTCGACAGTACTACTTTCGATCTGCTCGATGCTCACAGACCCCAACCCCGACGATCCTCTGGTGCCCGAGATCGCACACGTGTACAAGACGGACCGTCCGCGGTACGAAGCCACGGCCCGCGAGTGGACTCGCAAGTATGCTATCTGATCGGCATGATCTCCCTACATCGGCCCCCAATACCATGACCCCCCCCTTTTCTATCCTACACAATTCATCGATCTGTTACTCGTCGCTTTTGCATACTCTCCTCTTGTCTCTGTTAGATCCAGACCCGTGCGGCCCGGCGTATCATGGTCGTAGAAACTCGCTGCCTTTCGTTCTTTTAGCAGTTCTGCTGAAGATCCATTTCCAAGTCTTCTTTTAGTCTTCTTTCTCAATTTGCTCAATACTGCTCTATGTTGTCTGTGTGCGTTAGTTTACAGGGCAGCATATTCAATGATTCATATGGCTACTATTCATGCATGGAATCCTCTTATGCGAGGGCCACGGATATTTTTTTTATCTCAACCCTGGTTTCCCCCCTTTCCTTATGAAAAGCAGAAATGAAATAAAAACTACTCCATTGAAGCTCGAGAAGGTAATGACAGAAAGGTCGAGGACGTTGACTTTGTGCCGACAGTCAAGACTATGCAGTACCTTTCCCCAAAAGCTGTTTCTCTTGAGTAACTGCTACATCTCGAGACAGAATTACACTTGGCTGGGACCAGTGGGATTGGATCGAATCAGAGAATAGATTTGGCGATGTGGAGAGACAGGACTGAGGCGGTAGTGTATACTAAGTAAAGGGAACGCGGTGCGGCTTTGCGGTTTCTCTCTTCTCTTCTAAGGTCACGGTTCTTATTGTCAGGTAGCACAATATCGGCAGCAGGGAAGTCTTTCTCCCTCATAGGATATGTATTGTGAGTATGCTCGAGGTCATTTGTTAGTCACATGGGGTAGGAGATCAAGAAATTCCCTCATCCGAGTCTCCTCCGCCAGGGCTGCACCTAAAGGTAAATACGAACACATGCGTTATTTAGTATTACCTAGTTCAAGTTAATTGAATTTTCCAGGTGGCTGTTTTCAAATGTTAGCTCCTGAGATTTGAATGCGGAGGAATACTAGCTTGCTTCAACACCCCACCGCACCATCAAATCGCCATTTTGGTCAGTAATATAGTATTCACCTTTTGTCTATCAGAAGATCAAATTAGGGGGGAAGGATATCTATGTAGAAAAAAAAGATCTTGAGATTAATTTAGGCGAGAGTAAGCCGGAGAGATAAAGGATATAAGTCGACCCATCATGATGCTATCAACATTTGAAAGACATGACATCTGGACACTGCCAGTGCATGTGTCGAATTGGAGTTATCTAAAAAGAACTAATTCCACCTGAGCAACCTTCAAATGTTGGAAGCTCCAACGATTGTATCCATAACTTGAACTTGAAGCCACATATGCATGTCCAGGTGTCCAAGGAGAATGAACTTCAAGTTGAAGTAGGTAACTCGCAACTACTAACCAAATATGTCATATATATAAGCCATAAATCTAAAACCCAAACAAAAAAGAACCCCATAATGCAAATAAATGTTCAAAGAAATTGAAGGACCGTAAACATAAAGAAAATGCAATCCAATTAAACCCTTCAACATTTGAAATCAAACAACCACCTCACTCCCACGTCGACTCCCAACCTTAGATGGTGCCTTACTTCCCGATCCCGCTTTCACTGTATGTTGCGAAGCCCGAGAAACCTGACTAACACTATCAGCCGGTTTAACCGGCTCATCGTATTTAGACCTGGAGGTATGTCTGGATGTCTTTGAGTGCTTCGAAGCATGCGAGTGAGTAGATCTTCCAGATCGACTCCCAATCTGACTGATCGAGTCATCGGGTGTGACGTTGGATCGAACATCGAGATCAATCACACTTTCAGGTAATGGGACCTCTCGTGCGGAGAGATAGGATTTCCCATGTGCACTTGGTGCTGCCGAGTAGTAACTTGCGGATGTCCCTGCGGGAAGTGGGATATTCCTTGCGGATCGGGTAGATGACGCGATACTTCGGGAATCGTCTTTTTCCTTGGTGGATTTGCTGCTAACGTGCGAAGCCTGAGAGGGTGCGGGGCGGTAGATTGCGTTCGAGTTGGACTGGCTGTGGGTGGAATATGTATCTCTGTCGTCGTGGCTGTATCGTCTTGTATTGTTGCCTGCCTGCGAGGCTTTGATCGTCGATGAGGAAATCACGCTTCCAGAGCGTGGTTTGTCCGCTGCGTAGCTACTGATAAACGTACTGGGATTGCAGTGATCACGCCAGCCGTTCATCGATGGTGGGTATTCGATTGCGCGTAGGGGTACATCTTCGAGGATACTCATTCCGTCCGAAGCGCGGCGTCCGTGCTCGTCGACGTACTCGGTTCCCTCGTAGATTGTGCTCGCGCGTGGGTTCTTGGAGGATACGCTTCGGCTCATCACGGATCGAGGTCCTGAGGCCGAGGTGTATACGCTGCGTGGTGGAGGGGCTTCCAGAGCTCGGTACTGTTGGTAGCCCTGGTACTCTTGATGCTGTCCTTCCGATTGCCGAGACACCTGTGATGGAGGTCCCATGAGCTGGTGGTGCTCCGGTACATACTGGGGAGTAGTATATTGTGGAGGTGGATTGTTGGTAGCACCATCGGAAGAGGACTGTGAGTCGCCCTTGACCATCGCGTATGCGATTGCCGCGCCTGCTGCGGCTCCAATGAGTGTACCAACAATCGTCTTCGCAATCTTACTACCGTCGTCTGGTGCCTGGATATTCTGCACAACTGTGTATGTAGGTGCAGGTGCGGGTGCCGCAACGGGTGCAGGGGGTGCACGAGAGACCATCGAGGGAGCTGCACGTTCGACAGTTGTAGGAGCCCTGGAGATGGCACGAGACTTGGCCTCTGATCTAGGCGGTGCAATGCTCTCCGTTCGAACAGAGCTAACCCGGGTAACGGAGGTAGCTTTGCTGATGACAGTAGATGCTCTGCTGCTCTTGGAGACTACTGAACCGTTCTCCAGTAGGGCGATGGTTGGACCCCCGGCTTCGGATGCAACGACCGTACCGCCAGAGCGATACACAGCTTCGATGCTGTTGCCGTCGAAGTCAACCACAGCGGCACTGAAGAGTCCCAGTTGGGAATCCCGGCACTTGGGTTCGCTTTGCATCGTGCCTCCGGCTTTCAGGGCGGATATAAAAAATGTGTGCACGGCGTCCCTGGTTGGAGCGGGGAAGGCAACGTGGACAGCACTGGCAGAACCTCTGTATACATAGATGCTCTGTTAGTAACTTGTTCTTCTTTGTACATCGTATGCCCATGCAGGGTATAATCGAGTATGACGTACCCTGGCTTGCGCTCGGTGACCCAGAAATCAGCAGGTTCCCCCTGCTTCTGCCCGAAGCCTATGTAATCATCATGGCGACCGATGAATTGGTATCCGAGTGGTTGAAGACATGATAAGAAGAAGGATGTCGAAGTTGGGAGGTGTGAGACGGTCAAGGTGAGATGGGAGACAGGCATGATAGAAGTTAGGATGGTGAATGATGCTAGTTAAAGCACCAGTATAAAAACCCGGTAGTTGATGTACGATGGAAGCTTGGAATGCAAGATGAAGAGAAGAAGTAGGGAGTACCTAGGTAGAGAGGATTTATTATATACAGGGTGGGACCAGAATCTATAACAAGAAGCACTATGACACAGAGACCCGATGTTGGCAGAGACCGCAAAAAGGGCAAGGCAAGAAGATTGTGAACCAATCCTAATCAGTAGAGCAAAAGCACGGAAAAAGCTGCCCAAGCTTAGAATAGTCATCTGAGTTGGAGCCCACCGCAGTTGTCCGAGAATGGAAACCCACAGGGCCCCTCACTGTACGGAGTACGTAGTACTGTAATTCCCACATTATGGTGAGTGCTGGATGGTGGGATAATGCCCGGTATGGTGGACCCTTGAGTAAGAAACCATAGGTCGGAGAGAGAGAGAAAGAAACTCCCTATGATCACAATATCACCCTGAATTAAGAAGCGATAACGATCTGCACGTCGGGAAAAGGTGAAACGAGCCCCGACTGGTGTTCATCTGTAGGTTCGGACGTGGCAGTTCTAGAGGGAATCTTGAGTGGGGGTGAAGTAACCATCCTTGGGGACGGGAATTGGCTTTGCCAGGGGAAGTTGCATGTATTTCCACCCCTTTCCATAATCCCGGTCAAATCATAGTTCCTGATATGATTCGGTGTAGAGCCTAGAGGGTATGGGAGTGGATTCAGGCAGGGGTTAGCTTAAGCAGGCGACTAGAGCGGTAGAGCGGTAGAGCGGATGGCCGCTCGGATCCTATGAAGGCCAGAGAGGTCATCGCGGGGAGTGGATCAAAGGGTGGCGGGGCGGATACTGTATAATGAGAAGGTCAAGTGTTGGACAAATGATGAGTATGATGGTGGAGTCAATGGGCAGGTTTGGCCCATTTGAAACAGTTCAAGTTGGTGGTGGGTTTGGGCATAGTTCCTGACCGCTTATTGTTGGAGGTTGGGAGAAGTTATTTTTGTTCTTTTTTTTACTGAATAATTGATGTCTTGTGCTCTAGAATAATGAGTCACCTCTTATTCTAATTTATCAATTTATTGCATAAGTCGGACTGCCGTACGATAGGACATCACCCATAGTATGTACAACTCACCTTTATGGGTTCAGTGCGGGTCTGGGCAGTCGTGCATCATTAGTTAAGTTAGTTAAGGGATCCGCCTGATTCTACTCCATAACCTGGAATTTGATTAGTTGGAAGATTTAGTCGTACAGAAAAGAAAAAGTGAGGCGACGCCACGTAGAGAGTCTTAGCCCAAGATTCTTTCATTCCCAAATATCAGGAATACGAGTGATACTCTATGATCCATATTACAAATGAGAAATTGCTAATCCAATGGAAGGAATACGTAAAAACCGAATGATATTTTTCGAGATATTCGATACACTATGTGCCTGATCAATAAGCCAAGTGGCTCCCGATCAAATATTTGCTGTTCACTTTTCTGGTCTCGACGCCACGAACGGGGGAACCTGTGGATGGAAGAGCTCTCTGAGATCAGGACTGGATTGGCGAAAAGGAACCAAATGCCAACCAGTCCGAGTGTCGCTGTTGTGGTTGAAACGGGGCGCGGAGAGAGAAAAAAAAACAGAGGATTAAAAAAAAAAACAAGAAAAAAAGCCAACATATGAGAAGATCTTTCCTGTTAGCCCCCAGGGCTTCCAAAAAAAAAAGAAATCTCAAATAAAAATAATTATGGTTTATGTTGGCCAAATTTCCCCCTGCAAGATGTATGCCGACATGGCAAAGTCTCCAAAAACACAATAACAGTAGAGTGGGAGAGTTGAGTACTGCCCAATTGAATATTCCAAATCAAATGAGGACCCGCCCCGTACTTTGAGGAACGATTCCCATCACTTTCAGACCCCAATGGTCACCCCGTCGCAAAGAAATTCGTAGCTTCGTGGCAACAAGATTTGCCGAGCAGACGGCAAAAAGCACGCGCATATATGGTGCACGTGAGATTTCAAACCTTGCATCTGCTCAAAGGATGTCCCACACCTCCTCGGCTGCGTGGCAGAACTTACTACAGGCCACACTGGCGGAAAGACTGTAGTTACTGATACTGATGGTATCATCCTTGAACGAATCGGCAAAGTCATCATGTCCCTTGGCCATCGCACCGACAAAAATGGCGATGCTCTCCTTGGGTCCCAATGACTCAACGTAATCCTTGGTACGCACAACCGGGGCATCGAAACTCATGGTGACCTTGCGGCAGTTGGGAGGCAGGTGATCGGTGATCGGGTTCTTGATCACCTTCAACAGCTTCTCCTGGGAGTTGGTGGAACGGATGGACAGACGGTGAAGCAACTGGACCATCAGACCAGCAAATCGCTTGAAAGTTCGAGGAATACGGACGGAGGGGTTAACTTCAATCAGGACTCCCTTGGCGGTATGGATGAAGATTTGAAGGCGACCGGCCTTGTTGACGGGAGAATCAAGGAGGGTGAGGAGACACTGAGAGAAAAAAAAGTCAGAAAAAAATCCCTCAACTTCATCATCGATCAAAACCACATCTGATTCATCTGAGAATCTTCTCATCTTGTTCTGTCATACCTGGTGGGTAATATCCGGACGAGCTTCACTGATATCCCGATTCATCTTTCGCATAATACCAATGTGCTCATCACTGTTCAGCAACGAATACTTCTCATCCTTGGCACCAGCTCGACCACTTGAGGCCCGGTAGGTCTCAAGACTGGCATTGGAAAGAATGACAATCAATCGTTGAGTGTCCTTGTCATGAGAAGGGATGGGGACATGCTGTTCCGCAACGAGTTGAGGCAGCTCAGGTGGGGGGCAAGACTGGGTTCCTGGCGGCGAGGTTTCGTCAGACATGTTGAATGAAGAAGAAAAAATGATTAAACTCGGAAAGGAACGAAGCCGTAGAGTGAATTTCTGGACTCAAATCCAATAATAGATAGAATCTCAAAAAAGGTCACCCGACAAAGCTAGGTAATGTAGAAGGCTAACAGTGTAGGATCGACAAGGCGGCTAGCCACTGGCAGATTTAACATGTCCGAGGGTAAAAAGAAGGGCACCCATTGGTAGAGACAGGGAAAAAAAAAGGACAACAACATGGACGATATTAACAGGGATACATACTCGCACGCTTGCGCTTGCCTGCCACTTGAGAGTCGTCAGACATGGTTGGAAAGAATTGGGGGGATGAAATTCAGATGGAATGATGAAGAAGAGATTTTTGAGTTGTTAGTGAGTCTCTCCGCCAAACTGTTTCCGCGGGTCACAAGCGGGACCACCTAATGAGCTTATGGAATGTACTTAGTACACTAAGAGAGAATTAAAAAGAAGAAATATATTAAAAAAAAAGAAAAACAAATTGATAAGAAAAAGTAGAATCTACTAACAATTCCAAGTTATAGAGGTTCAATCATGAAGAAAGAAGTGCTTAAATATACATATGTACTCCATACTGTACATTGTACATTCACGGAGGATTTCCCCTCAAGATGTCTCCATAATTCTTAACAACTCTCCGAACTTCTAAGCTTCGGGGCTTTACCTATACCTAGGTATATTGTGATGTGTAGAGGACTCGGCTTCCTCATGCTTCTTCCTGCATAAGAGTTGCAGTTGTGGACCGGTACATCCCGGGGCTAGAACCGATAGTGGTATAAACTATCTATCATGGAGTGGTGAGCTGAGATACTAGTAAGACATTGAAAAAAAGAGAAAAGAAAAACATTGGAAAATGAAGCAGGCATTTGGAGACATATCAGAAAACTTGAACTTTCAAGAATTTAAATGAGTTCATCACTGCCATAGCTAGCAGGAGATATGCAGATATACAAACCCCATGGGACACACAGAACCCATCACTGCATGGTGTAACCATGATGCATCTCGTCCGAATAAAATACAGGTAAAATGCAGAGTTCTGGGTATATCCAATCATGGCCGTTAGACCTGTCATGGTTTTTAGGCCTGCAGCGAAAGGAATAGAAAAAAAAATCCTGTTGAGTTCATGGAAAGGGGCCAAAATCCTTATGATACCACGGAGAACGGACTAAATAGATATAAGTGCGAAATGTTAGAATAGATCTGACTCATATTGAAGGAACATGGATCCGCCCGTGCAGCTTAGTAGCCGCTACCTGTCAAGCCTGAAAGTAGCAGTGATCGGGCTTTGTATAATGGGAGATCATCAGCTCTCCATCTCTGATGAATATTCAACTTTGCCACTTCTTTCTCCCTGAACTCTATGATGTGCACGTCCTGGTCAAATCGGGAGAACAACAAGGTTGTTCCCTCCTATCATTGGGGGAGAAGCAGATTAAGACTTCGTAACCAAGCGCCGGGGCAATGATGCCTAGATGAAAAGACCAATCATTGTATTAGATGAATCAACTCCCATGGTGGTGATGATCCAATCAGGAAGAGTCATAGCTGTGTTTTTCGGTTCCAGCCTCTCTGGTTTTTTTGGTGGAAATAAGGGAGTCATTGGGCAGGAGTACGGTGTGGCATCCCCTTACACCAGATATTACGGTGATCATTTGGGAGTATTTTTTTTGATGGTGGGTTGGTGGTGGGTGAATTTGGTGCCTGTTTGATGCCTATGGAAGTGAACTGTATGGGTACTTAAAAAGAAAGTGCTGGTTGTAAGAGGGGCAAGTTCAGGCTGCAAGAGCCTCGCATCATCGCAGATTGGGGCGAAATCCTGATTTAATCTCCTCATAGAGAATAGTGCTTCCAACCTTGGAAGCTATATGTATTGGATGAAAAATTAAGAAGAGCTGATTTGACTGATTTGGGGAGAAAGGGGCAGAACTTCTACTGTGCCACCACGACACATACCAGACAGTCAGGAATTCCATTAGGTAGCGATGATCTGTTTGTCACTGGTTATTTGTTTCATTTAATTTCTCTTTGATCTTTATGAATCATTTTTATTATTCTTATTTCCCATCTGCTAGGGATAACCCGTGTCCCTAATCCTAATTCAAATCCCTAATCCCAGTGAGTGGCGATTTGAATCAAGCTTAGGTTTATTCACTTCTTTTATCTATTCTCTATTCTCTATTTTCTATTTTTTTTTTTTTTAATTCATCTTTTCTATTCTGTTTCACTTATAATCGAATATTGCATACTGGTAAGTTTCTCCTAGTTAAAACCTTGGATTGATTCTCCTGAACAATATGACCTAAATCAGTTAGCGCCACGCGTGCAGTGGAACCGGACGATCCGTAAATTCCAAACCCCCCGTCTATCTCAGAAAAATAAACATCTTCTTTCCCCGCCATCAATTTCTTGGAGATGCCGTGGACGGTGACCAATTCATTTAAGCGGTATGTATCTATCTCTGAATCTCCTAAGATATCCCCCATACTAACTTCCTCCAGAGGCCTGATGAAAACTTACGGAAGACCAACATGGCGCGTCTATGACGATGAACGAGCGGCCAAGAAGAGACGCGTTCAAGATGAGTCTGATGAGGTCGAGGCTGAAACAAACCTTCAATATGCCATTCGCGAGTCATCTGCCGCCGTCTTGTCTAGTCCATCGCGCCGTAACTCTGTCGTCTTATCTGAAGGCACCCTAGATGATATCGACGACCTCACTACACCACCCTCCTCGCCACCACCCCGGCTCACTCCCCCGCCTGCCAATACGCGCAAACCAACCTTTGCATTTCTCAAGCGCAAACATAAAGATGTCGCCGGGTCACCCTTGACAGAGGTGAACTCCAATAGTGTGCGCTCATCCGTGGATCCGCCCAAGCAGCAGAAGACTCAGCCCAAGCCCCAGGCTCCCTTGCGCCAGATGCAGATTGATCTGGGAAATGAAGTGCGCAAAACATGTGCTACTTGTGGTATGGAATATATCCCGTCCAATACGGAGGACGCGGCCCTGCATAAAAAGTTTCATGAGATGAACTCTACGGGGGTGGATCTGGGTAAGGCCTTTATGCGCGCAAATGCGTCGCGTTGGGTCTACGAAGCGACGCGATTCGATGAAGGTTACGTGGTGATTGTGGATCGCAAGGCTTCCCCGAGTGCGAAGAATCAGGCGAAGAAGGTGTTGGAAGTGGTCAATAAAGAACTCTCATCTCCTGAGATCGACGATGAGGTCCTCTGGGGTCAAACGGAACCTCCGAAACATCTCCAGCATGATAATGAAGAAAAGGTCGATCGATACCGGGTTTTCCTACATATGAAAGATAGTCGCTGTGTGGGACTATGCTTGACGGAACGCATTTGGGAATCTCGACCCGTGATCAATGGCGAACAGAATGGCACTACTCATAACTCGTCAGTCTCAGTGAAAGATGAACTTCATCCGGCAATTGTCGGAGTGTCGCGGATCTGGACTTCTGGTGCATCTCGACGAAAGGGTATTGCCCTTGATCTACTTGACTGTGTGGTCAGCAATTTTATCTATGGCATGGAGATCTCAAAGGCTCAAATTGCATTCAGTCAACCTACTGAGAGTGGGAAACGACTAGCATCCAAGTTTTTTGAAGAGGAGGAGACATGGCATGTGTACAACGAGCGGTGATGAACATGACCTTGGGTTTCAGTTGGATTCGGCTCTTATCATTATAACTTTTCCTTGTTTTATCATTCTCATCATTTTTTTGTCGTTCTTCTTAAGCAACATGGGATCGGTTATGGGACGGTTGGGGGATTTTTACTGTTCTATCTGGACTCGGGTTTTATTCTGTTGCTTTGTCCATTCGCATTGTACCATATCAACCCCTTTTTTTTATTATTTCTTTGTTTCCGGTCCTCAAATTTTGAAATCATTTTTCATTCCAGATTTTATTCTGAGTATATTTTATCATTGGTCTAAGAGTCTTGAGAAACCCTAGTAATGTTAGGATTGGGTTACTTGCCTTTTGGGGAGTCCGGACGCTTCGATCGGAAAGCGGCGCGTTAGGAAACCTGATGGACCACGACATTCGGACATTCGGTGGGGGACTTTCTCCCCCTCTTCCATCCTTCAGATCTCACTCTTCCTCGCCATGTCTACTTTAAACCCTTTTCGCCGGCATCTGGATGGTGAGTGTTTCTTAGACTTGACTCCATTGACTGTGGTGTACCCGCCACTTCCGATGAGAATGCCCACCACTCAGATCCACTTGGGAATGCTTCGTGACATTGGGAGTGTTAACCAGTCTGGATGATTAGGCGGTGCTATCACAGCTTCGACGTCTTCACCGACTGTAAATCCTACGAATACGCTGGCCTCCAACCTGATCGCCAACCCCGCTAAACCGCTCCCTTCGGTGCCTGATTACGGAAAGTCGTCGTTATCGTTAGAGATCGAGGAAGATGACTCGACTTCTTCGGATGAGAAGACTGCAGATCCATTCAATCCTGATTCCTCGGTCAGCGACAGTGAAGACAATCTAGAGGCGCAGAACCCCAAAAGCTCAGTTCCGGGCGATCATCGAGATTCTTTTGGGTCTGCTCCACACTCAGCTCCATCCGCGGATAGAGCTGGCACTCCCCCAGCCGAAGCTCCATTGACACCCAGCGAATATGATGTGCAGTCCAGATTCAGTTCAACGGAATCCAGCTCAGATGAGGATGTTCCGGTGACTCGATCTGCAGGAGCACCGTCGCAGTATAAACAAAGCACAAGCCCCGTCAGTCAGACCAGCCGAGACAAAAAGCCACCACCCCCGCCCAAGTCTCATCATGGCAAACGCATCAACACTTCAGGTGATACAGCATCACAGTCAACGGCTTTCCGGTTAAATAACCGATTGTCTTTTCATGCCTCATCTCCCGAGAGCTTGAGCTTGCCGAGAACAGCAGGCACACCCAATGCCAGCTCCACCCACCCCTCCGTCCCTGATTATTTCTCAATTCAAATAGAGAACCAAGCGGCAGTCGCCTTGAATGGGTCCCTTTCACGAAGTGATTCCCAGAATAGGCGTCCACCTACGCCACCTCTTAGTCGACGACAGAATCAAATGCGGAGGTCCAAATCGACTCAATCCAAATCAAGTGCCAGTCGATTGACACTGTCATCAGTGGACTATGAGAGTAATGATAGCTCCCAACCACCCAGTCCGGGTCTGTCTACTAGATCTGGGACCTCATCTCTCTCCAGAGATCGCAAGCGTACCAGTATGCCTCCACCGTCTTCAACTATATCCTCTGGTGGAGCCTCAGACCATCTCTCCCCTTCAACTATATCACCACGCCCGCATCATGGACGACGGGCATCTTCATATGGAAATATAGTCACAGCCTCATCAAGTGTGGCACCACCACCGCCTCCTCCTCGTCGGGCGCGTGGCAATTCTCGTGGTGAAGGCAGGCCTTTATCTCAGTTGATTACCCCGGAGGAACCATTGCCTCAACCTTCCAATGCACAGGATATATTAGCGGATCTTTCACGCTTACAGAAGGAGGTGGATGATCTTCGAGGACATTATGAGAACCGCAATTGTAGCCAGTAAGAGAGTGGGTTTGTGTTTTTGCCATCGAGTTCTCTTTGACTGTTCCTGTTTTGCATTTTTGGGCTGAACCTATATGTTGTATTTCTCTTTCCATTGAGCAAAGATGACCTGTATGAACGAATGTATGAGATTCTTTATGTAAATTCTTTATGGATCTAAATATTAAAGTGGGCAACATGACGTCGCTCTACTCCGTAAAGTGTTCCGCTCCAACAATTCCACCTCCCCGCAATCTGCTATCTGCAATTCGCAATTCCTATTTCAACTTTCTTCTTTAAATTTCCCCCCACCTTATCAACTTCCTCAATTATTCAACTTTATCATTGATTCTTACCTTGGCTTCTCTACTGATCCTGACCATTCAGTTCACTCCCAACTAACATCCATCCTTTTCCTCATTACAATGACGACTCCTACGCTCATCAACCTACCACCTCCTCCCTCGGATCCAGTCACTCCTGACATGGGACCGTAAGCTCATTCCTTGCTCTTCTCTGTGATTCACTGTATATGGCACAATAGAATATGGATGACTGACCGTGGGCGGGGTGGTTTGGTGGTGGGCAGAGGCACTCCCAATTCCGGCACGACTTCCCTATCTGCGCTTTCGACCACAGCCATTAAAGATGGTCATCAGGGCCACCCTTTCCCTCATGGCCGACATGCTCACCAGTCCTCCTCTACCTCTATCTCCTCAGCCAATACCCTAGAAGCTGAGCGCGCAGATCGCATTTCCCGCTTAGCCGGCCTGGAGCGAGTCGCAACTGCCCGCGCCAGTGGTCAATCGCCCTCGAATGTCCCCCTGCACATGCCATACACCTCTGGTTATTTTGACAGCCACGCCATCCTCAAAGAGCGGAGCACGGTGGGCAGTGCCAGTGCCACGGGTAGTATTGGTGGTCACACGACATGGGCCAGTGGTAGCGACGCCTTCGACGCAGACAAAATGAGTGAAGACCCAGATGACGGAGTCTCCAGTGTGGGTAATATCAGCGATGAAGGAAACGCAAGTCTTGTTGGATTCGGTGAAGGCGCAAATAGTACGATTAGTGGTCCGACTTCCCGTCCTCCTGGCTTGAATCGTTTATCCTCTGGTGGTCTCACTCGTCCAACTTCAATGAGTTCTAATGTTGGTCGCCAAAATCCGACCCCGCTGGCTTCTTATCTCCAGCAACAGCAGCATCAGCATTACCCGCCTGGTGATAGTTCCATGATGTCGCCTTCGCCTGCTGGTTCTAATACCCCTGAACCTATCCCGGATGATGCGCGTATGCTTGATGGCATGACCTTTGATTCGGATGTGGTGGATACTACTGCTCGCACGCCACGACTCGTTACTCCGTCTAATGAGACTCAGAGTCCCTTTGAGACCCTGAATCGCGAATAGAGTGATCCGTGGATAGGACTGGGAGCAATGGCTAGACCAAGAGTTTTTAGGATGGCGTTTTTCTTTTTCTCTGTGGTGATCTAGTTTCTTTGTCTAGTTTCATTTCTCTTTCTTGTTATCTTTTGCAATTATTTTGGATTTATGTGTTCTATTTATTTTCCTTTGGAGTCTTCGTTGCGGGTGTATTTCTATGAGTTTGGGAAAGCAGTATCACCATGGACATGACAGAGACTGGGATGGATGAGATATTCTTTCAATGTTGGAAGCGCAATTTAGTATTTGATTTATTCTTTTGTTCAAATGTTCTTAGGAACACGATGTACCTATACGTATTATTTGTTCAAGTTGGTCTTTATTATGACTCAGAGTATTCCGAGTATGAGGTTCTAGTTAATTTTGGAAGCCATTTAACTCATTTACCTAAGTAATACTTCACTTTCAAGGTGATTGATAGGTAAATTTAATATAGATTCCCTGTATATAGTACACATATTGTAACCTCTTTGCTATATTGCATCTAAGGGCTTATAGACTAGGTGCTGACTGAATGACGGCATGCCGCCTCCGAACTGAAGCCGCGCGCAACCCGAATTTTCTCTTTCACTCTTCATCCTCCCCACCTCCCAAACACCACTTTCCGCCCCTCGGCTCTGCCCTCGTTGCTGGCATTGACTTGTCTAGCATAGAAGATCAAAAAGATTCCGACAGTATCTCGCTGCTCCTACTGTGTTCCAATTGAGTTTCTTTGAAACTCGATCCCATCTGTGTTTCGTTTCGATTCGCCACATCGCTGGTTCCATCTCATCCAGCCTTGCCAAACCCACCATCGAAGTCCTCTTCAAGCTTTTGCCCTATTTGATCCTCATTTTCCAGTATCTCATCGCTGTGATCTCTCCCGATCGCATCTTTGCTTACGCGACTAATAAGACTCGTTCGAATTCATCGTGTTGTGCCCGGTCTTGTGCATAACCCCGGGAAACGAAATCTGAGGCAATACCACCTGTTTTCCTTGATTTAAGGAAACAAATCGAACTTGAAGACTTCTTTTTTGGTAGCGACATCAATTCATTGATTCAAATTCAAGATGCCTGCTTCTACACAGCTAAGTTGTACGTTTTAGCTTCTTCAAATGAAACGAATGCACCAGCTGGAGTGACACGTTCTAACTTTCCCTTTTCAGACCGCACCCTTAAGGGGATCGGCATTATGGATGCCGCCCCTGTCTATGCACCTCTGTCGGGCTTTGAGAGGTAGGAATCTCGAGTGGAAGTCATTGAGATTGGAGTTCGTCGCTGACTTGATTATTACAGACCTGAGGGGAATCTCCGCTGTTGTGCATACTCGCCTTGCGGTCGTTATTACGCATGGGCGTCTCCCGAAAGGTAGGGTTATCCTCTCATCTCAACACTGATATCATGATCTAACTGTCACCAGGGTCACTATTATTGACGCCGCCGCTGGTAACACCGTCTCGACAATTCCTGCTGAGAACGTCTTTGAACTCGGCTTCTCCCCACTCGGCACCTACGTGATCACCTGGCAACGGCCCACCAAGGACGCCAACGGCGATACCACCAAGAACCTCAAGGTGTGGCGTGCGGTCGAGACCGGAGATGAGCACACTGTCGTGGGCAGCTATGTCCAGAAGTCGCAGACAGGCTGGAACCTGCAGTACACCCCCGATGAGAAGCTCTGTGCCCGCGTCGTGACCAACGAGGTCCAATTCTACCAGAGCGACAACTTGTCGACCGTTTGGAATAAGCTGCGTGTGGAGGGGGTGGCGGACTTTGCGCTCTCCCCGGGACAGACCCATTCGATTGCGGTGTTTGTTCCTGAGCGTAAGGGCCAGCCGGCCCAGGTTAAGGTGTTCGTTGTGCCGCAGTTCAATGCGCCGGTTTCGCAGAAGAGCTTCTTCAAGGGTGACAAGGTTCAGCTCAAGTGGAATGCCTCTGGTACGACTTTGATCGTGTTGGCGCAGACCGAGGTGGATCGCACTGGTAAGAGTTACTATGGCGAGACTACCTTGTACTTGCTCAGCGCGAGTGGAGCTTTTGACTCGAGAATCGATCTTGGTGAGTACTGCAAAAGAAAACGTCAATAAAATAGAGAGGATAGTGTTAACATTTCCCAGACAAAGAAGGTCCGATTCACGATGTGAGTTGGAACCCCAACTCTAAGGAATTTGGTGTCGTCTACGGTTACATGCCTGCGAAGACCACCATTTTCAACATGCGTGGTGTGCCCAAGCACAATTTCCCCTTGAGCCCCCGCAACACCATTCTGTTCTCTCCCCATGGCCGATTCGTCCTTGTTGCTGGTTTCGGTAACTTGGCTGGCCAGATGGATATCTATGATCTGGACAAGAACTACCACAAGATTGCTACTGTTGAGGCCTCCAACTCCAGTGTCTGTGCCTGGTCTCCTGATGGTCAGTACATCTTGACTGCCACTACTAGCCCCCGTCTTCGCGTGGACAACGGCTTGCGCTTGTGGCACGTCAGCGGTAGCCTCATGTACCACGAGGACATGACTGAGCTGTACGATGTCACGTGGCGTCCCCAGGATGCTGCCCAGATCCCACTGGGTGATCCCTTCACCAAGCTCCCTGTGGCTCACCCCTCCGCTGCCGCCCACCTGGCTACCCGCAAGGCACCTGTGAAACCTGCCGGTGCTTACCGTCCTCCTGGAGCCCGTGGCCAACTGACCCCTCTTGCCTTCAAGCGTGAGGATCAGGGTGGTGCCGCGTTTGTTCGTGATGGTGTTCCCGGCGCCAGCATGAACGGCTTCGGCAAGCCTCGCCGTCGTGAAGTCCCCGGTGCCGAGCCTGTGGATGAGTACCTGCCTCCTGGTGCTGCTCCCGGTGGCGGTGTTCCCCTTCCTCCTGGCGCTGATAACGAGAAGCTCTCTAAGTCCGCCGCCAAGAACAAGAAGAAGCGCGAGGCTGCGAAGAAGGCTCGTGAGGATGGTAACCCAGATAACCAGCCCCCTCCCAACGCTCCCACCGGTCCTAGCCCGAACCGCAACCGCGGTAAGAACAACGGTTCTCCTGTGAATGGAAATGGACCTGCTAAGCAGGCTGCTCCTGCTCCCGCTCCTGCTGCTCCTCCCGCCCCTGTCGCCGCTCCCATTGATTCCTCTGCCCAAGATAAGAAGGTCCGCGGCTTACTGAAGAAGATTCGCGCGATCGACGAGTTGAAGATGCGGTTGGCGGGTGGTGAGAAGCTGGAGGATACTCAGATGAAGAAGATCCAGACTGAGGACTCGGTGCGCAAGGAACTGGATGCCGTTGGATATAGTGGATAAGTTTGGAATCTACATACATGCAATATTGAGACAGTTTTGTGTGGATTGTAGCTTCCTTGGAGACTCGTGCAAATAGGACAGAAGGTCTCACACATGGGCTACATTAGTTACCCATCACCAGTCACCAGTGTATATGTGCATTTACCTCCATATATCCTGTTCATCCAGATGTCGAAAATCACACAGAAATTGATCAGTCATATACAAAGTTCTATGCTATTTACATCAGCCTTAATATTAGATGATAGTAGTACCTAGGTACTTGAACATTCAAGTCCTCTGGATGTTAAGTGTCGTTTCGCTGACTGTATAGACATCCGCCCCTGGAGGTGTAAGGGCTGGATTTTCCCCAAACTTCTCCAACTTTCCTGGGGTTGATCAAACTACCAGGAAAATCGCTCAGATTCCAAGTCCAACTAAATCAGCCTCATGTCTACACCGAACATCTCCGCATCCACTGGCGGATAACAATCATTGGAACAATTGTCCGAGCAACTTCGCTTCTCGCTTCTCGCTTCGACGGGGTCAAAGACCGCAAGTGCAGGGATTACTTCGATACACCCAGTGGAAAAAGCAATCCCGCCATGCATTAGATGAACGAGCAAACCGCATGTGCTGATTATCAATATCAATCACTACGGTCCTCAATATACTCCATGCTCCGACGGCACAGAGACTAATGTACAAGGCTCAGAATGGGAATCCGAAAAAAAGCACCACATGCAATCCACATCACCAAACCGATAGACTTGCGCCGGTGGGAATAACAAAAAAACTCAAACATCCTGTTCATTCGAATTTTCATCCTATCAGAAGATATTAATTGAGGGGAAAACGGTAAAAAAAAAAGGGAAACCGGGCCCCGATTCCTTTTTCCACTTCAGCCGCAAAACTGCCTTCGAATCACACACCTATCACTGTATAGAACTTGACTCCAGTTTCTTGTGATCTATCACATCAGCCTCAGTATCCGCCGGAATGCGAATTTCTCGCCTGACGTGTCCGAGTACTCCACTCAGCTCTGTTTGATTTTGAACTGGGTCTGGACCTTGATCTGGATTTGAACTGGGTATACGTTTACAGTCTATGTCTGCATCTACCCGAATACTTCCAGTTCAAGTTTGAATACTCTAGATCTATCATACCAGTCCAGTTTTATTTACTAGTCGAGGGTCAATGCGAATGCTGACGCACGTTCATTCTAGGCGGTTATCACATTGGATCATCCCGTATCCGATATCTCCAAGCCTCAAGCCTCAATGCACGAGATTGCTTTTTTTTATGTAACTGGTTGAGTTAGGATAGGCTCATGCATGAGGATTCATTCTGTGCATGCGACGTGTTGATATCGATGCTATGTATCTGAGGTTCGAGACCAGCTTGAATTGTGATGATCTGCGCTTTCTTTTACTATTACTGGAAGGAGTATTGAATGTTTGCTATTTTGCGGAGTGCATAGACAGCGATATATGATCGACTTGACTTAGTAGTGTTCAAATGTTTGTTTGTTATTGACTTCCAATGTTTGCTAGATGCTCAGGTGAATGGGGTGTGGATACATGTACTTTTGTTCAAAGATGGGGTATTTCAGCTTCAAGTTGAGGGGTAAAAGAGGCTATTCAGGACTTATTTAAATATGACATGTATGTGGTCTCTGATGTGGCCATGCATATCTACTTGGACTGTAATATCACTCATTTTACATGATCTAGATCGATCGAAATTCAAGCCGAATCACGTCTTCAACTATCAATTCAATCCAATCGATCTTGGATAAGGAGACCCCCCACACTATCTGATAGCCAGGAACAGCTTACGGTTACTTACCCCTCCTTCACCATCTCTCTCACATCTATAAGATCATCCTTCTTCTCCCTCATCTCAGTAAGTTCAAATCAAAGTTTCAAAAGTGTATTACTCACAAAAGTTTTCTTCTCTAACTCTACTCTTTTACCTTCCAGCATAAATTCATAATGTCTAACGACGAAGCCCGCCCGCCCAAGGGTATGACCAACCAACCCTGAGAAAAGAGAATAACATTTGAAACTAACTCTATATCAGTCTGGACTACCCTCATCACAAACACCGACTACCTCCCTGGACTACTCACACTTGACTTCTCCCTCAAAAAAGTCAATTCAAAATACCCCCTCGTCGCTCTCTACACAGACTCCTTTTCCGCTGAAGGTCACAAAGCTCTCGATGCCCGAGGAATCCTAAAACAACGTGTCGACTACCTTCTTCCTTCCACACCAAAAGAATACGATAATGACCCCCGTTTCTACGATTGCTGGTCCAAGTTGACCCCTTTCTCCCTCGTCGAGTATGAACGTGTCGTTCAGTTAGACTCCGATATGCTTGTCTTGAAGAATATGGATGAACTCATGGAAATGGAACTTGATCCTCCTTCTATGGCTGGGAATGGAAACAGAGTCTTCGCAGCGTGTCATGCTTGTGCTTGTAATCCCTTGAACAAGTCTCATTATCCTGCTGATTGGTATGTTCCCTCTATCCTTCCAGGGGTATTGACACATTACTTACTGATTATCAGGATCCCCAAAAATTGCGCGTACACTTCTCAACATTCCACACCAGATGAAGCTCAAATAACAGGTCCGGATCCTAATACCGCGCTTGGAATGCCAAATGGTGGTCTTCAAGTTGTGAACCCATCCAAGGGGATCTATGATAAGATCGTTGCGAGACTTGCGGACACGATAACTTCGAGTTATGATTTCGCGGATCAGTCATTACTCGGTGATGTATTCAGTGGTCGATGGGTTGCGTTACCGTACATCTATAATGCGTTGAAAACGCTAAGATGGGAAGGTGTTCATGATTCTATTTGGAGGGATGGTGAGGTTAAGAATGTGCATTACATTCTTAGTCCGAAGCCTTGGAATGAGTGGGAGTTGCACAGTACTGATTGGTCGGAGTTGGTGAAGAACACGAAGGATAAGTCGCATGTTTGGTGGTTCTCGGTGAACGAGGAGAGGAAAAAGAAGGAGAGGTTACAAGGCATTGTGGACTCCTTTTAGTATCTTGAGAATAGTCTTTAGTTGAGCGTTATCAGTTTTTATAGACATACTTGTTTTTGATCTACATTAGCGTGCATCAAGATACTGGAATTACTAAAGACAAAATTGGAAGCATTGGAACAGTAAATGTATTGGATGAGAACTAGGGCAAGCATCATGATGCCTCCAGGGCTGCCCAGAGGCTCAAAATTGGCACTGGCATAAGCTCAATAAATGTACGCTGGCATTCTACATATGTCCCATCAGGCCATTCACGTTCACATCGACTCTGGACTGCGTTCCTTTCTGGGTGTCATGAATCCGATGTAGATTGTCCAGGATCAGATCAATAAAGATCAGCTGAAAATATCAGACGCATGAACACAGTTGAGATATGCAGGGACTCCAGAGTATCTGCAAACGTTGTAACATCTACCTACTGGATAAACCAATAGGCACATGTTACGACCAGTTTCAAGTGGTCAAGGCCGTACTTGAGCACCAAGTGATGGTTTTGATATATCGCATCCGATACAGAGCTTATTCACTTCCGAAGAAGGAATTTCAAGGCATGGACCTCGCCTTGCGCTCCACCTTACAGCGCGAATCAAGTTCCTAAGACTAAGAAAACATGGTAAGTGATAAGAAATATTTTCAATTAGCATCTCAGCATGGGTATCATCTAGACCGACAGGATATCCTAAATTAAGCAAAGATTCGAGTCCGTTTGATGGGGCTGCCCATGCGATGAGTTCCACCTCCGTTTGCCATGCCATTGAGTAGTCGTCCCATTCCCTCCACGTCGAGCTCGCCTCGTTGGAGCATCAGTTGGTCATTATCGGTGGCGTCTTGTCTCGCAGCCTGAATTGCAGTCAAATCCTCATCGGATTCAACCAGACGCGGGGCCAGAATCATAATCTGATGCTCTGCACAAACCAAAACATCAAATGCTTGTTGATCTGCTGCTCGAGAACGGCGCAAGGGCGCGGGCAGATGGCTGATCGCTTGGAAGTTCTCGCCCATCAAGTTAACATCCTGGAAGGGAGTAACACGCGATCGGTTAGAGGCATCCAAGGTGCCGCTGGCTCGAACAGTGTTGCGCCAGAGCGAGAGTAAGCTAGGAATGATAGCGCTCGAACGGCCGTGGCGCAGCAGAATAGACTCATCTGGGAGTGCATCCCCAGATGAGTTGATTTGGAGGACTGAAATCTGGCCGCGCAAGGACGGGCTCACTTCAGTCATCGACCCCTTCAAAAGAGTATCCTCGCGAACACGTTTTGTAGAAGGAGTCATTGGTGCAAAGCGTGGTCGATGCTCTGCCTCGGATTGCGTGTTAGACGGCGGTGTGGCAATCCGTCCACTGATTGCGTATGTGGTCAGAGAACCACCAGTCACGCCCTCCAAGCTGGACTGGCGATGTAAAGGTCCCTTGGTGGCTCCGGGACCTGCGCCTTCAATATCCCATACACCCCATTCTCCGTCAACAAGAAGAACCATCACAGCCCGGCCACCAAGGACCCAGTCAGCGTCAATGATCGTCTTGCGGCGAGGCAAGCCCATTGTACCCTTTTCAAATCCAGGATACAAGCTGATAAGCCACCGGCCCTCTGCATCAACGGTCTCGTGATCTTCCGGTGCAATAGATCCCCGACGTGGGGCCTTTGAAGCTTTCTGAACCGAAAAGCATGAATAAATCTTGACACATCCACTATGGAAAGCAACCAGCACGCTGGAATGACGCGCTGATGGATATGTTGCGGGATTGAAAGCAATAGCCTGAGCTGGAGATGGCAAAGGACGCCGTTGAGAAACAAGATCCTCTTCTAAAATGTGAAAGAAACCGGATGCCTCCTCGCGAATCGGCAGTCGGTGTATCAGGAGCACTCCAGATCCCTCTGCAGAATGTGTGGCGACGAGAATATCCCATTTTCCAGATCCTCCAACTCGGCCTCGCGATTTGCGACGCTCTTGCTCATCGCTCTCCTGGCATGTGAATGTGAGAGAAACTCCTCGGGGAATATCTTGGTGCGTGACACCCCCGTTGATGGTCAGAGATTGGATATTCCAGCTAGAAGGCTTGGTCTGGGTCGGATGAGGAGGAAGAAGAGGTAGGGTTACAATGCGAGTAGAGAAGTCTGAACAGACTGCCGCAATGACAATTGTGGTCCTTGCGATGTGTGGGAATGGGTCAAGGGGGGATCGTGCTTCTTCTGGGAGAATACGAGGGATGGCCAGATCTAACACATGGCTTCCCAATGGGATATCGATTTGTCGCAAAATGGATTCAAAGGGAAAGGCAGGGTCGACCTCTGTCTCCTCTGGAACGAAATCGTAGGTAGCGTCCTCTTGGCCAGGAGTTGTCTCAGGAGCATCCTCCTCATCAGAGTCAATGATCATAACTTCATCGCCGTCGTTTCCACCACCCGTGCCCTGTGATCGATCCGCCTCTTTCAACTCTGTGAACTCTCTGCCACCTCTCCACACAACCTTCAAACCAGTCTCATTGCCATAGATGATAATAGAGGAGCCGTTGGGAGCTCGAACAGGATAGCCTTTTGCGGCGTGAATGCGGTGCGGGAGTCGATAGCTTTATTTCAAATTAATAACCAGCTCCCAGCTGAGCAGAAAGTGAAAATACATACCTTAGCTGTAATCCATCCTCTCTGGGCCGAACCAGAGGAGTCGAAGGAAATGAAGGCATTGTTAGTGCTAAGTGCAAGAACTTTGAAAGCACAGGCGCCGTAGGCACCTTTGTAGAGGTGCCGGGTTCAATCTCAATGAAATGAGCTCAATTTCAAGGTGCTTTGGCACTATTAAATGTAAGGTAATCAGACGTGGTTGAAGTGCTTGGTTGGGGAGTGGTTGTGTAGAAGAAGAGAGAAAGTTGTTTTGGCCGGGAGGAAAGAACGGAAATCGATTGACCTCAAGCTTGGATGCCGCGTTCCTGCGCGTCCCTCCACCAACATTCAACATTCAACAACTCTTGATAATGCCTATCAGGGTGAACAATTTATTTTGAAGGTCGACTACATGACCATGAAAATGATTCATTCGGAAACTTGGGCCGTCAGAAGATTGTTTATGACGGCGCATCGCGATCACTCGAGCTACTACTAAGCTGCCCAATATGGCTTCCACTCGCTCCCTCGGCCTCCACGAACCCTCCGCCCTCTCCTACTTGGTATTGGAAGGGATACTACCCTCAGAACCCTCAAGAAGTCAATATCAATGGACGACATGTGTGGATGAGAGCGGGTTGACAGGCCCCGCAGATGATGAGCTAGTATGGACAAAACACTGCGCAGTATGGTCTCGCGCAGGGATGGTGAAGAGGGTCTTTCGAATGGATCCAGAAAAGGAGGATATTAGACATGCACTGTTTACTCAATTTGCGTCTCGCCAAGGTGAACGGCCTTCGAGCAATACTGGGTTCAACCAACCTCGCACGCCCACAACCGCAAATGTACACGGAGGACAAGCCAAGCGGTCCGGAAATGACTCAAAGAATGCCAATTTGGGGTCTACATTGAATATTTATGGGGATGATCCAGTGGCAGTTGTCGCGCCGCCGCAAACCCAAGACAAATTGGCGAGAGCAATGGTCGTTGTGCTGAAGTCACAGGCCCATATCTTCTTCATTGCTGGAAACAGCCATATCATTCCTCTTCCATTCGAGGTCGAGTCTGTTTTTTCGACTCCTTGTGGACTTTTGTTTCAAAGAAAAGTCAATGACAATAATGTGGAAGCTCAGCCCCAAATGGCACCACCAAATTCATTCATGACCACTTCGTTCTTCGACCCTGGCGCTTCACAATCGGGCTTCCTGCGACCGCCCAGCTCTGGCAATGGCAAGGAACCGATTCTGAAGCTATCTCTTCCCAAGAAGCCCACAGTGCCTACAAATTCCAACCCAAACGCGGATATTCCGCGGGTCTTCTCCCTCATTGACCCTCATTCTGAAATGGGACTGGTTGTCACTTCACAGTCCTCTCGCTGGCTACATGGAAGTATTAGCAGCACTAAGCGAAAACCATCGGGACTGGAAGTATTGGACCCGGGTGATGAAATCGTTTACATCTCCCCCAAGGATGAACTTTCCGGCTTGAACCAGGTTCCAGCAAACCCATTGATCTTGGTCGTCACAACAAACTCGACCACTGGACTCTTTACAGTCTGGACAGCCCGTTACAGAGAGGATGAGAGCAGTAGTGCAACAAAGGATAAGACAAGGCGACAGACCGAAGGCGCCAGATCCAACAGGCGAAGCTCACATTTCGGCATGACACCTGGTGCCGCGACTCCAGGTGCCCGTACTAGGGAAAGTTTTGGGCCTTGGACGGAAAATTGGAATACATCTCAAGCAACTGACCCCAAACCTGGCGGCGAGGAAGATCTGGCTTCACGCGTTGCACAAGACTTTGGCGACGTTGGAGTCCCTCTAAAAACCTCCAGACGAGTCAGCTCATTACTAGCACGAACTGACTTGGCCACCAGTCAGGACCGTATCACATTCTCGGACCTAGCAACAGGTAGTCAAACTAGCACTATGCATCATCATGGTGGACTGAGACAATCCATTGGAGCTGCCAGTTTGCGCGGAAGCTTTGGATTCAACCCCCGTGCGTCATTGCCCCCAGCAATGGGCTCGGTGTATAGCACTGCAGGCAGCTTTGTGGACGCCCCAGTGGATAGACTTCTCGAGGAACTTAATAATGATGTTCTATCCGAGGGATTTGGTCACATTGCGCTCCGTGAATCAGCATCAGGCCTTCCTGAAGAGCTTTTGCTCACCAAGGTCGAGAGTTTCCCATCCAGATTTGCCGGTAGTTTCCAAAACCCTACCCAACAGCAAGCAGCAAAGCGTCACTTGAAGGTTTGCACACTGTCCTCATCCGACTATGCAAGCACGGAAAATGGGAATGCTACCTCCGTAGCCATTTGCATTCTTGACAAAGATTCACAAACCATGAGCGTTGTCAATTTACGTGCAGAGCGTGTGGCAGTGTCGAAGAATCGCAAGGTTGGATCTGCAAGTTCCAAGAAGGCTAAAAATTCCGAGAGACGACCTTTGCTGGTGCACGCAACGGGTATCCAACATGTCCCAAATGTTGGAGATGTGTGTAGAGTCACCGATGGCGATATCTCACGAATTCTCACTTTGAGTGTATCCGATGCCGGACACCGCGAACTCTCCCTGCAGACTCTTTGGGGCAGCCCTACAAAGATCGACGTTCCCGCTCCATTGCAACTGTACGAGCCTGACGGAATTTCTGCCAACAAACCCGTGAGCCGCTCACGAGAGAGTGGTCTGCACCGAGTCATGGCTGATCCCGATCTCGTTTTCGTGGATTTCGATCATGCATGCTCCAAAGGGAAAGTCGATCTCGTCGACACAGAGAAACGGCGGCACAGACTTCAAATCCGAATGGAGCCTCGCAATCATCTGGTAAAGAAAGTCTTACAAGTTTGCAAGTTTGTTCTCCGTGATTCAGAAAAGGCAGGAGACGGAATGCTCGTTGGCTGGTGGGAGGTCATGAAATGGCTTCGAGGCAAAGAAGATATTGGGAGTGACCTTGAATGGACCGCAATGGTCATCGTTTTGTTTTCATTGGCTTTGCCGTTTATCAAACAGCCTGATACTCGGACATCAGCCAAACGAACACGCCGAAAGAAAAGCCTCCTCCGATCAAGCAGTGGATCTCATGTGGATTTGGAGAGCTGGGAATCCATGCTCGACCTTGAATCAGGGGCTTCCGGCGTTGTTGCTCCGTGGATGGCAAACTCCTCTTGGGGTTGGATTGTTGAGCAAGATGCTATGGAGAACCCAAGCAATCAAGAACCATCACGAGTTCCTAAGAATCAACAACTGAATGCGAGTCGGTCTACATATCGCCCAAATTCCTATTTGCAAAAATGTGCCTCCTTATGCCGTGATTTCCTCCAGAGCCCACAAGGATCCAGAGCAACAGGCCCCGACGGTTTCTTACCTGTTTCTGGCGCCTTCTCTGAAAACACAAGGTGTACTGCGCTGGGTACTATACTAGTTGGTCTACATCTCCTCCGAGAGGAACAGAAACTTTCTATCTGTGACACGGAGGAATCTCAACGCCCCCTTGGACTACTTGCTCCTGTCCTAGCCCAGCTTGGCGGCTGGCTAGGCTGGCAATCGTGGAAATGGGGGCCAGATGCGTACTTTGGTACTGAGATCGCCAGCATAGAGCGCTGGCAGTTTGATGAAACTCGAATTGACTCAGTCAACACACCTGCTGAACCGTTTCCTCCTCCATCAATTTTCGCTTTCCTCATAGACGCTGCTCATCAGACAGCCACCACCTCTACTACCTCTTTTTTGACCCTAATTGATATTGTCAATGCATCTGACCGAGCTCTCAGAAAGGGGCGAGTATGGAAAGAGTGTTTCAATATTACTCCTCGAACATTATCTATGGTTGGATTTCTTTCTGAAGCCTACAAGGTCTCAACTCCGCTGGAAAAGATCAAACTTTTATACCGGTGGGGGTTCACAAAGAGTATCATTGACACTTTCCCCGAAGGTGTGAGTGCACCGCTATACGAAACCGTGATGCGATGCCAAATCGAAGCCTCGACCTCATGGAATGCCACACTGCTGGAACTGATTGATCGGGAGGACCTCTACATGTCTATGAACCCACTTCCAACCCACTCATTCACACCACCTCCGCAACCAGTAGTATCGCATGAAGCTATTCGAGACTTCCATCATATCAGCAGTTCAGCCTTGGAAATTGATGCCATCAACGCCTTTGAGGCATCTGCAGAAGCTGACCGTTTCTCTGTGACTCGTCTGGTATTCCGGGAAGATAAACGTTTCTTAGAAGCAGCTAGACTTCTCAATCAGTCGAAAGCACCTGTGGCGGACTGTTTTCCCGAGCCTGGCTGGTCTGACTCCGATCTACTCGATGCACAAAAAGAAATCGTGCAGCTCGTCTCCTTCCGAACCTTGTCAACCCCTGCTGGTCGTGCCATGCTTTCTTTTAGTGGTCGACTGCCCCTGTTGACAGAAAAATTGCCAATCCCGTCCTTCTCGCTGCAGTGCGTCATGAAGCCATCCAATGTCACTGTAAGTGCCGAAAGATCTGCTTTCACCGAGGAAAAGGTCTGCTGGGCGTTCTTCCATAATGGCGTGTCCACGGGCCTTGCGATCTCCAGGGCTTCCAAGGGCATCGATACTTCATGGATTCTGTTCAACAAGCCCCAAGAGCTGACAAACCGTCATGCTGGCTTCCTACTGGCTCTTGGCCTGAATGGTCATCTAAAGTCTCTCGCAAAGTGGGTTGCTTTCAAGTACTTGACTCCTAAACATACCATGACCTCCATCGGTCTTTTACTTGGTCTTTCAGCGTCTTATATCGGTACCATGGACACATTGATCACTCGATTACTCTCGGTTCACGTTACAAGAATGCTGCCCATTGGAGCTGCGGAACTTAATTTGTCGCCTCTCACGCAGACCGCTGGCATCATGGGTATTGGTTTAATTTACTGTGGTTCCCAGCACCGCCGGATGAGCGAGGTCATGTTGTCTGAAATCGAGAACGTTGACCAGGATGAGCATTCGGCCACTCAAGAAGACCTGCGAGATGAAGGATACCGTCTGGGTGCCGGGTTTGCGCTTGGTCTGATCAACCTTGGCAAGGGCAAAGACTTGAGGGGAATGCGTGATATGCACATTGTGGAACGCTTGCTCGCAATCGCTGTTGGCACCAAGAATGTTGACCTTTCACATGTCCTCGATCGTGCAACAGCAGGAGCGACAGTGGCGATAGCGATCATTTTCATGAAGACCAACGATGCGACCTTGGCCAAGAAGATTGATATCCCTGATACCACTGTGCGGTTTGACTATGTTCGGCCAGATCTCTTCCTTTTACGCACACTTGCGCGACATCTCATCATGTGGGATAGCATCAAGCCGAGTGTAGTATGGTACAAGGAAAGTCTGCCAAAGGTCTACAGAAAACGGTATCGCCTTACCTGTGTCGCCCATCTTCGCAGTGAAGACATGCCTTTCTTTAACATTATTGCTGGACTTTGCTTGGCCCTCGCCCTTCGCTATGCCGGCTCTGGAGATTGTAACGCAAGAGATATGCTACTGTACTACCTGGACCAGTTCATTCGAATCTCACGACTTCCTGCTGTGAGCTACGATGGCAAACTCGCGCGTAATTCGGTTCGCAATTGTCAGGATGTGGTAGCCCTCTGTGCTGCGGCTGTCATGGCCGGTACCGGCGACTTGCATTTGTTTCGGCGTCTGCGATCTCTTCACGGGAGAATAGATGCTGACACGCCTTATGGTAGCCACATGGCAGCGCATATGGCAATTGGCATGCTGTTCCTCGGTGGAGGTAGCTATACGCTTGGTACCTCGGACTTGGCCGTGGCGTCGCTTCTTTGTGCTTTTTACCCCGTCTTCCCAACAAGCGTGCTTGACAACAAATGCCATCTTCAAGCCTTCCGCCACCTTTGGGTCCTTGCTGCAGAGCCGCGTTGTCTTGTCCCTCGAGATCTCGATACTCGGCGTCCGATTTCTGCCCCGATCATCATTACATCTCATCATAGCCCCATCACTACCGACAATGCCCCCTGTATTCTGCCAGATACCAATGAAATTGTGCGCATCGAAGTCCGCAGCCCAGATCACTGGCCCCTCGTCCTTGACTTTAGTCAAGATGACGCTCTTCGTGATAAGTTCCGCCGCGGAGATCCATCTGTTTACCTCCGTCGCAAAGCCACATACAACCCCTCTGACGCTTCAACCTCTGTCTTCGCATCTACTCTGACCGGTCTGAGCGAGGCCCAAGATATTCTGCCTGGCTATGCAGTCACGGCGACCTCTCATCCCGCTAAAAGCTTGCCACCATCTATCCTACAAAACCGTTCCACGTTACCGACAGGATCATTGTCAATGTCTACTGCACCTTCTCAAACGCCATGGGACTGGGTCTTCCAGCTTCCATCTCTTCGAGGTCTTGACATCCGTGAACGCTCACTGGTTCTACCATCTTCCTTCCCAACTCCATCCCCTCGTATCTCTACTGAGCTGGTTACATCTCCTCCCTGGCTCCGTACATCTGCTGTTGATGCCCGTCTTGCCTTGTCACACACCGTACGAAATATCGTCCAATCCGCACGTGGTCGTGGTGCAGAACCAGATCAAGTTCGTGATCATATCTGGCAACTCCGACTTCTATTCGAGTGGTTAGATCGTTCGCAGACTGATGGAAAAGAGAGTCATCTTGATCCTTTCCAAAATCCGGTCCAGACAGAGGCATCTGGTCTCTGGTTGCGGAGGGACTTCATCGAAGATGCTAGATGGCAGATCTGGGGTGTACGGGTGGAAGATCCAGGTGTGTCTGGTGGTGAATAATGAGTTTTTTATGTTGAAGGGATTTTTTCTATTTTCTCTTTCTTTTTTACTTGCATGTACTGGTTATTTTGGGTGTTGCTGTTCTGATCTGAGCAGCTTGGTCTTCCTGTATGATATGATATCCATGGTACGATAATGCATGCTTAACACGATGTGTTACTATACTTGTAGGTGGTCACTAGTAGTCAACATGGACTATGTATTTGTAGATTGCATAAATCCGATCTTTGCTAATTAAAATGATTTGTGCATAAAAGGTACGGAGTACAGTGCTGAAACGATAGCCTCAATCTGTTGAACAGAGATGAAGCTCGGTTAAGCCCTCCCCCGGGTCAATTGGGGGCCAGGGCCCCAGTTTAGCATGTTATTCGAATGTGAAGTTCCAATGAGACAACAGTTCTCCATACATTACGTGGCACAAGCCGGTCTAAGCGAGGTTCAGAGATCCAGCGCGTAAACATCTTGGGGGCCAGAATTGAGGTGGATCTCCACGGCACGACCCGCATATTACGAGGTAGCCAATTGTGATTCCTCCAAGATGGTGATCGACATTATCCAATTTATGCGTATCACGATAGGGCAAGATGGACTAAGTCTGTGAACTGACTAGATTTAATTAAGCAGAACCAGCATTTTAGTTGAATTTAGTCGATTGCAAAGGTAGTTCCCCCTCCTCGCCTTTTAACCTCTGCCATATTCACTATTCCCCAAGTCCTCACGTTCGTTTCTCAATCATCTAACGCCCTGAGCGCTCTAACTAGCGAAAATGATCTTGATCTTTTTGGGCTTGGTAGCCCTTCTCTACTTCGGATGGAGCATGGTGATGATGGAAATTCATTATCGTCGAGCCTCTGAGATGGGCATCCCAGTCGTACGCTTATGCGTCGACGCACAAAACCTCGCTTGGATGATTCTCGAGCCCCATGTTTGGCCATTAATTGAGAAACTACCTTTTCAGCCTTGGTAGCTTTGGGCGTTATTCCCATCTTGGATGGTTCTTTCACGACCGAGGTGACTCCCATCGTCGCTATGGGCCTGTTTGGGCTCTGACAACACCCCGTGAAATCACTCTAATTGTGGCTGAGTCTGAGGCCATTCATATCATTTTTCAAAGACGGACTGATTTTGTTCACCCAAGTATCATGTGTAGTATGTGGAATCAATCTGCACTTGGTGTTCATTGAAACTAATTGCTCCGGTCAATAGTGTTAGAAGTATATGGTCCCTGCATTTCAACAGCTAATGGACTGGACTGGGCGCGTCATCGCAAGATTGTGGCTACTCCATTCAATAAAAATATCATGTCTTATGCCTGGGATGAGAGTGTCGAGCAGAGTCGCCAAATGCTTGATGTCTGGGCTGGAGAAGAGTCGAGCGAGATAACCAGTGTTTCAAAAGACACACGCACGGTTTCATTAAATGTTCTGGCTGCAACTGGATTTCGCAAATCATACCCATTTCGAAGTGTGCAAGAGCAGGATGGTCCGGCGAGTTACCGTGATTCTTTACAAACTATTCTTGATAACGCTATTCTCTTGATGGTTGCCCCGAGAAATCTTCTTGGCATGCCATTTGCACCGAAGTCGTGGCAGGTACTTGGAAAAGCGGCCAAGGACTTCAAAAATCATATGCTCACAATGCTGAATGATGAGACTAAGGCTTTGAATAAAGGCAAGCCTGGATCTGGGAGTCTGATGACGACTCTGGTCCGAGCTATGGATATTCAGAAAGCGAGTACTAAAAACGAAACATCCAATGAACTACAAAAGGGACTCTCAGTCGATGAGATCTTTGGTAACATCTTTGTTATCAATTTTGCTGGTCATGACACGACGGCCAGATGCTGCTTTTGGCTGCATACCCAGAGGTGCAAGATTGGGTAGCGGAGGAGCTGGAATGGATTCCAGAAGATCTTCAAGGGCAATATTCTGAGATATATCCCAAACTGAACAGGTGTAGAGTACTCATGGTTAGTCAATCCATGGATATCAATCATCAAAATGGGAAGATTAATCTGACATAAATAGCTCGAAACTCTCCGCATCTTCCCACCAGTCCCCTCTCTCCCGAAATTGACCTGTGGTTCCCCTCAAACCCTCAAGTTAAAGGATAAAACAATCGTGATCCCTCAAAACTCAGAGCTGCTCATTAATCTGATCAACACTCAAAATAGCTGGACTTACTGGGCAGATCCATTCACCTGGAGACCAGCGCGATGGGTAACGAACTCAGCCACAACCGAGTCTGATGCAGCCCTCTTACTGGAGCCTGAACGAATCCTTACCCCAAAATTGGGTTCGACTGCTCCTGATAATGAACGCCTTGTCACACCTTCGCGATGCACTTATTTCCCCTGGGCTAATGGTGGCCACAGCTGTCCTGGAAACAAGTTTTCCCAGGTTGAATTTGTGGCGGTTATGGCTAAATTGCTACGCCATTACAGAGTACGAGCTGTTCCTAACCCTGGGGAGACCTCTGAACAAACTCGTAATAGGACTTTGGATATTACTCAGGACGTTGACCTTCAGTTGCTTTTGAGGATGAGAGATGGGGACCAGGTGCGCCTAATGTGTGTAAAGGCCCTAAATGAGATATACTTCATATCATGTACTAGATATGATACTAGTAAAGACCAGTTTGATTCCTTAAAGGAACAGTCAATGAATAGTAGTGAAACTTCAGGTGAAACCTGATCAACATTCATGTCACGTTATTTAGTGGTAGGAGCATATTTTGAAGTTCACTTTGGAATGGTACTACTACAAACTTGAACATTTGAACATTTGCTTCCAAAGCTCCAACTTGAACTTGAACTTGAAGTTAACTCCAATCACACATGTTCTTCATCTTGAAACTACACTTGAGCATACTCAAGCCTCAGGCTTGGCACTTTTACACTATCATCACAGTATGGACCTCGCGATGGAATTGAGCGTATTTGGTTTGCTGTCAAACTTACCCAGGATGCAGAAGTCCAATGTGACTATTGAGACGTCAAGCCCGATGTTGATATCTGGCTTTTGAAAAGAAAGGCACCTCCATACACAAACGAGAAAAGCCCCCGATAATTAACTCCGGTTGAAGAAGCCCATGAGACATTCGTCGATTATGGCTGACGCGGTGGTTTATGATTTCGACAAGTTCGGCCCAACTACACAAGCCCACCTCCGCTGGACAAAATTCAATACGGTCATGTTTTTAGCTTGGACACAAAATGTTTGCTCTGGTGAAAGGGAGAAAACCGGATACGAGAGAGATTTGAACTTCAACCCAAACGCTGTCGAAATTGTGTCGACTCCGTCTGAAGATGGCTACCCGATCATGGCAAAAAACACCTACTTCAACTTGAAGAGCTTCATTGCTTCATTGACGACAAAGGCGACACTCAATTCAACCGAGAATAGGCACAATTCCGAGCCATGAATTTCACATCGAGTCCGTTGGAGTCAAGTTTGCAGATTTCAAATGCATAGGACCCGAATATCACAACGTCCAAGATTTTGTTCTGAAGGACAGCCTGACTTCGTTAAGAATTGTTGGTGAAAACAAGACACATTGGATAAATGACCACAGCATAAGCAGAGCTTATGATGAGGCAAGCCTTCTTCGAAGGATAGCCCAACCGATCCACCTGAATACATGAAAGATCTCAAGTGTGATTATCTCGTGTTGACCACATACGATGAAACCATCTTTCTGTGACAAGAGAACATTATTGGAACCTGGGATATTTGGACTGGGCAATATGTTATATTCCGTCCATTTTTGACCAGCAGACTTCAAGTTGGTTTCAGGGAAACAAATTCCTTCACTTCCACCTGGGCAAAATTGTGGTTTCTTGGAGTTCCGCTTTGAATGCTTCAAGGTCAACTGGTTTGAATCACAATCGGTGGATCGTATCCACGAGCAAGGCAGATCAATATTTGAAATCCGTGAGATATACAGAGAACACTTGGTTATGAAGGGGTACCACTTGCAAGACGGGGCCTTTGGCCCTTAAAAATGCTTCTTTTTTACGCCTCACCTCCATGGAAATTGGGATGCACCTAATATCCTTTCCACCCAGTGATATTTATTCAGAATGCACAGAGTTCAAGATCATGGTCATCAAAAATTACCCTTTTACGAAAATTGATTTTCGTGAATTTGAATTGGCCAGTTCCTACATAGGGGTCCATAAGTACGTGCACACTTTTTAATTCCGCACCCCACTGAAATGATTACAATTTTTCAACTACCCACGATTCAATCAAAATGCGTTGTTTTAGCGCTGAATTACCTCAATTTACAAGATCCGCTATATTATATGGCCTAGAAGGTTGGGCGAAAACCCACACAAATCGCTCGCGATTTTCAGATCTCCCGCCGCGTTGTTTACAAGATCAAAACGGAGTTTCAAAACAACAATTCTTTTATTTCTAAGCCTCGACCAGGGCGGCCTTCGAAGCTTTCGCCATCAGATCGTCGATATATATATCGCTTAGTTCGCCTATATATCGCTTAGTTCGCCGGAACCCGATTATGTTACAAAGCGCTACAAGTTGATACCGGTTTTAATGTATCAAAATCGACTTTGAAACGCGTGTTAAAACGATATAATATCAAAAAATGGGTTTTAAAGAACCGGATATTCCTAAATAACTATGACGTGTAACGATAATGAGAGTTCTGTCGAAAGTACGTAGTTATAAATTATTGACTTTAACGATTTTATCTTTTTGGATAAGTATTCCGTACAACGGAAATTGAATAATATCCATCAACATGTCGTTTTATTAAAAAATAAAAGATATCGGAAGGATCTTATTAATCTGATTAATCATGATCAGGATCTTTGTTAAATGGTTTAGGGAGCTATGTGGCTTGGTGGCCGGTCAAAATTGATCATTATAGAACAAGACCCCCTATCAAAAAAAAAACAGTTATACTACGAATTCTTATCTCAACGCCCTTAAAGAGGGTTTGATTCCAGTTTATCAACCAGGAATTATCTTTCAGCAGGATAACACATCAATTCATACGGCAGAAATCTCGAAAAATTGGTTTGAAACTCATGGTGTTGAAGTGCTTGAATGGCCTCCACATTCTCCCGATCTTAACCCTATTGAAAATGTGTGGAATTTATTGAAACAAAAGTTATTTGAGCTTTATCCCCAGCTGGCACACCGAGGAAAAGCAAAATTAAATTGGACTGAATTTCGTGCAGCTTTACTACATACGTGGGAGTCTCTTGATCAAGAAAAAATCGATCGTTTTATTATGAGCTTACCACGTCGGATTCGTGCGGTTAAAAAGGCAAAAGGATGGTATACAAAGTATTAATATATATCTATAAAATATTATATTATATATATTATATTGTGGTTGGTAATTACCAATTTCAAAGTTCAAAATTGCTGCACAGATTTATGGACCCCTATGTACAAATGAAGAAAAGCTGGGTATTGGCGCTCAGTCCCAAAGGATGCTCGTGAACATGCAGATCCATGCGATTGATTTCCTTTACATGCTCCCTCGTCTAATATTCATACCCCTGGGAGAGTACACGCATCCGTCGAGCTGTCTTCAGTCTAGGAGTTGAAACCAATGAATCTACCACACGGATGGTACTTGATGCTTTGCTCTTACATGCGCATGAAATTGTCACTGGCACGGTCATGAATGGCCCTCCCAGGATTTCCCCACAACCCGAAAAGGAATGGTCCATTAGCTGATTTGTGGGCAATATTGCGGTCAGCAGTTATCACCGAGTGCAATGCATCAAACCAAAGACCTCTTCGAGTGGACGCGACGGCATCAGCGAGAGCTTGACCGGTTAAAAGCATTCAAGAGATCGCGCTCCAAAAACCGTGTTGACAATATAGCGACTGCGGCTCAGCACAGTGGCCCGGAAGTGAGTGGCGAAGGCCTGAATGCACCCTTTGACCAACATGTAAGTTGGCTCCTACTCTGTGTATTGGGCCAACTTGAGATATATGGACTTCTCAAACCGGGATTCCAAAGCCTCGAGGTCCGGCTGGCTGAATACACCAAGAGCGATGGAGAGTCTGAGGCTCGCAATCTGTGAGAAGAGAACGAAGGAAAATGCAGAAGAAAAAGAAATCACTGTGGACCGATGTAGTTCAAGGTCGTTCAGGACCGGACGCAATGGGCAATGGTAAATAGAGTCCTGTCGGTCCTTCCTTTTACTCAGTGCCCGCAAGAAAATACAGAGAAGGAAATTTTTGGTTTGACCTGAGTCTCTAACTTGCATACCATATTGGCAGCGCCTGTATAGATCATTGTATGAGATTCAAGTTGATTCTTAAGAAGATGAGTGTATTTATTTCACAACGTTGAACTTGCACCTTCATATTGAGCTTTTATAATGAAAAAAGTCGAATCATCTGCTGTTCAGGTGTTGTCTTCCCCAAAATTCGACTTCACAGAGGTGATATTCAGGGATTGGTCTGGGTGTGGTATTGTGCCAAATCCGAAACCAGCCCACAGGCACAGTGGTAGAGCCAGCGAGCTTGCTTGATGAAATGCCAATCATGTTCATCTCATTCAGCCTTGCCCATGCAGAGACTTGGTACTACTTTACCGGCGAGCCAGAGATGCTGGTTGTTCAACTGGCGCTTTTAGCCACTACATAGTAGAGTATTATAAGCAATCTTTACAACATTGAAGAATCTATCTCGTAATAGAGAGCTTGAATATTCAAGTAATTTACAACAATGGAGTCCTCCAATCTGAGCTCAGTATAAAAATTGAATGATTTGGAAAAAGGAATCGTCGTGGTTTCACCCTTATTCAAATGGTAGTAAACATAGTCCTAAATGCCAAAATGAACGTAAGGGACCCAATTTAGTGGCAAATGCTCATATAATTCCGCGGTTCTTAAATCTCGCATCCCAGTTTCGCATGAAAGTCCTTGCTTCGTCATCATTGAAGCATTTCTAGTATCTTGTGAAACTTGAAGTGCCTTCCGATTATCTGCTCTAGTTATACTGTCCGAAATCCATAGCTCACGGAGATTCATGGTTGCGCGATGAAGACCTTCACTAACGGACTCGTCACTCATACTTCTCTCATGCAAGCAATTGTATAATGTTGTTGCAGCCTCCACACATGATCTATCGTTGACCTCCCATAAGGTCCCAATAACATGTCGGAAGCCAGCAATCTGATATGCGGCGATCAGATGAAGCGCCTCGTCGATAAGCACATCATTCTTGACTTGTCCGGTTCCGCATGCTGATAGGTAGGCGAGGAATGGCATGCGGTCAAGGAGGTTGGTCTCGAAGAGATCTGATACTACTAATGGCTCGCTGTGCAGAACCAAAGAGCTTTTTGACGGATCTGTGGGGTCACTTTCACCGTGACCGGCAAAATGGAATAAATCGCAGTCATTTAAAGCGGAAAGAATATCTTCTCGGTAAGGCTGAGGTTTGGATACTTTGAGCTTCAAGGAGCTACAAAGGTGCTCCACCCTTTCCATCTCTAGTGGCACAAATGAAAGGTCTTTGAGACCGGGTGTTTTCCCTACACCAACTAGAACGGCTTTTTGCAAACCCCTTTCCTTAACAGGAGTAACATGTCGACGGCGATTTTGCAAAAGTGCACTGATAGAAGAGCTATAAGACGAAATCACTCGATCTATGACAGTGTTGGAACCGTGGAAATGATACCCTGCTGCGTGGATAGGAAGTTGAGCCAGAGGCCCAGTTGGAATCCACCAAATTCGAGGCAAGTGGTCAACAGGCGCTGTGGTGAGTCCTAGCGCGTCAAGAATGGGCTTTGCAATCATGTCCCAGAGCCATTCCAGTAAACGTACATCCGGCGTACCCATATTCCTTAGATCAGCTGCTCGAACTTGAACATCGGTGTACTTAAGATCAGGCAGTGGTAGGGACTTGAGCTCGTTTTTGTCAACTATCAGTGCATCACATCGATTCATGCTGATATTTATGATCACAATCGGTCCTAAGCTGGCGGCTGCCTTGATTTCTTCCTCAGACGGGGCCATGAGAAATCTATCGAAGCCGGGTAAGGACCGTATGGTCTGAATTGTGGTCTCCAGTTTCTCGCTGGCATTATGACGTTGATTAAGATGGTGGGCTATCGCCGTCTGCATACCAGTCTGATCAACTAAGGGAGTTGGCGCATTCAATTGATCCCGAAGTTGGATGAATTCTTCTGCTAACTGAGGATGTTCCTGTTGAAGGTCGGACATGTCGATCCGCATTTCATTTATGGAATCAAGAATGACCCCACGGCCAAGCTCAAGCAATCGCAAGGCCTCATATGGAGGTTTCCCTACCATCAGGGCTATCGCGGCCGCATCTGAAGCTTCACCACTCACTTGAACGAGCAGGTGTTGCTTATCTGAAATATCGAGAGAGCGAGGTGTGAGCTGAGATATGAGAGACATTGCAGCAGATGAGGTTTCATATGCCGATGACCAATTGCCGGCTATAAGCTGTAGTGAGATTAACTTGATGCTAATGTCTATGCGAACAGGCGTGAGAGATAAAGGATAATCAAATCCCGTCGTAAAGGCTTGAGTAGCTAGCTCTAGATCTGTCTTAGATCCTGTTCTTGAGTATCTCTCTTGATATACGTTGCCGAGATTCTGGAACCGATCTGCCCGCTCTGGGTGGGTTTCTGGTGTTGCCTCGAGGGCCTCCTGGAAGTATTGAATTGCCAGCTCCAAATCCGAAAAATCTGTTTCGTCTCCTGCGAGGTATCTGTCATAGTATCCAGTACCGAGAGATTGGAGCTGACTTGCCCGATCTGGGTGGTCCTTTGGTGTTGCCTCAAGGGCCTCCTGGAAGTATTGAATAGCTAGCTCCAGATCTGGTTTAGCTTTTTTGTTCTGCATATGGTATCTCTCACGGTATCCATATCCAAGATTCTGGAGGTGAGCTGCCCGGTCTGGGTGGTCTTCAACTTTTGATGTAGCCTCAAGGGCGTCTTGATATTGTCGAATAGCCAGATCTAGGTCTGTCTTGGCTCTTGTTCGTATGTATCTATCGTGGTATCCGTTACCAAGATTCTGTAAACGACCTGCCTGATCTGGATGATCCTTTGGTGTAGCATTGAGGGCAGCCTGAGCTTGTTGAATAGCCAGTTCTAGATCCATCATAGACCCTGTTCTCAGGTATCTCTCACGGTATCCGCTTCCAATATTCTGGTGCTGACCTGCCCGATCTAGGTGGTCGCCTGGTTCAGCCTCCAGGACCTCTAGCCAGGTTTTGATAGCTAGCTCTAGATCTTTCCCATTTCCTGTTCTCTTATACCTCTCAAGATATCCACTCCCAAGATTCTGCAGGTGAGGCTGCTGAGCCAATAGAGGGCTCTTTGATGTAGCCTGAACGGCATCCTGATATTGTTGAATTGCCAACTCTAGATCTGTCTCAGCTCCTCTTCGTATATACCTATCATGGTAGCCATTGCCAAGATGCTGGAGCCGAGTTGCCCAGTCCGGATGGTCCTTTGGTGTAGCCAGAAGGGCATCTTGATATTTTTGGATGGCCAGCTCTAGATCTGACTCAGCTCCTGTTCTGAGGTATCTCTCACGGTATCCATTTCCAAGATCCTGAAGGCAACCTGCCCACCCTGGGTGGTTTTTTGGTGTCGCCTCAAGGGCTTTTTGGCACTGGTCGATAGCTAACACTAGATCAGCCTCAGCCCCTGTGCTGAGGTATCTATCATGATAAGCATTTCCAAGACTATGAAACCGGCCTGCCTGCTCTGGGTGCCAGTGGTCTTTTGGTGTAACCTCAAGGGCGCTTTGATATTGTTGAATAGCCAGCTCTAGGTCTGTCTTATCTCCTGCTCTTCGGTATTTATCATGATATCCACTTCCAAGTGCATGGAGCCGAATTGCCCAATCTGAGTCGTCTTTTGGTGTTGCGTCGAGGGCCTCTTTGTATCGTTGAATAGCCAGCTCTATATCTTTATAGACCCCACTTCCTAGGTATCTAGTATGATACCTTTTACCAAGAGTTTGGAGCTGATTTGACCAATTTGGATGGTCATTTGATATAGCGTCAAGTTTATCTTGCTCTTGTTGAATCTGAATGGCCAGTTCTAGGTCGGCATCATCATCTTCTGCTTGGTGGCTTTCATGGTATCCACCTCCAAGACATTCAAGTCGAATGAGCCACTTTGGGTCATCCTCTGGTGTAGCCTCAAGTGCCATCCGGAAATGATCCATGGCTAGATCTATATCTTCATCGCTTCCTGTTCTCTGGGATATCTTGAAGTATAAAACCCCAAGGTTCTGAAGTCGATCTGCCCGGTTTGGGTCATCATGTGGTGTAGCATCCACCCCCTCTTGGAAGTATTGAATAGATAAGTCTCGATCTATCTCGGTTCCTGATCTTTCGTATCGATCGCAATACACAATCCCGAGATTTTGCAGCCGACCTGGCCACCGTGGGTGATCTTTTGGAGTAGCTTCGAGGAGCTGCTGAAATGCTTGAATAGCCAAGTCTAGGTCCTGTTCAGCTCCTGACTCAAGGTATCTTTCATGATATCTATCTGCGAGATCCTGGAGCCGATCTCCCCACTCGGGGTGGTCCTTTGGCGTAGCCTCGAAGGCCTCTTGGTGTTGTTGAATCACGAGCTGAAGATCCATATGTAGTACTTATGAGTCGTTATGGTAATAAAAATATGCGTAACTCCGAGTCTCCAATAATGACTTAAAGGAAGCTGATAATGGGTAGGAGCCATGTAGGTTTATCTATCTCTCCCACTGATGGCACCTGGGTCACTGCCCTACGCTGGCGCCTTACATATTAGGTATCCAATCAATTCTCTTTACCCCGCTTAATGTTCTTGAATCCGTATCCTGCAGGCTGCGCCCTCGACGATCGCTGCGCCGCATTGCCCGGGTAATTAGAACTTGAAGTTACATCTCATGACTCGGAACTCCCTGGAACTTTCTCTGATTGGTGCCTTTCAGCCGCCCGGTTATAGCGTGGCGCTCTCAACTACCCAATCTTCTGCTTCGTATCCACAGAAACCGAGAGACTAGGAGACTAGGAGACTAGGGGGACCTGCGAACCACTACGCCATCCAGCCTGAGAAGGCCAGCAGGCTCCTGGGGGCCAACCGGCTAGGACGGCCCCGGGGGCAGAACTACGTGTTATCATTCATGTGACCAAAGAAGAAGGTGAATTTTCAGCGCTGCCTGAAGATCCCCTGAAGATTCTGTGTTGGGTCTGCGACGCAGAAAACAGCGAAAGTCAAATGACACGGTTCCCGAGGCTTGAACCAGGACGCATTAAGCGATGAGCCCCGAGGCTTATCGAATAATGGCAAGGATTGGATACATAAGGATACTCATTGGGCAGCAGTTATTTACTTCTTTGCGCTCAGTCCTCATTGTTACATTGGAGCCACCATATCGGAATACATTTCGATATGCACCTTATGCTGAGCTGCTCCCAGAGACAAATCCTATCTGCACAGTGGCATATCTAGTAGAAGCATGGACGAGTCAGATATCTTACCTCATTTGGAATGAAAGCGCAACTTACGTCGCTCCTAAAAGGATCAATTCGATCGTTTTAGATCTTGTTAACAATGAGAAAATCAAGAGGAAAACCATCGTAGATGCTATAACGGTGATGATCCGCCCAGCAGTGCTGCTAATAAGGTTGCATATCACAACTGGACCTAGTAGTAGGAGTAATATCAGGAGTAATAATATTGCTTTGGCCGTGTCTCGAATATGCGTGCCAGAATGTATATAAACATTGGGATCTCTCGAAATGTTGTGAAAATGGCTCTTTATAGTCAATAGTCAGCTTGATCTACTAGTGTTTCACTGCAGTCCTTACTTTTTGGAAACTCGGAAAAAGTCGAATGACCTTGTCCTCAACCCATGTTTCGAGCTGCATCATCGCACTGTCACCAGCAGGAGCTAGGGACATCAGCTCATGAGAGTGCGCAAGGTATGAAGTTTCCTCTCGGGCCAGAGACCCAGTGCTTTCCAACCAGTTATGCAGACTCTCGATATCTCTTGAAGATGGAGAACCAAAACTTTGCATGCGGCTTGTTCTCTCTATGAACTGGTCTAAATTTTGTTAGCAGTTTGTGTGATATTTTATCGATACCTGCGTACCATAATCAGCAAGAGATGCATCAATTTCTGATAGAAGAGATATCCTTTCCGCGTTTCTATCAATTCGACTTTTCCCGAGGTAAAGAGGCGCGACCTCTAGATGATCCACTTGTTCAAGTTTCTCCTCAAGGATAGACAGTTTATCTTGCTTCTGCAAAAGGAGTCGAGCTCGAAGCCAGTCAAATCTCCTGCATAAAAAGTATGCATTATGTGCTGAAAGAAGCGCAGCATAACGGGGATATCCGGGCCTGTAATCCTCAACTAGGCATGTTAGAATACCTCAAGTGCTCCGTAAGAGAAAGGGAAAAGAGTACACACTCTTTCTGGTTGATGTCTCATCTGGTGTGGCGGATTTCGAGCTTTCCCATATAGGAAGATCAGATTGGGGGTGTGTCATGTTTAAAGAGAACTTGAATTTATGAGTTAACACTTCAAATCGAATATAAGATCATATTCTTTTAGTCTTTATGCGGCTAAGGCGTGTTAAGTATAATAATGCCCGTGGGTTAATTCATGCATGACGGATTGACGCAATATGCATAAGTGCCTGATGATGATGCACATGTGCATTTAACACCTTCAGAACAGCACTTGAGCACTTGAGTCACCGTGTCTGCCTTGCCAACTACAAGGCAGATTTTTGCGTTAGGCTAACTGCCATATATAGCCCCTTATCTTCTAGAAATATTTTAGTCCCTTTATCTGGGCCAGCAAAATTCCTATGTAACATTAAAGCGTCGCCACTATTCTCTGAGAACCATCCTTTCAACATTTTTTTTCCAACAATCAATATGTCTTCTGAGGCGTATGTATACTAGCCTTTCATAGTCTATGTAATATTCTGACTGAATCAGGGAAACAAAAGATAATTTCGTCTTCTCAGATGAGGAAGACCGCCCATATATCGCTAGCTCTGGTCTGGTGCGTTACTAGCCACCCGGGCAACAGGTTACAAAGTAGTATTTACTAATCAAGTTCATATATAGAATCCAAGGTTTCGCGTAGGAGATAAAGTCTATCTGCTAGACTCTGATGGATCTCGTGATGGTCCTTACCTTGTGGGGTCAGTAATTTCTGCTCACGAGTGTATTCTCAGCCTCGAAAACGGGCGGACTGCCAGGGACAACGAGATAATAAAGATGGCGAGACTTGAGTCTGCATGAGAGAAGGGAGAATTGTACATCTTTCTCAATAGGATCTTTCCACGTCAATAACCCTGGAAGAGATAATAAGTAATGATAAGTAATAGCAAGAGATGTTTAAATGGCTTGCACAGCCCCAATCATCTTTCTGCCCAACAGCATTTATGGCAGTGTATATCACCAGTTCTCCACCTTCTTCTCTTAAGGTTCCCTCCCCAATCTCCTTCTCTGACAATAAATCAGTACTCTCGTTACTAACCTTCCAAGGTCAAGTAAGCACAGTTTTTGAACTTTTCTCAATCCTTAGTTGACCAATATACAGCAAACAGGACCTACTTTGGATCCTTGTAGCTTGCGTTAGCGTCCTTCCGCTGTCATGGACAATCAGCATGCGGTAGCAAGGCATTATGCGATCCTTATCGGCATTGATGCCTATCCTTGCGGGTCCTTGACCAGCTGCGTACGAGATGTAACAAAGATCAAGCAATGCCTCGAAGATAAACTGAGTTCGGTGCATGTCCGGACATTGACAGCAAGCAAGAGTCTCGATCCGAGGACAGTTAATCCCCTTGAAACCCCAGAGAACTGGCCAACATATCGCAATGTGACCTCAGCCTTTGAAGAAGTTACATCTCATGCAGAACCAGGAGATTTCGTTTACATTCATTACTCAGGGCACGGCACTAGACTGACTCCGTGCTTTGACTTCTCCAACCAGTCCACCGGGGATTTGGCTCTGGTTCTTCTCAAAGGAGATCAAAGCCCTGAGATGTATCTTCGTGGAGCGCGACTGGCCCGCTTCCTCAAAGACATGGTCGATAAGAAATTGATAGTCACTCTTGTTCTGGACTGTTGTTTCTCTGCGACCGTATACCGCAATGGTGGACCCAGTGTCCGATATCTCCCATACGACCTCGCGACGGACTCGGACTCAGTATCTTCATCAGATTTCGAGATTAGCTTCATAGATAGAGATACTTGTTCTGAGAAACGGACTGTATCTATGCGCGATAACTGGTTGCTGGAACCGGATCGCTATGCCATCCTCGCCGCTTGTGGGCCTGACGAGAACGCTAAGGGCGGTTCTGAGAAAGGGTTAACATACGGAGCTTTGTCCTATTTCTTATTCCGAGCGCTCTCTGATCATGGACTCGGGAGGACACACGAGGAAATATATCGTCATATACGAGCTATGTTCTGGGAGTCCTCCATGGCGCAACATCCCGTGCTATATGGAAACGGCTACCAGGGCTTCTTCGGTCCACTCAAATCGCACTGCCCTGTAAGGTCAATCAGCATCATCAAGCGTGAAAGAAACCTTCAGCTACTGACTGGCAAAGCGCACGGTATCCGTGATGGAGATCAGTTTACCGTATATCCTTCAAGATGGACAAGCGGTGATGGTGATAAGGAAACGTCTATCGCCAAGGTCATCTGTGCCAAAGCTCTTACATCCCAGTTGGAGTTAATAGGGCCCCAGTGCAACCTTCAAACAGGGTTCATCGCGGTGCCACTCACTTGCGCGTGTCTCGCGAGTTTTCCCATCAACCTGGCACCCAACCTTCCGCAGCGTGAGGAATGGCTAGCAGCGCTAAAGACACGTTCGCTTAGTACCGGCACTGACCAAATTCCGACCCTCCAGGTCATGCTAAACAACATCGACGAATATGAAATATTGGACAACTTGGGTCGGAAGCTCGTCAATCTACCAGCCATGCCTCGCGACCAAGTGAATACTAGTCGCATGTGTGATGTGCTAGAGCATTTGACTCGGTTCATGATGTTCAAGGACTTGAATAATCAGGTACCCAAGGCTGCATTCCGAGCATCATTTGATATTCAAATAGCTTCGGACAGAGCAGTATTCAGTCCAGAAGAACAGATCGAAGTGCGGCACAACAGCATCATGGAAGTTTCCATAATCAATAAGGGAGATACAGCTCTATATGCACATATGTACAATCTAGACTCCTCTTGGAGGGTCAAAGGAATGCTCTATGCAACTTACGAGACTATTCTTCCAAGAAAGAATGCGTGCAACGGCGACTTATCATATCTGGGCAGGTTTTCAAAGAAGATCAAGATGACAGTTCCTCCAATGATGAGGGAGTATGGTTCGTGTGAGGACATCATTAAAGTCTTCGTAACTTCCCAGCCGACATCATTTGACTTGCTAGAGTTGCCAAATCTTCATGGGCTAGTGAGTACGATTGCGGAGGCGAGGCTGAGCCATTCAAGTTCTAATAGCCATGTCTCAGAGGATTGGGTAGCATTGAGCTTCCCTATCCGTACATTAGTCTGAATGAGAGCGATAATGATGGTTTTTTTTTCTATACTATAACTCCGGAAATTTGCCAGATGTACACTGGCAGGAACAAAGTCTAACCTCATTTACATAGAATGATATCAGTATATCGCTGGCAGAGTGTATTCAAGCTTCATATTCAGATTATAATCGACAGCCATATTCACAGGCCTTAGAAAGACTGAAAAATTTAAACCAGAGTATATAATAGATCCATAGCTCAACCTACTGAGACCGAATCTGTCCCTCCTTCAAGAATCCCCGATCACCACCACCACCTTTCTGCCACAACCAAACCCCCTCAACAGCCCACGCAGCAGCACTAGCATGACGCCCAATCCCAGATGCAACAGGCATCTGCCCTTCATCGCCTTCTTTCTGTCCACTCTTCCGGTTCCGTTCAGGAAACTGTCCTGCCGCACCATCTGCTTCAGCTAACATCCCTCCAACAACCCCTTCCTTCTCGATGACATGCCATAATCCCTCAGAAATGGGTCCACCCCGATCTCCGAATTCTGCTCGCCCAAGTCGGAATAGAATCCTTCCAATAACTTGCCATGCAATACAACGCTGAGCGGGGAATGTGGACCGAGATAGAATGGCTAATTCGGGGATGGTATACCCCGCTGCATGCGGATCATCGCCATGGTGATGTAAACCCATTGTAGTAGGTAATGAAAGCGAGGTTTCCGGTGCGAGGATGGTACCGCGTAGCGAGAACCGAATTGCGGAGGGCACAATGGCGATTGCGTCGCTGGTGGGGTGGTAGGGCGATTTAGAATCTGGGTCTTCTTCGTCGGCGGAAAGTGGTTTTAGCCAGGATAAGGCGGCTGGGTCGTGAGATAGTTCGGGGAAGTAGTGTGTTTGCATATCACTGAGGAAGTTCGGGGAGTTGGGGTCTAGTGTTGGCATTGGTTGCTTGGGCTGTGGGAAGTGGAAGGTCTCGAGGATTGCTGGGTCGAGGGATGGGTATTCAGATGCGGGGTGAAGGTCTTGGGGGAGACTCGTTGGTGGAAGGTCATCGTTAAGGAATTTCCTGGATGTGGAAATTGGTTTTGGGCGTGGTGAGTCTTTTTGAGATGTTGAAGCTGGAGCCGGGGCCCGAGCTGGAGCTGGGATGTCGAAGGAGACTGATTTCTTTGGCTTTGGTGCCTCTGCTTCGTCCTCTGCTTCGTCCTCTACTTCTGGCTTTGGTGGAGGCTTCGGTTTCGACTCTTCGGTTGAAGGGTCATCGTGGATTTTTGCTCGGCGTAGAAATCGTTCCAGTAGGCTCGGATCCATCGAAGCGATCAGTTCTTCCCGTTCGTGCTCGATCTGTTTCTCTGACATGTTTGCCAGCTGCAGGCTGTTCTGCTCCGCGATGGATTTCTTGTCATCTTGCGGGGTGGGCGTCACGCTTTCTTCAAAAGGTGTCTCAGTCTGTTTCGCGGCAGATTGCTCAGCACGTCGCTGCTTGAAAGAGGACGGCTTGTTGCGTCGTCGGTGGGCGGGGAAGCCGGTGGAAGAAGCGGTGGGAGTGGGCGCTGGGGGAGCGGCGGGGGCTGGATTTCGCTCTTTGATCTCTCCAATCAAGGAGAATGGATTAAGAATCGGGTTCTCTGGTGGAAAACCTTCATCATCGTCCAAGTCCAGCACAAAACGTTCACCTTGAAAAGCCATGATTGTTTGCTGGAGAGAAAAAGGGAAGTTATGTCAGCGCGGGGCCTGCGGCTCAAAAAAGCTAAAAATGGGGATGCATCAGACTAACCTATTTGGGACTAGTGGATGACATGGTCACGCTATTCCTTAAATGGATATCATGCGCAACCCAATTAGGAAAGTCTGCCAACGCTTCTAGTCCTTGATGATCTAACTGGGCCGTCATGCATAAATCTCTCAATCTATAATGAATTATGATATCAATTATTATTTCTGGTCTTTTGTCTCATATCAGCTGTAGTCTAGATCAATCCAAGATCTAATTATAGAGCTGGGTGACAGCTGCCTTGATCTGGTACTGAATCCCGGTCAGCCGGCATGGAAATGGTGAACAGTAGAATACTTGGTAGTAGAACGGTTGAATAGAGAGAATGCACTAATATCTATGATCCATATCTTTAGTTTAATCTGATTGATCTGATTGTACTCTCATTTTAAATTGAATCACTTATCTAAACGGTATATCAATTAGATCATATGTACTCCATAGACTCTACTCTATTGTACTCTATTGTATTCCGTGCACTATCCGCCCCACTAACGCCAGATCCGCGCGCATGGAATGGCTTCATTACAAGTTCTTCAACTCCTGAAGATGGAATTCTCAATGATTATATAGTATTATCAAGTCTATAAAAATGAAGGACACTTTTATCTCAATTCATCTCTTCTAATTATTATCTCCTTACTTGAAACATTACCCCATTGTATATTGATCTAAACCTGATATCTTTCTTCTTGTCCCATACCTAGGTAATCAATTTACTCCTTGTTCCTTGTTCGCCTTGTTCCCCTTTCTTTTTTTCTCTTTTTCTTTTTCCCCAATCCCTTTCTTTCCCTGTTCACCTTCCATCCTTCCAAGGGTTCCCCTCCGCTGTCAAATTTCCATGTTTCCATCCATGTTGATGTTCCCGAGTGTCTGAAACAGGAGTATTAAGATCTCTTATCACTTCTTCATTCCCTCTTTTTCATTTGGATTTTCTTGTTTTCGTTTTCCCTTCAATTTACCCTTTACCCCGACCGGGTTCCTCCACATCCCCCAATCCCCCCAATCCATTCGCCTGATTTGCCCGATTTCCTCTTATCATAATTCCTTTGTTGCCACCATGTCCACGGATTCACCTGTCCCGGGTGTACCAAAAGAAGATGGAACGCCGCTCTCTGTCAAAGATACTCCCACCACTCGACGTGCTTCTGGTGCTAGACGGTCGCGTCGGAAGAAGGATGAAGAGGCTACACCCAGCAAGCCCATCGAGACTCCAAAACCGAAGAAGGAGCCAAAAGAACCAAAGGAACCAAAGGAACCAAAGGAGCCTAAGGAGCCTAAGGAGAAACCAGCTCGAGTACCTCGTCGACCAAGAGAAAAATCCAACGCCACGCCCGCGTCTCGGAAGAAGCCCAAGCTGGAGCAAACAGTAGAAGCCACACCCGTGGCCGCGGCCGCGGCACCTGCTGCTACACCAGTCAAACCTGAAAGTCCCCAAACACAGCCGCAGCCATCACCACAACCACCAGTCCAAGCTCAAGCTCCAGCTCAACCACCTACTCAACCTCAATCTCAACCGCAACCGCAAGCTCAAGCTGTGCCAACTCCTCCACCTACATTGGCTGCAACACCATCCTACCCAAGCCCACTCCAGGTCTCACCCGCTACAGGTTCCAATTATCCGCTAGCGCAGCCATACCCTCCACGACCGCAATCACAACCACCGCCTCCAAGTCAAGCTCCTCCCCGAACCAGTGGCCAAAACTTCGATCCCATCCGATCAGTTGTTGATAATCCGTCCCCCGCTCCGGCCTATAGTCCGACACAGGCTAGATCACCACAAACTCTTAACTACCGTGCTAGCGCATCGCCTGCCATATCCAGCATCATTGATCCTGCCCCGCAAAATACACGCTACACCCCCCTGCCGCGATCATCCTCCGCTCATGTCTCAGCTGTGTCCTCTCCAGTGCCAACACCGAATGTGTCCCTAGCACCCTCTGCGATCTCCATGTCCTCGCCGTCGCATGGAGCTGTTCACGTGCCGGCGCCGTTACAATCATCCAGTCATTACAGTACACCATACCCACCAGCTGAACAACGACCGATTCAGTCCCAACCTCCCCAGTTGGAGCTGTCACCTCCAGCCTTTCAACCACATCTGGCGCAACCGCAACCGCAGTCGCAAGTTCAGACTCAACTATCGTTCCAGCCCCAGTCCCACCCGGCAATACCAGCCCGAATATCCACACCGCAGCGCCCAGCTCAATCAAGTGACGCGATGGATATTGATCCCAAGGAGCCTAAGGAGACAAAGGAGAGAAAGGAGCCTCCTGCTTCATCCAAGAAGGAGAAGAATACTGCCACAGCCCCATCCTCGAAAGCGCCATCGCCTAAACCTGCGCGCGCGGCCAAGGAAACTCCCCAGCTTCCTCAAGGATCTGGATTAATCACCAATGCACTCTTCGGTATGGGCGGCGACGACTCATCCAAGTCATCTGATGCGCCCAGTACCCCGAATATCATCGTCCACATCCCTCTGAACAAGGGCAATCATATCGTGAATTTCGCGCAACTGGCTGAAGAGCAGTATGGATTCGCTGCTCTGCATCCCCGATTAGCAGCTCACAAGGAACGTCTTGCGCGTGTGGCAGCTGCTGGAGCGGCGCTGGAAGGAAATGATAAGCCTGTCACTGAAAGCGCCGAGGAAGATTTGAGCCTGGACGCGGAACGGGATAGTGATATGGATGGAGATGTGGCCATGGGAGGTGCGGGACCTGCAACGAACGGTGTTGCGTCGGAAGCGAGTGATGGAAAGAAGAAAAGACGCAAGAAGGTGGAGGAATACGACCGAGATGATCCTTTCGTTGATGATACTGAGATGGCCTGGCAAGAACAAGCTGCTGCGAGTAAAGATGGTTTCTTCGTTTATAGTGGCCCGTTAGTGCCGGAAGGCGAGAAGGTCCAGGTTGAACGGTTAGTTTTTCATCATTCGAGAAGAGACAAAATCATGCTAATATCTTATAGTGCTGATGGAACTATCAAACGTGGTCGTGGTCGTGGCCGTGGCACAGGTCGTGCTCGTTCATTAGCTTCACATCCCCATGTCCCCATCGCCGCAGCTGTTCCCATCTCCCAAGATACAGGTCTTCCACTCCGTGGACCTGGTTCTAGAGGTGGAACATCTCGTCGAGGCCGAACAACCAAGAAAACAGAACAATCAACCCCCGAACGAAGCGGCCATACCGCCTCTTCAGAGAACCGTGGTGCTCGTGGAGGTCATACTGGGTCCTCTGGTCGTGGTGGTAACAGTGCTAGTACGCGTGGTGGGAAGTCAGGTTCATCAATGATGCATATGATGGATCTTGCGCCTGCTCCTTCAACTCCTACGCCCAATATCGCTCCTGCCCCTGGCCCTAGTCCATTAGCTAAACCGGAACTCGTGATGAAATAGGGTTCTGGAGCTTTGGATGTGGTTTATCTGTTTACTGTTCTATTGTTCTATTTTGTTATGCTTATACGCGATGTCTTCTTATGGTGTTGTGGATGTCGGATGGTTAGATCATGGCGCATTGTATTCAATGCGAATTTGTCGTGTTGCGATACATTTCTTTTGGGTTTGATGTCGTGACGTGCTTCCTATTTTCTTTTCTTCGGGTTCCTTGCTTGTATCTATATTGATTCTTATGGATTTTAGCTTCATTAAGATTGCTTGAATTGATCCTCTTACTAGTACTACTTTATTTAAGCTCACTAGACATCTAGATATACTACTATACTATACATATGAAATAAACTGAAATCAATTATAATCATCAGAACTTGCACTATATATGCCGTGTCATGCAGGCACAGGAACATATCGAGCAAGAGAAAGAAAGCCAAAGTCGTTGTCGTTTCGTTGGCAAGAATCAAGTCACTGGCGAAGAGACATGATAAGAAATAAAAGTGAAATGAGAGATATGTCCATGGACAACGGTAAATAGAAGACAAAGGAGAAAAATCCATAGATGTGGTCGAGATGGGTATGTTTATGCGGAGTAGGATGATATATGCTCAGCTGTGTTCTCGTCTTTCCAATAAGTATATGGACTAGAAGGAATATGAATGAACAGCTTGTTACCCATACGAAGAATAGAACTAGTATCTTGCAACACTGTTAGGGAATCAGATAATTAATAGCTGAAAGCGCAATGAGATGTGACTAGATAGCAATTCAATTTCAATTTCAGGTCATATCAACATGTCATTCAAGTTCCAGGCATCTGTCCTGGGTAACGCCAGTTTCCACCAGCCGAAACTGGGGCTGGTGGCGGGGGCCCGCTGGGTGGAGCAGGGCGGAGGGGCAAGGCTGAGTTGTGCAGGTTGGCTTGGGGCTTATTGTTTGAGCTGTGGGAACGTGGGCTCATAAATGATTGAGACGACGGCTCGATTGCGGACACTGGTTCGCCGTGATGGCGCATCTGGCGCCGACCGGAACGGTCATCGTCGATGGAAAGATGTTCCAAAGAGAGAGGTGGTGGCGAGCGTGTAGACCGCGATGAATAGTACTGGTTCTGCTGTTGCTGAGAACCATAGTAGTCGTCGGCGTAATTTACGGGAATTTCGTTTGATGTTGGGGGCTGGCGGATGGATTTGCTGATGGGGGCGGGCTTGGGAGTTTGCATTGCCGCGGATATGGGAGTAGGAAGAGCATTGGATGGAGTGCTTGCTGTGGGTGTTTGTGTTACGCCTTCCTTCAGTGACTTGGGTGCTGGTGGTGCCAGATATGATTTGCGGTTGTGTCGTTCCATCATGCTGATGGCCCATTCTTGTAGATCCACGGGCGTGCGCTTGGCAGCTTGTAAAAAGGCATCCTTGTCCTGTGGTCATTGTTAGATTTAAAGATTCATTTGGAGAGGGATTGGGTGGGACATCATACGTAGAGCTCTCGAGGTGTGGGTCGCTCTTCGGACTTCTTCAGTAGACACTTCCCAACGAAGTCATGCAAGATAGGTGGGAATGCATCACTCTTGGGCAGCTTGGGGGCAGTTTCGTGAACAATCTGCTGTAGCAAGTCCAGAATACCCATAGGTCCAACACTGGCCCGGTTTCCTGCAGATGAATCCGAGTGATCGAATGGGAATCGTCCCACGGCCAATTCCATGACTGTCAGACCAACACTCCACACATCAGAACGAACAGTATAAGCACCTCCCTGGATTCGCTCCGGGGCCATGTATGTCGAGGTTCCGACGAAAGTATCAGCGATCGAGTTGACGGTCTCTGTTGCGACACCAAAGTCACAAAGTTTGATGTTTCCGCGGGAGTTCACCAAGATATTGGATGGCTTGATGTCTCGATGCATGATTCGGTGAACTTCGTACAAGTAGACCAGACCAGCCAGCACGGATTCAGTAATTTTACCCAAAACATCCACGCGGACTGGACCAAAGTCCTTGGAAATGCGGTCGAGGGATCTAAATCCACCGTCAGCCGAGTGCCCCTCATTCTCCCCCGTGTTTCCAATAACTTTACCCGCAATCCATGTATTCCATGCACAAAACAATATCTCTGGCCTCATTTTGGAACGCGCCATAAAATGTAACAATATTAGGGCAGTTACAGTCATGTCCGACTCGAAGTTCTCGTAAGATTTGCTTGCGCACGTTCTCTTTGGCATCGACCCGAATGATCTGATGGATGTCTGTCAGCGGGGCGTCGCGCACATCGAGACAATGAACAGTGGCAGCATCAGTCTTACCTTTCGAGCCATGACCACCTTGGTAGATGCATGCATGACCTTGGAGACTGTACCTCCATTTCCAGCGCCCAGTTCCTTCAGTGTCACCAGGTCCTCGCTGCGGAGATCCAAGCGAAACTCCAAACCAATTTCTAGGGTATCTGTGCGGTTTCCATCAGCATTTCCAAGCGCTCCAGAGGCTTGATTCTCGCCTTCTGAATTTGCGGTCGGCTTGGGGGCTGCATTGAGGGCTAGACCCTTGACGTTCTTGCGTTTCAGCGTCCGGGCCTTGAATGGGTCCGACATGGCGCAGGAGGGGGTGAGAGAAGGAGCTCTCTAATCAGAGTCTCAAGGCGAAGTGGAAGTAAAAGGAATCAAAAAAAAGGCGAACAACAGATTCTTTAAGAAATTCGATCTAGGAGCGCTGAGCACAGTGGGAAGAGAAGGTCAGGACTCGCGAGCTAGCGGGGAACCCGATATCATGGATATTCTTGGCGGTGATTGGGCCTTGTGGGCGCATTGAATGGACCAACAAGACAGTGAATCACGAGTCGGCGGCAAACAGGGTTTTAATATTTAGGGTAAGTGAATGATGATTGCTATCAATCAGGGGGGAGAAAAAAAAGATAGAAAAGAGGGTGTAGTTTAATAGGATCATGATCAATATTTCTACTATTACTGAAACACATGTTCCTGGTTTACTCCACTCCTTTTTACCCCATAGGGTCAGGTAACTCAGGTTATGTGAATCTGGGTGATCCATGAAAAAGATGCCCGAATGGTTTCATGGTTTCATGGTATTTTTGGCCCTATTTTGTTATTTTGTTAGGAGAAAAAAAAATCTATAAATGTCTAACTAAACTTGAAATAATGATCATCCTAGTAGTTTATGTGAGCCTGAATAGTAAACATTATGCGTGGTAAATCGGGCTGACATGAGCCTAGACCATAATAGACGAGGATCAATGTTGAAAGAATTTCTTACTGATCATATCATACCAGGTGTTCAAGGTTTCAGAGTTGATGTACATCATGTACATATGCACAAAGTCGTGCCTAAGTACCTTAAAGTCTTAAAGCCTTAAGTCACTCATACATCCGTCTGATATGACCATAGATCATGTGACCTGATAGTATCATGTGATATCACTAGCCACAGCTACAAGGGGATTTCCATTTTGGGAAGCTTGACGCCACACTAATTAACTGCTGCACCGCCACATCTGCGTCCTCTCCCTCGTACTGCCTTCTTTCCAGCTCGGCCTCTTCCAAAAGTTATATTTACCTTCACCACCACTCTTTCCGTCTCTTTACTAGCCCTACATTGAGGGTGACTTTTTTCTTGTATTAAATTCTTCCTTCTCACCGGCCCTCATTAAATCCACCGCGAAGAGGAATTCCCCCGACCAGACATCATGAGTCTCCGCGACTTGGTCGAAGGCGAGGCCATGCTGGATGATGAGGAGAACGAAGACTTTGAGGGCGATGGAGATGATGACAACAGACATCCAAGGGGCGATTTTGACGACTCCAGTGAAGAGGACGAAGACGAAGACGACGATGAAGACGCTGCTCGCGCCGTAAGTATTGCGAACCTCAACATCAATAAGGATTGCGCACTAAGACAAACCACCGGGATAGGTTCGCGAAGGCTTCATTGTCGATGAGGATGAAGAAATTGAAGAGCGCTCCAAGCGCCGCCGCGAGAAGAAACGCTCCCGTCCTCGCGAGGAAGAACACCTCGATGAGGAGGATTTGGAATTGATCGGAGAACATGTCCCTGGACTTAGCCGGGGATCTGCATCAGAGGTGAGTCATTACTCTCTACAAAGGCCGAAGGATTTGGGCTTGGAAGATTACTAACACCTCCTCTCTGGTACAGTCTAAATTCAAGCGTCTAAAGCGAGGCAAAGATCGTGATTCTCGACAACAAGCTCAAGGAATTGACGACATCTTCAATTCCGATGAGGAGGAGGAAGCCGCTCCTCAATACACCCGGGCTGGTCGCCACGGTGGCCAGGATGAATTTGACGACTTTATCGAAGAAGATACCTTTTCCGACGAGGAGGGACAACGTGAACGAGATGATCTGGAAGTGGCACCCCCCATTCGGGCATCCATGCCTGGTCTCGGAGCAACTGAGGCGGCTGGTCTGGATGAGAATGCACTTGAGGATATGCGTCTTGCGTTCGGTGACGGCACCGAGTACAGATTCGCTCTCGATATCGAGGAACAAGAAGATGAAGAGAAGGAGGTCGAGGAGAGGCGCCTGGACCTCAAGGACGTTTTCGAACCATCCGAGCTAGCGGAGCGAATGTTGACCGAGGAAGACAACGAGATTCGTTTTCTCGACGAGCCTGAACGTCATCAAGTATCCCGCAAACCATACAAGCACGTCGTCCTCACCGACGATCAATTCCGCGAGGAGGCCATCTGGATCTCCAATCTTATGCTACTCAAGAAGCGTATTGAACCGGATCTACGGGAGCCATTCCAGCGTTCCGTGGCTAAGATGCTGGAGTTCCTCATCACAGATGATTGGGAAGTTCCATTCATTTTCCAACATCGCAAGGATTACATGATTCACGCCGTGAAAGAGGTGCCAGAGGGTGCTGATCCATCCGACGAGTCGGCGCAATACAAGATTCGCGCTGAGAAGCTGTTGAATATGACTGATCTCTGGGACATCTTCGATTACGATCTGAAGTTCCGTGCCCTGATTGACAAGCGCAACACTATTAAGAAGGCCTACGACAGCATTCGAAGCCTCTTCAACGTCGAAGATGACAATGTGGATGACCTCCTGAACGCTGCCGCTACAATGGAGGAACTTCAGGATGTGCAGGATTACATTCACTTCCAATATGCTTCACAACTACGCGATACAGCTACCGTAAATGGCGAGGCGAATGGAGATCACCAGCGACGGAAGGCGAGCAACAAGTCCTTCTTTGAGCGAGTACGAAATGGAAAGGCTTACAACTTGGTCCGAGCTTTTGGTATCACAGCTGATGCCTTTGCCCAAAATGTCTCCAAGGAGGGCCGTCGACAGTACACTGAAGACCCCAGCGAGTCCCCCGAAGAGATGGCAGATCAATTTGTTGACACTGGCTTTTCTAACTCATCACAAGTCCTCAAGGCGGCCAAGTCCATGTTTGCTGAAGAGCTTGTGTTGAGCCCTAAGATGCGCAAGGTTATTCGCCAAGCATACTACATGAATGGTGTTGTCGATTGCTTCCGCACTGAGAAGGGTCTGCGCCGAATTGATGAGCAGCACCCATACTATGAGTTCAAGTACCTGCGAAACCAGCAGCTTAGTGACATTGCCCGTCGCCCGGAGATGTTCTTGCGAATGCTCAAGGCTGAGGAGGAAGGTCTGGTTGATGTTCGAGTTCGCTTCCAGAACTTTGATCATTTCCGCAAGCGTCTCTACTCCGACATTGAATCAGACAACTACTCCGAGGTCGCAGATGCATGGAACCGCCTCCGTCGTGAGGTCTTGGATCTGGCCCTCGGCAAGTTGGAGCGTGTCATCAACCGCAGTGTCAAGGAGAATATCCGACAGGAGTGCGAGAACCATGTGGCTAAAGAGTGCCGCGAGGCGTTCTCCCAGCGTCTGGACCAGGCCCCTTACAAGCCCAAGGGAATGGTCCTTGGTACAGTCCCTCGAGTCATCACTCTTTCTACTGGAAATGGCATTGTTGGCCGGGATCCTATCCATTGGGCTTACATTGAAGAAGATGGTCGTGTGCTGGAGAATGGCAAGTTCCAGGATTTGTCTGTCGGAGATTCGGGCCGGGGCGTTGACGATGGTGCACATGTTGCGGCATTCTTGAACTTGATCGACCGACGCAAACCAGATGTCATTGGAGTGTCTGGTATGACACCCGAAACGCGACGCCTTTACAAGGTCTTGACGGAGTTGATTGAATTGAAAGATCTGCGAACCCAGACATACCAAGACGATCATGATGAGGATATCAGCGACCGCCTGGAGGTCGTGATTGTCAACGACGAGGTTGCTCGACTCTACCACAACTCTCCCCGTGCCCGTCAGGATAACCCAGGATTCGGTCCTCTTACACACTACTGTGTGGCTCTGGGTCGATACCTGCAGAGTCCTCTGAAGGAATACGCTTCCTTGGGACGAGATGTTGTTTCTATTCAATTCAAGCCGGGCCAGCAGTTAGTGTCACAGGAGCTCTTGCTAAAACAGCTGGAGACCGCCCTCGTTGATATGGTCAATCTTGTTGGTGTGGATCTTAATGATGCTGTTCACGACACATTCACAGCCAACCTTCTGCCATACGTTTGTGGACTGGGTCCTCGTAAGGCCGCTCATCTCATCAAGGTTGTCAACTTGAACGGTGGCAATGTAGACAACCGTGTCGAGCTCTTGGGTGTCAATTCTCAATACCCTGCCATGGGTGTCAAGGTGTGGAACAACTGTGCCAGCTTTGTGTACATTGACTACGAGAACGCCGATGCGGATGCCGACCCTCTGGACAATACCCGTGTGCACCCTGAAGATTACGATATTGCTCGTAAGATGGCGGCAGACGCTCTTGAGCTGGACGAGGAAGATATCAAAGCTGAGACTGATGAGAACGGCTCGGGCGCTATTGTGCGCAAGCTCTTCCGTGACGAGCAGCAAGATCGTGTCAACGATTTGATCCTCGAGGAGTACGCCGAGCAGTTGGAGAAGAACCTTAACCAGCGCAAGCGTGCTACTCTGGAAACGATCCGTGCTGAGTTGCAGCAGCCGTACGAGGAGCTGCGTAAGCAGTTTGTCTTCCTCGGTACCGAGGACATCTTCACCATGCTCACAGGTGAGACGCCAGACTCCCTGAAGCCTGGTATGGTGGTGCCCATTGCCATCAAGCGGGTGTTCGACGATCACATTGATGCGAAGCTGGACTGTGGAGTCGATGCGCTGGTCGCAGAGACCGAACTAGGTGTGCCTTACGAAGTTTCTGTGCGCAATGTTTACTCACAGCATCAGACCGTGCCTGCTAAGATTCTATTCCTGAACAAGAAGAGTTTTACTTGCAATGTGTCTTTACGTGAGGACCAGATCAGTCACCCAATTCGACGAAATGCGGACCATGACTTTGATGATTGGGATGAGATTCAAGAGCGCAAGGATCGAGAATCACAGCAGGAGACGACCCAGCAGGGCGGCCAGGCGATGCGTGTTATCAAGCACCCGCTTTTCCGACCTTTCAACTCTACTCAAGCCGAAGAGTACCTGGGCTCCCGAAGCCGTGGCGATGTGGTCATCCGTCCGTCGTCTCGCGGTCCTGATCACTTGGCAGTTACCTGGAAGGTGGCTCATGGTGTCTATCAGCATATTGATGTTCTCGAACTGGACAAGGAGAATGAATTCTCGGTTGGTCGTGTGCTCAAGGTTGCAGGCAAATACACCTACAGCGATCTGGACGATTTGATTGTCAACCATGTCAAGGCCATGGCCAAGAAGGTTGATGAGATGATGTTGAATGAGAAGTATCAAGATGGCAGCAAGGCTGAGACTGGTAAATTATATGCAAGTCTTTATTATGGATATCTTTTTTCTAACGTTTTACCTTAGACCAATGGCTTGAGACCTACACCAAAGCCAACCCTCGTCGCTCTGCTTATGCCTTCTGTGTCAACACAAAGTATCCTGGTTATTTCTTCCTGTGTTTCAAGGCAGGTGAACACTCTCGACTTCAAAATTGGCCAGTGAAGGTGATCCCTCAAGGCTTTGAGCTCCAGAAGAATCCTTATCCGGATATGCAAGCCCTGTGCAATGGCTTCAAGTTGATGTTCAGCAACATGCAACCCGGCCGCCGCTAAATGGCTCTGTACAGTGTACCATGCTTCATCCTTTCTTCCTTCTCTTCTTCTTCCATCATTGCGCGGTTCTTTTCAAGGGAGAGTAGCACACAAAAATCAAAAAGAGGGCATTTGCATTTGATCTACTTGGCCCCATTTACCTCTCGACTAATCTGATACACCTTTTCTGTTTTGCTTGGGGGGGTTTTTCAACGAGCATCCTGTAACCAATATTCAATGAACAATTCATTTCAAGTTTCTACTAGTACTCTTACTCCTGAGAAATTACTAGTCGATGAAATTAGGTTGATCTAGACATACTATTACCTAGGCATCATGAATTGAGCTCATGTGAAGTTGTCAATCTCCTCGGTTCGGGCCAATTTACTTCCCATTTCCCCTCTTGACATGAGAGTTATCCTGGTATATATTCAATTTTTTTCACAGACTATAAATATTATTTATAAATTAAATTATTCCATTATACCTAGTGATCAGTAATATAGTAAATTGTACAGATTCAGTTCTATTTATGGTTGTCCGCCTTATTCCTTATTTCGCCCCCTTCAGCCGCAACTCCCGGTCCGCGCGTCGTGACATTCGTGCGGCTCCCCTCTTCATCATCCCACTCAAGGTTGCGCAATTACTATGGCAGCAATGGAGGAGCTGCAGATTCATAGCAAGGTGAGATCTCACTGTACGAATACCTGAATGCGCAGTCTAATCCATTGTGCTCTTTGTTTTGGTACAGTCTTACTTTGTCCGATGGATCCATGTCAGCGCGGGCAATACCATCTCATGGAGTATTCAACCACATAAGAAGTCCGTGAACTTTGGCATTTTCAAGCATCCAGGACAATCCTCACTGGCATCTCATTTGCCTACCTCCGATTCTCATAGCAACGATTCCAACGAGAACCTCCCCGCTACTACTGCGACTGCGAACTCGAACTCCGCCCGCAATCAACAGTTAACAGTCATTGAGAAGCTGACGGCCATTGGTCTTAAGTCAATCAAGTGGATTGGGAAATGCGAAGCCGATAAGGTCTCCAAGGGAACTTACGATGTGACCGCCAACGAATCCGGCAATTATGCGCTCGTCTTCGATAATACCTTCTCTAAACAAGTCTCCAAAACGGTCACTCTTGTTCTGCTTACCTACCCAACTGGTCTGCAGCCCAGAGCTCATGCTTCCTCCACAGCCTCCATCAATCAACCTCAACCCGGTGCTTCATCCGAGTCACTACCACACTCTATTGGTCGCCGAAGAGGCAATAGTCGCGCTACTCTGATCGCCCAACGCTCTGACTTGTCCACTCCCTCGAACATACATAGTGGTATACTACAGAAGCGCCGCCGAAAGCGTGGCCAGGGTTGGGCACGTCGGTATTTCTCTTTGGACTTTACCTCGTCCACTCTCTCTTATTACCATGATCCCAATTCGGCTGCTTTGCGCGGTGCGATTCCCCTCTCGTTGGCGGCTGTAGCTACCAACGAGAAGAGTCGTGAGATTTCAATTGACTCGGGTACGGAGATCTGGCATCTTCGTGCCAGCAATGACCATGAGTTTATGTCATGGAAGCAGGCACTAGAAAGAGCGTCTAAGGAAAAATCGCAAGATGAGAGCGCGGTTCATCTTGGTCCTCCCGAGCTACGATTGACCATGCCTCTAGCGGCCTCTCCAGAGGAGGAGCGTGAATGGACTCGAGTTGAGAAGCTCTTGGGTCAGGTTTCTGGAACACGAGATGCGGTGCGCAGACTTGCTAAGGATACTGATCCTAAGTACTTTGTATCACCGCTCCCTTCTGAACCTCGTAGCCGTGGTCGCTCTCCAAGCCCCCACCCTCCTGGTGCTGATGGGCAAGGAGATGCAAGACGCCCTTTCTGGAAACGCAAGACCAGTGGTAACTCGGCTCATAGTGGCAAGCAACCGAATTCCACTATCTCTCAGCTTGTAGTCCCCGGTGGAACTGGCAAGCCTGCTAGCATCATGAGCCACTCTGATGGCATGGACCAAATTCATGATAACCTCATGGCGGTTTTGCGTGATCTTGATAGTGTGGTTTCGGAATTCTCTTCCCTTGTCACAGAGAGCAAGCAACGGAGACACCCGCCCCGATCTGCAATGGTACCACGGCGCAGTATGGAGTCTGATCTCTCGCAGGAATTCTTCGATGCTATGGATGGAGGCGCTGCATCTCCACTCTTAACCATCCAAGATAGCGATGATGAAGACGCCACTGAAGATAAGCCTGGTCCTGCAGTCGAAGATGTAGAGGATGATGCGCCCTCAGACAGTGAAGATGAGCCTGATTCCCCAGCTCCACACGATAATACTGGTGCCGCACCACTCTTCCCTTCCCGCCCTAAGACTCTTGCTCCCCTGCCTCTTGACGCTGTTCGCCGACGTCAGAACATCACTGCACCTACCGTCATGCCTCCAAGTCTAATTGGATTCCTCCGCAAGAACGTCGGCAAAGACCTATCTCAGATTTCCATGCCGGTCTCCGCCAACGAGCCTACGTCTCTGTTGCAACGTGCCGCAGAGATAATGGAGTACTCCTCACTTCTAGACAAAGCTTCTCAATCCTCAGACGCCGTCGAACGACTCATGTATGTAACCGCTTTCGCTCTGTCCTCATTCTCAAACAGCCGAGTCCGAGAGCGTTCCATTCGCAAACCATTCAACCCCATGCTCGGCGAAACCTACGAACTAGTCCGCGAAGATAAAGGCTTCCGGTTCATCGCCGAGAAAGTCTCCCATCGTCCCGTGCAACTAGCATACCAAGCTGATAGCCGTGACTGGAGTCTCGCACAATCACCAATGCCTAGCCAAAAGTTCTGGGGCAAGTCCGCAGAAATCACAACAGAAGGTCGTGTCCGCATTACTCTCCACGGAACTGGAGAACACTACAGCTGGGTTCCAGCCACATCTTTTCTACGGAATATCATCGCAGGAGAAAAATACGTTGAACCGGTCGGCGAACTTACAGTTTGTAATGAGTCCACTGGACACCGCTCTATATCTTCATTTAAAGCTGGAGGAATGTTCTCAGGACGAAGCGAAGAAGTCTCGACGAGATCCGTGGACTCGTATAATAAACCCTTATCCCTGGGTTTATCCGGTTCCTGGCCTACATCTATCTCATTTACTCGAGATGGAAATCCTTCAGGTGCCCCGATCTGGAATGCAGGCACTCTGGTACCGAATGCACCGAAACATTATGGTCTTACTTCGTTCGCGGCTACTCTTAATGAAATCACGGCTATTGAAAACGATAAGTTGCCACCTACGGATTCGAGATTAAGACCTGATCAACGGGCTCTTGAAGAAGGGGATTTGGATCGTGCGGAAGAAGTTAAGGTGCAACTTGAGGAGGGTCAGAGAGCTAGGAGGAGGGATATGGAGGATATGGGACAGAGTTGGACACCTAGATGGTTCACTAAGGTTGAGGAGGAGGTTGATGAGGTGGTTTGGAAGTTGAAGGCTGGGAAGGATGGATATTGGGAGGAAAGGGGGAAGGGAAGTTGGTCGAATGTTGTTTCGGTTTTTAATGTATGATTCTTGCATTGCATTTTGATTCAAGATCCAGATGCTTGGATTGTTGGTTGTTCTATTCCCCCTTCTCTTCTCTATATTCATTTCATTCCATTCAAGTTTTCTTGGTTCAAGTTGATACTACTTCTTTTATATGGTTGAACCAGACTTAATATACTATCTCAAGATTCCTTGACTCAATTACATTCTAATATGGGTTTGATTTATTTCTTACTGTCTGAAGTTGAATGTAAATTTGAATTGATTGAACGGTATGGACTCTATTCGTGTATGCATTAAGGAATAGCCCGAATCCCGCTTCACGAAATAGATAAAGGAAAGACAACACCGGAACGCCGTAGGATAAACCTGAATATTCATGATCATAGACTGTTCGACAGTCGCGGACATAAAGAGAAGCCTCATAGTTCCTTAAGGAACGACAGGCGCAGAAGCGACAGAAAAAAGAGGCAGATCCAACAGGAAATAGATAGACCATAAAGGAGCGACATGAAAATAAAAAATGGGGGAATTTGAGGATTCAAAAATTAAAAAAAAAAATGGAAGAAGTCGAAGAAATCGAACCACCTCATGGTGATTTTAGTCCTCATCATCGGATTGTGGAGCAGTCCAGCGGCGCGAGGTGTGGCTGTTGCGCACCTTAGCAGCCTTCTTGGCACTCTCGCGATCTCCAGATCGACCAGCGGTTCGGAGCATCACAGGCAAGTTATCCAGAACAGCACGGTTACCCTGGAAATAGTGCTCGGCGAATCCACCCTGCAGGATGCGACGCAAGGCAGTCAGGCGAACCCACTTCCACCAGCGATCGATGCTCATAATACCATGCTTGCCGATCTTGACGGTCAAGGTGCTGCCATAGTGGCGGTCGGTGTCCTGATCAATAGCAGTGTTGTAGCGCGGGCCACGGCGCGGGTTCTCAACGGTGTTAAGAATGGAAGCAAAGTTGCTGTGGAGAGACTTCTTGTCGCGCTTGCTGATGCGCTTGGTGTGGATGTGGGCCAGAGCCTTTAGCTGGCGCTCGAGCTCGGGAGTGTTGTGGTAGGCGTTGTAGCGCTTGACGAGCTTGGGTCCGTTGCTCATTTGCTCGTGCTCATCACTCTCCTCGGATTCTTCTTCGTCGTCGTTGGGCTCGCCATCCTCCTGGGGAGTGTAGCTCTTTTCGTAGAGCAAGGCGAGATTCTCGCCAGCTGCGACCTGCACGCCGGAGTCACCGCTGTCAAGCTGGTCGATGAAGATTTGAGCGGCCTCCTCGCTGTCGGCTTCGAAGTCGTCGATTTCAGTGGCCAGGAATCCCCAAACCTGGAGTGCAGCTGTCACATTAGTGGCGTCGTCGGGGGCATCGATAGACTGTCCATCAGAAGCGACAACATCCAAGAGGAAGGTCATCTGGTCGAGGATGCCATCTTCACCAGCGCCACCGAAAATGGTGCAAGCGCCAAGGCAGTGGATGGCGGCAGCTTTAACTGCGTTGGAGGTGGAGTCGCGAATGGTACGGGTAATGAGCGGCTCAGTGTTCTCGTAGGTCTTGTCGTCGTTGGTAGTAATCGCAAGCAGTTCAATGGCGCGCAGAGCCTGGGTTGTCTCCACGACGCTGGATTCAGTTCGGACGCTCTTGCAGAACGCAACCAACAGCTCACTGGCGAAGACACGGACCACGTCCTCGGCCAAGTGATACTTGGTCAGACGGCAGAAGGCAGTCAAGGCCTCCTCACGACCCTGAACGCTGGAGCGCTTGCGGTCAAGAATTTCATCAATGCGCTCGGCGAGCTCAGTAGGCCAGTCGACATTATCCTGTTCAGGGTTCTCGTCGTCGAGGGATCCGATACTGTAGGGATTCCTGGTCAATGCGTTGCCCTAACACATGCAAGGGAAAAAAAAATAAAAAGCCTCGACGGCGGTGACATCATCCCGCCACGGAGTGGGACTGTGGGGATAACTTGGAAATGCACACAGAAAAAAAAAAGTGTATGCGAGGAAAATAGATATGAAACATAGGGCTAAAAGGTACTCACCTCATGGCGGTCTCATCAGAAAGGGAGCCCGAGTCCTCATCATCAGATGGCTGACGGCTTGCAGCACGGGATGACTGGCGGGAAGTTTGCTTCGAGCTTGCGAGCGAGTTGGTACGCGATGCCTCACGAGAAGCAGCCTTGCGAGAGACGGTCTTGCCGCTCTCAAAGATCTGACGACGAAGGTCAGGCATGATGAAGGTTGAGAAGAGATAAGTGGTTTATTTTTCTGAAAAAAAAAAGAGAATAGAAGAAAGGTGAGGAAGTTGAAAAGTTAAGAGATTTATCCTATTGGAACGGAGCTATGGTAAAAGGAGAAGAGAAGAGATTTAAAAAGTAGAGATCGCACATCGTTCAAAAAGGACATGGGAGTGAATGAAGAGTCAGTGAAGGAAATAAGAGAGATTTCATTCACTTAAAAGTTTGGGATCATTAACTTCGATTTTCCCGTGATCCCCATTATCCTGATTAGGTTTAGTGTGGTAGACACTTGTTACTAATTAGGTCAAGACTACCAATCACATGTCAAAATTATATTGCTGACACTGCGGGGGCTTGACACAGTATAAAGTACTATATACTGCATTTATTCATACTAATACAATAAAAAAATATTATTATTATCCCCGAGGTCTACATTAATGTAGTATGAATACATATGGAATATCTCTCTTGACTCAATCAGGCCATATTGCTCATAGCTTGCTGGGGTATCGTACATTCTCTATTCTTAAACCATACATAGAACCTTGAATCCAAGTATGAACTATATAGCTCATACTCATTTCCCGTGCAAAACTATCTCGATAATCTGTCGAGCTTTGCTGCCTTCCAAGTATTCCCGACCCTCATCTTCCTCGTCATCATCATCACCCATTTCAATATCAACCTGCAAACTGGCACGGTATGCCTTCGTCACAGTATCCTCGTCCACACGCACGCCATGCTGAACCAGTACTTGAATGCTCTGGCTCAATCGCGAAATCTCCCGTCGAGTCTGCATGGGGATGTCATCATTCTGACTGGAGTAGATAGTGCTAGAGACCAGTTCCTCCATACGGTTATGTGAAACGTCGGTATTCGCCATAGCAGCAGCATTGTCCACATGCTTCGAAATGAAAATGTACCCATTCACACCAAGAACCACATCAATCTCACCACCACCATTTTCCGCAATCAAGCTCCAACGCTGTCGCCGAGATCGAACAACGCCTCCAATGCCTGGAATAGCCCCGGGAACCGCGGACGAAGACTTCGAGCCACCCTTGGAGCTCGAGCCGGCTTTACTCCCTCCAGTACCTGTAACAGCCAGGAAAACACCATTTCTCAATTTACCGTACTCCAGCGAGCGGGTATGTAACGACGCAGATCCATCCTGGTGCACGCTTTGCACTTCGGCGATCACCAAGTCACCTTCGCTGAAAAAAGTCCGGATTTGAAGCTCGTCAGTGCTGGTTCGTCGTCGTAGAATACCACCGGGCAAGTTGATCGCGGAAAGAGGAAGTTGAGCGAGGAGGGGAGCGGCGATATCGACCTTCCATCGTTTTGATTGCACTTCGACAATGCGGCCGACGACCAAATCACCGATTTCGGGGTTGTACCGCGCGCGCAAAGGACGCACTGACAGAAGCTTGTTGGTCTTTTCAACGTTACCGGCGACCGTGGCGATGATAGATGTGGAAAGTGGATTGATGTAAGTTCCGTGACCTCTGTTGAAGTTGTGTTAGTTGGTTATGTCCTCTTGGATTGGTACAATCGTGCCCCGCTTGAAACTTCAATTCTTCGCAGATAGCAAGAATAGAGTACCCTACCTCATCCATTGGGGATCATCGGTCACAACTTGACCAGGTATCACAACTCCATCTCCGAGCTTCTTAGACATGCGGGTCCGCTTCTGTGGTCGAGAAGCGCTGTCCATGTCAACGTCTGAGTCGGAGATATCGGACATGGAGTCGTCGGATTCAGAGTAGGCTTGGTAGGGACCAAGATCCTCTACCACGGGAGGTAAAATTGTAATGGCCATTGTGTGAGGGTTGAGATCGATCTGAGATGGTGTGGAAGTGGGTGAGAATTAAAGCTTCGAGCACCGAGACTTTTTGTTCCACGTGACTGTCTCCACTCGATCTCCAAGATCCACCACTAGCAACTATGTACATGCTAACTAGTAAATACTATAAATTCATAGCTTATACGAGTAGTCTTGTTGAAATAGATTAATAAATGGAGGAACTGTTTGGCAGTCTACATCGTTTTCAACTCATGCGTTTATAAAAAATTGAATAGATTCATAGATCAGTATGCACTATTATTGATAAAAACAGAAGAAATCACGAGGGAAAGAAATTCAAGTCGTAAATGCTCTCCCCAGATTGCAATCATGAGATATGAGCTTGCATGCGTTCTAAGTCGCATAATTTGCCATAGTAATACACTGTAAAAAAGTAGGAAAATGAATGTGGACAGGCTCGTCTTGCCTAGGCCTTCTTGGAGTTGCGCGGCGTTGCATCCTCCTTCTTCTTCTTAGATCGGCTGCTTCCACCCTTGGGGCGATATCCGGTATCATCATCCCGCTTGCGCTTCCCCTTTGGAGTAGGCTCTACTTCCGCACCATCTTCATCGATAGTATCTTCTTCCTTGCGCGGTGCAGGTGCACGTTTAGATGATCTGGAATTGGCGGGCCGCGCAGACTTATCCGATGTAGCTTCGTGCTCTTGTAGAGTATGGGGTTGGTTACGGCGCAGCCAGTTGAAAACAGATGCAGGATTTCGCATTGAGGCCTCTTTCTCTCGTTCCGCGAATGTTGGTGGATTTGGCATGCGCGCAAGACGTGTTTCTGCGGCCTCATCTCCAAGTTTAGCATCGAGGGCTAAATAGAAGTCGGCCTCGTGCTCTGGTGTCATATATCCAAGCTTGTGGTCCAAGGCATCTGCCTCTTTTGACCCATTTCCTGGAGCCTTCATTCCGCTGTGTTGTATCTTAAGGAGATCGCTGTATTTGATACCCGGTGCGAATGCCTTGTTCCGCTTGATGCTTTCTTCCACTTGACGGTAAGCACTGGGAGAAAGGCTTCCACTGGCCAATCCGGATTTAGCCTCTTTCAGTGCTGTTCGGGCAAGGGTCTCGTCATTGACAAGGGGAGTGATCTCTTGTTCGGCTGCGTGCAGGGGAGGAGGATCATCGGGTAGATTCAGGTCGTATCGCAATGAAGATGGGACATGAATGCTCTCATTAAATTCCATAAGCACCTCGAGTAGTTGGCTATTAGGGGAAAGAAAGTTAGTCAACCTTGATCGGTTTCGGGTAGAAGACTTCCGGTTCATAGGGCTCGCATGACATACTCGTTCTGTTCCTGAATTCGCTTGGATAAGTCTTCAATTCGGAGCTCTTCGCGGATTAAGCTCTCGCTCTCTCGTAAGGCGAGCTCAAACTTCAATTTCAATTTCGCATACTTCTTCCTAGATGCGGTGTTAGTCCTGTGTTTCTTTGCCGGGTCTCGAGAACCAAGGAACTTGCTTGAACGACTTGACCGACGGTTTTGCAGGAGCTGGAGCATCGGGGAGTGTTTCAGACACAGGCCCGGAATCTTTTGACTCTTGCGCCATCGCGAAGAAATATAAGATGTTGGATGGATGATAAGAAGAAAGGAAGTCGAGGGATTAACAATGAATCGAGGTTCTTGGTCTCGCGCGCCAAGCTCTCGGACTGCGTTTAAGGTGGGTCTGGCCGGCCGTAAAAAAATTACCGGCGCAAAAGTGAAGTTGGAGAAATTCACTTTCTCCGTAATACCAAAAATTTCTGGGAATTTTCCAGAAACATTCTATCAAAGGGTTTTTGGTCTATTTGCATCATGTCTGAATCACCTGATATCGCTCAGAAGAAGCGTAAGCTTCAAGACGGCCCCGAGCTCGAGATTGATGTTACTGCTCCCGAGCCGCAGTCCAAGAAAGCACTGCGCAAAGCAAAGAAGCAAAAGTCCGAACCTACAAAGGAAGCATCTGAGAATGAGAAGCCTGAGACCGATGATAAGCCTCAGACTGAGAGGCGTCCATACCAGGAGCCTGCTGCCCCTAAGCGCTCCGATTATGGAATCTGGATTGGAAACCTGGCGTTCACCGTAACCCGCGACGATCTACGCACCTTCTTCACCAGCAACTGCACTTTTGACGATGCTACAATTACTCGTATCAACATGCCCAAGGGACAAGAAAGATTCGGAAAGGTTCAGAACAAGGGTTTCGCCTATGTTGATTTCACCACCCAAGAAGCCTTGGAAGAGGCATTGGGTTTGAGTGAGCAGCTTGTGACAGGTCGCCGAGTGCTGATCAAGAATGCAAAGAGCTACGAAGGTCGACCTGACAAGCCCCGCGACCAAGAGAATGCAGCCAACGCCAAGCCCGGTCATCCTCCATCCCGCCGTATCTTCGTTGGAAACCTGGGCTTCGATGTCACCAAGGAAGCTGTGGAGCAGCACTTCGCCCAATGCGGTCCCCTAGCCAATGTGCACATGGCTACTTTCCAAGACTCAGGGAAGTGCAAGGGATATGGATGGGTTGAATTTGAAGATATCGCTTCTGCGGAAATCGCCGTCAAGGGGTACATGATGGTTGCAGAGGATGACGAGGAATCCTCAGATAGCTCAGACTCTGAATCGGATGATGCTGCGGCCGATAAGAAGAAGAAGAAGCGCAAGTTCAAGAAGCCCTTCCAGCGGAAGGTCTGGGTGAATCAGCTTATGGGTCGCCGTATGCGTATGGAGTTCGCTGAGGATGCTACCACTCGATACAAGAAGCGTTTCGGTAAGGATGCCGAAGGAAAGAAGGGAGAGAATGGGGAAGGTGAAACCAGTTCTGAGAGCCGTCCTCCTCGAGTATACAAGCCTAAGAAGCCAGAGTTTGACGAGTCTCGATACTCCAAGGATACCGTGCAACGTCTCAGTGGTGCGATTGTTGAGGGACAAGGTTCCAAGATCAACTTTGACTAGGTTGGTCGCATTTGCATGTACTTTGTGGCTTTCCCCTCTGTTTTTCTTTGGGTTAGAATAGCAAATGGCGTTTTCGGGCAAAATTCTGGTTTCCATCTCTGCAGTCTACAATGAATATTGATGTGGCAATGTATTTAAGATCAAGCCTTTGGGAGAGAAACAATTTCCTGAATGCTCTTGAAATAAAAGTGTTGTATTTTTTTTCATTTCAAGTTACTATCTACGTAATTGATCCTATGGGTTTTGCTATCATTGATATCTTGAAATCCGAGTCATGATTACTAGTAGTATCACAATGGATGTCCAAGTTCATATATCTATACCTAGTAAGTCACACTCGGAAGGTAAATTTGCTCTTGCTTGACTCCCTGGAAGTCCCAGGCCTATACCATCTATACGTGCTTATTGACTAATTCGATGGATGCGTGATTGGGAAAGAGAGTGACTGTCTGTGATTGTCTAATAGATTGAAAGATCCTTCTATCTACGTGAGTCCCAGCATTCAAGCCAGTCCTTTCTCTTTGTCTCCTGAGATCTTCATCTCAGTGCCTTCAACTTGAAGTTCAAGTTATTGACACATCAGCATGGGTCATTTTCATTGAATTCCAATATCTCTCACTACTACTACGAAGTCTTTTCATAGTACAACTTGAACCTTGGAACTTCTCTTTTTATACAACATCTTGAGGTTCCTACTACTATATATTCTCCCACTTCTCCGACTCGGACTCCAATTTGAGGTTCTTCAAGTTCAAGTTCCCCTCCGGGCCTACTTCATTGCCTACTCCATCTCTCATCTTGCTTTCGTTCTCTTCCCTTCAAGTTTTACCAAACTCAACCTTCTTCGTACATAGTGTGTGTTCTCGCTTCATATATTCTTTGCACCAAAGCCCCGCTTCAAGGAAACTAAGACTCATATCGATGACCTAGGGTCGCTCCTGGCTCAGACTACCTAGTCCTGCAAAGTGCCACCGTGTCCAAAGAAGCAGAGCAACAGTTTCCAGGGGTTTACAGGCAGCGAGGAAATATTTGAATAAATTTCCATTCAACAACAAACAACGAGGACCTATTCTACAGCATCGGCTCGGAGGGGCTAGTCAACTCCCTGAATACTCACCATTACCACAATCAACTTGAAATCGACTTGTCAAATCTAAGTCTTCAATATGCATTTTACATTCGTGCGCGTCTTTCCAGCACTAAACCGCTCTGACCTTGAACCCGCCACACCCGGTGGATAAGGATTGTCATCAGCGGCACGATGGGCTGGGTTAAATACAAATATCTTGAGTCGGTAGGTGAGCAAGCTGACCAGAGTCAGCCTCTTGAAGGCCCAAAAACATTCAAGGTGGCCAAAGACCACTGTGGAGACATCCAATATAAAGAGTTGATAATTCTTTGCTGACAATGAGTTCATTCAACTGCTTCATCAATGGGATCGAGCTCTGGATTGGAAAAGCAACGTGTGATCAACCTTTACAAAGTGCTATTCGGAAGGGTGAACGAGGCGAATACATGTAAAGGTGAGGAGCAACATGAGAAAAAATTGAGAGAATGAAAGAAAATTACCATGAGGGGAACTCTAGGGGCCACTTGGCTGTCAGCAAGAGATACCTTCCAAGGTTCCAAGTTTATTGTCAGTCCCTGGAGCTATGCCACTTCCCACCCTCCGTGCGTGGAAATTTCCGAACCGGTTTTACTGTCCGCGACGATTATATTTGCGTCAGATTTATTCAGCACCGATCACGCCAGCGATTGAGTCGCGCGGTAGAGGCTGTTGATTCTCGTCTTTCTTTGATTTAATGAATCATTTCGAGGTACTGGAAGACTAAAGCGCCAAAGTCAAAGATATAAACTCGCAAAGTATGGCCACAACCAGGGCTATACTCACACTGGCAGTTACGAAGAAAAGCTCAATTCAAGTAATGTCCATCATGGTGGAAGCAAATGTCACCAGTTCGACTACTGCATGAGATCGAGTTCTGGATTGGAAAGGCGAAGAGAAATCGCCAAATTGAGGGTCCTGTGAATCAACACACGGGTGGATACTCTTCTATAGTGGTACCCCTATGCCAACGTCCTTCAAGAAACAGAGAACTAAGGCCCTGACTCAATATGTGGCCCTGAACGAAGCAGTCAGAGAAGTCGGGCCTCACTATGGAGAAGTGAGAATCAGAAACGGTCCTGATTCGGCTAGGGCGCGATAATGCAGCGACCACTCACAAGGTGGTCGTCGGGAGACTACTGTCAATCTCAAGATACTAATGTTTATATCTACAATATCGTTACATTCGTTTGCATTATAAATATTGCTTTCGCATGTCATCTCGGAATTCTGACTCTTCCACCTGGGCAGTGGTCCTTCTGTTGGGAGATGCGAGGCAATATGATAAATATCCCAAAGAGACGGAGCACTACGGGATTGAGGGCGAGGATACCTATGTTTTACTCTCGAGTCTTTCTTGTCTACTCACCTTGCTAACTCCTACTTAGATATGGTCACCTTTTCCCCGATTTCTAGGAGACTTGTGTGATTTATAACGAGATATGAAAACCCTATTGCATTCCACTGCATGGGACCAGATATGGCACCAGCGCGCTACTTGGAGTCACCAAGGAAAAGCAGGACTCGGAGTGAGATAATCACCATATGTTGCCTGCCTAAGGCGTGGGATGGATTATGGATATAGTTATTCAATTTCTTTAGAATCCATATCTGAGAGTAAATCAAGGTCATATCAGAGTATCAAAATTAATATAATAGCGTGATACAACCATAAGAAGGAGTAGATATTAGTCGTTAAATAGAATTTGATTCACTCAATTTCATCTGAAATATAGCTCATTCTACTCTCAGTCTACTCTCACTTACTGACTTTGTTTACCTACACATCTATACCACTCTCTACTCACAGCTTCCCCTCAACCTTCATGTACACCTTCATGTACACCTTCACATACAGCTTCTCCTCAACCTTCACTTACACCCTCTACAACGATACCAACCTCCATTTTCTCTTTCATTAACACACGCATTTGGCTCTGAAAAGTATGTTTCGATTCTCATACTACTGCTCCTACCCTGCTTGCTTGCCCTCATCGTAATTTATGACTTCAGCTAATTCAAGGTTTACTCAATAGGCAAAGCTCTTCTCATTATGCCAGCCCGAGATCCCGAAAAGGCCCTGAGCCAGCAGCTCATTCTAGGCGGGGCTCCACAGGCAAAACGGTCAAGAACCTCGACACTTGTGGTCTGTGGGACTACAAGGCCTTGCGATGGTTGGATTTTCAGCGACTTCCTGGGATTTTCGAAAGCCTTCGAGACATTTGGGGGAGATAACACCTTTTACTCTTGCCTTGACCTCACGAAACATTTCCAATGGCTGAAGGGCAAAGGGCAGGCAAACATAGATATTAAATTTGGAAAATACGGCCCCGATGGGGATCATACTCTCATCTACGAAAGATCGCAATTTGAGCAGTGCCCACCGTTCTGGAAGCAGATAGTACCTGATCGACTATTGTACGAGGCTGAATTTTGGATTGGCAAGGCAAAGCGGACCAGCGAAAATGGTGATATTGTTAACTGCATTTTCCTATGCCATGAATCCGAGCGGGGCGAACTTGAACTAGGCAGCCGGATGTTATCCTCAACCGCGCTCTATGAGAAGCTAGGAGGTTTCAAAGAGGGCGTTCAGGTAAATGTCATGACGCGCCTGTCATTCAGGACATATTTGTGACACCATGGAAAAGAAAAGTTTCAAGCTGAACAATCGATATGTTGCAACTGCCTGCGATAGTGAGCATGAGGCCTATGCAATGAGTCGAAGTTTAAGCGGAAAATACCGCGCGGGCCGATTCGCAAATGCCTGTGTGGAGTCTCTAATGAAACCAATTTCAGACCCAAGCAACTTTTACTTTTGGACAGTCGAGGATCATGAAGAACATTCGTTTTCGATACCGAAACATTACCCCAAATCAACCCATCATCTCTCCACAGTTCACGAATTCCGGTTTGAACACCACTGATACAAAACTCCAAGACTTAATGCTGGGCGATAACGGAATAGACGATTCTGACGACTCCGATGATTCTCACTCATTGATACTCCTAAAAAGAGACTGGGAGGATGCCGCAAGCATCGTCCGCAACACTTGCAGTCGCGCGTTGACAACTAGCGACCATGATGTACCCGCCACCGCTCGCGCAGTTGCCGAGAAGAAAGGGGCATTATGTGACCTGAATATGGGATTTTCTCCCGATATGACCCTCTATGATGAATTATTTTGCCCGCAGACTAATTGGCGAGCCGTTCTCACAAACATTTATTGGGGATCTTTCCGACAGGCAGCGATTTGGCACATCTATCTCCACCTCCTTGCACAAGGATTGATCAAGGCCGAATCCCTGATTCTTCCGATTAACTTACTCGCACCCTCCTGAAACTCTCGTTGTATCTCCCGTCTCCTCGGTTGCTTTGATTTCTTCGCCGCTCAGTCAGATGAGGTCTTTGAGGGTCAAGTCCCCGGCCAATCTACCCCATGGACAGCAGACACTCAGTGGTAAGACTAAGACTCACGTCAAGGACACCCTTTTTTACTTCTAACATCAAACTAACGGTTCTCTTATAGGCTCGGAACATTCATCGTTCGAAGTGGAGCTGATATCGATTCGATTCTGGCAGAGGTGAAAATGAGTGAGATTCTGGGGCAAGTCCGAAACGATATGATCGCTGAGTGGCTAGAAGACTACCCAGGAGTCAGCTCTGTGCATGATGCCCAAGACCGCGTTGGCAACATGAGTGAGGATGGCCAAGTAGCCCTCTCCAATAACACATTCGCTTTCTGGCTTCCGCGTGGCCTGACGGATAACCTGCAGACTCAGAATGAGCGCTTGATTCGCTGCTGCAGCCGTGCCCAGGCGATTGAGGTGGCCTTCATGCAAGTGGAGCCTCCACCTGTGGGCATTCTCATACTAGACTTGCGGATTTCCGGGTTGTAAGTGGATCTGGCGCTGCTTCGGAAGACGAGGGTGATGAAAATTTTGAAGACAACACCGAGGATAAGCATTCTGGCGAGGGCGATGATCACAATCATCAAAAGGATAAACCTGGCGAGAGTGATCCTGGCAAGAGCGATAGCTCTGGTGGTTGCATTCTTGTTGATCACTGAACTGGAGCCTTGAAAGAGTATGGATTCAGACGCAAATTGATGACTGGGAGGATTTTGAGGGAGATAGTGTTGGAAGACGATGGGAATACCCAGACTGACTGAAATATCATTACAAATTGTACCTTCATAGCTAGTGAATTGAAACCCATGAAAATCCAGAAGCATCTTGTAAGATCTAGTAGTTATGGGAAACAGATCACACATAATGAGTATATCCGACAGAATCAGCAACGAGCCTACAGTACATCTTGCCACGGTGGATTTGATTAAACGAACTCCGTCATACCTCTGAATTTCACTCATCCTCATTGTTCCCCGGTTCATTCGCAGACTCCGTTATCGATGTACCGACTCGTTCTCTGAAACTGCCTCATATCCCTCCAGTCGACGAATATCCCGATATCTAGTCTCACTTACTTGGCCCATTCTCCTCTACACAAACGATAGTACCGGCTTCGATACCAACTTCTCCAGTTACGGCATAAAGACCAACCGCGATCGCGCCATTTTGAGCAGGATGACCGTAAGCAGGAGGAAAAACCAGAAAGTTCATTATTGGGAGTTTTGGGGTGCAGTAGGAGGTAATGCAGACTGCAGACTCTTCCCTTGACGCTTATTTGAAAATGGACTGATCTGGCAGCTTTTATCGATGCTGATAATTCCTCTGCGTTGAAGAGATCTGATAGATGCGGCCCGTCCCAGGTGGCACTGTGGGTTCGACTCCACCAACCCCACAATGACTGAGAAAGTGATGATGGGACTCTTATATTTACTCCCTCACTCTGGATGACAGACCTCCAGCATCCAGAGAACCAGATACCATTATCATAATCCAAGACTTCCGCATTTTGTTGGTCAGCCTATGCACTGCCATTTGAATGCTGGGCGAGGGAGTAGAGAGATGGCCAGATTGACTCTTGTGATCTTGTGATAGCTGGAGGTAAAGCTTGACTAATCTACAGGTGCAACTGAGTTTCTACTGTTCACTGGCAGGTAGCAGTGAGTACATATGTGCACAGTGACACATGACAATGCAGAAGGTATGCAGGATGGCTGGGTGGCTGGGTGGCGGACGGGGCACCACATATCATCTACTACATATGGAATCTCGGATTCATATATGAATTTGTCAGAATTGGCATTTCTGACTAGAGTTGGGATAGGCACTTTTTTATAAGTGTTTAAACAAGCTTATGTGGTACAAATTCATTGTAGATCGAGTCTTGAGTCCGTCGACTCTGAACCCAACTCTGTATAGCCGCTGTGATAGGTCAAAATAATTATTTCGTACGTTGAATTAGATGCGAGATAACCTTAACAAGAAGCTTATCTTAATTTTTCTGAGCGGCGCGCTCGAGTCTCTCTCGAGTTATGGCCCAATATTCGTGGAATTTCCCAATCGATATTAATTATGTTAGGGCTGTGTGGGTGTGGAAAAAGGTGTAATATATGTTATTTCCACGCACATCCAACTATATCAACCCCCATAATTTCCATATCTAGCATCAAATCCAGAGAGCGATTCTTTGTATTTAACAAAGATGCATTTACAGAGGGTGGAAAATTGATTTTCCCAGTGAATGGAGTATGTACATGTTTGTCTGCCTTTTGTACTCCGTACAGTTAAAGTAGGTCGCCTGACAAAAGCAAAGAAGAAAAAAGCACCTCCAAAGAAAACCCCAAAATAAATTAAATAGGTCTAAAAGAAGTTCAAGGAATCTATTTAAGTGGCAAAAGCCGGCTAATTTTACATCTTGTTGTTTTATTCATATAATATTTTACTAAAAATTTTGATCCACAATGACTGGATAATAAGTATCAAGTTAATAAAAGCAAGTCTTACAATTGTATATGGTTGAAATATGGTTTGTTTAGTTTGTTTTTATATATAGTAGTAATTCACTCTGGCAGAATTGTTTCACCGCCCACCCCACTAAACCCGATTTGGGGTGACGTCTCTTGCGATGTCATGCCTGTTGCGGTTATATCTTGCTATTTTGCTCTCTCTCTTCTTGTTGCCCCTTGCTCGTTCTTTTTCTTTTTTCTTCCGGGCACCTTCTTTTTATTTTTTTAAGGTGCTTGTTGTAGTTTCTCATCCTCTTCATCCCTCTTCGCATTTACCTTTTCTTTCCTTCTCTGGGTTGAACCATCCTAGTTAAGTCCCACCTACTCTACCCGCTCCACGGTTTCCCTTCCAACTTCCGAGAGTTTGCAGTTGGATGGCTGGTTCAGCTACAACTTTCGCTCTTTGGTAGTAACCTTCCTTACTATTCTCCTACCTCTTCCGTGCCGATCTACACAGCCATGGCTCATCACCGACGTCATATTGGGGCCAGCCGGCGCCAGAGACGAGACGATGAAGGAGAGGATGAGGGTTCTCAAGTGGGCGACCTGGATGACGACTCTCTGAGCGAGGGCTCAGTTGGGACACACCAAGAGGATGAGGATGCCGACGTGGAGGGCAGCGATACTGAAGATGAGGCACCAACGACGGAAACACGTCAAGTGAACGGCAAGACCAACGGACGAGACATTCGACCCAGCTCCACATCACCCACAAAATCGATCCTAAAGACCACTGTCTCCGACACCGAAGCTATGCTAGGTGACCCCAAGGGCTCAGAGGATTCAGAGGAGACTCAGTTGGACCAACTGGGCCCAAGCAACGAGCTTCAGGCCGGCCGAACACCATCAGCTCCTCCCACTGAGCCGAAGCGTGAATCCCTGGCTATCCGAAAGCGCCGAGACCATGAGAAGAACACCAAGGAGAGGGAACAGAATCCTACTTTTGTTCCAACCCGAGGGGAGTTCTTCCTACATGACAAGCGCTCGACGGAGAAAGGCTCGGGGTCGGGGCCAGGGTCGGGGTCGAACAATCACCGTGGTTCTAACAAGGGCAAGTCTCGGCCATATGGCCTGATTGTGGATAGCAATACTCGCAGGTACGGATTACATCACCACCAACCAAATGCCTTGTTTCGTTTCATGCATTTTGCTAAATATGTTGATTAGGAACTCTTTTAAGGGCGATGCGAGTGAAGGACAGTGGGCGCATGACCTCCATGAAACTGTCGCTGGAGATGATCCCCCAGCACCGAAAGAGACAACGACTCTCGCTGGACCTCAACCCGGCACAGCTGTCCCCACTGCTCCCCGATCCTCTCCACCCAATCGGTCTTTCTCTAGTACTACCTTGGTCGGAACCGTGCCGGTGGTGGTCTTTTTGCCGGGGATGAAGGAGCCCAAATCCTTTCCCGCTGTTCCTAAGAAGCAGCATACCAGACTACCTCAGCATCGACCTCCCCTGCGCCGTGACAAGCCAGTGAGAATCTCTCTCCCGAACCATTCCCCAAGCTATATATACCCGTCCATGGAACGATCGTTCATCTTCATTCCGAGAGCCCTCCGCCCGAACCAGAGTTGGCGGGGCCGGGGTCGAGGCGGGGGTGGAGCTCCGGGTAGCATGTACGGTGGCTCACGACGCCCCAGTTACTTTCCCACTGCGTATCCTCCAAGTCTTCCCCCCAGTCGCCGGACTTCCCTTGGGATGTCATCGCAAGATGGATATCCTTCACCCGCTGGGTCGACTTACTCACGGCCAAGTATTGGAAAGCCGGTTGTGCGTCTGCCGCCACAACGTCCCATGTTTCCACCGGGCCCTGTCATGCCTATGGGTCCCCCAGGAACCATGCCACCTATGATACCCATGCAAAATATACCTTTCCAACATCCTCCTTATCGCGAGAACCGTCATGTTCCCATCCCAATGCATCAACCTCGTCCGAAGAAGACAGTCTCCGTTGCAGATATTGAGAGCCCCGACAACTTCCCGATCAACCCTCCTCAACCTCAGCACGAGCAACCTTTCCACCATCAAGTACCGCTTGGTGTCAGTGCTGGTCCTGGTCATGAGGGGATTGGACCGAGCTCCAGTCAGCCTTCTGCAACTCCTCTTTCTCAGATTCCCGAACGTGCGATCCATGCACCTTCATTCCAACCAACTCCTTACTCAGCTGCATACTATCCAGGTTATCCTCCTAATGGGGGTTACTACCCTCCGTATGGTCCATTCAATGGGCCCATGGGACCTGGAGTATCTATGCCAAATTTTCCAGGGGGAGTAGCGCCACAACCCATGGCCTTTCAACCACATCTGGGACCTTCTGGTGAGCAGCCATCTCAACCCGGAATGGTTGCTCATGAGGCTGGTGGCACCGTTTACTTTTACGATGCCAATCAGATGTACTCTCCCAACTATGGGATGCATGATGGCCCTGGAGGAGTTGTTGGCATGGGTGGTATGATGACACCACCTACCCCCTTTTATTACCCTCAGCCCTCAGGGCCGGGAGTATATTATCCCGCACAATAATGCATTCGCTTGGTTTTTTTCCACCAAGCCTTTGCGTCTGATGAATCGCATTTCTTTCTTTCTTTGCGATTTCTTTTACTTTCACGTTGCTTTCCAGCATTTTCTGAGTATTTCCCAACTTCTCTCGCCGTTCCGTCCGAACTTTCCTCTGCTAATTCGTCGATCGTTCCGTCATTCCCCTTGGCAGCTCCATTGCCTACAACGTTTCGTCCGTTTTTTTTTCTTATTTAATTTTTTGTTTTGAACCTGAGTTTACCGACTCAGTTCCACTTTGGTAGACTTGGATTCGCCTGCATTTGAGCGTTCACAACTCATGAATCTTCGCAAAACGAACAACCCCAGCATTTCATTTTTTCATTTGCATGAACAGCATTTTTATATATGCTTTATTGCCCTAGTTACAGGGTCACGAATACCATTAAAAGTTCCATCCATGGGTCTTGCCGCTTTAACCTGAATACATTTAGATACGAACTAAATTTCAAGTAGATTCTAGATGCCTAAACCTCGTGCATATGTATATTTGCCTCTTGTTTTGTGCTTCGTGAATGTTGATCATGATGCACAGCCCAATTCACGCCTCATAGTACACGTATACCTACATATATGTACCACCCTTGTATACATGTATGTAGTCTATCTCCGCTCTAGGCATCCCCATATATCCGTATACCAATCTCCGTAAACCGAACTCCGTATACTCCGGAAACCGTACATCGTAACATTACATAATCATTGGTCTGAGCGTGGAGACTTACACCGCCCAAACAGCTGACCTAGTGATCCAGTGACCAAACAACCCCAGTGTCTCCCCCCGTACAACAGTGAATTACTGCTTTTATTCCTTTCCCCTCTCCATCCTTTTCCTATATCTTCTCCATCTTGCCCTTTTTCCTCATCACTTTCTCCATCTCTCAGTGCTCTTTCCAAATTACCTGGTGTGGGGTTGTTCCCAAAAGCCATTCCCGTTTCTTCCTAGTACAACTTCTTATCTCTTACTTCTCATCTCGCTTCCCCCTCTCCATACTTCTTCTATTCCGCCTCTCCCCGGTTCCCTACATCATGGCGACCCCAGCCCTTCCATCACACCCTAGTCCCGACCATCTCATAACCATCAAGGTTCTCTTTAAGGATAACACCCGTCGTTTCAAGCTGCCGTTGAAAGATCTTCGGCCCCAGGTGCTCCCCCAGAAGGTATGTCTCCACTCAAGCTTCCAAGCTCCGACCGGCCCTCTGGACCCCCATCTCTTATTTTGACAACCATCAACTTCATCTCCATATCAAAAGAAAATGGTTCAAATTTGTGTCCCTTCTTTTGGAGATGGAAAGTGAAATCATGACTCCTTTCACTCACTCGGTTGATTGTTGACTAATGTTTTTGGCTTAGATCCGCACTCTGCTCGGCGTTCCGGCGGATGTCAACGTCATCCTCGAACGCTATTCCGATAGCGCCGGTTCTTACATTCGCCTAGACAGCGACAACACAACAGTCTACAAGCAGCTTTACCGGGCTGCTAAGGCTAAATCTAAGCTTCGCATCAAGGCCACTGCTGTCGAGGAGGAGTCGACTCCAACTCTCTCAGACAGTTCTACCTCGGCTGAACCCTTGAGCCAGAACCCTCCAAGATACAGCTACCTGGAAACTGTCTTGAGCCCACCCATCCCCGTAGCTTCTGGTGAAGACCAAATTACCACTTCTGACCCAGTCCCTGACCTCACTGCCGGTCAAGTTGAGCTTCCCAAGCATATCCCCGGGCCTGTCGCTGAGCCCCAGTACCGCAAATTTGAGATGGAGCCAGAAGCCCCCCCGTTTTCCCGTTATCTCTCACCACTCGGCTAGTGGGATTTTCTGCATTGATTGCAACAGCTGTGGGCAATCAATTGCCAACGAGCACTACCACTGCGGTATTTGCGAGTATGGCGACTACGACCTTTGCCCACAGTGTGTGAAAGATGGTGTTACGTGTCACGGAGAAGGCCATTGGCTCATCAAGCGCACTGTTGAGGATGGCGTGGTGACCAACAGCAGTACTGAGACCATTCCCCCTCGCCAAACACAAGTTCAGGAGACCAAGCCCCTTGCCGAGTCGGTAGAAGAGGCTCGCCCCAAGGTTGAGACTCCTGTTCCTGTTGTTGCCCGGTCTCATGTTCCCGCCCCTGCATCAGCTCCTTACGTTCCTCCCATCTCTCCACCCCTCGCTCACCCTGATGCAGATGACAAGCCCATTTGCAATGGTTGCTGCCGTGAAGCTGATGACAGCAATCTGGTGCGTTGCAATGAATGCGAAGATTATGATCTTTGCCTTCGCTGCCTCCTGCGAAACAAGCATGGCCACCACCCTGCTCACACTTTCGCACTTGGGTCCGATCGCAACTACTGCTTGAAGAACCTGATCCTGTCTCGATGCCTCCCTGGGCGTCTGTTCAAGCATGCTGCCATTTGCGATGGCTGCGAGAAGAACATTGTTGGCACTCGCCACAAGTGTCTCTCCTGCCCCGATTGGGACTACTGCCCTGATTGTGTCGTTGATGCTGCTCAGACTCACCCTGGTCACCGATTTGCTCCTCTCTATGAATCTATTGGGGACCAAATCCGTGAGTCTTATGAGATCCACTACGGCATCTTCTGTGATGGCCCACTTTGTAAGGACAAGCCCGCTCAGAGCTACATCGCTGGCGTCCGCTACAAGTGTGCTGTCTGCGATGATATTGACTTCTGTGCCAGCTGCGAGGCTCTGCCGACCCACACTCACAACCGGACCCACCCCATGATTAAATTCAAGACCCCTGTCCGCAGTGTGACTGTGAGCACTCTGACTGAAGATGCCACTGGTCGTGTCGCCATGGGTGACCAGGTTAATTATCAGGCCCCGGTTGAGGCTGAGGTCGAGGTCGAGCCTGAGATCAAGACCGAGATCTCCGAGGAGAAGGAGCCAATCGTGGAACAGGCTCCTGTCGAAGCTGAAACTCCTGAGTCCAATATCTACGAATCAAATCATGATTCCGAGTATCAGGCTTACTTCTTGCGAGATACTATTGCCGACGGAACTCAGCTGTCTCCTGACACGCCATTCCGCCAGACCTGGACTCTTTACAACCCAGGACCTAACTCTTGGCCCGTAGGCAGTGATGTTCGTTTCGTTGGTGGTGACACCATGTTCAACGTGGACTCGGAACACCCATCCAGTGTGCAATCTATTCACTCGGCAATGGAGAGCAACAAGTTGGCTGAAGCTGTCAAGCCCGGCAACACTGCTAACTTCACTGTGAACCTCCGCACCCCACACCGTGAGGGCACTGCCATTTCATACTGGCGTCTGAAGCTGCCCAACGGCACTCCCATTGGCCACCGTCTCTGGTGTGACATTCAAGTCCGGTCAACTGTGGTGCCTGAGCCAGTGGCACCAGCATCAGACAGCCTCGAGTCTGAGGCTAGCAGCCGCATGATCTTCCCCAAGCTGGAGAAGGAGTCTCCTGAGACCAGCACTCATGAGGCCATGCCGGCTGTCTGCCCAGCTCCGACCATCTCCACTACATCTGAGGCCGATATTCTGGAAGATGTTGAGAGTCTTACCTTGGATGACACTGATACTGACGCAGGCTTCCTGACTGACGAGGAGTACGACGTCCTCGATGCCAGTGACCATGAGTTCCTTGAGGCGCAACAGTCTATGCATTAAGCATAAGTTTTGCTAGGCTTCGCCTTCACTTTATGACATGAACGGTATTTGGAAACAGGGAATTTGCACCACAGGATATTGGATTTCTTTTTTCGTTTCGGATTGCTTCTCTTCTCGCCATTTAACTCTACGACTGGTCACTTCAGCGATGACCAGTTATTTATTCTTTTTTTTTTTTTGGATTTGATTTTCACAACTCTCTTCTCTCCTTTTCTAGAGGCTAAACCAGCGCCTCCAAAAAAAAGCTCAAAAGAAGAAAAAAAAACATTCACCATCTCCCTTCCCTCTATTGCTTAGGATAGTCGAATGCATTTCCGTTCTACTGGATCATTCCTACATTCCATAATCCAGCAAAGGTATGTATCTACACCTACATACTCTATGTAATTCCACCTACGTAAGTGTGTTGTATGATCCATAGGTTTAGGCCCACATCAACTCCACTCCCCTCCCGTGCAACCGATGATCTTGATTCAGTCCGAGGCAATTGTTGTTACCGAGAATTAATTTCCGATCCTTGATTTTTCCACTGTTCACTCTTCATCCTCCCAAGTACTGTGCGGAACTTGAACTGTCATGGGATTCTGGCGCTCATCATTCGGCCTAGGCCTGGTTGCAGGCCTGGTAATCTACTGGGGTCCTATTATCTGGCATGTCGTCAAGATTGGTGGCGTGCTTGATACCCCAAAACAGACCTTGTTTGGTGAAGGCGAAGGTCCCATCTACATTGAAGATACTATTCATTGCGAGGATGTGCACCACTATCTCCCGGCAAATTTGTTGTTCACTGCATGTGAGGATACAGTTGAGACTCGTATGGACTGGTTCCCTGGCTTGGGCCACCTGGAGCCACATCCGTCGGCTCGTGGGTCCATCCACGTCGTTGACCCCCAGGTATGTGGCTGAACTGAAATTCCATACGAGAAAAATGAAAAAAGAATGCTAATTTACGTGTTTTATATAGACATTCACATCCAGAAGACTGGAGTTCGAAAACTTCGAAGGTTCTTTCGTCACACACGGCATTGACGTAATTGAAGATCCCAAACACAAGGGCGCTGTTTATATCTTCGCGGTTAACCACTTGCCCAACCCCGAGTACTTTAATGTGACCGAGCCAGTCGAGGGAACACTCAAGGCTCGCTCTCAAATTGAGCTATTCCACCATGTACTGCAGTCGAACACAGTTCAGCATATCCGATCCATTCGTCACCCGCTTATCCGAACCCCGAATGATATCGTCGCTTCTAGCCCGGATTCCTTCTACGTGACGAACGATCATTACTACATCGATGGATTTATGCGCATTGTTGAGATCCTGTGGCCTCAAGCAAAATGGTCCTCTATCATCCATGTTGAGGTGACCGACTTCAAATCAACTGATGCCACAGAAGGTTTCAAGGCTACAGTTGCGAACCAGGGTCTTTGGAATAATAATGGTCTTGGTCACTCTCGCACTGATACTGAGATTGTTATCTCCAGTCCGGCGGGTGGACAGCTTTACCTTGCTGAGGAGAATACAGTCAACAAGACTCTCTCAGTGCATACTACAATCTCCTTCAGTACTGTCTGTGATAACCCGAGTTACTACATCGATCCTTATAGCACTGAAGAGGATGATGCGACTGGATTCGTGGTCGGGGGTATCTCGCAGCATTTCACATTTCCCAAAACAGCTAAGGATCCTAATGGTCTTGATCCTGTGCAGATCTGGTATGCGCGCCCTCAGCCGGGTACAGAGAATTGGGAGCAGAAGTTGCTATTTGAAGATGATGGCTCGCGTCTTCGTACGGCTAGTGCGTCTGTTCTGATTCCTATTAAGCCTGTGGATGGGAAGAAGAAGGCTTGGTTGTTTGCAACTGGGTTTATGTCGAAATCGATGATTGCTGTTCAGGTTGAGCTGTAGACTTTTATGATCTAGCTTCATGTAAATATTTCAATTTCAAAGAATGAATGATCGTTAAAACTGAGTTATGTACTTGCTAACTTACTGTTAGTTAGTTATCAATTGTAATTGTTCTGCCTGAAGTACTAGGTGTCCACTCCGTACCTCGGTCGAATTTCCTCCGCAATTCAACTTCTCCGTGTCAACAGTCAACAGACTTCAATTCCAGTCATGTCAGCTCTATTCAGGGGAGATGTAGTCCTCCGTTCCTCAATACGACCTCAAAAGACCATTCTTATCCCTTCACATAATCTCTTCTCAACATCAACAATCTACCGATCTCAACCAATCCCAAGTACAGAACCTAAAACCAAAATCCTCACACCAGAAATCCACGAAATAAACCCCCCCGATAACCACATTCCCTCCTGAACTCGACCTCCTCACTATTCAATCTGCCAAAGAAAGTGGCTTATTAAAAGGCCTCTTCACTATCGCTCGCGCATACCTGAGTTTCTACAAATCAGGCATCTTCAACGTCTACCACAATTATCGCGCTTCGATACCTATTCGCAGAACCCTGGGTTTATCTATACTCATACCTACATCCCCTCCGTACAATATTTCTCGTCTACGGTCCTTGAAATCAAATACTCAATCCTCGAGTCCTACTTCCAATGCTTCTCCTACTTCCAAGGAGAATGAGACGGTTGTTGGTAGAGCACAATACCAATTAACCCACCGCTCTGCACTGGACATTCGTCGTCTCATCCCTTTTGCAGCAATTGTCGCTATCTGTGGAGAATTCACACCTTTACTCCTACCTTATCTTGGTAAATCAATCACACCATCAACATGTCGAATCCCAGATCAATTACATAAGGAGCGTGAAAAGGCTATCGCTTTGAAGTTGTTTACTTTACACGCTCAGGCATATCTTGATAAAGTACCCTGTCCAGTCGAAGGGTCTCGTGAGGAAATTAGGTATATTATGAAATACCTTAATGTCGACTGGGTTAGAAAAGCGGATAATGACGCGGTGCTACGCGCTTGTGCGGTGCTTAAGTTGTCCACTACGTATGAACGGCGTAACTGGATTGGGGCGGATTTTGGGGTCTTTTGGGATTTTCTCGTCTTTGCATCCCTGAGACCTAGGTTGTTGAGACATGTGAACTATTTGGAGACTGATGATGCGCTTATCAGACAAGCTGGTGGTCCGTCACAGCTCAATGAGAAAGAGCTTCAGCTTGCGGTTGAGGAACGAGGTGCTGTGGATGTGGGTTGGGGCTTGGGGGAGAAGGCTGAGGGGGTGAGAAAGGATTGGTTGATGATGTGGTTAGAGGAGAGGAGTGAACATTGATGGAATATACTGGCAGGGCATATACATAAGGTCTTATTGTATCAATAGGTACTATATCAAGAATCTATATCTACTCTTATATCCAGGACTTTCAACTTGAATGTTTTTTATACCAAACAGCTTAGCTGATATGCAATTTAGAACTAAATTATGTGCAGGTAAGAAGATTGTGCCGTGAAACTAAATCGAGGGGTATCAACCAATATAAAAACCCGCTGAGAAAGTGCAATCCTATAGATCATATCCAAATCAACAGTCTCACTGTGTCACAGCTGTCGCAGCTGTCCCATGCGTTTTACTACGCATCTGCTTCGCCCATCGCAATCCACACCCATTGCAAAGGTCTCGATCCCCGCTCGGACCTCGTCGCCATTCAGGTGTGCTTTTAGTCTTGCATGTTGAGCATGACTTCTCCACTGATTGCGCATTCAGCTTGCGCTTCCGCTTCTTTCTTCGGTTCAGCATGCGCTGCAGTTCGTCTGCTAGAGTGCGGTTTTGCTTTTCTAATTCCCGGAGCTCGATCTGCCAGCTGGATCCACGAGTAGGGTTTAACTCGGTGAAGAATGTGGCTGGAGTATCTGATGGTGAGCCCCGGTTTCCGGTAGGAAGGCCATTTAGACCGATAAGGGTGGAAAGATCGGGCATTCGTTGCCCCAGAGCCCCATATTGACGAGGCGGGAGTGCGTCTTCGGTGAGGAGGGTGGTTTTCCTGGCTGTGCCGGGTACATTGGCGCTGGTCTCATCCTCAGCGGCGGCAGTGGCAGTGAGAGATGGTGGGAATGCTCGCGCAAATCGAATTTGAGCAACCAGGAAAGAAGGCCGGAATCCATTCACTGAATCTCCGGCGTATAAAGTCGTATGAGCAGACAGCATGTGGCCCTTTTTGTGTCGCATCTGATGCCGGAATGATGGGGGTTCCTTGGACGATGAGTCTTCAATGTCATCCTCTTGGTCAGTACTACTACTGCCACCTGAGGCAGCTGTCTCCAGGGCAGTGGTGATAGCTTTTGGTCCATCTTCGGGCTCCATAATCTCACGTAGACCCTTGCCAACCAAGTCATCAGGAACACGCCCCAGTACGGGCTTCACCTTGGAGGTGACAAACAAGATTACGCCTGATAGAGATATCTTGGCCCAGACGTCATTATCCGCTAGGGCCGCAGAAGACCCCAGTCGGGTGATTTGGTGCAGTGAATACACGGGTCGAGGACGACCGGTCATCACAAGGTGTTTGCGGCCTTGGTTCGGGTCGATGTGCCATGCACCGTGACCCTCAAACCAGATATACCCTTGATACTTCTTGCGAATGCGATACACAACACTGATCGGTGCTGATGTCGTGCTCGCTCGCATGTCGCGAATCACGGGTCCAATGTCGCTAGGGTGGCAGACCGTTGACAAGGTCTTGCCGACCAGCTCAACAGAGTCGTATTCCAGTATCTTCTTACAGGATGGTGATAGATATAGGAACTCTCCATTAAAAGACAATACATGAATCACGTCATCGGTATTCTCAACCAGGATGCGATCCAGGTAGTTGCGTGAGACATTGGATCCAGGTGCACCAACAGCAGTCAAAATCTCACTAACTTGATCATGGCTGTATTGGACTGCCAGATCTGGTCGAATGCGGTAGATCTCCGGAGGTGGAACCATATACTGGGGAAGTTGGTCCCGTTGGTAGTTGATAGTGTATGTACCATCTAAACAATGTTAGCCAAGAGCCGCGCCAGTATAATCTGATGTGGTCGTACCTGGATTTCTTCTTGTAATGGCATCTGGCTTTTCAACCAAGTCTACCTGGAATCCAACATAATACCGATACTCTTCAGATTCCCACTGAATCGGGATCATAGTGATGAGATTCATGAAAGGCTGTCCACCCTTCCGGTAGTTGATGATACTAGCCTGGATTTCACTTCTTTCATGAATCGTAGACCGCAGGCGATAAACCGTCTGACCATCCACAAAGGTTCTCTTCATGCCAGCCTTGAGATCACCATTTGGATCCTGGAGGAAACGACAATTCCGACCCACAATTTCATCTTTCACGTATCCTGTCAAGCGTTCAAATGCCTCGGAAACGTATACGATCGGGTGGTCCTTTTGCCAGATATCGCAAAGCACAAAAGCACAGGATAAGTCGACCGCGCCGATATTGATCTTGGGATTTGGGCGAGCCGCCACTCGACTCTATTCAGATCAGCCGAGTCCCTAGGATCAACTGGGGATATATACGAACCAAAACTCCCAGTACATCAAAGCCACTACTGGAGTAGATTCCCGTGTGCTCCGTCTTCCCCGCATCGGGAGTTGTCAATCCTGGAGACTGGCCTGAGAGCGTGTCAATAGGGATATCATGGCGAAAACTGATATTCACCACTCACGTTTCACCAGGGCTGGTTTTTTGGGCTGGATCGCGACGGGTTGATGGCGAAAGGGTGGGGCGTACGGTGGCTGACGGGGGCGAGCGCGATCTTGGGGTGGACGGGAGGAGATCGTGCTAGCCTTGGATCGATCACTTGTTCGAGAAAAGTCCGAGTCCTCGAAACTTCCAGTCGAATTCGTCGTGGTGTAGGGATCTTGGCGTAGTGCGGGCACATTGTGGGCTTGCGGTGGCTGCTGCTGCTGCTGAGGTTGTGGTTGCTGGAGATATCGGGTTTGGGCTTGCGGGGGTAAAGTGTTAAAGTCGGGATACGAGGCCTGTAGTTGTGTCTGGTCTATAGGAGACATTCCCAAAGAAGTGGCGGGGTAGGTGGTCGGGACGTAGGAAAAGCCGTTCGGATCGAGGCCCATCTGCAAAGAAGCCTGGTTGGAGGTATCGTAGGCGAGGATGACATTGTTGAGACGGCCTTCCAACTCATTCTGTGTTGCTGGAGGTTCGAAGCCATGAAGGGAGATGCCACCGTCCTGCGGTAGCATGGAACCCGTGAAGCCAAAATTGCCAACGGTATTTGGGAAGCCGATCATGGCATCCTGTGAGAGGGATGGGGGTAGCGAGACGCCACCGTCCTGAGAATCATCTTGGGAGGTAGGCGGATAGTCAAAGTTGAAGTGATCCATGAGGAATATCAACCATCTCCTGTATATAAAAATTTAAGCCAACAATAGGCCTCGGCCTTGCGTGGGGTCGAACAATGCAGAGCCCAGACAGAGTTCCAAACTCCCGGGAATAGAGGGACCAACGGGAGTCACGAGCAGACTCCACTTCAGGTTTACTTTCAGTATAAACTTGAAAGAGATCACTTGAAAATAGAGATGAGATGAATGGGATATATGACCGGGTACTTTGTTGAGAAAAGAGGAGAAGGAGAGGAGAAGAGTATGAATAGAAAGAAAAGAGATGAATGTTTTTGAACAAAGTACTGTGGACCCACTTAGAGTCAATTTCCCGTATAAGTAGACAGTGAGATATAGTAAAATAGATGATGAATTTATATAAAATTATTATATAGAAGAAAAAAAGGTGTTTAAATAGTTTTATATTTATATTTATATATCTATCTATCTATTTAAACTTGTGTGGTTAAATAATTACAAATATACTATGGTAGAGGACATCGGGGGTAGATGTACATTGTTACTCTGTAGACGAACCAAGTACAATGACACATTGGATCTATCACATTATACTAATGAAAGGTGTTCTCTTGGGACTATTGAATAATCAAATATTACATCTCTCTTTTTCTCAAATGTTATATATATATATGTCATTTTATATTACTAGTATAGGTAGTATATAACATTTGAAACAATGTACTCTATACTAGTCAAGTTGGGGCCAAGTACTACCTAGGTATGTACTATGTAGTCTCCCGTTAGTAACATTTGAATCCTCTTAATCTCCCCCCGTATATTGTATCACGCCCCATGTCCCTGTCAGTGCCAGGTTATGGCAGACAAGATCTCAATCACCATCTGTGGTGATGGTGGATGTGGTATGTTCCTGAAACTCTTTATATTTCTTATTCTCTCCTTGGGACCCTGAATCCCTCCTGATTCGGTGCCAGTGCTCTGGGTTACTGCGATCGAGATCTGATCAGATCGGGTAATAGGTAAATCATCGATCACTATACGGCTGGTCCGAAGTCAATGGATTCACGAGTAAGCCCCTTTCTAGTACATGCATCTGCTCACACCACTAATATGTATACAGATATGATCCTACGATCGGTAAGATACGCGTCGCGTGATCGCAATCGCGATCGATCATTGATTCATCATATGCAATATGTACTGATGCTCGCCTAGAGGACTCGTACTCTGTTACACGTACCGTCGACGGTTTCCCTTATTTCCTCCCCATCACCGACACAGCTGGTCAAGAAGAATATCGAGGTCTTTGGACTTCTTCATCCTTACAATCCGATGCCTTCCTACTCGTCTACGATATTACGAATCCTACTACTCTAAATACATTGGACCACTTTATCGATCTTATCAATTTGGAAGCCGAACAACGACTCGAGGATAATGAACGCTTGCGCAAAGAGCTCGGTGACAAGGCTGGTCCTGGTCCTGGTCTCCCTCCACCGGTGATGATCGTTGCGGGAAATAAGTGCGATCTGAAAGAAGGGCGCGCGGTCTCGTCGCGAGAGGGATTGGAATATGCGAGAAAACATGGATGTGGATTTATGGAAACCAGTGCGAGGGAAATGGTCAATATCGAAGAGACATTTGCGCGTATGTTCATCCATTCTTTCGTCCGTTCTCCGTTCTCCGTCCTCCGTGTATAACTACCGGTACGGATACTGATTGAAATGGGGCCGAACCCCTGATTCAATCGAGTCCAAGTCCCCATTTGCTTTACCCGCCAAAAATACTCTTATAGGGGGAACCTTGCGAGGAAATTTGCCAGGTGGACTCCACCTGGGCATGTTATAACTCCGCTGACTAAACAGACCTTGTTCGTCGCGTTGTGGAAACACGTCGTGTCCACCAAGGAATAGCGCCCCCACGGGCTACTCAATCCGTTCATACTACAGCCTTGCCCCAGATTGACTCAGTTAACTTTGTTAGTTCTGTTAATTCTGTTGACTACATTAATTATGCTCCAAAGCGGCGCAGTCATTTCGGAATTGAAAAACTCCGATCCCGACCCTCCATTACGGATAAAACTGCGAAGTCCGTGGACTCTGACTCTGAAACAGCCTGTTTACTTCGGCGGCTGTGTTGTGGCTGATAACCTTGGAAAAGGTTCTTTCAAATGCTGATGCTCTATACGCCGTATTCGTATAATTGGATGAGTTTGAGGATATATCTACTCTGGCCAAGTGTATAAATATGAATTTTAAAGTTGGGAAGTTAATAAAATATGGTTGCCTAGTTATTCTAGTTTATTCGGGTTCGGATACTCTTAATTTCTATTCGGATTCGGGTAATGCTAAAACACAAACTTAACATCTAATTTCAGATCTCCAAGAAATACTAGTAGGTACAGAACTTGAAGGATTGCGTGTTATCATTGAGCCCCAAGTATTCGTACACCTACTCAAGTTCTGTTAATGATTAACCCGCGAGTAGGGGTTATATGGGGCCGGAATGAAGGTCCGTTTGATCTGACTTTGCGGACCATTGGTACCTGGGAAACAAGAACACCGAATCCAGGTACAAATTAGGTCTGGACACAAGTGCTAAACATTTGAACAGCATGCCGTGCGTTGGTCACAGATGCATAAGTGGCTAAAACGGGTAAGTATTGCGTGTGGATTTGAGGGGAAGAGAATGATAATCCAATTAACGGGCTCTGGTGAGAAACAACAAGCTTCTTAGCTTCGGGCTAATGAGGTCATGTTAGGTTGGTTCAGGAGTTGGGTCTGAATTGGCAGGTTAATTTGGTCTGGATTGACCTTTTCATGCCCAGATTGCCCAGACTGCCCAGGCTAATCATATGCGATGCAGTTCAGGGGATCATACTCAGGAGTGAGTATACAGCCTGAAGTAGTACAGAGTATAGTGTGTACTCTGCCAGTCCTGGTAGTTCTGGGTGCCCAGTGCCCTCTTATTCGTATTACTAACCATGGTCAGCCTTACCGAGCTGCCCACCTGTGTCCAGTGATAGGAGATAGCTGATGTAAGGTGAACAAACCTGATGAGCTAAAGTGGCGCAGGTCCACTCTCATAAGTTATTATGCGACACCTCGGTTCAGTCCCTGAGATTGAAAAAAGAAAAGGATTGAAAAGATTAAAAGTTTCTAGACGTTTTAGTCTGAAATCCCGATCGAGCAAGAAATCCAGATGGTAACGTCATGGACTTGGATGAGAATTCCACGGTCCACCTCTTTAACCGTATTGATGGAGATATCATTGGAGGTGAATAGTCATGAATCACGAAAAGTGAGACGGGGATATAATTGGATTATAGAGGGATTCCAAGGCTCGTAGAGTACTTCCCAGTTGATACTAGTTCATCACCCATCTGGGTAGTTTGAACTGAATTGAACATGAGTCGGAGTAATCTGATTCCCGTACCGAGCATGACTAATCGCAACGGGGTCCGGCAAGATGATGCCGAGCGGATTTGATGATTTGATGAGATGATTTGTACATTTATGCATTATTACGGTACAGTTCAAGGCTTCATTATAATCTATTATTGCTACTATTACTGGGTATACTATTAGTATCTGGTAAATAGATATAACTGGAAGTATTAAGTAATAACCTGTACATCATCAACTCATCATGATTCCGGAAGTGGTAGCCGGATATACTGAAAGTCTCCGAGTTGAAATGCCGAATTCCACTCCACTGAGAAAAAAGTTAGAAATAAGTAAAAAAAAAAAATATACACGTACTCGTACGGGGTACAGTGTAAAATAACAATGAGATGAGGGATAAAAATGTAAAAACCGGTGATCACCCATAGTGGAGTTAATGTCCCCGGTGATTCGATCCCAATCGGCGAGCACAATTAATGAAAATCAATAATTCCATAATTCCATTAAAATAATTCAATAATTCAATAATCCATAATTCATTTTTATTATTTTTTATTATTATTTTTCTTCGAATTTTTTTCATTCATATTTTATTATTAAAAAAAAAGGAATTCTGTACATCACAAAGCACTAAAATAGGGCCTCCCCCCAACCTGCTTCCCCTCCCATGACTGATATATGACACTTTACCCATACCATCAAATCATCAAAAACTCAAGTGGACTCTCCAACAATCCAGAATCCAGCCAAAAAAGCAAATCCAAAATCAGGAATCGAAAAGTCAATGCTGAATGGTACCTCAAGACATCGTCATTAGATCATTGACTGGTTGACGTCGATCCGCCGGATCAGGAAGTATAGCTCAAAGAAACCAACTTTTCTTGCTCAACTTCTCCTCATTACACTATTACACTCTCGAGGTCTGAGTGATTCACCTATACAACATACAAAATGGCTGCGCGGCAATCATCACCAAACTCCGATTCACACTCTGATAATGTACGCAAGCGCGTATGTAAAGCTTGTGATCGATGTCGCTTGAAGAAATCCAAGGTGAGTTACATTATACTTATCATTGATTGAATGAACTAAGCTAACTTTTTAGTGTGACGGAGCGAGTCCATGTTCCCGCTGTCGAGCCGATAATGCAATCTGTGTCTTTGGTGAACGAAAGAAGGCTCATGATAAAGTGTATCCGAAGGGGTGAGCTTGACTGAACTGGTATACTAGTACTATATTCAATATACTAACATACCCAGATATGTCGAAATGCTCGAACAGCAACAGGCCTGGCTGGTCCACGGCCTCCAGGAATTATACCGTCGCGCTACAGAAGGCGAAGGCTGGCCAGGAGATCGATTGAAATCCGAATCAAACGGTCACCCTCTCACCCATGACCTCCTCACCCGTCTCGGTGCCCTCGATCACACCAAGGGTGAACACTTTGAAGAGAATCCCGAAACTATGCAACAGGAACTTTGGCGACATGGCATGCAACGCCAGGAATCATCAGATGGAAGCTCAGAACCTCATTCCCCGGTCGCCCGTTCGCGCTTCTCCTCCGATGCTTTCTCTCAGTCTCAGCAATCAACTTTACCACCAACTCCACCAACCTATCACCATAGTCCCCCGTCGAATCCGATCAATCTGAATCTGAATATCAAGCAGGAGGATCAGTCACTACAGCAAGCACAAGCACAAGCACAAGCCCAGGCCCAAGCTCAGGCTAATAGCCAGTACCCGTTACATATGCAGGGTGTGGTCAACCCACTTGCGCTACAGGATCCACAGCAATGGCCGACGAATGGGTTTAGTGCTTTTGATGAAATGGAGATGATGACAACGGGTGATTACTCGGGTCTTTCATTTGAGGATCAGATTCCTTCGCCAATGTTTAATCGACAAATGCCGATGAATTGTGTTTCGACGGATTACGATGATTTCAATCAATTCTTGAATCCGAATCCAACGGAGATTACATCGATCTAGACCGCTTGACTTTTTTTTACTACTTACTGCGTTGAGTATTTGTGGAGGTTCTCTTTTTTTCTTTCTTTTTTGGGAATCCTGTTAACGCCGTATGACGTGATGCATGTATACTATACATGTTTTTTTTCTTTCTTTTTCTTCTTTTTTAGATTCAGGGCTACTATCCCCTGGATCGGAGCACTTGGGATAATATGTACAGTGTTGGGTTTGGGGAGTTTCAAAACAGGTTCATGGCGTTGGATGAATTCATTCTTTCTCTTCTCACTTTCTCAGTCTGGTAATTCCGATTCTTCGATTTAACCAGTAATTTCATTGTTCAATGACTTCACAGGGACTGCAACACCGGAGAAACGTGCCGACTCGATCGGGCCCACCCGGAAATAGTGTTATCTCCAGCATCAGCACTTGAGCATCCAGGAGTCATAATCAGTCATGTACAGTGTACAGAGTACATTACACATGGTTTACTAGGTACATGATTATACGAGATCATGCAATTTAGACTTTGCGTGGTTTTCATTCGAGCACTTGAGTTTATAATCAAGACCCTGAATACCTTCTTTCTGGTTCTTTTGATCAATAATCGATTAAGTCAGCGGAGTTGGGTAGTGTAAGAGTGGGACTGCAAACTTGAACTTGAACTTGAACTCCACAGGAATCCACTTCTTGATTCTTTTCTTCCTTTTTTCTTTACGTGAGATGGAGCTTCCAAAGTGGGAAAGACCGAATTGCCGAATTGCCGACTTGACATTAGTGGGGACTGAGAGAGACTGTGCGGAATATCAATTTCCGCATTTAACTATTTTAATATTTTTTAACTATTCTATATTGTATATTCTATACTAGATACTATATCATTTAGATAATAATCAGTTGACCACTACCTACATAAACTAAGCTAATAAAGTAACTCATTAATGAGTTTACTGTTGTGTCACGGATGCTCGCATAGTCCGGGGTATCGGGACTCGGAACCCGTTTGCTCCGTTTGCTCCGTCTCGGATGTGTTTCTTCCTAAACCCGGATTGTACTAACTATACTAACTGTACTATCTACTATGTATAAAGAAACGGAGATGGAGATTCCGTTATCCTAAATAGTATATTGCTCTATTCTATTAATTCTATTATTCTTTTATTTTAGAATGATTTGCATCTTATGGTCCACATGGTACTGTTTAAGGAACAATATAGACTATAAATGTATATTGGAATATTGTATTATTCAGGGGAATATTCCATGAAATATGATTGGTTACTTATTCAAGTACTCCCACCTATACACCTATACACCTATACTACTATGTACTAGTATATACGGAGATCACGGAGACTAAACACCGATCTAATCCACCATGAATCGTTAGACTATACCAAGGTATAAACTATTAGCATTGTTCAACGGCGATCAACAATAATACGAGCACTTGAGTATATCCGAGTTTCTTCCGATTTTGACCCGCTATATAAACTTCAATTGTTAAATGATCACCTTATCTGGTAGACCACATTCAGAACCTTGGGATACAGTACCTGAACGGAATAAGGAATAAAAAATGTAGGGCTATAAAGTGGATCAGATTCAATGAATCCCTCCAGGGCTACATCCGCGGTACTGACACCGCGGTACTGAACAACCTCGGCTCCCTGCACAGCGATCCCGAACCCGAATCTTATCTCCGGCGGCTCTTGACTCGGCTTGCCTATCTACTGTATACATGTACTCCATACTCCATACAGTATATCGATTATACAGATAGAATCAATAGAACTAAATCTCTTTTATTTGTCATATAACGTCTAGCTTTTATCTGAATTTCTACTATTTCACCCCGAAACAGGATAATTCACTCAATGTCCTCCGTACATACCAAGTAAAACGTGGAAGTGGACCTCGAATCCCGATCCATTCTCGTGTCCACTCAAACGGAACATTATGACCCACGTCCTTCGAGAACATTTGCAAAATCCGAGTCCCACTGAGTCCGAGTCCTGACGGATTACTCTTATTCCGCAGAGGACAGGGTTCGTAAACTCCACTTCAGGGCTACACTGAATCAGCGCTACACTAATACACTAATATACTGTGTGGTTCGAGACTGCATCGTCTGATTCTACCAATAGTGGTTAGATGATATTTCCAGGCTTTTCCTTTTTAACTTGAATGTAATTAGTCCACCGTGCAGCAATTGAGTATGTGGCTTGGGTTAATTCTTGTATCCGTATATCCTTATTCCTGATTAGTCGAAGCCGACGGAACTGGACCTGGAGTAAATTGAGGTATTTCCTGTACAAAGTACAGACTGTACTAAACCATTTCCATTCTTGGACTCTGTATTATTGATGCCGGCACCGTTTCCGATATCCGGGTTTTGTGCCGCCGATTTTTACTCGTAGATCCTGCACGGTTAGAACGGTAGACTTAATGAACTTTGTTTGAGTCTAGTAACCCTTATGGAGCACTGGTGGGTGAAGTTTGGGTGCCGTTTTTCCTTGTCGATCGTGCCGTGTATCCAGAATAGGATTATTCTATGGAGAACTTGAATGGAGTTAGCCTGGACCTCGGATGCATAATGAGCCACACTGTGGTTGTGGCGGCAGATTCTGATCAATATGGAGAATAATATTTTTTCTTTTTTTTTGAAAAAAAAAAGAAGAAATAAAGAATTCCCTCAATTTTCTAGACTAACTTAGTTCAATTAGTGCATAGCTCACATTATACTCTCTAATAAGTCTACTCTACACATACAATTTTAGCAACATCATTGAATTGTCCTAATCTAGCAGATGTAGAATTCTGAGTCCCCGGTATAACTGACAGCCTAAACTATACCCCGTACAAGAGATCAATGGTGATCATATCTCCGCATATCTACTAATACTCCATAAACTATATTGAATAGTACTCAAAATCCCCCATCATATTCCCAATCTAGTCAAAAAATCAGACCTAAACCGGAGAACTGGAACTGAAAATCATGTGGCACACGTGCACGGATCTAGGAACACGTCGCTAGACATATCTGGGCATATCTGGGCATGTCATTACTCAATCTAGACTGTAATTTATTAAGGGTCTGATTCACTCTTATCATTGGATATAATATTCCCAATTAGGTTCATGAAGTGGCTCAATTGGTACCAATATCTGTTTTGTACTCCGGCATAGCTGATCATAAGGTTATGCAGTATTTATGCAGACATGATCATAACCATAACCTCGTTAGCTTGCATAATTTGCGGAATTACTCAATTGTCCCTTTGCTAGCACTTGCACTTGCTGATCTTCTGATCATACTATTGATGTATCCCGTTCATTTAAGGTGCTCGGTTCAAGTTCGCTTGCATAAACCCACTGGGCTGTATTCATTGTATGCATGACTGTTGCCCAGGTGTACAATCCTTGTGTACATAACTACTAGCTTTGTACGGAGTACTCCGTATCTTCTAGACCATTACCCTAATAGGAATACAATCAACTTATACCAATATTCTCCATGTAGATCTTTAATATATCCCGAACCCATCATAATCTACTTACTCCATACTCCATACTACTAGTGATTCTTATCCTCCGTAAACTATGTAAACACGTGACCTCCGAATCATCCCGACCCCGCGGGGACAATCAACCGTCGATCCCCCACCTTCAGTTCAATTCTCAACTAAACTGATTCACAATGGCTGCTACATACGGTGATGTGCGGCATCTACTGCCGGGAAACTACAAGCGCCAGATCACAGACTGGCTCGAGGAAGATTGTCCTAGTTTAGACTATGGCGGTTTCGTTGTTGGCGAGTCAGAAGGTGAGGCACGGTTACTGGGAAAGAGCAAGGTAAGTCCATACACTCAGGCTGCATTGAGTGTCCGTTGCTAATCTGATTCATTCAGGGTATCATTGCAGGTGCACCTTTCGTCGATGAGGTCTTTTCCCAACTCGGATGCACGTATGTCAATCCATACCCTACCATATCCATGAATCCACTGGCTGATACTAATATTCCATAGAGTCGAATGGCACATAAAAGAAGGCTCCCAATTAAGCCTCAACCCAATTCACCACTGCGCCACAGTCCGCGGTCCAGTTCGAAAAATCCTCCTCGGTGAACGCGTAGCCCTAAACATCCTAGCCCGATGCTCCGGAATCGCTACAAAATCAGCCTCAATGCTCGCCGCCCTCCGAAAAAAAGGTTGGAATGGTATCTTGGCAGGAACAAGAAAAACTACTCCGGGTTTTAGGGTCGTGGAGAAATATGGTATCTTGGTTGGAGGTGCCGATCCTCATCGTCATGATTTAAGTCATATGACTATGCTTAAGGATAATCATGTTTGGGCTTGTGCTAATAACCGTGCTGCTGCTGATGGTGGTGTCACTACGGACTCCAGCGATGTGGTTTCTATTGCTAAGGCTATTCCTCGTGCCGTGCTGGCTGCGAAGTCCGCTGGTGGCTTTGCCACTAAGGTTGAGGTTGAGTGTCGCAGTATTGAGGAGGCTAATGCTGCTATTGAGGCTGGTGCTGATATTGTTATGTTGGATAATTTTACTCCCGATGGTGTGCGTGATGCGGCGAAGGTGCTTAAGGAGACTTGGAAAGGGAAGAGAGCTTTCTTGGTTGAGGTTAGTGGTGGCTTGACGGAGGAGAATGCGGCGGCTTATGCTTGTCCTGATGTGGATATCTTGTCCACTAGCTCCATTCATCAGGGAACAGGTATTGTGGACTTTTCATTGAAGGTCTCACTACGATAGACTGATCTATGGAATGGATCTGTTTGTACCATAAATTCAAGTTGAATATGAATCATTGTGTTTCAATAAGATACAGTAGAAGAGAATTAAAACGACCCGAATCCCAACACCTCACGACGCCTCATGATCATCCAGGCGTAATTAACAGTAATCAGACAAAACAAAGTGAACAGAGGGTATATAGACAAACATTATGCATGAATCATCGTCTAAACCTCGATATCCACAATTAAACCCTCGCCTTCACTCGAGCTGGGATTCTCATCAGACGTTTGGCCTCCGCGCTCATCAATACTCCCCGATGGTCCACGACGAACACGCTCTCGATGAAGCTGGTCTCGAAGTTTTTGGTTCTCAGCATCACGCTCTTCTAATCGCTTTCGTGCACCACTACGATCAAGCAGACGACCCTCTCGCTCAGCTTTGAGTCGTTTCTCCAGCTCGTGCAATCGGTGAATCCACTTCTCGTCACCTCCTTCCCAGTTACTCTGCTGGCTACTCCGCGTTCGGTATAACATTGACCCAGAGGTGTTGGTGTTGGCTAGTGTGCTGTTCGATGACGAGTATGATGGTTGGGGTAGACCAGACGAACTGCGGCTGAGACCTCGCTCTGAGCGTTGCTTGTCACTGCTGCCCGAGTTTTGACGCGTCAACTGTCGATCTGCATCTGCGGTAGATGCAAGTGACGGTGACCTGGGTCCTGATGCCATCACTGCTGCTGCCGCCGATGAGGCTGCCGCACCGCCTCGAGTGTTAGACTGGAGTAAATTGATCTCAGCCTTCAATAGTCGGTTCTCACCGCGCAGCTTGGATAGCTCGGAAGATGAGCTGGAGTGGTTTCGTCCAGCCCGCATATTCTTAACAGCCTCTTCCACGCGATCCAGTCTTCGGACACGTTGAGCGAAGGAGTTTTCAAGGTTCTGATATTGTTTGTTCAGGTCAAACTCCACGCTTCGAATGCGGCTCTTGAAGTTTGCTACCACGCCCTCGACTGTTTTGATAGCAAGCAGCAGATTCCGACTGAAGCCTGGCCAGAACAGAATATTACCAATGACTTCCTGGCTTGGGAGGTTGCCGTTAATCAGACTGTTTGAATGGGCCCAGTCAGGTCCACAGAGTGAAGAGACTCGTTTCCATATAGTCAAGAACATCGCGTTGCGTTCATGGAGCTGATCCTTGAACTGTTGCTCGAGAGATGTGAATCGCTTGCGGTCCTGGTTACGAGCATTCTCAAGCTCTGTAATCCGGGAGTTGCTTTGGGTGATGGAGCGAGAGGCATGTTGATGCGATTTGAGCGACTGTTCAAAGGATTGCTTGTCAGCTCGACGGGCCTGACGCTCACGCTCCAGTAGCTCAGAGAGTTTCCGGGACTCAAGACCATGGCTCTCGAGCAGCGCATCACGGTTTCGCAGCAGAGACTCCTTCTCATCAAGCTGTGATCGTACACTCTCAAGTTCAAGAGCGGTAGACTCAAGCTCCTTCTGAAGTTTCATGATATTAGATATCATACTTGAGCGACTGCCACTGAGATCTCCCAGGGTCTCCCGAAGGTTGTTTTCAAGGTCCATAAGACGCTCTCGCCAGGTTGATGTTTCGATCTCCTGAGCTGACAGACTCTTCTTAAGTCGGCGAGCCTCTTCTTTAGCTCCGGAAGCTTCACGGTTCAACTCGTTCATGATTCTCTGCACTTCTTGTTTCTCCTTGCTTCCAACGACCTCACGCTGGTGGCGCTCGTCCGCCAACCGTTGCTCAAGCTCTCTTGTCTTTTCTTTCTCGCTGATAAGGCTCATCTCGTAGGTCTTCAATTCAGACTCTAAATCACCAATGCGAATCTTGTCACCATCCTGCTCTTCTCGTAAGAATGCAATCTCGTTCTGGCTTGACTCGATTTGCACTGTGAGTCTCTGCACTTTGTTGTTGGATTCAAATAGACTCTTCTCCATTGACTCCATTTCCCCATGAGTCTCTTCGAGCTCGTGTTGGACAGCCTTGTACCGCGCTAGGTTATTCTGTGCATCTTCCTCAAGTCGAATTATACCTTCACTCGCTGAGCGCATCTCCGCTTGCAGCACCTTGAGACTATCATCTTGGTTTCTCAGATCTTCGCTCATGCGCTGGCACTCAACAATCTTCTGATCAAGTTCTTCGCCGAGGGCATCCAATTCTTCCTGGGCCTCAGCCCGCAGATCTTGGAACGCACCATCACGCTCATCGGCCATCTGAAGAGCTTGGTCACGCTCGTGGTGTAGGCTTTGCATCTCCTCTTCAGCTTGATCCACATCAGCCTGGTAGGCTTTGTCAAGAGCTTCTAGTTCTCGGACATAGTCATCCAGCTGGCTGCGAATAGCATGGTTCTCCATTTTTAGGGATGACACATGATCACGAAGTTGTCCATTGCGGGCTTCCAGTTCCTCGCGGTCCATATCACTGCGTGATATACCGCCATCGCTGGGTTCAGATCCTGGTCGTAGTTGGGTTCGAGAAACTGAGCGGTCAAAGATACTATCGCCAGTCACGGACCGGCCGCCATGGCGAACATGTCCAAGCTTCAATTCTTCAATCTCCTGATAAAGACGTTCCTTTTCTCGGTTGCGGGATGTAAGCATTGAGGTCTGGGCGCTGACTTCTTTCCTCAATTCGGCATTTTCTTGCTTCAATAGGTTAAATTCCACTAGGAGTGTGTTATGAGAAGGATTAATGGCTGCACCCCGGTTACCATCTCGGTCCGAGGCTGATGTATATGAAATGGTCGAGCCTCTGTCGCGTTGAGTTGGTCTGGCGCTAGGAGTGGCAGCAGCAGCAGCAGCCGCTGCGGCATTTGATGTGTAAAGCTCACTTCGTAGGCGAACGGATTCATCGCGGAGCCTGCGATTCTCTTCCTCGGCTTGCTCACGAGCTGCGGCCTCTGCATCAAGCATATCCTTCCACATGTCCTGCAATACAATTAGCTTATACTGAAATTGGTGGTACGTGCTCTATTCTTACTCTCTCTTCTCTCGCACCGGTTTCAGACCCTCCTGTTCGGCTTTCGCTCAACGATTGGACCATCTCAGCCAGGCGTCGCTTCTCACTCTCTCGAGCGATGCTTTCAGACCTCAGTCGCTCAACCTCGAGCTCATAGGTTTCGATCCGTTCGCGCAAATATGTGATCTCGGTCTCATTGGCGCTTTCTCGGTCGCCCTCCTCTGACCCTTCCGGATCATGATTGAACATCGATTCTTTGTCCGATTGTTGGTCTTTGAGCTGTTTCTCTAGGTCCCGGATCTTGCGCTTCAAGCCTTGGCTATCCTTTTGTAGCTTCAACTTGTCTGACTTAAGTTCGACATTCTCTGATATCATCTCTTTGATTCCTTCTTCAGATCGCTTGTTCAGAGCCTCGTTGAGGAAGTGAATACGCATCTTAAGATCGAAGTTCTCCTTTGATAGACGGTCAATTGTGCTGCTTTGTTCTTTGAGGGTCATGTTACGACCTAACCCACTGCGTCCCAGGGCAGGTGTTGAAGCTCCGGTACGCTTGTCAGGAGATGGTCCCAGGTTGGCGTAATCTTCTCGGAATCGTTGTGCAAAGGTGGTGGGAACCTGAATTCCCTTGACACGCTCCGCAATCGCCGTGTCAGTGGGGAACGCTCTTTCTTGTGGCTTGGCCTTCGGTGTTGCTGGTGCCGATGCATCATCAAAAGGAGCCTGTTGTCGGGAGGACTGTGGAGAGCCTTCTTCCTCTAATGTTTGCAAGCCTCCTTCGCCAGATCCGCCAATATTACGTGTCTCCAAAGGGTTCTCCTCGCTGTAGCCCGAAACTCCAGACGCCATGCTTCCAAGACTAGTCGTTCGAGTCATGTGGCCTCGTCCACTTGAGTGCAAACCGCCCCAGTTGTCAGATACCGCGCCTCCAGACTGAAGGGCATAGTCTGCACCCAGCGTCGCATCACTATGCGTTCCATCTGTGTTGTTCGTGTTGTTGCTTGCGATCGAGGAATGGGAAAGACGATTGGCAGATTGACGGCTAGTGAGGTATTTCGGTCGGCTTCCACTGCGGCGGCTACCACCAGCACTGAAGCTCTGATCACCGAGCAGTTTCGATGGGGCCGGAGAGAGGCTGCGGGACGATTTTCGAAGCTTCGAGGGTGTGAGTTGTGATTCTTCTTGATCGAGTTGAGACCGGAAGGGTTGGTCGTCGTGCAAGTATTGGCTGACATCTTGGGCATCCTCGGACGCGCTAGAGTGATGGCGGTTCAGACTTCGTAGCATTGCGGCAGCTGTAGGCGATGAGGCAAGTGAGTCTAGTGTGCTCTCATTTCCACCATGCTCTTCCCGAGTCGCATGGGTAGGCTCTCCCTCGATAATATGAGTCTCATCGTAGTCTTGGTATTGTCCATGATCAGGAATTGTCTCGGAAGGTGGAATGAAAGAAAATTGCGAGGATTCAGTCTGCTGGGTCATATCGGGATCGTAGCCATCCACTCCAACCAGATAGGTATCATCTGCGCCAGCCCTGGTCCCAGTCCCGGCAATATCAATCGTTGAGGGTTCCGGTAAAAAGCTCGACTCCACATCCATCAACTTGCGACGCATCTCATGCTCTTCAATGAGGGTCTGGTTGTTTCCTCGTTCGTGATCGCCATTTTCGCTTGACAAGGGGAACAAGCTGCTATCGTCGCGGTCGGTCAGGGGTGGTAAGACGCTGGTATCTTCGACTGCTAGATCTGATACTGCGGTCCCTATCGTGTGGTCAAGGTCGTGCGCGTGGATATCCTCTTCGGTGCTGGTATGAATTGTTGTTTGCGCGTCGTAGTCTCCGCTTTGAGCTGTTGAGTCGTCCACATTATTCGGGGGGTCTACCCCCCGCGCGTCCTCAGCCATGAAGAAGTTAAAGCTGGACAAATCGGCATCTAGGGGTGAGGTCTCTTCTGGGGTGTGGAATGTGCCAGAGTCGGTGGAGGGGATGCGCACCAGAGGCGGGCCTGGGGTGACGATCGGAGGTGTTGTGACTGGGGCCCTGGTCGACATGGTGACGGTTGTTTTGGGGGGTCTCCACCAGTCCGTTTATCCACACAAGAATCGGTAAAAGATATGATTTTCATAGAAATGAGTGTGGATGAACATTTGAAAGTTCTAGGGTTCTTTATAAGAATATTTCATTGAGGTATTAATCATTATACGAAGAGCGAGCTGAGACAAGCAGGCACGACTCAATAACAATGATTATGGACACGGCCAGGTACCACAGAACAATGGTATTGCCACAGATCTATACTAGACATTGTCTTATTGCCACTACACACAGGGATTATATGATACATTTACACTAGATAGTTGATATTTCAAATGCAACAGATCACATTGACATCATATTCACGACAAGAGACTAAATAAGATAAGTAAAAATAATAACAACCACACAAATAAACAAATCATGGTATCCATAGCATCAGTCGCTTCGTCCCAAGCATTAAAATCAAGATACATTGTTCAACCAATGTCAAACAGAAAGAGATATCACAATTGGTTCAAGGAAAAGGAAAAAATAACCCGATGCCAAATTGAAATGAAAAGAAAGAAGAGAAGAGAAGAAAGAAGAGGTCAGGTCATTGCTTTTGAGGTATATAGGTATCAGCAATCCCTCAACCTGGAGGGTATTTACAACCTGGAGCTGAGTGGTTCAGGGGGATATGAGAAATAAAGGTAGGAAAAGAGTAAAAAATCAAAGACCAATTCAGGTGAGAGAGGCATCACTAAGCCTGGGAAGTGTAGCTCAGGCCTCGATCGGCTCTGCTGGTTCTGCTGCCGTTTCTGTGGCTTCACCCTCAGTTGACGAAGCAACGTGGCTAGAAAAGGCATAGATCTTCTGCTTCTGGTTGATGGCGTTTCGAAGAGAATCGATATAAGTTCGGAACTTGACAATCTCACGCAGTAAGTATGATGACTTGCGCTCCCAATTGGCCATGGCCTTGGCTGCGTTGGGATGGCGAGGAGAGAAAGCCAAATTCATGGCAGAGCGTAATTCATTATGTCTTTGGAGATCATCCTCAACATTTTTCACGTACGCCTGAAGCGCCGTCAGTTGAGCTTCCTCAGTCTGGTGCGAGGCTACCATGCTCTGCTGAGGAGGACTCCAGTCACTGATGTTGACACGATCTGCCGGCAGCTTAGGTCGCACACCCTGGTGATCGATAGAGCTACGAATAGAGCTCTGGATACTTTGGCGAGGAGCCCCTGAGGATGGTGGGGGAGATCGGTCTTCACCGGCGTGGATCAGCGCGCTGTTAATGACAGCATCGCTCCAGCCATATTCGATGTTACTGATACCTCCCACAAGAGGCTCCTTGGACAAGCGCGCACTCCAGTAATTGGCGGTCGAAACAAATTCTCGCACAATTTCAGGCGTGCCAGCTTGGAATAAGTGGACAGCACCGGTGGGCAAGCTCAGAGCCCAGACATGAGGACGAGACTTGGAGTAACCAGGAGGTGGCAGCGCACTGGCAATAGTCTGCCGAAGCATGAACTTCCAGAGCTCCTCTGCGTTCTCTGTCCAATTTCCACCACCCACCACAACACCACCACGTTGCTTGGCTTTCTGCCGCATGGATTTGGTAGTATTGGTGAATGAGAATAATCGCATCCAACCTTGCTGGATGACCGCGAAGCAATCATTCCAGTTGCGATCCTTGGCGCGTTTGTCCACAGCATCCAAATGATGCTTATGTTTCAAACTGCCTTCCTTGGCCCATGGCGCACCAGCCAGAGCCAATGTCTCGTCTTCGAGTAGAGGACCCTTGTCGGATTCCTCATAGCTGTAGACGGAGGTGGCCGAATCTTCACGGATAATGGCTTGACTTAGAGCATTAGCAAAACCAATAGATTGCTGATAGTCGCCGCGAGGATAATCAGAGCCAAAGGAATCCACTGAAGCAGATGTGAATTTACCCAGCGAATATTTGCTCCATGTACTCGACGCAGTCGGACTCCAGACAGATGACTGGTCGTCCAGACTGGTTCGACTGGAGCCCATGACTGACGGAGGATATAATCTACCGGCCCGAGAACGGGGTTTCGAGGACCATCTTGCCGCTGCGTGGCGGGAATCTGCTGATCGGCCACGAGGGAAGATATCGGAGCCACTTTTGCTGATAGTGCTGGGACTTCTGCGAAGTAAACCGGTAGTTGGACCGAGGAAATTTGTGGATGACATGCGGGACACCTCTCGTACTGGTTGAGCTCCATGGAGCGGAAGTCTCTCCTTGTGAATGGAAGTATAGAAATCTTTCAACACCGCTTCCACTTGTTGCTCCCACGCTCGAACGGTGCCAATGAACGGGCTGTTGACCAGCGGACCGGCTTCATTGTTGTTACCATCTGTATGGCCTCGACCGGTGTTGTCCGCATCCATGGAGCTTCGGGTGACATCGGCTGGGAATGTAGCAGAGCGAGCAGAGGAGGGTGCAGAATATGCCATCTCCGGGCCTGATGTCTTGCTACGGTTAGTTGGGCGTAATGTTTCAAAGCCCTCTGGAGCTGCATCCATGGCGACTCGATGGATCGTGGGCATGGTATTTCGCACGAATTGAGCTTTGGTCATTTTCTGTTCAATGTCGGCCAAGTGAAGATCGGTATTCAACAGAAGAATGGAGTAACAGATGGTGTGAACGACGTCTAAGAAATATTATTAGCCATAAATCAGCGGACCACGTGCTGGAAAGAGTAGAGTAAACATACCAGTAGCTTTGAAGCCATGGCTTGGGTTACAATCGCACCACCTGTTAGAGAAAGCATCCAACACCCGGTCTACTTGTTGAGTCTCACCCTTGAGTATCAGGCGCTGACAGAGGCTGCGAAGGGCAGCCAGAATATTGAGATTAGACCAGTTGAAGAGACGCATATAAGCTTCACGGATCATGGCCCGATCAGGATCACCAAGCCAGGCAGCGGCTGGATCATTCCCAACTACTTGGTCTTGGCTATCAAACAGCTTCTGAGCTTGCTCACGATCGCTTACGGTAGGGCCGTCCTCGACAGCCTCGCCTGGTCCACCAAAGTTTTCATCGAATTCGTCCATTATTGGTTTTAGTTCTTCCGATTCAATAACTGGAGTTGTCGAAGCGGTTTGATAATGTGATGCCTCAGAGATAGCAGGGGACTCAGGAACATTAGGAATTGCAAGTCTTGGGGTTCCAGTTAAGCTTTCCTGGCCTGCATCATGAATGTCGGCAGTCTTGACGTGAGTCGATTGAATGCTGCGTGAGAAATCCTCAACAACCGGTGAGAGTGGACTAGCCGCCAAAAGTGACCCCTTCTCCTGCAAGGGGGGATCAACAGATGTAGTGGATTCGGTATCTGCACTTCGTGAAGATCGATCATCGGGCCCACAACTTTCTACTAGCGGCAAACGATCCTGGCCACCACGGGCAGAGCTGGGAGGTTGAAATGAACTAGCGTGTTTCTTAGAGCCACCGCTTGGCGCTGAGACACTCTCTCTAGGTTTCTGTGATGGCAGGTCCCCTGCGCGGTTTTCCTTGGCATCCTGCTTCACGGGAACGCCATCAGCGAGGTATTGATGCATAACTTGTCGCAAACTGCTCACCGGACTGGGTTGCGGCTTCATCAATTCTAGGGCGTGAGATGCAAGGTCTTGAGGCAATGCAATTGGTGGTGGAACATGATCCACAACAGACTTCTTTCGCCGGCGAAAGAACGAAGATTTCTTGTTCACCACTTGATGAGGTACTTGTCGAGCTGGTGTCGGGCTTGAAGCCATCGCTGCAGAATTCTTAGGTGGTGGTGGCTGCAGCTTACCTCCTTTCAGATTGACTGTGGCTCCAGTGGGATCTTTGGTCTCATTTTCTTGAAGGTACGACAGATCACTCACATTCGAACCTGGCGAGTCTGCAGGGCCTGGGGATGCAGCTTTGGACGAGCCAAATACTCGTCGGAAGAATCCCGGGCGGTCCCTGGCATTCGCTGCAAGATTATTGTTGGTAGTTACTGTAGTAGTTGTGGTCACCGCTGGCGGTTCTGGGGGAGGGAACGTTGGCTTATTGTAAGATATAGTTGGACTAGGTGCCGGATGGTCCACAGATGCCGGAAAGACTGGGGGTAGATCAAGGTTTGTGTCACACGATAATTCAAAATCATTGTCTCGCATCTTGAGCGTGCCAGTGCCAATATTGTCTGGACGGACCTTGCGGACCTGAGGGGCCTGCGAGGATTTCACACTGTTTCGCCGAGACGCCACCGGTGTTCGGGAGGCTGGACCCGTAGGAGTCCTATAGTCGTTGAACTTTCGTGGGCCCGCCGGTATACTCGGCGTCGGTGCGGCATCATCATCGTACAACATATTGTCTTGGGCCATCTCAACATTGGAATAGGGAGCATATTTCTTCGGGCCACAGTCAAAGCTAGGAGAACGTCGATCGAGGTCATCTGAATCTGCTCGTCTCCTGGGCATTGAATATGCAAAATCTGCTGTTGATTGACTGCCCTTACTGCCCTTTCTGGAATCAGTCGCTCTCGGCATGGTGCCAGCACCACTCCGAGAACCCATTGCATCTCGACCGCGACCACTGTCCACTCGTCTGGGCATTGATTGATAATTAGAGCTGCTGTTGCTCCGGCGACCCTTGTTGGTGATTGTCGCATAGCGGTTGGTTCCATCTTCATATCCATAGTCTACGTCTGAAGACATCGATGAAGAGAAGGTATGTCCCCGATAACGGCCATGTGGTTCGACATCAAAAGCTGAATTGAACAGGCGATAGTCGTCCATAATAGATGAATCAGGGGCGCCGAATTGGTCTAGCGAGAGAAGCATATTATCGACAATCGATGTCCGGGCGGCATGTTTAGGCGATAGAGACAGATCATGCGGGTCGCGTTCATCCCCCGACTCGCTGACCCGGGGCGCATGCTCCATGGCATCTGGGAAAGCATCTCGGATGGATGGCCGGGTCGGGTACTTTTGCTTGGGACGATACTTTGCGGTCTGCGAGGGAGGAGTACGTGGAGGGGAGCTGTTCGTGTAGGTTTCTCGCTGTTGGGACATTGTGACGGCTAGTAACGTGGATATCAGTTGAATTGCACGGTTTCATGGCTTTCATTGGGGGAAGATGTCGCAATGTCCAGTCGCACAGGGGGTTGGAGGATATCGGTTGATACTCTCATGAGCTCCTAAGGCGATCTTCATGTGCTGGCAGTGGAGACAGCCACGTACCTAGCAATGCCCAAGGCTTTTGTCTCTAGGAATGCTTTGTTTCCTTTTTTTGGGCCCAAATAGAGTCGATACGGGATATCGAAACGAAGCTGCAGAGCCAAATCGCCAAATTGCGAGATTGCAGTGAATTCAAAAAGTCATTGTATATTTCAAGAGGAAAAAGTATCAAGTTCCTCGTAACCAAGGACCACGATAGTAGAAAGAATGCAGAATGCAAGAATTACACCGGGGGCGGGAACCTCCTGAGAAATGCAGAACGGGGGGAAAGTTGGGTCACAAGTGGACCAGGAACCACGGGTGAACCGTGCGAGATGATCCGCTACTAAATTTCTATTGAAACTATTGGATTTTGGATTTTCATGCAAATTTCAGTTCATCTAATTATTATTTTATTCTTATTTCTTATGTACAGAGTACTTGTAGCACTACATAGAACATCCATATCCAGGGACTAGTTGAGATGATCAGGGAATGGAATCATTCGATAGGGCTTCATAGATTTATTTTGCAAACATGAATTGTATGATTAAAATACATCATATGATGTAGAATCAAAGGTGTTGCTCATTGCCATCCCATACTATGTCCTCCATAATCCATACAGACTCTGCGGAGTAGAGAAGACATAGTATTCCAGCAAGAAGGTATGCCTCATGTACATGGAGTACATGTAGGTACGTACTCCGTCCAGATGCACAGTCAACTGGCCCATATGTATCAAGTCAGGAACCACATGGAGTATTCCCCGATCTCTGATCTATCTTTCTTAGAAAAGACGGTGAGTAACTCCCACGTATTTCATACTCTCATGAATCTTCTTCTCGTCCACATTGTACATTCTGACACGTCCCTCTCCTGTCGGGTTCCGGGTTCATAGTGGATCCCACACACAAGTGGAGACTTGTTATCAAGAGACCACACCAATGATCTTGGATGATTTGGTCCAGGGACTCCGCATTGGCATCTGCACCCTCATTTTCGACCTGCAGCAACTGTGTCGCAGATAAATGTGATACAGCACCGACTTCGGGGTAGACATGGCTAGGACGAATCGGGATCGGCATGGAACTGTTCCGTAACATTAACTTTGTTTCCAGTCGATACATAACAGGATTAGCAGGATGGAGTGGAGTAATCCCCCATAATGAAGTTTGTAGAAACCTTGAACTGGGATCCTTGTTCATTGTATAAGACTGGGCATGCACATGTGCATGTGGGTGACATTTGTCAATCCCCCTTGCAGGTGGCATAGAATAAACCTCTAGACCTCCAGATGTCTTTGACTTCCAAGGTTTGGTTCCTGCCCAGGTGCACTTTTATTCACCGCCTGGAATAATACCCAAGGAGGGCAGAATGAGCCTACAGCCCTGGAGCCTATCCTTAGGGCAACCAGTTGCCTATATCCAACTATATGACAGCTAACCTTTCCCTTTAAATATTCTAGATAACCCTCAAGCTTACCCTGTATGTATTTATATACAAAGAGGAGTCAGTCACCAGTTACCAGTAGATACTACTATGTACTTAAGTATGTGAACATGACTGTCTGAGAGGATGTGAATACACCTAGGCATAGGTGCTCACAAGTTAATCTGATTAGGCTGATAGAGTGTGTCCATCTAACAGAGCTTCCTAGTTAAGCACTTGAATGCTGATGAGTTGTCCAAGAGCTATATAATGTACTGTGAGTGCGCGGAGATAGGATGCGATAGATCTGCCACTATAATCAGGCACCAAGACACCGAATCATTCACGACATTCATGACCTACCAAGATAGTTGAGTATTCAAAATGTTTTAAAATTGAAAACCAAATATGGTATAGTATATATCTTAAATAACTAAGAATTGCTGTGGATAAGTGGTGGATCTACTCCATACTATCCTATACTATACGATAATAGTGCACGTGACGATGACATAACGGCCCGACACGTCGCCATCTGCTCAATCTACAACCAGGTTGAGTCTCCAATGTTCCCCGGATCTTGACCAGAACGGGCTGTCGACCATGAACCCGCATATTTCTGTTCCCCGCCAACATGCTGGTCCCTCTAACTTTGGCTCCACGCCCCACCGTGGCTCAAGTGTCCGCATGCCACGCTTCTTCAAGAGGTAAGATGAGAGGGGAGGCTGGATGAGAAACTGTGTGAGGCTGACTCAAATCTGGAAGACTATTCAAGTTCCCTCAGATGGACTTTGAGATGGCAATCTGGGAGATGACATCTTTGTTGATTGCCCCTAAAAAGGTCTTCAAGTCCATATACTACCATGTAAGTTGAAAGTCCCCAGTTGCTTAAACACCATGCTAACCCATTACTGATCTAGAAACGTGAGCTGATATCCATCAATGAATGTCCTTCTCAGTACTGATTCTTACAGAAACCAAAAACACCTGGCATCGCCCGGATCCATCCTTCACATATCTCCTATCCTTCTTCCTTCTCCTTACAGCTCTCGCCTGGGGCCTGGCATATACCCATTCATTCGGCGCCATTGTGAAGCTCTCTATTCTATTCATCTTTGTGCACTTTATCGGCTCCTCTCTTCTGATCTCAACCATTGGCTACTTCGTTATTGGCCGCTTGTTCGGTCCCAACGGTGCAGCTGCATCGCTTGCCAGCCTTCGTGGATCGCGTGGCCGTCGACGAGGTGCCGCACAGGGTCTATTTGCACAGCCTGGGGAGAAGGATCAATTGGAATATGGATACTGCTTTGATGTATGCTCACCAAACCCTCCAGAGCTATTGTATTATCGGGTGTCTTCCAATACTAATGCTGATTCCTAGGTATCCAACCGTGCCTTTTTCCCTCTATACCTCCACCTCTATGTGGTCCAATTCCTACTCCTTCCACTCCTGACTCGAAGCCCAAGCAACTTCCTGGCTACCTTCCTTGGAAACACCCTCTACCTATCTGCCTTCATTTACTACACCTACATCACTTTCCTTGGATACAATGCCTTGCCATTCTTGCACAACACTGAGCTCTTACTCATCCCGATCCTGATCTTTGCGATTTTGTGGTTCATCAGCCTGGTTGCTGGTTGGGGCGTTGTCATGCAAGGCCGAAGTGTTGAGGGCCTGTTTTGGGGTGTTTAAGAATATGAATCAAATGATTCTCCAGGTGTTAGCATTGCTCCTGCTCTCACCTAAAGGGTTGCTAACTTGACAGCCTATGTATGAAACTCGATATTCTCCCTTTGTTTTCTATTCTCGTGTCCCTTGGCTATGCATTGAAAGATTAATCCCTGTTTACTTGGGAGGCGTGTTGGTGTATATTCTGCTTTTTATGTTCCATATATCGGAGACCTAATCAGCTCCATAACGATTTTTCGATAGAACCCACAAAATAATCGGGTAATTATCAGTTCCTACTTATATCCATTGGTATATCAAGTAGATTCGATGTTACTGGGTGCAACGATACTACCTAGTAGATATCAGAACAGGGAATACCCAGGTGCCCAAATTTGAAAAGGAACTTGAATATGAACAAGATTCCAACTTGAACAAATGTATTCAATCATATGAGAAACAGAAATGACAAGTCTATTTTCTACCCTTCTTCCCAGGCTTAGTACCCATGGCAGCAGCTCTCAACTTATCCTCTCGCTCCTTAACAGCCGCAGCTCTTTCCTTCGCAAGCTCATCCTTCTCCTCCTTCTCAGCCTGCTTGCGAGCACGTTCCGCTTCACGCTGCTCCCGGATGATACGCAACCGCGCAAGATCACTTCGCGCCTCGTCTGTCTTGCCCTCAGCATGAAGCTTCAGGTATCGCTCGCGCGCCTGCTGCGCCTGGAGAGCCTCCCGCTCCCGTCTCGAAAGCTGTGACAGATCCTTAACATCCTTCTTAGGCTTAGGCGCTTCCTCCTCATTCTCATCCTCCTTGACTAGTTGCTTCCGTGACTGGGCAGTGTGGTTTGGGTTCGCAGGTAGATCCTCATCCTCCTCTTCTGAGTCTGAGGATGGAAGATCACCTGGTTGAGCGGGCGCCTTGTTTCGCTTCGCTAAAGCAGCCTGCTTCTTGGCTTTGGCTGCTGCGCGACGCTCTTCACGGGTCAGTTCTGTGCCGGCCTGTGCGCTTGGTCCGGTGCCTTCGGTCTCGCTCTCTGAGGAACTCTCTGAGGAAGATGACTCTTCATCGCTAGAGGCGGGGACTTCGTCGGCGGGGTCCTGTTCATATCCTTTGTTAATTTTTTTTGCGTTTGCGCATCAGACTGGAGGAACACTACTTACGCGCCACAGTCCTACGACATTACCCTCCTTGTCAACTGGTTGGAGATCGCGACTAAAGTGCTTTCCACCTGTTGGAAACTTGTGAGCTCTTCTTTTCTTTTTTTTTCTGTACGGTTTCAGCACGCGACCATACCTCCTCGAGAGGGCTTGAACTTTCCACCACGACCGCGGGGTGGCATGATGAATGGATATGAGGTATGGGATCGAAATTGAATGTGCTAGGAATGTTCAAGCAATATGCGATTTGCGAATGAGTATAGTTCTTTGAGAATGATCAGTATTACTCATTTCGAGTCATTCTGCTCGTGGTCATACAACCTTGCAGGCGGATTTCAAAAATGGAGGGGTAAAGTGGGGGTTGGAGGGATGATTTTTGGAGAAGAAAACCAACTTCGGACTCCAATATTTGAGTTTAAGGGTTAAACTCACAGATTGAAGAATGTAGTGTATTGTCAGTAGGTGGAGTGGACAATGTTCAAATGTTCAAGCGATAAACGAGTCACCGCGTCCGCATTAATCAGTCATGTGGGGTCAACTGGTCAGCAACTGGTCAATCGTGCAGTATAATTATACTATTTCCACTTCCACTTTCATGAACACCAAGTCTACATATCGATAATTATTGTTCCAGTCGACCTTTATATGCTATGTGCAATGACCTTCAACTCAGATATCAATACTTGGCAAAAAGGAGGTCCATTATTTACAATCCATGCAAGGAGAGCCATTTCAGGTCTTAACAGTCTGCACAGACATCATCCGAGTACCAAATGCCGTGCTTATACACGAGCAATTCCTGCTCCAACCTTACACACTCGAGCCCCAATCAATGTCAAGGTCCCGGCAATGATAGCACTTCCCATGAACATCTGAGCATACAGATATTGTCCTCCATCACTCGGCACCAGCGCTCCAGCAATAGGTGATCCAATCAACGCAGCAACAGCCACAACACTGAGCACCATGCCCATACGAACACCAGTTTTCTTAAGATCAGTAGTCAAGCTACTCAGTGTAACTGGAAACAATGATTGAATCCCAGCAGCACAGAGACCATAGCACGCAGCGAATGCCCAGAGTCCATGCATGCTCTTCACCCCAGCCCAGCAATAAGCAACCAGGGCAGTCGAAAAACTAAACGGAATCAAAAGATTCAATGGTCCGGTATATTGATCAGCCATGAGATTTGGAACTAATCGTCCGATTAATCCAACTCCATTCATCACCATCAACAGGTATACAGATGTATTCTCTGATGCCCCGATAATATTGGTGCTGAAACTCCCAATATAGAAGAACGCAATGTAAAGACCCCAGAAATTCAAAAACATCCCAATCGCAAAGAGCAGATACGGGAGTTCTTTAAATGCTGCCCATTCGACAAGTGGGCCACTCGTGCGTGGCGGAATTCGTTGCTTGAAGAATATCACGCAGGGAATCAAGGTGACTAGACTTATAAATCCCAGTACTCGCATCGTCCATCCATACCCTATTTGAGGTAGGAGACGAAGTACTACTGCAGGAAATACGAGCCCACCTGTCGCTGATCCAGAAGCTGTAAGTCCAATTGCTATTCCGCGCCGTTTATCGAAATAGGTTGCGATTAACGCTAATGTAGGACAGAACATAAGTCCACATCCAATTCCTTGTCCTAGACCTTGCGCTAGGAATAGTTGCCAGTATTCTGTGCAGAGAGATGTCATGAAGATACAAAAGACTTCCAGTGTCGCGCCGATTGTTAATGTGATTCGGAAGTATCCTGCATCTGTCGCACGGCCGGAAAATGTGCCGATGAAGAAGAGTAGGAAGATCTGGATACTCCCAACCCAGGATATATCGGATGGTGATCGTCCTAGTGTGTTGGTGTAGTATGTTTGGAATACTCCGAAACTGTTGATGTATCCCCATGTGTTGAAGATGATCATATGTCCTAATGCCACTTGCATCCATGCTTGGAATCCCCCATCGGGTGGGGGTCCGAGATCTTTGCCTGATTCTCGTGTTCGCACTGCTGATAGTGTACGTGCTGCAATGCTCGTATTGGTTGGGACTTGTGCTAGGGTATTGGGGTCATGGTGGTTTAAGTCGCCGATGGTTGATTCTTCGTCTGAGGGATTATCTCGGTGGAATGAGTTGGAGGAGTGACAGGAGTGAGTGTCAAGAGACCTTGGATTAATGACATTTTGGTGGTCTTTCTCGTTATCCATTCTTGCTTGTCTTTGCAGTCTTTGGAGACTCGGTTGGGCGCAATGGCCGGTTCTTAAAGTTGGTTCTCAGGGTATTGGGTGGTAAATTGAGGGATTGTTGGACATATCGTTCAATCTCCCAATTTTCCAGAGAAACAATCCCCAAGAACAGATAACAGTCATTTGACTCATTGTGTCCACACAGACCCATAAAACCAAAAAAAAAATCCTGTCTATCCCCCATCTATACGGGCTTCATGCCGATCTCGGTTACTCGCAAGGATTACCGATATCTGATAAACATTCTTCCCTCTTCCCTACCTAGGCATCTTGGGCATATGCCATTGTTTATTCATTACCAATTCATTTTAAATATAAGGTTACAACTTAATAGAATGAACCTACCTTATTACAGGGACTATTGTATCACGCCATCCCCGTGGGGTTTTACTGCTTCCCCGCAAAAAAAGAAAACGGACCCCAGGGTTTGTTCAACGGGGCATCGGATATCTCGGCATGTAATTCGGATGATATTCGGGAAACCCCGTACTCTCTAACATATGAACAATTCAAGGACTCACGTATCTATGACAGAATTATAACAGAGTAAAAAAAGAAGAAGAAGATTAAATCAAAGCAAGTACCGCTGATGTCATACACAAAGCGCCAGCAACACTCCAAGCAAAAAAGGAGATAATTTCAAATGGGGGGAAACGAGGACGCAGAACGAATAAGATCCTCCCAGGTCATTAAAAGAAGAGCAAAAAAAACTGCATTTGAAACAAGTTCGAGTATCGGCCATGGAAATCATATGCAAAGGATGCCAGTCAAGGAAGCCTTCCGGTACTGTGGCGAAGGCTGAGGGTAAGTTGAAGATCCAAGAGTAATCTTATAACTTAAATAATCTTGGCTGGGATTGCTATGTATTAAGCATCTGAATTGTGTTGATAACATCAGCTGGCTCTAACAAGTGCCAGCTAGCATCGGTTTGCTTCGAACTGGCACCCACTGTCACCGAGTAGACGTGGTCCTGAGGCAAGTCGAATTTCTGAAGAGCACGGAACATGTCTAAAAGAGGGTGAGTTAGCGCGGATTTAGTTGGATATCATTTCAGAACAGTCTCATACCTTCGTCTGTGAAATCATCTCCCAAGCACAGGATGAATTCAGGGGCCTTGCCTGGCTCGGTGCCATACTCATTCACTAACCGTGTAGCAATGAATCCCTTGTTGACAAATGTGGGTCGAACCTCGAGGTTAGCTTTACCAGCCATAACCTCAACATCCCACTTCTTCGCAACGGTCTCCTCGAGAGTCTTGCGACACTCCTGAGCTTGGAATTTGCCATACTCCGGATCCGAACGGCGGTAGTGCCAAGTCAAGGCCACCCTCTTACGCTCAATGAATGAGCCTCCAGTTCGTTCTGTGTAATGTTGGAAAACATCGAAAACCTCTTTCTGCCATTCCTTGATATCGGGATGATCAGCCAAGTTTTGCCAGTCATCTGAACCAGGCTGACGAATGAAACAGCCATGTTCGGCACTAAGACCCAATTCGGGGATATGGCCCATCCATTCATCCAAGAATGCCTCGTCTCGGCCACTAATGATCCAAACCGCATTTCGTGGGTCTGCAGACAGGGTTTTGAGGGTGCGCAGAACACGATCTGACGGGATGGCAGCTTGTGGGTCTTTTACAATGGGTGTCAATGTGCCATCATAGTCAAACATGAACAAGCGCTTCCGGGCCTTGCGGTATTGCTTGACCAGTTTAGCACGGTCAAGAGCAGGCGTAGCCACAGATTGATCAAAGGAGGAGAGGTTGGTCAGCAACCGGTGGAGGAATTGTCGCGACCATGCTCCCACGGTATTGGTGGCAACATGCTGGTACAGCTTGAGGTGCTGCTCCCGTTTTTGTGTATTGGGCATTTTGAGAGCCTCATCAATTGCACCAGCCACGCCCACTAGGTCCCATGGGTTGATATGAATCGCACTGGGGAGAGTACCTGCTGTACCGGAGAACTCGGAGAGAATAAGAGGACTGTGGTTAGTCTGCTGGCAGACAATGTATTCCAGACTTGTGGTGTTCATTCCATCTCGAACAGTAGTAATAAGACCCACGTCGGCAACCCGTAGCAATGCAAAGTATTCGCGCTGCGACAAGTACTGCGGGTAATACTGGACAGGTGAAAAGCTCAATGAGCCAAAGCGGCCATTGATAGTCGATACCAGACCCGAGATCTGTCCGGCGATTTTATTCTCTGGGTCTTCTTTCTCCTCTTCCACGCTGGTCGGACTTGTCACTTGGATTAGTACAACCTTATCCCGCCATTTGGGGTATCGCTCCAAGAAGATCTCAAAGGCCTGGAGTTTCTGGGCCACACCGCGCACACTGTCCAAACGGTCTCGGCCAACAATAATCTTGCATCCGGCATAGAGTTTGCGTATGCCGGCAACCGTCTTCTCGATATCCGGGGCTCCAAATGCAGCCTTTTGGATAGAGTGGGCGTCAATGCCGATTGGAAATACGTCCACAGCGACATGCGCCCCGTATGCATCCACTCCAGCCGAATTGGAGTCAAATCCCAAAACACGTGTGCAGCAGGAGGAGAAGTGCCGAGAGTATGAAAAGGTCTGGAATCCAATCATATTCGCACCAAGAACACCGGTCAATACCTCCTTGCGTTTCGCCAGACATCTCACGAATTCGCTGCTAGGGAAGGGGGAATGAAGGAAGAACCCAATGTAAATATCGGGAATACGTTGTCGAAGAAGACTGGGCAAAAGGAAAAGGTGGTAATCATGGATCCATACCACATCTCCCTCTTGATAGTCCTTCACAATGCGATCGGCAAACAACTGATTCAATCGAGTGTAGTCTGCCCACCACTTTCGCTCAGAGCGGCCATCCGTGGGACCGTGCTGTTTATAGTGCAAAAGAGGGTAGAGCTCTCTCTCTGCATATCGACGCCACCGGCCTTGGTCTTTAAGAAGGATTGAGTCTTCGGGCTCCTCTGATGGGTCCGACAGCCACACCGGCAAGATTCGGCCATATCTTCCCGAAGCCAACTGATTATCAAGTTTCTCTCTATCTTCCCGTCCAATGCTGATTCCATCTACCAGAGGGTGCGATGTAGGTTGTTGAGCCGCATTGACCGGCACGGGTGCTGCAGCTTTGTTGATTGAGTGGGATTGATTGTTCGGTCCAGGCGGTAATTTACCTGCGGTGTTGGCAGGGATCGGTTGCAACGGCGCCTTGGCATCTATTATGGGTTCAACTTCTCCAGTCCATCCTACAAGTGTATGTGACCAAGGGGTTTCATCTGAGGCTAATTGGGCGAAGGAGTCGAAAAGGGCCGATGTTCCAGAGCGAGGTTTTAATGTCTATAGGAGCCCCAGTCAGCTTCATCATTCTTCAATAATAATCCCATTCCACACGTGTGCACATACCCAATCTGAGTCTGCTTTGTGATGAAGCTTGTATGGAATACAGAAAGCAGCACTTATCAACCGACCACTCAGCTTCAATCCAGGATGTTGTGTTCTCGGATCAACATCCGGTAAAACTGGGGATGACTCTCCCACTGAGACTTAAGCGCCGCAACAAGTCCTGACCAGCTGAATTCCGTCTTTGCGGCTCTTCCGGGGCTGAGAGATCCGATGGATAGAGTCCCTGGGTGCTTGCTCCCGGGATGCTAGCAAAATAAGAGGGTGGTGCATCGCTGTCCACTGGATGCTGCTTATCGGTGTCCAAACTCGGGGTTGCATTGGCGGCATTGGCATAGGCATCCTCCTTCAGTGCCTTCAATCCCGGACCCACGAGTACAGGGTCCGGCTGCCCATCTGGCACTCGCGTGGGGCTCTCCGAATCAGACATGAAAAAAAGGGATAGGATCTGGAATGAGACTGAAGAGCGCACTATCTAGGGCCGCAATGAACTATCAAGGTATCAGTACTCATGCAATTGTCAAGTTCCGGAACTCCTCTAAGCGGGGGTCGCTGTGACGTCGGATGTATCCAAGTTCGAAGAGGGTTTCCAATAAATGGGAAAAGACGGTATTACCTTAACACGGCAGTGAAAAAGAGAATCAGCATGAATCCATCACTCAATAAAAGAAATAACTAGGATAGTAGAGAGAGGGGGGGGAAGTAGATAAAGTTGGAGGGGCAAGCGGTGTAAGACGAAAGCCGAATCAGGCACCGAGTGGAGTTGGCCCAGACCAAATAGTCCGGAGATAGCATGTAGGAATGTGTAGTAACAGTATTTATATCTACTAAAGTACGAAGTATAGTAATCAATGATATGCATATACATAGGTGGTATTTAATTTATCCGTTACTAGTATATTTATTTTAGTTTTTAAGGCTTTTTCAGTTGGGCAGGAAATCCAAGGTTTCATCTGACGTGAATGTATATAATCAGAGTGAACACTACTAGTATACTACTACATTTACTACTAGTAGATCAACACTGATTGATTCCTAGGTTATACAGGATTTAATATTCACATATACACTATCAGAAAATAATTACATTCAATTATAATATCATTAATAGCTCAAGTTATTATAATTATATACGGTTTGCGCCCAACACTGGCATGACACATGCATATTATTGCCTCAGGCAAACACCCCTGCTCTTAACACTCTCTCGGTTGGAGATTCCTTCTCTCCTCTTAAGCCCGCAGCACTATGCGGTTGTCCGGCATCCAATCCACTCGCCTTTCTCACCATGTGCCTAGACGATTGCCTATTCCATCTCAAGATGCAGATGTCATCCCTAATAGTCTCCGAAAAACCCTAGAGGCGCACCGTTCCTCTAATCGGGCCCGCCTGATCCGCAAAGTATATCCGCGTACACAGGCCGCCGGTCTTTTTCGTCCTTGGATCCCTCCAGAAAATCGCGCAGGCTATCGTCCACCAGAACCTTCAAGCCACACTGCAGAACACTCGGAACCTTCGAAGAAGCCTATCGGGAAAAGACGTAGACGGCAGAGCTCCGCAAAATCCCTATCACCAGGTGACTCGATAATCGCCATCCGAGGTGCAGATCACCATATACCGGAACAGTCTCCGTGGGCTGATCTCCTGCATTCAAGTCAGGGCACCGGGGATGCCTCTACACATTTAGATGCAGAGATCCGAGCTCTGCATCACTATCTTGTTCCGAGTTCGCGTGAACAGAGTCGCATAACTCAGCTTACAGAAGAGATCAACTCTCTACTGGCCTATGTCGCTCCGCATACACCACGAACCATCGGGTCCCATTACACAGGTCTAGCGCTGGCGCATTCAGATCTGAATTTCCTCTTTCCCTTCGAAGACATCCTGCGGCCCCGAGACTCTCCACGCGGTCCAAGTGCCACTCGTCCACAGATCCGAGATGCTCATACAAACCTCCTCCGAGATGTCGAATCTACCTTGAAGAATACTATCGCCTTTTCCGATCAGCTCAAATGGATCGGAAAGGGTAAAACTGCTCTCGAAGCTTGTCATAAACCTACCGGTCTGATACTCCGTTTTCACTGCGGAGAGTCGGTCCCTGCTCTCGCAGAATTCATCAAAGACTCCTCACTCGAGTACCCTGCCCTGAAACCACTGTATACTAGCGCACGCACATTGCTAGAATCTCGTGGTCTCTTCGGTCCCACTCAAGGAAATATCAGTTCCGAGGCTCTAGCAATCTTGGTTATCGCGTTCCTGAAATCGAGTCATGGTCGCTTTCCAGGCTCCTATCGTCTTGGTGATCAGTTCATGGACCTTTTACGATTTTACGCTACGGATATTAATCTGACGTCTGCTGGTGTCGCTGTTCATCCGCTAAGCTTCTTTGGTCCTGATGTTATGCGCGCTTCGATGGATGGTGATGATACCGAGTCCGCTGCTCGTCGTGGTCAGAAATCCCTTCTAGGTGCGAAGCGCAATGCTGCTTTGAAGGGAAATTTACCTGCGGATCGGAGATTGTGTATTCAGGATCCGACGCATTTTATGAATGATCTTGGTCGCGGATGTACTCGTACACCTGAGCTACAAAGTGCCTTGAAAATAGCACATGAGCAGCTCAGACAGGCGTGCGATGTGTGGGAGGGAGGAGAAAATCGGACCTCGATTTTGAAAACTGCTCTTCGAGCGAACTTTGATGGATTGGAGAAAGTTCGAGAGCGGGTCTTGGCCTCAGCTTGGATTTGAGCTCAGAGCTACCTACTCAACTATGTTTGTAATAATTAGCACCGATATGGTGATGACATGATACCCTGTACATATATTCCAAGTTCTAGCACCACGCTTCGCGCGGTGCTATATGTAGCCAGAAAATTGGAAAATTATATACCTGGCTATGAAGCTCTGTTAACAAAATCATGATGGACTCGGACGCCCTATATCACGAAAAGATCAACTGCCCAGGTGGAATAATGCTGGGCGGTCAAAAAACCTCCAGTACCCAGGTATGTAGTAGGTAGTAAAGGAAGTCTAGTCTATATAGTGAAAGATAAATTTGCACATGTACCCCAGTATAGTATAGTCACGGTAGTTCAAGGGACAGGGATCATGGATTCAGGGATCTCTTCTCTGGAGAATCGTGATCTCGAATGATTGAATTATTCTATCTAGTGTTGGCTTGCATTATTAGGCCAAAAATAACTTGGTTGCTAACCTGTAGCAAACATCTAAGAGAACTTGCGCTTGTAGAGAGGAAATACCATACTGCAATCGCAGTGCTCGAACAAAATATGGACGAGAATGCAAAGGTGAAAATATTACTGGACTGCAGTAAAAAAGAGACGACCCAGCGCTTTGAGTGACCGAAATTAGTTGCTGTGAAAGAGTCAGTTATGAGATCCAAATGTATAGCAAAGATAGAGAGGAACTTACTAAATTTCCAAGGGCGAAATCTGATCCAAGGCGTATAGCCAATTTCCGCCTTGTTCCTCCTTCTCAAGCCTGTAGATTCGTTAACACAAGTCTCTCTCATTGAGTAAATAAGTAATTCATACCAGTCATATGGCCAAAGAATGAGATGACCTTGAACCCGGTTGAGAAGGTCCTCCGCACGGGATTTGTCCATCACTTCATCTGCAGCATGGAATTCACGCTTAGAACCACTGGCGGTCGCTCTGCGTCCGCGCTTCTTGGAGTGAGATGCATTGAGATTGACTGCCTCGGAGTAGTCGACATGTGCCGAGTTCGAACGGGGCTTCTCGTGGTCCTCTCCAGCTGTGGGGTTGTCGCCACCCTGTCCATTATGTACAGTACTCAACAGGTGCGGGTCAGAAGCGGTCTTCAGACGATTCTTCTCGTCATAGGGAGAGAAGTTCTCTTTTTGTGCGAGGTCTGAGTGAGGCTGTTCACTATCTGCAGTCCGGAGCGCGGCCTTCTCATCAATTGTCTGAGGATTAGGTACTTCAGTCTTAGGGCTGACAAGCGGCGTCGGTGAGTTAACACCGGTCTGTCGCTGCGCAGAGGAATTCGCTGGCTTGTTGGGTTGCTGGCTTTGCATCTCCGCGAAACGCTCACCGTAAGCAGCGTATTCCTTGTATTCTTTCCAACTCTTGACCTCGTTATCCGGCATGCACCGGAATACAGATCGGTAAATCTTTGTGTTCTTTTCTGCAACAGCCTGCCAGGTATCCAGATAGAACCCGTCATTTACGGGATCCTTCATGCAGTCCTTGTCAATAAAAATTTGGTTCAGATCTGGGATGGATGGGTGGCCGTATCGCGGACTGTCATGGCTTTCTTTGGTCACATTCAAACCAGCAGCTCCGGATTCCGACTCTCGACTCGATGATTCAGCAGAGACGCCATGGCCGTAGGTCGACGTATCCGGGCTATTCTTGGTCTCCGGGTCGCGAGAAGCTTCCTCACAAGACGCGTGCTTTATATCCTTGCGGGTTGACTTGGACCGAGATGGCTTGGGTTGCTGAATAGTGCCTCTGCCCTCAGGTAGAAGAGGGGACAAAAGAGACTCTCTTCCTGCCGGTGAAACCTGTGAATCACGACCAACTCCGCGACCTGCCCGCTCTGCGGCTATCAAGTTGTCCGGGCCTTCACCGTCCACATCCTTGCGATGTTCAGGGTTGTCTGTGACACGAGGATCAGCAGTCAACCTGCGGTTGCTCTTGAGATTGGGGTTATTGCCCTGTTCCCAATCAACATCATGGTTGAAGCTGTGCATGTCTTCGGAACGAGACAAGAACTCGTCTTGTACGCGATGTCGGCGTTCCATCATCTCCCGCTCATCTTGTCGCTCGATGACAGATGCCTCTGATTCGCGCTGCTGTCTTTCGTCGGCAGGTGTACCCTCTTCAACATCCTGGATCTTCCGCAGCTCTTCCTCAGTATCAAAGTCATGCTCCATAAGCTCGTCAACGTCAATTCCAAGATGCTCACGCATCAATCGCATGCGAAGAGTGTGCGGGAACCTTCCAACGAGATAAGGCTTGCCGTTCATGGTGGATGTGATCATATCAGTATCTCGTACCACGGCTGCGACCTCGGAATCACGCGAACCAAGCATAGAACGTTCGTTGATGTTGGCTGAGCCAATGATAGCAGCCCGATCATCAACGACCATACACTTGGCATGGATGTACAGCTGTTCGGTGACCAATTGCTTCTGTGGTCCGATCTTACCCCAGGTTCGTAAGCTGAAGAATTGAATGTAATCTTCAGGGTCGATACCCAGCGCTCGCAGACGACCAAATATGGATGTCTCACCGCGGCAAATACTGCGGTATTGGCATTGCATGATCAGACGCACGCTAGTTCCTCCCTCGCTATCCACGGTGTTCTGGAAGCCTGGCATCAGTGGAATAACGATAACCGCGCGCCATGCCTCGTTGTTCTTTGCTGCACGCACAATTCGCTCCACCAAAGAATCACCGATCAAGTTCTCAATCTTTCGACCGTCAATCTCACAGGTGCTAATGAAGAATTGGTTTTCAATGTAAACAAAGTGCTCCGACTCTTCAATGAGCTTGACGTAGGCATTCATAATACTGTGCTCGGTGACATCTGGAGTACCAGTGGACCACATGCTGCTAGATCGCAAGATTTGTACCTCACACGTTCCATCCAAGCCCAGAGCCTCCAGATCAGCAGGGTTGAAATCGGGAGGAGGCAGAAGGAATGGAGTTGGGCGAGTAGGCTTCCGCTGGCGAAGAATGTAGTTCCATCGCTGAACGAAATGGCGGGTAAGATCACGAGCGGGTTGGCCAACAACATGCATGGAGATATCGTGCCAAGGCATGCGCGGGACAACGTTTCGATCGTACATTTCCTCATAAGGCTTATCCAGGTCATAGAAATCTTGGATTCGGGGATTGGAGTAGTCCTTTCCAGGCCACAGTTGACAGTTGTCAGCATCTTTTTGCATATCGCCAGTCTCAAACCCGGTAGGCTTGTCATCGGTCAATTTGTGTTGAGGTGTATCCCAACGTCCAAAGCACAAATCGATACCTCCAACAAAAGCGATCGTGTGGTCAATAAGACAGAGCTTCTCATGATGGGCCCAGAAGAAAGTATTTTGACGGAACTGGTTCGGCGATCTTTGAACAAAGACGTTGGGGTGCAGCTCAAGGAGGGAGAACTTGGAGTATTCAGAGTCAATGGGAATGGCAGAGTTGATGTTGCGGTACATTATGACGAATATTTTTACACCTTCGCGGGCCTTTTTCTGCAGGAGACGATCCAGTCGCCACTTTTGACTAATAGCAGCTGGTCGTCGCATGTAGAGTTCTGGACTTAGCCACCAGTCGTGAATGTAGATCACATCCTTGGCCTGGTTGATTGCTCTCGAGACAACCCACATGTGGTCGCGTGCATCAACTAACCATTGTGCAAAACATTTCTGCCGCACTGGAGCGAAACTATCGAATCTGTTCGGGCGCATCCATGGTGTATTTTGGGCCATGAATCTGATCGAATCCTCGAATTGCTGGAGCATGCGCTCGTTACGGGCAAGCAGCTTCAGCTTACGTTCGGAATTTTCAAGGCGAAGCGTATGGTGCTGAGGATGTCTAGCGGACTGCTTTGCGGACTTTGCCAAGTCCTTTGCCTTCTGATTGCGGAGGCTCATCTTTTGGGTTTGGATCTTGAAATAAGGGTCGACAAGGAAGACGTCGTAGATATTCATCTCCTCGGGTGAATCCACGCAAACCACGTAGCTGTGTCGAACGAGGAACCACTTAGGCCAGTGTCGCTTTTTGATGAGAGATGGATTCAGGGCTCTTCGGAAATCCAACCCCTTTGATGACTGAATGATTAAGAACCCTTCTTTACCGTGGTAACTTCCCTCTGCAGCAAGGCGAACGCCAAGCGCGGACAGCTCCAGGAACTTACACAGACGATTGCTATCAGCCCGAAAGATCAAGAAACGGATCATCTTCTGCAGGTACATTTCAAGCTTTTTTCGTTGCCGCTCTGGGTAGCTCTCCCTTTTGGCACCGGTAGTTCCTTCGTAAGTAGACGAAGGGCCTGCAGCAGGTTCTCCTTCGGCGTTTGTCAGACTGGACTTTCGACGAGTGAGAGCACCAGATGGACGGCGTTGATGTTGCTGGTTTTGCTTTTTCTTCTTCCCTTGCCTTTCTGTCCCACTCATTGCCTCTGGTCCAGTCTCATATCCACCATCTTCATCTTCATCCTCAAACTCGCTTTCCAGTCCCCGAACACCGCGCAGGTACGGGAATGCACTCCTGGGGAAACGAGGAAGACTAGGGCTATTCTCGCTCGTTCGCAGCTGAATATACTTTTGAGTTCCAAGATGGAGCTTGTATTTCAAATGCAAGTTTGCGAAGTCCCTCAATGTACGGAAAATAATCCACTTCATTCGCGTCATACCACTGCCATACTCCAGCTCAATGCGGAAGATCAAGTGGCGATCACTAGAGTGTGTATCAATCCGGCTATCTGTCACGCGCACTTTAAGCTGTTCCAAGAGAATCGGGATGCGTTTGCTTCCATGTTCATCTCGTTGGAAGAAACTGGCCAAAATGAGCGCAGCTGGCACGGCGGAGGCTAACTCGGCAAGAAGCTCTGCTGATTTCTTGTTGTCTACCGTGTTATCAACCTTGCGCCGCTGGCCAATGAGTTTGAAGCCTGCTTTAATCTGCTTCCATCTTTGTGCACCGGCACTTGTGCCGCGCTCGCCACGATGGCGTCTCCATGTAGCTGCGAGGCTCTCAGGATTGTCGGAGGGACCAGCAAGACCAGTGAGTCGTCTGAGGTGACTTGGTCGTTGTTCATCGGCGTTTTCTTCTGGTTGTCTTCCAATGTATGACATCCCACGGGTGGCACCCCAAGCACTCCGTTTCCGACGATTGAGTCTCTCACGACCTTCATCCTCCGATACTCCTTCTCGTAGCTGAGGGGTGAAGTCTGTAGTGCTGGCTCTTCTGGGGAAGATATTTTGACGGTAATTCTCGAATGGCGCAAAAGATGACGAAAAGTGGAATGAAGGTCGACGGCCAGTTTTGGGCGTTGTGGGTGCAGTCCGACTACCAGAGTCCTCTTCCTGGGCGCGCGGACGACGTAGGATTTTCTTCTTCTTGGGACGGTCTGACTGCTCTGCACCACTCTCCTCCGCATCTGCGTCAATGTCACTCCCTTCTTCTGTTAATGGCTCTGGGAAGCGGAATTCGCCTCGCTCGGAGCCGGGCGTTCCTAGATCCGAGTGGGCTGGTCGGAACTCTGGAAGTGCTCCTCCGCTAGCTGAACGCGAGTGGGATGTAAATGATGACTTGAGCTTGGTGATGAATGACCTTCCTCTCGCCGTTTGTTCTCCCTCGTCGCCATATAGAGATGTGGGTCTGGATTGAGGCCGGGATTGCGGTACTTCTGTGTTCTCGTTATCGGTATCACGGAATTGAACGCTAGGGGCCCGGGAGGACGGAGACATCCCAGTGGCGGGTGTTTGTGACTTCTGACGGCTCGAAGAGGGTGCATTGTCGTCATTGGACTTATTTGGTGGCCGAGTGCTCAGGGATGGTTTCTCCTTGGGTGAACCGTGCTGGGACGATGCATGACGGAAGCTCTCCTTGCTCTGAGGAGTAGATTGGGTCTCCTGTAACAGTTGCTGATTGTCTATGCTTTGGTTCTCTTGAGACTTATCCGTTGTCTGACTCTGCTTGAATGAAGCGGGCCATTTAGTTTCGGTGGGTGAGGGGAAGGGTGATGCCAGCTTTGGTGCATTCGAGGTTGAGATTGGATCGAGCTTCTTAGTTTCCTCCATTTCAGAGGTACGGCTAGCCTCTCTCGCCGATGGACCCGGTACCAGGCTCGTCATGTTGCTATAATGAAGTTATCGTTAGCCTGCAGATTCGTGAGGACACGCGGTTCAAGCCGGGCTTTCCATACAATGCGGGATCAATTCAGATCCAGTCCTAATGAATCGAATCCTTTAGCTTTCATGCTAAGGAAGACGACCCAAGTCAACAGACAAACTTTCAAAAGTGGGAGAGTACAGCCCACGCGAGTGTTGACATTTAAAGGAGCATCAGTCGTCCAAATTAGTTAGCAACTGCGGTGGAGCTCCGACCCATCAGAATGTCTCCGACTGGAGAGGACCCGCCAAGCCAGCCAAGAAACGGGTGAGAAGTCACAAAGGGGGGAGAAGAGACCAAATGTCTATGAAGTATACAATATTGGATGAAGTAAACAAATATAGAGTAGCAGTTAAGATTGAAATAAGCTTGGAAGGAGACAATGTCACTTGTGTATATTTCCAAGATCTTGGAAGTGCGTTTGCATTAGTTTGCATTTTTCCTGATTAGGGATAATGTGGCCTGAGGTATAAATATATAGTCACGTGGACTATGAGTTTATAGATCATATGTTAAATGAACATTTGAACAGAAAAAAAAAAAAGCGCAAGTTCATTTTCAATAATTGATTGATCTATGGAGCTGGAGGGGTTATGCATTATGGAGTTCAGATCAATTCCCCTCTTAAGATTGAGAATATCATTGCGCTAGTGATGTTCCTAGGTGGAGTCGGCCCTCGGCTTCTTCGTCCATATACCCGAATCAACTTTGTATCTGTCACCCCGCGCCACATTAATTCTCGTTCAGTTCTAAACTCAACCAATTGATATTTGCTTTTATCATTGATACTGATTGAGACTGATCGCGTGTCGATTTGATCTACTACCAATCACCACATCCCCTAACAAAATGACTGATCCATTGAAGTCGCTGGATTCAGGTCGGCTAAAGCCAACCGCTGTGTCACGGCAGGTCCATGCAATTGCTGGAATTTCAGTCACGGTCTTCGGATTGGAAGAATTGAATGCACAGGCATCAGAGGTCGCTTGTCTCTGGTTACTTCATCCTCGTTTGGCTACTCAAGAGCGAATGACCGATATTGCTGCATCAACCATTAACGATTGGAACTCCAAAAACCAAGATACTCCTACAGCCAAGGGACTCATTGCTGTTTCTTTTGATCAGCGTAACCATGGTGCTCGAATGGCGGATCCGCTTGCCAACGAAGCTTGGAGACAAGGAAACCCGCGCCATGCTCAGGATATGTTCTCTATTTTCCGTAGGTTCTTGCCATGGACAGGTCCCGCATTCTACAGGATTATAGCTAATGAGATATATACTAATACAGAGGGAACCGCACGCGACACTTCCTTACTGATGGACTATCTTGCTGCCTTCGTCTTTCCTAATGGGGAGCATAAGATCACTGAGAACCTGGTGCTGGGTGTTTCATTGGGCGGCCATGCTGCGTGGAGCTGTCTATTCCACGAACCTCGCATATCGGCAGGTGTTGTGATTATCGGCTGCCCCGACTATCTAAATCTCATGGTTGATCGCGCACGATTGTCGAAATTACCCTCATGGACTAAGAGCAACCCACCAGGATCGGAGATCTTGGGCTCTGAGGCCCTGCCCGCTTCGTTCGTGGATGTCGTTAACAAGTATGATCCGGCAGGTCTCCTGCTCAGTCAGGTGAAGAGTGCACCTGGTCCATTGCGCGATGGCACAATTCCTCAACCTACGGACCAGGAACAGCAAGAGCTTCGACCTCTCCTATCACGATGCTTGGCAGGTAAGCGTATTTTGAATCTGTCTGGCGGTATCGACAAGCTTGTGCCCTATCACCGTGGAGAATCTTTTTTGCAATGGTTCAAGGGTGCCATCTCACCTAATGGTTGGTTTGGAGACGGCGCGATTACGTTTGAGGATATTATTGATGAATCGGCGGGTCATGAGGTCACACCGAAGATGGCTGATGAGGCTGTGAGATTCATTAGTGAAACGCTTGCGATCCGTGGGGACAATGGGGAGCGGAAGGGCTCGGTGCGGGAATCCAAGATCTAGACTTTGTAACGATACTGCCATGATGAAAATAGAAGCATCGAAATTATTTCGGTTAGAGTTAACTTCAAATCCATCAATAAAGATCTACGACTCAAGATCTACGAGGCTTCCTCAAGGCCAGTAGGTGATACAATGCCATCAGACAAACTCAACCATAGGCCATCGATTATCAAGTAGCATGCTGATTTTTCGGCACTTGGTAGAAGCTGGTCTGGAGACATTGCTCAACCCCAGTGGACATCTTGAGGCAGTCCAATCCATACACGTAATGAAACATATTCAGTTTGAAAAAAATCCTCCTTGTGGTATTTGTTCAACACAATGTGAAATCGTAAGGGCATTCGGAGGCCATGCTATGCTAATTGCATACACAAAACCCTTTTTCTTTTCAAACACCCAAGCCAACCATTTCGACTCGTGGCGCTCTTTTTTTTTCGAGTTCCGATCGTCCTCCTCATTTGCAGAAAGAACTTTGATCCTCCACTTTAAGACCGAATGCAGCTAGGGCTGCGATTGCCTCGATTCACCCGCCTTTCTCCATAAGAAAAAACCCGAATCAACGCTTATGCGACCAGCTCACAGACACCACCGGCCTCCTTGATCTTCTGCTCGGCGTCACGGCTGAAGTAACGGGCACGGACGACGACGGGGATCTGAGGGAGACGGCCCTTACCGAGGACCTTGGAGTAACCGAGGGGCAGGAGGTCAATGACGGGGGCGGTGTCGGTCTTCTGGCCGCTCACGTAGGCGTCACGCTGCTCGGCAGGGACAAGGGACCACAGCTGTATCGAGTAAAATTTTTCCAATTAGTCCGGTTGTTCTATATCGTAAAATCGAGCTTGAAGTCCCCTTTCTCAATATGGCATGGATTTCCCAGATTGTAGTGTTTCCTTCTCTTGCTGTCTGCTTTTCCCAATGCGCAGACAAAAATTTGCCATATCCTGCCACCTGAGGTTTCCTTCTCTGCTCATAGGGTCGAATTCGTTTTTCGATTGGTCACGTACCTTGTCGAGGTTGATGGTGGGCTTCCAGAACTGCTGCTTGGTCTTGTGGAAGTAACGCATACCGACCTTACCGAAGTAACCGGGGTGGTACTTGTCAATGTTGGTACGGTGGTGGTGTTGACCACCGGCCATACCGCGACCACCGGGGCTCTTGCGGTGCTTTCCGACACGACCGTAACCGGCGGACACATGACCGCGGCTGTAAAAAAGGAAGGTTAGTATCTCATGGTATTGTAGAGCGATTTGGTGAAGATTCATAGATATGCAGCGATGTCGAATTTGCGCAGATCACGGATCAAAGGAATCGGGAATGACGGGAAAACGAGATAACGATGACAGGAGGGCGACTCACTGCTTCCGGGTGTTCGAGAAACGAGTAGGCATCTTGTCGACCGGTTGGAGAAATTGGCGTTGAAGGGGGAAGGGTCGTGGATACCTCCGGCTCTGATGTTGAAATCCACGCTCGCGCCGGCTAGAGTGTGCGCTAGTACTTCGCTTGTCCCGTGATAGGGTCAAACCCTGACCTGGGGCTAGTGGGTCACGTGTAAATTGCCAAATCTTTGTTCACCGCTCTGTCCGCCTTATGTAACTACAAAGCGGTGAAGATCGGCATGATCATGAGGATGAACCTTGAAAGCCAAAATGAGCCTAATATACGGGGTACTCTTAAAAGGTTCCAAGGTTTACTTCAATCAACCTGAGGCAACATCTTCTTGGGCTCATATTCATACATATTAGGAAATTTTGAAAAATAAAAATAAAAAATAAAAAATAAAAATATTACTTTCTCTCATAATATCATACTCTCAATTCATGCCTTCTCCGCAAAAAATTTCGCCAATCGTTGCACAGTCTTCTGAACAGGCCGTTCAGCGGATGGAGTGACCAAGCTCCCTTGTATCCACCCTGGCAACTTAGCCCGAATTCGTGGTGTATCGTAGCGTCTATCAATCATAATAATAGCCGCATAGTCATTCACATGCCTGATAGCTCGTCCAATACACTGATTGACAGCTCGCATACATGAATTCTCATAGAAGTCTCGACCTGCGGCTGAGGCTTTGGCCTTTTTCTCGGCCTCAGACCCCGAGCCCTGCTTATAGGTCTTCTCTTCGATGTATTTGATCTTGGCTTGCCAGACTGCACTCCGGATGTTAGGGAATGGCAATCCAATGATAAGTACTCCTCGTCCGAGCCGGTCGGAGAAATTGATACCCTCGGACAATTTCCCACCAACTACTGAGAATAGCAAGGCTCCAGATCCGGATTCCACAGCTTCGGTATATTCCTGGAGTAATGCATCGGTTGATGTGGTTCCTTCGCGAGATTCGTAGAGAACTTTCTTTTTCTTTTCAATTAGCCCGAGGATGGTTTGCCCGTTGCCATTTGGGATTGGTTTCTGCCAAACACCCAGTACTTGTGCTAAGTAGTCGTAGCTTGGGAAAAATGCAACAACGCCATCTGGGATTATTTGACATAGTGTGGCTATTGTTCGACCGAAGTCTGTGATCTAATGCGATTATTAGGAGCCGTTTTGTCTATTTGAAAACAGGGGTGTACATACCATCTTCTCCGACCCTCGGGCCTCGTAGGTAAAGTCAAAATCAGAGCCCAGAATGCCTTTAGTAAGTGACTGTGCCACCAGGTTGGTATGCGGAATGACGTGACCATAACTAAAGGTACCAAGTCTTTCGGGGGTAACGTAGGAGAATAGATGGGTTGCGTAGTCAGACATCTTTTATAGATCTGTTAGTCGATCCCAATATGGATCAAGGTACTCTCATAAGACTCACCGGAGACATTGTTCCACCAGCCAGTATTACCGCACGGGCATCCTCTACAATTTCCCGAAAGTGGTTTGTAGGATCAAGAAGCATGTACTTCAATAGCACATCATCTTGCACCTTTTGATAGAACAGCCTTCCTTCTTCCGAGGGGTTCATAAGAGGAATGAGGAAGCTTTGGATGTGGAATAAGACCGGCATTGTCGCTTTGCTTTTTTGAGCTAGCTGAGCATTCTCTGATGACTCGGCATACCCATCCACCTTGCGGGCCAGCTTACTCTCTTGCAAGTATCGTGATAGCTTGTAGGGGTTGATTTGGTCCACTCCCTTGCCAGCCATGAGATCAGAGAACTGAACATTTCCTTCAAGGGCTCCTTTCTGCTGTGAAATTTTTCGAAGATGATCGGCGATGGAGTTAATCAGCCTGATCACTTGCGCCAAGTAGCTTCTGTTTTTACCCTTGAGTCTGTTTTTGAATTTTCGCGCGTAGATCGTTAACTGTGAGATGGAGGTTTGTAGTTGATGTAATGAGACCGTCACCGAGTGAATTCCTGCAATTGCATCCATGAGGTTGTGAGCCTCGTCGATAATCACCACATGATCCTTGACAGACAAGTTGAGAGCCTCACGGGCAGATCGTTGAAGGAGTAGCGGATAGGGAAGGGTCACAATCTGTGATATTTGTCAGTTGTATATTCTTCTTCTTTAGATGAGGGAGGGCACCAGACCTCGCTGTGTTTGATGACTGAGCGCGATGCATAGTATGGACATATGCCAATTTTCTCTCCTACTTTGCCAATATCTTCAATATCCTTCACTGTGGCAAGTGTGTGATCTCGGAATTGAAGCATCAAGGCCTCGTCATCTTTTGTAGGGAGAAAGGAACATTTCTTATCAGCCGCGAGACCCGATTGTTGTAGATCCAGACATCGTTCATTGATAGCTGTACTGTTCTCTAGAGCTCGTACTTTGGGGTTGATACAGAGATTCTTTCTCGATCCTAGCGACAGATGCTTGGTCCGCTCTTCCAATTGAGCCAGAGCGTCTTTGTCTTTGTCGTTCGCGTTTGGGTCATTGGGTATACTCGATGGAAAGGTCACCCGCTGTAGTTCTCCTGCGAACTGGCTCAATTGTGAATGTGTACGGGAGCAGTAGAAGATTTTGACTGAATCATTCTCTTCTTCTTCCTGTTTTTGCGTGGATAGCTTTTCTTTGAATCGCTCGAGTAAGGCTAGAGTGCTGGCTGACAATCCCTCGACTCCCCCAGAGTCAGTCTGTTTCTTCGATTCGTCTGTTTCACTGTCGTAGTCCTCAAGGACAAATTGCTCCTCGTCATCTGGCTTCTCTGTTGATTCTGTCTCTTCCACACGCTATAGGATATGTTGGAATATGTTCATATTTGATATTTAAGGGGAGAAATAGAAACCAAAAAAGGTTCATTCACATACCTGTCTTTTCCGTGGTCGCTCTTGATTTGCAGTCTGTCTGAGCTGATCTTCTTCTTGTTTGATCTTGGCTAGTCGGGCTTCAAATGTCTGTCTTTTTTCTGTAATGGCGCGCCGCGAGTCCCGCTTGGCAAACTCGACCATCCAGTCGGGTTCATCATCGTCACCTATAATGATATGAGAATATTGACAAGGATTGGACCAACCACAATATCACATACATGCTGCCTGATCCAATGTTTGTTGAAAAGCTTTCCGTTTATGATCCCTTAACCAAGTCAGGGAACCACAGATCAAGCTCAAGGATTTACCCTATGTCGATCATCAGTTTGTCTCTCCTTCATCCACCTGAATTAGGCTACAGGTCGGTGGGAGGCACGAAAGTGGCGCATGGTCCGATCCCTGACCCTAAGCTGATTTGCCGAGTGGAGCACGTACGGTACCTGGTGGTTTCAGGGTCAGCATACAGGAAGGTGAAAGGGGGGGGGATTCATGGGGAATGGCTTTATTACCAGTGGGGGACTCAAAGATGGCAACTTTTCCATCTTCTAAACAGCCATACAAGGCTTCCATAAACTGAAGTTGAATATCATAGGGGGTAAACGGGTGATGAAATTTCCGATCAGGCTCCATGATTGAGATTCTGGAAGAATGACGGAAGGGGATAAAAATAAATTCAGCGTTAAGTGGGACCCGTCAAAACGAGTCTCACTACTCCGTATACATCCATACATACTACCTAGGTACTAGGCTGTGTCAACTACCTCCCGAGGTCTACTATATGACTCTATTCTCTACTCTTTACCTAGGTAGTAGTATGTACAGTACTGAGTAGTACAATAAGGAATTACTGCAGGGACATATCAAGTGGGATATAGAAGAATGAGATCAGCCTATAATTAATCTTATAATAAATATTTTGAGAAAGAGAATGTGAGACCTTTTACTACTAGTACACTGTGGTAATTTTCTTCTAATACTATTAGTAGTATACTATTAGTAGTATAATGTATAGTGTATAGTGTATAGCCCTGTAGTAATAGTTCATCACTATTTATACATGGAGTATCCCTCCGAATGATATTACCCTTATTGAATACTGTTTAACATTAAATTGATCCTAGTCTTTTCCTTTTTCTCCTTTTCTATCTCTTCTCTCTTTTACGGAGTACACAATATTCCACTATTTCCACCACTAATCCTGAACGGCCTAAAATAAAAAGTGGGCTTGGTGGTTCACTTGTCTCCGCTTGGTTCCCCTCTTCTCTCGTGTATGGGAAATTTGGTCTTTCTCTTCTTAATCCACCCTCTTCCCCAATCTCAAGGGGAGAAAAAAAAAGTTCTCAAAGAGGTCATCTTCCCCTCTTCCGCGCGCCTCCGGCCGTGTTATTCCTTTTTCCAAATTACCAATTACCCGGGATGAACAGACCGCCACAGGGCCGTGGTCAGCCACGGCTGGGTGCGACTTGGTATCCAGGGGGCCAAGATGACTTCTACATGCCAGAGGTCATCTCCCCCCTCCCCCAAAGGTACGGTCGCGCATCGCGAAATTAACCTTCCTAATGTTCATCTTTATAAAATCTCATCCTGCAAGATGCCGCGGCTACGTGTGCTAATTCATCCCGTTAGGGTCATGCCTGAAGTCCCCGAAAACATGCAAGACAATATCGCGCAGATGGAATACGGCGCTCGCGATCCTCGCGACCCCCGCCGAGCCCAACAGCAGCCTCCGCCAGCTCAATACCGCTCCCAGTACCCCGAGCGCAGCTCCTCCGCAATGGGGGGTCAACCTCAACAACAGGCTCAGGCTTACGACCATGGTGCTTACGCGCAATCCGCAACCTATGACACTATGGATCACCCCAACTTCTCGCCTTTCCCCGTCCTGCGAAACCCGCCACCTAATGTCCCACCTACCGATGAACAGCGGGAAGTCAACTTGGAGCGCGCCCGCATGGCCGTTCTCTCCACCACCGACCCGGAGATGCAATTGGCTTGGGCTCAAGATGCTTTGACCTACGTGGAGGTCGCCGCGCAGAACGAGGCTCGTCTCTCAGTGATGCAGCCACCGCGACCCAGTACCCCTGAAGTGGAGCGTCGCTTGAAGACCGACGCAATGAATATCGTCACTTTCTTGGCGGAGCAACACCACCCGAAGGCCGAGTTCATCAAGGGTATGTGGATGGAGTTTGGCAAGTTCGGCTATCGGGTGGACCGAAAAGAAGCATTCCGATGCTACTCAAGAGCAGCGGAGAAGGGGTATGCGCGTGCTGAATACCGCATCGGAATGCAGTTTGAGAGCTCGGGAGAGCCCGAAAAAGCAATCAAGCATTACGAGCGGGGTGTTGCAAGGGCAGATTCCGCCTCATACTACGTATGTTCTGTCACAGCTTTGGAATTCCCCACCGATCTTACCCGATCTCGATCTAACGTACTTTTGATCTAGCGACTTGGAATGATGATTCTTCTTGGCCAGCATGGTCAACGTCAGGACTTTCAGCGAGGTCTGGAATACATTCGATTGGCGTCGCAATCATGCGACCAGAATGCGCCTCAAGGTGCTTATGTGAGTATTTCATTCTTTTTTTAATATATATATATATATATATTTTGTTCTGTTTGATGTCATACCTTGGCCTCGACAGTGCTAACCGTCTCCAGGTCTACGGTATGCTTCTAGCTCGAGAACTTCCTCAGGTCAGCGTACCCGAGTCATTTCTTCCTCTTGATCTCAATGTATCTCGAGTCAACATCGAGAAGGCTGCATACCATGGATTTGCCAAAGCTCAAGTGAAGATGGGCGCTTCATATGAATTGTGTCAGCTAGGTTGTGACTTTAACCCAGCTTTGTCACTGCATTACAACGCCCTGGCAGCACGACAAGGCGAGCCTGAGGCCGAGATGGCCATCAGTAAATGGTTCCTGTGTGGACACGAGGGAGTTTTTGAGAAGAATGACGAGCTCGCATTTACTTACGCCCAACGGGCTGCCCAGAGCGGTCTTCCCACCGCCGAATTCGCTCTTGGCTACTTCTACGAAGTTGGAATTTTTGTTCCTGTCGATATCAAAGAAGCCCGAAGCTGGTATGCTAAGGCTGCCAACAGTGGTAACAAGGATGCGTCCGGTCGAATCGACAGTATCTCTCGTTCCAAGACTCTTTCCAGGAAGGATCATGAAAAGGTTGCCATCTCACGTATCAAGTCCACTCGGTATGTGGCTCACCAACGGGGTAATTCTTTGGATCCTACCCCAGAAAATATCGAGATGCCCGACCCTTCACGAATCACTCTTTCCGACCAGCCTCCAGCTGCGGCTCCTTACCCTGATCGAGGTGCTCCTCGCCCTCGTCCATCGCCAGGTGGCAGCTACCAAATGCCTGATCCTCGGCCAAGCTCAGCATTTGGTGTCAATCCTAACCTGCGTACAAATGGACCGCCCGGTTACGCTGGAGGGCCTCCAGGTCCTAGCGTTCGGCATCCATCTTATGGCTCTGGACCTGCCCCCAGCCCAATGGGTTACCGCCAGCCCGGCCCAGGTACACCTGTCAGCGCTCCAGGAGGCCCAATGAGTCCACAGGGTAATATGATGAGTCCCAACGGCACACCTCGAGTCGATATCGGATATTCTGCACCAATTCCCCCGCCAGGGGACCGCAGACGTCCTCCACCTGCGCGACTTGATGGCATGCCTCCGGACCGAAAGCCGGTGCGCACCCCGGTCGGTGGTCATCCTGGACCTCTGCCATCGCCTCGTTCCGCAGCGTCTCCTCGCATGACCGGGTCTCCCTCCTCCGGCACCTTCCCTCCCCGTGCAGAGTCTCGTCAACCATCTCGGGGCTCAGCATCTTCTACTCCTCAGCCACCATCCAGTGCTTCCTCGGTCCAGAAACCCGCTGCTCCGCCGCAGCCCGCTAAGCCTGCCCAACCAGCACCAAGCAAGGGACCCAAGACCTTTGAGGAAATGGGTGTTCCCAGTGCCAAGAATGACAGTGATTGTGTATGTACCTCTACTATTTGTGATATTTATATGAAGCTAACCATTTTCTCAGTTGGTGATGTGATACCCCGAATGCCGTTCCCGACCTCATCCATGGATCTTGAATCGCGTTCATGCCCCCTGCATTCTCCTTTTTCCTATACTCTTTAATTTTGGATTCCCAACCCAAAAAAAGTCGCCGGTCGCCTTCCAGAAGGCGATACTCTCTTACCCTGATTCCGATTCAATTCCCACATACTTGCATTTACGCTCAGGATATCATGGTTGCCTGGGACCTTGGACATATGGTTGTTTGGCTGTTTTGATGTGTTTTTATCTCTAGATACGAAGCGTCATTCATTTACAAATTTACCCAACTGGATGTGTTCTGTCTGTTATAGGGGTAAGTGTAGCTATAGGTGTAGTTGTAGGTGTAGGTGTTGGCGAAGCCATATGTAATAAACTCCCCTCTCCCTCTTTACCACCATCCACCCATCACTTCTAGTGTCCTTTCATCTAGACCCTGCGTGTCCCAGATACAATATACCATTGCCATGGCTCCTCGCAAAAGCAAAAATGCTACAGACACAAAAATTGATGGTTAGCAGCTGCATGGTTCCTGGTAGTGGCAGTGAGCACTAACTTGGCCCAGATGCGACACTGGTTCTCAACTATCTCCGTAAGCCTTACGGTCTTTTGCGAGCTACATAATCAACCCTATCTGACATCAATCTGCAGAAGAACAGAAGTCAGATGCCCACAATTCGCCTTATCTCTTCCTCGTGACTATACTGACTTGGGACATTTCCAGTCGTCCGTATTCAGTATGTATTCCGAAACTCCTGGATATTCGAGGCGATTTCTAACCCGTATATGGCCAGGCCATTGAGGTGTCTGCAAATCTCCACAATCAGGTTTCGAAAGGTGAGGAAAGCGATCGATCGCTTCCACTCTATCTGGCAAGCTGACCAGATCATTGCCAATAAAGCACAAGCTGCCAAGGTCCTAAAAGAATTGCATCGGAAAAAGAAGATTGAAGAACGAACTGCAGGTGCGTTTTGAGTTACTGCAAGTGACTATGAATATTTATTGAAATGGTGGGATAATTTCAGGAAAACAAGTTGTCTACCACGCTATTCAGGATTCCTCGCAGAGCGTGACCCCAGAAGATATCGCCACACTCAATGAAAGTATCGAAAATCTTCAGAATGAACTGACTACCATCAAAACGGATGATAAAAAGGTCCGAGCTACATTGGCATCTTTTGAGGGCAAGCCGCTCCTCTCCGATCTTCGGCAGGATATCCAACGCCTGCAAGAGGAACGGGATACTCTCCAAGAACGCCTAGGAGACCAAGCCGCCAGCGATGAAGTCCATCTTTCTATGAAGGAACGAGAAAATCTCGAAAATGAATGGAAGGAATGGCAACGTCATGCTACCCTCCGCCGTCGTATGTGTCGAGATCTATGGGGGAGGTGCACCGAGGTCTTACCTGATAATATGACATTGTCAGAGCTTTGGGTAAGTCCCGCAGATGGGATCAGGGAACTGGGATCACCTGGTAACGGACTAAAATGGCTTGCAGGAGTCACTGGGGCTGGAAGGGTCTCTCCAATGAGACATCGTCGGGTATTGACGCTATGTTGGTGATCACTCCGTTCTCCACTCCAGTCACATCATTTGACAGTGATTTGCGGCTCGGCCTGAGCGGATCTCCCTGCTCCTGTGGTCTGTGGTCTGTGGTCCATTGCTTTCTCTGTTCTTCTCGTTTCAGTTGCGTGAGAGATTGACGTGGTTTCGACTTTGATTTCGTCGTCTTTTCGCCCTGGGTTCTGATCATTCTTAATAATAATTTCTTATCATCTCAAGGGGGATCATAAGGTATATGGTTATGATGAGAATATCATTCCGATCGGAAGATGGGGCTAGGAATAGGCAACCGGGAAGGCGAACCAAGATATTCAATCAGATGAACGGTATACATTACTTAAAGTTGTCAAGGTTCTCAAGAAGATTATGATAGAATTCAAGTCAGTAGATAAGGGAAACACAAGTACATAGTGAAATAAAGATGGAACTACCTAGGGGAGATCAATTCCCGTAAGATTCCCTGTCATCTGCCCTGAGAGTAGTCTGCTCATGACCCTTCTGTTTCAATGTAATTCAATAACTCACTTTTGTTTATCCTCTCTCACACTCTCTCTTCACTTCATCAGATATTCATCTTATTCATATGATCATTCTATCATCAACCTTGACCTTGACCTTATGGTAATCTTACTTCATAGATTCCCGGATCTTCCTTACACCGCCCGCCTCCGGTTCCTCTTCCCCTCTCTCTTCTCCGATAAACCCCTCCAACTCCACATCTAACCCTGGCGATGCTCTCGGCCTCTCGCCCTCCTTCTTCTCGTTCCAATCGTTCCGATATGAGAGGTCGTGCACCACTGCCGGTCCCCTCGGGGCTCCAAAATGGCCACTCCCGCAATCCCTCAAGTCTCGATATGGCTCGCAGCCCACCCAACCCGAGCAACAAAAGTATGAGTCCTTGATCTTGGTACTATGATGGGTTTCCGAAGCTGATTATGCATCTCCGGTTGTGTTACAGATACCAAACATGTTCCCTGCAAATTTTTTCGTCAGGGTGCCTGTCAAGCTGGCCCCGCTTGTCCATTCCTGCACTCGACCGATGCTGCGGTTGACTACGCCCCCTGCAAATACTTCTCCAAAGTAAGGACCCAATTTTAGTCTCTATTCAAACATCTGCAATGGCGTTTGCCTTTGATTCCCACGATGATGAGCGATTGCTGACGGCTTTTCTTCCCTGCCTTTAGGGTAACTGCAAGTTCGGCGCTAAATGCGCACTAGCACATATCCTTCCCGATGGACGCAGAGTGAATCGACCAACTGGGGGTGGTGGTGGCGGTGGAGGCATGGGAGTTGGAGGCAGCCACCTGAACTTAGGTGGCCGTGTTAATCCGCAGGCATATGTGAACCAGGACTCCGCCTTGACGAACTCCGTTCTTTCGCAGCAGCGTATGAACGGCCATGAACCGCGATATGCTCCCCAACCAGAAGATTTCCCCACCGTACATGGATCACAGCAAGTTCCTCCCTACGATTCCATTCCAACAATCGATGCGGGACTGGCCTCCGATACCGGTTCGAAGTACGGCTCTCCAGTAGAGGATGTGCGCTTCCCCATGTCACCAAATCACCAACATCTCACAGCTCTGGATGCGCCTCTTCCAGCTTCATTCGATAGTCAGGGTATCTCTCATGCCGCTCGTTATGGTCCGGTGGCTGCCTCGATGCCCTCTAAATTTGGCCTGGAGCTGTCTTCTCCCCCGCCCAGAGACCCGGTCCCTCCGATGCATTCCGGAACTTGCGTGATATTGGTTTTAGCTCCGAGCTGCGCAAGCCATCATCTCACATTGGATCGTCTCCTCCTGCGCCAGAGGATACTTTCGGCCCCAGATTCTTACACTCATCTCGCCCCGTCAAGTCCCGCATGCTGTCGGCTAGCGTGCCCCGGCCTACCGCTCTCGATGATTGGGATGAGAATTTCCCTATGGAGGAGGATTACTTGCCAACGAGCCTGCACGACGATGTTCTTACTCCTCAGGAAAAGTTGCGTCGTCTTTCTCGCACAGATCATGACATCAGCACTAGCCATCGCGATATCAGTGGCCTCGGTATGAGCAGCAGCTTCTCCAAGAATGGCTCGCCTCTCGCGTCAAGCCCCTCGCGCTTTGGTGCTCTATTTGCTAAGCAACGCCAGAAGAAGGATGACGATGCTGTCGGCTCTTCTTTCCCTCATATTGGCTCCCCTCTGCGTGAATCCGCGTTCAACTCCGTAACCAGCCCCAGTCTCGGTCCTATCGGTAGCCGATCCTCCCACGATGGCTCTCCATTTTTCTCTAGCCCTGGAAGACAATCATCTATGTCCATGATCTCCGAACAGCTCAGTGGCATTTCTCTTCACCCAGGCTCTGCCCGACACTTGGCAGCTCCTGGACGGCTGGACCGCACCATGTCTTCGGGTACTACCAGTAAGATCGAAGAGGAGGAGGAAAACAACGACCTGGTCTTCTCTATGGAAGAAGAAGAGGGTAACAAGCGCAGCGGCTCATCCTGGAACTCTGAAGAGACCAAGGAAAGTTCCACCGACGCCTAATTTGCTTACATATTACCTATGTACTACGATCACGACGACACGGACAGGCGGCGTCCAAAGTTTTTTTCTTCTTTTTTTCTCTTTCTCTTTTTTTCTCGACATGTTCATATCAAAAAGAATTCATCGGAGTTTCACCCGGGCACAAAACAGCATCATGGAGCGCCAACAATAACCGCGAAAACCGGTCAAAAAAATGAAGAAGAACAGAAACAATCAAAAAGTAATCAAGATTTACGACCTTGGATTTCGAATTTCGAAAAAAAAACTACCATCTCTCTCTTTCCATCATCCATGAAGTCATTTAGGTTACATTTTCCCTTCATCGGCATAGATCCGACGAAGCTTCCAAGCATCTTCGACAGATCCTCTCTTCTCATAGACTGACCATTTGCCATGTTCTCACCATGTTCCTTTTCCTGTCATCGATTTTGATTCCCTCTCTGGTCCAAGTTCGGTGCAGTTTATGTTTACTATGTTTGCGGTTGCGATCTCAGTTTTCGATTCCTGTTCAGGATTCATTTCTCTCTGCCTCAATCATTTAGACCTCGCATCCTCTTTTCTCCCCGAGACGGGCGCTTCCTGACCATCTCCTGTATTAATCTCTTTGTTCTGTGTCATCTTATCGTCTAAGGATTTAACCTGAGTGGCATTGTGTCCCCCAATTGATTTGAGTACTCTTATGAGTCAGGACTGGTTTCCGGTGTTTCCGGTTCTCGTTGTTCTTTTTCTTGTTCTTCTTTCGATGTATAAATGGGAGAAGATGTGCAAATAAAGCATTTACTACTAAGACTACGACTATGATTTGAGTCAGACTACTAGTACATCGTAGACTCGGAGTAGATGTAGATGGAGATACACTGGAGATGTGTATAAAATTACCAGGACTGAGGAATCAGGCCAGGGAAAAGATATCGGTTAATTGTCTGATTCACCCTATTCATACTATACTAAATCACTCAAGTGCTTGTAACGCCCCTTATCCTCTAATACCGAGAAACAACGCCCAACCCAGGAAAAAGGAAAGATATAGCAGAACTAAACGGGACATTAAAATAGAACAAATGACTCAAACTTAAATTCCATTCTTGATTCACATATTTCCATACATGGCACTGCCAGGAAGAGATTGTGCCTGAATCTGATCACTTTGCTGTTGAGCTGCACGCTCAACTAGGAGCCTCCTCTCCTGAGATTGTAAATCTGCCGCTTGCGCACTAGCCGCCTCATCACCGTAGAGTATCTTGTAAAGTTCCTCAGTACCAGAAGCTACTTGCTCTGCTAGAGCCTTAATAGCCCTTGGAGCTAAAGCGGCGATCCTGGTAGCAAGTTCCTTTTCTTCCTCGATACGGAGACGCTTCACTTCATCGGCTCGTTGCTTCTCTTCCTCTTCTCGCTTGCGTTTCCGCTCAGCAACTTGCTTTTGGCGTTCGCTCTGTTTGGCGAGATACTCGAGTGAGTGCTTGAGCTTTGGATCCCGAGGTCGGATGATGTCCATTGGTGGAGTAGAGAACCAGATTACATGGCCTCGATCGTCACACTGGAACTTTTGTCGAACGTCTAGTGGGATTGCTGAGTTCGCGGCGTCGCTTAGATGGAAAACTTCCACTGAGCGAGGTGCATTGGGGTTGTAGGCTGGTGCTGCGGCACGGTTCAGGGGGTAAGGTGCTGCGGCGGCGGCGGCGGCGGCGGCTGCTGCTACATATGGTGTTGGCTGCTGGGATGCACTGTATGGGCGCGCTGCTGGTGATGCTTGATAGGCACTGGTTGGAGTCTGAGGTACAAAGTTACTTGGGCGCCGGTGATTGGGGCCTTGGTACATCTGAGGGTTCATGGGTGCTTGGAATGCTGATGGCAGAACAGGAACCGGCGATGTGTGAGCCACTGTAGGTGTGGGTATGGGTGCTTGGAGCGGAGCTGCGACGGGGTGGTTGGGAACACCCATGCCCGTGTTCATAAGAGGTTGAGACATTGGTTGACGAGGTGTAACGGATGCCATGGGAGCTGAGGGCATGGTGGGTGGGGGCGGAGATGGGGTTGGCTCTGGTGGTGGTGATTCATTCTCATCACGAGGGCGACGATGCACAGCACCGACTACTGGCGGCGCATTGTCTGCTCCCCAGGTTGGTCGGGGGAGATCATCCGTCTCCTTGGCGTCCTCTTTCAAAAGGTGCTTGATAGGGCTGGGAACCTTTTTGATTTTTCGAGACACATCGAAAAGGTCCATTTCATAGTCCTTGTCGCGTACCTCGTCTGGTAAACAGCTGGCCCAGGTCTTGATCTTGTTGAGTTTGTGCTTCTCCTCATTGTACCGAGCTTCACAAACGTAGATCTCCTTGTCGGGGGCCAAGTCCCGTGGACGTCCTCGGCTGTAACGAGTGAAGAACATCACAAAGCACCGGTCAACAATCTCATCGATGCGATGGTCTCGGTATTGACCAGTCTTCACCACTTCATTAGGATAGAAGTGCTTCTCGAAATGGTGAACTGTCTGTTCGGGACGATAATACCAGCAAGCGTTGATCCACTGTTCATTCTCAGAATCTTGCCATGTCCGATAAATCTGAGCCACAATAGGCTTGGTCACATCGTTGGGGTTTTGGATGTGGACCCAATCTCCGACCTTCCAGAGTTCGCCTCGGTGCAAGATACCATTCGGCAGGGGGAACCGCCCGTCTTCCATCAAGTACTCGCTGTCTGGCTTCTTCTTCTCCTGCTCGGCCAACTTTCGAGCCTCGACTTGTAAATCAGAGGCATCTCGGTAGATCTGACTATCGGATTGATTGTAGGACTTGGCATTCTCGAACATGAGGTCCAGATCCTCCATAAAGTGATCCACAGAGTTGTACTTCTTGCGCTTAGCCTTACGCTTGATGAGGTCGACCGCAATCGGATCCTTCGTCTCCATATAATAATCCGGGTAAGAAGCTTTGTCTGGGAGACGTTCGAAGTGACTGATTTTCAAATGGCCACCAGGGCCCTTGAATTTCCGAATGCCCTTCAAGATGGTCTTGATTCGAGTTTCCATGGGGGTATCGACACGCGGGGGTCGTCCTCGCTTCTTACGGGCGTCTGGTTCCTGTTTTTGAGCATCCTTCAAACCACGCTTGAAGCCAGGCTTTGGACCAGGCTTCTTTCGGCGGCGTCCTTCGTCCTCGGAGTCTTCTTCGTCGTCCTCTTCCTCATCTTCATCCTCCTCATCATCATCAGGTAGCGGGTCTGCTTCTGGGATCTCTCCCAGATCGGGGAATTCAGACTCTCCGGTACTGATCACACCAATTTCCACGAGCTTATTGATCTGATCACGGAAAACGTCCTGGACACAAAAACAAGGTCAGTCACGGGTCTGTGAGACTTTGGTGCGCTTGCAAAGCAGCCAATTCCATTTCTACCTTTATCACGAGCGCATCCTCGTAGGCTTGCGATCTAGGTCTATTGTAGGTTTGCGCATTGTGGGGGATCTAAGAAGTTGGGAGCGAAATGTTAGCCTTTCAGCTTGAAAGCAGAGGATAATGTTCACATACCAAAGCGCAATCGCGCACAAATTCACCAAAGTGCTTGTACTCGCGCTTATTGATTCTTTGCTTGAGAATACTCAGAGCCATAGGATCCTTGATAATATCGTAGTAGTCTGGGACAAGGCGTTTGTTGACACTTCGGTGGAAAAGTCGGGAGGGGTCATGACCACTATCGCGCAATCAGTGAATGAAACTGCAGAAGACACAGTTCCAGATACAATCATGGCTACTTACTCTGGCTCACGGTAATCGTAGATCGCCATAGTCACATCCATCATAGCTTTCCATTGGCCCTCACTAATGGAGCTATCTTCCTCAATGGAGGTCACAGGCTCCTCAGGCTGAGGCTGTGACTGCTCTCTCTCCTCTGGATCCATGGTGTTTCACAATAATTTCACAAAAGTTCAAAAAAGTGGAATCATGAAATCCAGAGATAAGCTGGTGTCGTTCAAGGGAGAAAGTCCTGGCGCCAGGTTAAACTTACGCGACGATGAGTAATCATGTGCTATTACGATACCAATACTGTTGTATTGTGATTTGGTGCCTGAACAAACAGGCTTTAATTGCTCAGAACCAGACCATTAACCATCTAAACAGCATACATTCACCAATATTAAATGTTGAGATGAGATTTCACTCCTTGAATTCCTCTTATGGTCTATGTATATGACCCGAGGTAGTTCATATTTTGTATGTGAGTAACGGCCATACGCGAAGTGGGGAGATTCTACAACTCAAGATCATCTCTAGAAGATAACACAGACAGACCTTCAGGGCTTCATTTACTCCAAACTTGCAGATCAAAGATTATGAGATCACTTCAAATATCTATTACTATACCTAGGTATATATATAGTAGCTCAGTACTAAGCTAGACTGGAACAAATGCATGATGACAAAGGAACTTCCTCCTTCTCCCATCTCTTTCTACTTCTTCTTTTACCCCACACCGCGACCCAGGAAATCGTCATCCCCTCACTGGTGCGGGACCCCTTTCGTTCTGAACTTTGTTAGATATCTTTTCCGTACCAAACCCTCCAACTTCTCTTCATTCATACCATGCGCATGCGAGTGCGAGGTCCTTCGGGACAGTCAACAGTGACATTGGATGAGACCGCCACCGTGCAAGATCTTAGGACACAGATCGCAGAGAGCACTGGTCTAATCTCTTTCGACGTGAAATATGGATACCCAAATCTCAAACCGCTAGCCTTAGACCAATTTGAGTCACACCAGAAGATTGTCGATCTCGGAGTCAACTTGAACGGCGAACAGCTGATTGTTGCCCAAAGAGAAGGAGCTATCCAGCCAAACGTTCAGCCCAAAGAACCGGCTCGTGCCACTCAACAGTCGTGGCAACAACCCTCAACAGCCTCAACAGCCTCAACATCCCGAAAATCAGAGCCATCTCCTGATGATCCACCAGAAATTGCCTCACCTGAACATAATGGCACATTCGTACTTCGTGTTATGCCTGACGACAACTCATGTCTCTTCCGTGCTGTCGGCGCCGCAGTGATGGGTGAAATGGATACAATGGTTGAGTTGCGGTCGATTGTCGCGGGATCTATCCAGTCAAATCCAGAAGAATATTCTACAGCTATATTGGGCAAGAAGCCAGACGAGTATTGTCGATGGATTCAGAACGAAGACTCATGGGGTGGCGCGATCGAACTTAAGATCCTGAGCGAATACTTCAATATCGAAATTTGTTCTATCGATGTACAAACACTGCACATGTTCCAGTTCAACGAAGGTGCACCGAATCGTTGCATTGTTGTTTATTCGGGCATTCATTATGATGTTTTGGCCCTCTCCCCATCTAATCCGTTTTACGCTGGCGCCAACCCACTCCCACATGACGACATCAAGACTTTCGATGCAGTTGACCCCGTTGTGTTGGAAAAGGCAAGAGAGCTTTGCCAGGTCCTGCAAAGCAGACATTACTACACTGATACCGCAGGCTTCTCGGTACGCTGCAATACATGTGGAGGTACTTTTACCGGTGAAAAGGGAGCAACAAAGCATGCTGCTGAGACTGGGCACTATGACTTTGGGGAAGCCAGCTAGGCCTAGATCAGTTACTTTACATTCTTATGGTTTTGTATTTGCAGTTATGCTGCCTTTTATCTATCATGTCAAGTGAGCGCAGTAACTCTAGAAGGCTCAGAAATCCCTTCCCTGACCCTTCCCTGAACTATACTACTGGGGCACGTGTACAAATTTATCTTTCACTATATAGACTAGACTTCCTTTACTACCTACTACATACCTGGGTGCTGGAGGTTTTTTTGACCGCCCAGCATTATTCCACCTGGGCAGTTGATCTTTTCGTGATATAGGGCGTCCGAGTCCATCATGATTTAACAGAACTTCATAGCCAGGTATATAATTTTCCAATTTTCTGGCTACATATAACACCGCGCGAAGCGTGGTGCTAGAACTTGTGTACATATTACTAAGCGGAGATAGATTATTTCTGATAGTTTGATTGTTGAGGAAATTCATGTAAAGAATCCGATGTATCATAACAAAACTCAATCATATATCGTACAAATTTCCATATGGGTTTCACAGCATAGCAACTTCATCATCATCAGCTTCATCTTCTGCCGCCTCATCTTCCTCGGCCGAGTCTCCGCTCTCCTCTGGGTTACCTCCCCACTCCACATCATGATGCACGGGATTGGTGAAAAAGTCATGCTGCAAAGCCTCTTCAGCACTAAGTCGCTTTGATGGATCCAATTCCATCAAGCCCCCAAGTAGGCGTGTTGCTTGCTGTTCACTTTCCGTCAAGTCTTCCACACAGCTGGACCATTTCACCAACTTCTCCCAACTGTAGCCCTTTTCACCAACCGTGGGAAGATTAGATTCGAAGATCTGCCCATGCATCGCTGCAACAGTCTTCATTCGTCGCGTACCAAAGATGCTAGACATCTCAATCATAGCATCAATATCATCTGCAGAATTGAAGAAGGGGAATCGACGACCAAGCAAGGTCAAAAGAATGACACCAACAGACCACATGTCAATTTTTGTTGTTTGAGAAGTGCACTTGAACAATACTTCAGGAGCACGGAATCCTCGTGTACCGGCTCTGTTTGCACGCCTTGATGGCCGTGAGTCACTTTTGGGGTATCCGGCGGAAACTCCTCCTGATGGTGGGTTCTTAGAATAGTAGCTGGAAAGTATTCGGCTTCGGCGAACATATGATTGATGGGTGCAAAGACATGTACCATGAAACTCAGTTCCCTGGCGCTATTGAAAGAAAACATTTGAAGTTAGTGCTGGGTTGATTGGATATAGTTTGAATGGTTATTACAAACCTCTGCAAGACCGAAGTCTACTAAAACACCTTCCTTGAGCTCGGGGTTGTAAAGGAAATTACTATACACGAATGTCAGTATCGGCTTTCGTACCAGCAAAAAGAAAGTGGTAGAGGGATATATACGTTGGTTTAATATCACGGTGGAGGATATCGTGGTCGTGAACTGAAAGCAGGGCAGTCAAAAGAGATCGTAAGTAATGGCGCATGTCTGCCACTAAGAACGTGCGATATTGAATTCGAAAATCGGTATGCGGGAAGTATGGAAGCACGGCCACAACTTGATCTTGGAATCGAAATGCTGTGATGAGAGGACACACGGATCGACAGTGTCGCAGATCATGTAGCAGCTCCAGCTCGTTCTGGATTCGGATTGGACTACTGGTGACATAGATCTTCTTCAATGCCACATATCGAACTTTTTTCCGCCCATTCGCTCCCTCGACTCGGCGTCGTTTGGTGGGAGGACTAGTCCATGATTCTTGTTCTCGTTGTCCAAAAACATCCCAATCGTTTTCGTAGTGATCGTAAAGTAGGTCCTCTGCCTTGTAGACTGTTGAAAAAGTGCCTAGTAAATTGCCCACGTTAGCGTGTATATGATACAAGTTCACGGAGTACATGAAGTACCTTCTCCAATTCGATTGACGAGTCGAAATCGTTCTGAGATACCAGGGAAGCTGTTTTCAAGTTTGGTCATGTCTTCTCGAACGAGTTCGTCAACCTCTTCTTCCTCGTCCTCTTCTTCGTCCTCGTAATCACCATCACCTCCAGGTGCTTCATGACTTAAAGCCTTCTCTTCATTATCTGATGCTTCATCTGACGGATCTTGTGACGCGTATCTAAAGCCGTTGTTGTGTTCGAGAGAGAAGACTGGTGGAGCTGGATATGTACCTGGACCACCTTGAAGAGCCGCCATGGTCCAAGCTTAGGCAAGTGGGAATGATAAGGTAAGAAAGATGGGAAGTAGACTTAGAATGAAGTACAATCAAAGAGTTTGTAGTATGAAAAAGCCTATTGGATGAGTGAGAAAATGAGGAGAAGATGGGGGGGGGGGCGATTTTCAGTTGCTTAAGGCTTGAGGCGCATTATTATGTGTAATATGGAACGGGTTGTTTTTCTCCGAAAAGAACGGCAGTTACGCGATAAGACAAGGCGGTAATATTACAGGCGGTGAATTCTCACAACATCTAATTGGCCGATCCCCTCATGCATGAACTAAAAGAGTAAAAGCCAAACAAGCCAAACACGGACATCATCAACACAGTGTTTGTTTCCCCTCTCCTCCCACTTCTTACAGTTCCTCCACCCATAAACAAATACATTCAGTGGGCAACCACCATGGAGGACAGAATACAGTTCGATATCAATGAGTCGCTCAAGTACTACTTGAGCGATCCTGCTACTCTTCCAACACCCGACGCCGACCCAGAGCTGCTTGACTGCGAATCCGGTCCCGATCAATTATCGCCAGCTTTGATCGACAATGTTTTGAACCCAATCGTGGATGCGGTGGCGGAGAACCCAGAAGGATTAACAAGAGCTTCGTTTTTTGATACCCTCCAGTTTCTATTAAAGTACGCTCCGATCCCTTCCCAAATTTCCCATGGAGGCTCTTTTTGCCCGCCAGGAATCGACTCTGAACTTTTGAACCCTTGCAGATATACTAGCCTCCTCCCCGCGAAATCCCTCAGCAAAGTCCTCGATCTGATTGTTTCTGGATTATCCGTCGAAGCGGATATTATTTACGGTGATCTGGAATCCGACGAACAAGATGCGATCCAACAACACAAACAACTTTTGGAAATGTACGGTTTCTTGCTCCAGTGGGCCTTGTCTGCTGTGGAAGTCAAGGCTGCGGAAAAGCCTGCAGAACCTGCGCCTGCGCGACGAGGAGGTCCGAAATCCAAATCCAAGTCGGCCAAGGATGGACAATGGGATTGGACACCACAGATCCAGATCTCCATGGAGACAATGTGCAAGGTGATGAAACTGAAATTAGGACGCATTTTCATGACTACCTCGGATCGCGATACTTTTATTAACCTATTTACCCGCACGATCTATCTGGTACTGGAGAGCGAGCAAAGAGTTAAGAGCATGGCAATTCGCATGCATGCTTTCAAGGTTTTGTGTATTGCGGTGAAGCACCATGGTCACGCATTTGGTATATCACATCACATCGAGACGGGAACTGTGTATGCGACTGAAGCTAACCAGTCTGACAGGAGCGCAAACTTCGATTGTCCAGAGCTTGACATATTTCGAGCATCTATCAGAGCCCATGGCCGAGTTCCTCCACATCCTCGCAGAGCAATACGACTACCCCCAACTTTCAGATGAGATCCTAAAGTAATTGACGGCCCCGAGGACTCCGGGATTGAATGATTGTCAGCGAGAGACCTTGTGCTGATTTGAAATAGGGAACTTGGAAACAAGGAATTCAATTCAAACGATACTCGTGGACCGAAATCCGTCTCTGCATTCATCATCAAATTGTCCGAGCTTGCTCCCAGGTTAATCATCAAGCAGATGACTCTCTTAGCAAAGCAGCTTGATAGCGAGGTAACTATCTCAATGATTTTCTTCGGCCCAACCTCGAACTAACAATGGAACAAGGCCTACACGTTGCGATGCGCCGTCATCGAGGTCTGCGGCAACCTCATCTCCGATTTGAGCCGACAAGAAGAACCCAGCGAAAACTACAAAACGCAAATTAACGCCTTTTTCGACGTCCTCGAGGAGCGATTTTTGGATATCAACCCCTACTGCCGTTGCAGGGCCATTCAAGTCTTTATGCGAATCTGTGACTTGGAACAGAAGTTCCCGAAGAGACGCCAGCGCGCAGCTGAGTTGGCTGCACGAAGTCTGGAGGATAAAAGTAGCAATGTACGACGTAACGCGATCAAGCTATTGTCGAAACTTGTGGCCACCCATCCATATAGTGTGATGCACGGTGGCCAGCTCTCCCTTAATGAATGGAATGAGCGCTTGAGCGGAGTGGATGTGGAACTCAACGCCCTTCGACCCCCAGAGACACCAGGTTTTGATGCAGATGCTACCCAGGGCGTTGACCCAGACTTGTTGGATGATGCGACTCAATTGCCGGATGAATCACCCTCGAAAGCTCCTCGCATGACAGAAGAAGAGAAAGAGATCGCCGTGCGAAAAGCTGCCGAGCAAGCCGCAACATCTGAACTTTTGACTCGCTTGCAATTGACGAGGAAATACTACAACGAAGCCTTACGCTTCATCGAGGTCCTCCATGCTGGAGCTCCAATCGTCACGCAGCTCCTCTCATCTCGAAACAAGAGTGAGGTCATCGAAGCCATGGACTTTTTCGTCGTTCTCGATGCATACAAGGTTCAAACAGCTCGCGACGGCATTCGCCGTATGCTCCGTTTAATCTGGACCAAGGGTAACAGTGACGAGGGCAAGGGTGTGCAGACCCATTTGATTGACTGCTACAAGGGACTCTTCTTTGATGCTCCAGACTCGTTCAGCCCCAATGATGCCGCAAACTATATTGCGCGCAACATGATCAGTTTGACCTTCGGGTCTACGCCGGCAGAACTCACCTGTCTTGAGCAGCTATTGAGCACCATGATGAAGCTTGGGCACATTTCAGAGACAGTCGTTACCAAACTATGGCAGGTATACAGCGTGCAGAAGAAAGAGATTTCCAAAACCCAGCGCCGCGGTTCAATCATCGTTCTGGGTATGCTCGCACTTGCTGATCCTGAGGTCGTCGTGAAGGAGATTGAAGCGATGCTGCGCATTGGTCTGGGCAGCTTGGGTAGAGCAGACCTTGTGCTTGCTAAGTACACTTGCATTGCACTACGCCGTATGGTGCCTGGACGCCAAGCAAAGTCTAAAGATACTCCTAGCGTTCCCAAGCTTACCAATGACCACGCAGTCTTGACCAAACTTTCTGCCATGCTTGAGATTGTCTCCAACAGCAAGGAGTGGTATGGTGTTGCAGAGCAAGCCATCAGCGCGATCTACACTCTTTCGAAGCATCCAGATGTTCTCTGTTCTGATATCCTGCGAAGAAAGACCCTATTTGTCTTTCAGCCTCACCTACGACGTCCCTCTTCCTCACAAACTCCTGTTGTTGAGGACGAAGAGCAAAGGCCTGGCACCGCATCAACTGACGGACAAGGCTCGAAGCCTAAGCCTGCTTCTGCAGCTCTATCACAACTGTTGTATGTTGTTGGTCACATTGCGATCAAGCAGATTGTGCATCTTGAGCTGTGCGAACTTGACTTCAAGCGCCGCAAAGCTGAACAAGAGAAAACTAAAACAGCCGAAGCTGCTGCCCAAAAGGAGGCGGAAGGAGCTGACGCAGATGAGCTTGACCTCATTGGAGGTACCACAGAGGATGACTTCCAGGACGCCATGGCTCATATCCGAGAGCGTGAGCTTCTCTATGGAGAAAACTCCCTGCTTGCCAAGTTTGGCCCCATGGTAGCTGAGATTTGTGCAAACAACAACGCATACCCAGATATGGATCTGCAGGCCTCAGCAACATTATGTCTCGCCAAGCTCATGTGTGTCTCTGCCGAGTATTGTGAGAAGAATCTGCCGCTCCTGATCACAATCATGGAACGCTCTGAAGACCCCATCGTGCGCAGCAATGCTGTCATTGCACTTGGTGATATGGCCGTCTGCTTTAATCACCTTATCGACGAAAACACTGACTTTTTGTACCGTCGTCTGAATGATGACGATGCCTCAGTCAAGCGTACTTGTCTCATGACTCTCACCTTCCTTATTCTGGCAGGTCAAGTTAAGGTTAAGGGTCAACTCGGTGAGATGGCTAAGTGTCTGGAAGATGACGATAAGAAGATCGCCGACCTGGCTCGTATGTTCTTCACTGAACTTGCCACTAAGGATAATGCCGTGTACAACCACTTTGTCGACATGTTCAGTCTGCTGAGTGCGGAACGCAATCTGGAAGAGACTTCTTTGCGCCGTATTGTCAAGTTCCTCATTGGATTTGTGGAAAAGGTAAGCCCCCAGCCCTCGATTGTATTTCAGATGTCCCTTATACTAATACTGTGTCTTAGGAAAAACACGCTCGCCAGCTTGCTGAAAAACTTGCTGCCCGTCTACCTCGCTGTGAAACAGAGCGACAATGGAATGATGTCGCCTATGCCTTGTCTTTACTTCCTCATAAAAATGAGGAGATCACTAAGACTGTTACGGCTGGTTTCACCAAGGTTGCCTCTGCGACCGCTTAATTCCATTCGAGTGAACTGGTTCCTTTCCACCTCTATGCTTGAATGTTTGATGACTGTACTTATTTTTGTTGTGATATCTATGTCAAGGTCGGATTTGGGGTGTTATGGATGACGGTGTTGGTGGCCGGTGATCGATTAAGGCTTGTCATGATTAGATGTTTCTTTGACAGTGAACCTGGGAAGGTTCTGAATAATATTTCAGTTTCTATTCCATCTTGATATTAAATACTACGTAATATGCTCTAGATTGCGTGCGAAATCAAATCTATGTATATCCATTCTGATCGCGTGGAGAACATATGTGAGTGTTGCTCGCCAAACAAGACAAGAAAAGAAGCATCATTCGCCTGCAAGTGACTATCCACAAGAAATAAGGAAAGATACAATCCTCCTAAAAGAAAAACGAAGATTCTAAATATGCGAGAAGGTAGGTAGGAGGTGATTAAACGACGGGGACAGAATGGTACAGCCAGTGACCCCCAGAAAAATCGACAAGGAGATATACGCCGAGTAGTAATGGTCGCATGCCAGATACGCCACGACTTCTGTGTTAAAACCAAACAAAGGCACTCTTCAGAACATTAGAGAATCTATGCACCCTTTATGGTACTTTCCTCTAGCGCATATTTCCCATCTCGAATACCCTGCAAGACCTTCTGACCTTCCTCGGTCAGCTCAGGCTTGCCCAGTGGGGTCACTGCACCGGTAAAAAAGCGTGGTTGCCACTCCATATCTTGCTCCTTGCGCTCTGCTGCTCGTTGTCGTTGACGTTCTTCGATCTCTTGTTTCAGTTTCGTTGCCTGGGTGAACTGTTTGCCGACAATGGCATCGGTGACCTCGCCCCAGAACTTCAGAGACTCGTTAGAAAGTTGCTCCTCGTCCGGGGGCAGGTCCTTCGTAGCAGGGAAGAGAGGCTCAATATCAAGGAGCAAAATGGGCTCTTTGGCACCCGCTGGAGTGTAGAATATCTTGCCGTGCCAGGACCCGCTGATTCGGGCAATGACATCGGTTTCTGCCACATCCTTCAACTTTGTAATCGTATCCTTCTCAGGGTTGTACCGGAACACCACTCCCTCTAGCCGGTTCTGTGAGCGACCAATCCAGCCTTCCTCAAGATATTGCAAGATGGCTTTCATGCCAGTCTTGGGACAAGTGATATAACATGCGTCCGATACTGTGATCGCCAGGGCACCTCGTAGCAATCCGCCCAGGTGTGCATGGGGATGTGTCAATTGGTACTCCTCGTTGTCCCTTTTCTCGATATTGACAAAGATACCCAGGTTGTGCTGTCCAGGGCTGACACGAATACTGGTTCCGGTGAACTTGGCACTGAGCTGGTCGAATCCTCGCGCCGAAACACCTCGTTCGGGGCAATCGATGTAGAATGCCGAAACCGGTGGGTGATGAGAGGTCTGCTCGGTCAAATAGCACACCTTGACTTTCTCGTTACCAGCTTCGACGATAGTTCCGTTCCCATTTACGTTGACTCCCGGGAGATTAGCTTCCTGTGGAGCAATGCTGTCCACATCCCAGCTGCACTAATACCCCTCCATTGTTAGCCTATCCTTTCTTCCTCCGCCACCGCATTGACTAGCTGGTCTCTTCCGATTCGCACTTACTCGGAAAAATTCTCCCAAGGTTGAGTTATATGGCTTGCATGGTTTTCCTTTGATATATTTCTGTTGAATCATTCAGCACAATTCCTTGTGTTCATCATTGCCGTAAGTCGAGAAGTACCAGGTCCTTCGTAAACCAGAACTTCAACACCTCGAGCATCCGACCCAATTCATCGTCCGATGTGCCAATACTGGTGGATTTTTTAGTGAAACATGCATGATATTAGTCGGGGTATGAAGGCTCACGTCGCAAAAGTCTCTGGTCGGTCAAGGTAGTTCCAGTATTCTGAACCCCGCGTCAGTTCCTTATGCCAATGTCACACACAGTAAGAGAGAGGCTGTGCCCCCTGGACACCATCCCGTGAACCTACCCAGATTCGGTCGCGGCTCCAAAAGTTGGGCTGGTAACGAGAAACGGACCGAGGCAATATCTGTCACACCCACAAATCTGGGTAACCGTTGTAATTAGTATATACAGTTCGTTCCAAGAATGAAGTCTTGCTTGTTTTCATTTTTCCTTGACCGGAATTTTCTTCCGTTCGCGAGAGGATAGTTTCCGATCTGATTATATGCTTTGAACGTACTTTCGCAGGATAGAGAGGAAGGTCTTCAACTTGGACGACTCATCGGGGGTCTTCTCGGGCACGGCGACGGATGACATGGTGCGGAGTGGCGATTTCCAGTGTTGGTGCTCTAAAAGAATGTAGTAAGTGTCGAAGGAGAGCTAATATTGAGCGGGCAACAGGCCCTAGCAAAGTCGAATAACCGAAAATAACTCAAGAACAAGTACTGTAGTAGACAAAAAAGAAGGTAATCAAAGAAGAGGAGCTTCTATCACAGAACAGGGAAACTGTGACTTAGATTGGGGAAAGGCGGTGACGCAGTAACCTTTTTTTGCCCGCCCGCAGTGGGGCGAAAATATACACTATCAATACGATAATTATTAATACTTGACCGTGGACCCTACCATTCTAAGAGCGATGTGAAATGGACACCCGAAAAATACTAAATGGATACACTCTACCTGATTGGGTTTAGCCTATACATCTCCCTTACAGTACACGTATCACCGCCCGGTGTATATGTAGCAGCTAGGCCGGCACGTTATATGTTAAATGTACCTTTACCTTCCTCTAGCAGAGCCTGATTATCTACCCCCTTAGGTAGGTTTATAAGTAAATACATGGGTACCTACCTCAGTACCTACTACTGCACTTGTCCGTGTAGGCAGTAGCTGTGGAAATCTCTCTCATGGTCACAGTGCTCTTGAATGGAACGTACATTGTGTAGGTACCTAGGTACCTAGCTGATTCATTAGGGGCCTTGACACATGCTCAGTGTATGAAAATATACAGGCTAAGCCTAATTTGTCAAAGGGTGTCCATTTAACAAGGCCTATCTAGACACCCGTTGAAGTCATGTTAGAGCTTATCATTTGATTCTTGTATGTTTCGTATTGTTATATTACATGGCATTACCCAGTGTACCCCATGTCCCCGTTTGGAAGAAGGTGTGGGCCAATCAGTACGCCACGAGGGTCCAGATCTAGTCCTTCATTTGCCTTGCAACAGTTCACTTAACAACTGTTTGCGGGCAAGAAAGCGCAGCCACGTACGAACTGCTGGTCCATAGTCATACCGGCGTCCGGTAGCGTGATCTTCGTCCATTCGTTGAGACTGTTGCTCCTCTCGGATACGAAGACAGAGTTCCCGTTGAGCTTTATGGAGCTCTTGCTCCCACTGTTGAAGCTCTGAAGAGTGTGTGGGGATGGTCTCGGACACAATGGCCGAGTCAATAGCTGCACGAGTCAATCCATATGCGGGGTCAGGACCAAGTACAAGGCCTCGGGGCTCCGACGTGCTCTCGGTAGAATTCGGATCCCTGCCGTTTATCTGGGCATGCGACATTTCCAGGCCACGTACGTTGACTGCTAGTTGCTGAATCAGATCAGGAAGGGGGTCTCGGACTACCCCTAAAATAGAGAACTCGATCTGGCCTTCTTCGTAGGCTGCCATTCGGTCAACAAGATTAGGACGAGCCAGCTCTAACCAGTCATCTTCGGAGCATTTCCCTAACAGATATAGTTAGTATCAGGAAAACGTCAACTTTCATAGGAGCCTGACTAACCTAATGCTTGGGGCTGCCGTTCGAGCCCATCAAATTTCCATAACTGTCCCATGGCCGGCATGAACGCAATAAAGTGGAAACTACCATCACTGTCGTTATCATCTTGGCCCTTGGAGCGTTTCTTAGACTTAGACTCAGATCGGAGCTGAAGATCCGAATTCAAGATATCCATCTTTCTTTAGTTGAAAAGAGTATCAGTATTGTACTTTATATAAAAAAATAAAATAAAAATAATAAAAAACAGATTGTCCGGGGGATTCATACCGGGCAAAAGAGTTATGAATTCTTTTCACGAATTCAAAGTTGTTAATAGCATCGCCTCGTAAGGCAGGAGTAAAGTCCATAGTGAAATCCTTGAAGTGTTGCAGGTTTTCTCCCAGATCAACGTTCGGGATATTGTTGACGATGTTCAGCAGGGCCACACTGGCGCAAGCGTTGTTGGCAGTCTAGCTCAGTTAGATGAATCTTCTGATGCCTTGGGCTTTGTTTCTTCCCATAGAACATACCTGATTGGCAAACCAAAGCCCATCTGGGCAGATAGCTTCCTGGTTTTCTGAATCATCGTCCCGCCAGCGGAATAGAAAGATCAATCCGTAAATTGGGTGACTGTCATCAGATGTATTAGTTTCAGATCGATCAAGAGAATGAATGGTCTCATTGAGAGTCATACTTGAGGAATGCCATCATTTCTTCATCCAGCGAAACAACCTCTTGAACCTTGACCCCTTTGACTCCAAATTCGCGGAGCATCACATTGAATAGAGCCTAGACAGCCTTGTAAGCGAACATTCAAGCCATGATATGTCACTTCTATACTCACCGGCTCTGATTCAATCTCACAGAATCCATTCCAAGTATCCTTTTGGAGATGAGTAGCTGGCTGACAGATCTCATCGCTATTAGCCTCTGTGGGATCAACCAAACGTCGTTTCTTCGCTCGGGGAGCCATTTTGACGATAGTTGAATTTAGCGGAGTTGTAATGAGGAAGAAATGATGATGTTGGAATCCGAAATTTTCTTCGTTCCTTTTGGTCTTCTTTTTTTTTATCTCTTTCTCTCTTGTTTTTCTTCTTTGGGACTAAGTGTCATTACCTAGAATGGTGTCTAGGTGATTCAGGATGTATGGTATGTCTAAGGGTGGGCCGAGCTTTGTCCGACGCGCTTCCCGCGTCTCTCGGCAACTTCACTTTTTTGTTTCTTGTTTTCTCATTCACTTTACCACCTTCGCGCGAACGAAGGAAACGAACCAAAAAGAACCAAATTACTGCGAAATTGATTTCCCACATATTCACTACAGCTTCGGAGAAAGCAACTCCCCTGCGACCCTAGCCAAGTCGACCGTGGAACTCCGCCAAAGACCCTGGCGACCACAGCATGCCATGAGTGGCACTCCCCTCCTTCCGTCTGCTTTTCCTCAGACGCCCAAGACACTTCCAACTAGAAGGAGATTGTTTGAGACTCCAAGGTCTCAGCCTCGTGATCTGCGCGAGAGAAGATCGAGGTCGCCCGCAAAATCTCCAGCGAAGACGCCTAAGCAGCCACTTAAAACACAGAGCTCCAGCTCCAGCTCCAGCACGCCTCTCGTCTCCGTCGATTTGATCGATGCGCCCTCACAACGGCTGTATGTGGTAGCTTTTTACCTTGCTCTCAATGCATGGCGCGTGTATGAGTCGTGGACGGCGTCTGACGAGCTGGACTCGACATGGTTATTTTTGAAATGGATTTCGGTAGATGGGTTGTTTCTCTTCGGCTTGCAAGCCCTGCGCATACCATGGTTGGAATGGGCATTTCCCACCACTTTGGCTATGTTCCTGTTACATGTTGTGGGCAATGCCTTTTTGATGTTTCAAATCCCTGTAAGTCATTTCCCCCACCTTTCTTCAGGCGGCTTGTGAACTTTCCACTAATGAGATTAGATCCCTCTAGGTGCATGGCTTGGTGGGATGGTCAAGGTTGCTTATGATCGCGAATTGTCCATCTCGGAGCGCAAGGTCAAACCGGGCGACATCATTCATAATGCATCATTGATTTTGGGTAAACAGATCGTGCACATTCTTCCTGAAGGGTATGTTTGTGAAACCGAACACTCGTGGAATGCTTACTGACGGCTAACTCTTATCAATTAATAGCTCTGCCATTCTGAACCCGGAGCGAGAGGCACTCTGTCTTGACTCATCGAAGAATACAGTTATCCTACCAATCCGCGTGAATCAGACAGACCCTGTCCTCATCGAAGTCCTTCGCCTTGATCTGCAAACTGGCGAGAACGAAACGTTGACGATTCCGTCAAAGCAATTGAAGCAAATCAAGAAGCAGGCGGAAAAGCGACATGCATCTCTGGACCCTGTTCCTTACCGAGATCTCCATATTCCTATCAAGAAGACCGGTATCTATCGCCTGCAGCGGGTAGTGGATGAATCTCAGCTGGATGTGCGTACGCGTACCTCTGATGCTTTGGTGGTCACCTGCCCACGAGCTCTGATCAAGAACTCTCATACCGATAAATGTCGAGGCGAATTGTCTAATCTAGTGCTGGAAGTTGAAGGTACTCCTCCTTTGAAGATCAAGTACAGCCGACAGGTGAACTACCATGACCGGGGATTCTCTTTCCAAAACATCCAGCCGGATAACTTGCGCTCCCCTCTCCTCAACCAGAAGCCAAGCGGTGCTCTTTTCAGTCTCAACCAACCCGATATCTCATGGGCCCAGAGCCAGAAGATTGAAGTACCGCTGAATGAGTCTCTTAATGTAGGTGGTGAATGGTTCTACGCTATCGAGGAAGTTCACGATGCTTGCGGTAATGTTGCCAACTATTCCAGCATCTTTGAGGACTCTGAAAGACCATCGACCAAATCGTTATCTCAGTGGCATCAGTTCTCGGTTCACGAGCGCCCACGCGTATCCTTGTCAGGATGCAATGACCAGCGCCCGCTGGAGGTTGCCCGCGGAGATAGCGTTCATCTACCAGTCAAGTTCCAATCTGTTGGCAATGGATATAACAGTGACGGCCCCTTTTCCATTGTGTACACGTACAAGAGCAGCATCGAACTCGAGGGTGAGGAGGGCTTGAATGAGAAGTCTCTCACTCTGAAGTCTCTGGACCAGAAGTCGCCCATCAGAGAGCCAGGATGGTACACATTAGCATCGGTTGCCAGTCAATTCTGCCCCGGTGATATCATGGAGCCTTCTTCTTGTTACTTGCACAACCCGCCTGAGCCTGAAGTATCCGTCAAGGCTGAGAAGGTATTTGATCGGTGTGCGAACAATGCAGTTGGCCTCCTCGTGGACTTGGACTTGACGGGATCTCCACCATTCCGTCTCCGTTACAGCATCGAAAGCTCCAAGGGAGTAATTACGAGAACCCAGCATATCGAAGGACTACGGACTCAGTTGGATTTCACCCCTTCAGAGGCTGGATTCTACCGCTACCGATTCCTGGATCTCGAAGACTCTGTGTATTCCCCAAGGTCTCTCAAGGACAAGCTGCCGCCTCTGGAGCAGGATGTCAAGCCCCCTGCCTCTGCCCACTTCCTTGGTTCAAGAGAGGTACGCAAAGCCTGCTTTGGTGAGTCTGTCTCAGTAGACCTGGCTTTCTTGGGAGAAGGACCCTGGACCCTTCAATATGAACTCCTTCACAATGGCAAGAGGACCAAGCATGCTCTTGAATCGGATACCGAGATGGCTACGATCACAACAGATAGACTACTCAACGGTGGCGAGTATACCCTTGCCCTGACTAGCGTCAAGGACAAGTCCAACTGCAAGCGAGCCCTGAAAGAAACTCTAAGGATCAATGCTCGGTCAAAGCCCCCTCACGCTGCCTTTGGCCAGATGGATAAGAAACGGACAGTGTCCGCCATGCAAGGCTCAAAGATTGAGATTCCGTTGAGGCTGAGTGGTGAACGACCATGGGTAGTGAAATACAAGAACGTGGATGTCGACAAGACACCCATTGAGAAGACTTTCTGGGACGGCAACAGCATTTTTACTGTGGATCAAGAAGGTCTCTATGAGCTTCTGGAAGTCCACGACAGTTCATGCACCGGCTATGTTGATCAAACTGCTAAGGAGTTCGAAGTCTTTTGGATTCCACGTCCCCAAGTCACCGCTGTTGATGGATCTCCTGTTGGATCGACCGGCAATTATGTCAAGCCGGAAGTCTGCCAGGGCGACGACGACAACCTTGAGCTTCGTCTGTCTGGAAATCCGCCATTCGCTTTCCAGTATGAACAACGACGAAAGACCGACCGTGGAGCCTCTTCTGCTCGTACCAAGAATATCCGGACTGCTCTGAATGTAGTGTCAACTGAGATGGATACCTCAGAGCCTGGCCAATACACCTATAAGTTCACTAACATCGGTGACAATCTCTACGACCATGACCCGAAGAGTAGTGGTTTGGTTGTGACACAGAAGGTCAACTCGCTCCCAACTGCTCGATTCGATTCTCCTGGCCACATTTACGGCTTCTGTAAGGAAGATGCGAATGGCGAGGAGACAATTCCGATCACACTCGAGGGTGTTCCACCCTTCTCGCTGGAGATCACCATTAAGCATCATTCCAACGCTAAGCCCGAGATTGTATCTATTCCCAAGATCAATTCGAACCGTCATAATCTGGCTATCCCCCGACGTCATCTGGATCTTGGTCAACACGTCATCAGCATCCACAAGGTCCGCGATTCTCGTGGCTGCCAGAGAACTACTGAGTACGATTCTTCCTCTGTTCGGGTGGCTGTTTCCGATGTACCCACCATCATTCCTCTTGAATCCAAGGCCGACTACTGTGTGGGTGAGCGACTATCGTTCTCGCTGTCAGGACATGCTCCCTTCGAGGTCTTCTATACCTTCAATGGAGCCCAGCGAAAGGCCACTTCTCAGAACACCAATTTCCGTCGTATTGCTGAGCGTGCTGGTGATTTTACAATCACTGCCGTTGGTGATGGAGCTAGCGGGAAATGCAAGGCACACAAGGATATCACAAAGGTTATCCACGAGATGCCCAGTGTGCGGATCAGCAATGGACAAGTATCTGTAGTCGATATTCACGAAGGTGGAGAAGCTGAGCTTCACTTTGACTTTTGGGGCACGCCGCCATTTGAATTCACGTACGTTCCATCCTTCCCATTCATTATCTGGTTATTCTTAACACTAACGCTCTCTTCTTCAGGTACATTCGAAGCTCCAATGCCCGTAAGGGCAAGAAGTCCGAGGTCCTTGACATCAAGCATGATATTTCGTATGAGCATCGCAAGACTGTCAAGACCTCTGATGAAGGTACCTACGAGGTTGTGGCGATTAAGGACAAGTTCTGTTCGTTTTCCTCTCAGGTTCCGACAGGCAAGTCTAGCCGTGGTTCTTCATGAATATAAAATGATGTGATTTTTATGCGTTTTTTCTGTACTGGGGTTGATTGTTTATTTCATGTTTTTGGGAAAGTATGCATTGCAGAGGCGCTAGCAGGTAATGTACATTCGCCAGCAGGATAAGATTTAATTTCAGATATAATGCTTTCGCTTTTCTTCTTTCATCTCTTCAATATAGTAAAGGTCTTGAAAAAAACAAGACTAGACCTTCACATCGCTTATATCAATGGTATCAATGAGTCCCTCGCCCAACCGAGCAATCTCATTCAAGATCGCTGGGCGATTAATCGTTACATAGTCCTCGTTAGACTCCGCTGTGGTTGTCGAATACGCAGTCTTCAGGTTCCATGTTCGAGGTCGTAGAGACTGTGGGTTCCATAATCCTGCAATGACACCACATCGATCATCTCCATGGAAGAGAAGAACGCTCTGGTTGTAACATGCCTGCATATCTTGTACAAATGACTTCACAATGGCCAGGTTGCTTGCGCGGTTCGCACCATCAGCTTCGACCAGGTTCTTAAACTTGGATGTAGATGTAGAACGATCACCATGGAGCTTGGAGCGTAGGTGAATGACAAAGTCGTAAGGAGCAAGCGAGGTCTGGAAGAGATCAGAGACATCGACGCCGTGGTCTTCTTTCCGGATCAAGCTAATTGCTGCCTTGGCCAAGGAAGTCATGCGACCAGCGACGACCTTAGAGGGCATCTCATACTGAGTCCAGGTCACACCATCAGTATCAACGTCTGATGCAACGAACAACACAACGGTGTTCATAGCTGGGTCAATATTACGCCAAGCAGTGAATCGGGTGCGGATCACCTCGGTAACCTGTGGGCTCAGCTCGCCGCTCAAATCAACAATGAAGGGCTCTTGTTGCCAGTCCCAACGGGAGAGAAAGTGGAGAGTGCGCAGGAATCCGGTCATCACGCTGGATGGACTATCCCAGGGGAAAGGCTGAGTGAAAGCCCGCACGGTAAGGAGTTCGATCAATTCTTCGCAGATCTGGGCTGAGAAGAGATGAGAACGGAACCAGTGCTTCACGAGACGGATGGTAGGCGAGAGTAAGGGGAAGCGAGTGCAGAGACTACGGAAGGCTTGAGTCAGGCGGGGCACTTGGACGAAGTTCCGCTTGTATGAGAAAAGAGCACATGCGAATTCCTCCCGCTCGCGGGGACCAAGGCTCTTGTCCTTTAATTGACGTTCCAGCAGTGTCTGTTCACGCTCGTGATGAATTCTCATGCGGAAAATGAAGCCAGAGGTGTGAGAAATATCAAGGAAGGCGTTGTTCAGCACCTTGCTAGATTCGTTCTCCAGACCGAGACGGCAGGATGTAGCGGCACCAGATGACTCCAAGGCGTCGCCGATCTTGAGCAAGAAAGCAGCCTTGGTCATTTGGATAGCGGCGAAATCGTCTGGCCAGCGCGAAGAACTCTCAAATTGAAGAACGACGTCAGCTGGTTCTTGAAGTCCCTCTGGAGTCTGGAGTCGGAGAGCAGTGTAGCGTAGTAGGGCGCTAGCAGGTGCAAGATGCCTGATAGTCAATGGGACTTCATCCATGCTTCCAACCGATCGCTCCAGCTCGCTAAAAGCTTCCTTGATCGAGCTGAATTGTGTGCTGGTGTATGACAATACACCGTCTCCCTCATCAAGCAGGATATCATCATACTCGTCTCCGATGAAATTGAAGCCCTCCTCGGTAATCTGGAAATGGCGCTCCAGAGTGTATGCAAGGATCTGGAACACGATGGAATCCTCGGATTGCTGGTCAGACCAAACAAGACTTTCCAGGATACTACCATCCTTGAATCGTCGAAGCTCGGATTTCTGTCCCCAGAAAGCTCGGAATGAGGCTGCCTCCTCTTTCTCCTCTGCGGCGGGACCGTGGTCAACTACGCGACCGACATTGTCAGCATCAAGTAGAAACCCAACAGACAGAGTGTGACTGGCTTTCTTGGTCAATGTCTTTGCTCGAACAGACCAAGGCTCTGCACATTGGCTGGAGATGGAAATCAGCTTGACTCGGTCGCCCAGTGCCCTTGTGAGGGTCTTGAAAAGGCGGTTCTGTTCTTGAAGGGACCGGAGAGTGTCACCGTTGAAGGCTTTGGGGAAGGAGAGGAGACGATCAAACCGCAACGCTCGCTCATCGACTTTAACGATGAAGACTCGGTCGAAGTTGTCTTCTCTTGACTCATTCAGCATCTTGAGGGTGACACTCGCCTCGTGGCGAAGGGAAGCATATGACCATGAAGTCATCTTATAAAGAAGATTCAGGCCTCTACGTCCATCGTACAAAGTAGGGCCTCCACCAGGAACAGAGACATCAGTAGCGAACATAATCAGAGGAGAAGTCAAATCTCTGCCAGCCAAAAATTGCATGGTAGCCTTGAAAATCTGATAGCTGCTATAAGAGCGCAAGAGAATCGGCTGGCCACTGGGACCACCACCTTCGAACAGAAGAGAGATGAGTGCTGTCCACTCAAAGCCCCCAAATCCTCCATTTTGGAAAGATGTGTGGAAACCACGCTGCTGGAGCCAAGTTCTTCCCAGGATACACGCATCACGGAAGGATTCGCATTTCTGAGCAGAAGAATGAATGTATTTGTGGTAAAGAGAGACGGCAGCTTCAGAGCGCAAACTCGCGTTGTAAAATGGAGTGGGCTCGCCAGTCTCTGACGAATCCTTCGAGCCTGATCGAATGTTGCTCTTCATCGGTTGGGTTCGGCTAACGGGGAAAAGAGTCGGTTCAATAGCGGTCAAGATGCGAATTTGCTGCTTCGGAGTCGAGTCATGTTTCAAGGTCTGGCGAGTTTCAAGCAGAATCAAAGGGCGCAAACTGTCTCCATCCTGGAATCCAAACTTCATCTCCAATCCAAGGTCACCCATTGTCTGTTGAATACCAGCCGCAATGCACGCAATGTAGTATGCTCGCTTGTGGAAGTAACGGTAATTGACATAGTCTTTCTCCTGGAAGATAGAACTGGGCATTGTCACTGCTAAATCGACTAAGCGATTCTCCGATGTCTTCGCTCCAGTCTTCAGAACAACACTACCCACCACATTGATGTTTGCCGGCTTCGCATACGACACGGTGTATTTGGCATCCTTAGCTGGTTTGGGCTCGGGCCATGGAATTGCAATCTCGGAAGCTGCGCGCAAATATTTCTCGGCTTCGGTGATAGTCTTCGGGGCAATCTCTGGCAGACTCTCGATGGCACTTTTGAGTTTGTGCAAGGTATCCTGGATCTTCGAGATTCGCTTTTCGTAGTTCGGTCTCAAGCCTGTCAACAGCTCATCCATCTGCAACTTAAAGAAGTTGGACTTGTAGAATCCACTGGCCATTGCCAGCTCTGCTGATCCATTCTCATTTCCCTTGCGGCCTTGACTCTTTGACTGTGTTGGTTTTTCGGCTCCTGAGCTTGTCGAGGTCTTGTTCAATGGCTTCGATTGAGAGGTAGAAGTAGCATCCGTGGGAGTAGGACTCAGCTTCCTACGCTTTACCGTAGGATTCGACATGATGTAAAGAGCAGAAGCTCAAAATAGGTCGATTTCGTTTTCAAGAGGAGAAGCTTGCGACATGAATTTTTTTTATGGGGCGATAACGGGGATAACAATTTGCTGAGTCATATACCCTCACGCGCCATCGCCGAAGTCGCCTGGTTTTATGACTCGAACTTTCTTGACTACTCCTTGTTCTTTAGTTCATTATTGTTATTAAAGATTTCTCATCTCTTTCGTTCTTACATTCGAGTCATATCTTGAACTTTTTCAGTTCAATTTGATAATGCTCCAAGTACTTGGAGGCACTGTGCCTCCCAATACTGATCATGTATGCATTAATCGCATTCCCCCGCAATTATACCCCTCCACGAGCATTACAATGATCTAAATGATCTAAAGAATATTTGCCACTCCAAATCAAGTAACTAACATGGTTTGTAGGCTGTCAGCGTGTCCCTGCCAACATGGAGAGCCAATGTTGGTTATGAAGAGGGAGAAGATTGGGTCATAAGCAAGATGGTTTGTGGATACCCTCGGTTCTTCGTTCACCCCAGCATCCAAAAGCTTGTCGCAGAGCTCGTCCAGCGTGTGGGTGACCCAGAGAAGGAAACCGCAACTCTTTTTGCCTCAATCAAGACCGCGCGGATCTGCCAGTCGTTCATCCTATCCAAAATTACCCAAGAACAAGCGCAAACAGTCCGAATCGTGAATTTCGTCCCCCCCCCCCCATGCCAACGTCGAACCTAGCTCAATCACCTCCTCTGTGGCGGCCGTGATTTACCCCAAGGAGTTTGCTTCTATCGCCAAACAAGTCTGGCAACATTCGGGTAACGGAATTTCTAGTCGACGAGGCGAGTTCTGTCTGCGTGCCCTACAAGATGGGTTTTTGGTAGAGGATAAGAGCTCATCTGCGGCCGATGCCGTTCTTCAGCGACCTTGCAAGGGTCCTCGGAGATACCAAGGCCGGGGCTCTCTGAGTGGTCCTTCATGGGGCTCTTCAACTCCATCCACCTCTTCGCCCACTCCCCCGTCAAGCAATGGTCTTGAGGAGGGCCCAGACTATGGTCAATTTATCGAGGAACGCTTTGGTCGTAACCTCAGTGCTTTGCATGCGAAGCAGGCCAAGGTTGCTGTCCGAAAGCGCATTGCTGGTGTCTTGACTGCCGATGTTGAGCTACCGGAGGCCCTTGAGACTGCCTCTACAAATGGCCGAGTTGATGATATCTCTGAGAATGACGTTTATCTTTACCCTTCTGGAATGAGCTCTATCTTCAACGCGCATCAGATCTTGATGACAGCCCGTGAGCCTAGAAAGAGTATCTGCTTCGGATTCCCTTACACCGATACTTTGAAGATTCTCCAGAAGTGGGGCCCTGGCTGTCTTTTCTACGGCCATGGCTCATCGGAGGATCTGGATGACCTTGAGAACAGACTGAAGAACGGAGAGCGATTCCTTGCGCTTTTCACTGAGGCCCCCGGTAACCCTCTACTTAAGACTCCGGATCTCATCCGCATACGAGCTCTGGCAGACCAGTATGATTTTGCTGTGGTAGTGGATGAAACCATTAGCAACTTCCTCAATATTAATGTTCTCCGATATGCAGACATTGTTGCGAGCAGTTTGACGAAGATCTTCAGTGGAGACAGCAACGTGATGGGAGGAAGCGCAATCCTCAACCCCCACGGTCAATACTATCAAAAATTGAAAGAGACATATGCTCAGGAATTCGAGGACATTTACTGGGCCGAAGATGCCGTCTTCTTGGAGCGAAACAGTCGCGACTTCATCACAAGAATTGAAAAGATCAACTCTACATCAGAGCAGATCACAGCCATGTTGAAAGAGTCTCCTTTAGGTAAAAAAAACACTCAACTCTCAACCAGATCGATCTCGCGCTGACTCCTGCTTTTCTGCTTTTAGTGAAAGATGTTCACTACCCTAAGTACAGTCCCACCAGACCCCTTTATGATAGCCTTCGTAACTCCAAGGGTGGCTATGGTGGCCTTTTCTCTATCACTTTCCATTCGAACGCCGAAGCCGTTGCATTTTATGATACCCTGGAAGTCCTGAAGGGCCCTAGTCTCGGTACCAACTTCACTCTCAGGTAAGAGCATACCCTCTCTTATTATAAAACGGACTTGTACTGACATGGTAAATCATAAAGCTCCCCTTATGTCCTCCTAGCTCATTACGGAGAACTCGATTGGGTACGTGATATCACACTGGCATCTTCTTTTCTTACTTCTTGGATCATATTATACTAACGCATATCTTTTAGGCGAGATCTTTCAATGTCGACCCCGATCTTGTCAGAATCAGTGTTGGCTTGGAAGAAGTACCAGACCTACGCGCTAGATTCCAGACGGCTTTAGATGCGGTGGCAAAGGTAGAGAAATAGAGTGCTCACAGCCTCGGGTTTAAAACTTCTCAACAAGACATAATACCCTGTTTACGGCTTCAGGGTTTCATAGTGGCATCACAGTGCTCTCTTATGAAACCCTCGAAGCAGGTGATGACTTTTCAATGCGGTCACGGTACTCCAACATATAAACCCTCATGATCACCATACAAAATAAATCAAAAATCAAAAATTCCATTATGAATATTACTACAGGTCAAAATACTCCCGGCAAATATGTAGAGTAATCAAGGACGTCCAGCTCCATTGATTTATATATCATGAGATCACCATCAGTAGATAAGCATGACCGTCACGTAGTCCCGCCCGGGGCGCCAAAAGAAAGAAATAAGAAAAGGAAAAGGGAAGGAAAGACAATGACCCAGTGACAGGTCAATGTGAGATCCACCCGAAAACGACCGTTCCAGCGTATCTGAACGTTGATCACAAAGGAAATCGAAATAAGATCAAAGTTGACATCAAGCGCCGAGTCATTCAGGTAGTTAGATCAGCCGATCCAGTGGTTCATCGATCCCAAAGTTACTAGCTGTCTGGCTTGCTCCTAGATCCCCACTGCCTGTCCTTCGTAGAGCCTGTGTCATCGTTTCAATATTGAAGTCACCTCCAAAATTGGATGAAACTGGACTATGTGCCATAGCGAAGGGACTACCTGGAACACGAGGACCATGGTTTGGCGACATGTCAAGTCCTTTGAATGAGGTCGAGATACTCGTTGGGGGAGATGTGCCAAGAGCATGAGAGGATGCAGGAGAGCGTAGTGGAGATGGAGAACGATTGTGCGACCCAGCTGCATATGAGCCTCCAGTAATAGCGGGACCTTGAGATGGGTCTCGACCAAACATAGATTCACCTGTCTCTGCATGCTCGGCATTCACGACATCAGCGAATGAAATAAAGCTTAATCGCCGTACATCAGTTGTGTCCAGGGCACCATAGGCTGATGAGACTTCATCCGCATCGCTGAGATGGGCGGCTAGGTGATCAGCAATGCCTGAGGATGCTAATGAATGATCTGCTGTAGACCCAGGAGTTACTCCTGCATTGTGATGAACGCTATGCGTAACAATCTCCACCGAGTCCGGATCTAGTTGTTCATCTGTGATCGCAGCTGAGGACGCTTCGAGTACCGGTGGGATATAGTTCTCCGTGCGAATGTGAGCGGGGATCGACGGCGAAGCTTGTAAGGGTAGTATATCTTCCTGCACGCTTCTCTCGAAGATTTGCGAAGCAGGGGAATGAAGACGGCGAGGAAGTGGTGACCTGGTGCCTGGGGAAGTCGAATGCATGTACGCATACTTCGGTCGGTCCGAGACATTTGGTGTCATTAGTACTTCGGAGCTAATGGGTGATACTGGCGAGACGGGCCCACTACTTGGGGATCTTGTTCCTGCAGCAGCATTTTCCGGAAATTGATCTTTGTCCGACTCTCTTAGTTGGGTCCAAGATAGATGTGGTGGTCTGGGGGCTCGTATTGTGGATGTAGCGGGCTTCCCGACCATGAGAGGACTATTAGTAGCTGCCAGTGACTCCTCGCCAGTCTGAATAGGCGCAGAACGAGGTTGATGTAGATTGGTATCTACTTGATCCGGCATCAGAGCTCGAGGATCTGATGACATGGTGAATAGTTCAAATGAAATAGTAGAGGTGCTGGAGCAGAATAATACTATTGAAACAAACTGCGGCGCAATCCTAAGAAATGGCGGCCATGACCAATAGACCAAATATTTCGAAGGATCTTGACGATCTCAATCAATCACAGGGGGAGAAGGGAGCGGTCAGGGATGTTGGAAAGGGGGAAAATATTGGGGGGGGGGGGGGTTAACATCTCACTATTTTGATTTGTCCAGGAGATGATGACATCCTTTTTGTGCCAGGTGATCAACGGATACGGGAGATCCATGTCCCTATAATGTGACGGCAGTGATAAGTACCTGATACATAGTGTCCACCATACAAGGAAGTGGATATCTAAGTACCCAGTACATATTCTTGGTACTTTCATAGTTAATTCCACTAAGAGAGAAGGTGTGTATGGTAAGGTTGATTCTCCTGTGTATTAGATACTGGTATTGTAGGCTGTATCTCAACTGGTAGACATTTAAGAAATGAAGCGCTGAATATTAAGAAAATGGAAGAATTTTTAATATAAGATTATTCCATGTCTATTTTGTCTAGAAATTAATACTTTTTTCCCTGTTCAACCAACTGTTGTCTAAAGATCAGAGTACAAACCCATGTAAAACTGATACATACACTGATACACAATCTGTGATTATAATACCAACATTACCCCCAGGCCCCAGACTTGCCAAGAGTCACGAGATCAGGAGGATCACGAAAAAAAAGTTCCTAAACAGTGTCAACTCCTAAGCTGCTAGATGCGATCTCCCTGATCCCCTAGCTCATTTGCTCATACCTCACCACCAATTGACCCCTCAAAATCATTTCAAATTAAACCTCTTTATTTTCTACAAGGGTTTCCAAAGGGGCTCACAAAATGGCGACCTCCATGATCGTCCCGAAGCGGCCCTTCGTCGCCTTGCCTTTCCTTCTCCCATCATGGACAGATGCCCTCGCTTCGGGTTCTCGACGCTATCAATCTTCCTACCGTCGTACTAAGCAACGTCTTCGGGTCAAGCCAGATGCCTCATTTGGTCCTTCACGCCAGACTCGTGATCACATCATCCACAATCCTCCTTCCAGCGCTCCTTCTGTCTATCACACACCCAGCAAGTTCTTACCTGCCAATGACGTCCGGAGAGCTATGCGCACCGAGAAGCCCGCAACCACAGATGCCAACGAGCTTCCCGGCGTCTACAAGACTGAAGCTGAGAGAAAATACCACTTGAACCCCTCCGATATCGAAGAAATCCGCACCCTCCGATTGGCCGACCCTATGACCTGGAGTCGACACAAGCTGGCCAAGCGCTTTGAGTGCTCGCCACTATTTATTGCTATGGTCTGTGAGGCTAGTCCCGAGAAGAAACAGATTCAGAAGCAAGTCCTCGAAGCAGTGCAATCACGATGGGGACCGAAGCGACGGATGGCCAGGGAAGACCGCCAATTGCGTCGGGAGGCCTGGGGCCGTGATGAATAATTTCTTTTCGTACCACTCATTGATCAATTCGGGTTCTTGTTGTCTATGTATTTTACCTTGATGTTGGGATGTCCTGGAATCAGGATCGGCTTAGAAGGTGGTGATGGTTTGCGGACGCTGCTATGCGGCCCCATGTAAACATATCTGTGTATTTTAAACTAGCATTTGTCTTCATGTACTTTCATATTCATGTCTAAAGCAATCAAAAATGTAGCATCATTATCAAGTATACCTGAAAGATCAATCAGATATCGTCCTCGAGAAACATCATTTGAACGGCCTATGTATATGTATAATAAGCTGTAAGTTCAAAAAATAAAAAAGAGACTCAGCTATTAACTCGGAATTCATATGCTCGACCCCACATGTCAAATATAAGCCTACTACATATATTCTGATAAATGGAGTAAGATCTCAGAGCACTTAAGAGCTGCTAGACACTAGAGTTTGGCTGCAAGGCCATCTGAGGTAGTGGAAGATCCAGCCGGGTTACTTAAAACAAATCATTGATTTCAAATCATATTATGACACTTGCATACTTGGAGACTGGATCATTGGTCCTTTGTTTCTCTTCAATTCAATTCATATTTCAAACAACAACTTGTAAGTTGTGGTACATTAAAGCGGTTAAAGTGGTATGTAGGTTCTTTCCCATAGGGCGGATCCGGCTGGCTTATCAAGACGCGAAAGAGCGCGCTACGCGGTTCCCTCAGTTTGTACATTTCTTAAACATCTTTGCCCCTCAGTTGCGCCACGTTGATTGTCAAGGGTGACCGACATCCCTATCATCATGAAATAGCCTTCTCCATTTCTAAAACATACGTCACTTGCTATGCCACCTCAAAAACGTACGCGGGAGTCTTTGGACTCAGACTCATCCTCAGATGGGAGTGAAAGTGATAGTGTACAAGAGAGTGCAGGTCCAGCCTCCTCGCCATACTTAGTAATTGCCCCGCTACCTAGCTGGATGGCTTTGGCTGATATATCCAGCAGAGAAAACGACCTCGTACCTCCAATTCACCCTCGGAGGAAGAAGGCAGCGATCTAGAGACGCATTCCCAATCCTCCCCCCCAGTCCGACGATGAAGACCTCGACGACGACGAATTGGAACTGCGTCAAACGCAGATTATCCAGGAAAAATACGCCCATCTTGCAGACGATGCCAACACTCCTTCCGAACATGGAATTCTTGAACGGGTTGACTGCTATAACTTCATGTGCCATGACCATTTCTCAGTAGAGCTGGGACCGCTCATCAACTTTATTACTGGAAAAAATGGCAGTGGTAAAAGTGCGATCCTTACCGCGCTGACTCTCTGTCTGGGTGGCAAAGCGTCTGCAACCAATCGCGGGCAGAGCTTGAAGAATTTCATCAAAGAAGGAAAAGAGAATTCGAATATCATTGTTCGAATCAAAAACCAGGGTGATGGTGCATACAGACCAGAGGCTTTCGGAAAATCAATCATTGTCGAGCGCCATTTCACCAGGGGCGGCTCCAGTGGTTTCAAAATCAAGGCAGATAATGGACATATTGTCTCGACCAAAAAAGCTGAACTGGATGCCATCACTGACTACTTTTCCCTGCAAATTGACAATCCCATGAATGTCCTGTCTCAGGACACTGCTCGTCAGTTTCTTAGTACCTCTAGTCCGGCGGAGAAGTACAAGTTCTTCGTAAAAGGCGTTCAGCTGGAACAGTTGGATCAAGACTACCGTTTGATCGAGGATTCTATCGATCAAATAGAAGAGAAAACCAAGAACAAGGATGAGGACATCAAGATCTTGAAGACCCAACATGAGAGCGCGAAGAAAAAGCTCGAGCTTTCTGATAAACATGAGTCCCTCAGAGATCACATCAGAAGTCTTCGCGAGCAGATGGCATGGGCTCAGGTTGAAGAGCAAGAACAAGTAAGAGCTTGCCCTTTGTTTTCCTATTTCACTCCTAATTAACTATCATTCTTATTAGGCTCGAGATGCTCTTGCCGAGGAGGTTGCTAGAGCAGACGACTTGATTAGAAGTGCCGAAGCCGCCCTTGACGAATTCGATAGCAAAATCGCAGCAGCCGAAGCTGAATACGAAACAGCCGCGGACTATGCGCTTGAGGCCGACAGGACAAGGGAGACAGGAAAAGAAGAACTGGGTGTCATCGAGGCCAACTTAAACGATGAAACAAAGAAATGGAACGATCTTGGAGTAAGCCATATCCTACTCCTTCACTTGATATGATGTTTTATTTTAGAGAAAATCTCTAATCCCCAGTAGGTCGAACACCGCAAGATCAGAGAGTACGTCAAAGCAGCGGAGATGGAACTCGAAAAGGCGCAGGCAAAATATGACAAGGAAAGCCAACGCCTGTCTTCAGTGAGCGATGGGGGCTATGCCCGAAGGCAGCAGGAATGCACCGAGGCTAAGGAACGTGCCAATGAGGCCGGCAATAAACACAGAGCTCATCGTGAGAACATCGGTCAACTGGAAGAAGAACTACGACAGGCTGTAGAACATGAGAAGACTGTCAAGCAACAGGTTGAGGTCAAGAAACATGATCATTCGGAAGCAGCCAGTCGTCTGCAGACCCTTCAAAAGAATAACGGCCCAAGACAGCAAGGTTTCCATGAGAAGTTGCCTGCCCTAAAACAAGCAATTATGGCAGAGAGATCCTTTGCTGTGCGTCCTGTGGGACCTGTGGGACATCATATTACTTTAGTCCACGCCAAATGGTCATCGATTCTTGAGCATGCCTTAGGCACCACTCTTAACAGCTTCATCGTGACATCCAAGCGTGATCAGACTACACTGTCGAATATCATGCAGAGGGTAGGCTGGTAAGTTAAACACGGATTGGCCCATCTCAATTCTCATTTATCACCTACTGATTACTGTGACGGACAGTGAATGCCCGATCCTTATTGGAAAGAATCGCGATATCGATATCACGTCTCATGAGCCCGATGCTAAGTATCAAACGGCTTTACGAGTTCTGCAGGTAGGAAATGCTTTTAGTTATGCTTTATTTCATACCTCGCTGACATTATGGATAGATCGATAGCCCCGTTGTTCAGCAACAGCTAATCATCAGGCATACTGTTGAGCAAATGCTACTCATCGAGAATCTCGAAGAAGCATCTGCAGTGCTCTTTGACGGACATCGTCCAAGAAACGTGAAACGATGCTTCTGCATAAATGCGAGAGATAGGCGCAGAGGACACCATCTTTCCTTCAATCGAGCGGGTGATCCCAACCAAGCGCCAGTTCCAATGTACAATGGTCATCCACGCATGAAATCTGACGCAGCCGCCCAAATCAGGTACGTGGCCCCTTCTCCCACTTCACAACACGCTCAGTATACTCACTCTTCATTTTCAATACAGTGCGCAGCGAGAGATTGTAGCAGACCTTGCACGTCAGTTAAATGACGTCCAGCAGGAACTTCAGGCGGCTCGTTCAAAGGTCAATACCTGCAAACAAGCCATTGTACGACACCACAAAACTGAAGAGAGTTTGAAGGTGGACAAGCAAAGGATGGAGGATGAGGCTGAGGCCCTTCGTGAGGCACTTGAGAAGGAAAACGCTGAAGATGGGTCTATTGAGAGCCTTACTGCCGACCTGAACTCAGCCAAGGAGAATAAGGCTCTCATGGAGGGTTCTTTCGAGGATAGTCGTGCCGCACAGAAGGAGCAGTATGAACAAATCAGACTTGCCAAGCGGGAGAGAGACGCAAAGAAGCAGCAGATCGAGTCTCTGAATGAAAATGCTCGTGTTGCAGAAAGCGAGCGCTCGGTTGCGGAGGCGAAGAAAGTCGAAACCATCCGTGAGAAAAATAGAGCCATCGAAGATATCGAGAGCCGAAAAGGGGAGAGATCCGAGCTCAGTGGAAAACACGCCAAGCTTGATGAAACAGTGCTTTCCTACATTGAGAAGGCTAGCACAGTTTCTCCCAGAGTTCCTGTCGACGAGGGTGAGACTACCAATAGTCTCGACACTAAGCTCAACAAACTGCGAAAAGATTACCAGCAGTTCACCCAAAGGTACAGCGTCCTGCTTTTTTTGGTTCCCTCATAAATTACTAACCACCACTCTCGCAGATTGGGTGCTACACGAGAGGAAATTGCGGCGGAGGCCACACGTTGCGAAGCTGCCTTTTGCTCGGCAAAGCAACAAATTGACGACCAAAAAGCGATTGCCCAGGTATGGAGGAAAATGAGTGTGTTCAACGAAAGCCCTTTCTAATTGGTCTATAGCAATTGAAAAACACACTCCATGACCGCAAGAAGAGATGGGAAATGTTCCGTTCCCACATCTCCTCTCGAGCCAAGGCTCAATTTACCTACCTGCTGAGTGAAAGAAGCTTCCGGGGTCGGCTCTTGACCGACCATAACAGCAAGCTCCTGGACATCCAGGTGAGACCAAACGATACACCACCATTGTTTGCGTGAGCTAATCAGTCTTTGTTCAGGTGGAGCCCGATATCACAAAAGCAGACGACACTGGTCGCGGTGCAAAGACCCTCTCTGGAGGCGAGAAGTCCTTTTCGCAGGTCTGTCTTTTGCTCGCTCTTTGGGAAGCAATGGGGTCCCCTATCCGATGTCTGGATGAGTTGTAAGTTACCTGGCCTTGTCCGAATCTTATGCTCGCCTGCTAATCCGGCCCCTAGTGATGTTTACATGGACCATATCAACCGCAGGATGGCTATTGAAATGCTGGTATGCTCCCGTTCTTCATTCCTTTTACTGAGATCTCTGTTACATAACAATGCTAACCTCCCGAATAGATGAGTGCAGCTCGCCGATCCATTGGGCGGCAGTTCATTCTGATTACACCTGGAAGCAAGGATGATATCAAGATCGCTCCTGATGTCAAAGTTATTGAACTCGCGGAGCCCGAGCGTGGGCAGACCACCTTGCAATTCCAACGAAGGTAGTAAATGAGCTCCAATGGTTTCTGCGTTTTTGTTCCTTTTTTTTCCGTTCTCTTCATCTCTGTTGCCATGGCTTCTTCACAGCCACATACTCAATACCCCGGTTTAAATTTCTCTGTTGATTGATTCATATTTGTTTTGATTACGCAGATATCATGTTTCAAACACATAGTATGGATTGGGTCTGAACAATTTCTGAAATGAGTTCATTGCCTCTGCTGCCAGTGGACTGAATCTCTCATACATTAATCAAAATTTTATACTCGTGCTTCTGTAAACCGGCTGTAAGGAAAGAAAAACACAATTCTCATTGAGAGTTGCAACTGGTATCAAACTTGGCGCTTTTACATGCCTCCACAAATGAATCTTTCAGGCCTTCTCTCTTCCGAGTTTAGGGTATCGATATAAATCTGGTTTTGTCTCCGCGATAGTCTCGAGTAAATTAAGACGGGACCAGATCGACTTCGAGAATTTATTTGGTATACTCAGGGCTGCATGTACCTATTTATGCCTTGTGGCCATCGATGTTGACAGAACATAACACATCTATTTGAGTCAAGAATCTCTTCCGAGTCCGAGTCAGCAAAACATGTATTAGGCATTTTTACCCATTCCTTGCTTGTACCAAGGGGCACAAGCACATCAGCATGCAGAAATTTTTCACGGCACAAGATTGGACACTTGCTCGTGGATGTTTGTCAGAAGCATGATGCTTTGCAATGGAATTGAGCAGAGTGTGCTACGACCACCTGCAAACGTCAACTGTTACCCGGCGCACCTGGACCGGCCACCAGATCCTTAAAGGCGATGGTAGTCAGACTACTCATTGGAAGACCCTTGACGTTCGGTCGAGATCACCATCGGTCCTCAGCCCAGAGCGACCCATTGAACGCGTGGAATGCAGACGATCTCGGATTCAAGCCGAGATGAAGCACATAGAAAGGCAGATGCGCCAGACTAAACAGTCTTAGATCTCGGTAGCCGCTGTTCTGGAGTTTGATCCTTTCCCCACTTCTGCTTATGGATTTGATCTTGTTTCCTTTCGTATGGGGTTGCCAGTTAGTTGCAAATTCCCTTGTACTCACTTGAGCAATTTCTCATGATTCAATATTCGTTCAATAGAAAAAAATATTAATTTCTCGATAGATATCAGAATTCCAGGCCATTCTGTTGATAAATGTAAAACCTGGGGCTGATGTTCAAATTTAGTATCTTTGCTTGTAGATATAGTCATATAGTCACGTGGGGCGGGACCATTTGCTTTCCCACTCAACTTCAACTTCTTTTATCGTCAATCCCTTCCGAAATCCTCATCGTCTTGACTTACCACTCTTCTTTTACCTTTCTGCCCAGAAGGTCATTATTTGATCTTTACCTATTCTTCAACCATTGGGCACACGATTTCATCTTGCTCCAACCAGACCCTCAATAATCAACTCTGGGTTCCAATTTCCCCTCCCCTCTCCCCGCCGCAATAACTACCTCCATCTTCCTCTTTGCTTCAGATCGGGTTTATCCAGAAAACCTAGACGAGAATTCTTCGCTTGTTCCGTGAGATCTTTTACTTCCGTTGATCGACTCCCACTCATCTCTTCCGCAAAGACCGCGAAGCGACACGATTCCACTCACGCTTGCACCTCACACTTCTCGCGTACCTCGAAAACATCAAAACTTGCCTCTCTTCGCGACTTCCGACCTTTTCAGTCCATTATTTCGCACTTCTGACAGCTTGTCGTCCTTTTTCTACTTTTTTGGCTTTTTTGATACCCTTTGATCACCATGGCCGATGCTCTCGCCTCCCAACTTCACAACACCCAGCTGAGGTAAGCCGATATCCAACTTACATTGGCCCTGCCTTTTTCTATTTGCGAATCTGCAGATCGTTAACTTTATATTGCAGTGATGGACCCTCAGAACCAAGATTGCAGGACTCTCTGCAACTTCCTCCTAAAGATTCCCGGCCACAAACAGAGGTTCGTTCACCCTCTCTTTCTTTTTTATATCTAGTCACAATCAAACCAACTCATTTTCTCTCAGGATGTTACTGCTACCAAAGGTCTCGAATTCGAGGACTTTTACATCAAGCGAGAGCTGATGATGGGCATCTTCGAGGCCGGATTTGAAAAGCCCTCTCCCATTCAAGAAGAAACCATTCCTGTTGCACTCACTGGCCGAGACATTCTTGCCCGAGCAAAGAACGGTACCGGCAAAACGGCAGCTTTCGTTATTCCCACCCTCGAGCGCATCAACCCTAAGAGCACAAAAACTCAAGCCTTGATCCTGGTCCCCACAAGAGAGCTGGCTCTGCAAACCTCCCAGGTCTGCAAGACATTGGGCAAACATCTTGGAATCAATGTTATGGTCACTACTGGTGGAACGACCTTGATGGACGACATTATTCGTTTAAATGACGCCGTTCACATCCTTGTTGGAACCCCTGGCAGAGTTCTGGATTTGGCCAGCAAGGGTGTTGCAGACCTCTCCGAATGCCCGACTTTTGTGATGGATGAAGCAGACAAGCTCCTTTCCCCTGAATTCACCCCGGTTATTGAACAACTCTTGTCATTCCACCCTAAGGATCGCCAGGTTATGCTCTTCAGTGCCACCTTCCCGATGATTGTCAAGTCATTCAAGGACAAGCATATGCGCAATCCCTATGAGATCAACCTTATGGACGAGCTCACCCTCCGCGGTATTACTCAATACTATGCGTTTGTGGAGGAGAAGCAAAAGGTTCACTGTCTGAACACACTCTTTTCTAAGTTGCAGATCAACCAGTCTATCATTTTCTGCAACTCGACCAACCGTGTTGAGCTTCTGGCGAAGAAAATCACTGAATTAGGATACTCTTGCTTCTACTCGCATGCGCGCATGCTGCAGCAGCACCGTAACCGGGTCTTCCACGATTTCCGCAACGGCGTGTGTCGTAACCTGGTCTGCTCCGATTTGTTAACCCGTGGTATTGATATCCAAGCTGTCAACGTGGTTATCAACTTTGACTTCCCCAAGAATGCGGAGACCTACCTTCATCGTATCGGTCGTTCCGGTCGTTTCGGACATCTGGGTCTTGCTATCAACCTGATCAACTGGGAGGACCGATTCAACCTCTACAAGATCGAGCAGGAACTGGGCACTGAGATTCAACCCATTCCTCAGAACATTGACAAGAAGCTCTATGTCTATGACTCTCCCGAGAACATCCCTCGTCCCATCTCCGGTCCTCCTCAGCCCCCTGTCAGTTACCCACAACAGCCCGGCAACGGAGAACGCCAGCCTCGTCGTCAGAACCATCATCACTCGAACGGTGGACAGTATTACAACAACAACAACAACCGAGGTCGTGGTTCCTACCGTGGTAATGGCCGTGGACAAGGTCCCCGTCGTGGCGCACCTGTTGATGCCAACAACCGGACAACATTTCCCCCTACTCAGGCTGGAGCCAATCCACCTGCTCCCGTCTCTTAGACTTCATCACTCCTCCAATTAGGGTTATTCTCATGTCATCTTTGTTTCCTTCATAGATGAGACCCAAAGCCACGGCCGTGATGTGTTAATGTGTTGTTCTTGTTTTTATTTTCCCCCTTATCTCTTGTTTGCGTTGAATTATGATCCAGTCTCTCCTCCTCTGCTGTTCTTTCCTTCCAGTTTCTCCAATCAGATTCTACGGATTCCGCTTTGGAGTATGGAATGCCCCTTTTTTTCGTCGCTTCTGCAATTTTTTGTCGTATTTCACTACGACAGTAAGGTGCAAGCGCGGCATCTGTATCATAATTCCCGGTTTTGTTCTTCATGCTTCTACTTGGTTTCATCTTCACGAGGTTGAAATGAGATTTCGGGGTCTAACAATGGTTCATTTTCCGGTCTTGGAGAATGTTCATTATTACCCTGGGCCTCTGCGATCAAAGTGTAAATACGCTCAGCCGCCATGCTTTTTATTTTCTTCGATGGGTTTGCAAGGCTGGCGTTCTACCTGATCTTTTCAGTTGAATTTGGCTCGGGCGTTCTGATGGAGTCGAGGAAGATTCAGTTCATACGGTGATTTCCGATCCGATTCCCTTCTGCTTTCTCGCCATCCCCTGGTCTCTCCATACCTTGCTTTTTGAGAAACCATTCCTCCTCTTTTATCCCCATGACGCTGCATCTACACTCTCGCGTCTTTCTTCGTCACGATCCTCTTTCCCCATCCTCGCCCTCCGACACACCTCTTTCTTGCCGGACCTATGTCTCGCAATTCGACGCTTCTCATCTGCCTAGGCATATTCGCTTCCAAGCCTAAGGCATTTATCTCCGACATCATTCTGATCCATATCATTTATGGGCTTGATGGGGAAACTCCCCTGGGTGTCAAAATCTGTGAAAAAACTAACTACCCTTTGAAACAAAAAGAAAAAAACTAAAAATTTTGGAGGAGCATTCGATGCTGGATACTGTAAAGCATCTTATGAAATGACAATTATTCCCTTCAAATCAGTTTTGCATATTCTGGTAGACACTTCATTGTAGTGAACTTCGTACATACACATGTAGATATAACTTGGAAGTATTAATATCAATCCTATACTGTCCTCAACTGTCCTATACTGTATATGCGGAGTAAAAGACTCCGATTACGGAGATAAACTGCACAGAGTGGGGCTGCGGGAGACCGTATGGAATCTACAGCCCGAGGTTCAACTTCCCCAGTTTACCTATTATCATTGTCGCAATGGCTACAGCGAACAAGGACCAGACGGCTAAGGTGAGTCCTGGTTTATATCTTGTTCCTAGAGCTTTCTGCTAACTCTTATCTCAGCCCAGCGTCCTGCGCTCGATCCTTGCAGGCTCCACTGCTGGAGCCGTGGAGATTGGTATGGGAGTCCCGCATGTGTCATAGGGATTCATAGAATTATTGCTAATTCCTCGCAGCAATTACTTATCCAGCTGAGTGTAACGAACTTCGTTTTCATATCTCTTTCCCGGTCTTGTGAAGACTAATTGGCCATCAGTCGCTAAGACCCGAACACAACTCAACCGCCGACTCGCCGTCGGCGAGAAACTACCATGGCCGCCATTTGGCGCCCAGTGGTACGCAGGATGCACAACTCTCATCATTGGAAACTCGCTGAAAGCCGGAATTCGTACGCTCGTCTTAATCCCATTTTCCCCTACCTGGAGTTTGGTCTGACCTATGGGGTAATTGGCAGGCTTCGTTGCTTTCGACGCTATCAAGGCCGCCCTTCAGGATGAGAATGGAAAGATCTCGGGACCAAGGACTGTCGTGGCTGGTTTTGGTGCAGGTTTCACAGAGTCTCTTTTGGCGGTTACACCTTTTGAAAGTATTAAGACTCAACTGTGAGTATATTCTATGTTTCTCTGTGTACGAAAGTCCAGGATTAATGAGTCATCGTCCAGGATCGACGATCGAAAGGCCGAAAAGCCACGGATGCGTGGTTTCCTTCATGGTAGCAAGATTATCTGGCAGGAGAGAGGCATTCGAGGCTTCTTCCAGGGCTTTGTCCCTACTACTGCCCGACAAGCTGCTAACTCCGCAACCCGATTCACGGCCTATACCACCCTGAAGCAGTTTGCAGAGGGCTATGTTGCCCCTGGCGAAAAGCTAGGCACGCTCAGCACCTTTGCTATTGGAGGAATTGCTGGAATTATCACTGTGTATGTCTCGACTACGTTGGAATTGTTCAATTTCTCGCTCCCTGGTGCCCAAGATTAACCTCTCCAGTTACGTGACTCAACCCCTGGATACTGTCAAGACAAGAATGCAGTCTATCGAAGCTAGCAAAAACTACAAGAACAGCTTCGCTTGTGCGGCCAGTATCTTCAAGAATGAAGGATTCTTCACTTTATGGTCTGGCGCGGTCCCCCGACTGGCTCGGTTGATCCTGTCTGGTGGAATTGTATTTACTATGTATGTTCTGTTGGAGATGCTCGATTGTCTCGATGACGCTCCTACTAACTGCTATACAGGTATGAAAAGTCCATGGAGATGCTGGATCTCGTGGATCCTCAGCGTAAGTACCTTTAAAATTGATAGAGCTGGGTTTGGATTTGGGTCTGCGTTTCACTTTGATTCAATAGATTTGTAAAGATTTGTCTTCGGATCTATGAAAAATGAACTATATACAAGTGTATGGTATCTTCAAGTTTTTGATAGTAGTGTACATGGTTGGGAGGTGTAAGTCTCTCTCTATTTTTTCTCCTTCTTTTCCTTGATCATGTCTTCGGCCACCATTGCCTCAACTTCGCGGTCTGCCATCCAGGTCCGCACACTCTCCATGACCGTCTCTAGGCCATGACCTCCGTCTAGAACAGAGTCCAAGTTATGGATTGTCGTTCCGCTGCGATGATCTGTACAGCGACTCTGTCCAAAATTGTATGTTCGGATCTTGTCACCACGGCCCATTCGAGCTACTCCTCCCATAGCACCTCGGCGAAGATCAACTAGCTCCTGCTCTCGAGCTTCTTGACGTGCTTCCGCGATCTTGGCCCGAAGAATCTGCCAGGCTTTGCGGCGATTTGCATGCTGAGAGCGCTCATCTTGTATAGAAACCACAGTATTTGTAGGAATATGGGTCAATCGAATCGCAGATTCGGTTTTGTTCACATGCTGTCCACCCGCACCTCCAGCTCGCATCTTCTCGACTCGCACCTCCTGCGGATCAATATAGTAGTCACTGTTTGGGTCTTCGAAATTCAATGCACTGTCCATACCACCCCCACTTTCCGGGAAGCTGGGCAAAACCATCACACTGACGGCACTAGTATGAGTACGGCCCTTGGTTTCGGTGGCCGGCACTCTTTGAACACGGTGGACTCCGGATTCGGTACGTAGAATGTCATAGGCACCTTCGGCTTCGATTTCTATAACACCTTCACTGAGAAGATCCTCAGAGGCTCCAACTTCTAGATCTTGTTTCAAGATTGTTGGTCGCAGTCCTCGTTGTGAACAGAATGACATATACATGCGAAGCATCTCGTGCGCAAATAGACCTGCCTCATCACCTCCGGCTCCGGGTCTGATTTCAAGAAGACACGGGAGGTCTGCGAAAGGGTGTCGAGGGATTAAAGCTTTCTTTAATCGGTCTGATATCGCGGGTAAAGCTTCTCGGGTCGAATCCAGGTCCTCCGTCGCGAGAGATCGTAGCTCCTCGTCTGTGTCGCCATCTTCCAATAATGATTTCAGTTCAGCGATTGACTATCAGCCCATGATTATTAGCACTGGCCCTTGGTGTGTTTTACAACAAGGAAAGAGCCTACCTCGTTGGCCTTCTCCCATTCTTTTAGAACTGAGGTTACCGGGGCCAATTCTCCGGCGCGTTTGGCTACTGTCGCATCGAATGAACCCGATAATCGATCTGTCAGTTCGGAATGCTCGGAGACAAGTAATCGAGCTCGCGTTAGAAGCACCGGAGACAGGCTAGAATCTTGAGTAGGAGAATAGTTAGCACAGTACTAACCTATACCTAGGTATGATATTGGGCGACTTACCTGAATGTACATATCGGAGAAACAGACGATTGATCTGACCATATCTAGGTCGCAGTATCCGACTGCATAACATAGTTAAAAGAATGAAGGTGAAGGTGTGTTTCTAGTATCTTCAACCTCGATGTCTCCAGTCATGTGCTTTTGCGATAAGATTGTGTAATTTATGTAAATTACGTGTAAAGGCCACGGCGAAGTCATTAATTCCAAGGTTGTCGCCTCCAAGGTTGATCTTGTAGTTCACTCTTTATCTCTCCAACTTCTACTTTCTTTTTTAAACATACTGAGTAACTCTCAGTCATGTTCATTACATCTCCTTAATCTTAATCTAGGAGAATACTACAACTCTTATTTTAAAACAAAATTCGAATTCATCGAAATGCGCATCTCACTTGAACCGCTAACGGTCGTTCTGGCCTGTCTGTCCACAAGTTATGCCGTGCAGATTCCCCCCCGATACACCTCTCTCCGAATTGATTACCTCCGCCAAAGCCCACCTAGCAAAAGGTTCCCCACGAGATGCCCTAGTCTTCTTCGATGAGGCCGTCCTCCGTGACCCAGCAAATTACATTACCATCTTTCAACGCGGCGCCGCCTACTTATCCCTCGGCAGAAATGCATTGGCCTCAGAGGACTTCAATCGCGTACTAGAACTCAAGCCTGATTTCGAGGGCGCTTTACTACAACGTTCTCGTCTCAAGGCGCGCTCCGCTCATTGGAAAGATGCCCTCGACGATCTCGCGCGTGCGGGGAAACAGACTTCGAATGATTATAAGGAAATTGAAGAAGCCAGAGATGCGGCGACTTTGGCCTTTGCTGCGGAGAAGAAGGGTGATTGGGAATCTTGTGTCTCCCAGGCTGGTGTTGCAATCTTAAAGGCGAATACCGATCTTCATCTGAGACAGACTCGCGCGCATTGTCGATTTGAGAGAGGAGAGATCGAGGAAGGTGTTAGTGATCTTGCGCATGTTCTTCAGATCTCGCCTGCACTGGTTGAACCGCATTTGCAAATGTCTTCCATGCTTTTCTATGCCCTCGCCGATAGTGACCGTGGTTTGGCGCAGATTCGTAGGTGTCTTCATACGGATCCGGATTCGAAACTGTGTAATCGTCTTTATAAACGAGAGAGACAGTTGTCGAAGTCGATTGCGAAGTTGCATAGTGCTCTTGAGGCGCATAAGTGGAGTAACGCTGTGAAACTTATGGTTAGCAGTGCCGAGGACACTGGTCTTATTGAAGATGTTAAAGCGGATGTTGCGGAGGCGAGGGAGGCTGGGTATATTCACCCAGCGGCGTCGAATAATCTTTATGTTTTCCTGGTTGAGAAGACCTGTGAGGCTTATCGAGAGGTATGTGACATTTTGAGATCTGCTGATGGTTTCCTTGTGCTAATTATTATATTCTTTTAGTTAAAGATGGGTAAAAAGGCTGGTCCATACTGTGCTGAGTCCCTTCAGCTAGTCCCATTCTCTCTCCATGGTCTTTTGTACCAGGCGCAATCTGAGCTGGATGAGGATCGATTCGAGGAGGCTATCAGAACACTCAATACTGCTAAGGAACATCACCCACACTCCCAGGAGACTCAATCTATTTTGCAGAAGGCACATGCCCTTCTCAAGCGCTCTAAGCAAAAGGACTACTACAAGGTTCTTGGTGTCAGTCGCGACGCAGATGATCGAACGATCAAGCGGGCCTACCGTCAATTGACCAAGATCCATCATCCGGATAAGTCTGCCTCGCAGGGAGTATCTAAGGAAGAAGCAGAGAAGAAGATGGCTTCCATCAATGAGGCCTATGAGGTTCTTTCTGATTCTGAACTTCGAACTCGTTATGATAACGGCGACGATCCTAATGACCCTGAGTCCAACCGGGGAAATCCATTCCAACAAGGCGGAGGATTCGGCCATGGAGGTCAGCAGTTCTTCTTCCAGCAGGGTGGTGGTGGAGCTCAATTCAAGTTCTCTGGTGGTGGTTTCCCTGGCGGCTTTCCTTTCCGGTGATTTAGACTCTTTTCTACGTCTTACAGCAAATATACCGTGGTGTTTATAGGAGTATGCAGGCGATTTCCTGCCGATCATTACAAGCATTTCCCTCTTATTATCCCCAATTCTTCTCCTATGGTGTAGATCATGACTAGGCTTGTATTAAACGTAAATTGAATCTTGAATTATCACCTTCGCAGTCACTGACCATAGCTAGGGAGCATCAGTCAAAGGTACATAGCTAACCTGGAAGACCTTCTCTTTCTGAATCGATCCATCCGCCCGTTTATCAACCACCCAGATATACTGTCCTCCATTGGCACCAAGTGAAGAAGTCGAACCATTATTCTCTGATTCAACAGGAATGAAGAGTCTTCCAGGAGCTTTCAACTGCTCAATCAAAACAGGATGAAGAGTCTCCGCTGCCGCACCCACATGGATAGCATCATATGGAGCATTCTCCTTCCATCCCAATCGCCCATCGGCAGTAATCAACTTCACTTGTCCCGAATCCTGGAGTTCCCGGCCGTGTTCGGACTTGTTCATATTGGACTGTGCCAATTCTACGAGTTCGCGTATATGATCGATGCCAATCACTTGGCCTTGTCCTTCTGTTCCGGGTGTCCCGGTTACGAGATTCGCGAGTACGTGCGTAAGGTACCCGGACCCGGATCCAATGTCCAGGACTCGACATCCGGGCTGCAGGTGTTCGATTAGGTACTCACATGCGTGCCCGTGCATGTGGGGTGCTGAGATTGTAGCTCCGTGACCGATGGGTTGAGGGGAATCAGAGTATGGACGCGAGGGTGCGTAGTGGGCCCGGTCAACCTGAGTGGATCAGCTCGAGTTCTCGTGAATCCGGGACGCGTTCCGGTGGACGTATATGTATCATGGAGAAGAGGGAGATAGAGATATGAAATAAGTAAAAACTTGCAGCTACTTACCCCTAGCATGGCCTCCTTGACTCGTTCATTCTTGATCAACCCAACCTTGAATAGATTCTCGATTAACTCGGTATTGGTGGACCCGGAGCAGTACCACGCCATTGCTAGGGTCCTTGCTTGTCTGGGTGATTGGAATAGTTTTGTTAGTCGATTGAGCAATCGCATGTAAGATCCTGATTTGAAGAGATGAAATGGTCGAGTTCAAATTCTCAGTGGATTCGAGATGAATTGAGTTGAGGTTCGAGTGTTAAAAGTGACGCCATGCTCTCCTCATGATTCCACGTGACGTATCTGATTAAATCTCGAATTATCTTAGTATAATCATGATATTAAGAAGATACTTCACTTATTGAGATTTCTGTCTGTTTCAGGTTATATTATGAATTTTTAGAATTATAGGATCAATGCATATTGTGATGTAAATCAATTGTTGATAGTAATATGATGATCATGCAGTGATAGTACAGTCAACTCTCACTTATTGTAAACCCTTCCATCCAAGCAAAATATGTTACAATAACTGAATGTTGCAATAGTGAGAGATGACGTAATCTTTATTTTGGATAGCCCTAAGCCCTATTTCCTATTTAGGTATCCACCCCATAGCATCCAAAGTCACCTGACGCTTCTCATCATTCTGAATCCTAGTAAACTCATTGATCAAGCCCTCAACCTGTCGAACATGGTGCTGCGTGCCTTTTTCTTTGTTCCCAATCCATAGTAGAATATCTTGTAGATGCCCTAATACATCGGAATTAGACGGAAGATCTGGGAGGGCCAGATATATATTCGTCGCTCTCCTCCGTGGTAGTACATATCCCTTCATCAACTGGCTGCTCTGGTATATTACCTTCATCTGAAGGATCAAAGAATTGATCAAATGGTATGATATCATTATCATCACCAAGTTTTTCAATTACTTGATTATATAGAGCCCCAATTTCCTCATTTAAACCAGGCTCAATAAGTGAAGATGGCTTAGCGAATAAGGATGTAGTCATAGGATGAGATCTTGGATGAACCAGAGTACTTTTAATAAAGCAATTTTGAATGGTTTTATCAAGAACTTGGTTTCTCCAAACCTGAGTAATCCAAACAAGTGTATAATAGATACTCATCTTCTTACGAGGATTAAGTCCACAATCAAGGATAGCAATCATCCACCGTATCCATTTCTTCCGATAATAATGCTTCAGATTTTGGATAATTCCTTAGTCCAAGGGTTGATAAATCGACGTTATGTTTGAGGGGAAGAAGACAATCTTAATACAGGGTAGTGGTGGTAACACCAATAGTATAAGGTAACATATGATCCAATAATAACAAGACTTGTCTATCCATACTGATACACCCATAAAAAGAGCGTAGCCAGTCTTCCATAATATCATAACGCATCCATACAGCATCATTATAACGCCAGATACATCCAAGAGCTTGGATATTAACTCCACAGAGAGCACGAGGGGTTTTTGCTATCCCAATCAACCATAAAGGTACCCGGTCTGAACCAGTTGTATTTAATATAACAACAACAGAAATTTAAGTCTTATCTTACTTTTGCCCTACTATCTTTCCTTTTGAGAGACCCCTATTAGGTATTTATCGCTAATAAAGCCTAGTTTTATCTATATTATAGATATCCTCTAGATTATATTGGTTATAAATTACTTGGATAGGATTAATATCCTGATGAATTGAGGAAGTGTCAGCAATTCAGGCTGATTGTGTGCCTGGATTCCTGGGATGAAAAGTGGCTCTTTTTGGTCCAAAGGTTATGCTGACTAATTCATCCCGCGATCAAACATTTCCGTTGCGAAATGAATGATATGGTTTTGATCTGATCTATCAGATCAAAGATGATCTTCTCTCGTCCGAGAAGATCCGCAACCCGAGCCCCGTTGTTAGGATCAATGGTTGCAAGATGAGATGAAAGGACTCGATTATTTCGGATTCCGTAGCCCTTTCGTCCCATATCCTGAGACCTTTGGTCTCATGTTTGTTTAGTCTAAAGTTCTATAAAACCTGATCTTACCCCTTAGCTAGTTTAGCATCGAATTCAATCGTTTTTGGATCAGTTGTATCTTTGTTTGATTCTTTCCTTCCATTCCATCCTAAGTTCGGATCCAGCTTGGTCGTATGTCATTCCATCTGATCCGTGTTGTCTGATCTTTTGGTCTTATCTTTACCCTTTCCTCCCAAGTCCCCTGTAACTTGGTATTCCCTGTTCAGCTGACATCCTCTGCGTGACGTCATCACCTCTGGTCTGTCCCCGACACGCTGAAAGGAAGGGACTAAGGCAGCTTCTCTATGGAAAGTATGATATCGAAGAGAATGACGGTTTTTGAATCGAGTAAGCCAACCCTCAGAGAATTGTGGTTTTGGATGATCTCGATATTTAGGTATTTTATTCTAAAGCTTAGCTGCTTTATATTAGATTAAAGTACTAGTTATTAGATACCCTTCAGTAATATGCCTATCTGCCCAGTCAGAGAGCTTTTGGTCTAATATAGGCCAATAGGAGGATGATACGCGCATACTTGTCCCTGCAGGACCTGTATCAAGGTATTCGTATTGGAGGAAATGATTCTTGATACTGATGCACGGCTAATGTGGTATTTAAATTGGGTGTAAAACCAATCAGCACACTCTCTTTGATTAGGAGAGGGGGTAGAATTAGACCAAAAGGCACATAGAGCCTGCTTCTGCGCATCTGATATACCCTGTCTCATACGCTTTGCTGGGGGGGCCGAAGAATTTGCAGATTGAGACATCCTGATTGGTCAGAATAGAAGATGACTAAGCACTGATGGGAGGAAAAGGTGTGCAATAAGTGAATTTTCAATAAGTGAGTAATTTATTAGTAGATAGCGACAAAAGTGGGTCCATCCAAGCGAGGAGGCTGCTATAACCGGGGTTTTGCTATAACCGGTTGTACAATAAGTGAGAGTTGACTGTAGTAGTATGTAGTAGTACAGAGTATATGGGAATATATAAACACTAGTGGAGCACTATACATATGCTCCATCAATTCCTGATCAAAATTCTATGATCCTTGAATATGTATAGATTGTAGCTAAAATTCAATATACAGAAATAAAAAATAATATTCATTAGAATTTACTATATATAAGACCAATACAATAAAAAATGGGAGTATAATCAAGGTGAATACTAATTCACATATGTTGTGTCAAACGTTTGAACTGCGGGGCGATAGATCATATCCACTTCAACTTTTTCCATTTCCCCCTTACATTCAAGCTACCACCTGGGCAGTTCACCTATAGCTCCAGGCTACCTCCTGAGCTTCGTCGGGTCTTCTTCCACCGATCGCTAAGAAAACCCCTCAGAACATGCCATCTTAATTACAAATCCCAAAATGCCATCAGCTTGGCCAACCTGGGTCCTGGAGGACCTATCTCTTGCCCCAGAACCCCGAAACATATCCGCCGACCCGGAAACGCGCCTAGACGTGGATTGCATGATCTTGGATTACCTCGGCTGTCGTGCCATCTATGAAACACTTGCACTCATTGAGAAACAACTACGGAATGAAGATTATACCCAGGATGAGGAGGAGGTCAATTGGCAAGTTGATACAGTGAGAGGTAAGGAGAGATGGACTCGATCGCAGGGTACAAGTTCCTGATCTTTTTGCGATTATAGGGTTTAGAATGAACTTAGATGTCGCTCTGCCTGATACTCATCTCCCCGAAGACCTTGATATCAAATTCCGAATCCTGAGCCTAGCGGATCACCTTCGACGTGTCGGTATCCGATCTGAAGACTCAGACCAAAACCGCCCGTCAATATCACAATTTGGATTGGAATTCAGGGATCTGTGTCTTACTGCGATCGCCAGAATCTGCGAGCTACGATGGTTCGATACGACTGCTCGACTCATCATTCAGGCATTACTCGATGATAAGCGCCGAGGACACCAGCAGTTTTCGCAGGAAACATTAAACCTTTACTCGTGGACCCCCGGAGACCCAGAGCGAGACGCAGTTTGGTCGAAAGTCAGATACAGTTACCTCAGTGATTTGGATATCCGGGTGGAATTTCCGGAGCAGTTATTCGCTGACAATTATTCGATTGAGGAGTTTAAGGACGTTTCAATGACCTTTTTACGTGATCTTATGATGGTCATGGATGAACCTGTTCTGCTGCAGCTTGAGCGAGGGAAACTTTGGGATTTGACTCCCGAGGAAACACAAGATTTGAAGACTCGATGTGGGCTGAGATGAGAATGTGATCGTGGAGATTAACGATATCAGTTGTGAATCTCAGATGCGAAACAACGCGTTATACCACCCCAACAACATTAATTCTCGCTGTATTGTTACAGAAAATCAGGATCAGGACATATCGGAATGGGATGAGCTCAATCTCAAGCCCGTGGTATCCAACTTGTCATTACTTAGCTGCCAATCTCCAAGGTTGTCTTGGCTATATAAGGATGGCACTGGAGAATGACCCAAGCCCATCACGCCGAGCGCCATTGAGAAGGAGAGAAGCTAAAAGCTCGTCAAGCACAGAGAAATGCTTAGTTACATACAGGCATGTCCCTGTTACCGAGGAAGGGAATCAGATCAGGATCGGAGGGAATGAAGAAACGCCACCAATATTCAAATGGCAGTCATATTTGAAATCGAATAATCTACAGTGGAGGCAATGGTTGCTCTAGTATCACACAGTTCAACCACAGGTCAACATGGTCAACATGCTATTTAACCGAGCAGCATGCGGCGGGGGTCCTCAATGTACTCCTTAACCTGAGAGAGGATTAGCATAATCTTCAAATAGCATAATAGAAGAGACATACCTTAACGAGGAAAGTGACGGCCTCACGGCCATCCAGAAGACGGTGGTCGTAGGTGAGGGCGAGGTACATCATCTATTTGAATCAAATATTAGTATATCATTCCTGTGCAAGGAAGTAGATGGGATAATCATACAGGGCGAATCTCAACCTTGCCGTTGATGGCAACGGGCTTGTCCTTGATAGCGTGGAGACCCAGGACAGCAGTCTGGGGCAAGTTGATGATGGGAGTACCCATCAAAGAACCGAAGACACCACCCTACATTAGTTAGCATTGTCATCAGATCAGAGTGTCAGTGAATGGACTCACGTTGCTGATGGTGAAAGTACCACCGGCCATATCCTCAATGGTCAGCTTGTTGTCACGGGCCTAAACCTCAAGTTAGCATTATGTATACTTGTGAATGAATTTCAGAATGAATTTCAGTGCTGTTACCTTCTTGCCCAGGTCAGCAATAGACTTCTCAATGCCAACAAGATCCATAGTCTCAGTGTTGCGAACAACAGGGGTAACGAGACCCTTCTCAGTGGCAACAGCAACACTGATGTCAACGTAATCACGGTAGACAATGGTGTCACCGCCGTTGGGGCCCTCAATGGAGGCGTTAACAGCAGGGACGTCCTTCATGGCCAGAACACAGGCGCGGGAGAAAGCGCTCATGAAGCCAAGCTTCACACCAGTCTTCTTAAGAACATCATCCTTGTAGAGCTTGCGGAGCTCCATGAGAGAGGACATGTCAACCTCGTTGAAGGTGGTCAGGGAAGCAGCGGTGTTCTGGGACTGCTTAAGGCGCTCAGCAATGCGAAGACGCATACGGTTCATCTTGACCTATTATACAATAATATGGTTAGCTTAAGTGACTTTCATATTGCAGTAGGATCGTAAAACGTACGCGACGCTCCTCACGGTTACCCTGGGTAGGCTTGGTCTCGGGCTCCTTGGCCTCAACCTTGGGGGTCTCCTTCTTGGGAGCAGCAGGCTTAGGGGGTCTCAGCCTGCTTGGGCTGCTCAGCAGCGGGAGCGGCAGTCTCCTTGGGCTTCTCAGCAGCAGGCTCGGCGGCCTTCTCGGGAGCAGCCTCCTTGCCACCAGCAGGAGCATCACTCAGCTCCATCTTGACCAAATCCTGACCAACGGTAACAGTATCCTCCTCAGCGACCAGGAACTCCTTAATGATACCAGACTCGGGAGCATTGACGGAAACATCGATCTATGAGACAAAAAGACGTCATGTTAGAAAATTTATGATCTAGCAAGAATATAGATATGTCAAGTGATCTTACCTTGTCAGTCTCAATAGTCGCAATCTCCTCATCACGCTCAACAAAGTCACCAACCTCTAAAGTATATGTTAGTATGCTCGGAGTTAAATTCCTTGTATTCACATGAGGATGGCGAGTTGCATACGTTTGGAAAACTGCTTCAGGGTACCCTCTGTGATAGATTCGGCCATCTGGGGGACCTGGACGACCTTGTCGGCTATGATAATGGTGTTAGTGATGCTATTGTATAGGTATATAAACCAGGATCAATCGGTCGGACTCACCATAGGTGCGAATCTGGGAGCCCACGTAGGGAGCAAGGTTGCGCGAGACATTGATTCTGCGATATAGTTTAGTGATTGCGCATAAGACCTATACAAATATAAAAGAAACAAAGTAATTACCCTGATGAAGCCTGGAGCAGACCGGAAGCTCTGGGGATAGAATTGGTTCGGGACAGAGTAGACAAGCTCTGAGCACCACGAAGTCGGCAAGGACCGCGAGAGGCTCGGGTCAAAGTCGCCAAGCGCTGACCGGAAAGACGCGCCAAAGGAAGTCGGGCAGCCATTGTGTAATTTAAAATGAAAAGAAAAAGAGATCAAATCAAACGTCTCCAAAGGAGAATCTTGGAGAGTAAAACAAAGGGGGAAAGGGGAAAAAAAAGAGGCCCAAGTTCTCTTGTTACGTAGCCGAAGGCCAAAAGGTTCCCGAATGCCGAGATGCGGAAGTTCTGGAGGCGGCAGTGGAGTAATGTTTTTACGGCTCTTCGGTTACGCATATTGACCTACTTGGTACTTTGTTAACAAATGAGCTCTGTTTCAATAGTCACCCCGGGAAGCATCAACGGCAGCGACTACAGCATAACCTCCAAGCTTTTGGCGCTTTCAGATTTATCTGATATTGAGTGGATATCAGTGAAATTGATCTCTGTTCAACTTAATTCATTGAACTTCTTAACCCAGAAAGAGATCGCAAAAGAGCGTGCACAAAATGTCCGCATCCGCCGCTTTGTGAGTGACCTGCGCCGTTGGATATAACTCATTGGGAATGACTTCAATTTCTAACTAGAGATAGATCCCTGTATCGCCGATCCTTGAAGCAGTCCCTGGACTGGGCTGTTGACCGCCGAGTATGGCGCGGCCAGGCCGTTTACATCCGCTCGCTCTTCGAGGCCAACAAGGACGTCCGTGATCCCCGCCAGCAACAGGTCCGTTACCCCCCGAGATTCTCCGATAAAAGTCCAGGTTGTTGACATGAAATCAGGTTCTGCTGCGTGAGACAGAAAAGCTGTTGGAAGAGTGGAAGCACCCAGATCCCTACCGCCCACCTACTGCCCCTGGTGGTATGTCTGATCTTAATCTTGATACTGATTTTGATAGTAGGATATGGCTGACATTGATAATAGGAAACAAGTGGGAGCGCAATCTGCCTGCCCGTATTCTGCCATGTATGTGAAAGGTCTCCTTCTAAATGGATTCAAGTTGTACTAATTTGTGTATAGATGCGGCTCCTCCCGGTGCTCACTAATTGGGATTCTGCATGGAGGGAGCACAGGGATCAAGGAGATGTGGACTATTTCTTTTCTAATGCGAAATTACCCGCTTGTATTCAGATTTGGCATATACAACAATGCAATGAAACCATCAAAATCGTACACTGTGTATACTTGATGTAAGAAATGAATAGGAGATGGTCCAGAATCAACACAGTGTAAACCATGAAATTGGAATGCAATTGCAAAGAGGATAATGCAGAGAATACAAGTAACAACTACAAGGGAAGAGAAGTAAAGTCTGATGGACCTAGAATCGTTTCATTGATCCGGGCGTGTGCCCCTGGGCTATCCGAGAAAAAGCTGAAAATCCCATCGAACTAGAGTTCGTCGGTATCATTCCATGCCCGCAGGCATAATGTACAACCAGGAAACTGAAGAAAGAAAACGCAGAGCCATAACGTGCCCGTCCCATAACCCCATTATCGTGAAAAACCAACCCACGCCGGAAAACAAACAAATAAAACCCGCGAAAGAAAAGGAACCGTCTACAGCTCCTGGCTACCACCGGCCTTGGCCTTGGGGGTCTTCTTGGGGAGAAGGTCTGAATCGAAATGTTAGGTGCGGATCGTGTATAAAGCGGGGACGGAGAAAACATACTCTGGTGAATGTTGGGGAGGACACCACCCTGGGCAATGGTGACGTGACCCAGAAGCTTGTTCAGCTCCTCATCGTTACGGATGGCGAGCTGGAGGTGACGAGGAATGATACGGGTCTTCTTGTTGTCACGGGCGGCGTTACCAGCCAACTCGAGAATCTCGGCAGCGAGGTACTCAAGGACGGCAGCGAGGTAGACGGGAGCACCGGCACCGACACGCTGAGCGTAGTTGCCCTTGCGGAGCAGACGGTGGACACGACCAACGGGGAAGGCCAGACCGGCCTTGGAGGAACGGCTAAAGAAGAAGAAAAAAACGCGTATTAGAAATTGGAAATCCAAGAGTGCAAATCAACTTCGGTATTGTTTGGAACCCGAATCTTCGCGTCATGACGCGTATACTGGATTTTCAAAACATCTCCAAGTATGAGAGAATGGACTTACGACTGAGCGTTCTTGCTGCCGCTAGCCTTGCCACCAGACTTTCCGCCAGTCATTTTGAATGTGTGGATTTGAAAAAGGGGGAAGGGTTTTAAAAACGGGTTGAGTGAGTTAGAGAGATGTAGAAGTCGATGAAGCGTGGATGGTAGAAAGGGAAGCAAGAGGAGGGGGCGTGGAGGATAGCGGAGGGACTTTATAAGAACGCGGTGAGGGTGACGTTGACTTGTTATCAATGAGACTCAATCAGATCACGCACTCGCTTAAAAGGATCGACCAATCATAATGGAGATCACAGACAAGCGGATGATCCAGATCAGGTTTAGTGGAGTAATTTATGGGTGTTACGGTACAATACATTGGACCCGCGTGATCTGCGGGTCCCTTCCCCCACCTATTCATATAGTAAAACGCGTCTGGGTCCAGTTTAATCATACAGATCATACCAACCTCTTACTGTATTGAAATTCTCCCTCCTTTTCTGCACTCCCAGGATCAACTGCCCGTTGGCGGTCGAGTATAAAGACCGCGTTCCCCTCCGTCACCGCGTTCCTCTTACTTTTACTTATTCCTCAACCCTGCTCTTCCTCCATCAACTTCATCCACTTTCTTAACTTTTTCAACCCTTTCAACTTTACCTTTCTCACCCATCATCAAAAATGGCTCCCCCCCAAGGCTGCTGAGAAGAAGCCCTCTACTGCCGGCAAGGCTCCTGTCGGTGGCAAGGCCCCCGCTGAGAAGAAGGAGGCTGGCAAGAAGACTTCCGCTGCCACTGGCGAGAAGAAGAAGCGTGGCAAGACCCGCAAGGAGACCTACTCCTCCTACATCTACAAGGGTGAGTTTTTTGATGATCGCGACGCGTCAATATCACGAACACGCGCTAATGTTTTGGCGTTGCAGTCCTCAAGCAGGTTCACCCCGACACTGGTATCTCCACCCGTGCTATGTCGATCCTGAACTCCTTCGTCAACGGTATGTTTCAACTTTGATTACTTTACGCTCTTCGCGTTTTTCTATCTTCATCATTCTGACTTATTTAATTCAGACATCTTCGAGCGCGTTGCCACTGAGGCCTCCAAGCTGGCTGCTTACAACAAGAAGTCCACCATCTCTTCCCGAGAGATCCAGACCTCCGTTCGCCTCATCCTCCCCGGTGAGCTGGCTAAGCACGCCGTTTCTGAGGGTACCAAGGCTGTTACCAAGTACTCCTCCTCCGCCAAATAAGCGGACTCTGGATTTTTCGTTTCTTGCGGGATTGCTTTTCTTTTTACTGCCTCTGATCTGTTTTTTTTCTTGGGTTCTGAGGCGGTCGGTTATGGGTGTTTTGCGGGTTTTCTAATGTGTCATGGGATGGTCTCGATTTTCTTTTCCCCAATGGGCGACTTTTTCTGATGGTTACTACTCGATGCGCGCGGTGTAACATAACTCAAGTATGGGGTTTGGTTATCATTTTTTAACCTCCCCTAACTAGAACGCGAAATTCCAAATGCTTGATCGCATTTCAATTTTTCTCTTTTTTCTAAATCTGCTTCCCTTTCCATTCTGTTTTTTTATCTGCTGATCAAAATATGACGCTTACTTGTGTCTTGTAATCCAAGGTTCGTTTCTGATTTCTGGATTCTGTGTCCAAGGTTGTTTGCAGCTACACTATTCACAGTTTCGCCTACTCCATCTCGTCAGAATCGTCCAACGCCTCGACTTCATATACTGCCGATGATCTTCCCGATCCCTGCTCCAATCTCGGTTCTGTCAATATGTGAATGATCGGCTTTCCCGGCGTATTTCGAACCCGCTCCTTCCAATCGACCCAATCAGCCTGATCTTTGATCAAAAATCCAATCAACATGCTCGGATCCATGTCTTTGAGGTGAATTCTCCGTAACCGCCGAGTATGATAGCTCTCTCGTTCTTCTGGGGTATATGGCTTCTCGGGCGATCGATATGGCAGCGTGGGGCGTGTGATGTGGGGATCAAGGAAGAACAGGTGGGAATCTTGTACGCCAACAAAGTAGTGCGATGCGGAGGGGCGTCCACTATGATCAAATTTGGTCAGTTTTGTATTGATTTCCTCGATCGGTGGCGTCAACTTGGCAACTTACCCTGCCACTCCCACGGACTGTGGGTACTCAAATGCCGCTCGCAGACCATCCCAATATACGGCAGTCACTTGTTCGATCCCCAATCGTAACCCAAGGAGAATCAGAGTTGGCTGAAATCGCCCTGTTTGAGAACAAGCTACCCGCATGAATTGGTCCTCGTAGACATCCGAAGTATCATTAGTAACGTAGACCATTAATCTTGGGTTCTCGCACTGTGTTGATAAGCTCCTAGACTAGATCAGCTTTGGTTCTGTGAACAGTGATCGGGGCACTTACTGGATGCATCGTGCTGTTGCCGATGGACCAAACCATTCCCCAGGATATTTTCCGCATGAGTCGGCGCCACACTGAACAAATCGATGTATTGAGAATGGAGCCGCCGGATGATCTGCGAACATGGCCAGTAGCTTCGATTCCTCCTCAAGCCGATCGCCTTTTCGCCAGGCTGGACACCTTATCAGCCACGCGTACCCTCTCTAGTGTTGAGTAAACACCTACCTCGGCCAAGTAGTAACATGCTGAGTGCATTTGCCAAAAGACTTTGACCTGATCGAATCATACAGCCCCACCCAGCATCAGAGGTGAACCCTTGTGAATCCATAAGCTGACTTCGCAGCCGGACGCCCAGCGTCATCGCGGATGTTGCATCGGGGCTCTGGCTACGTGGGATAGGAGGGAAGTTGGAGCGATATGTCATCCATATTCGTGATTCAAAATCAGCTAGGAATTCCTCGGGCCATATGCTCTTGGTTGAGCTTGGTGATGTGGCTGTCGTATCTCCATTCTGCTGTGTGCCTGCGTATTGTTTAGTGTGATTTTCCCAGTATGTTTCTATATCACTACTTGACCTCGTGAATAAGGCATACCTTGTGTGTTGTGGTTCGAGTCATGGGTCGGATGTGGGGGATATCGTTCACCTAGACACCAGATCGATGCCTCTGGTGTTGTGTCATTCTTAGGTTCTGGATCCCAGAAGTATTGAACAATACGCTTGCATCTTTCCAGATCCACTCCCGCCATCTCGAAATATTTCCACTTTGAATTTTGCCTGGTGAGGTTCTTGTCAGATGGAGGAAATGAGAGAGAGTCGTGGTCACGTTGTTTCTGATGGGGCGGAGAATGATAGTTGGGAGAACCGTCGAGGGGTTCCGTAGTAGAAAGGAGGACCATCGATATATATCTTTGGATGATCACCCGTAAACCCGATAACTCCACAGGTGTAATAAACACAACATGAACGTTCCAAAAAAATTGAGATATCCGTTCAATAAAGATCGGAATGAGGAAAAAAATACTGTAGAATCACATTTCATAAAAAAAACAGAAGCAAGTTTTATAGATGGAAGAAGATCACGAAATATGAGTTAGAAGATCATGGGGTATGCTCCGACGTCACTGTACGGATGCCTGATTACTGCCTTATCATATGTCGCCTTGTTGCCTTAATGCCTGACTCAGATGCAGTCAACTGGTTCAATGTCAACTGTCCGTGGGGCACATGTATTTCAAGGTCGTCAACTGGTGTATTATCTAGCACCTGGAACGCAACTGGATCCCCTGTTCCCCACCGCCCTCACATCTTACCCCCCCACTCTAGATTCCCAAAACTTCCATTCTTTCCTGCTTCACTTCACTAGTCTTTACCTCCCACAATATTATGGCTCGCCATGGCAAGTCAAAGCATCGGCCTAAACCGCTCAGGCCTCCGGCGATGGCCAGTAAGTCTTTTGACCTATCCAGACATCCAAACTCAGCGCTTATTTATCTCCAAGAACCATCGCCACCCCAATTTACCATGCAGGAAGAGGCCCGCAATACTGAATTCCATCCCCGATCCTGGGCGCACAGCAAGCTTAGACATAAGGCCGTTAAATTCGTGAGCGCAGGGCATCTGCAAGGAAGTAACAACGAGGCCGATAAGGAAACCGATAAGACAAACTCTCCGACAGAGACCGAGAAAGAGGCGACCGAGCTTGAAACAAAAGATTCATCGGAACCAGAGGAGGATGATGGAGACGATTTCTTTGTTTTGGACTCTAAAGGAGCAGATGTCGAACCTACAGGACTTCCGAACCCCGTCGCATACGTTGATACTACGGATAGCGAGTCCAGTGAAGATGAAGTCGTCTTCACTGGCCGACAGAACAGCCGGAAGCCAGTCATCATCGAGACAGACGCGGTTGAGCTCCAATTCTACTTGCAAACACTCTCGAAACCGCAGCCTCTGGCTGACTCTACCCATCACTCCTCTACCACACACCATCATACACCGAAACAAAGCTATTCATCGGAGGAGGATCTTGGCACACCAGAAGATAGCAACTCAGGCATAGGTCAAGAATCCAATACAGAAGAACTCTTGCAAGCACAAGTCGAAGCTGGGGTCGGGATTGAGGTCGCAGGGCTGGAGGAGGAGATGCAAAGTCATTCTATGGAAGAGGCGGAAGTTCAAGGTTCAATCGACGGTAAGGTGTCCCACCGGCGTATGAACCAAATGTTTCAAAACTTACTTCATGGGTGATGTGAGACTGACACATCATTTCATTAGTGCTCTCCAAAATCCATTTGGATACCGAAGCCAATTCGTCCTCAAGCTCGGACGATGATGATATGGACATGAGCTTATCTGATGAATCCGAGGATGATGATTTGGACGATATGGATGACGAGGGTCTACTTGAAGAACTGGCCATGAGCTACAGAAATCAAGAACGAGACGCTGGGAGCGGTGCTTTCCCATCAGCAACAGCATTCGCGGATGCGCTTGACAAAGATCCCTACTACGGTCTTGACATTATGGACTTCGACCGACCGAGTCTGCAAAAGAAATCCAAGAGCAAGAGAGCACCCCAACTTCAGGATCTCTTGCTCTCGGACAGCGACCTAGAATCCTATCTAGAAGGGGTCTGGCAAAAGGACCGCACCAAAAAGAAGGCCAGGAAACAGGAACGAGAAGAGCTGCGCGCTCAAGGTTTATTGGGTAGAAAGCCAGGAGATGCTGACCTCGCCGTTAAATATGATAAGGGGATGAACCTGGAAGAGTTGATCTCCGAGATCAGGACATTCCTTCTTTCTTCCAAAACCAGGTATGTATCGAATTCAATTATTCACATTCACATCCACATCCAACCATGATCATCGTGAGATCAATTGCTAATACAAGGTCACAGTCTCTCTCTACCACCAATGACAAAACATCGACGAAAGACGATCCACGAAATGGTGGGCAAAGTGCCGTTGAAATCGCAGTCTCGTGGTAATGGTCCATCTCGATTCCCTGTTCTCATCAAAACATCTCGTACACCCCAGTACACACGCAAGACCATCTCCCAGTTCGATAATCTCTTTTCTTCAAAGAAGTTCAATCGTCGGATCTTCCAATCCTGGGGTCCGGATACACACAAAACAGCCAAGCCCAAGCGGGGAGGCGGAGGCGTCACTGCTGGAGTGTCATACATGGATGGTGATGTGGTAGGTGGATCGGCACCTGAAATTGGTGCTGGAAACAGAGGACGAGCCATGCTGGAGAAGATGGGTTGGAGCAGTGGAACGGCTCTGGGTGCCATGAATAACAAGGGAATTCTTCAACCTGTCACGCATGTGGTCAAGAACTCACGCACGGGTCTTGGCTAACATCTTGTTCAGTGTTTCTTTCTTTTTCTTCTAGAGTTATTCTACTCCCCCAATAATGCTTTATAGACATAGATCATAAACTCATAACTTTCTACATAGAGACAACTAGCCTCCAAACGTTTCTCATGATATCCCACAAATTAACTGAAAAAAAAAAAAATTCCATGCTCACTTCATCGCTTTTTGTTCTTCGCCTTAGTAGTCTTCGTAGCCTCTGGTGGCTGCGCGTGGGTCGGATTTTCTTTAATATGCGCAAATAATTTCGTCCTCGAGGAAAACGCAGCATGGCAGTTCTCGCAAAGGGTGCCTGTAACATCGTCATCACCCTTGGCAGCCTTCTTTGCTCGTTTTTGCTTCGCCTTCCCCACTCGAGGGACATCTGGTTTATCGTCAAGCCCAGAGGCTGAAAGTTGTTCAGTTAATGAAGTCATACTATTCCCCAGTGGGGACTTATTGTCTTGATCGAGTCTTGTTTGAACGAATTCTCTTGACGCGTAGTCATCATCGTCGACTGAGCTTAGAGAAGCGCGTCTTGAGCTAGGGTTGGGAGACAGATGCTTGGGTTCATCTGTATCGGAAAGTGGCACCGCAAGCTCCTCATCCTGGTTGGCCTCAATCTCGCCAACGACAGAACCTTCTGATGGGTGATCAGACAAGTCGATATCGTGATCTTCCTCATCACCCGTGACCATGACATAAGTCGCAGGAGTGGGATCGTCCAAATTTAGATCATCGTTTTCCGCGCGCATTTCACGACACAGCTGCTTCACAGCCTTGACGTGTTTTCTGCTTTTCTCATGGGCCTCGAATTGCTTTTCGCTCTTGAAGGTTTTGTTGCAGACCACACATTCAAAGCTCTCAACCTCACTTTCGGAGCTCTCTTCTTCATACGGAATAGGTTCCTCGGAACGAGCCCATTCCGGAATAACATGATCGCGCATTTTGGCTTGATTCATAGCTCGAGATCTAGCCGCTTGAGCAGCCGCTGACTGGCGGAGGGTCTCCTGGCGCTGTGCTTCATTCTGAGCATTCGCTTGAAAACGTGGGTCTCGTTTCTTCACGAAAGCCACCAGTGACCTCACAGTATCGTTGAACTCACGAATCCCTTCCTCGCGAAGACGACGATTCTCCTTCTCCATCAATCGTCGGACTCGGCGGTCTGGGGCTTCCGAGTAGCGATATTTATCTCTCCAAGCAAAGGATTTCCGAGTACTGAAACCAGCCCACACGTTATAGAATGGGCGTACAACAACTTCGAAGTGATCATTACGACCTCCAAATGAGGGGTAGTCGACCGTCTCTAGACACTCTGCTTCGCATGCTAATCTTTCTTCCAGCGCTAACTTGGTAAACTGTTCTTGAAGGCCACCAAAGAATCCCGTCGGAGCATCGGAGAACTCCATGCGAGGGCTAAATAACACGAAGATCTTGAGAACCTCGTCTGCCGTTGTCATTCGCACATTATGCATATGCGGGGCTCCATCAGAGTTTCCCTCGGATCCTAAGAACGCGTCGCTATGGGAATCATACCAGGCACGTTCCTGGGAATCGGAGAGGACCTCGTATGCGGTTTGAATTTCGGCAAATAGTCGCGTTGCTTCTTCGACATTTCCGTAATTTCGATCAGGATGGAGTTCGAGGGCTTTTCTGCGATAGGCTTTCTTTATTCTGTTCCGCAAATCATAGTTAGTTTAGAACTGTTTTATACCAGATGTTCATCATAGTGTGTATATGGAACTTACTCATCATCTGTTGCTGCAGGAGTCACACCTAGTAGTTCATAATAGTCGGTTTTTTGAGCTACCGGTTGTGGCCCGGGGGCTTTTGAGCCCGTAGATTGAGATTGACCCATTCGAAAGACTGATTTATGAAAGGAAAATAATATAAAGAAATGAAAAAAAGACAGAGAATAAGGAGAAAGAGTATTGAAGTGTTGAAGTATTGAAGTGGGATTAAAAAAAAAAGTAGATTCTACTCCGTATGTAATCTTGGGCTTGGCATTATTACCTTCTCCGCGTTCCCCTCTCGTCTTTATCTCTTACTCTTCCTATCTCCAGGATCATGCTCGATCATCATTTTCAAGGTCCAACGCTGGCGTTGACTTCGCCTGACGACTGTATTCTAACCATCTGAGTGTTTATACACATTTGGGAGTTTCTTCATTGCTCTAGTACAAGATTGAAAAATACCTTGAACCTGCCCAACCCATGGTTAGGTTCCGCGTCATTCTCATTCTCTTCTTTCCCTCCTTTCATTAGGCCAGGGTTTTTTGTTATTCAAAATAATCCACAGGGATGGTTTTGTCTCTGAATTGCCTCCCAGAAGAGATCCTTCATGCGATTCTATGTGTCTCACACCCTCGCTCCACTGCTACATTGGAGCAGACAAGCCGCCGGTTCAAGAATGTGACGAACGAGCCGCTTTTATGGCGCTATTACTGCAAAGTCTACTATAAGTCGTGGGATAAAAAACATGCAATCTCTCAGAAACTCTCGGAGCCTGCCTCATCGACCGACTGGAAGCAACTCTTCATTTCGAGATTCCACGTCGATCACTCTGTCGCCCGACTCTTGGATAGTATCCTTGCGAGTCAAACTGGACGCATTGAAAAATTTCGGGCTGTTATTAATTTTGGGTTCGATGCTAAGGATACTTTGGTTCGTCACAGCAGAGTGGAATCGGGGGAGGATCACCTGGCCAGAAGGTGAGATCTGAGCTTCTCAATCACCGCATTCCAATTATGGGCTGGCGGCGCTGACAGGTCTTTGTTATTTGAAAGATATTACGCTCGAGCGCTTTTGACCTGCCTTCATCGAAGCATTGCAGTCCCCGAATGGGCTAAACTCAGACGGGGAGAGCCCGTGCCACTTGAACGGGCATTGGCTGCTTTCGACCTGTTCATTCCAGAGACCAGTTTTGGGGACCTGGATGAGGTATGGCTATCTCTTTATGATTGGATAGTTGAGGGATTCTGATGATGCTTTAGGTCCGGGACATATTGGATGACATTGTTGCTCGGTTTATGACATCTCATCCTGATATCGACGATCTTACCGCCCGAGAAAAGGCCCTCCTCCTCGCATCCTGGCTACATGAGAATCATATCACCGGGATGGAGGCGGAGCGTCAGTATCATTCCCTGGAACATAATTTCCTAGGGTTAGCGTTGACAAGCCCGGGCCATAACTCTTTGCCACTGGTCTCAGCTGTGATCTATTGCTACGCTGCCCAAAAGTTGGGCATGGATGCTCGCCCTTGTGGGTTCCCATTTCATGTTCATGTTATTATTACCCCTTCATTGGGACTTGACATGAACGGGAATGCCCTGCCCGGTGGAGAGCCTGGTGCTCCAATGTATCTGGATCCATTTTGGGGCGGACAAGAGACTCCTGTGTCGGATCTTCGAGATCGCTTGGTCTTTCTTGGTGCTACGGATACTGAGCAATCGGATTTCTTGGGCGAATCATCGCCTTCTCAAATTGTTTTACGCTGCAGCAAAAATATTTTGAATTCCATCAATTCTCTATCTCAGGCAACCGAGAGTCATACGTCTTCAGTGGATCTGGTCAGTGCTAAGTATGCCGCGTTATGGTCATCAATGCTCCTTTCAGGAGACTCGCGGCCTATGGACCTGCGACACAAATTACCCTGGCTTATGGAGCTGTTTGCCACCGACTTCCCATCCGATATCTTTCTGATAGAAAAACATATTGTGCCCCTATTTGAGGGACTCTTCGAACATGAACATATTTTAGAAAGCCTCCATGTGATGCGAGCAGTGGACGGGATTCCGAAGCCAGTTCACCGACGATCTGGCGAGAGCAACAGCATTCGATACAAAGTGGGCCAGGTTTTCCAACACCGCCGATACCACTACCGAGCCATCATCACTGGGTGGGATTCCGAGTGTGAGGCCGAAGAGCCGTGGATGCGACGGATGGGAATTGATCGATTGCAAGCAGGCCGTCATCAGAGCTTCTACCATGTTTTGTAAGTTCTACTTTGTCTTTACCCTCTCCTTTTTTTATACCTCGACATTACAGCTAACACTTTCCTACAAGGGTTGAGGATCGGAGTGTGCGATATGTAGCGGAGGAGAATATAGATCTGATTCTCCCACAGATGGCAGAGCTCCCGCAGAGCCTCACCATGATTGCAGGCAAACATTTCAAACGATGGGACGAGGATACCCGTTCTTTTGTCAGTAATTTACGTGATGAGTATCCTGATGATTAATGGATTTTCATGTATTTGTGAAGATTGGGAATTCTTTCAAGAATTTGAATATGTGGATTTAACCAAATAGCAAGTTAATAAGGATATAATATTATACTGATATTCTGGGAATCCCAGTCAATTCACATAGTCGTCAGATCATATCTCACATCTCCACTCAGGATCTGGCCAATATAGAATGAGCCGACACCAACCCGAGCAGCACTCTTCGTGACGCCAGCAAACCTGCCAACGATCCAAACACAGATCGTCTCCGTGTGATGGAGGCCACTTCACCATACATTTCCCATTCTCGCAGTACTGTCTCTTGGCACAGTCCCGGGTACCTTCGCAGCCTTTAATGCAGCTTCCATCGATGCAGATAAAGCTCAAAGCACAGTCCGAGTTCCCGGAACAGGATTTGCCCTCAGGCTCCTCTGCGTTGTCTCGTCTCATCAAGGTACCGAGTTCTATTGATGATTGTTTTAAACTGGTCATACTCCCAATTAGGAGACCCAAGAGTCCTAAGGTAAGGACTATGAGAATATAATCTAGCCGGCTAGGACGCCGAAGGTTGCTAGGACGCCTAAGGTTGAAAGGCATTGTGAGGATTGATGTAGTATGTGTTATGAGAAGAGTGAAGGAAATTCCAATAAATTTCTTTTGGAGATGTTCTTTTTAGAATCGGACTGCCAGGTGCAGGTGACCTTGACCTCTTTAGGATCTATAGAGATTTTGACCCATGGAAATCTGTAGACCCTATACATACTTAACCTTATTAAGAGATATTTACTACTAAGAATATAGGCGGTGATTCTAGACCATTACTCTAAATTATTATTAACTTGAAGCACTAACTTTCACTCAAAGAATTCAGCGAACCTATTGAAGGGATATCTGTGAAGGGCTCTATAAAGACTGAAGCAGAACGATATAGGCCGACATGCAGTTTACATTCATGCTTAAGGAAGAGGAAGCTATAGTACATGATGGGGCATATATGTCTTTCCGCGGATCACGTGTGGGGCTGTAAGCGGAGACGTCCGTGGTCAACTGTCGTCGAACGTGACCGTACATGATCGTGGCTTTGGGCTTCGTCGAGGATTGACAAGCCCTCGTCGGGTTCAACCCGTTACATTACCCCCCTCCTTTAGCTGCAAGCTCCCTTAACACCCTTGTAGACGTGACGTGTATCCTCTCGTCCGCGGCCTGCTTACCTCGTTCGTACGTGTCCAGCGCTGCACATCCTTTAACATTCGTAGCTGGCTCCTATGACGTCTCAGCGTAACCTGTCCATTTCACCAGGTACTCTAATCTCGTTCCTCGTCCGATCTTCTTCATATATTGTCCTAGGATAGCTTCAACTTCGTATTCTATCTGTCCATCAACATCAATCGGAGGCGGCTGTGTGTCATCGACCACTTAAGAAGGTAAGGGGTCGGCCGTGTAGGGTTGTATAAGGTTAATGTGGAACACTAGGTGTATACCAGCGGGGACCTTAAGCTTTATATTATAAGGGTTTGGGATATTAGTGACTTTATAATATATGTGGATCTAATCGAGCTTCTTTGAGAACTTTTCTGATTATATGTTATATAGGTTTAACTATATAAGATCTTCTTTCTTATATATAGGAGCTATTTACCTTGTATAATTGGCGTGGCTTTCTTGTTATTCCTGTGTAACTATGATTGTGGCTTATGCCTAAGTTGTGGCTTCTTCCATTTGTATAACGAAGTTCTTACTAGCTTTGGCAGGGCCTGTGATCTTTTGTATGTTATCGCTTTCTTTTGTTACGATAGCGTTAATGTAGTATCTGTAAGTGAAGAAGAAGGGCGAGAGGCCTGTTAAGGCAGTGTCTTGATTATTAATTATTATAGCTACGACCGGTAGTATTTGTTTCTAATTATCTTATGTGTATATGATAAATACTTATAAGACTTGTTTAACTTCTTGATTGGCCCTTTCTGTGGAGCTGTCTGTCTATGGGTAGAATGCTATTAATAGTTATCATATAGAGAGTCCTTTATATACTTCTTCCTAGAACTACTTATAAATTATGATCCTCGGTTACTAACGATAGCTCTTAGCAACCTATGATATATATAGAAATACATTAAGAAGGCTTTAGCGATATCTATAGTAGTCGTAGAGACCATCCTAACAAGAATCACTCCCTTCATAAGCCTATCTATAATCACCATTAAATTTGTACTATCATCTTCTTTCGCTGGCGGTAGTCCAGTGATAAAGTCTATCGATATCTCTGACCAGATCCGATCAGGTATAGGCAGTGTTTATAACAGTCTATGCTTTATATCCCTCCAGATCGTCGTATATCTATATACTATATAGTTCCTTATAAACCGTTGTATATCTTATATTGAGTTAGGCCAAAAGAACCTTCTCGATAAAATCATATACGTCGTGTCTCATCCTGGGTGACCAGTAATATAAGAATCATGGGTCTTCTGGATTAGTCCTGTATGTAGCGGTTTGTTCTTAGGTATCCAGATATGTTTCCGAAAGTATAACAGTCCTTGTTTATCTAGCTTATATTCTGTAAGGCTAATCTTAACATTAATATCGCTTAGTAGCCTCCATTTGTCCTTACATACAGCCATTGTGATTTGCTGGTATGTATTATCTTCTTGCTGTGCTTTATCCTATTCTTTCTGAAGATTATCTTCTTCAAATATTTATACGGAGGTTACAAAGTCTATGTTTTCTGTATTGTTCGTCTTTATCTGTGGTCTTGTATATATAGCCCTAACTGTAGCTCTCTTAAACATAGAGCATATTCGATTTATTAAGCGGTTTGTCTATAGTATCTTAGGGTATATCTTAAGCCTGTTATAACAGTATGTTAGGTTGTATAGCTAGCTTACCTAGGTGGTATGTGATTATATAGTTGAATTCTGCTAGTAAGTTAGTCTATCTTATCTATTGTTTACTGTCAGCAATTCAGGCTGATTCTCTGCCTGAATTCCTGGGACCAAAAGTGGCTCTTTTGGTCTAAAGATTGTGCTGACTAATTCATCCTGCGATCAACCATTTTGTTGCGGAATGAATGGCTATTGTTTTGATCTGATCCATCAGATCAAAGATCATCTTCTCTCGTCCGAGAAGATTCACAACCCGAACCCCGTTGTTGAGACCAATGGTTACAAGATGAGATGAAAGACTTGATCATTTCGGATTCTGTGGATCTTTCATCCCATGTTCTGAGACCTTTGGTCTTATGTTTATCTGTTTAGTCTAATGTTCTATAAAACCTGATCTTACCCCTTAGTTAGTTGGGCATCGAATTCAATCTTTTTGGGATCAGTAGTATCTTTGTTTGATTCTTTCCTTCCATTCCATCCTAAGTTTGGATCCAGCTTGGTCGTATGTCATTCCATCTGATCCGTGTTGTCTGATCTTTTGGTCTTATCTTTACCCTTTCCTCCTAGGTCCCCTGTAACTTGGTATCCCCTGTTCAGCTGACATCCTCTGCGTGACGTCATCACCTTTGGTCTGTCCCCGACACGCTGAAATTATCCTTATCTATATATACTAGTATAGGGATACTGATAAAGGCTTCCTTTAGTTCTAAGAACGCCTATTTATATTTATCCGACTATTGGAAAACTGTGTTCTTCTTTGTAAGCTATATTAAGAATATTGATAATATCGCAAAATAGGGAATAAAGGACCGATAAAAATTAGTAAATCCTAGGAAGCTTTATATATCTTATGTAGTCTTAGGGGCTTCCTATAATCTAATAGCTTTAACTTTCTTTAGATCTATATATATCCCTTCCCTAGCTTTTACAATAAATCCCAAATACTTCACTAAATACTGCTTGAATTCCAACTTTCTAATATCATATTATAGGCCTGCTGTATATAGCTCGCTAAGCACTTGCTTAACTTTTTATTGATGATTGTCCAAGGTTCTGTTTAAATAGATAATGATATTATCTATATATATAGATATAAAGTTATCTAGGAACTTCTGTAATACTTAGTTAATATACTATTGAAATGTTATAGATGTACTAGTTAAACCAAAAGGGGTTATATTTTATTTATATAAGCTATAGTATATATAGAAGGCTATCTTTTATTCTTCTCCTTATATGATTTGAATCTTATAGAAGGCGGTAATAATATCAAGCTTTGTAAACCCTTATATATTTAATATATTCCTTAATATCTTATATATTAGTAGTAATAGATAATAATCTTTAATAGTCAACTTATTTAGTCCTTAGTAATCTATACAGAAGTATATATCTCCGCTAGGCTTTTATATAAGTAGTACTAGGGCAGTAGTAGATAAGTTACTTATATAAATAAAATCCTTTCTAAGTAAGGCTATTAATATTCTCTATAGATATAGTAGTTCTTCCTTATTCATACTATATAATAGTCTATACAGAGGTGGTTCTTCTACTCTACTTATATTCTTCTTTAATAGTATCTTATAGTTAACACTAGGGTAATAGGGTAATAGCTAATTAGCAAGTTATTAGCTAAATATATCCTTCTAGTTATTGTATTATATAGATAACTGTTCTTTAATATCTACTTTCTTCTTCGGACATAGCGCTTCGTTGATATCGGCTATTATAACTTTACCGATTTATAGCTTTTCCTTTAGAATCCCTTGAATTATTATCTCTAGATCCCTTATACTCTTTGCTTATTATATATATAATAACTTTATACCTACTAGACCGATCATCTTATCTCTCCGGTTCCAGCAGTGTATATATTATCCCTCTTTATTATAAATATTAAGATAGCCTTATCCGGTAGAGTATACCGCTTATATAGCAACCAACTATAGGTCTCCTAATATAATATCATTAACTTAATCTTTGATAATATATATAAAGATCTTTCCTTACTTATAGCTGTAGATATCGGTCTTAAAATATATGACTTCCTTAATCATACCAATATCTACAATAACACCATCTAGCAGTTATAGCTTAATAGAAATATATAGAAGGTTATAAAGATATATAAAATAA